CAAGCAAGCAGCATGTCAGGGCGGGCTTTGGCGAGATTTGCAGCCCACGCACAGCAGCAGTCGAAAAGTGCCAAACACATCCCAGCTAGGGCACGCAACAGTTCCGCCGTCAGCAAGGTTGTTGCAACCATACATCTGCAGCTAGCACAATCGTTATTGCCATCACTTCTGGTAAACTTGACCATCACAGCTGTGCCTGCGGGCGCTGCACATAGCGATACCGAGTAGGGTCTTCTGACAACCACATATGTACACCGTACCGGCCAGCTAGGGAACTGCTGCTGTGCCGATGCCGGGAGAGGGATGAGGGCGGCGGAGAGAAGGGGTGCGCATGCATGTAAGGGCCGAGGGTAGAGGTGGCCGATTGGAGGCAAGGGTTGGGAATGGTGAGGAAGGAGCCGGAGCTGAGGAGCATGTAGGAGGCTGGGTGACTGGGTTAGAGAAGGTGGGGGTTAGGGCAGGGGGGTTGGAGCAAGGTGGGACAGGCGAGATGTTGCAGGCAGGGGTGGTGACACGGCACATGTACGGGGTGGTGGTGATGGCGGTCTGGAAACAGGGGGCCGAGTTAGCACATAGGTGGGGGTAAAGAGGAAACAACTAACTGACTGAGGGATAGGTGAGGGGGACTGGAGTGGGGCGGGCCTATATCGTATCGAGTTTTGCGTGTTTTAGGTCTTGATTGTCTGCCGCTTGCTACGTGCTCTGCGTGTTGCGGGTAACTGGCCTCAAAACTGGTGCATGCATGCTGTGCGTGCTCGCTCTGCGTGTCCGTGCCTGTCCCATGCGTGTTACGTCAGGTGTGGTGGGGCGGCCGGTGGGCGGGGAGGCGGCGGAGGTGGACAGCGAGGGCGGCATGGAAGCGCATGTATCGTTTCAACCCGGACTGGCATACGCGATTTCAATTAGCTGGCGTGACGATGAATGACAAGCGTGCGTGCGTGATGTTGACTGGTGTTGCTGCAGGAGACCAGCAAGCAATCCGTGCACATACGGTAGTACACCGGCCATGGTCCATGAATCCTGACCACTACTAGCCTGCTGGATGAAAGTACGGCAGGGGAACACGCAGCGGCGTGGACTCGGCTCGGTGGTGGCATTCGCTGCTGCTGCATCAACGGTGGTGTCAGTCAGTGGGTGTAACGAAACCCTCCAGTATTGATGCTAGCGAGGAGATGCTTGCTTGTACAGGCTGCTTCGTTCGATGCAGCGCAGGGCCAGCAGCAGCTGGTCCAGTTTTCTGCCGCAGCCACCTCTACCAGTGCTGTAGCTTCGGCCCATTCACCACATGCATGCATGCACACGCACAGCACCGCGTGCTTGGGGCGCGAACTGACAACGTAGCTCCACCCGGCCCCCGCCGCTCACCTACGCCCAGGCTCTGAACGCCCGGTCGCTACGGCTCGCTCGCTGTACACAACACCGCCACAACACCGCTGCCACAACACCGCCGGCCGCCTGGGCACCACGCGCGCCCTGGAGTTGGGTGCCAAGGCGCACACTGAGGCGAAGCAGGGGGACGGCGGCCGGGAAAGAGGGCGAAGGGCGCCGGACAAGCGCACGGGCGAGCACCCGCCAGGCCTCGTCGGCCGGCACGGCAGCCGCACTGTCGGCCGCGGCCGTCACCGCAGCGCCCACCCAGGGGTGCGGGACCTGGAACAGGAGGAGGTGGAGGCGCCGGAAGGCATGCCAGCCCGACACCAGACGGGGGGGGGAACTCCATACCAGCAGGGAGGGTCAACACTCCACGGAGGACCAGGCGGCGGAAGGCCCTAGTACATTGCCGCAGAAGACGGGGAGAAGGCTGGTCCGCGGGGTTGAGAGCCGCCGCACGGAATCAGGGGGAGGTCCCGAAGGGCAAGCCAGCTCCGAACAGCGACCCCGATGGAGGTGAAGCCGGGAAGGGCGGCAAAGTCGGGGAAGGCGGTCTCCAGGCCGGCGCCTTCAGTGGTCAGCAGCGCTGGGTTGCCCCACAAGGGAGCAGAGGAGCACCAGGGACCAGCAAGTGCAGCAGGGTCCGGGATGTGGAGGGTGCCAAGGGGCGCGAGAGCACCGACCAAGGAGCACAGGGCGGGGCAGTCAGCCGGGGTGGGGCGGCCCAGGACTGTCCGGCCGGCGGTGGGCATGAGGACGCAGAGGGGGTGGGCTGCGGGGGGTTCTGGACTAAGCCTCCAACAACTGGTCTTGTCCCAAGCTGCGGGATGACAACGGCGCAGCAGAGTCAGCGCCATCCGCACCCAGCGAGGAGTAACGGGCAGGAGGCCGCAGGCACCGCTCACAACGCGCACAGCAGTGGCGGCCTGGCGGGCGCGGACGTGCTGCACCAGGGGGAGGAGCCCAAAGCCGCCAGCAGCAGGAGGCAGTGCAAGGCAGCCGTGGCCGACCCCGGGGAGGCGCTGATGGGGGTTAATAGCATGCTGGGAAGGGGACAGACGGCGATTGAAGACAGCACCAACGGTGCCCTGCAGGCGGGACAGGACATGCTGCGCGGGGAGGCCCTGAAACTACAGGTGGTACAAGGCGGATGAGGTAGGTGCAGAACCAAGGAGTAGGATACTTATCGCATGCATTTCGGGCTTAATTTGTGTTGCTCTACTCCTTCAACATGAGTTCTTCTTGTCCCACGCACCTGGTCTAAAGCGGTGGGAGGAGGCCAGTCGCGATGGCGCAGCCGAGAAGGAGGAGAGGGCCACCTGGGCCGCCGCATCCGGCTAAGAACATACGCATAAATAAATAAAATTGTTTCATCCGCATAACACTGTACACGAGTGGGAGTCGGAATAGGTGTGTTGTGACGCGCGAGTACGGGCGTGTGGACGGCAGGCCACGAGGAAGGTCTGGAAGATCTGAAGCAGACAGCAACTGCCACCAGTTTCGTTTTCTGGCACTTTCGTAGGCATCTGGGGGTGTCGTACGTCTGGTACGACACCATAGGCATATAAATTGGTGGGTTGAGCATGGTTGAAGTAAGTAGGCGGCCTCATAGGGTGACCCGAGAGCCCCAGGCGGATACTGAGATTTCTGACAGACAAAACCGAAACGGGCAAACCGCTTCCAAATCTGTAAAGATCGTGGGCTGGATTTCCCTTCACGTCTCTATACAAGAGCCGCTCCCCGGGGCTCTGCAAATGCACAAGGTCCGAGTTCAGCCAAGACCAGCTTTACAGCTGCTATATCCCAGGCTTGTGTCCCAGCCCTTCTGCAACGCAATAGCAGATACCCGGCTGTTATGCGCAGCCAACGTGCCAGCGGCATATGCACCGCATCTGAACTGTAAAAGTAAGCCAAGCAATCATAGAGAAGAGCCGTCGCTTCTCAACGGCTCTTACCTTACCAGTCAAACATCAACCAAATCCTAACCGCCCGTCAACGGTCCACAAGTCAACTCCCATCCCCAAGTCAATTAGGTTTCTACAACAACTAAATATGAAGTACCATTAGAGAGGATACGCCGTTGGTCGCCAAGTCTTCACCTTCGCGGCGGGGGCTCCGCCCAAAAGCACCGGGTGGTCATCAACGTCCCGCGGATATGTACGGGAAGCTCTCCTGGTGCGGATCCACAGTACCGGCACCGGTAGGTAGCAACAGTGTTAATGGTCTCAGTAACGTCAGCGCTCGCCGCAGCACCGCCTTATTACAAAGCTTTGCAAGGCCGACTCCTCCCTCCTTTGCACGGCAGCTGAAGACATCCATCCATGTAAACACGACCTCATGCACGTTAGTCCCACTGGAACAGAGCGCGAATCAAGTTCCAGACGGCCTTAAATCCAAAGAAGGTTCCTACAGCACCTGTGCAAGCTGTAACAGCGCCAACGATCCCACTAATGCACGCCGCAGCACCGCCCATTGCAAAGCTTTGCAGCAAAGCGTAGATGCTGCCAGCTGCGACTCCTCCCCCCTTTGCTATGGCAATTGCAGACATCCATTTTGCTGCCAAGGAGCCAGCAACTGGTCCAATCGCTGAGAATCCAATAGCCTTGGCTATGCATTAAAGCACAACGCCGCCAAGGCTACAGATCCCAGCAACTAAGGCTCCAATAATCATTCTGATGTGAGGATACGAAGTCGCAGTCTGCCAAACGGAGTCAGGTCGTGCGAGAGCCCGCTGATGTCCTTCTAAGGCAATAATAAATCTTGCATTTACCGCTTCCGTTAGCTCGTAGCATGGATGACTATGTCCGTGTTGTAACTTTAATTTTATAATCGCCCTTTCCCACCTGTGATGGCCGGTCCTGGCGACCCGTGATAGGGGATTGCTTGCTTGGCTCGCTCCGTACATACCTTCACCTGTACCGGATTGAAAAGCATGCTCGTTCAATATCTCTACGCAAGCATATCGTCCCGACCAAGGTTACCGGTAGAAACAATAGTTATACCAATATGATGTTGACTGCATCAGGGGTAGGACCCGTTCCAACTACTTCCACAAGGTACTTCCCGCGTGCATCTAGACGTCTGGGCACAATGCAGTTCTCCACTTCTGCTGAAACGCAGCGCGTTGACGCCAGCTGCGCTGCTGGTGCAATGCGCATATATATGCGCTAGACATGTTGCTTTTTTTTGTCGTCCTTTTAGTTTTCTTCCTTTCTGCACTAGTTTTGCCTTCACTGCCGTCAAATTATAACAACATAGCCCAACCCCTTACTACTACAGTAGCGTATAGCGGTATCTACCAGCATTCAACAAAGATAACCAGCACCCATTCCTCTCCAAACGACACATCCTTGCACGAGAAAGCCCTCACTGCCTAAGGCGAGCATTGTTACGTTAGGCTGTGAATTCGTCGTCCAAGGGCCGACAGCCTCGCTTTCCAAGCCCTCTCATCACGTCATTAGGTTTCTCCAGCGCTTCTTCTCTCTGGCCGTAAGGTCGGTGTTACGATGCTTCTTTATGCTGAGTGAGAGAGAATTCTTGCCAGAAAGTATACCCGCCCTTAAGCGGTGTAGCACCCCACGAGGGCGTCAGGTATCCAGTACGGGCACCCTAATTTGCCCGGGTGACTTCGCCACTCCATGCACCCTTCACACTCTCTAGACGGTCAATAACCCCTACCTCCTTCGCTATTACTCCTTCCCGCTCTGAGAACCAAGTGCGCTGGACAGTAACAGCAGTCCATAGCCTCCGACATCTGCTAAGCCTGGGGTGGTCAAACGTGCTTGGATAACACCCCATTACACCATTCCCTGTGCTTCAAGTCTCAATACAGGCATCCCTAGTCATCAATACAGGCATCCTTAGGTGCCTATCCGGTAGTGAAGGTTGAGTGCACGAAGTGTAATGTATCGGCACCTTACGGCACTACACGGCAGCAGCCGTGACACCTAGGGCCCCAGGGCAGCTCTTGGCCTTGACTCTGCCCCTGAGTCGCGAAACCATTGCTAGGGGGGAACCTCCTGAGGCCCCGGGATCCGGTGGCGGCGGCGGTGTGGCTCCAACAGCAGCGGAGGGCCAAAGTACCTAATGATTAACGCTTTTCGCACACCATTGCTTGCAAAGTTGTGTAACTTTTCACTCGGGGTATCACGGGGCATAGTCGCATGTCCTCAAACGTCCCAGCGGTCACATTCAACAAAGCCGAACTCACTTGAAACCAATAATCACGTCCCTCGCCTGCCAGCGAGTCATGTCAAGATTGAACAACAAACGTTCCGTAAAAGTATAATCCTCTTCGAGACAAACCTACTATCAGGTCTTCAGAAACGTCACGAACATCAACATAAGTAGCAACCGCCGTGCGCAGTGTATGTACGGAAGCGCTCCGAAACCCTACAGTAGCATTGACAAGCATTGGTTTACAGCCTGCGAACACACGCCACCCGAGGAGGTAGATAACCCACCTGAACGCTACTACAGAGGCGACCGGACAGCCTCCATGTTCAAAACCGGACAACGCAACTGATAACAACCAATGCAAGTTGACGGCTTTCGCAGCCTGTGGCGGTATGCATGTACTCATTGACGCGGCATGTTGCTGCCCGCCCACGCATCCAACTCCACCCACTACCAGAACCGCCACCACCTTAGCCCCGGAGCGCTTGCTGCCATACCCCTCGTCCTCTTCCTCCTTCATATCGTCCCCCCCGTCGTAGCTCCGCTCCTGCCCCTACATCGAAACCGTCATTGAGCAACCTCGCCCTCTTCCTCATCCTGCGGTTGGCAGCGACAAGGCCGCAGAGGCGGCGGTTGACCCAAACTGCTACCAAGCTGTGCATCGGCCACCCACGGCTGACACAGCCGTTCATGCGGCTGGATGCGCTGCGCAGCGTGTGGCGCTAGCGGCGATGCCCTTCATCCTTGGACGAGCTCTGTTGCTGCTGGTGTAGTTGCTGCTGCTGCTGTTGCCGTCCTGCTGGCGACCCATCATGGCCCTCACCCTGCTGCTGCCGCTGCCGCTGCCCCTCATCATCCCGCCAATCATGCCGCTCCAAACGCTCTTGCCGCCGCCGCCGCTGCTGCTGCTGGCGGTCCTCGTCAGCCCCATCCCAACGCTCCCATCATTGCTGCCGCTGCTGCTCAGAATGTTGCTGCTGCTGCTGCTGCCCCCGCCCCTGCTGGCGGTGATTGGAGCGATCCTGCGGCGCATGGAACCCCCGACCGGCGCCTCGCTGCAGCCCTCCACCACCGGGATGATGCTGCCGCCCTCCACCACCACCATGTTCGCCACCACCACCACCGCCACCACCGCGTGTCCTTCCGCGTCCTCGACCCATGGGTCCGCCGCGAAAGGGCCCAAACCTGCCTCCACGATGCCCCCATGCACCTGACCCTCCTCCGGGTCCTCCTGACCTCCCTCCGGCTCCTCGAACATAATACTGCCGCCCCGACCACGCTTCCCCGTGTGCATGGTGATGGTGACGTGACCCATGATGGGCCGAGGCAGGAGCCGCCCCTGCAGCACCTTTCCAACGAGGTCCAAACGGCGTCCACGGCGGCGACCTGGATCGTGACCTTGATCTTGATCTTGATGTTGAACCGGAATCGGACGTGGATCGCCGTCTGCGCTTGGAACCCTTGTTGGTTTCGGATCCGCTGCTCGTGCTGGAGGTGGTTGCGGAGCCACCGGAATGAGATCTGCTAGCGGAGCGCCTGCGGGATGATGAGCGAGAGGAGGAGCGTTCCGAAGAGCTGCTGCTGCTGCTACTGCTACTGCTGCGAGCGTGGCTGTCTCCTGCTGCGTCCTGGATGCGGCGGCGGCGACGGGGCTCCGGCGAGGGTGAAGAGGCGGAACGAGAGGTGGAGCGAGAGGAGCTGTCGGAGGAGGAGGAGGTGCTGCAGCGGCGGCGGCGGCGGCGGAGGCTGCTGCCGCCAGCGCGGATGTGGGGAGGTCCTCCACGATACCCTGGGTAGCGATGAGGGCTGGGTGAAGGGGGACGAGGAGGGGAGGAGGGCCGTCCCTTACTGCGGGACCGGGACTGGGATGGGCGGGATCGGGATCGGGACCGGGATCTGGATCTTGGTTTAGATCCAGGTTGGCCGGGGCTATTGGGATGAGCCAGGTGGCCTAAGTGGCGGCTCCCGAGCATACCGATAGTTGGAAGCCGCACCGCCGGTAGTGGGGCCTCAACCCAGGGCTATGTCTGCGGGTCCCTCCGTTGGGTTCTTGACAACGCGGCTGAGCCCTGCGGGTGCCACGATGAAAAGCACGAAACTGAGGTTGTGGCCGAATGAGCGCCAACAGTAAACACTAATGACCCAGCCGCAGCGAACGAGAAAAGCAACAAAAAAAGCAAGCAGGGTCCAAGACCCATGTCATGCCGAGATGTCATGTAACGTCGTACATCACATGGCCTACAAAAGCAAAACCCACCTAGGCTTGGATCTAGATCCCGGCAGTTGGGATCCTGATCTGCTACCAGATCGCGTCCTGCTTCTCCTCCTCCTCATCTTACTAGGAGACGGCGACCGGGACAACGGCCGCCCCTGTCGAGAGCAGCGCCCGCGTGCGCTGGTGTGTGGGCCAGTCCTTGCTGAAGGGGAATCCCGCGTCCTGGTTCTGGTTCTGGTTTTGAGATGACCCTTGGATCCATGGGATCTTGAATCCGAATCAGGATCTGACGAGCTGGATGGAGACTCTGATGACGACGACGAAGATGACAAAGAGGAAGAGGAGGATGACGTGGACTTGCTAGTTGAGGAAGGAATGGAGCGGGAGGAGGTGGGTCTGCTTTTGGGTACTCCTTTTGGGCGAGCTTCTGGGGCATGATTCTTGCCGCCGCCGCCGCCGTTGCCTTTGCTGCCTCCGCTGCCGGTGGGGTGTACAGCCGCCGCCGCCGCCGCTACTGCTGCTGCTACTGCTGCTGTTGCTGCTGTTCCGTTCACCGCCTCCGCCGTCGCCGCGACCGCCGCCACCGTCGTTTCCGCCGCCGCCAGGTTCCCCCCGGCAGCACCTCCGCCGTCTCCGTCTCCGCCCCAGCTGCCATCGCCGCTAGCCTGGCCGGTTCGAGCGGGCTGCCTCAGGTGCGGCGGTAAGCAGCGCTGCTCCCTGTCCTTGTCTCCAGCCGCTGGCGACATCGCACCCCCGGGAGCAGCAGCCCGGGTCTCACCTTCCATTGGGGCCCTGCTGGGTGGCTCGGCGTCGCTCACCCCACCCTCGTCCCGCGGCCTCACCCCATCGTCGGAGGCTTCCCGCAAGCCGCCAGCAGTCCGATCCTGGCTTCCATCCGCCTCTGGCCGGTTGTTCTCATGGGGGCCGGAGTCATGGGATTGGCGCTGGGGGACCCGTGGGTCGGTCCCTTGCACACGGCCAGCGCTTGGCAGACGTTGCACTGCGCCTTGCTGCTGCTGCTGTTGGTGGTGGTGGTGGTGGTGCCGCTGCCAGTGGCCCTGCAGGTCGCAATGAGGGCTCCCTGTCGGCCCCTCACGTGAACCTCGTCCTCCTCGTCCTCCGTGAAACCAACCGTCGTACTGCCGCTGCTGTGGTTGCTCCCCATGCCACAGGCCGTACGACTGCCCGCCCCCATGCGGCCCTGTTGCCTTACGGTCAAAGCGGCCCAGGCGCTGCTGCTGCTGCTCCCTTTCCTGGTCTTCAGGCAGTGCGGCTACATTCGCCATACATGCGGAAGCGCGAGGACGCCGCTCCTCAGGACCTTCATGCCTGCCACCACCGCTACCACAATCCCAACCGCCGCCGCTGCCGCCAGCATTACGCCCTGGAAGGGGTAGCTGCGAGTCATGCCGCTGACCTGCACGACCGCCCCGCGCTACTGCCAGGCGCTGATCGGGGCAGCTCACCCCTGGTTGCTCTCGCTCTTCCAGTAGCAGCGACTGGCCGAAGGGGTCCAGCTCCCACCTGCCTGGAGATTCCGGCAGCGGCGCCCTGCGGCTGCGGCTGCGGAGGTGCCCCGGGCAGCTGTCCGTGTCCGTGTGGCCGCGGCTAGGGCCGTCATGCCTGCCGCCCCAGCCGCGGTGATCCTCCTCCTGTCGGTCACGGTCACGTTCCTGTCCAGTTAGCTGAGGGTGCGGGTGCGGGTGCGGGTAGGGCCGATTGTAATGAGCCGGAAACGGTCGCAGCCGCGGCGACGGGCGACCGGTGTCCCACTGCTGTTGCGGCTGTCTGTGCGGTGTTCCCCAGTCACCACCACCACCAGCACCAGCACCTGCTGCCCTGTCCCCGTCCCTCCCCTCATGGGGTTCATAGCGACCAGCTGAGCCCCAATGGCGCGCCTCCGTTGAATTGGAGGGCTGCTGCCGGCTCACGGCCGGGAGCTGGGCATGAGCCCCGACGCAGTCGCCTCCCATGTCGCCCCAACGACCGGTATCCAGGGCGTGACTGTCGGGATGCTGCTGGTCCCAGCGGCTCCTCCGTTGCCGCTGTTGCTGCTGCTGCTGCTGCTGCGGGCCGTGTGGGTGGGTGTTAAGGGTGCGTTGCCCGGGGCCATCCTGCGCCTCCAGCTGCACCGCTCCCTGCCCTCTCTCCTGCTGCTCTACTAACAGCCGTCTCACCCGCCATGACTCACTGCCCTCTGGTGAACTGTACTGCTGCAGGCGTGGGTCCGGTCCGTGGTGGGGGTCTCCGCGCCACCAGGACTGCTCCAGGTGCCGAGATTGTGATTCCCTGGATCGTTGCGCGTCTTCTTGGTGGTGGTGAAGGCGGCGACGGTAGGGAGCTTCAGCGGTGGTGTGGGCTTCGTCGGCGTTGGAGGGCGGCCGGTCGGAGTGGCCGGGCGGAGGACAGCCGTCCCGCGCCAGGAGCTCCCTGTGAAAGGTGTCAGGAGGGGTGCAAGGGGGCAGAGCTAAGAGTGACGACGCTATAAATGGCAGCAGGATGACGCAGGGGACCAAACGTTCAAAGACACGTCGCTTGTCCAGATGGCGCATACGGTGCATGTAGGGGCGACGCAAAGTGAGACACAGACCAAAAGGGCGTCACCGGTTGTTGCCGCCCCCATACACTGCCGCCGCAGGATGCGACGCAGCACCCGACAAACCCCCGCACCTGTGCCGCTGTCTCCATGCCGCCAGCCGCCGCTGCCTGTCGTCTCCGAGTCGACCCTGCGTTGCTGTTTCCAGCGGACCCACAGCCCGCCGGCCGCCACTCGCTTCCCCACCACCAACAACAACAGCCTCGTCCTCAGATCCGCGCTGCCGCATGCCCTGGCGACCATCCTTCGCGCTCCCTCGCCTCACGCCCCGGCGCGCTGCCGATGCCGCCTCAGCGGATGGTTGCTGCTGGGGGTCGTTCACCCGCTCGCAGCAACCACCCCTCGTGGCCGCCTCACCACCAATATGCAACAGCTGATCCCGTCGCTCACCGGCACCGTCTCCACCTCCTCCTCTTCGGGAGCCCCAGCTGCCGCTGCTACGAGCATCGTCGCTCGCTGCGACAACGCGGCCCTCGCGCCCTGACTCCTGCTGCTCCTGCTGCTGCTGTTGCTGCTGAGGCGGCGGCGGCGGTGGTGGCGGTGGCGGCAGCAGCTCCTTGTCCGGGCAGTCCTGCTGCTGCATTGCTTCTTCTTCATATTCCTCAAGGTACTCCTCGTCGTCGCACATTGCTAGCGGATCCGCCTCCTCCTCGCAATCAGCATCAACCCCCTCAACCCCCTGATCCGCAGCACCAGCAGGCCCATTGTCCAGCCCAGCCGTGATGGCGATAGCGGGGGAGCGCCCAGTTTCATCAACAGCAGCGGCAGCAGCAGCGGTAGCAGCCGCAGCACCCCGCTCAGGCCGCGTGACAGACCTGCTGGCGTCTGCTGCAGCTGCCGCAACCCTAACAGCGACAACGCCGGGAGTGACGGCGTTGTAATGAACGGCAGAGGTGTCAGGCGGTGCTGTATCCGCCTCATAAGGGAGCCGCCGGTCTTCTAGGCTGCTCACTGCGCCACGTGCTCCAGCACCGCTGACGGCGGGAGCGTCTGGGGGTCCGTCCGGGGGTCCGTCGGAAGCCGTCGCCACGCACGCACCGGAGGAATGATCATCACCATCGTCACGACTATGGCCGCCCGGGGCGCCTCCGACGCGTGTGTCTCCGGCTCCGCCACCGCCGCGGCTAGCAGGGCCGCCATCGCCGGTTTCATCGCCGCCGCCGCCGCCGCCGCCGCCAGCAGGTGCAGCCGCATGTCCGAGGCCAGCTTCAACCGTCTCATGGAGTCTAGCACCACGGGTGTCAATCGCGGTGTCGCACCTAGCGGATTCGATCGTACCGGCATCATCGTTATCATCACGAACCACAGGGGTGCCGCTACCGTTGCCGTCGCCGCCAGGGGTTACTGCCGTACCAACCAACAGCGGTCCAACAGCCGCTCCGTCATCACCACCACCACCACCACCGCCGCCATCACTGTTGATAACGTCAGCGGCAGGGGGTTCCATTGCAGGGATGCTCCTGCCGCTGCCGTGCTCGCCCAGTGCTCGGGCCCCAGGGGAGTCTTCTTCTTTTTCTTCTTGCATGTTGTACGACAATACTAATGCAGGTACGACGGAGGAGCTGTCGCAGCCGTGGCGACCCGCTGCTGCCACCGTGCCGTCGGCAGATCTGGAGCCACAGGCTGCGCCACCATCAGTGGCGGCGGCAGCGGCCGTGTCGGTTGTGTTGTTGGGGCCAGGCATTGCAAGACACGGCTGGATGTTGTTGGTGTCATCCTTGCTAGGGGGCTCTGGCAACTCCTTGCCACGGAACAACAAGCGGCCGCCGCGTGTCCCCACCTCACGTTCCACAGTATCTACGTCCCCGTCACCAAGCAGTGGCTGCACCTCTTGCTGCTGCTGCTGCTGCTGCGGCGGCGGCGGCGGCGGCTCAATCCTGCACACCGCATGGACGTCCACATCAGCGGCCTCCAACCAGCCGCCCCTCGCTGGCGTGTAGCCCAAGCAACCAAGCCAGGCCCCCGCCGCCGCCGCCGCCGCGGTAGTGCTGTCGGAGGTACTTGCAGCGGCCGCCTCCGCCGCCAGGCGTTCAGCAGGCAGCAGCAGATTGTCGTACGGCACATGTTGTCGTACGGCAATGCCATGCGCCGCCGCCGGTGTGAGGGCGAGCAGAAGGGTCCTGACGCCGCATGCAGCTAGCGCGGCCTCCACGGCTTGGAGCAGGAGCGCGGCGGGTTCGGCCGAGGTGTGGCGAGGGTGGATGGCGGGAAGATGGAGCTGTGGGAAACACGTGGAGATGCAGAACGGGAGGAGAACGGAGGGAGGGCGTTTGAGTACCGGTAAGAGACGGCAGCGCTAGCGATAGCGGTGATCCTTGACTAGCTTAGGATAGCGAACAAGGCCCGCGAACAACCCCTAAAACCCTAAAACCCTAAAGCAGAACAAAGCGTATGCCCCCTAACACTGCTGCCAAGGTGACGCATCTTCGAGTCAAGAGTCAACCACTCACCACAGCCAGGCTGCTGCCGTACGTTCGGACCGGCATCACCGCGCCTATGCGACCATCCACCCACAGTACAGCACAGCGCTCCATGCACCTAGGCCAACCGCCGCCGCCACCGCCTCCGCCGCCGCAGTCATCCGTACCGCAGCCGCCGGCAGAGCCGCCGGCACGACCGCCGTCGCCGTCTTCGCTGTTGCAGTTGCTGTGTCTGGAAAGCGGCGGAAACCACCACTCCAATCCACCCAGCAATCCTCCAGCTGACTGGCATTCAAACCGCCCAAGCAGGGACAGCTGCTCGGCCAACCCGGCGCCGCTGCCGGGGCCTGAAGCAGCAGCCCCGCCACCACCGCCGCAGTTGCCTGAAGCCCCGGCAGCAGCAGCAGCGGTTGCAGCGGTTGCAGCTGTAGCAACGGTGCTGGGGGCAGCAGGACGCGAATGGGGTTGCTGCAGGGGCTCGTAAGAAGCCCTTTCCGCAGGAGGCGTCAAGGTAGGCGGTGGCAGTGGCTTGTCCCGAGGCTGCTCGGTGGCAGCAGGAGGTGATGAGGTGGAGGGTGGGGACAGGCATGCCTCCAGGTCACGCAGGTGTTGCTCCACCTCCTGCGGGGTGATGGCCGCAAAGTTGATACTACTTATCGGCAGTTGTACGGTTAAGGGAAGGGCGGTCGGTAAGAGGAAAGAAGGCCAAAAGGGCGTATCCATTGCACTTCTGTACCCATGGGTACAGCAATGGGAAGAAGGAGATTTAGGAGCAGTAAGTGATGACAATCAAGCTCTAGGGACCTAGGGAAACGTAGTACCGGTACGCTCGCGCCTCAGCTGCACCCTGTTTCACTCCCGCGTGGGTAAGCCTGTGACGTTCAAGCGCTGGTCAGGTACCGGTATGCCCGGGCTTCACCCCCCAAACCCACCGCCTGTAGGTCTTCATCGTCCAAGCCCCAAGCCTCGCCGCCGCTACCCTCGCCGCCGGTGCTTTCTGCTCGCTGCGCAGCCGCTGCCGACCCCCTCGCCACCACCGCAACACTGCTGCCGGTACTGCCGCCGCCTGCGCAGACCGACGCCGTCCCGCCCGGCGGCCAGACACCGAGCAACTGCCACTCCACCAAACCTGCGCTCGCGCCAGCCAACCCCGAACCGCTGCTGCTCCTCTTCCGCCTCAGAGTCAGGGGCTGACAGCCACGGTGTTGCAGCCGCTGCAGCTCACTTACCAGCGTGCAACATTCACTGCTGCACAGGAAGCTGCTCCTGACCCTGCCGTACATCGCCTCCTCCGTTGGGCTCCCATTTGTTACCCTAGCTCCGGAACCGCCGTCATAAGGACGACTGCGGCTCCTGTGGGGCGTGATGCCGCCTGCGGCCCCAGCAGCAGCAGCAGCTGCTGCTATCTGGCTTGCCTCCAGTCGTTCAGCGACCTCTTGAGTGGTCAGGCAGCCCACATGACACGGCCGGCCGCAGCAGCTGCAATGCACGACAGAAGGGGCTGCGTTGACGCCTGTGCTGGCGGCCGCGGCGGCGGTGGCGGTGACGGCAGCAACAGCGCTGCCCGCTGCTGCTGCTGCCCTTGTAGGCGAATCAGGTACCGGTCTATCCGCCACCGGTCCGAGTGCTCCGGTAGATGCTGCTGGCACGTCTGGCGGTGTTGTTGCTGGTGCCACTGCAGGCGTGAGTGATAAGGGGGGTGCGGTCGGCATCGCTGCCGCTTCACCTGCAGCTGCAGCAGCAGCATCCTTTGTCGCCATGGCAGCATTGCACTCGAAGCCAGCGCCGCTGACGTGGCCGCCCATGCCGCCACTGCCGCAAGCAACAGCACCGTCGCCGCCGTCACGGGCAGCAGCAACGGGGCCGTCGCCTGGTGCGGTGTCGCCGTCGAGCGCCGCCCACACGTCCTCATCCACAAAGGTGGTCGCTGCCACATTTCGAATAGCCCTGGGGAGAGTTGGTGGCGGTGTACGACAAGAGGTGGTTGGAGAGTAAAGGGGACATGAGAATCGCAGACAAAGAAAAGCCTAAGGAGGCGAGATGGCAGTGATGCCAGGTACCGGAAGATTTCTACAGTAAGCATCATACCGCACGCGAGGGACTCTATTGCATCAGGTGCACTCATGGATGACAACTTCCAGCTCACAGCTCCTCCTCATGACGCAGCCTCTGCGTCGTCGTTCACAGTGTGTGCCACCGAGCAACCACACCAGGACGCACCATGACTTTCGCCCGAAAGCTGCACGAAGGCCCGAAGCAGGTGAAGCAGCTCCTCCTCCTCCTGGCCCCGCTGCTGCCGCCTCCGCCACCGCCACGCTTGCTCCTGCTGCCAAGGCCCGAGTCCGTCCTGAGCCCCCATCACCACCAGCACCAGCGGTGGCGACTGTCCCGTCAGCGCCGGCACCAGCACAAGCACGGGCTCGAGCGGAGCCCCCTTGCTGCGCCTTGCGCTGCTGCAGGAGTCGCAACCGTTCGAGGGCGTTCAGGTGAGGGCGCTTTGCAGGGCGCTGGCCAGCGCTTGCCGCCGCTTCTGCCGCTGCCGCTGTTGTTGTTGTTTCAGCCTGGTCTGCACCTGCCGCCTGCTGCTGCTGCTGCTCCGGATGAGCTGATTGCTCCTGATGCTCTTGGTGCGATGGGGCATGTGAGCGCTTCTCGGGTTGTTCGGGATGGGGATCCATGTCGTCCTGGGCCGTCCGTTTGCGGCCGTTGGGCAGTGCGTCTGGAAGCTGGGTGCCTTGCTGATCCTGCACCCTGCACGCTAGCGCAAGCGATGCCTGCGATGTCGATGGTGCTGTAGGCTGCAGGTGACGGTGTTGCCGGAGGTGGTGGTGGCGGTGGTGGTAGCGATCCAGGCAGCAGGGGCAGCAGCGGTGGCGGTGTCAACTGCCCGAGTGCAGAGGACCCCGTGGGTGCGCAGCTCCGCTCCTCACAGCAGTACTCGGTCAATCGGCGCCGCTTGCACGCCGGGGTCCCAGCAGCGGACTGCTGCAACTCCGACGTGGCTTCGGGCGCCAGGGTCGGTGGTGGCGGAGGCAGTGGCGGTGGCGGCATGGCTTCCTTGCCGTACAACTGTATTGATGCCAGCCTCAAGGCGGTACGGCAGCCCTGCGAGTGGGGCACACGTCAGATGGGGCGTTTGAAGATGAACCCGAGCTATAAGCCTGGAACCGTTGTTTAGGTTTGGGTTTAGGGCTCGTTCTGCCGTACCGCAATCGAGGCCTAGAGACGTGCGCTAGAAACGGTACGGTAACCACGCATGGCGGATATGGTGCAGGCAAGCATGCAAATCAGAAAGGAAACCAGCCAGCCAGCCTCCAAGCCACTCTCAAGAGCTCCTGGTGTCCTTCGCCTCTCACACCTGCTGAGGCCTAGCCTGCTGCCCTGCTGCCGTCATCAACCGCCATAACGCCAGTTGCGCTGCATGTGACCGCCGCTGCCCCGTGCCCGGAGCCGGCAGGGCATCAAGCTCCGAAACCAGGACTGCTTCAGGCGGAAGGGGTGGTTGCAGTGGCAACAGCGTGCCAGGGTTCAGTATCGTACGGTTGCAAGGCTTTGCGCAGCGTATGCATCGACATGCGGGGCAGAACCAGCCGCTACCGTCGCCTGTGCTGGTGCTGATGCCCAGCCTTGCACCAGTGTTGTAGCACTCGCAGGCGTCGCTCCTTGTCGACAGTGACGGATTCGGCAGCGTCTGCATGCGGCTTGTGGCTTGTATAGCTAGTGAAGGCGGCAGCTGCGGCGTTGGCGGGCAGGGGTCAGACATCGAAGCTCCTGTGGGTTCGCCATTGCTGCGTGGGCTAGCAGGGAGCCGAGGAAGGCCGAGATGGATATTGTCTGTTGGGCGCGCCTCGGGGCTGAATAGCTGGGCACATGAAGGGTGGTGGCATGCTCCGCAGCAGTTGCAGGATAGCAGTTTTCCCGCCTGCAGGTGAGGAGGCGAGGGACCGGTGCCACGCATGTTGCCTGATTTGCAGCCGTGGGCGTGGCATGACGCCGAGTTGCAGAGCCCCATGCGCACTTTGCAACCCTTCATGGACCCGAGCCAACCAATCCGGAACGTGTGCCTTAACTAGGCAACGCCAGGGTTGCTCCTTTCACCTAAAGGCAACGGACGCCCTATTCTACCCTCTTGGTTGACTTCCTCCGCAGTCCGTGAAGCGTCCTGGCGGCACTCTTAGCGCAACTGCCAGCTACTTTCAGAGTGCCTGTCGAAGCCTTGACTGCAGCTCCCGCCGCTGCTGCTCCAATGGCCTTGCCCCTTTCCATTTGCAAAGCCCTGACGGACTGAACTGCGCCGTTGGCACCAGTGCGCACCAGCCAGACCGCTCCGGAAGAAGCAGCAACTGCCACTGATAACGCAATGGTTTTGCATTTCTCAGCGGGCGGAGCCTTAACCCATTCCTGAACTGCGTGCGACCGCACGGCCTTGTATGTACCGAAAGCTCCTGCTGCGGCTCCGCAAACAGCAACAGTGCCAATGGTCCCAGTAACGGCAGCGCTCGCCACAGTGCCGCCCATCGAAAAGCTTTGCAGGGCTGAATAGAGGCTGCCAGCTGCGACTCCTCCCCCCTTTTCAGCGGCAGCTGAAGACATCCATTTTGCCGCCAAAGAGCCAGCAGCTGGTCCCGCCGCTGCAAACCCTACAGCATTGGATGGCGCCTGAAAGCACCGCGGCGCCAACACCACAGGCCGCTGCGGTTAGACCTTCAAGTATCATTGTCAGGTAAAAACATTTTATGCAGCAAAGCCAGCCAAATGATTAGAGTCGTGCAAGAGGTCGCCTTGTAGAAATTGCTTCCAGCCTTCACAGCAAAACTTCTACTGTGATTTGCGTAAGCACTCAAGGTATGTTCTTTGGCGCTGGTCGTCCATATACAAGGTGGTGCCATAACTGGCAACTTCGTACGGCCGTTTGGAGGTCCGGCAAGAAAGTTTGAGTTTTACATGCAACATAATCAGGCGGCTACAAGCCAGGAAAGCGTGTCCTTGGGGTGCACTCGATTGCACCAGTCACAAGAAATTCTGCACATGCACATTTGCGGCCTTCCCTACTGCGCGCCCGACCTCGGAAGCTCGTCCAAATCACGTGCTACCGAACACCGGCAATCTTCTTCTTCCCTTCTTCTTTCCTTGACACAAGTGTTGTAAAGGTTACACCTTCGCGTATACTATTGGTACAGGTCATTCTCCCTTCGGCTTTTAGGCAATTTGCAGGGACCGGGTCTATATTTTTCCCCCCTTGGGGACCCCCGCCAGAGACCCCATTTCGGGCCTAAAAACAGTTCAAGGGGCACAATTCGATGAGTTCTACTACCCCCGGGGTATCTCGGGCCCGGGAGGGGTATGAGGTACAGAACTATAGTTCCGCACCCCTCCTGCAATAGGTATTAAGTAGCTTTTTTGGTTGCAGCCCTGAACAAATGCAGGTGATACCGGTAAACCGCTTAGCTTAAATATGATCAGAGTATTAACGCATTAACAGAAAACATAGCTTAAAGGAGTATGTTTCAAGAAGATTGCCGGTGTTCGGTAGCAAGTGGTTGGACGAGCTTCCGAGGTCGGGCGCGCACAGGGTACGAGCGGTAACTGCTGGGCCCTTTGCGGAAAGTTTCCGCATTCCATGGCCCTTTTCGGAAACCTGGCGAAACCGGCGAAACATGGCGAAACCTCAAAATGCTATTTTATAGCCAAGAAATCCGTCCTATTGCATTGTTATACAATCCTTATGATACCTTTACGCCCTCCTAGCAATGCTCCCCACAAAACGCCGGTCAATTCAGCCCCAAACTGATAGAGAACTGGGGAGGGTTGTGCATGTAAGTGCTCTGGGAGGTGTCGGTTGCATGGCCGTTACCTAGCGATCGCAGAGACTCCCCATTTCTTAATGTGGTAAGCAGTCCAACCTAATTCCAACCTAATATCAGACACCGCATGCTTGCCTCCTAGCGGTCTCCTTGTTTGACTTTCCGCCGTACAGCCTGTGCGGAAAGTGGCGGAACCGGTTCCGCCTTTCCGCAAAACTGGGACCGCTGATGCGGATACTGCGGATACCATTTCCGCAGGTTTCCGTTTCCGCACGTTTCCGTTACCGCTCGTACCCTGGGCGCGCAGTAGGGAAAGGCCACATTTGCCCAGAAGACCGCGGCGCGTGCACAGCTCATTGTCATATGTGAAGGGGCGGGACTTTTATGTGCGACTTCATGGGACTGTAAGTATCACTGGATGCGTAAGCTTTGCGTGTCCACTCCCGAATGCACTCGCATGACGCCCTTGTGCGGCTTCTGGCTCTCAGCCGACTTTGTTCATTATTGAGTAACGTCCTAGGACAAAACCCAAATACAATTCTTGTAGGAAAGAGCCAAAAGACGCAGCAAAGTGTAGGTGCGGCTCGATTGCTCAGTTGACAGCTTCCAAGAAAGCGAGGAAGCTAGCCTAACCAGCTGAGCTAGTTTGCTAGCCAGTAAAACGTTGTTTTAAAAAGATGCTTTTCCCGTTTGCAAACGTCCACGTGCAAGGGCGCAATTCCGTACGGGCGCAATTGTCCTGACGGTAACCTGCACGCCGCCATGGGGGGCACAAAGCGCGAGGCTGTCTCGTGGTCCCAAACGTTGACATCGGTCCATCTTTTGACATCGCTCTTGACTCGCCCGGCTCGCAGGCGCACGAGATGTTCAATATCTAGACGAAATTTTAGCATTTGCCTAACATGCAGCAGGCTACGCTTTCAGAATTGCCTAGCGCTGCACTGCACCGTTTCCCAGGTGCACCTCGACCAGGTATAGATATAGACATTTATGAAAAAGATGGCTTGCAATATGTCAGCAGCTCGTCAAGAGCAAGCAAGGGAGCGAGCTTCCTCCTTATCAATGACGTCAGTGACGTAGCAGGGCGCAGCTTCCACGCGGCATTCAAGGGACAGTGCCACATAACAAAACCAAGTATGCAGCTGGCTGCCGGGTTCTCCATGGCGAGTGGTGCTCCGCTCCGCTGGCCCCCGCCCAGACGTGGCGTGCCCCGCCGTGACCAGGCACTAGGCAAGGTGATCGGGCTACACTACTCGCTGATTCCGCTGGTTGACATGTTGCTGGAGAAGTACACAGCGGAGGTGGAGCGAGTCAAGGTGTCGGTCTGCGAAATGTCAGCGGCAGCTGCGGGCTCGGAGTCCGCAGCTGCACATGACGACCCTGGGCTTGTTCTAACTGAAGACTGGCTGGAGCCATCGGATGGCCTCATGGTGTGGGTGGCGTACGCGCTGCGGGAGCTCAGCAAGGCGCCTGGAGAGCCACCTTCCATCCAGACGACCGCCTGGCTGCTACTGGCGTCCATCTGTGCAGCCGACATGACCTTTGACGAGCTCCTGTCGGAGCCGGACCTGGCGGCCTGGGCGCTGGCGGCCATGGAACGGTACGAGCCCCCAGAGGGTGACCCCCTGGCCGAGTCGGACTGCTGGCACGTGGAACTGCAGCTGCGCCAGGCGCTCACCGCCGCCGATCCTTCTTGTCCAGTCAAAGAGGTGCGTTGTCGCGTTGACACGCTGGTTTGCTCGCTTTGACCAAGGAACGGTCATAACAGTGCGTGGTGTACTCAGCTTGCATCACACAGGACCTTGGACAGCTGCACCTGAGCGACTATCCGCCGAGACTGCTGGTCGGAGCACACATCCCGCGTGTGCAGGCAGACCAGCTCATGCTGGACGCGGTGACGGAGAGCCTGAAGGGTTCACGCGATTGGACGGCGTTGCACCCCAGGGTGCAGGCCATCTACGCCTGCGGATTGGCGTGCGTGGTGGTGGAGGTGGACGCGGGCCCCCTGAACCGCATCAGCCAGCCACCGCCCCTCTGTCTCAGGCTGGACACCACTGGTGGCTGCTCGGCTGCACAGGAGGAGGACGTGGACGCGGACGGTTGGTTTGTGTTCACAGACGCCCTTCAAGACGACGCGGCCTGCATTGAAGCCGGCTGTGACGGAGCACTCGCAGTGGGGAAGCCATGGGGCGTTTGCAGCAGCGGGGAACACGAACTGCACATCGCCATCCCCCCGCTGGACGTGGACGCCGTGTTTGGGGCGCTGCCCACCCGGTGCAAGGCCGAGGTCAGGCGTGAGAAGCGTCGGTGCAAAAACCGGTCCTCCTGGACCAACCCCGAGTGCTGCTACTGTCATCTGGACACAGACCGGTTCCCCGATTGGACTGCTTAGCCTAGGGCTTCAGGCCAACCAGGCCAACCAGTACGTGGCTCGGGACAAGGCTAGCGCTGTTGCGATTGCAATTTGCCGCGTCAGTTACATCAGTTGTGTGTTTCACTGCCAGCATGGGTAAGCAAGCCACCCTCACCAACAGGGGAGTGTTGTGTAAGAAGCGTGGAAGAGGTGTTATCGGGAGGTATGTGATTGTGTGCGTGGAAGGCTGTAAAGAGGCATGGGAAGGAATTTGATGCGGTATGGAAGCCGTTTACAGGGATAGTAGGAGGGGTTGGGAAGTTCATCGGTTAGGTTAGGGGCGTGTGGGGCAACGAGTGGGTTGCCCCCACAGCAGACTGAGAGGGCTGTCCTGTTAGCAAACAGAGAGAACTCTGCTGTGACGAATAGTAGTGTCTCCAATAATCAGACTGTGGTGTCAGAGAGGGGTGTGGGGCAACCTTCGTTGCCCCCACGTCTGATGGCCAAAGTACTAATGATTAACGCTTTTTGCGCACCATTGCTTGAAACGTTGTTAACATTTCCTTTCGGGGCATTACAGGTGATAATCGCATGTCCACTACGTCCCAACGGTCACATTCAACAAAGCCGGCTTCACTTGAAACCCATGAACGCGTCCCTCGCATGCCTGCGAGTCATGACAAGATTTGAACAACCACGTACCGTAAGAACAATCCTCTTCGAGACAAACCTACTATCAGGGTCTTCAGTAACGTCACGAACATCATCACAAGCAGCAACCGCCACGCGCAGTGTTTGTACAGAAACCGTACGGAATCGCTCCGAAACCCTACATCAGCATCGACAAGCATTGGTTTACAGCCTGCGAACACACGCCCCCCGAGGAGGTACGAAACCCACCCAGAACCTGAACGAGCTATTACAGAGGCAACCGGACAGCCTCCACGTTCAAAAGCGGACAACACAACTGATAACAACCAATACAAGTTGACGGCTTTCGCAGCCTGTGTGCGGTATGCATGTACTTACTGACGCGGCATACCGCTGCCCTCCCACGCATCCTACTCCACCCATTACCAGAACCGCCACCACCCTAGCCCCGCTTGGTGCCATACCCCTCGTCCTCTTCCTCCTTCGGATCGTCCTCATCCTGGTAGCCCCGCTCCTGCCCCTGCAACCAAACCGTCATTGAGCAACCTCGCCCTCTTCCTCATCCTGCGGTTGGCAGCAACAACGCCGCAGAGGCGGCGCTGACCCCAACTGCCACCAGGCTGTGTGCCATCAACCAACAGCTGACACAGCCGTTCATGCGGCTGGCTGCGTTGCGCAGGTTGGGATGCTAGCGGCGATCCCCGTACTCCTAGGACGACCGCTGCTGCTGCTGCTGGTGCTGCTGGTGCGGTTGCTGCTGCTGGTGCCGTCCTGCTAGGGACCCATCATGGCCCTCTTCCTGCTGCCGCTGCCGCTTCCCCTCATCATGCCGCTCCAAACGCTCTCGCCGCTGCTGCCGCCACTGCTGCCGGTCCTCCTCAGCCCCATCCCAACGCTCCCACCTCTCCTGCCGCTGCTCAGAATGTTGCTGGTGCTGCTGCTCCCGCCCCCGCCCCTGCTGGCGGTGTTGGAAGCGATCATGCGGCGCATGGAACACCCGACCGCCGCCCCGCTGCGGCCCACCACCGGGATGATGCTACATCCGCCCTCCACCACCACCATATTCGCCACCACCACCACCACCACCACCACCGCGTGTCCATCCGCGTCCTCGACCCATGGGTCCGCCGCGAAAGGGCCCAAACCTGCCTCCACGATGCCCCCATGCACCTGGCCCTCCTCCGGGTCCTCCTGACCTCCCTCCTGCTCCTCGACCCTGGTACTGCCGGCCTGACCACACTTCCCCGTGTGCACGATGGTGCTGATGACGTGGCCCATGGCGGGCCGCAGCAGGAGCAGCCCCAGCGGCACCTTTCCAACGAGATCCCAGCGGGGGCCACTGAGGCGACCTGGATCTTGATCTTGTTCTTGATCGTGACCTGGATCTTGATCTTGATGTTGATGTTGAACCGGTATTGGACTTGGATCGCCGTCTGCGCTTGGAGCCCTTGTTGGCTTCGGATCCGCTGCTCGTGCTTGATGTGCTTGCGGAAGTACGGGAACCAGATTTGCTAGAGGAGCGCCTGCGAGACGATGGGCGAGAGGAGGAGCGTTCCGAGGAGCTGCTGCTGCTGCTGCGGCCGTTGCGAGCGCGGCTGCCTCCTGCTGCTCCGTTCCGGATGATGCGGCGGCGGCGACGTGGCTCCCGCGAGGGTGAAGATGCGGAACGAGAGGAGCTGTCGGAGGTGCGGCAGCGGCGGTGGTGGAGGAGGCGGCTGCTGCCACCAGCGCGGATGCAGGGAAGTGCTCCACGATACCCTGGGTAACGGCGAGGGCTGGGTGAAGGGGGACGAGGAGAGGAGGAGGGCCGTTCCTTGCTATGTCTGCGGGTCCCTCCGTTGGGTTCTTGACAACGCGGCTGGGACCTGCGGGTGCCACAATGATTTCAGAAAACACGAAAATGAGGTTGTGGCCGAATGAGCGCCAACCGTAAACACTAATGGCCCAGCCGCAGCGTACGAGAAAAGCAACAAGAACGCAAGCAGGGTCCAGGACCCATGCCTGTCATGCCATGTTATGTTACGTCGTACATCACATGGCCTACAAAAGCAAAACCCACCTAGGCTTGGATCTAGATCCCGGCAGTTGGGATCCTGATCTGCTACCAGACCGCGTCCTGCTTCTCTTCCTCCTCATCTTGCTAGGAGACGGCGATCGGGATAGCGGCCGCCCCTCACGAGAGCAGCGCCCGCGTGCGCTGGTGTGTGGGCCGGTCCTTGCTGAAGGGGAATCCCGCGGTCTAGTTCTGGTTCTGGTTTTGAATCCACCCTTGGATCCATGGGATCTTGTATCCGAATCTTGATCTGACGAGCTGGATGGAGACTCTGATGACGACGAAGAAGAAGAAGATGACGATGAGGAAGAGGAGGATGACGACGTGGACTTGCTAGTTGAGGAAGGAGTGGAGCGGGAGGAGGTGGGCCTGCTTTTGGGGGCTGCTTTCGGGCGAGCTTCTGGGGCATGAATCTTGTCGCCGCCTCCGTTGCCTTTGCTGCCTCCGCTGCCGTTGGGATGTACAGCCGCCGCAGCCGCCACCGCTACTGTTGCTGTTGCTGTTGCTGCTGCTGCTACTGTTGCTGTTACTGTTGCTGTTACTGCTGTTGCGATCACCACCTCCCCCGTCGCTGCTACCGCCGCCACTGTCGTTTCCGCAGGTTCCCCGCGGAACCGCGCAGGTTCCCCGCGGGGCAGGTTCCCCGCGGCAGCACCTCCGCCTCCACCGTCTCCGCCCCCGCCTCCACCGCCATCGCCATCGCCGCTAGCCTGGCCGGTTCGAGCGGGCTGCCTCAGGTGCGGCGGTAAGCAGCGTTGCTCCCTGTCCTTGCATCCAGCCGCCGGCGACATCGCACCCCCGGTGGCAGCAGCCCGAGTCTCACCCTCCATTGGGGCCCTGCTGGGTGGCTGGGCACCGCTCACCCCACCCTCGTCCCGCGGCCTTACCCCATCGTCGGAGCCTTCCCGCAAGCCGCCAGCAGTCCGATCCTGGCTTCCATCCGCCTCTGGCCGGTTGTTCTCATGGGGGCCGGAGTCATGGGATTGGCGCTGGGGGACCCATGGGTCGGTCCCTGGGACACGGCCAGGGCTTGGCAGACGTTGCGCAGGGCCTTGCTGCTGCTGTTGGTGGTGGTGGTTGCGGTGCTGCTGCCAGTGGCTTTGCAGGTCGCGATGTGGGCTCCCTGCCGGCCCTTCACGTGAACCTCGTCCCCCTCGTCCTCCGTGAAACCAGTTGCCGTACTGCCGCTGCCGCGATTGTTCCCCATGCTGCAGGCCGTACGACTGCCCGCCCCCATGCGGCCCTGTTGCCGTACGGTCAAAGCGACCCAGGCGCCGCTGCTGCTGCTCCCTTTCCTCGTCTTCAGGCAATGCGGCTACATCATCCACACATGAGGAGGCGCGAGGACGTCGCTCCTCAGGACCTCCATGCCTACTACCACCACCACCACAATCCCCATCACCGTCGCCGCCGCCAGTATTACGCTCTGGAAAGGGTAGCTGCGAGTCATGCCGCTGACCTGCATCACCGCCCCGCGCTGCTGTCAGCCGCTGATCGGGGCAGCTCACCCCTGGTTGCTCTCGCTCTTCCAGCAGCAGCGACTGGCCCAAGGGGTCCAGCTCCCACCTGCCTGGAGATTCCGGCTGCGGCGCGCTGCGGCGGCGGCTGTGGAGGTGCGCCGGGCAGTTGTCCATGTCTGCCGTGTGGCCGCGGCTAGGGCCGTCATGCCTGCCGCCCCAGCCGCGGTGATCCTCCTCATGTCGGTCACGGTCACGTTCATGTCCAGTTAGCTGCGGGTGCGGGTGCGGGTGCGGGTAGGGCCGGTTGTGATGAGCTGGGAACGGTCGCAGCCGCGGCGAGCAGCGACCCGTGTCCCACTGCTGTTGCGGCTGATGCGGCTGCCTGTGCGGCTGGTGGTGGTGGTGTGTTCCCCAGTCGCCACCACCAGCAGCACCACCTGCTGCTGCCCTGTCCCCGTCCCTCTCATCTTGGGATTCATGGCGACCAGCTGACCCCCACTGGCGCGCCTCGGTTGGATTGGTGGGCTGCTGCCGGCTCTCTGCCGGAAGCTGGGCATGAGCCCCGACGATGCAGCCGCCTCCCATGTCGCCCCAACGACCGGGATCCGGGGGGTGACTGTCGGGGTGCTGCTGGTCCCAGCGGCTCCTCCGTTGCCGCTGCTGCTGCTGCTGCTGCCGCGGTGGCTGCTGCTGCTGCTGCTGCTGCGGGCCGTGTGGGTGGGTGTTAAGGGTGCGTTGCCCGGGGCCATCCTGCGCCTCCAGCTGCACCGCTCCCTGCCCTCTCTCCTGCTGCTCTACTAACAGCCGTCTCACCCGCCATGACTCACTGCCCTCTGGTGAACTGTACTGCTGCAGGCGTGGGTCCGGTCCGTGGTGGGGGTCTCCGCGCCACCAGGACTGCTGAGGGTTTGTCCGAGGATGTGATTCCCTGGGTCGTTGCGTGTCTTCTTGGTGGTGGTGAAGGCGGCGACGGTAGGGAGCTTCAGCGGTGGTGTGGGCTTCGTCGGCGTTGGAGGGCGGCCGGTCGGAGTGGCCGGGCGGAGGACAGCCGTCCCGCGCCAGGAGCTCCCTGTGGACGGTGTTAGGCGGGGCGCAAGGGGGCAGAGCTAAGAGCGGCGACGCTATAAATGGCAGCAGGATGACCCAGGGGACTAAACGTTCAAAGACACGTCGCTTGTCCGGGCATGACATGTCGGTACGATGCAAGCAGAGGGGATGCAAAGTATCAGAGACCGAAAGAGTGCCCCCGGTTGTCACCCAGATACGCTGCCGCTGCAATGCAAGGCAGCACCCGACACAACCCCGCACCTGTGCCGCTGTCGCCATGCCTCCAGCCGTCGCTGTCTCTCGTCTCCAGGCCGACCCTGTGCTGCTGCTTCCAGCGGGCGCACAGGCCGCCGGCCGCCACTCGCTTCCCCACCACCACCACCAGCCTCGTCCTCAGATCCGAGCTGCCGCATGCCCTGGCGACCATCCTCCGCCCTCCCTCGCCGCACGCCCCGGCGCTCTGCCGATGCCGCCTCAGCGGGTGGGGACTTGATGGTTCGCACAGAGGCGGGTGGTTGCTGCTGGGAGTCATTCACCCGCTCGCAACCAGCCCTTGTGGCCGCCTCGCCACCATGAAGCAGCAGCTTATCACGTCGCCCACCGCCTCCGCCTCCTTTTCCTCCTCCTCCTCCTCCTCCTCCTCTTCCGGAGCCGCCGTTGCCGTTGCTGCGAACGTCGTCGCTCGCCGCAACAACGCGCCCTGACTTCTCCTCCTCCTGCTGCTGTGGCGGCGGTGGCGGCAGCTGCTCCGCTTCCTGGTCGCCCTGCTGCTGCATGGCTTCTTCTTCATATTGCTCAATGTACTCCTCGTCGTCGCACATTGCCAGCGGATCCGCCTCCTCCTCGCAATCAGCCCCAACCCCCTCAACCCCCTGATCCGCAGCACCAGCAGCCCCATTGCCCAGCCCAGCCGTGCTGGCGGCAGGGGAGCGGGAGCGCCCAGCTTCCCCAACAGCAGCAGCAGTACCCCGCTCAGGCCGCGTATCAGACCTGCTGGCGTCTGCTGCAGCTGCCGTACCCCCAACAGCGACAACACCGTGAGTGACGGCGGTGTCATGGACGGCAGAGGTGTCAGGCGGTGCTGTATCCTCCTCATTGCGGAGCTGCCTGTCCTCCGGGCTGCTCATGCCGCCATGTGCCGCAGCACCGCTGACGGCGGGAGCGTCTGGGGGTCCGTCTGGGGGTCCGTCGGAAGCCGCCGCCACACCAGCACGAGAGGAATGATGATTACCATCATTACGACTATGGCCGCCCGAGGCGCCTCCGACGCGTGTGTCTCCGGCTCCGGCTCCGCCGCGGCTAGCAGGGCCGCCATCGCCGGTTTCATCGCCGCCGCCGCCGACGCCGACGCCAGCAGCACGCCCGAAGCCAGCTTCAACCGGGTCGCTGGCACTAGCACCCCGGGTATCAACCGCGGTGTCGCAGCTAGCGGATTCAATCGCACCGGCGGCTTCACCTTCATCATCATCACGCACCACAGGGGTGCCGCTACCGTTGCCGTCGCCGCCAGGGTTCACTGCCGTACCAACCAACAGCGGTCCAACAGCCGCTCCAACTGTGGCGGTGGCAACTGCCGTGTCGGTTGTGTTGTTGGAGCCAGGCATTGCAAGACACGGCTGGATGCTGTTGGCGTCATCCTTGCTGGGTAGCTTTGGCGACTCCTTGCCAGAGAGTAACAAGCGACTGCCGCGTGTCCCCACCTCACGTTCCACGGTAGCTACGTCCTCGTCACCAAGCAGTGGCTGCACCTCTTGCTGCTGCTGAGGCTGCTGCGGCGGCGGCGGCGGCTCAATCCTGCACACCGCATGGACGTCCAGGTCAGCGGCCTCCAACCAGCGGCCCTTCGCTGGCGTATAGCCCAGGCAACCAACCCAGGCCTCCGCCGCCGCCGCCGCGGTAGTGCTGGCGGAGGTACCTGCAGCGGCCGCCTCCGCCGCCAGTCGCGGCGGCTCGTCACGTCGTTCAGTAGGCAGCAGCAGATTGTCGTACGGCACAGGTTGTCGTACGGCAATGTCATGCAACGCCGCCGGGGTGAGGGCGAGCAGGAGGGTCCTGACGCCGCATGCAGCTAGCGCGGCCTCCACGGCTTGGAGTAGGAGCGCCGCGGGTTCGGCAGAGGAGTGGCGAGGGTGGATGGCGGGTAGGTGGAGCTGTGGGAAACAAGGAGATGCAGAACGGGAGAAGGAGGGGGGGCGTTTAGGTACTTGTAATGGACGGCAGAGCTAGCGATAGCGGTGATTCTGGACTAGTCTAGGAAGCGAAACAAGGCCCGCCTAAAGCAGGACAAAGCATGCTCCCTATAACTGCTGCTGTCAAGGTATGACGCACCTCCTTACCAACCACTCACCACAGCCACGCTGCTGCCGTACAATCGGACCGGCATCACCGCGCCTATGCGACCATCCACCCACAGCACAGCGCAGCGCTGCATGCACCCAGGCCAACTGCCGCCGCCGCCGCAGTCGGCCGTACCGCCGTCGCCGTCTTCGCCGCTGCAGTTACTGTGCCTGGAAAGCGGCGGAAACCACCACTCCAATCCACCCAGCAATCCTCCTGCTGAACGGCATTCAGACCGCCCTAGCACGGGTAGCTGCTCGGCCACCCCGGCTGCGGTGCTGGTGCCTGAAGCAGCCGCGCCGCCACCACCGCCGCGGTTGCCCGAAGCCCCGGAAGCAGCAGCAACAGCAGCAGTTGTAGCGGTTGCAGCTGTAGCGCCAGTGCTGGGTCCAGCAGAGCGCAAATGGGGTTGCTGCAGGGGCTCGTAAGAAGCCCTTTCCGCAGATGGCGAGGTAGGCGATGGCAGTGGCTTGTCCCGAGGCTGTTCGGTAGCAGCAGCAGCAGACGGTGAGGTGGCGGGTGGGGACAGGCATGCCTCCAGGTCTCGCAGGTGTTGCTCCACCTCCTGCGGGGCGATGGCCGCAAAGGCTGGTTTATCGGTAGTTATACGGTTGAGGGAAGGGCGGTTGGTAACAGGAAAGAAGGTTGGCAGGGCGGATGTGTTGCGCTTCTTTACGTGCAGGTAAAGCAATGGGAAGAAGGACATTGAGGAACCGAAACTGATGGCAATCAAGGTTTAGGACCCAGGGAAACGTAGTACCCGGTACGCTCGCGCCTCAGCTGCACTGTGCTTCACTCCCAAGTTGGTAAGCCTGTAACAATCAAGCGCTGGTCAGGCATGCCCGGGCTTCATCCCCCAAACCCACTGCCTGTAGGTCTTCCACCTCCAAGCCCCAAGCCTCGCCGCCACTACCCTCGCCGCCCCTGCTTTCTGCTCGCTCGGCAGCAGCCGCCGCCGACCCCGCCACCACCACAACAGAGTTACCGCCATGTTTGCGGCTGTCGGTACTGCCGCCGCCTGCGCAGACCGCCGCCGTCCCGCCCGGCGGCAAGACATCCAGCAGCTGCCATTCCACCACGCATGCACTCATGCCAGCCAGCCCCGAACCGCTGCTGCTCCTCCTCTTCCGCCTCAAAGTCACGGGCTGACAGCCACCGCGTTGCAGCCGCTGCAGCTCCCTTACTAATGTACGACATTCACTGCTGCACAGGAAGCTGCTGCTAGCCCTGCCGTACACCGCCTCCCCCGTTGGGCTCCCATTTGTTACCTTAGCTCCGGAACCGCCGCCATAAGGGCGACTGCTGCTCCTGTGGGGCGCGATGCCGCCTGCAGCCCCAGCAGCAGCCCCAGCAGCTGTCTGGCTTGCCTCCAGTCGTTCAGCGACCTCTTGAACGGTCAGGCAGCCCACATGACACGGCCGGCCGCAGCAGCTGCAGCGCACGACAGAAGAGGCTGCGCTGACGCCTGCGCTGGCGACCGCGGGGCCGGCGACAGTGACGCCAGCAACAGCGCTGCCCGCTGCTGCTGCTGTCCTTGAAGGCGAATCAAGTTGCGGTCTATCCGCCACCGGTCCGAGTGCTCCGGTAGATGCTGCTGGCACGTCTGGCGGTGTTGTTGCTGGTGCCACTGCAGGCGTGAGTGGTAAGGGGGGTGCGGTCGGCATCGCTGCCGCTTCACCTGCAGCTGCAGCAGCAGCAGCATCCTTTGTCGCCATGGCAGCATTGCACTCGAAGCCAGCGCCGCTGACGTGGCCGCTCATGTCGCCACTACCGCAAGCAACAGCACCGTCGCCGCCGTCACGGGCAGCAGCAACGGGGCCGTCGCCTGGTGCGGTGTCGCCGTCGAGCGCCGCCCACACGTCCTCATCCACAAAGGTGGTCGCTGCCACATTTCGAATAGCCCTGGGGAGAGTTGGCAGCGGTGTGCGACAAGAGATGGTTGGAGAGTAAAGAGGACATGAGAATCGCAGACAAAGAAAAGCCTAAGGAGGCGAGATGGCAGGGATGCCAGGTACCGGAAGATTTCTACAGTAAGCATACCGCACGCGAGGGACTCTATTGCATCAGGTGCACGCATGGATGACAACTTCCAGCTAACAACTCCTCCTCATGACGCAGCCTCTGCGTCGTCGTTCACAGTGCCACCGAGCAACCACACCAGGACGCACCATGACTTCCGCCCGCAGGCTGCACTAAGGCCCGAAGCAGGTGAAGCAGCTCCTCCTCCTCCTGGCCCCGCTGCTGCCGCCTCCGCCACCGCCACGCTTGCTCCTGCTGCCAAGGCCCGAGTCCGTCCTGAGCCCCCATCACCACCACCACCAGCGGTGGCGACTGTCCCGTCAGCACCGGCACCAGCACAAGCACGGGCTCGAGCGGAGCCCCCTTGCTGCGCCTTGCGCTGCTGCAGGAGTCGCAACCGTTCGAGGGCGTTCAGGTGAGGGCGCTTTGCAGGGCGCTGGCCAGCGCTTGCCGCCGCTTCTGCCGCTGCCGCTGTTGTTGTTGTTGTTGTTTCAGCCTGGTCTGCACCTGCCGCCTGCTGCTGCTGCTGCTCCGGATGAGCTGATTGCTCCTGATGCTCTTGGTGCGATGGGGCATGTGAGCGCTTCTCGGGTTGTTCGGGATGGGGATCCATGTCCTGGGCCGTCCGTTTGCGGCCGTTGGGCAGTGCGTGTAAAAGCGGGGTGCCTTGCTGATCCTGCACCCTGCACGCTAGCGCAAGCGATGCCTGCGATGTCGATGGTGCTGTAGGCTGCAGCGGTGACGGTGTTGCCGGAGGTGGTGGTGGCGGTGGTGGTAGCGATCCAGGCAGCAGGGGCAGCAGCGGTGGCGGTGTCAACTGCCCGAGTGCAGAGGACCCGGTGGGTGCGCAGCTCCGCTCCTCACAGCAGTACTCGGTCAATCGGCGCCGCTTGCACGCCGGGGTCCCAGCAGCGGACTGCTGCAACTCCGACGTGGCTTCGGGCGCCAGGGTCGGTGGTGGCGGAGGCAGTGGCGGTGGCGGCATGGTTTCCTTGCCGTACAACTGTATTGATGCCAGCCTCAAGGCGGTACGGCAGCCCTGCGAGTGGGGCACACGCAGATGGGGCGTTTGAAGATCAACCCGAGCTATAAGCCTGGAACCGTTGTTTAGGTTTGGGTTTAGGGCTCGTTCTGCCGTACCGCAATCGAGGCCTAGAGACGTGCGCTAGAAACGGTACGGTAACCACGCATGGCGGATATGGTGCAGGCAAGCATGCAAATCAGAAAGGAAACCAGCCAGCCAGCCTCCAAGCCACTCTCAAGAGCTCCTGGTGTCCTTCGCCTCTCACACCTGCTGAGGCCTAGCCTGCTGCCCTGCTGCCGGCATCAACCGCCATAACGCCAGTTGCGCTGCATGCGACCGCCGCTGCCCCGTGCCCGGAGCCGGCAGGGCATCAAGCTCCGAAACCAGGACTGCTTCAGGCGGAAGGGGTGGTTGCAGTGGCAACAGCGTGCCAGGGTTCAGTATCGTACGGTTGCAAGGCTTTGCGCAGCGTATGCATCGACATGCGGGGCAGAACCAGCCGCTACCGTCGCCTGTGCTGGTGGTGATGCCCAGGCTTGCACCAGTGTTGTCGCACTCGCAGGCATCACTCCTTGTCGACAGTGACGGATTCGGCAGCGTCTGCATGCGGCTTGTGGCTTGTATAGCTAGTGAAGGCGGCAGCTGCGGCGTTGGCGGGCAGGGGTCAGACATCGAAGCTCCTGTGGGTTCGCCATTGCTGCGTGGGCTAGCAGGGAGCCGAGGAAGGCCGAGATGGATATTGTCTGTTGGGCGCGCCTCGGGGCTGAATAGCTGGGCACATGAAGGGTGGTGGCATGCTCCGCAGCAGTTGCAGGATAGCAGTTTTCCCGCCTGCAGGTGAGGAGGCGAGGGACCGGTGCCACGCATGTTGCCTGATTTGCAGCCGTGGGCGTGGCATGACGCCGAGTTGCAGAGCTTACACCTTTGCAGGATTATCGCAGTAGTCATTAAGGAATTGGGGTCTTACCGGTTCGTAACAAGTGCGACAGAAAGGTGCATCCATTTGGGGCCGGATACTGTGCGGGCATTCCCAGTGATTAGGGAGCGCGCAACATAAGTAACTTAGACGTAAAAGGTATGATTATGTCCAGCTTACGCCTGGCACTGTGACCTCGATGATTAAAGCTTCGCCATCAACATGCAAGGAAGGCCAATTGTCGCGCTGCACATCAATTGCATTTACGTAGAATGATAGCTCGCACTCCCCGACATACGGCCTTCAATTAAAACATTATAAAGCCGTAACCAGGTTATTCCATGTGCGTCGCAAGTGTACTACCAGTACCAGCTTAGGAAAATCCAGGCTAATGTGTTAGAATGACAGGTCCTGCTAGCCTTGTCTCCTCTTTTTTGCTCCAATTAAGCATGATTGCGTATTACCTGGGGAAGTCGCTGTGAGCCGGCGTCTATGTACGGCACCCTGCCTTGCTCTTTTTCATTTGGCCAGCAGCTTGCTGGAATCGTGCACAACATAATACGCGTGTTTGTGGTTACTCTTAGAGTGCATCATGTGTTGACTTTAAGAACCTAGTAGAATGGCGCTGCGCTCGGCGATTGTGCAGCTCGCTGACAGCGTGGGCATTCTAGGCTTAAACCGATCATGCTGGGGTGCAAGCACTAGCAGCTCTACGCAGCAGCAGGCTTACGGACTGGGCTTTCGATTGCTGCGCACGCTTGTTGCGGGCGAGACGCACGAAGTGCTGCAGCCCTGCCAGGACACAGTAACATTAGCTAATACACAACATGAAAACCTTGGGCCCTTTCGCTCGCTTGGGGACGGCTCCTTTGGGAGCATCAGCGTGCGTGGCTACAAGAGTAACAAGCGTTCGCTGAAGCCCTTCAACACCGCGGCTAGTTGGCAAGCAGTTCAACCTCTTTTGGTAGAGCAGCGGCAGCAGCAGGAACTGCAAGGCGGTGGCCGGGCTCCCGCGCGACGTTGGCGACCTCGGCTTGGGCCTGTTGTCGACACCTGCTTGCCGCCCATCCCGGAAGTGCCGGTCCCCGCCGAGTACACACGTGTGGGTGTCATCACCGGCCAGTACAGCCTCAAGCCCGAGCGCGTCTTCGCGGTCGTGCAGCTGGCCGGCACGCAGTTCAAAGTCACCACCGACGATATCATCTTCGTCAACCAGCTGCCGGGCGTGGAAGTCAACGATGTCATCGCGCTTGACCGCGTCATGCTGCTGGGCTCCCGCGCGCAGACGGTTGTGGGACGGCCGTACGTGCCGGGCGGTGTTGTACTGGCGGCCGTGGAAGAGCACTTCCGAGACGGCAAGGTGCACGTTTTCAAGAAGAAGAAGCGGAAGCGGTATCGGAAGTACCAGGCGCCGCGGCCCAACCTGACCACGCTGCGAATTCTGCAGGTGCGGGGAATCGAACCCGCGCCTGGGGACGAGCTGGCGTTGCCGACGGAGCTGCCCATTGCGGTGACGAACGGACGGTATGAGGGGCTGCTCGGACTGCCGGCGACATCGGAGGGAGACAGCGAGGAGGCGCAGCCGGCGCAGCAGGAGGCCGTTGCGGGGGCGCAGTGAGGGTCGCTGTGAGGGCTGCTAGCGTGCGCAGCGAAGTGTCGTGCGTTGGGGCTGGCTGGCTGAACCCTGTGTGGTGGTCGTGGCGATGTGCGCGCAGGGTTTAGTGCCTGCTTTCAGAGTTTGAGCTTATTGGGTTCGGATTTGTGTTTTAATTAAGAGGTTGTGGGTGGAGAGGGTACGCGGTGGTGTTGGGTGTATGTGTAGGGGCTTAAGCATGGAAGAGGGGCGGGCTAGGACTGAAGACAGGCTGTCACACGTGGCTTAGATGGTCGGTGGAGGTTGTTAACTCCACGTAAGCATCTTAAGCAGCCGGCACCGCTGCTCTCGGCCCTTTCTCTATGGAGCAATACGGACAGGTAGTACGGACGATGGCTCGCCAGTTGGCTGTTCAGGTGTGACTGGCCAACAAAGGTTGCGTGGACTCGGAAGTTTGTAAAGTGGCTTACGAATGCTTCTCGTACTTGCAATTGTCTTATAGCCGAACACGAGATCACGTTTCCGACATGGCCGCAGCTAACACCGGCAGCACCGCCCGGCCAGCTTCCCCGGCATGCATCAATCAACAGCAGGGGCATCAAGCGAGGCATATGATGGCATGAAGGGCATCGCAGCCCGCCCTGTCTCCCCACGACAACAAACACCCTTGCGCAGCAAATCCGAAGCCACTCGGAGCCAACAGCGTGCATGCATCAGCATCTAGCACGCACGGACAAGGAACGTACCAATTAGAGGATTGGAATTTGAGACACATCATGGGCCTCTCTCCCCTTACACCTCAGCCAGGATGTCAGATTCTGACAAACATGGGGGAATAAGCTCGTGCCCTGCATGCTGCGCATGACGTACACGTACCCTGCTATCCTGATCCTTAAACACCCCTAAACGCCAAGCGCTCGACAGCATCACCAGCAAAAACAGCAGCAACCCTCCCGCTTGTTAAGCTGCCATCTCGTCGACTCTCGCCTCCATCCCGGCGTCTCCGCCATCCTTCTCCGCATCAGCAGCACTCGGCGATGTGGCCCCCGCCTTGCCTGCCGGCTCTGCAGGGGAAGCAGCAGCATGGTGGTTGTCATGTGCCGTACATGGGTCGTCACGCTTCAATCACACATCATGGCGAAACGCAACACGCATGCCAGACAAGCATCAACTGAGCGTATCAAGGCAAAAGATGCCCCACACGCCTGTGGTCCCTGGCCCGCACGTTCCGCACCGACAGCACGTCACACCACTCACCTCCTCCACCGCCCCGCTGCAGCTCCTGCTCCGCCCCCTCCCCCTCCATGCCCACATCCCCCTCCACATCCCCGTTGTGCTCCTCCGCCTCCTGCTCCTCCAGCTGGTGCGCATCCAGCTCCACACCTGGCGGCAAGGGAGGGAAGGCGGCATGGGAGGGGTGCAAGTGAAGGGTTCAAGGGGGCGCCGAGGTCAGGAAACCGAACCAAACCAAAGCCCCTCTCATAACCGCGTCTAGGCCGGCTTGTTTGGTCCCTACATGCTCGGTGACAGCCATCACAGGGCCCCCACCATGCATGTAGCATCACATCGCTCTAACATGCTCATGACCACGGCAGCACGCATACCGGTACCGGTACACAAGGCTCTGCGCTGTGCTGTGACAAGTGTCGCGCCCCGCGCACCGCACAGCGGCACCCACCCGCCCGCCTGTCCCCACCCACCCCCCATCATCGCGCACATCGGTATGCAAAATACAGGTGTATTACCTTCCAGGGCCTCATGGTCCATCTCCTCCTCCTCCTCCTCTTCCGCGCCGCCCACTCCAGCGCCCGCCGCCGCTCCCGCCCCGGCCCCCGCCGCACGCGCCTCAGCAGCGCGCTGCCGCCGCTCCGCGATGTTGACACGGCGCTGCTCCGCTCGCTGCCGCAGCTGCTCCTTCTCCACCTCCAACTCCGCCAGAACCGCCTCCTGTTGGGAGTTTTGGTGGGTTAGGTGGGTAAGTTAGAACAGCAGTTGGGATTGGGGGTTTTAATAATGCCGGAGGTTATGCTCCCAGGAGGTTGCCGTACAGCCCGCGGTGTGATCGGTGCGTGGTGTGGAAATTGCACACAACCGAAACACCGTAGGGAGTGGGTTTTGATGGCTTTTTGTTTTTGTACCGTAATATACAGCATATGCATTACCCAGCATTACTTTGCGGACTCTACCGGTATACTTCCCCTCTCAACCTAACCCAAACCAATCCAAGCAGCCGCCCCACCTCCCAGTCCCGTAGCTCCTTCTCCTGCCGCTCCTTGACCGCCAAGGTTGCCTCGCAGTGTCGCACAGGCAACCAATACACAGGGTGCGACTGATGACCCGTGGGTCGCGAGGACCCGCCCTTGGCCCCCGTCGTGGAGGAGGGGCCGCCGGGCTTGTTGCTGGCGGCTGCTTTGGGCTGTCCGTCCGAGCGAAGGAAGGCGGCGAGGGCGCGGCGTCGAGCGATCTTCTTCGCAAAGAGCAGCTCCAGGACCTGGGGACATACGGCGGCGTAGAGGCATAATTGTAACGGGGAAACATGCATGCGGAGCACAAGTGAGATGAGCGTGCCAAGGTAGCAGGACAGGGAAAGGTGCTGCTGCACGCTGTTTCCCCTTTTTTCACCCCAAAACCCCCACCCCCGACCCCCGTTCGGCTCGAATAACTCGATTGCATTCACCAGGAGCTGGTCGTCTTGTTTGCCATTCTCACTCAACACATTGGGTATTGTTTTCTTTTTTTACCCACCTTGATATCCGTGGCTAGGTTGATGTCTAGCAGCTGCCGCAGCTCCTCCTGCCGCCGCCGCGACCGCTCCTCCGCCGCCTCCCGCCGCAGCCGCTCGCTCTCCGCAGCCGCCTTCTCCTCCGCCTTGCGAGCCAACTCGGCACGCCGGGCAGCGGCCTCGGAGGCCTGGGATTGGCAGGGAGGGGAGGGGAGGGGAGAGGGGAAAAGATGCCGAATGTGTGATGGGAGGGTGGAGGAGGGGAGCGATGGGGAGTACGGGTAGGTTGGGGAGTGAGGGAGCACCGTAGCATGTCCAACCACCACTGCCCCCTGCGTGCTTGTTCGCAATGACAGCAGCGCAGGGGCTCTGCCTCTGTTTTATTAACAGGTTCAGATGCGCCATCCCCCCCCCACCCTCGCACCCTCAACTGCCCCCCACCCCCCAACCCACCTGGAACTGCGCGTCCTCCTGCCTGAACTTCTGCAGGGTGCCCAGCAGCGCCCGACCCAGCAGCCGCCGGGCGCGCTTGCGACTGTCGGGGTCAACCGCACCCGCAGCGGGGGGAGCAGCAGGGGCAGGAGCATCAGAGGCAGGGCTGAGGGAGGGAGGCAAGGAGCGCTTCAGACCGCGGCCGCCGCCCTCGCCCCGGCCCTCCTCGCCTCGGTGGTAGTCGGTACGGCGGTCCTGAGGGGGAGGGGTGGCGGGGTGGCGGGGGGAAAGGGGTGGGGAGGGGTGGGGGGATGAGTGCAGTTGGGGTGTCCAGGAAGGGCGATTATGGTTGGGGGCGCTCAGGGGGCAGCGGGGTCAGATGCATTGTGGGATGCAGGGTTGGGTACTACTAGGGTGGGGGCGGCATGAGGGGAGGGAACGAGTTGTTGAAGCGGCGGGTTGAATCGCCGATATCGCTGGGGGCAGGGGGGACCTCCCTGCCGTGGACCTGCCCTGCAGCCCTTCTCTTCCCTTCCATTCCTTTCCCTTCCCTGGTGGCTCCCCAAACAGCGGCCTTGAGACAGCAGCCACATGGAACGCCACCACCAGGCAGCACCTCAGCAGCCCCCAGCAACAGCAGCAGCAGTCGCACACAGGAAGCACCCGCAGCCGCACCTCTCCGCCATCACCCCGCTCCCAACCCCGCTCCTCCCGCTCCCGCTGACTCCTCGAACCGCCCCGATCGCCGCCCTCCCAGTCACGTCCGCCCCTGCTCCGCCCCTCCTCCTCCATCTCCGCCTCGCCACCCTCCCGATGCTGCTGCGCCGGCTCCCCCTCCCGGACGACCATCGACAGCACTGCCCGCCGCCGCTGCGGAGCTGCCGCTGCTGCTGCCCCCGAGCCCCCCACGGCGGCAGCACCACCCGCACCCCAGTCGCGTCCCCCCCGGTCACGATCACGATCACGGTCACGGCCGTACTCGATGGTGTGATGCTCGCCTCGAGCACCGCGGGCGGAGGAGAAGGGCCCCGGACCGCTGTCAAAGCGGCCACCACGTGAGGGAGGGCCATCGAGGCTGTTTGGCGGGCCACCTCGGGGAGGGGCGGAAGAGGGACCCAGACGGCCTGGGAGGGGTCCGTCACGGAAGGGCCCCGAGGCGCGAGAACGCAGGTCTTCACCGCGGCCGGGCGGCGGTCCTCCGAAGCTGCGGTCCTGGCCGAAGCGGCCGCTGCCGGGCACAGGACGAGCGCCAGAGGCCTCACCAGCAGCGTTGCGAGCTTGAGGAGCGGGACCAGCAGGCGGCTGCCGCGATGCCCGGACCTTCTGACTGGCCTGGAATGGTGAGGAAAGGGACCCAGTGATTCAGGCAGGTTGAGCTATTTTGAGGTAACTAATAATTGGTTTAAGGTTTACTTCTTTAGCTACCCATTTTTTGTTCTCACGCACCTCAAATCGCTGACGTCTGAGCGCCTCCAGCTCTTTCTCCAGAGCAGCAGGGTCAAGTGTAGCCATTTTTAAGGACAGATAAACTACGTAACTAACCCTGGATAGAGCTTTATAGTTCCAACTCCGCGGGTATATGCAAATGCCAGTCCTGCCTCCTAAAGCAGGATCTGGGCTGTTATGCAGAGAAAGAAGACAGCATGTTCACATATGCATGTTTTACCTGAACCCGGCTTTTCATTCTATGGCAACACGGAAGAAAGGGTTAAGCCGCAAGCACGACAGATCGCACGCCGAATGCTGAAAGTAGATGCATACCCAGCAATCAGGCTTTGTTAAATTACTTTACATCTGGTATGTGTTTCCCAGTTTTAACGTTGGAGCATAGGACAAGCAAGTACCGACACCACCCGGAAGGGTGCCGGCGTTAACGCCAGCGCTCTGCGACCAATACTAGGCTGTTACGGCTGCCAAGCATTTGTACGATGTCTCTACCGGTACGTGAGCGGAATAACCGGATGGCACTGGTGTTTGGCGCACGGAGCTTCCAACTCACCGCAGCGACTCTTTTAGGACCGGCATTGTTTCTTTCGCCAGATCGCACAGATGTAGTCGGGACCAGAACTGGAAGGATATAAAGCTACTTGGTGCAATTTCACATGGGGTCCGCGTGTCCGATAAACGTGAACCCCGTCCGTTTCCCGCCTCCGAAACGACTGTCGACGCTTCTTCAATTGCTCGTCGCTTAGGGCACAATTGAAAGAACGCTACAAGCTGAATTAATGGGTTTCCACGCCTGGCTAAGATCCACTACCGTGTCAAACGCAACTCCCATGTCGCAGGTCGGAATCTTTGCCGGCGGAAGACGGAACCAAACGGCGACAAGTGGGGATGATCCCGATTGGTCCGCAATTCCACAGCTAGTCCTTTACCATATCGTGCAGTATTTGGACGACCCTGCGGACCTCGCAGCGCTTCGGCTCGCCTGTCGACGATGGAGCAAGGCAGTCACACAAAATTCCTCGGTGAGTCGCCTCCACGCTTACTTAATCTCATACCTACCGTTAGACCCATTTCGCTCCATTCCATAATAATTCCGCTCCTATACTTGCGCACCAGATTGCACCACTCCCTGCATTAACCCTATATCCGTTTTGCGATCACAGATCCCATCTTCCCACCTCCATCCTCTCCTGCCTTACCCCTAGGTCCCCTACCCCTGATCATTACCAATCCCTGCCTGCCACTCCCAACCCACAATCCCTAACCCCTATAACACCCCACACCGCCATCCCTTCTCTTCCTCACCCCAAACAACCGCACCCCATCCTCACCCCATCCTCCCCACTCCACCAACACCCGTCACACCTCCCGGAATTCCTCCTTTTCCCCACCCCAAAGGAGTGGCGCGTGCGCGGCCCCGTCGCCCGCTTCCACTGGGACTACCTCCGCGGCACGCTCTACACCCTGTGCCCCGTCGTCACTCGCCTCTCCCTGCGCCTCTCCAACCGCACCACCGAGGACGCGCTCTCCGCGCTCTTCAACGACCTCAACTGGTGGTCGCGACTGCGGGAGGTGACGCTGCTGCTGATGCGGCCGCCCGGCGGCAGCAGCGGGCTGTTCGGACCCGGGTTGGGTTTCGGAGCGCTGCGGGGGTTGGCTGCGCTGGGGCGGCTGCGAGGGCTGGTGACGGAGGGGTGCGAGGCGGGTGCGGTGATGGCGGCGGCGGCTAGGTGAGAGGCGCTAAGAGAGGGACTAAGCTGCGGACTGTCTGGGTGCAATCCGGGTGTATCTGTCCCTTTCCCTTTCTGAGGTTCCCTGATGCTTATGTCCCTTTCCGCTGAAGCGTCTTGGCTTCTCTTTTAGCAAATTCGCGTCGTCCCGCCATGCCTCCCTCCCCTTCCCACTCCTCTCCCCTGCTCTCCGTCCCTTCCTCCCTCCACACAGCTGCCCACACCTCACCAAGCTGGTCCTGCGCTCCCGCGACTCCCCACTCGGCACTCCCTGCGGCGCGGGGGACCGATCCCTGGAGGCTCTCACCGCGGCACAAGCAGCGCTGCAGGCAGGGGGGCGGCAGCAGGCGGGGCAGGGAGGTGGTGGCGGCGGCGGTGGAGGAGGAGGTCAGGATGGCGGCGGCGGAGGAGATGGAGGAGGACCGCAGCGGGAGCAGCAGGGACAGGAGCAGCAGCAACCTCTACTGGACATGCAGCTTGCGTTACGCGACTTGTTTTCGGAGGAGGGGGAGGGGTACGTGGAGGATGGGGATGGCGGCAGTGGCAGTGGCAGCAGCAGCAGCAGTGACCAACGGGGGGCCGGTGGTAGCAGCAGGAGCAGTGGCAGTGGAGATGTGGAGATGGGGGATGCGGAGGACGCTGCTGCGGTTAGAAGAGCGGCGGCAAGAGCCAGGAGCGGTGGCCGGCACAGGCGCCTTGGTGGGAGCGGGGCTGGCGCGACGGGCGGTATGGCGGCGTCGTCGTCGGCGGCAGCAGCAGCAGCGGGAAGTACGGCTGGCGGCGCTGCTGCTGCTGCTGCCGGTGGTGGTGGTGATGACGAGGAGGGGCGCGGCAGGGGTCTGCGACACCTGGAGTTCGACTCGGATTGTCACATGGAGGATGCGGCGACATGGGTGAGCAGTGAAGGGATGCGGTGGGGTGGGGTGGGGTGCGGTGCGGTGGGGTGCGAGCGACACCTGCGGTTGATTGCAGGGATGTTGCGCCTCCTGCTCTGTTAGGGAATTCACCCTGACGTGGATTATGTTTGCCTGCCCTTGTGCATGCCAGAACTGGTATGAGTTTGGCCCGCTCCCCTTAATGCCACCCCTTCCTTATGCCCGATCATGCAACACGTCTCCTCGGTCGTTCAATCCACCAGATGGGCTTCCTCGACTCTCGCGCTCCCGGAGAGACCTTCCGCGACCGTCTGACTTCCCTGCTGGCCGCACTGCCCTCCCTGGAGCACCTCGCCATGCGGCGCGTTGCACTGAGTGAGTCGCTGGTTTCGGGGCCACTGGCGCGGGCGACGCGACTGACGGAGCTCCATGCGGCCGTGCGGGATGTGGTTGAGGGTGAGTCGTGAGTGGCGGGGGGGGGGGGGGGGGGATATAACGGATGTAACGAACATTTAACGGATATTGCTGTTGGTACGGCAAGGGGGATGCTTACGTATGGTACACCGTTAATCTTTTAGGTGCGGAGCGTCGTTGGGGGTGGTTTGGTTGGGTTGCATCCTACTGCTTCGCCCGCCATATCCGTGAGAGAGGACAGGGAGGACCGCGTGTCATGCTGCTGCTGAGCGGCTTACAGCGCGGTAACAATCAACTGAGAGCCGCGGAGCAGCGGGGGCACTCCGAACACCATGCTGCGTCGCACAACGTCATGACAGGGATGCCAGGGGGTTCCATTGCATGCGGTTTTTGCATGACACATGGCTGCGTGCAATGTCTCCAAGTCACCCCATGTCCTTCCTCTCGGGTGGATGCAGGTGAACGGGCGCCTCGTTGGGGGTTAGGTGGCGGTGGCGGAGCTGGAGCTGGAGGCCCCGGCGGCGGCGGCGGAGCCGCTGCTGGCTCAGCTCTACGCACCCTCTCCGCTCTCGCTCGGCCCCCGTCGCAGCGGCAGGGCCATGCACGGCTGCCCCTGTCGGGGGGCCGCATGGACCTGTACCCCGCCTCGGCCTCCGCATGCGCGCCTGGATCCTACATGTCGTACACTTCGATCCCGCCGGGTCCTGGCAGCCCCGCGCTTCACCTTTACATCAGCGACGCCAACAGCCATACCGCGACTGCGCTGTTGGAAGGGCTGCTGCCCCTGCAGTTGCGGCTTCGCACACTCTTCCTCTCACACCGTTCACTCAATACCTCGCACCTAGCGGGCGTGGGTCGCTTGACGGGTCTGGAGTGCCTAGGCCTGTTTGTAACGGGTACGTCGGGCCGGGGTGCCGCTGCTGCTGCGGAGTCGGCGCCGACGGCGACGTCAACGGCGTCGTCGTTGACGGCGTCATTGACCGCCGCCGTACGACAGTTGGGACGCCGTACGGCGGTGACGGAGGCGCGACGGCGGTTCTTCCTTGCGACTGCCGGAGAGCTGCCGTTCCGCGCCGCGGCGCGCTCCTGGCGCGTCAATGCCGAACGCATGTTGGGTATGGGCGGTCTTGGTCGTGGCGACGTCGGCAGAGGCCGCGGCGGCGGCGGCGGTCGCGGCGGCGGACCGGGCCATCGGGACCGATTGTCGGACCTCCTTGCCATGCGTATGTATGAAGCTGACGACGATGAGGACGAGGAACCCGACTTGGATGACGTCTTTCCCGACGCCGTCAGTGACGACGACGACGACGTGCCAATGTACGACGCCGATGGCGGCGGCGGCGACGGAGGCTTGTGCTTGGCGGCGCTGCGGCGGCTCACTCGCCTCCGTCAGCTGCACTTGAGGGGCCGAGTGGAGGCAGTGGGCCTAGCGACGCGAGTGGCGGCGGGACTTGCGGCGCTCGGATCACACGAGCCGCCGCCGCCGCCGACGGCAGCTTCGGCAGCAGCAGCGGCGGCGGCTCTTCCGCCTCAGCAAGTTGCAAGTAAGGAGCATGAGGACGTCGCTAAGGGCAGCGGGGCAGCAGCAGCTGGTGCTGCTGCTGCTGCGGCGGCGGCAGCCCCGTCATCCTTTCGGTTCCTTGATCTGGCACGTCCCGTTTGGAAGCGCCTCCATCGAATCTCTGGTTCCGGAGCGGAGCCTGGATCTGGATCCGGAGCAGCGGCAGGAGCAGCATCTGCATCCGCCGGTACGGCGGCGGCCGCGGCATCGGCATCTTCTTCAGCAGCAGCCGCCACCGCCGCCGTACCTGCCTCCCACACCTCAGCGCAGAGCCCGTCCGACATGCAGACAGAAGAACCTGGGGCGGCGGCGGCGGCGGCTCACAATCATGCTTCAGGCGCCACCGCCGCCGCTGGCTCAGCCGCAGAGCGGCAGGCGTTAGCGGCGGCGTTGGCGCTGGCGGCGGCGGAATGGGACGGCCCTGACGGCGGCGGCGCCGCCGGCGCAGAAGGGAGGGGCTTGCCGGATGCGTTGTTCCTGGAGGGCTGGTTGGACGGCCTGCATATGGTGCCGGATGACATGCTAGAGGAGCTACACGGCTTGGGCGTGGATGTGGATGAGCTTGCTGCGGAAGCTGAGATGCTGGGCCTGCCGCCGTTTGGGATCATTGCGCCAGGCCGCGGCCGTGGGCGTGGCCGCGGCGGCGCCGGTCGCGGTGGCCCAGCGGGTGCTGCCGCCGCCGCTGCCGGTAACGGCGGCGGCGGCGGCGGCGGCCGCGGCTATGGCATGGGTTTTCGGGAGGCTCACCAGCTAGCTCGGGAGTTGATGATGAGGGCGCGGGAGCGGGAGGTCATGCTGGGGGGTCACATGCGGCCCAACCACCGCTTGCAGCAGCAGCTGGAGGCGATGGCCCTCGCGGCGGTGGAGGCGGCGCGTGCAGGGGAGGTGCGAGATCGGCAAGGAGACAGGGTGCGGTTGCAGGCAGGTCAGACGTTGGGAGGACAGGCGCGGCAGAACGGACAGCAGCAGCAGCAGCTGCACCCACAGACAGCCGCGCAGGCTGCAGCCGCTGCAGCCTCCCCTGGCGGCAGTGGCGCGGGACCCTCGAGCTCTGCCGCCGCAGGCAGCGGCAGTGGCGGTGGCGGCAGTGGTGGCGGCGGCGGCGGCGAGGGCAGCGTCAGTCCTCGTGGCCGTCGGTGGGGCATGCCGAGACTGCAGGACATGTTTGGGGCGTTCAGGAGGGGTGAGGGGGAGGCACGGGGGGATGCGGGGGCTGCCGCTGGGGCGAGTGCGTCGACGGCTGCTGCTGGCGGTCGGAGTGGAGCTGGTGCTGCTGGTTGTGCTGGCGGCAGCGGTGCGGGATCGGGAGCGAGGAGGAGGCCAGAAGATGTGGTCCGGCTTGTCAGTGGAAGCACCAGTAGTGACGACGAGACTATGGATATGGATGTAGACGTGGAGGAGGGGCCGCCGTCAAGGCAGCAGCAGCAGCAGCCACCCCAACCGCTAGCTGCTGCCGCCGCCGCTGCCCACCCCCAAACTTCGGCATCACAGCAGCAGCAACCCCCACAGCAGCAACCCCCACACGACCCGCAGCATGCGTTTGAGTTGCGGCATGAGGAGGTTGAGGAGAACCTCATACGCCGCCACGAGCGCTTCACCCTGGCTACGCAGGCCCTGGAGGACCTCACCCGACACCGCTTGCTGCTACGCCGTGCGACACTCAGCCTGCAGCGGACCGACCTCGCAGCCCTCGCGACCCACGGGTCAGTTCTGGAGGTGCTGTCCCTGCATTACGTCCGCATGCAGCCCGGCGTGCTGCAGCAGCTGACGTCAGCGCTGCCGCGACTCCGCCGGCTTAGCTTGCGGTGGGCGAATGACGCGGAGGCTGCCCCACAAGACATTGACACGTCGGTTTGCAGTTGCGGCAGCGGATGTGGCGGCGGCGGCGGATCCGGCGGCGGCGGTTGCAGCTGGGGACGTGTGGAGGTGGCGGTTCTGCCGCCTCTGCTTGAGAGTTTGGAGTTGGGGGGTCCGGTGGCGGTGGTGGTGACGGCGGCCGACCCGGCGGGTCCTGGCGGCAGTCGCAGCGCTCCGGGGCCCCTGTGGGTGCGGCTGCGGCGACTGGTGCTATCGGAGGGGTGAGAGCCCGCGCCGTGCCGTGCCGTGCCGCGCCGTGCCGTGCCGCACCGTGCCGTGCACCCCCTGCCCCCTGCTGCACGTGTCCTGTCGTTTGACGGATGCTTTGGACTGCCATTGGCTTTAGTAACATTCTCACCCACATCCAAGCTGCGTGCGTCAACTTATCTGCATACCGATGTTATCTGCGCTGTTCCCCTTCACTGCTGTGTTGTCCCCCCGCTCCCCCGCTCCCCCGCCCCGCTTCCCCCGCAGTCTGCTGCTCCCCCGCGGCACCCTTCCCTGCCTGCTGCGCCACACGCCCGAGCTGTCGGAGCTGCAGCTGGTGCGGCCGCGCTGGCTCACCCCACCCGACCTGGCGGGGTTGGAGGGGCTGGGGCGGCTGAGGACGATGGTGGGTGGCGGGGAGGGTGGCGGGAGGGGTGGAAGGGGATGCCACGTGGGTAAAAGGAGGAAGCAACACGGGGGGGGGGGCACAGGGACGGAGGGGCGGTTCGGTAGCACATCCCAGTGGAGGGAATGAGGGGCAGGGGTGTTAGGCAGCAGCTGGTCAGGAATAAATAACTACGCCTCCTTGCCTGACCTCGTTTTGGTTTTTGTGGTCTGGTGGACGCACATACGAAGTGCTTTAACGCATGCCGCTGCCGCTTGCCTTTCCTCGCGCTGCTTGCATCCGTACATGCTGCAACTGCTGCTTGCATACCCGTACCGTTACGGCTGCAGCTGACCGTCTCAACGCCGCCACCCCCGCCGCTGCTGTTGTACCGGTATCGTACCCACAGGTGTTGGATCTGGACAGTCGCGCGGTGCAGTGCCGGGAGGTGCGACTGGGCTTCGCACGGGGCATCTCGCGCCTGGCTGGTCTAACCGGGCTGCAGGAAGTGAGGTGAGCAGGCTTCAGGAGCGCTGGGGGTAAAAATAGGGAAACGAACGGGGGGGGGGAGGGTGGGGGGGGGGATGGTAAGCACTGAGGAGTGGTGAGCAGCACTGGAGACATGGCATCCCATGACAAGGGGGGCGGGCATGGGATGTGTACGGCATGCCGTACAGTCGGTGCAGCTGCCGTACCCGCCGTACACCTTCTGCGATACGTGGGTTTCGGGACTCGATGGGGGCTGCTGTTCTGCTGGTATGCAGCACCTCCCCTGTTGTCAAAACCCTAAATACCCTCGCATGGGTACACCCCGCGCATGCACGCAGGTGGGATGTTCCCGATCCAGACAGCGACGGACGTCATGCTTCCAGCTCCGAAAGTGAAGCCGCAGGGGTGAGAGAGAGCAGGAGTCAGGAGGGGCTTGGGGTTTGGGAAAGGGACCCGAGAGCAGGCACGAGGACGTGACCACGTTTGTTGTTATACGTACACCGGGGTAACCGAAGGCTGACCGGGGTAAATACTACCGGTACCAAGCCTCACCTGCACGCCCTCCCGACACGTCTCCTCCGCCTCTTTCATCCCCGCCTCTCCCACCCACCCGCATGCCCCCTCCTCATTCCTGCTACCCTTCCCTCCACGTTCACCCTTCCCTTCATCCTTTCACGCGCCGCCTACCCTTCACGCCACACCATCCCCACACCGCTTTCATTGTCAGTGTCTCCGCGGTTCGTATCTAATCACCTTACCGCCGCCCCATCTCAACCACTCATGCCCCCCTCCCCGCAGCACCCCGACTCCTCCCTGGAGCTCTGCGCCCAGCTGCGCCACCTCACCGGTTTGCAGCGGCTGTCGCTGCTGGTGCTGCCCTCCTGCCGCCAGCAGCTGACACGGCTGGAGGAGCTGCAGGCGCTGCGGCACCTGCCCTTCCTGGAGCTGAGCTCGGGGTGATTGGTGAGGGCTGCGGAGGGCTGCTGAGCTGAGCTGAGCTGAGCTGAGCTGGGCTGAGCTGCGTCGGGGGATGGCAAAACACATTGGCATTACAGGTTGTAGAAGGGTGTGAGGGGGCGGGGCGTGTATGGGCTGTGGTTGTTTTTGTTGATGGTGAAGGCCTTGGAATGGGGATTCGAGGTAGAACGGACGGAGGAGGCAGGAAGGGGCGACTGCACCGCTGCAAAGTGGGTGAAAGGCAGGAGGAGGCAGGGTTGGGAGGTGGAAGGGTTGTGGTTTAGGGTTTTAGCTGTAGCGTGTCATTCCGAACATCGGCCGCGTAGGCGTTGTTACCTTCCGTTCATGGGGAAGAATGTTCGGTGAGGGTGAGGGCAGGCATGCGTTTGGCCGGGCGGACGGTAGGGGGCGAGAACAGGTTCAGGATGCTGCTTTTGCGTGTCACTGTTGTTCGGTGCGGAGCCATGCGTGCATGCCCCCAGTGGCTGACGACCAAATGTCCAAGTTTACATCGAGTGGTGCGCCACCAGGGGATGGGGGCTACGAATCAACAAACAAGAGGAGGTATGAGCCCTCAAGAAGAGACACTACCGTACGCATTCCTGTACGAAGCGAGCGGACGGAGTGTCTCCCCCAGTGCCACCACAACACACCGCAACGCACCACCACAACAATGCGGCCTTCCTCGCACAGCCCTACACAGTCGCGTGCTGTTGGCGTCTTCGTCGTTGCTGTTATACCGGTCACAACCGGCAAACAAACAAACACGTTGTCTACGTACCGATACCGTATTAGAGCAAGATGAATCCAACACAAAAGGTAGCGAGATTGCTAACCCCAAGGGCCATGCATGTAACGGTTTAACAACATATTTTCACTCTGCAATAAGCTTGGTTGGACCAGGATTGACCTACCGGTAGTAGTAACCTCCAAATGCCGGGACATGTCAGCAATATGAAAATTGAAAGAAAACCAAAACCCCCGCTCAGCTTTCGACGAAATGTACGGCACACCTCAGTACAGCACCAGAGGCCCCACGAAGGCTCGAAGACGTCAAAAACAGAGGCCCGCCAAAACTGCACCCCCACAACTGCCAGGACACACCATTGGGTGACAAAGTCAACGATTATGAATGGACCAAGTCCACACGATCATTAAATTGCACACACATTCGAAGGTAGCACAAACGGGTACGTAGCGAAGGGAACACACTCTCCTGCGGTGCAGTACTCGGCAGTTTATTTAACTGTTGTCCCCAGTTGTGGCTACTGACGCACAAGCAGCAACGCAATCCCCCTTTGTAGAACCTCCTCTCATCACACTACAACGCATGATACTCCCATAACCGCCCAAGACACAACCGCCATTCCAACGCTCACAAACCCCATCAGCAGCAGTTGCTGCAACGGTCGCAACGGCAGGTTGCCGTACAAGCCCTTGCTACCGCTGGCACTGCCGCCACCGTTCTTACCATGCGCCCCAAGCCCACCTTCGCCCCCTCCGCTGGAGCCAAAGCAGCGGTTCCGGGAGCCCCCAGGTGGGGTGGGGTTCCTAGCCGGCCGGTTGACCCAGCAGATGTAGCAGGGGGAGCTTGGAAAGCCAAAGCCGCGCAACAGAGCTATCAGGAACTGCGCTCAGGAAGGGGGAAAGGAGGGAAGAAGGAAAGGGATTGGGAGGCGGCGGCGGTGAGGAGCGGAGGATGGATAGAGGAGCGGGAACAGCGAGACAGGAGAGTGGCGGCTAGGCGCATGTAACAGAGCGACACATCATCATCCCGGTGTGCTGCTACGTGCAATAATGGGAGGGTACAGGGTATACCTAATTCTGCCGTGCATGCCGTACACATCATTACGTCAAACCTCGGAGCTCCAAAACCCCATAAAAGAAACCCTTCGCAACCCTCCGCCGCATTTGCCGCAAACGAAGCCACCACCCACTTTCCTTGTCTGCCCCCCTCCCTCCTCCCTACCTGCGCCCAGAGCACTGCTTGGATGAGTGCATGCAGACCTGTACAGCAGCCGGCTTGTACAGCGAAATCAGCAACCGCCTGCGTTGTATCAAGATCGTACGACATGAACAATAGCAATACGACGATGTTGGCTGGTTGGTCGGTCAGCTGTTTGGCTAGATACGGGTGGTGTGCGGACTTATATATGATGCCCGTACATTCTTTGCCAGACACTCTTTGTCATACACTCTTCGTTCGTACACTCACTCGGTTGCCCGTACACTCACCCTGCCGTACAATTCCATCCTGAACCTCAGAGACGGCATGGCGATGGAGGTGGAGGTCTCGGACGGCCAGGGGTTGCTGGAGGGGTCGGGTCGGCAGTCGGGTTGCGACTGCAGCAGCGGGCGGTATGGCTTGGGTTGCCGGTAGCGTCTGGGGGGGGAGCGGGTTTTGGTATGGGAGTGGGAGTAGGGGGGATTAAGGTGATAAGGGAGGCCTTTCAGGGACCGGGTTAAGTGTGGCCCTGTGTGGCAGTGCGAGCACAGTTGAGGTGAGTTGCAGATGCGCGACGAGGATGAAGGTATTCCTTAATAAGATGGTTGTTTAGGAAGCTCTTGCGGCTGCGTCTCGAGCTTCCCAACCCTTCTTCAGTTCCTCACTCTCCTCTCCCTCCCTGCCGGCGGAGGAGCCCCTTCATTCAAACAGACCTGGAGGCGATGACAATGGGCGCGGAGCTGACCCGTGGGTCATACGAAGTCTTGCGAGTTGAGGATGTGGCAAAGTGCTCCTGTGGTTGGTTGGTTGGTTGGTTGGTTGGGATGGAGGCCCCATGCGAGGCGGAGCGGGGCGGGGATGGTACGACCAATTAGCAATACACACAGCTCTGCACTACGTTGGTTGAGCCACGGGTGCCACTTAGTATTAGCGGTATTTGAGATAACATAGTAATTCAGAAGGAGTATAGTTTGGATCCGCCGAAACCCAACACACAGCGTCAACCCTCACCCTCACCCCCCCCCCACCGCCCCTCCACCGCTCCCTGCTCCCCCTTCCCCGCCCGTCGCTCACCCCGCCCCGGCCCCCTCCCCGTTATCGCACCCTGGGCAGGCAAGTGCTGTAGTTGTGGTGTCGTATCAGCAGTGTGAGCGCAGTTTGCTCGTAGCAGTGCTGCTGGCGGGAGTGTCCGGGCGGGGCAATGCAGCCGTGTTGGTCCAGGCTGCATGCAACCAGGGGGTCCAGGAGCAGCCGATGGGCGCGACTGCCGCGGACAAAACCTGGTGGGGGGGAGGGAGGTGGGAGGAAGAATAAATGAAAAGCGACGCAACGGAGGGAGGGAGGAGGGAGCGAGTATGGAGGAGGGAGGGAACAGGGGTGCCACAGAGCAGGGGAGGGGTACCGGATTAGCAGGGAAGAGGAGGAGGAGGAAGAGAAGGCGAGGTGGGGGTTGGGTGGAACGCGATTGGCGGTTGGGCAGCGGTTGGGGATGGAGGATAGCACAACATCAACAGCAGGAATCCATGACTGACGGCCGATGGTAATGACCACGGTCTCGGTGATGACCACCGGTTCAACCACCCCTTCCGAGCCCTTCACGGTTCGTTAGTCGTGTCCTCTTTTCCCTCTCACAGCCATGTGATGTCTCACCCTGCACCCCCGCAGCGCAGTACGGCTGCAACTTCACTCGCTCGTACTCCTCCGACGAGAGGTTCAGGAAGCGGCGAGTGTAGCGCTCCGCCATGTGACCCATGGGCCACCCCTGCACGCCGGGCGACGACGACTGCTGTGCGCTGACGTGTCCGAATGCGGTCATGGTGTTGGCTAGCGGCGTGAGCGGGCCCCGGACCTGATTGCATGCAAGGGAAGTGGGTATTGGGTAGCCAGAGGAAAGGGGGTTAGCCAGGATATATTGTATATATTGTATAGCTAGGAAAAGGATGAAGCCGGAGGACGTGCAGGCAGGCGGGGCCATGCAGCGAAGTAGCTGTGACACACAACAGGCAGCGAGGGGTGAAGGCAGGGCAAAGAAGACGCCGTCCTGACACACATCCCCCGGTGTCTTCCTCTGCCTTCCTGCCTACATTCAGCGTTTTGCATGCCCCTCTAGCCCACCTTACCGCCCCTCTCTTTACCTCATTAACAAGAGCGGACCTTTTGGACGGGACCCTAAAACCCCAACCATTCCCCCGCACCCCCCACAACGACAACCACCCCCGCAACCCCACCCCCGCACCCCACCCATCCACACCCCCCCGCACCTCGATGCCGCAGTCCAGCCACAACACCGCCTCCGCCACCTGCTCCACTCCCAGCGCGTAGACGAGGCCCTTGAACGCGTAGGTGCGCATGTCCCTCACGTAGGCGGGGTAGCGCTCCCAGGGGAAGCGGCGCAGCTGGGGCGGGGGGTGGGGGGGTGGGGGTAGGGGGGGGGGTAGGGAGGAAGATAAAACGGACTAAAACACCATGCGACATGGAGATGCCCACCCATCCCAAGTAGCTGGGAGGGGAGGAGCGGGTGTGGTTCGATGCGGCGGCCGGGCGGGACGGACGGCAGGGTGGGAATGGGTAGGAATAAGGAAAGCCATGCGTAATAGGTTAGAACCGGAACCGGAACCCTCACAGCCCCCAACCCACACAGCCCACCTCCACGTTCTTCCAGCATCGGATCTGTGCCAGCTGTTGCTCCGTGAAACCCAGATCGTACACAGCAATGCGGGTGGCGGGGGCCCAGTACTGCAGAGATCCCACCAGATTCTCAATCCGGTCCATGTACGGCGCCGTACAACCCGTGATGACCGTTAGGTTGGTGACGTCGTACGGCGCGTTGGGGTCGTTGTACGGCTGGGCGGGGACAAAGTGCGGTGAGGCGGGGAAGGGGCGCACGTGGACGGGCCACCTGCGTATGGTGAGTGGTAAAGGTGAGGCGGGTTGGGAGAGGGTGGGTTCGGGGTGGGTGGTGAGGGCAGGAACTGGGGAAAGGTGTTTGTGGGGTTTGCGAGAGAAAGGAGCATCACGGGGAGAGGGCTTCACAATTCCGAGTCCTGATTCCGAAAGATGGTGTTTGCTAGCGGCATCCGGCATGCTGTAAGGCATCCGGCTCCGGGACTAGCGAGGGGATGCGGTTGGATACCTGTAAAGCACGGTCATCATGTCAGCAGCGCTTTTTCGTGACTTCCTGCCTATCTATTCGGCCCCTCATGTGTTCTTTCTGAATCCCGAACATGCTGGCTTGCTTTGCCAAGCCAGCCTTTGGCCCTCCTCCATTCTTCGAGCTTTTTACATCTCAAGTACTGATCAACGTGTGTGGACACTGGACATGCATATCCTGGCAGGTATGTTACTGAACCGCACAAACGCCAAGACAAGACGCAGATCTCTTGTCATGCAGATTGTTATATAATGTGAGCAATGATAGGCAGGCACGCTTCTTGTCAGAAGGAGAAACCTTCCATGCAACGCTAAAGCGATCACGACATACCCGCCTATAAACACTGCAACCCTTCTAACTCTTACATACCGACTACCATAGCCGCTAAATGCCTAAACCTAACCTACACATAACGCCCCTCCAACCACCAAAACCAGCCACCTACCTAGGACAAGGGACCAGCCCAGGCGCCAGCACCATCACTCCAACCGCAACCGCCACGGCCGTTGCAACCAACGACACAACCGCCGCTAACGAAGCCAAAACGCCTCCTTTCCTGCTGCTACAGCTGCTGCCCTTCGCGCAGCTGTTCGTGGGTAACAATGAAGAGTACGGCAACCCCCATGCTGATGATGCGGAGGGCGAGTACGAGGAGAAAAACCGGAGGAGCGCTACTGCTGTGACCACAATGACGAGCTGTAGCATAACCAACCGAGGTAGTTGGGATTTCAGTTGGACGAACCAGAGCTCTTTTTCATTGAAATATGCGTTGCCACTTGCGTATCTGCAGGGGTGTGGAGAGAGGGGATGCATGCCAAGGGAGGAAGGGTTAGCTCCTTTCCTTTCGGGAGGTGCTGGCGGACATCGTAATAATAAGGGCGCCACTCAAGTTGCGCCTACAAGGACCGCATGGCCAACGCTCGCCCTAATTCGCACGCGTCCGAGACGCTAACTAGCAGGGGAAGAGGCGACACAAGAGCACAATAGCAACATCAAATGGAACCCCGGGACGGTTCCCACCCCGGGAAGGTGGGAAAGTGCCCCAGGCCCCCCCCATCGACCCCATATCCACCTCAGCCCTCCCGCGCCCCTTACCTATCTCCGTCCACCAAGCCAACCCACGACCCATCCTCCAGCTGCTGCATGTCCGCATGATGTAGCCGTTCAGCTCTCCAGGACTCGCCGTCACGTGTCGGCTCGTACCGTACGGCAACACTTTCACCGTACGACGTTTCGTTTATCACGTCAGCGCGCATCAGCACCAACGCCTCTCCGTAATAACGGCTGCAATCCTGGGCCCAACGGTACAGCACACCGTCTTTGGCGAACGGCCGGCCGCCGTTCCTTGCCGTACGACGATCGGCGTCGATGCCGTACGGTATACGACCGCCAGCTGCGGGGGCGTACGGAGATCCAGCTAGGTTAGCGGGATGTGGGGTCCACTCGCCTAACAGCGTTTCGGCGGTGTACAGCAGCAACGTATACTTGGGTTGGCCAGCGGCTGGGGTTCCGACTCGGGTCGTGAAGATCCACCAACGGTCTTCAAACCGAACAGGTGCAGTATCAACGTACTTGGCAGGTGCTCCGACCTGATACCAGCGGCGCGTGGCAGGCCAGCCGGGATCGGTTGGTCGTTTGCGGGCAACGACATGCCAACCGAAGGGAAAGTCCTCCTTTGAAGTGCCGTACACGCGAATCAAGCCGTCCCGCGCGCCAACGGTTTCGGCAAACATGAGGTACTGTGATGAATCCGTGTCGTACAGGACGAGCGGATAGGAGAGGTGGAAGGGCTCCGAAACCGCAGTGCCCAAATGGCGCCAAGTAGCACCCCGATCATAAGACACTGCGACTCCCAGCTCGCCTAGGTAGCGATGAAGGTTCTTCATTTCGTAGAATGCGAACCAAGGTACGGAGGAAGCCGGGGCTGCTGCTCCTGCTGCCGAGAGCTTGCGGGAAGCGCTGCTCTTAAGGAATGCTGAGGGCGTGGAGCTGTCGTCGGGAATGAAGAGGAAGGGGTCTGCGACGAAGCTGACAGCCGTTGCGTTGGCGAGGGTTGCGCATGTGATTACGGCCTTGGATGAAAAGTTCAGGTGCAAGGGATCGGGGCGTCCATGAGCTAGGCCTATTCCCCAGGAGCCCTCGTAGTCCCAGGAGCAGGTTTTGAGGCCATGGCTAAGCGGCTGCCGTGTAAACCAGCTGAGTTTTATCAAGCCCGACGGTTTATTGACTAAGGGGTCGATGACAAAAACAACAGCTGTAAGGAGGCTGAGTAGGATATAAACGCCGAAACCGAGGCCACGGCGATGCAAATCAACGATTCCCATTGTTTAACCTTGCCGACTACACCTAGGCGGCCCAAGTGCTGGTGATGTTCATAAGTTGGGTTCCGCGGGGCCTTGCAAGGATATCTGGGATACTTGCATCGCCGTAAATCAAGCAACAAGGTAGACAGTACCGGTATTGTGTTACAAGAATGTTAAGGTGATCAGCACGGAAAGACACTACTTATTAGTTCCATTCATGTGCACTGCCCGGGGTATGCTGTCTTCGGGAGTACGCAAGGGGACGCGCCAAAAGGGTACGGCAGGACCCATCGATCTTTGCTGGGACGGGGAGGAAGCATTGACCTGATAAAGGTGTCCTTTTTGTAGACGAAAGCACATGTTTTGCAGCTTTTGTTGCCCTTTCACTTCGAGGCCAACGCTGAATTATACTCGTTAAGGGAGCCTACCACAAATTGAGTTCAATTGTGTTCACATATCCTCAATTATACCAGTGCTACTGGGTTGTATCAGTCCCCGATAGCGTTTGGCACGACCCATATTCTTGAACCGCCGCCACGAATGCTGCGCCCCGGCAGCTTGCCTCGGGGTTCTATACCCGGTATTGGAGCAAATGGGAATACAACATTGCTTCGTCCAGCGCGGATTGCAAGGAAACGCATTTTCCAGCACCCTTCTCCCCAGCCACATTCGCCATGCGAACCCCCGACCCTCCGAAACCTCTTCAGCTGCGCAGCACGCCGGCGTGAGCCCCAGCCAGACATCGAGGACATGAATCTCGAACAACGCTTGGAGCATTTGGACAAAATATCCGGCCGCGCTAACGAGGTCAGCAGCATTTACACACGCGAGATGATGATGCAGCAGTTGGGCATCATGGATCCAGCATTGTATGCTCAGCTGGGAGAGGAGCAGGAAGGGGAGGAGGAAGAGACTCCCATGGAATTCATTCCTTGGAACGACGACCCGCGGACGCATGTGGTCAACAATTCCGAAGTCGAAGTCCATCCCGATGGCCTGCGACGCCGGCTTGTCGCAACTGCCGACGCCGAGCCGGGAGATCCTATCATCCAGGTTCCGTTGCACAACTGCCTGGTGCTGTACGTCGCTGATTCCGAAAAGGACGAAGAAGACTCCATCGAACGGCAGGTGAGAGCAGCCGCAAGCACGCACGCAACACGCCCCGCATCCCGCGCCCACCCGCCCTTCTGCACCTCCTCCTGTTGCCAGTCCCTCTCCTTCTCCCGTCTCGTATCGTCTCTCTTGCCGCTCACACTATAGCCATCACTTCGCCTCATCCTAACCCTCACCCTTTGCCTCCCTCTTTCTAGGATAGTGTCTCCGAATGCACTCACTGCATGAGCCGGATATGGGATTGGGACTCTAGTTGTTTGCACGCTTTATGTAATTTTCCCCCCTCATTCCCACCCCCTTCCCCCTCCCTCTTCTACCCTCCCCAGGAAGCCACAGCCGAGTTCGAGGCCATGCAGCTGCAGTTCCTGGAGTCCTGGATCGGCCGCCACGGCCCCCTCCCCCCCGGCCTCACCTCGCTGCTCTGCGACTTCTCGCTCTCCGCGCCGCCCGCCGACACCAAGATGGCGCTGTGGCTGCTGTGGCTGTGGGGGCACACATCGCAGGAGCAGGAGGGGGAGCAGAGGCAGGGGCAGGGCGGCAGCGGGGGCCCTGGCAGCAGCGGCAAGGGGGAAGAGGAGGAGGGGAAGGAGGGGCAGCAGCAGTATGCGTACTGGCGTGAGGCGCTGTCTGCGCTGCCGCAGCCGGCCGACATGCCCAACGTGAGGGGGGGGGACTTGGGAGGGGAGAGGAAGGGGGAGGGGAGAGGGCGAGGGAAGGAGGGAAGCGGGATGAGGGGTGGGGCTGGTATGAGAGGCAAGGGGCAGTAAGGAGGAGGAGGAGGAGGGCCGTGGGGACTCCTTAGTCGCTTACAGAAACACACCGACTGTCGCCCGCCTCTCCAATAATCACCCCAACCCAACGCGCCCTCTCAACCCATCCACCCCCCAACCCCAACCCGTCTCACCCCCCACAGCTGGAGTTTTGCAGCGAGGACGAGCTGCAGCAGCTGCAGTGGCTGCCCTACTCCCTGCCCGCCGCCGTGCGCCGGGGCACCCTCGCCGCCTTCTACACCCGCTTCTGCTCCTCCACCCTGGCCGCTCTGCTGGGCTTCATGCCCGCTGCCACCGCCCCCGGTGCAGGGGAGCTGGTTTCGGAGCAGGGTTTGGAAGCCGGGCAGGGGTCGCAGCAGCAGGAATTTGATCCGTACGCGGTCATTGCAACGGCCAAAGCGGTTGAGGAGCTCGCGGAGGCGGAGTACGACGCGCAACAGGCGGAGGCAGCGGCGGTTGCGGCGCGGCGGTTGGCGCGAGTGGAGGCGGCGCAGTTTGGTGAGATGGCTAGCATGGGGTCAGCGCTAGCGGCGGAGGTGGAGGCGGCGGAGGCGGTGTCGGCGGCGGCGGCGGCGAGGACTGCTGCGGCGCAGAAGGCGGCGGAGGTGGCGGCGGGGGGGAAGGGCGGGCGGGAGGCGGCGGTGGCGGCGGCGGCGGGGCTGCGGCCGCTGCCTAGCTTCGAGCGGTTCCTGTGGGCTTACTGCCATGCGGCTGCTCGCAGTGCGGGCAACGGGGAGCGACTGGTGTTCATTCCCCAGGTGGGTGTGGGTGTGGGTGGGCGTGTTTAGGACACTGGCCGCGAGTAGGAACGTGTGTGTTTGTGTCCGTGTAATGCATGGCGTCCCACGGGTCACCGGCACTCCATCCAAGCCATGCCGGTCACCCCCCCTCACCGCTAACTCGTCCTCCTCGTCCTCCTCCCTCTTTCCCTCTCCTCCCCATGCACCATCCGGCTTGCTTGCTGACCTTCCTTCCCCCCCTCTGCCCCCCTCCCCTCTGCCCCCTCCCCTCCCCTGCCCCCCCCCCAGGTCGACCCCTGCCTCTACACCTGCGACCCCCAGGCCCCCAACACCACCCTCACGGTGGTGGCGGACCAGGAGGGCGGGCTGGCGGATCACTTCGCAGTGCTGGTGGCCAACAGGTGTGTGTGGGGGGGAGGGGGGGGGAGGAGAGGAAATATCTAACTGACCGTGTGATAAGGTGGGGAAACTGTCGAGGTGTGGAGGGGAGGGGGGAGGGGATGAATAGGGGGGGTCTAACCCGCACTGGCAGGAGCTCAGGATCCCTGGGGGGCACACGGGTAAAGAGAGGACGAAACGAAGTAACCGACGGGGGGGGGTGTCTCAACCATCGGTGTGGTGAGGGATGAGGGTGAGGGCTGAGGTGAGGATGCTGGGGCCTAGGTGCCTCTCATAGGTGTCAAAGCCCACCTTTCCTCCCTCCCCACTCCTCTTAACCTCTCCTCCCCCCCTCGTACCCCTCCTCCCCCTCCCCCCAGCCCCCTCTCCCCCGGCGAGCCGCTGCTGGCCGCCTCCCCCGTGCAGTCCCGCATGCCGCACTCGGGGGGCGGGTCCGCCGCGTCCGGCTCCACCACCCAGCTGCACTGCCTCACGGGGCTGGTTCCGGAGCCGGGGGGCAACCTGGCGGACCTGGTGGACTTCGAGCCGGAAACGGTAAGAGGGGGGGGGACAAGGGGAGGGCGGGGGGGGGAGGGACAAGGGGAGGGCGGGGGGGAGGGTCAGATTAGACCGAACCATTTGAAACCACAAAGGGCAAACATGGGGAATGAGGCGGCAGGGATGGACAAACCAGACGGAGGGGGAGGGGGGCGGGGGGAGGGGCTCTGGAGGAGTTGTTGTTTGCAAGCGCATAAGGAAGATGTTCATGTCCGTGCACGTGCCGCACGCGGGGGTCGTACGGCAGCCTACCTTACCTTGCATGCGCGGGCTCCTTCCTCCTCCAAGCCCCACTCATGCCACACGGCTAGTCAGCTCACCTTCTTCTTCACCCCTCTTCACCCCCCACCCCCCACCCAAGGGTACTCTGGAGGACCTGTGGTACAAGACGCTGATGGGGCAGGAGGAGGCCACCAGTTTGGCGGCGGTAGGGGGGGGGAGGGAGGGGGGGGAGAGCAGGGTGTCGGCGGGGCGGGGTGTCGGCGGGGCGGGGTTGGCATTGTAGTACGCAGGGTTCGCAATAGTTTAGATAGGAAGAGGGGCAGGAAGAGGACATGAGTTCCCGTGTCCCCCTTGTTCGTCTTCCCTCCTTTCCTACCCTCCTTCTCCCAGCAAAGACCCCTTATCCCCCCCCTCTCGCCCCCCTTCCCTCGCCCCCCCTGGCCCCCAGGTTACCGACCCCTACCTGCGCCACCTGTTGGACCTGATTGCCGCCGGGGTCAAGGTGGACGCCAACCAGCTGCCGCCGCTGCAGAAGCTGCTGCCGGGGTTCAAGGTGGGAGGCGGGGAGGGAGGTTGATAGGGCAGGGGGTGTGTGTGTAGGCTGCACAGCGGGCTGTTGGAGGATGTGGGGACAGCGATTAGGTGAAGGAGGGGGAAGGGAAAGGAGGGGGGGGTGTCTCACACGCGCATGTGTCCCATCCCACCCTCCTCAACCAGCCTCCCACACACGCAACTCCACACATTACCTTCCCCCCCGCAGCTCGTTTTACCAACCCACCCACTCATCCCCTCAAACCCCCCCTCCCCCAACCCCAACCCCAACCCCAACCCCGCCCACACATACACACCGCAGCTTTCCAAGCTGTGGGGTCCGGGGCTCATAGCGGGAGTACGACACATCCTCACACTCGAGGAGGCTGATCTCGTACCCATTGTGGAGGACGAGCAAGAACTTGTCGAGGCGTTGTACGACGATGAAGCCCTAGCACTGGAAGCTGCGGAGGCGCGGAGGGAGGCCACGGAGCCCGAACGTCTTGAGATGCTGCGGTTAACGGAGCGGGTGGGGGTTGATCTGGGGTACGGCAGTGAGGGGTTGCCGCCGTTACAGCCCGAGGTGTCGTACAGCGAGTACGAGGAGTGGCGGCGGAACCCGGCGAGTACGGAGATTGTGGAGGTACCGGCGGATCCGGAGATGCTGGAAACGGAGCTGGTGGGTGCTGGGGGGTGGTGGGGTTGTGTTGTTTGTGTGTTAACAGACCTTGGCCTCTGGTTCTCTGTGTGTGCTTGTGTGCAAGCATCTATGCGGAGCCGTGCTGTGCAGGTTGCGTGTGAGTGGGTGTGTGTATGTGTGTGTCTCCCCCCTTGTGACTCGGTACGGTTCTTGTTGGCACCCGCCTGGCCTGGTCCGCCCCATCTCCGCCTCCTCCCCCTCCCCTCCCCACACGCGGTCAGTTAGATGATTGCTCTATACCTCCCCTCCCCATTCTCATTTAAGACATTGGATATTCTTCTTTTCCCCTCCCTCCCCCCCCCAGGGTCGAGCCCAGTGGCGGCGGCTGCTGGCCGCCTGGAACTCGCTGCCTCGCCTGTCGCCCGACTCGCGGGTGCACGGCAGCTGCATGGAGCGAGCGCTGGGGGGGGCGCCGCTGCAGAGGGTGGGTACTGCGGGGGAGGAGGGGGAGAGTGTGTTAAGAAATCTGGCCGCGAGTAGGAACGTACTGGGATGTCGGAAGATGAAGTGTGTGTGCATGGGAGGGAGGGAGGTTAAAGAGGAAACAACTAACTGACTGAGGGATAAGGCATCAACATGGGTTGCAACATGCGAGCCAGCCCGACCCGCCCAGCCCGAATTAGCAAAGCGCGAAGCCAGGGAGGGAGGGAGGGTAGGAAGGAGGTGTGGGGAGGAACGGCGGCGCTCTCCAACCCTGAACTGGGGTTGATGGCAGCTCAATCTAGACCCTGGCACAACCGCACGACCCACTTAATAACACCCCACCCCCTCCCACCTCCCCCTCAACCTCCTCCCGCTCCTCCCCCAGTGCTTCCCCGACCCCAGCTCCCTGCTGCGCGAGGTGGGGTCCGCGGAGTCGCTGCTGGCCTCCCTGCGCGCCGTCTCCTCCGCGCTGCCCACCTCCCTGGAGCAGGACGTGGCGCTGCTGGCGGAGGCACGTGCGGCGGAAGAGGAGGAGGAGGAGGAGGGCAGCAGCGGGCGGAGGAGGAGCCTGGCAGATTTGATGAGGGAGGAGCAGGAGCGGGAGGGGGGTGAGAAGGTGGTGGTTGAGGGTTTGGGGTTGGGAGAGGAGGAGCAGCAGCAGCGGGGTAGGAAGGGTGTGGCAGGGCTTGAGGCGCCTGTGGTACCGGTCCGGAGTGCGCGCATGCTGGGTATTGTGGCGTGGCGTGCGGAGATGAAGCGCGTGTGGCGGAACATGGAGGGGCTGGTGGAGGCGTATTTGGAGGAGCTGCGGGAGGCGGCGGGGAAGCCTTGGGAGGAGGAGGAGGAGGGGGTTGGTAAGGAGGAGGCGGTGGTGGAGGGGGGTGATAAGGAGGAGGGCAGGGAGGAGGAGGGTGGTAAGAGCAAGGAGGGCGAGGGCAAGGAGGGTGAGGGCGAGTTGGAGCTGGAGGGGCCGGTGCGTTACAACTACCTCACTCGGGCTATGGTGGAGAGCTTTGCGGGAGATGGAGAGGAGGAGGAGGAGGGTGGAGAGGGCGAGGAGGAGGAGGGAGAGGAGGGGGATGTGGCGAGTGAGCAGCGGTAGCGGGACGGCAGATGGGACACAACAGCGGTAAGTGGCTTTAGATGCGTTTGTGCGACGTGCGATTCATTGGTAGGGAGGAGGGGTGTTGTCTGCGGAGCGGGGTTGGAGGGGTGTTGACCAGAAAGCGTTGAAGGACGGGACACATAGGACAGCTGGGGACTGGTGTGGCTTGTTGCAGACTGCAGACCCCCTCCCATGACTTACAGATTTACGTTACAGGTCGTGCATGCGCGGTACTGACGGACGCCATGCACGTGGTACGTAACCTAACTAACCTTGCATCTGCTATGAGCGCTAAAGATGCCGGGTAGTGGTGGTAGCCCCTGTCTGGCTTTCCTGGTGGGGAATGTGGGTTTCTATTAGATACGGAACGGAGGGGGGAGTTCCCACATGAGGATGAGGAACGGAGGGGGGGGAGTTCCCACATGAACGTGTTTCCTGTATTAGCTCCTGACGTATCTGTGTACGGCACATCATGCATTCATATGACGTGAGGAGGTTGGGCAGGAAACCCTTGCTTAGACGATACCACCGCTGCGGGTGCGGACTGCGTTCCATATTGGAGTTGCATGAAGGCACCTGGTACCGGTGCTTACCTGCCCCGCCTTTGACCTTTACGGCAGTGTTCCAATTTATGTATGCGTGTCGTACGGGGTGTCGTACGAGCCTTGCGTGAGTACTGGTGTAGTGGTGTTACCGTTGACGATGGACGGAGCAGGCTTGGTAAGAGTCGGGAGGGCTTGCATTGTAGACATTACGGATATGTGAGCATCAATCATTGTAAGCTACTGTGCCCCTTCCTCTGTACCCCCACCTACCCCTTCCACTGGCTGGCTCACATGTTGCAAACCATGTTGACGCCGTATGCTTCAGTCAGTTCGTTGTTTCCTCTTTACCCCTCCCACTCACACCCCCACCCACCTACCCCTCCCTCCCACACCCGCCCCCACCTACCCTTCCCTTCCCACGTCCTCCCCCGCCTACCCCTCCCTCCCACACCTACCCCTCCCACACCCGCCCCCACCTACCCCTGACGCCATCACGGTGTGGGTGCGCAGGGCCCGCATCGCCGCCTCCGCTAGCAGCAGGCGGAGGACCTCGCTGCGTGTGGACACCCACACGCGCCGCCCCTGCCTGCGCAGCCCGGGCAGCTTGCGGGCGCCGCCGTCCCCGAACACGGTGCTGTAAGGGAGTGAGTTCGCCAGCACCTCCTCCTCCGCGCCGGCGCTGCCACAATAGATCGCCCCAATCAGTGCGTGTCCCACGTCGTGGTACCCGCACTTCTCCTCCAAATCGTGCTGCCATGCCTCCCGCATCTCCTTCACAGTGTCCGTATCCTCCACCTCGTGCACGGCAGGCGCTGCGGCGCTGGGGCAGTAAGCATGGGATGCCAGCGCTGATTGCTCGCCATCCCGGCTGTGCCGAGCCGGCATTACTGTAGCCCCCGCCTCCGCCGTTATGACTGCTGCCACCGGTGCGCTGGCAGCCTCAGCGGCAGCCCACCACCTGCAACATGCTCTTGTGCCCTGACGTTGCTGCTGCTCCTCCGCTGTCCGTGCCTGCTGCTGACGATGTAGATGGGGACTCCGACGGGCTGTGAGCCCACCCCTGCATGGGAATCATGCGCTGCACAACCGTTGCATGCATGGGGCAGATCCACGGCGGGTCCAGGCAGTGCATTGCGTATATGCCATGCCAGCTGGCCGTCCGGCATGTCGCATAACAAGAGTGTACTGGCGGGCTGGCCACTGCCGCAGACCACGCAAAGGAGCCGCGGATCTCCTACTTGGCACCTCCTTAACGCGCCCCTTTCTTCTTGCATAATGACAACCTCTTCTCCTGTTTCCACTCGGCGGTGGACCATGCCCTGCTGTGGCATTGCTGGCCTGCGTCTACACTCCTTGCGCCCATGGCCATGTTCCTCTGGTTCTTTTCTTTTAACATGTATCGATGACTTATCTGATTGAATGCCCAATAGCCCTGTTGCCTTAGGATAAGTGACCGGCGGCGCGGCACATGACTTACTAGTGTTCCTACGCAAGGGGGCTTCTTCCTCAAGTCATCTCGGTTTCTGGTAAGCAAGCAATCGGTAAGTTCTTGAGTTGCGTGTTCCTAGAATAGTGTCTCCGAATGCACTCACTGCATGAGTCGGGATTCGGGACTGGGACTCCGCTGCTGCACTTCCCTTTTATCCTTCCTGTCCCTGGACATGGCGGCTGGCCCTTCACGTGGTTTCCCGGTACACACCTCTTTGTGTACCTAGGTACGTGTTTTAACATGTGTCGGTCTGTGTTGTTTTTTATGAGTGCTCGTGTTGTGCTGTTCCTGCTGTTGGCGTATGCCCCACGGCGCGGTGGGTCTCCACCTCACCTTCAGCAGCCTCCACACATGCCCAAGCCTATGGTAAGGTTTCTCCATAATTGGTAAGTTCGGTAAGTTTAGCTCGCTTTGCTTTCACCACCATTTCGGCTCGACTCACGGTTCATTTCACCAGGGATTGTCAGCAACTTATATCATTATCACACCACACTTTGGAATTTCTTTTTTCCCCCCCTTACCCCTCCCACCTACCGCCCCCCCCCCCACCTAAGCCTCCCTCCCACACCCGTAGCCACCTACCCCTGCCCCCCCACCTACCCCTGCCACCCCCACCCTCCCCCATCTACCCCTCCCACCCGCACCCACCCCTCCCCCTCCCTTTCCTTCCCTCCTACTCCCGCCCCCCTCCCCCTCCCTTCTTCCCCCGGCCCCATCTACCCCTCCCTCCCACACCCGCCCCCCTACCCCTCCCTCCCTCCCCCGCCCCCCCTACCCCTCCCTCCCGCGCCCGCCCCCACCTACCCCTCCCTCCCACACCCGCCCCCACCTACCCCTTCCCTCCCACACCCGCCCCCACCTACCCCTTCCCTCCCACACCCGCCCCCACCTACCCCTCCCTCCCGCGCCCGCCCCCACCTACCCCTCCCTCCCACACACCCCCCCACCTATCCCTCCCACCCACACCCGCCCCACCTACCCCTCCCTCCCTCCCCCGCCCCCCCTACCCCTCCCTCCCAAACCCGCCCCCACCTACCCCTTCCCTCCCACACCCGCCCCCACCTACCCCTCCCTCCCACACCCGCCCCCACCTACCCCTCCCTCCCACACCCGCCCCCACCTACCCCTCCCTCCCACACCCGCCCCCACCTACCTCTCCCTCCCACACCCGCCCCCACCTACCCCTCCCTCCCACACCCGCCCCCACCTACCCCTCCCTCCCACACCCGCCCCCACCTACCCCTCCCTCCCACACCCGCCCCCACCTACCCCTCCCTCCCACACCCGCCCCCACCTACCCCTCCCTCCCACACCCGCCCCCACCTACCCCTCCCTCCCACACCCGCCCCCACCTACCCCTCCCTCCCACACCCGCCCCCCCTACCCCTCCCTCCCACACCCGCCCCCACCTACCCCTCCCTCCCTCCCCGCCCCCCCTACCCCTCCCTCCCACACCCGCCCCCACCTACCCCCTTCTTCTTTTTACCACTCTTCTCCCGCAACCGACTACGTTTCCTACATTTGCTGCCCTCTTATATCTACACGTCCATTGTCCAGCTGGTCTCAAACAGGCCTTCATTTTCACTTACCTGCGCTTTGATAAGAGGCACCATTATGCTACGCTAGATAAATCCGGCACAATCTATACGGCACGCTGTTGTGATTGGTGTATCGTGCACCTCCATATCGGTATATCAGATCTTATTGTCCATGCCAATATATGCCGTACAGGCTGATATGTTGTCGTACATCGTTTGGCAAACTGTAATCATGCATTGCCAACTGTGCCGTGGTTCGTAAAGGCCCTGAACCCTTGATTCAAGATCATAGCTTAAGGCGTGTAAGACGTCGTCGGCGAGTGACTAAATTGTGCGAGTGAGGCGGGATAGCGGGGCGGGAGCACTCCTTGGCGTGACGAGGGTAGGCCACAAGCACCCCCCTGTCCGCCCCCAACCATTCTGTTACATGGAATGCCGTCAGGCAGAATAATTAATGTATTACTATCTAGGTAAACAGCTTCATACCAGAACATACACATAATCCGTTGCGATTGATTCCACGGCCTAGTCCTATGCACGCAAGGCGTCTCTCCTCCTTCACTCCGTCACTGACATACATACGTAGCGCCAAATCTTGGTTAGCTCATCAACTGTGGCTGAGGACAGCGGTCGTACATGGTGTCGTACGTTCCTTCGGCAAGTCCGGAGTAGGCAGGAAAGGTAGCGACGGCGTGACGACCGATGGCTGCGAGGTGTTGCCAAGGCGGTTAGGATGACATCTAGATTGGCATCTCGCATGAACTTGGATCTGCTGTTGGTAAGCTCTTGTGACAATTCGTTGACCTTGTCGGGTACGAGTACGGGTACGGGTACGGTACCTGCATCGCCACCCGCATGGGGTCGGGAGCAAAAGACAAAGGGATGTCGTTAATTCCACAAATTTCTTAGCAAGGAACACAGAGATATCGAGCAAGTTACATATCCCAGAGTTTCTAAGTGCACACCAAATGTAGCAAACCGCAAGCCTGTACTCGAACCTACATCCTTTTAGGTGGCCGGCCATGTAAGACCTACGGTGCATATAAAGGGTTGGAGGCCCGGGCCTAAGCTTCCCTCTGGGCAACGCCGGCCAGCAGCGATAAGGATGCTGGACATTCTCGCGGACGTCCTCAGTTGCTACTGGAGCAGCCGTTACCGCGATTGCTACCTGCACACAGCGAGTAAGATTTGTAAAAGAGTTATACATGGCAATTCATAGATGTCTGCGAAGTCTGCGCTTACATGCCGGTAAGTACCGTAAACCCGCAAGGTTACGCTTGCGGGTTCTCCATCATAAGAGCCTACTTACATTATTCTATTCTAGATTCGCTAAAGCACAGCTCGGCAAAGTGTTAACTCCGTCCCTCCGGCATGGCGGAAATGCAGGCAGACAGTAGTCAGCGAAAAGAAGACTGAGGTCCACAGTCCACAAAAGCGACCATGATGCTGTCTCCCGTGGAAAGAGATGGACGCCGCAGGGATGACATGGCTAGACTACAAGATGTAGGTTTTGGCCGCATGGTATAGCCAAACGTTCCTCACTGCCGTTAACGAAGAAACAGTTTGAAGCTGTGCTTCCTTTTGATCTATGTCATCACTGGAGAAAGCAGCAGCGTGAGTTTATGGTTTCTACATCGAAAACCGAGTCTGCTATCAGCGCAGTTTATTTATATGTGTTAAATGGTAAAAGCTATATAACGGTTATCGAGATAGTAAAATATATGTTGATGGGATAGGAGAAAACTATAATTATTGAGAGAGGACTTGCGCCTTAAGTTAGGAAGCGAGGATTAGCTGTCTCGTCAATACGCCGTACATGCCTTCTCAAGGCTACTTCTCCTGTGTAACTTCCGCTTCCTACTTCCCTAAACGACTAGCGTTCCTTGACACCTGCTTATAAAAGAAATACTGTGATAGCCGGGGGTCGGTGTTTGCATCTAGCTACTGGGACTTGACATGGGCATGTAAACCAATGCCGCCGGCTGCATAACATGATGCTTATTAACCACGTGCACCGAGTGTGTAAGCCTTTCCTATGGCGTTGGACTACGTCTCTTTGAGGTCATTGTGACGTGCCTGTCAGGATGACACTGGACAAGGGGGTGTCAGCCCATTTCGTAACACTGTTCCCACCAATTTACGTTGCAAGCCGTCTTTCATCATTTCGTCTTCCTTCATACATTTGCGCTCATCTCATCTCACCTCCGCCAACCTCCAGCCACAAACAAAGCCACAAAGCTCGCATTACCATGCTCAAAACCCACCCGCGCACGTTCGCCATTCACACAACATGATCAGCCTGCCGTCCGGTACGGCAATCCTAGAACGCCAAAATCTAATCTTCATGCACGCTTGCACTCCTAGCGTTTTTGGGGGGGGGCACAGGACGCGGACCATCTATGCCATCCAGATCTCGTACGTGAAGCCCTTCTTTTTGCAACCGATTGCCAAGCGGCCGCAAGGTCCCTGGCGGCAGAATTGAATGCTCTGGAGAAAGAATCGCACAGTTGTCGTACATACACACACGCACCTGTTCCTAAAGCAGGGTAAGCGCTAAGCAGCACACCACCTCCCGGCCAAGCCCGCCCCCTCGCCTAGCCTCCTTGCGCTGCTTGCCCGGTCATCAAGCCTCCTTTTATCTACTGTTGTGTTCACCTACGTTATCCTACATAGCATACCCCTAATATAGCGCACAAACATGCACTCGTCACCCACACTAACATTGCACACGGCGGGTACTGCCTCCACACCGAAGGCCCTCTCCACACCACCTCCTTCCTCTTCCCCCTAAACAAGCACCTTCACTGTCACCCACAGTCCTAACCACAAGTGTCCTAACCAATGCTTCACGTCTGCTGTCCTACCCGCGCTCAGAACTGTTGCTGTCATACGCAAATTCTGCACAATGACATGCCGGCACATATCGGAACACACAAAAGGACCAGTTCGAGGGAAACAATGGCACTGCACGCGCAAGAAACACGGGCCACACGCTCAGCCACTAACAACCCCTAGAGAGCCGCCCCCACACAGACCCGCCTTCATCAATGAAGGACGCGGCTGCTTGCGGCCTCTGTCGCCACACACCTGCCATCTATCACATGTACGGCAATACACTCTGGGTGCTGCGCACAAACCAAGCTGCGCAAAGCACCCCTTACTGCACAGCCCAGAATTCGCAGCCAAAATTGGAAGAACCTTAGAAAGTGAGATCACGAGACTAGACACACAGCCATGCAGCTGCCACACTGCTCCAACTCGCAGCCAGTCTTCTTAACACACGTAATTCGTGTCCCTCACCCCTCACCCCTCCCACATGACACCTCATGTGCGTCACACACCGGTTCAACCACCCGCCACCCCCTCCTTAGCCGCCGCCGCTCATCTGGATGAACCGAGATATTGTGAAGGCGATGGCTGAGAAGGTACCAAGGATGGTGATGACCGACTTGATCTGTGGGGAGAGACAGGGAAAACAGGGACAGGTGAGGCCGTGGGGTGGGGAGCAAATAGTAGTCAAGCGCTGGGGCCGGGACCGGGCGGCCGGAGTGGGAAGCCTACAAAACAGCAAGCGGCAATCGAGCCGCTTAAGCCCCGCGCTAGTCCGCTTGTTCGCACACTCGCGGCACATACCACCACACAGAGGCCGCCACACCCACACCGGTAGCCTACCGTGTCGTTCTTGGCCTTCTCGACGCTCGACTTGAGCTCGTTAATTTCCTGCACAGGCGGGAAGCACGGCCGCAGGTTGCCCCGGTGCGTGAGAGACGTGAGGTCCGGTGTGCTGGTAGGGGGAATGCATGCGGCGAGTCTGGTCGCATGCTGTAATAAGCGGGTCTCATCCCACGCAGGCATGGACCACCTCTGTCCACCTGCCCCGAACCCCGCCCTGACCCCCCGTCCTGGCCCCCTCCAACCCCACCATGCGACCCCCTTACCCGGTCAACTTTAATCTGCAGGTCCGTCGTCTTGTCGCGAATCACCATGAGCTCATCGCGCATGCGCCTGGCAACAAGGCGTGGTGGGGGCGCGGTCGGGCGGGAGCAACGGGGGGTGGCGAGGGGCCGGGTTAGGCAACGGGGCGACGGGTCCAGTGTGCTGTGTGCGGTGTGTGAGGCATGCCAGGAGCCGCTAAGAGTGCCAAGGTGTAGCAGGCGGGGCCGCGAGACCCTGTCCATGTGCGCATGGGGGGGGGCCTAAAGCACGAGGTTCGCCTTGCTTGCAGCGCCCGGGTCTAGCTGAGCAGTCCTGGTCGCGGCAAAGGCCCCTCATTCGGGTGGGCGTGGGCCGTGTTGCGACAACTTCCCCCCCTCCCGCTTCTCCTCCTGTGGTTTTCTATGGTATGGTACGGTCTTTGAACCCCCCCTCTCACCCCTTCTCCAGGTTCATGTCCAGCCGCTGGCTGGCGGTCAGCTTGTCGATTTCGTGCCTGAGAGGGCGGGTGAGCGGGTTGCGGCCAGTCGTCGTTTCAGCAGCAGAAGGGTGGAAGGAAACAGGCGCCGGGCATCAAGCGGAGCCAGGTCAGGGGCAGGCAAGTGTCCATGACACGCGCAGCCCGCTACGCCTCCCCTCAACACATGCCCTCCCTGCCAGCGTTCATACTGTATCGTTTTGTATCCCGCCCCCACAAACCTCTGCTCCCTGGCTCCCCGTGCCTCCCCCCATCCCGGTCCTCCTCCCCGCTCTCACCTGACCTCCGCCTTCATCTTGTCCAGGTAGCTCTGCTGCTGCTCCAGGTCCTTGTCCATGGCCGCGTGGTGCATGTCCTGGAAGGGGCGGGGAGGGGCGGGAAGGGGCGGGGACAGGAGGGAAGGAGAAGTGGGGTGCAGAGGAGAGTGAGGGGAGGAAGAGGGGTCACAAACCGTGGGGCGAACAGGGGAAGCATGGAGCTTCGGTGCTTACCCTTGAACACGCCTACACGGCCCGTACAAGTCCCCACCTGTGCTTTTTGGAGCTCCGTTTTGAATCCTTGGATCTTGGCTGTCTGCTCGAGGATGACCTGGGGGTAACGGTCACGAAACCGCAAGATGGAGGGAAAAGGCGTACAAGGTGGAATGGTTACGAGGTGGGCTGGCGTTAGCACGTATGGCCTGCTTATAACGGACCCTGATGCCGCCATCCTCTGACCGTTGAACAGGTCCCGGGTAGGTCCCAAAGGACATGGAACCCTTAACTGACATCGCTGTTTGACATCGGGCGGCAAGCAAAACGCCGACGTGGACCTTGGCCCCGCACGAAACACCTCAACCGTTGCCCTGACAAGACCCAAAGCCTTTGCCCCTTGCTGAACGCGTCTACTGCAATCCCGTACCTTCTCGAGCGTTGCCTGCTTCACGAAAGCTTCTTCCATTTTGAGTTTGTTCTCAATGATGAGCTCAGTAATTTTCCTAGCGAGTCGTGACGCGTCGGCACGCTGCATGCCGGCATCCTCAAAATCGGATTCCTGCATTACACCTGAGCGCGTTAGCCGAAGGCTTGCGTGCAGCCAGCGAGGCGCGGTAGCTGGATGAAACCGATAGGTAACGTCCCTACCAGCTCCATTGTATCCACCAGGAGGTGCTTCCGAAGTAGCTGTCGGCGTGCATCTTCGCCACCAGCGGAAGAGCCATAGCTGCGGCAAGTAGCAGATAATGCTCCCACACATGAAGCACGATGGGCAAGCGCTGTACAAGCTAGCTGACCCAGCAGGCCGCGATGTTCTTGATGCTGTATAAGAGACCCTATTCGCGTCGCAAAGGACTTCGCTTGCGACATCCCAGAAAGAAGGTATCCGTCTGCTCAAATTTCTTGAATTTGATACTTTGTAAAAGTTGGATAGTAAACACTTAATTAGCAGTATGGTGGTCACATAAATACTGGCATGTGTGTTGCCTTGGGCTATGATGCGCCCTTGTTTTGTACGTGAAGCCTGCGACACATGCAGGCTCCCAGTGTTAGCGCATGCAGGAAGTACAAAGCTTTGGTAATATGTTGAAGTTTGACTAATACAGTTCCAAAATTAAGCGCCTCCTGCACGCAAAAGCGGACGTGCTTGCATGCAGCTGCGGACAGATAACATGGTAGCCGCGCATGTACGTGCAGCAAGCATCTATGTATGCTTACAAACGACCTACAGCTTAGATACACTTTGAGTTTCGTCCACAGTTAGCTGCGCTGGCTGCGGCCCCCGTCGCCGGTTGGTCAAGGAACGGGGCCTTGAGCCTTGGGGACGCTGCTATCCGACCCAAATCGTGCTTTACCTCGCGCCCGTCGACTACTCGTCAGGCTCCTCCTATGGTCGTCCACCCCTCATAGCACACCACCTTTTACGCGCTATGAAGCTGCATGGGGCAGCTTGTAGCTCGCCTATGGCAACTGATCAGCTGGACCCAAAAATCATGTTCACCCCCCATCTAAGCCCCTAAACTCCCCCTAGTTGGGTGCTACCGGGTATTAGGCCGCGGCTGCAGCAGTTGAGGGCGATTGGTGTTACTGCGACAGCACCAGCAGCTACCAGCAAGCAGGAACGCAAGGCGGTTTACTACTTCACGGAGAGTAGAGGCGAAGGCAGCGGCGGCGCCTGTCTCATTACATGCTTCCGCGCCCGCACCTGCATCACCCCCATCATCCGCAGCACTGCCCCCCGCCACAACAACATCAGTTCCGCCATCATCCCCGTCAGCCCAAGCTAAGCAGCAGCCCGCGGCTGTCCCACGGGTCACTCACCTCCCCGTTACATGCAGCCCCAGCCCCTCTAGCCTCCATCCAGCCACCCAGCCCGGCTCCCCAACCATGCCGTACCCACCGAGTCGTACTTCCCATCGGGCTGTCGTCGTACTGTCGTACGGCACCCGCAAGCCGGTTGCTACTGCTGCCAGCTGCCGCGCTGCCGTACAGTTTGGGTTTGCTGCAGCTGCCTGCTCCCGTTCCCTCCGCCACCTCCCTGCCTGAGGACCCGCCGCTGCGGAGCGAGCTCATTGACCTCACTGCCGATATAAAGCGTTGCGGAACGTGGCAGCAACTGAGGTGTGTGTTTGTGGGGGGGAGGGGGGCAGAAGGGCGGGTGTGTTTAGCTGAGGAAGTCTTATATCTCGGCCGTTACAGGCAGCAAGCTCACTGTACCGCCTGATCCTTCTCGCAGGAGGCTTTACTGGAGGCACCGGACGAGGCAGGGCGCAGTCAACGTGGTATCGTACTTCACTCGTCTGGCGGCGCTACTGCCTGACCTCCCAGCCCTGCTACTGCCGCTCGGCGACGGCGGCGATGCGGAGGAAGACGAAGCGGCGGCGGCGGCAGGCTCCATACACAGTGCTGACGGCGCTGTTGATACGGCTGGTGCTGCTGCTGGAGTGGGAGGGGGAAGGGAGGAAGGGGGAGGCTTGAGGAGGAAGAGCCACACGGGGCGGGACGCTGTAGCCGCCAGGGGTTGGGGATATCATGGACGGGGTAATGGTGGCGGCAGCTGGAGTGCTGGAGGCAGGGGGGCCGGTGGTACCGTTGGAGCCGGCGGAGGTGGGAGGGGGCGGGGGAGGACGAGCGAGTCGCTGACGAAGGCAACGGCGGCTGCAGCACAGCAGCGGATCGGCGATGTCGAACGAGCGGCGTTGCGACAGTTCATCGTACGGCTGATATACGACGCTTGCTGGTGCGTTTTGGGGGCTCGGTTGGGGATGACTCTTCAATCGAAGCCACGTCCAGGCCTGAGTCTCCACGCCACTCTGCCCTTGTCCGTTTCTCACAGCCGCCCTTGCATACCGCCCAAAGCACGGTGCCCACTATCACCTCACTCACCTGTCACCTGTCACCCCCCTCCTTTACAACTCCCATCTCCCAACCAACCGACCAATCGACCAACACTTCTCTCAACTCCTCCTCCCACAGCTTCACCCAGGAGCAAGTGGCCGCAGGCCGGCTGGACGAGCAGCTCCAGAACCCGCCCCAGCCCTGGGACACGGAGGCCTTCCAAGCCTACCTAGCAGACGAAGCCACCGGAGGCGGCCCGGCCGCCGCAATTGCTACGAGGGCTGCTGCCGCCGCTGCTGCTGCACGGGCCCCTGCCCCTGCCGCTCCTGCTAGGCCTGGATCCAAGGCTGCGCAGCGCGACAGGGCTAACAGGGGGGCGGCTCCTGGGTTACGAGCGGGGGCCGCAGCTGTGGCGTTGGCTGCGGTGGCGTCGGCGGCGGTGGATGCTGTGACTGCTGCAGTGGATGAGGGCTGTAGCAGTGAGGAGGATGTGAAGGGAAAGGAGGAGGAGGAGGAGGAGCAGCAGCAGGAGCAGAGAAGCAGGCCGTTATCTTTTTGGGAGTGGCTGGGCGGGCGACCTGAGCTGTGGGTGGACCCCCTGGCCAGCCGGGTCATGGGGGGACTGCAGCATTGGGACAACACGGGGGGCAGTAGTACTGCTGGTGCTGGTGCTGCTGCGGAGAACACCAGCAACTGGAGGAGCCACGCGTCCTTTCGTACTAGCAGCAACAGCACTCGCGGGATAAGCACCAGCAGCAGCAGCAGCAGTATGAGCAGCAGCAAACGTGTCGTTCCCCTGTGTTTCGGTCCGCTAGAGCTAGCGACCATAGTCTGGGCCGCAGCCCGGCTGCAGCTGCATCGAGCGGTTCCGGAGCACTTCCCCTGGCTGTTGCATGACATCATGTACGGCAGCTACAACCAGATGTCGTACTTTGACGGGCGGCAGTTGGCTCAGTTGTCGTACAGTCTCGCGCAGCTGGGCCCTGCGGCGGTCCCGCCTGCGCGGTGGGGTGCGCGGTTCCTGGCCGCTGCTGGGGAGCGAATGGGGGAGATGGATTCGCAGGTAAGGTAGAGGGTGAGGGAGGTGAAGGGGGTCAAAAGTATGAGCTCTTGTTAGCAATGCATGGCGTTGTAAGGGCAGCTGGCAAACCCGTGGGGAGACGTCTCAGACGCACCCATGCACCATGCATGTAAGCAGAGCCGGGCTTACCAGGACACAGCACTCCACGATTCTGGTGTGCTTGTGGAGGGTGTGCGTGCGTTGGGGCCCCGCATCAAACCGCCTCCTCCCACCTCCCCCCCCCCCACCTCCCACCTCCCTCCCTCCCTCCTCCGCAGTCGCTGGCTAACCTGGCCCACTCCCTGGAGCCGCTCAACCTGCGACCCGACCCCGCCTGGCTGCGACACCTGCTGGCGGCCTCGGGGACCCGCATGCTGCAGCCGGGGGCGGGGGCGGGGACGGGGCCAGCAGCGGGGGCCCGCATGCTGAAGCCGGGTGTTGCAGCGGGGACGGTGAGGGCGGCGGGAGCAGCGGTGGGGGCGGTCCCCCTCGGGGGTCCGCGTGCCGCCCTGTCGCCGTCGGAGCTGACGCAGCTGAGCTGGGCGGTGTTCCGAGCGCGGGAGAGGTGAGAGGTGGGGGTTTAGAAGGGGGGTGCACGGCATCGTGTGTGTGCTATTGTAACAACAACCGAGCAGCGTAACTGTACTGCGGGTGTGTACGGGTCGTGTACGGTGTGTGTGCCGTACGGTGTGCCGTACGCGGGTGCTTGGTTGTATAATACTTCTCAAGGTTTTCATGACCCCACCCAACCCTTCCTTTACCCAACCCGACCCAACCCACCCACGCACGCACACAAACCAATAACCGGCTCCCCGCCTGGCTCACCATCAGGCTGTACCGCCCCCACCAGTGGGCAGCGGAGCTGCGGTTGGCAGCCCGGGGGGCGCTGCGGCGGCGGCCCGGGGCCCGCCACCTGCTGCCTGCGTCTCCGGGGCTAGGGGGCCTTCATACCCACACAGCTGTGGCTGCAGGCATCGCTGATGCTGCTGGGGCTGCAGCTGAGGGTGCTGCAGGTGTGGCTACTGATGCGGTTGCTGCGCCGCCAAGCACTTGGGGTGCTACTGCTGTAGTAGCCGGTGTGGCTGCTGCGCCTTCAAGCGTTGGGGAGGCTAGCGCAGGGGGTCGCGGTGGGCCTAGCGGTAAGCCCGGCGAGGGGGATGAAACCAGTTCGGATGGCGATGGTACGCTCGAGAATGACCCATGGGTCAGTTGTCAGGGCGTTGACGCACTGCTCGCCGCCGTTGCCACGTCAGCTGACAGCAGCAGCAGCAGCGGATCTAGCCATAGCCGAAACGGGGCACCCAGCGGCGGTGCTGGTAGCGATGGCAATGGCAGCGACGGCAATGGCGACAGCAATGTCAGCGAGGCGGAGTGTTGCCGCCTGGCAACCTGGCTGCTGTACCAACCGCCGGAAGTGCTGCTGCGGCTGCGCAAGTGCCTCAGGACAGGCGAAGAGGACTTCTGGACTTCCATAGGGCCCAAAAACCCACATCAATACCATCAATACCAACATCATCATCATCATCGTCATCATCACCAGCAGCAGGAGCAGCCTGATCGCCAGCAGCAACACACCTACCGGGACACAACCGCCTCCGCACCAGCCCCCCGCCTCCTCCTCACCACCCTCCACACCGCCTGCTGGCCCGGCCCCGCCTGGCTCGACGCCCTAGCCGCCGCCGCCACCTCCCAACTCACCTCCCCCGCCTTCCGCGCCCAAAACCTCGGCATCATTCTCTGGTCGCTAGCCGGTCTGGGATACCGTCCTCCCCCCGGATGGCTGCAGCCGTGGCTGCTGCGCGCTGCAGTGCTTCAGCCTGACTTCAGGCCGCCTAACCTGGTTAGTGTGCTGTGCGCGCTGAGTGCATGGGGAGAGGCGCCGGAGGGCTGGCCGGCGGCGGCGGCGGCGGCGCTGCGAGTCGCTGCCGTACGATTGGTGCCGTCGATGGACGCGTCGGAGCTGCGACTGACGGCGTCGGCGCTGGCGCAGATACGCGAGCTGCCGCCGCCGCCGCCGCCGGTGGCTTCGGAGGCTTCGGAGGCGGGGGCGGCGGAGGTGGCGGAGGTGGCGGTGGAGGTGGGGGTGGCGGGAGGTTTTGAGGGGAGTGGCGGCATTGGGAGTAGCTGGGATAGAGGCGGGCGAGGAGGAGGAGCAAGAGGAGGTGTGGGTGGGCGGGACGGCGGCATGATGGTTGAGGGGCGGAGGGTAGGGGGTAGGAGGGGCAGTGGAGAGGGCGATGGCGGGGGTGGCGGTCGGGAAGGGTGGGATGAGCATGGGAGGAGGAGGGGCCAGATGGTGGGTCCACCGCTCTTCATATCTTCCGAGAAGTCGACTTTGGAGACCAGCGGGCAGGATTCCCAACACCTTCACCAACTTCATCAGCATCATCAGCCACAGCGGATGGGTGCACAGCATGGGTCACGACCCATGGGTCATCGCCACCTTGACCCCCGGGTCGCCCAGCTGTTGGTAGACCGCACGGTTCAGCTGTCACAGAGCTACAGCCCTCGTCAAATGGCCCAAATGCTGCAGCTGCTATTCCTACGGTTGGACTGCTACTCCTCAGCTCCTGCTGCTGCACCTGCTCCTGCTATTATTACTACTCACCTCAGTCCTGATGCCGGCCTTGCAGCGCTACAACAGATCTTGTACGGCAATGCCGTATACCTCGAACGTCTCGCGGGCAGGAGTGCCGTACAGCTACGGCAGCAACAGCAGCCGCAGCAGCAGGGGCGTCAGATTCGACGGCGTCTGACGTCACGACGCCTGCGGGATGCCGTACGTGAGTTGGGCGCAGCGGCGCTTGAGTCCGTGAAGACGTTGGCGGCGGCGGGGGCGGGGGCAGGGACAGGGGAAGAGACGGAGGCTGGGGGGAGTAGGGGCAGGGGATGGGGTAGGGGTAGGTTGGGTGACGAGGGGGCTGCTGCGCTGCTGCCTCGGCGGTGGTGGCGGGTGTATTTAGCTGTGATGGAGGTGGCGGTGGGGGAGGAGGAGGAGTGAGAGCTTAGAAAGAGAGTTAGGCTAGCGGTAGCTGAGCGGTGAGGTGAGGATCCTAGGTAGGTTGCGGCATGTAGGGAGTGCTACCTGTATTAGAGGGGCGGGGTGTAATAGGCCATGCATATTGCAGCATGCAGCAGCGGGGAGCGTTGTGGGTGCAGGAACACACGGGTGCAGGGAAGGCTATTACATGCATCGGAAGCACCAGCCTGCATGTCGACGACACGGTGAAATGTGTTCCCATGACGTGCTAGCTAGCAGTGCAGCTGTCTAGGGGTGTAGAAAGCGGTAGGTGTGCTGCAGGGACCGTCGAGACCGTGACGAGGCACAAAGTGGCCGGTGCATGAATGACCGTTACAGTGGTTGTTGGGCAGTCACATCAACATGTGATTACCATCACTACTACTATTACTACCCCCACTACCACGAAATCCTCCGGACACCTCCCTTTACAATGGCCGTACATCATCTCAGCGCACACACCCATACCGATACTTACACAAGTGCGCGCAAACCGCACTAACGCAAACCTCCTTCTCATCATCATCCCTGGCTGGTGCTAGCTGCTGTTGGCATCGCATCCGTGGTTTGTGTTTACGGAGTTGTAGAGAAGTCCCTTGCCTGCCACCTGCTGAGCCGATCGAGCACAAAGTCAAACCCTTCTATCTCGCACACTCTCTCCCCTTACGGCGAGTTGCATTGCTAGTTTAACTACCAGTCATCGCCAAGCAAGTCTCTCCTGCTAACCCACTCCAAGCTGCTAGAACCGCACTTCTCTCTCTTTACCTCTCCATGCATGGGACAGATGCATGATGTTGCGCCCACTTAGCATCACTAGTATACAACGGCCCTCTACAACACTAGATGGAGTACAACTCTTTACCAAATCTCTCCTGCTGCCTGAACCAAGCACACACCAGTACGTTCCTACTCAGGGCCAGCTGTCATAACATACTCTCCTCTTTCTCTCTGGGCATGCATGTCCTGCTTGCACCACAACGCATCACACCAGAGCTCCAAACCTCCATTCGCAAGGTAGCTAGGTCTGCTGCACCCGCTGAATGCACAGCCCCGGCACTCACACCCTTGTTTTGTGGCATCCTGCCGCCTCCCTCCCTATCTTTTCTTGCCCCAATGTGTGGGTTGGTTTAATTTGTATAATCCTCACTCCCTAGACCTGCTGCTGCACCCCACACTCCTCCCCCATCATCGGTCCACCTTGAGCTCCTGCATGTCCAGCAGGTTGGGCCCCACCTCCACCTCCACCTGCATGCGGTTGGTGGTTGGGAAGGTGATTGGATTGCAGGAACAATTTAAGACTAGGAAGAAGGCTGGCTAAGGAAGGGCAAGGAGCATGGCGGGATTAGGGATGCGTAATACGACTAGTGCCAAAGTAACGCATACATTGCAACGAACGGACACCGGCATTTGTGACGTACGTGTTGTAAACATGAAACATAAGGGGGCATGCATGTGCGTTGTTACCGGTAATTGCTGTTTGACGATTGGATGGGTGGGCAGGGGTTGGTTCCAACAACAAAACGGACTCCATAACTCCCTAAACCTCACATCACATACAACCAACCCCCTGCAGCCCATCTCTCTTACCTCTAGAGGCACCCGCAACTTCGCCGTACTCTCCATCGTATCCCGTACAATCTTCGCCACCATCTCCACCTCCCGCTCCGGAACCTCAAACACCAACTCGTCGTGCACCATCAGCAGCAGCCGAGCGGCCGACCCATGGGTCGCCAGCTGACCCACGGTTCGCACCATGGCGCTCTTGACGATGTCCGAGGTGCTACCCTGCGCTCGCGTGCACAACGCAGCAACCCAGGGTGGTTATTATTGTTTGTTGCGGCCCACAGCAGCAGCAGCCTCGAGGAGCAGAGAGATTGAGCGAGGAACAGCGGTCCCGTGTTCCCTTTTAGGGAACCATTGTAACGGTCATTCATTCATTCAGACACAATGAGCACCCTAGCGAGCACCGAGCGAGAAACAGCAGCCATGGTTACCGTAAAACCGTAACTGGCACACACCGTGTCACACACAGCAGGAAGCAAGGGCAAGCAAGGGGTGCCGTAGCTACGATGCCAAGTCGGTTTTGCTTCTGGAGGAAATCCTCTGGGACCCTTCCAAGTTCATCTGAAGCACACCTCATGTGTAGACCTCCCTCCATACCAACAACAGTCCGAACATAGGCGTCGACCCTCATCACACTCGTCCACACTCGTTACCGCCGCCGTGCTGACCTTCCCCATGTCCCCACCTCTCCACCTCCACCTCCATGATGGCGCCTTATCACACGGTTCGTTGGTCGTTTCCCTATACCACCTCCACCCCCTACGTACCTGGAAGCTCATGTTTCCCAGCTCCCGCAGCCGCGTGTTATCCTCCACATTGCCCACAGCTGCATTCCGCGATGCCAGCAGCGCCAGCACCCGCTGACGCACCTCCGCCAACCGCCTCTCCACCTCCACCTCCACCTCCGGACCCCCGCCGCCCTGATAACCGCCTCCAGCCTGCTGTTGCTGCTGCTGCTGCTGCATAACCATCAGCCGATTGTGACGACGTCGCATCTCCAACGCCTCCACCGCTGTTTGCTCCAGCTCCCGCAACCGCCAATGCTGCCAGGCGCCTCGGAAGGAGCGCCGGCGGCCGTGCAGCGAGGTCGCGAAGCCGGTGAGGAAGGCTTCGGCTTTCATGGCGTTCATCTTTGAGCGCATGGTGGCGAAGAGGTCGTTGAAGGCGTTAATGAACTCCCGCGCCTGAGGCGAGCGAGGCGGGGGCCCCCGAGGCGAGTGACCCATGGGTCGGGAACCGTCCAGGTGAACGATCAGTAAAGCCCTATCGGTACTCGCCACCATTGAACAGCATCGCGCGTGTGGCCGTTCTTCTCCCCGCGCAGCTATATATTCTTACGGCTTATTAGCGGTAGCGGTAGCGTTTAATGTTTTCATTCGGGTTGTACGTTCGAGCACTCCATGCTGCCGACACTCCATGCAACATGCCGTACACCCCCGCACGTTCCACATCTTTCTCGCCCCCACTCACCTTCTCCTCTCCAATGCCCACGTCCCGAGCCAGCTTCTTGTCACCCATGCCGTACACCAACCCGAAGTTCTGGCAGGGGGGGGGGGAGGTGCAAAAGCCATGGGGGGGGACACATCCGTTTTCTGGGGTTTTACAGCAGGGTTCACAATGCGCTTTCACGCACCCGGCCACACCTGCATGTTCCTTCCCGCCCAACCTAAGAGAACTATACCACTTTTGCAATGACCCCTCCCACGGCCTCAAGCACCCCCGCACCCCAGCCTTCTGCACTTCGCATCTCACAAGATTCCCGGCTAGCTACCCGGCTCCCTCCCCTACCTCCCTCTGCTCCCCTCCCCGCCTCCTCCCCCCTCCCTCACCACTCTCTTGCCCGCCTGTCGCTGCTCCGACGTCACCAGCTCCGGCGGGCAGACGAACAGCTTGCTGGCGGTCTGTCGGTGCACGTCGCCGCGGCTGGTGAAGGCGGTGGTCAGCAGCGGGTCCTGAGGGAGGGAGATGGAGGAAGAAGGGAGGGGGCGAGAGCGGGGGAGATGGAATGTAGGGGTTCATCCGAAGCTGAAGCTTGCGGCCCTAACGGCGGCTTTGGGGGCGTTTACATCAAACAGTTTGTGGCCAATACAGTACTAGGTTACTTCTTCTCCCCTTATCTCCCCTTTCCCCCACCTCCTCCCCCCCCCGCACCTCTGTTATGTGCGCCAGCAGCCGCAGCTCCACCTGACTATAGTCCGCTGCCAGCAGCACCCACCCAGGGGGGGCGGCCAGGCAGCGGCGGAAGGCGGCCAGCCAGCTGCTGCTGCTGCCCTGAAGAGCCTCCCGGTCCTGCAAGGGGTGGGTGGGGGGAGGGATTGATACTTACTTGATAGAACTGAGCCGCGGAAACCCTGACCGTAGTTTACCGGAGAGGTGGGGAGGGAACGGGAGGGAAAGGGGGTTGGATAATCCCTCACACCCCCCTCGCCCCCCAAACCCCCCTCGCCCCCAAACCTCCAGGGGCTTCCACCACGGGTTTTGGCTCCACTCTTCTCTACTACTACTACTACTACTGCTGTCGCGGTGGCAAGCAACCCCGCCACCCTGCCACTCCAGCACCCAACCGGTCTCCTATGGTTTGGTATGGTCTTTGACCCCCCATATGCTCCAAACCCCTGCCGCTGTCCCCCCCACTGCTGTTTTACCTACCCAGTGCTGCCCCCCTGCCTCCCCTACCCAGTGCTGCCCCCCCGCTGCCTCCCCTACCCAGTGCTGCCCCCTTGCCTCCCCTACCCAGTGCTGCCCCCTTGCCTCCCCTACCCAGTGCTGCCCCCCCCCACCCAGTGCTGCCCCCCCCCACCCAGTGCTGCCCCCCCCACCCAGTGCTGCCCCCCCCACCCAGTGCTGCCCCCCCCACCCAGTGCTGCACCCCCTACCTTGCTGCACCCCCCACCCAGTGCTGCCCCCCCCCACCCAGTGCTGCCCCCCCCCCACCCAGTGCTGCCCCCCCCACCCAGTGCTGCACCCCCTACCCAGTGCTGCACCCCCTACCCAGTGCTGCCCCCTTGCCTCCCCTACCCAGTGCTGCCCCCCCCCACCCAGTGCTGCCCCCCCCCACCCAGTGCTGCCCCCCCCACCCAGTGCTGCCCCCCCCACCCAGTGCTGCCCCCCCCACCCAGTGCTGCACCCCCTACCTTGCTGCACCCCCCACCCAGTGCTGCCCCCCCCCCACCCAGTGCTGCCCCCCCCACCCAGTGCTGCCCCCCCCACCCAGTGCTGCACCCCCTACCCAGTGCTGGCCCCCCCCACCCAGTGCTGCCCCCCCCCCACCCAGTGCTGCCCCCCCCACCCAGTGCTGCCCCCCCCACCCAGTGCTGCACCCCCTACCCAGTGCTGGCCCCCCCCACCCAGTGCTGCCCCCCCCCCACCCAGTGCTGCCCCCCCCACCCAGTGCTGCACCCCCTACCTTGCTGCACCCCCCACCCAGTGCTGCACCCCCGCTGCCCCCTACCCAGTGCTGCACCCCCCCTGCCCCCCCCTGCCCCCCCCCTGCTGCCCCCCTGCCCCCCCCCTGCCCCCCTCACCCGCGGCACTGCCATCAGGTTGGCTCCCGAGGTGGACAGCCGGCCCGTGGCGGTGCCCACCTGGTTGTAGGTGGGGTACAGCCGGCTGGGGGGGGGGTGGGGGGGGGGGGGTGCGGGGCAACAGAAAGGTGCGGGAGGCGGGGGCCGGGAGGGTGAAGAGCAGGCCAGCTGGTTGATGCCTCTGTGACGGCAAACCACCAACCCCCCAGCCAAACACCGAACAGGTAACCCATGTCGGCCAGGCCAAGACATGAGGGTGGGTGGGTGGTGGGTGGGTAAAAACACACTACCTACCCCACCTCACCCCTATCCCCCCCCACCTCCCCACCCCACCCCACCTGGTTCCCCGGTCCGCCTCCTGCAGGAACTTGCCGGTGTACGTTTTGAGCAGCTGGTCCAGCTCCGAGTACTGCAGCAGCCGGGGTACGACACCGGAGCTGTCGTACCTGGCGAAGATCTCGAGATTCTGGGCGAGGGCAGCAGCAGGAGGGCAAGGATCAGTCAAAACAATTAAGGGGTAGGCACATAATTGTAGAAAGGGGCTCCACTTCTTACGGTGTCACCCTACCATTGCATCACCTACATCCATGGGACAGCGTGCATTGGTTCCGGTTGGTTCCGGCAGACGGCACTTCGCATGCTCGAAAGTTCGTCTGTGTTTTGTGTGCACAACCTACTATGCTTGTTTAGCTACCATCAGCCCCTCCCCCCGACCTCATCAGCCTCCCTCACCGCCTTCTTGGTTGACACCTCGCGCCCCTTCTCCGTCACCTCTAGCTCCTCCCCCGCCGCCTGCGCCGCCTCGTCCAGTCGCAGCAGGTCGAACAGCAGCCACTTCTTGGCCTCGGGAGTGGCGATGTTGACCGATGGCTTGTTCACTAGGTGGCCCACCTCCGACACCAGCTGCGATGGATGGATGGGGAAAACGTACTGGTATTAAAAAGTGAAGCAAAGGAGTCGAACCAACGCGCTATTGGACGGTGCATGGGGGAAGGGGGGTTGTAGGTTGCATGTGTCCGATATTGATACGCACTATTATACCGGCCGGAGGTGATATATATCATGGGGGAGCTGCTTGCAGCGGCAAACGAAAGTGACGCTACAGCATTGGCGTTACGTGAGAAAGGCCTCCTGAAGGTCATACCGGTCCACGCCCATTTGGCCGACTGGGTATACGTAAAGCTGAGCGGCCGACCCTACCTTGCTCATTTCCTTCTTGGCGTCGTCATGCAGCTGTTGCATGGCCGGCAGATCCACTCCGAAACCCGCCATTTCCATTTCCGCAAGCACCACCTGAACCGGAATCTCAACCTCCAAAATCAAATCACATGGATCCAGAACCAACTGCTGTTGCTGCTGCTGTTGCTCATTCGCATTCCCCTTCTCCTCCTCCATCTTCATCCTCATCTCCCGCGCCTGTCGTTCCGCCTCCTGCCGCGCCTCTCTCATTTCCTGCTGCAGCCGAAGGTAGCACATGACGTTGTGCACGGTTTCGGCCACGGCAGCGACCCGTGGGTCGCTGGCGCCGTCTCCGCCGCCGCCGTACAGTTTTTCTTGCATGGCGTCATGTACGACAGCGTACGGCGGACAGCTCAGGAATTCCGACATGCGATGGACGCTGTCGGGTTTGATGATTGAGCTGCCGGGGGGTTTGAAGAGCTCGGAGTTAAACACGTAGGTCGCGGCGAGGGTGTCAAAGTATTGTCGGTAGTGTGGCGGCGCAGGGACGCGGACCCCGGCGGCGGCGCATTGGCGAGCGAAGCGCTTCAGGTCGTGCGTGACTAGACACCATTGCGGAAGGGTGCGAGCACCGCCGTTGCTGCCAGCGTGACTAGACACCATTGCGGCAGTGGCGGCGCCGGCGGCGCCGGCGGCGCCGTTGACGCTGCTTTCCGTCAGCAGGGGCCTCAGTGCAGCTGCCGCCGCAGCCGCTGTCAAGGCCCCGCCCGCCGCCGCCGGCGACACTGTCGGCGCTGTCGTCACCGTTGCCGGCGGCGGCGGCGGCGCCAGTTTGACGTGTACGGCATGAAACGCGGCGCATAAGCCCCGCAACTGGATCTGATCCCGTACATCGCGCCAGCGGGAGGCGCCGACGGGATCCATGACGGGCCACACGAGCGACAGCCCCACTGGAAGCGCATTGGGATTGTCGTCGCCCAACTGCGACGGTGGCTTGAGTGGCGACGAGCCGTTCGTCGTCCGTCGGCCGCCGCGGCCCTTGGCTGGCGGTGGCGGCGGCTCCCAGCCTAGGAACACCGGGGCGTTCTTTCCCAGCGTGGCTGTTAGGTACGACACGAGCTCAGTCAATGCCGTACAGTCGTCAATGGTATTGTAGCTGAGTACGACAATCATATCGTTTGTTGCCGTGTCGCCAGCTGGGGCAGTTGCTGATTGTACGGCGGAGGCATCTGGTTGGGATCCAGATCCAGGTTGATGCATGTGAAGCACGACTGGGTCGTCCAGTAGGTCCATCCAAGGAGGCAGGGAGCGGGCATAAGGCCCCGGGAAAGAGGAGGAAAGAGGAGGAGGGGTAAAACCGGATGGTGGAGGCATGCCGACAGCTGGATGAGGGGCTTTACTGGCCATTGGTGGTGTTGCTGGCGGTGCAGCTGACGGCGGCATCCGTTGCACTGTGTACGGCGACGGTGACGGTGGCGGTGGAGGTGGCGGCGGCGGTGGCGGCGGCGGTGGTGGTGGTTTCGGAGCAGACGTTCTGGACTGGAGCAGTCCCGCTGGTCCTGCCGACGCTGCGGGTACGGTCGACGGCGGCGGCGGTGGGAGCTGGCCTCCGCTCGCATTCCCAACGCCACCGCCGCCGGTGACAGCGCTGACGCCACCAACCTGCTGTACAGCCGCCGCCGCCGCGGGGGCAGTCGACGCCGTCACCATCGCGGCCTGCCTCTCTAGCGCCGCCGCCAGCAACTCGGGATCACTGACAGAGGCGGCCGCCATCAACCTCCGCCACCCTTCCCCCTCCTCCCCTCCCTCGCCCCCTGCCGCCGCCGCCACCGCACTCGCACCAACGCCTCCCCCAACTTCTCCTCCCGGCATCTCCAACACACGCCGCCGCAGCTCCTCCGCTTCCGCCGCCGTGACGGCGGCGCCGTCACCGCCGCCACTGCCGTACCCCGGCGGCGCCGCCATGACGGCGCCGTACGACGCCGTCGCCAGCTTGAGCCCACCCTGGAGCCATTTGGTGGCGGCGGCGGCGGCGCGCAGCGACCCTGCCGTACCGAGTTGTACGGCCGCCGCCGCCAGACGGTCCGTGACTTTGCGTGCGCGGCCGTCGGCGAAGGAGGTCAGCCCGGGTGCGCCGAGTGCGGAGTGACCCCGTAGGGCCCAGTAGGAGGGGAGCAGGGAGAGCGAGGGGAGGGGGCTGGAGGGCGATTGGCGGGATACGGAGCATGCAGCTGCGGCGTCGGATACCTGGGGGGGGTGGGAAGGGCACAAACGGAAGGGTTAAGTTGAGGGCCAGAGAAACGTATTTCGAGTGGGTAGGGTGGGGCTTAGGCCTCAGCTGTCATGCTGTTTACTTTGAGCGGCTGTGGGTAGTTGGTTGAGTTACTGTACAGGGCCGCATACACAGTTATAAGTCTTATAACCTGTTCGAGACTGGTGTAGGCCTGACTGATAGCTTTTGCAATTATCGGTAATTGACGAGGTCCTCTCCCCTGATGAAGACTGCCTAGGTAGGTGCCTAAGTATGACCCATTCGAGGGGAGCAAAACGGCATCTAATTCCTCACCTCAGTCAGTTGACCGTTAGGGGCCAACCGAATCACCGCCACATCAGCGCCAACGCCCGTTGCTGCCTGATGACGAAAGGCCCCAACGAGCTGCAACATCCGCTCGTCATTGCTGAGTATCCGTACGGTTGTCGAACCGTTTTGTACGGCATGCTCCGCCGCCAGAGCTGCAAGGCAGCCGCCGGACAGCCACGGCTGTTGCAGTACGGCAACCGTACAGCCACTGTCACCTGTACTGCTGCCGTAGCTACTGCCGCTGCCACTTCCAGCACCACCGCCTCCAGCGCCGTCAGTTAGCCGTTGCTGTTGCTGCGGTTGCAGTACGGCTAACAACTCCGCCAAAGCACTGCCGTACGACTCGCCGTCGTACATGGTATCGCCCCAGTAGAGGTTCTTATGCAACCCCGGTGCTAACGAAGATGACGCCGGTAGCAAGAGCTGGGCCCTATCCCCCTCCAGCTGTAGTGCTAGCGCCTCGACAAGCGCATTGCGAGCAGCTACAGCCGAGGCGGTTGCAGCATCGCCCATGTCAGTGTACGGCACTGATGGAAGTAGCTGTTGCTGTTGCCGTACATCTGCCTTGTACTGCAGCAGTAGTAAGTCATGTACGGCACGCACCAAGTCCAATTCCCCAGACTGCACTAGCTCCCCAGCTGGCCAGCCTTCGGCCGCTTCCGTTGAGACTGTTCCCAGTGCATGAGCATCCTTGTACGACATGGTAGCCGCCGCTTGCTGTGAGAGGTACGACAGCGCTAAGCGCCATGTGGGCCCTGGAGGTTGCGCTAGCAGTAGTACAGCATCAGGCTTTACATGCCGTACTGCCCTAGCCAAGGACGTTAGAGCCCTGGCAACATCTTGCTGGCTATCACTAAGGATGGTGTTGCGGGTGTGAGTTCCTTTGCTTTCGCTCCTGCTAGCGGTCGCTTTTGGTTGGGCGGATGCTACACCAGCAGTGATGGGATGTCGCCCTGAAGGCTTGGACTGGTCCGGATGAAGGAACAGGGCGCGCCAGTCAACGAGGAGAAGCCTGTCCGGCTTTCCAAGTTGCTGAATTTGCGCCGAGGACGCACCAGACGGTGAAGAGTCACAACTGAAGGCGTTGCGAGATGGCGAGTCGCCATCTGCGCTGGAAGAATAATAACTTGCTGTTATTGCACGAAGTGGAAGCGATGTTACCAAGGAATGCGTGCGCGTTGCAAGGGCTCTGCTATCTTTGCCAATTGTGACGCTGCTGCTGCTGACGAAGCGAACATCGCGACGACTTCCAGCCCGAGCGCTGCAAAGCGCCCAGGCGTTAAGCCTGCACACAAGACGCGTGGCGCGCGACGTATTTGCTGCCTTTGAACAAGCTTTGTCTGTTGAGGGCAAGGTTGTTTGCATTGGTCGAGGGGCCCGTATCACTTCCTACTGCTCTGCGTATTGCTTTTATATATCATAATCGCTTTAACAAAGATATAAACAGTATAGACGTTCTGGACAAGCCGCAGATGCCGGGGATTGACTGTTCCAGTAGGCAACTGAAGCAACCGTCATGTCCTGGGTCGTGTCCATGTGACTTCCAAACTGTCCCGTTCGCTGTCGCCAACGGCCCCCAGTGCACCTTACTCACAAACATACTGAACGCGTCAACCTTGTGTGTGCATGTTATCAGGCCGTTACAACGCCCAAGGATGTTGGAATGCATGGACCGATCCGCATTCCCCTCTGGAAGACTGGAACCGCCACAGGATGCGCAAACGTGCCAGCCTGGAGTCGCCAGTTCTATGTCACAAGTCCGACAAAGGACCTGCACCTGACCTGCTGTTTGGCCGGCATAAGGGATTATGCTGCCCTCATTCCTGCAGCACAGCACTCTTCATTGCCTCCTTTCTGACAGCAGGCATAATTGTAATCCAAGCCAAGAGCAAGCCAGCTGCTTACATTTTTTTTCCGATGTGGACTGTTACAATGCAGGGGCATACTTAGCCACATAGGAGAGCATACATGGTGCCCTGTTCATCTTATCTCGCGTCTCTATTCACGTGACAAGGGGCTCTGGTAAGTATGCCGTACTGCACCACGGTACCCCACACAAATCAAGTAAGGCCCGTGGGATCTCCCCTCCTCTCTGCGCTGTTCTCACTCATGCAACATGCACAATGAAATAGGTCACATGCCAATACAAAACGCTACCCCGCAGCGGTACTACTCAACACTACGACCTATCCTCCTCCTCGGCCCGTCAGGGAATCCTCCAACAAGGGAGACCTCCCATGTGTCCCACCGACGATTTAGGGACGAAAGCGGAGCGGAAGTGATACGGGTACCGCAGCAGGATAAACAGACATCTCTATTCATGTCATTTAAGTGTCACACCCTGTCGTACATCCAGGAGTATCTGCTACTGCAGCGCGCCAACTACATTTCAGCCATCCAGCAATCCTCCTGCCGTACACCCCCTGACGGAGCATGCGTGTGCGTAGAAAGAGCTACACACACCGCAAAGTCACTACTACTCTTGTAATCCTAATAGGCACCAACTCGGCATATGCTTGACAATCTACAGTCAGTCAGTCAGTCAATCAGTGTCACGCTCAAGAACTACCTGCCATATAACTCTTTCCCTCATATACTTGTGCAACACCCAAATGGAAAAACGGGTGCACCAGAAAATCGCTCAGAAAAACGTTTAGGTTCATGCTCACGTTTGGTCACCGGGGGCTGAAACAGCAACACACGAGGCTGCGGGGATGCACTGTCGTGCTCCCAACAAGCCGGTTTGCACCTAACTAACCCTCCTCCTCAATTCCTTGACACTACCTTAGTTAGCCACCTTGTAACATCCTGGTCAACTCTCAGGCCAACAGGGTCCGGGCGCTTAATGAATGTTGAGCCCCTGCCTCCCAAGTCATGTGTTATTGTCGTACGTAGTAATGTCGGACCCAACAAACGTACGAATACGTCCCCAGTAACGTCGGTGTACGTCCGCAAAGCCACTATGCCGTACAATACTGTACGACCACAGCAACAGCAAGGAAGGCAGTCCACGTCCAAGTCGATCTAGTCCGATTCCCGTAGGGGACGTCAACTGAAGCAAGCATCCTCCCTTGCCTCGACTCTTAATGCAGCAACCTAGGTCAGCAAACCAAAGCCAACACACAACATGCCAAACTCCGCGTCTGTACTGTCCCCCTGCTGTGCCGCAAACCGCAAGCCGCAGGCCAAGCTCCCTGTCCCCTCACAGCTTACTCCTCGGGGCCGCCGACAGCGCCGCCTTGATCTGCGCCGCCGCCCGCTCAGCCGTCTGCATGGCCCCCTGCATGCAGGGGTTGATGGCCTCGTTGGTCGCCTCCCCAGCGAAGAAGAGCCGGCTGGCAAGCGGCGCCGCGATAAGGGAGCGGTCGCCCAGCTCGGCGCCGAAGCTGGGGTAGGTGTAGGCTCCGTATACGTATTGCTCCTGAGGGGCGATTGCGCCGGCAGTGGCAGCAGGGTGAGGGTGAGGGTGAGAGAAGGAGAAAGGTGGCATGGGGGAAGATAGAGAGGTGAGCAGTCGGCGACTGGGGTGCTTGTGGAGGTCGCCGGTATGCATGGGGCATCGTAGGCAGGATGTGGAGGTGCAGGTGTGCCGTAATGTGGATGCGAGGACTGCATGCTTGGGTGGTATTGTGGTTATGTGGGCAATACGTCAACACGGCTCAGAAAACAAAGCATTAAATTGTGGGTCAGGAATCCCTGGACTGTAGTTTCCTCAGGGCCGGCTTTTGCCACCACCACCAACACCACCGTCTTCCAGAGTGCTCTTCATGCATGTGGTTTTTTATGCCTAAGCCCGTTGTGCCGCCTGCTTTAGCGTGGACGTCTCGGCTCAGAAAACAAAGCATTAAATTGTGGGTCAGGAATCCCGGGACTGTAATTTCCTCAGGGCCGGACTTGCCACTAAAACAGGGGGCTCCACCCGGGTCGGAGTTTGATGGTGGGTTCAACAGCAGCTTTGCCTGCCTGACCTCCGTAGCAGTTTCTTATAAAAGGTACTGCAACCACCGCCTTCGCCGTGCATGCAAGCATGCTTCCCATGCATGTGGTGGTGATCTTCCACCCCAAACCCAGTGCACCTAAACCTCAGCTGGATTACAATGTGGCTCAGAAAACAAAGCATTAATTGTGGGTCAGGAATCCCGGGACTGTAGTTTCCTCAGGGCCACAATTCCTCACAGCTTTAGTGCACCGTCTTCTCCGTCCCTCCCTCCTCCGTGCCCCCATCCCCCGACAACTCCAGTTGCTTCACTTCCCATTCACCCTTCCCTCCCCATCGACAACCCACCTTGGACCAGTCCACCATCTGCCCCCGCACCAGCGACGAGGAGGCGGGCCGGGGGTCCGACTCGCTGCCGTAGATCTTGTCCAGCTGCTCAAGGAACAGCCGCTGACTGGTTTCGGAGCCCAGGGCCGAGGCGCCGTCAGCGTTCTCACCCGCCAGGAATCCGATCATGACGTTGGGGGGGCCAGCGGCTGCGGCAAGCGAGGGAGGGAGCAGGAACGAAAGAGGTTCAGCAAAAGAAGTGCATAGAACGCTAACCACAATCATACGCGAGCTCCTACGAAAGCCTCCACGTGCCAAGTAACCCAACCCAGCAGTTCCACAACCGATCCACTTGGTTCAGCACAACCCCCTTCCCCAGATCCTGTCTTCCTCACCAATTTCCCCAACCCCCCCCCCTCCCCGCACACCCCCGCAACTCACTCGGGTCGGTGATGGGGTGGTCCAGCATCCAAAACTCCGGTACGAACTCCCCGGGACACACCACGTCGTACATGTCATCACGCCAGAACCGCCGAGAAAACTGCATGACCAGCTTGATCGCGTTGCCCATGCGCACGCGACCAATGGCGGCAACCTTGGGCTGCGGCAGCGGCGGCTCGAAGCGGATGCAACCGCGTTGCAGGACGCTGATGGGGACCGTGACCAGCACCGCGCGACAGCGAACGACGCGGCCGTCCTTGGCGCGAACCGTCACGCCCGCAGATGTCTGGTCGCTGCTGCTGCTGCTGCTGTTGCTATCGGAGTTGGCGGCGTAGGTGATGCTGTCGACGACCCAGTTGGTGCGGATGTTGTTGACTCCGCGGGCGAGGTGGGTGATAACGGAGCTCATGGGACGATCCATTAGGAGGTAGGTCTCGCCGTCATCCCAGTGCTTGTTCTCCTCAACCATCTCCCGTACTCCCAGTTGCCGTAGCGAGCAGGCAAAGTCGTTGGCGTAGCAGGCGTCCGCAACCGCCAACTGCCGAGCCGAGCAGCCGCGAGCGGCGAGCCACTCGGCGGCTGATTGGTCGGCTCCCGGCGGCGGGTGCTGCGACTCGCCGCATGTGGTCATGAGGTCGTGAACCTGAGTGGGGGTGGAAGAGCGAGGGCGGGGTGAGAAGCGAGGTGCGTGAGCCGGTTAGGATGGAGGTGAGGTTGGAGTTGGACGAGCAATGAGGACATGCTGGGTCAGTGGGCTTGGAAAAGGGGTATTGGTTTTGCATCACATAACGCCGATGGAGGCGAACATGCCGCTCACCTTGTCGACTTCATCGTCAACATCATCGTCATGGATCAGGCCTTGGCCGCCCATCTTCTCGTTGAAATACCACCATTCAGGCCACTCCTTCTCGCCGAACACGACACCGAGCTCCTTCTCGGCCATTCGGACGAAGACGGAGTTGCGGCCGTGGACGAAAGCAGGGCCGGCCTCCACTGGCCATGGAGCGATGCCATGGATCTAGGACGATGAAAAGGTGGGCAAAAAGGGTTGTTCCGGATTAGCTGCTATGGGGTGACTGTCAATGGATCTGGCAGAGGGTCAGGGTGAGAGGGTATTAAACGCCGTAGGGTAGAGTCATGTCTCCATGCTCTACCTAAAGTTGGTAGCCAAGTCCTGACCAAATGCCAATGGAAGGCTCTGAATAAACATCAGCTACTCTAACGGTATTAACAAGTAAAGCGTGTTAGAACTAAGACTATGGGTGCCAAGTCTGCCATCCATGTACAGCATGTACCCCGCCGCCGCGCCGCCTCGCGTGCACGCCTGCGTTGTCCGAAGACAACAAGCCCAGAGCCCATAATTTGACAGTGAGTTCCCTCACCTGCTTAATGCGGCCGCCAATGCGGTTCTGAGACTCCAGGACAACCAAATCGGGAAACTGGTCCTTAAGTAGTTGAGCCGCATACAGCCCTGACAAGCCGGCGCCAACAATTGCGATGCTATGGAACGACTCCATTGCGTATACAAGTGCCTCCAATTACTGAATGCCTATGTCAAGGCCAGCCTTGCGAACATGCAAGGCGCCTGTGGTTATGAAGGCTGTAAGAGCCTTAAGGAGTGAGTAAGAAAGCCGCAATCCATCACTTATGGGAGCGATGCGCATTTGGCTACGTTAAGTAGGCCAGTACCTTCAAGGGTACCGTACTGCAACCGCGGTCCTAACCGTCATTGCCCTAGCCTATGGCTGGAAGCCACTAGCGCCCTTGTCGAGCGCGCGTGTTACGTAGGCTACTTATATCCAATCCGCGCCACTAGTTGCCTTTACCTCATACAACCCTTCCACGAACACTTACCTTAACCATGGGGTTCCAGCTGACACCCGAGTCATTACGGAAGCTTTGCAAAGATCTGAAGCTGTAAGTGCAATTGTTCCTTTATTAAACTTAAAAGGTCCTTGGTCAGCTATGGCCTGACGAAGTTGTTGACTCTGGTGCTCATGGCTCGACTTGCAGTTATACAAGCTGCCCGGAGCTTAACGACATCCTACATTTGCAGTGCAAGGGCATCACGAAGCTTGAAAACTTGGATGTGAGCCCAGATTGTGCTGGTTGCGAATTTTGCGCAGCCTTGCTTATGTTCCCTCCTATCATTGCAAGAGATAATGTTGTCCAAACTGGGTTAAAAATTATTGCTTTTCCTTGCCGTTATCATACATGTCTCCCCGCATGCTCCCTGTCGCAGGCGTATACCGGCCTGAAAACGTTGTACCTTGAGCAAAATGCAATATCAGAGATTGAAAACTTGGACAAGCTCGTCAACCTACGATGTCTTTACCTCGGGAAGAATATGATATATTCGACGCTGGGCTTGCAAGCCCTCACCAACTTGGAGAGCCTGGACTTGTCAGAGAACGTGATCACGACAATCACAGACCTCTCGAAGTTGCCATTACTAAAAACACTCAACCTAGCCGGGAACAGACTCGCCACCGTCGATGACATCCACGACCTCGCCGGGTGCACACAGCTGCAGTCCTTGGACCTGGCATCCAACCGGCTACAGGCCACCGACGTGGTCGACTTCCTCACAACCCTTCCGCTGCTATACCTGAAGCTCATGGGCAACCCGGCAGTTAGCAACTACAAGTGAGCTTCCAGGCCGCGGCCCATTACCAGCTGCCAAGGACACCCCATCGGGCACATCCGCCCCTCTCCCGTCTCCCCATACCTCCCTCCCCCTTTCCCCCCTTCCCATGCAGGCACTACCGCAAGACGCTGCTGGCGCGCATGCCCGCGCTCAACTACCTGGACGACTCCCCCGTGTTCCCCAAGGACCGCCGCCTGGCGCAGGCCTTCATAGACGGTGGCGGGCTGGAGGCGGAGCGAGCCATGCGGGATACCATACGGTGCGCGGGAGCCGCCATGGGTCACGCGCAGGATGGGGTCTGTGCGGATTGCCCCTTGCGAGGACCGAGCGATTGGGATGGGGACCAAGGCGGGGGAAGGGAATCATGCTCTCTGAGGGGCGGTTCCCTGTAAAGATCGCGCTGTTAACACGTACCCTCGCCAAACCCCGGCGCCTCCCGCTCCACCACTCCCCTAACCCCTCCATCCCTAACCTCCGCTCACCCCCGGCCCCCTCCTGCCCCCTCAGTCGCGAGGAGGACGAGCTGGCCGAGGCGCACCGCCGCGCGTTCGACGCCATGGTGGAGCGCGCGCGGCAGCAGCCGCCCGAGCCGCACGACCCCATGCGGTTCCGCGCGGTGCCGCCGGGTGAGGGCGGCGCGGGAGGGGCGGGGGAGCAGCTGCAGGGAGAGCAGCAGGGGAAGGGAACAGGGAGGGTGTAGCACACATGCTGGAAGGGTGCTTGGGCTTCCTGACCCGGTCCTGAAGGTCTTCCCCCTGCCTGCCTGCCTGCCTCCCGCCTGCCTCCCGCCCCAGGTGAGAGCGACAGCGACGAGGAGGGGCTCCCCGCGCTGTACCGGCGCAGGAACAGGGCAGCTGCCAAAGCGGATGCGGAGGCTGCAGCTGCTGCTGCGGAGGCTGAGGCGGCGGACGCCGCCGCGGTGGCGGCTGACGCCGCCCTGGCAGCGGTCAGCGACGACAGCTCTCCAGCTGTCGATGAGGTGCCAGCCGCCACCGCAGGAGCCACCGCAGCAGCGGAGGTATCGGGGGCTACTCTGGGCCCGGACGCAGCGGCCGTCAGCGCGCCGGCATCGGAGTCCCTGACGCCGCCGGTGTCGGCTCAGCCTCCGCCGGGTTCGTTGATCGTCCGGCTAGAGGCGGAGCTCCGGGAGCTGGCGGCCGCCGCCTCGTGCGGGGCGGCGGCGGCCGCAGCGGTGGGCGCTGCCTCCGTCTCCGCTGCCTCGACGGACGCCTCAGCTGCCGCCCTGCCCCCTGTGAGCGGCGGCAACAGCGGCAGCACCAACGATGGCGCCATCGGGGCTTCCACCCTGCTACAGGCGACGCTAGAACGTCTGCGTGCGGGCGGCGTATCCAACATGATGCCCCCCGGTGTCGTACGGCAACAACAGCAGCAGCAGTACGTGCCGGGGGCAGCGCGACCGGACTTCAGGTGGGGCTCGCACACAATAATTGGACAGGATGATCTTTACCCAAGAGTTCACATCGACGGGAAGGTTTGGCACCTCGACATGAAAGGGGCTGCTTTGCTGCTGCGTTTGCGTTTTGACCGGGCTTCCGAATCGGGTTAAGGTGCATCCAGGGTGAAGGGCCTGTGAGCTATAGGTGATGCCTAAGGGGGCCTAAGTCGCTACGTAACAAAGCCACGTCCTGTTCAAGCCAAGACAAACAACAACCCTAAACCCCCCATGCGCAACAAAACACCTTTCTGATTCCAATCCAATGCCACCATGCTGAGCACGTTTTTGGGTTTCCTCGCCCCTGCTGCAGAGAGGAGCTCCGAGAGCGTGCCATCGCTCGCGCCGCTGCCCGGGCGGAGCTCGCTAATGCCATGTCCGCAGCGTCGGAAGGGCTGTCCTCTCCAAGAGGAGCGACTGGCAGCGGCGCCGGTGACGGCAGCAGCGACGGCGCGGATGCGGCCTTTGGCGGCGCCGCTTCGGCCTCCTTCCCTGCCCGTGCGGGGGCGGCACATGCGCCTCGGACCAGCCGGCCGGTGTGGCGCACTCCGGATTACCAGCGGCTGTGGAGTATGGCGTTGCAGGTGGGCGAGGCGCAGGAGCAGCAGCAGCAGGGACAAGAGCAGGAACAGGAGCATGGCGCAGGAGGCGCGTTGCCAAACGGCACTCAAGAGGAGAGGGGAGAGGCGGAGGAGGCTGCAGCCGCATCGTCGCTGTTGCAGTTCCAGGCCCCCCAACGACGTGACACATTTGCGGAGGGGCACGTCGAGGGTGTTGCTGCTGCTGAGGGGCAGTCAGCGGTGACGACGGCAGCGGCGGCTGGAGAGCCCCCTCATCCCTCGTTAGACCGGCAGAGCGTGACGTCAGCAAACGACGCGGCGACAGCGCCCACACCGGATGAAGTCCAGAGCATCGCAGATTCCGCAATGGGTTATGACCGCATCCCGCGGGGAGGCGGCGCCAGTGCTGGAGGCAGCCTGAGCGGTAGCGGCGGGCTGAGGATGCTAGGAGGTCATCATCACCACGAGCGAGATGCGGATCTGGATTCAGCTCGGTCACGCGGCGGCGGGCTTTCGGATCTAGATCTTAGGGCGGCTGAGGTGGATCTGGATTCTGCGCGCGGCGGGCTCGTACGGGGTCCTGGAGCCATGCTTGGGGACATTGACTCGGCCCGGTCGTACTCACGAGCTGCCTCCTCACGGGGTGACCCGGATGATGTGGATGATGAGGGGGGCGAGGGGGGTGAGGAGGCGGGAAGCGGCATGGGGTTTGAGGGTGAGGAGGGCGGGGAGGGTGGCGGCATGGGGAGTGCCGGCAGCGTTCGGGAGGAGGACGTGGCGGTAGAACTCGGGGATGGGGAGCTACGGGAGGAGGATAGCGACATGTCGGCAGGTGGAGTCGGCGGCGATGACGCGGACCTGTTTGCGCGGTACTCGATTACGACGTACGGCAGAGGCGACACGTCACACCTCCGCCAGCGGCGGAACTCCGGCGGGGGTGAGGGATCCGAAGGTGCGACGGCGGAGGCGGCAGCGTTGTCAGCGTCCCCTGCAGCGCCGTCTACGTCGCGACTCCGGCACGGCTCCTGCGCAGGCGAAGGTCAACGGCCGCAGCCCAGTGAAGGACAGCGCGGCGATGACAGTGGCGGCAGCGGCACACCTCATGCGGAAGCTGCAGGGACGCCTCCCTCGCTTCCCCAGGACAACCAACCCCCCTACCACAGCCCCACCCACGCTCACTCGCAGTACTCCCAGCCTCCTCATGCGCGTACGGCGGGCGCTGCGCACGCTCGGGAGAGAGGAGCAGCGGACGGCAGCGTAGGGGCGGGTGACGCTGGTGAGGCGGCTGTTGGTGAGGTGGACTTGGAGCCGCTGTCACTGCTGCCGCCGCATCTGCGGAACGAGGCGTTGCCGGTGCATGTGTCACTTTCAGGACATGCCGGGCTTCGGAGGACGGATACGGCTAACATCACGACTATGGTGGGTTGGGGCTGGGGGGTCAAAATGACCATACCAATTACCAAACCATAGGAAACCACATGTTGGAGGGGACGGACGTTTTGAGACGTTGGGGGGGGGGAGCGTTGGGCCAATGCAGTAAAGAAGGGCGTCGCTGGGCCGTATGGGCCAGGGGCTGGGGATATTGCTGCCGCCCGGTGCTGTTGATGTAACCCCGCGCATTACTGACGTTAAGTGCTCGCCAACACTTTTTCCTTGGAACCGCGTTACACCCGAGCAGGGCGAGAGTTCGGGGGAGCAAACCCCATTCAGCTCCGCCTCTTACGAGGGAGACGCAGCCGCCAGCGGCAGTGTCAGCGGCCCCTCTGGAAGCCACTCACCTCCGCTTCGGCACTACGACAGCGCCCGAGACCTCGGCGCAAGGGGCGACGGCGGCGGCGCCGCCACGGCTGCCGGCAACACCAATGAAGCCGAAGAGCAGCTTCATCAGCATGCCTCTGCTGCAGCGACGGCGACCGCTGTGGGCAATCCCTCGGAGCTGCTGCTCCGCGCTCGCTCCATCATGACGGCATCTCCCGTGGAAGCCGCTGGTGGGCATGGCGGCGGCGGCAGTGGCGGCGGACCGGCGGGACCCATGGGTCACATGCGTCGCAGCAGCTCCGCAGCTCCCGCAGACCTGTACCACCAACTAGCGGGTGAGTGGCCTAGGGTAATATTGGGTCATGTCTTCTGTTCCGCCTAAAGTTGAAGATAGTTCGGTAGGCATGGGATTAAGGAAGCCGGAGGTTTGCAGGCCTATTTACAATACTCCGTGTTACGGATGGTTAGGTCATTCGACTACACGACAGTTACCGATACTTCCCCGTTGCGTGACTCCTGGCCCCCTACACACACCCAGGCCAACTGCAAGACCCCGAGACTCTAGCGGCAGCACGTCAGGCGGTGCTGGGTACGGCAGCCGCTGTGGGCGGCGGAGCCCTCATGCGGTCGGGTGGTGGAGGGCCCATGCAGCAGCAGCAGGGGGCGCGGCAGGCGTCTAGTGCGGTTGGGCCCGGGCAGAGTACGGCAGTGGAAAGTAGCAACAGCGATGGTGGGCCACGGCTTACTGGCTTGTATGAGCTGGACTGATGTAGCGCGGGGTACAGGGAGGAAGTGTGGGCGGAGGCGAATGGTTGCATGGCACATACGGGTGGACAGGGGAAGCTGTGCTTGCTACACCGCGTAACAAGCCCCTTTCCTGTGACGCATGAGTTGCGCTTTTGCGGCCAGTTGTGTTGCGCCGGTCACGACACGTGTGCTATGTGTACAAGGCATGGTACAGGCAAGACAAATGGGTGCATGTCACCTGTAACGTATGTTGAATTGCCCGTATGTGTTGGTATATAGACATTGCGTGGCATGGCAACTGGCATGTGGCTATAACCTCTATATAGGTAAAAATGGCTATGCTAGTTTGGTACATGAACATTCTTTGTGACCGTTAATGCACCTACACGTTGACTAGTGCCCCGGGCGTCATCCCTGCTTGGCATATTGGTAAATGTGCCAAATACTTAGGGCGTGCCCGTAAAAACACATGCTCCTATTCCCACAGCCATGGCACTGCAAGCACACACCAGCATAGGTGCCAGGTTGGGACGCTAAGACTAAACACTCTCTACAAGGCTATCCACAAAACACGGTACGGCTTTCAGCAGTTTACGAGCACCCTATGTACATTATTGACATTAGCTACGGCCCTCGTCGTGACCGGGAAGGGTCCCTCTCCTGACGCCAAACTGACCATTGTAACCACGGACTACCGACGTATACCATACCAAAACACATGGTTCCGGAGCACGTACGTGAGCGCATTGTCCCCAGAATCAGTTCGGAAGGGGACACAGCCGGCATGCCCATAACACGTCCTAACATTCGTCAATCTCCGCACGTCAACATCACCGCGCCCAGTCAAAAGCACGTCAGTTGCGCCCTTCCACGGCTCGCAACGATCGCAGCGTACTTCCATGCTTGCACGCAGCATACAAAGGCGCTTGTAGCAGCGCTCTGATGAAACATAGACCCAGCTGCCGAATGAAACGGAAGAAGTTTCCCTAAGTAGCTCTTTAAGCAGAGCGCAACGACAAACACGCTGCCTAACTAGGAATCCCCGCAGCATTACTCTCCTCACATACCGCCAATGTTGGCGGATATGTGAGCATCTGTACTTGCACTCCTCGGGCGTAAACGCTTATAGCCCTGTACCCCTTATCTAATCCACACAACTTTACTGACCACTTAGGAGGTGAGACCCCTTCAATCCTCTCAACCCCCGGTACTAGCGCCATTAACTTCCGCTTCTAGCTGTAACTCGTCCTCACCACCTGGAGCCATAACCCGAGCCGCTCATGAAGCGGAGCCGCCGCCGCTGGATCCGCTGGCGCCGTTGCTGCGCCGCAGGAACGGCAGGTTGAAGCGACCACCCGCGCGGCCACAGGCGTTGGGCCGCAACAGCGAAAGCTCCAAGCTGAGCGTGTTCACTGCGTAGCAAGAAGCGGGGACACAGCATCAGGCTCAACCCCGATGTGAACCCCCCGCCATGAAGCGCACCCACTCTATTGCAACAAATACGCATGCCGTGACATCGTTTTACAGCCCCAGCCCTACCTACCTGATTCCATTGTACTCTGGTTGAGGTCCCGCAGCATGTGCAGCTCATGCTTGGCGGCCTCCTCCCGCTCCCGAGCCTGCGCCTGCGCCAGGCTGCTCGCAATCAGCCGCTGCAGCAGGGACTGGTTCTCGCGACGCAGCTTCGCCAGCTCAGTGTCCCGTGGGTCGCGCGGCTCGCTGGCGTCGTCCGCGCCGCTGGAGGAGCTGCCGGCGGCTGCGTTGGCACTGACACTAGCACCGTTAGCGTCGACATCACCGTAGTCTGCGATGGCTTGAAGGCTGCAGAGCTCGTAATCCTGTGGCGACATGGACATGGGACGCAAGTGAGGACGCGGTGGAAGCCTGGAAGGGCTTACAGTTACGTGGAGGTTCCAGCGACTCATGGGATGCCGACGGCCGGAACGTTCACCCGCTAGCGACCCAAAAGCAGCAAAGAAGAAACAACAGAACACAAGTGGAGCACGCACCTGCTGTCCCTCTTGGCTCCGCTTTTGCAGCTCGTGCAGCATCTTCTGGGCATCTCGCCACGCCTCCTCACTCTCCTGGATCTGCTGTTGCAAAAGCTTGCTCTGGGACGCCATGGCGGCCCTACACGTTAGGGCAGTTTCCAGATGGGATAAGAGTGGATTTCTCTACGGTTCTGCGCCATGTGATCTGGGTTATGATGTGGGTTTTGACTTCTGGAACCACCCAAGTGAACAGCACCGATACCGTGCGACTTGCCGACTGCCAGGCAGCGGATGCCCCAAAACAGGCCGAGCAGCCCAGAGGGCTTCAACCCAGATCGCCATTGCAATTCAACGGGACCAAGCATGCAACACCCAGATCGTCCCCACATCGTCCCACGGATCCGACCTACTTGTCGCGCGCCTCTTGTTGCAATCGGAGCTCAAGCTCTGAGATGTGCGCCTGGCAGTCTAGCAGCGCCAATCCCAGCTCCTCACGCTCCGCAAACGCCTCGTCAAGCTGAGCAAGCGCCTCGTCACGCACTGCACAGGCCTGGTCGCGCTCCTGGCAGGCGTCCTGCAATTGGGACGGCCCGACCCACATCGGGAATGCTACGTTAAGAACAACCGACGCAGTGTTGGTTACGAGCGAACAGAAGTGCATGAACAACAGCAGTGGCCCCGACCCATATCAGAAATGAAGCTGTTGCCTACTTCTGACCCAAAATGACCTTTTGAACAGGGCTGTCAGGCTATCAACCTATCATGGGACATCGTCAAGCATGCGTCGACCCACGTTAAGTTGCTGCTGCAGTGCTGCGACCTCTTTGTTGCGCGTCTGGAGCTGTGACTGCAGAGCTGCAACCTCCTTCTCACGCGCCTCCTGTCGCTGCTGCAACGAAGCCGCGTAACGCAGCAACTCTAGTGTCGCGTCCAGTTGCTGCCCCGAGGTGCTGGCCCCAGCCGCATCTGCAGGGCAATCCACAGCACGGCGCCGGCTGGCATCTGGGTCGGAGGCGCGGCCGCTGCCGCTGCTGCGCCAGGGAATGCGACCCAGATGGACGTCATCGGACGCGTTAGCCAGCGAAGCCAGAGAGCTCACTAGGACCGCCTGCTCCGCTGACCCACGGGTCGTTAGGCCGCGTAGCATAGGCAGCGCTGCGGTAACAGCTGCTGAGAGTGTAGACGTGTGTTGGTGTTGTTGGGGGCGCCGATGCGGCTCTTCGGCATGGTGATGTTGGCGGGGGTGGTCGTAATGGCTGTGGCTATTTGTCCCAAGCCGATCGTGGTTGTGGGGAAGGGGCCGTCCAGAAGGGGACAGTCCATGGGAGTAGCTGTGGACTGTCGGGCTCAGGAAAGGCGTCTTCGCGGCGGCAATGCAGTCACGAGCCGACTCGGACGGGATTTGTGTCAGCGGCGATGGGAATACTTCGCCATCAAAAAGCGGATTCAGGAACTCTGGAGTGTGCGATGAAGCTCGTGGGCTGGCGCAGTAGTCAGCGGGGTAGGCCGCGTTTCCGCCGCTGAACCCGAGGGACGTGTGCTCGGACTCGACGCTGTCGGAGTAAGAACCAGTTGAAGGCAGCTGAGGTAAGCTGGTGGTAGGCTTGGAAAGAGGGCCCGTGGCTACATTGGAGACATGCCTGCACCGAAGCGGGCTGCGTGATGGTGCGTTGCTCTGTGGTGCGTAGGTGGTTGCGCCCACGGAAGCCGCATGTCGGGCCCCTGCCAAAGTGCATCCAACGACAGACGCCCCCAAGGCTGGTTCGTCAAATAAGTCACCAGTGATGTGGGTTAGGTCGGATGCATATTCTGTAACATCAGGCTCAAAGTCCAAGGCTGTTGCAATGATGCCGAGGTCGGGGCCCTGACTCTTGGCGCGAAAAACTGCTTCACTGGTGTAGGACGGGGTCACCAACGCAGGGCTATTATCACCAGGTGTACTGCCCGAGCTGTCGCTGCTAGCCTCGCCTGTTCCGCAGGAGAAAGCTGCTGAGGCCTGAGCCTGGAGGGTGTCCATCGACTCTGCGGGACAGACCCGCCAGGACGAAGTTGTTAGTTGAAGCAATTTGCGTGCGGTTACGCATAACTACGCACCAGGAATCTGCTTAGAGCCAAGGAAGGTAAGGATAGCAGCAGCCGGGGCGCTCGGGCAATTGCTAGACGCGGAAGTTCCAAGGACGGTTTCCAAGCAAGCTGCAAAGCATGCCCGCCGATGAAGAAGAAAACACGCTAAAGCGTTGAGGTAAGCACAGTTCCCGGGCGAAAGCCGCAACTGAGTGCTAGCAAGGGTGAAATGGACTAGGCGTTTCACGGGCAGATAAAGACGGCTGGAGAGGGAGTGTCTTAAATAAAATTACAGTAATATCTTAGACATAGAGCGGCTCACAAAACAGGTGAAGTGCCGGCTGCATTGCTTTGACCAATCGGAAAACGGTATCCGTACCATCCAAACGGCATGGATAGCAAGTAAGCCGTCGCGAACAAAAGGGAAAGCATAAATGTGGATTTGATGCAGCAGCTCAATCTCAAGACTGCATCTTACATACTGCGCGTCGCCTATGGCGTTTTGAATTGAAGGTCGCTAAACATTTGCCGGTACTGTAGTCGTCCACATCCCCGCACATAATTTTCAGGCCGTTATTGATATTACGGTTTATCATATCAGGCAGCGGGCCTGTTCGGGCCCCAACACAAGGGATATCTCGTCAGGTAGCAGGCTTGTTAGGGCCCAAGCACTTGGGGCGCTCGGCATTATCTCTTGCACAGGTCCTTTCCAGCTCCCAGCTACTATCACGACGTAAAGCAACGGCAATGGTTGTGTGTTGCTGCCAAGCGACTTTGGCAGGCCTGCTGTTCACATTCTTCAGCACCGATGCTGTTGGGTAACGCGAGGCATAGTTTTGACAGTGATGCTGCCAATGTGTCGCGCTGGGTTTGTGACCTGGTACAATGAAGGACCCCTTCCTGCCGGACTTCCCTGTGTTTCCCCAGCCTTTCCCATATCTCAAAGTGGTCTGTGGAGGCCTCAGCACAGGCCAACCAGGCTGAGCATGCTTTATCGTACAGCACATGCTCGGAGCCTTCTGGGACTGCTCAAGTCCCCGTTCCAGTTTAATCCATGTAGAACGGTCTTTTGTATGTTTTCATCGCTGTCCTCAATAATACGTTAAAGGCCCAACCTGGGCTGGACCTGGCCATAACCTCGCTTGTCGTACAACATTAAACGAGTGTAATGCTCGACCCTGAAGAGAAAGCATTCGGTATCCGTTCAAGTGCAGTCACCTTCGTTGCACTTGAGGTGGACTTTGCCTCCTTTGCCGCTTTAGTATTATCGTTGGAAACTCCAAAGTATCCCGTACCATCTAGTTGGTTAAGCAAGTCGAGCATGGTCTTCACTGGCTAGGCGGTTGCCCAGATGCATCCCAACTGGGGATATGTAAGTTAGCTTGAGCTTAGCGCCATGTATGTCAAGTTGGCTTGGTCACGGACTCAGATGGGATCGACATGACAGCCAGTAATTCAAATGCTGGCGATGGATCCACCGGAGAATTTAGGAGTCGGCCCTCATGCACATTTGCCTTGACCTACTCCCAGGCAAAAATTGGGAATTTCTCTTCTGACGCCTTTCTATTCCCCTCCTACAATGCTTTTGGCTTAGCCCGGCTGCTTAGGGCGTAGCCAGGGGTGCTGACGCATCCATGTCCACGACACGTGCCTTTGTATATCTTTCTTCGTTAGTCTTCGCATAGGTGCTTCTCATATACTTGCTAATGGTTTGCCACATAAAGAAGACTGCGCTGCAAAACGCAAGACGCCCATAGCCTAGGGCTCGGAGTCAGGCGCCTTGACGATAGTTAGGTGCGAGGGCTACCAACTAGAGAGCGAGTGTTCACCGTTTAGTAGGAAAATCAAAAACATCTTTTGTGTGAAAGCCCTGATAGGACAAGCCGCGGTGGTTTCGCACGCCTGTCCCTTTGCGATGGAAGGCGACGCAGCTTCTAATAGCAGTCAAAGTGACGCCCGCCAATGCCGTATTTGCTGGGGCGAGGAGGGTGATCCCGCTGCGGGGCTCAGCCTGGTCTCGCCATGCAAATGCTTGGGAAGCCTCAACTATATACACGTCCGATGTCTTCGCGACTGGCAACAGGTGACCAGTGCGTACGTTTGCCCACAGTAAATTTGTGACACTAAATTGCGCTTCTCTCAGTTCCAACTCCTCCCGGTGCTTGTGTACTGAAGGTGTTGCGTTCTCAGAACCAATTCCACAAGGCTCGTCACTGTGAGATATGTAAACAGCCATATCGCCTGTCGCATCCCGCTGGCTGCGGTGGCAGAGGCGGCAGTGGATGGTGGGCCTGCATTTCGCATGCGGTAAGCTGGAAACGCCCGATGCTCTTTCCTTCACACGGCTTTCTGCGCTTCCTTACTAATAAACGCTATGCACTGTGCTTGCGACGCCCATCCTTCCAATCCCCACTCCGCAACATGGCCACATCATCACCCAACACCCCATCGCTCACCCTCAAGCCGCCCTTCCTGCCTCCCCCGCCTGCAGACCTCCCGCGCCTCCCAGAACCTGCTTGACTCGCTGTCCTGCCGCTCCTACCTGGCGCTGCTGTACCGCGGCTGGAAGCTGTACGTGCTGGGCAGCAGCCTGATGGGCGCCACGCGAGTGGGCCTGGCGGGGCTGCGAGCGGGCTTCAGCATGGGCAAGACGCTGGTGAGCCCCGGTGTGCGGGTGTGCTGTGTGCTCTGTGCTGCGTGTGAGAAGAAAACTGGCTTGGAGGCGGAGCGCACTGTGTGTGTGCCGTGCGCGCCCCTGGTGTGTGGGGGACTAGTGGGACTAGGAACTGGGGGGAAGAGGCGCCTGGAAAGGTACCGGGCATGGTGTGTGCTGAGTTACCACCGGCGGCATTGTTTTCACGACCGCAAGCACTGCCATCCAACTGCTGTCGAGCTCGAACTTCGGCTTTCCTCACCGTATCCTCCCCTCGGGGACTTCTCCGCTTCTCAATCCGTCTGGGTGCTCATTGTCCACTGTCCAGTTGTAGCCTTGTTGCCTCCCACTGTGAGGCCTGCATGAGTCGGGATTTGGGATTGGGACTCCGTTGATGCATTTATCTGTATTTCTTAGCCCCTTGTTGACTCCACGCCCCCTCCTCATTCGCACAAGCTACAGTACCCTTCGCCACCCCCCCCAAAGTCGGGACATGGAATCGGGATGCCAGTGCTTCCCACTCCTCATTGTTCCCCTTGTATCATTACACTTTGGAATTTCTTTTTTCCCCTCCTCCTCCCCCTCCCCCACCCAGGTGGAGGAGCAGACCAGCATCCTGCTCAGCCTGCTGTCGGCGCTGGGGGAGCTCATGGGCACACCCTTCGCGGAGCTGCTGTGGTGCCAGGTAGGGGCCGGGCGGGCGGGAATGGGGGCCAGGTAGTAGGGGACGCGGAATTAGGGGAGTAGCCCTTGTGTCTGGCGGTGTGGGAGGTAAGCTTATCGAGCCGTGAGGTGTGGAAGAGGGTGCGTGCGGGGGTCGTAAACTTCATAATAGCCGGGGGGCGGTATTATCCCTTATCCCTTATAACCATGTTTAAAGGACCGGCAATGCAATCCTATACCCTGTAACGCTGATTATAACCTCAATAACACCCCCTCACCCCACCCGTGGCGCCGTGTTGCGCCAGGCGGTGGCGTGTGTTGCCTTCGCGCTGGTGTCGGAGATGCTGTACACCAGCGCACTGGGGCTGCTGGCGGGGGGCGCCATCGGCTTCTTCAGGGGGTGCGTAGAGGGGGGGGGGTAAAAATAAGGAAACTGACGTGGCGAGTAAGGAGCTGTATGACAAGGCTTCACCATGGGGTTGATGGGAGGGGCAGTAGCAGGGGGGAGGAAGGAAGATGAGGAAGAAAAAGCCGCCCGTGTGAATTGCAGAGGCTGCAGCATGAGGGGGGGTGCATCACGATGGTTGCCCACCCCTCCAGCCCTACCGGAGGAACGAGGGAGGGAGGAGAAGGGGTGGGGGCGGATGAGGTTGGGGCGCTTGGGGTGGTGAAGGCCAAGTGGCTTGGGTGGGGCGGCGGGGGCGGCGCGATTGGAGCCGCGGGTGGTTCCAGGATTGGCAGCGGTGAAGCGGACGAGGCACGCACGAACCCGGCTGCATTCCTGTTCTCTTTCCCCACACACACCCTTCCCTCCCCCTTACGTCATTTTGCTTGACTTTCTAACCCCATCTCTCCCTCCCTCCGTCTCCCCCTCTTCCTCCCCCTCTCCCTTCCACCTCTCCCCCCCGCACCCCCGCTGCCCAGCTATGTCGCTGCCGTGCACTCCTCCTTCCGACTGCTCACCTCGGGCCTGGCTCGCTCGCTGTGTGCGGGGCGGCGGCTGGGCAAGGTGGCGGCGCTGGCGCTGCGGCTGCCGGGGGGGGCGCTGCGGGCGGCGGCGGCGCTGGCAGCCAAGTCCCTGCCGGTGAAGCTGCTGCTGCTGTGATGTGATGGGGTTTACCAGTAGACTGAGTCGCGAAGAAACACTGATGGGTGGGATGGCGAGGCCGAGGTAACCACCACCATCTAGTGCACGAATACGCACTATACGGTAATGATGGTGGTGGTGGTGGTGGTGGTGGTGATGAGGGTTGGCGGAAGCGATGATAGCTTTATGATGAGGAGCCACCTGGGAGGAAGAGGGGGGGGGCGCGGTGCGGTGCGGAGGGTGGGTTGCATGTGGGTGATGGCTGATGGGGGTTGAGCCTGCTGCTGCTGCTGGGGATATGGTGTTTGTGAGAGGGTGCTACACTTGCTTGCTTGCTGAGGAGGAGGTTAGGAGGAGGGATGGCGGGTGATGATTTGCTCACAAGGTTGGGTTCCAGGAGGCAGCACAGCAGGGTTATGTTGCCTGCGCAGGCGTGTTGAGGGCTGCTCATTTTGCCAGGTGCAGGCTGCAGAGAAATGTAAGCGAGAGGTGGTACCGGTAGCTCTTGGAAGTGGTTATCGTTGGTCGGTCGTCATGGAGGCAGTTGAGCCTGTGGTGTGTACGGTACCGAGGCTGTGAGATAAGATCTTGAGTGTTGTGGCCTGCCGGGTGACGGCCTGTCGGGCATGTTGCTTGCTGGTGGGTGGCACTCAGCGGGTGTCGTGTTGTTCGCAAAGCAAGACATGTGTTTGTACCTGTGCCAATGATAGGCCTTGTAGATCTCGTATGTATCTGTAGCTTCTCCTACTTCTCGTATCATAGCTCTGCTGCTCCTTCCTAGCCGTTTGTAACCGATAGAGAAGACGTTAGGTGTTGATTGTTATGACCCATGGGTCCCTTCAAACGTTGTAGTTGTATATTGTGGCTTCTTTTGCTGTTGACGGACGCCAATGCACAAGGGCACATTCGGGGGAAGGGAGCATGCAAAGGGCATGCAATCGTGTGTATTTCCGGACAGGTGTGTTGCTCGTACGGAAGAAGTTCAGGTACGACTGGTACTGCTCACTGGTTTCATGGTATCGTTCAGAGCCCAAGACGTCAAAGAGTGTGGGGTTGACCCAAGCGGACCCGCGTCATACCTGTGATGACTGGAAAAGTTTTGGATTTGACGGTTGGCATTGGCGGTTGGCCCTGTCTGTACAACACCCAAACTGTATACCCTTGTAGGATCTGTGCTCCTCATGCCCTTTAAGCCGCTGTATTCTCACGGGCAGTTGTGTGGCGGCATTTTGTTTCAGTTGTGCCAATTTTGCAGACAACAGGTTTGGGCACCGCGAAGTGTGTTTGTGTGTTTGTGCCCAGGGGACATAGCGGGTTCAATGCTCCGAAGCTTGAGTCCACTTGCTTTGTGTACCCTCACTTACCTCGTCCGGGTTATCCCTCCTCGGACCTGGCAGTACAAGTGTCGTTGTCAAATGTACGGTTTATTAGTGGTAGGCTTGTACATGTAGGTGTACGACATTTAGTTGTAACTACCTACGTTTGCTCCGGGATGGTAAGAATGCGGCATGCTGTTAATCGTAGGCTGCTGGTCGCTGGTTTGAGTATAAGCATTTCATTAGGGCATTTGGTAGACACAAATCACGCAGCCCTATACCTACATGCCCGTTGCCAGTGAATGGAGTTTGTCCGTAATTTACATGCACGGCACAAGAGGGCCTTATGAGCCTGGCCTTGCTAATGGTCCTTTCCTGTCCTACACCCCTGCTACACCTGCAAAATAGTCCTCACCAGAAAGAACGGCATCGTAGTACTTGCTCTTCCCCTGACAGAGGAAAGAAGCAAAGACACAACTATGGCGGAACCAACCAAAATATCACAGCCGCACTGGCAGTTTTCAAAACACTACCCTGTAACAAACAGAAAGCAGACAAGCACACGTTCCTTACATCAGGAGCGCACATTAGTCATGAGTGCCTAGACCCCTCCGATCGAACCCCTGGAAGACAGCAAGGGCTGCTGGGTTGGGTTGCCACAGCGCGGACACTAAAGGCATGCAGACCCGGCGGTAACAGACCACATTAACCCTGACAACCACCCGCCACCGTTCGTCCCTGTCCTGCTAAGACGCTGTACTCACCTCTTTCTGCCATGTGGAGAAATGCACGAATGGACTTACGTCCGTTGCCTCTTCGCGTTCCAGCCCACAGCCCATAGCCCGTACTAAAGCACCGTGTAAGACCCCCACAACACCAACTTGTGGTCTCCTATGGTTTGGTATGGTCTTTGACCCCCACCACCACCCCCTACACAACGCTGCCAGCAGACATGAGACGACGGCTGCACACGCCCGCTTCATGGCGATATATAAGCATCCAACATAAGTTGGATAAGCAAATACCATGGCAGATGAAGAGTTAATACAGGGCACACACGATACGGTATACCTGTACGACACAAACGGAACCTGCTGCACCTGCAACTAAACGCATACCTGATTGATAAGTCCTGTTTTATACTTGGCTACGCCGCACATCAGGGCAAACAAAGCCCGCGGCCGCTAATAACACAACCCTTTCTTTGCATGGCCGCTAGGGACATATGATGCCATCCAGCTTATTATCTCCAAACAAGCCTGTTTCTCTCTAAACCTGCCTGAAACACCAAAACAAATTGTTGGAGCTTATTTAGTTTTTTCCACCCTCGTCAGTTTTCCTTATTTGTACACCCGCACCCCCTCCCCCCCTCAGCAGCCCTCCTGCTGCCGGGACAACCACTCCTTCACCCGGCGGTCAACCTTGAGCTCCGGATTCAGGCCCAGGTGCGCGTAGCCCTCGCCCCCACCGATCACCGCAAGCGGCATGTCCCACTTCCCGCGCAGCCCCTCACCGCCCACTGGCTGCATGCGGCCGCACCCCCCACCTCCCGCTGCTGACGCTGCTGCTGCGGATACCCCGGCCACACCGCCTGCTACTCCACCGCAGGGACCTGATCCCGGGCCGCTTGTCGGAACCGTAGGGGGCGTGCGAACGGGCCCCAGGTTGGCACGTGGGAAGGAGGGGTAAAGGAACGAGGAGGTGGAGGCGGAGGGCGGACAGGTGCTGCCCAGCGGTGAGGCAGCAGCCCTGTCGGAAGACCCAAACGAACCGAATCCACTGGAAAACCCAGCTGCTGCTGCTGCTGCTGCTGGCGACGCGGGAGAAGAAGGAGAAACACATGCGGCGAGCCCAGAACTGGATCCAAATCCAGATCCGAACTGCTGCGGGCCTTCCAACTGCTCGGCAAAGCCACCCTCCGCAGCGGCAAATGACCCGTGGGTCACCCGTTCATGCAGCCTCGCAGGGGCTTCCAAATAGGATCCTCGATGAGCGAAGCAATGTAAGCCAATGGCACGCGTAGTGCTTCGTCCACCGCCGTACGGCTGTTGCTGGGTTTGTCGGTTAAGGTGGTTGTACGGCTTCCGTTGCTGTGTAGTACCAGTAGTTGCTTCAAGCAGCTCCTCGGGCGAAACACGCTCCCAGTCGAGTACGACACGTCCCTGCTGGTCCGCGTGCGCCAGGATGTAGACGTGTTTCAGGTTGTAGGAGAACGCGCATTGTGCCAACTGCTTCTTGTAGTCGATAAGGCTACCCGGAAGAGCAAGAACGAAATCCGATATCTTGTTGGCGCCGTAGCCTGCATGAGCGACCACGTGTACGACATACACAGCAGACATACACGTGTTTTTACCGGTACGTAAGTGGGGTACGGACCGTGCGGTACGGCACAAACGGTATCATTGTTCCAAAATGCAAAATTCTCAAATTCAATGCGTACAGCACATGTACAAAAGGTGTACGGCAGGCTCTCGCAGAACTCACGTCGGGTGTATAGGAAGTACTGGATCTGTGAAACGCGCATGGGCTCCTCATCGTTGGGCCCGTTGCGTTTGTTGTACATTATAAGGACGGCGTCAGGTTTGCAGCCCGCGCCCGCTTCGCAGGTAACACCCAGGCAAGTGCTACCCAGCAGGCGGCTCCAAAAGGAGGACGGAGACTGGGATGCGGGCGGCGGCGGCGGTGCATGGGATCTGAGAGAGGGGGCGGCTGGGGAGGTGGTGGAGGAGACGGCGGTATCGTTTGCGGCGTCGCAGGAGGGCCGCGGGGAGTTGAGGATGTTGCGGTGGGTAGGCGGAGTGCCGGACGCCTCGCCGGTGGTGGTCTCGGGACAGAGGACTGCTCGAAGTGGGAGTGGGAGTGGAAGCGGCGAAGCAGTTGGGAGCGCAGCAGAGGGGGAGGGGGTGTTACAGGTGGGGAGCGTGGGGGACTAGGTGCGGTTAGGAGGGGACGGGCACCCGTGAATCCATGAGGGGAGGCGGTGGGGCAGGGCAACAAACAAACAAAAGGTATATGCTCCGAAGTTACTAGTATCCTTAATAATTTTTTGAGACAAAGCAACAATATGACATGTCGCCCCGCAGCCGTTCAGTCGTACAAAGTCGTGACATGCAAACCCCAACAGGACATGACGGCGTCCGGTGGCGCTGTTGTCGGCAGCAGCCGCATGAGGACATCACCGCTACACCCCATACATGGAGGCCAGCGGCGCGGGTGCACCGATGTCGCCTTACCTTTGCGCTTTGCTGGGGCTGCCGGGGCGACCTGGGACTCGGTTGACCTCCTCCTGCGGAGCAACGACAGAATTCCGCAGCCGGGTACGAACCAACAAACATTTATTTATTGGAGATAACATCAGTTATTGTGGTCTGCAACATGTAGCTCTAGGTTTGCAAAGCGAGCAGCGTTGATTTCGCGCTCTCAACGGTCTTGGCGGAGCAGAAGGGCTTCGGGCAGTTAGGGTTCGCTCTTACTACCGTAATAAGCTTTGCTTACCCGCCCATTTAGCTGTTGACGTTTTGTGCTAGCCGCGGCAGCGCATGCAAACCCTAAGCAACGACCGGCTTGTCAGTCGGCAGGTTCCCGCTATTATGAAGGACATATAGCATACGCAATATATGAAGGACTGCTGGAACAGCGCCATAAGTTAAAAGCCTGGCGAGCTTTAGGATCAGTAATGCAGATCCGCGCTTTGTACTGTCGTACAGTACGGTACTGTGGCTCTGTCCAGCTGTCCTGTCAAGTGCAACGATAGGGTGTTGCGAAATGGGCTGACTTTAGGGTCGGATGGGATTCATTAATCATCTGCTAATTCCCCTCCCGGCCAACCCGGATGTTTCACACAAGCCGGATGCCTAAGAGGCAGGTGTTGCCGGTAATGCGACCGCCGCAGGATGCAGATGTAAGAGGGGAGTAAGGGAAGGGAAACGGCTTGGGCTCCGGAACAAAGTGGAATCCGTAAACGACGTGATCTATTTGGTGGCGCTTCGCATTCATGCCGTGTGCCCCTTAAAGCTTGATTGTGGCAAGGTTGTGGTTATGGGTTTGCAACTGGCGGAGACCTTGAGGGAGAGGGAGCCCCGAGGGAGCAACAACGCTAAGTCATACACGAGGAAGGAAGAAGAGAAGCTACATGTTTTTGTCGACATCTGTACGACGTCCCGTGGCAGTTGGAACATGACACATAGCACCTGAAAACACATCGTGCGTCATATACTAATACTATAATTGTGTGACACGCGTACTGCAAGCAGTCAGCTACCAGGCCTGTTGACACACCTCTGAACAGTGGCAACAGGTCTGTACGTCCGTTCGCTACGCCCCAACGCGCTTCCATTTTGCATTTAAACGGCATGCATCAAACGCCAACACCAACAGCAGCCACCTCCACATTGGCGTCCCTATCATTCCCACTAAACGTAAACATCCACCCCCCTAAAATCGCTCACTGCATGGATCAGTACATGGGACTGTGTTCCACTTCTCATTTCTCTTTTCCCCTTCGATTTGCTTCAGCACCCCGCCAGACCAGCTTCCCAGCTAACCACGTCTGCCGCACTTCAACCCTCCAAACACTCCAAACGTGGCTGCAGGGAATCGCTGAAGCAGCGGCTGACACTACCGGTATCACACCGCGGCGGCGGCTCCCACAGCAGGAGTCACGGTGGCGGCTTGGGTCTGATATGTTGTTGTTGTCTTCCTGGTGTTGCGACCCGCGCTACTTGTCCTCGGATGCAGGCCTCCCTGCGCTGCGCCCACTCCCGCCAAGCGCCCCGAAACCCAAGCCCAGTAGAAGTTGAAGCCCCCAATACGCCCGAACACGTCAACGCACTCGCCGCACAGGAACAATCCGGGCAGCAGCTGTGAAGAAGGGATTGAAGAAAGGAGGCTCGGGTAAGAGGAAGAACAGCAAGTTGTGGTGGGTGAATTTGGCCAGAACGGGAAAGCAACTCGGCCGAGGTGGGTGAAGCGAGGACACTCTGTACGGTGGTAGGAGGTGCACGCGAAGGAACGGCAACTTGAAATGCTAGAACCCGCACGGTAATGAAGTGAACAACGTCAGGTGAGCGAAAGAAAGCGGATCCGCCCTCCCTTTCCCTCTCCCTGCTCCCTCTCCGCCCCACCCCCAAAACCCCACCCCGACCCCTACCCTGCTCTCCAGCGTGGCACAGTCCAGCTCCTCTAACCGCACTCCACCCCCCGTCACCTCCGCCTTCTTGTAGCCCTCGTGACCCGAGTACGGCAGCTCGTACGACGTTAGCAAAGACACCTGCAGCAGTACGGCAGCACGAGCGTACGGCAGTACGAGCGTACGGCAGAAGTAGTACCGGTACGGCAGATAGAGCAGATACATTTATATGTAGGGGGCAATACAACGCGAGTCAAACGTATACAACAGAAATCAGTATTAAAAATATTTATCGTACATTTGACCGTGCCCTTCCTCCAGCTACCCGTGCGAAATTCTAGTGATTAGTCCTTGGACGGATACCGGACCGCCGGCACCTCAATCGTGCCACCCAATCATAAAGCCCTCACCAAACGCACCCCAGATCCCACACACATGGCCCCCCTAGTCTGCTTCCATGAGACTTCATCCCCGTCACGCCACGCCACCCAACGCCACGCAGTACGGTAACCAATGCACGCACATCAACGCTCACACGCCACCCACCAATTGCGCCCGCTGGCTCTTCCGTACATCGCACACGCGTGTCCCCAACAGCCCGGCCTCCGTCACCAGCGCCTCAGCCAGCCGCTCCCGCAACCCATGTCGCTGGAGCAGCGTGGATACCAGCAGCGTTCCTCCGGACTGTTTGTCGTGGCACATCGAGAAGGGGAAAGGGGGCGTTATTAGGGGCTTTAGGAATGTCGCCAACAGGACGCGGCAAAGCGACTAAACAGGAGGCCGGAGATAGACAGCAACTGCAGCAACCGTGACCCACGGGTCTGCAACATTGCACACGCCATATGCTGTACGGTAAGACGGTACCGGTAGCTGCCGTGTGCCTTGGTGCCCACACCCGACCAGAAACCCTAGCCAACAAGGGCGATAGCTTCTTACTGACTTACCCGTATGCGTTCATCCCAGACCGCCGCAGGTTCCCTCGTCCAGTTGACACGAATGGAGGGTAGACCCCGCGACAGGTAGCCGCTGCTGCTGCCACTGCTGCTGCTGCCGCTACTGCTGTTACTATTGCCGTTGCCGCTGGTGCTGCTGCCACTGCCGCCGCTACTGCTGTTACCATTGCCGTTGCCGCTGGTGCTGTTGCCACTGCCGCCGCTACTGCTGTTACTATTGCCGTTGCCGCTGGTGCTGCTGCTGCTGCTATTGCTGTTACCGCCACCGCTGCTTTCGGCGAGGCTGGCGGCAGCAGCAACCGTCTGTTTCACGACTTGCTGCTTGGCTTGCCTGGAGTGCTGCTGCGCCGATATCGGCTGCTGCGATGACTCCTTCTGTTGCGCCACTGCGACATGCCCTTCAGAGTCACCACCTCCCCTCTCCAGCCCTCGAACCGCGAAATGGCTCAAGTCCAGTACAGCAGGACCGCTGTAGCCCTTGTGCGTGAACAGCAGTGCCGTACGCTCCGAAACCTTGGGCCGTTTGGATCCAGGCAGTTGTACGGACAGTTCTATGTCGTACATGGACACCCCAGCCAGCTGCTGTCCCGCGGGATGGGGTCCCTTGAGGGGTGTGAGGGCGGGGTAGGGCTCCGACAGGCGGTGGCCCAGGGCTTGGAGCATGCGGTGGCCTGTGCCATCGGTGCCCACTGCTGGGAAGCTCAGACCGCCTGTGGCGATGATCTGCGGCCGCCAGCGCCAATGAGAGGAAGGGTACATGTTTTTTTTATCGAAGTTGGCTAGTTCGTTAATTGATTTGGATACGGGGTGGAGCGCAATTTTGCTCTATAGCTGCAAACAGGCTCCTCCAAATGCGGATGTGGGTGGGTGGCGTGGGCCATCATCGTTACGCAAGAAGAGGCCATGCTAGCGCAGGTAGGTGCGGGGGGGGGCGAGGTGGCATACACGGCGATTTAGGGAAGGGGCAGGATTCACCTCGTTAACTCGTTAGGGGGGCAGGCAGGAGAAGGGATCCCAACCCCCCACCCCAGTCCCTCTTCGGCCCCGATTGTTGCTCACCAGCTTATCCGTCACGTGCTCACTGCCATCCCGCAGCCGACACAGCCACCGTGTGGTAGCACCAGCGGCGGGGGCAGCAGCAGCAGCAACCGCATCGCTTGCTGCTGCTGCTACCGGGTTCTCCCGCGGACCTCTTCGCGCCTTCTTGCCGCGCTTAGCCACGGCGCCACCGCTATTGGTGCTGCTGCTGCTGCTGCCTTGTGAGCCATCCCTGGAGTGGGACGGTCCTGCGGCCTCCCCGCCGCTTCCAAGCTGATGCTGTCGTACAGCCATGTCGGCCCTGTCACCATCACCATCCACCACCGCCCCGAGTGGGTGCTGACCCTGCCCCGTACCCTGCTGTTGCCCCTGTCCCTGCAACTGCAACTGCGTTAGCCCTTGCTGCTGCTGTTCCTGCTGCTGCTGTTCCTGCTGCTGCTGCTGCTCCTCATGCAGTGGAGGTGGTGGTGGCGACTGCAGCAGGGGTTGCAGCGCCTCCACGCTGGCGTCGTAGCGGAAGGTGACACCGCGAGCCAGGCAGGCGGCCACCAGCTTGTCACGAACCTGCGGGGTCGCGTTGTTCGGTTGGTTCCGTTGGGTTCGTTGGGTTGGTTCCGTTGGGTTCGTTGGGTTGGTTCCGTTGGGATCGTTGGGTTCGTGGGGAAGGGAAGGCAGGAGGAAATAGGGAAACCCATGGGCGGTCAACGTATATTTCTTAGTTAACCCATCAACCCCGCGTAACGTGTGACGTCTTCATCGCCTCACGATAAGAGTTCTGCGCGCTTGCTACGGTTCGTACCTCGCGAGAGGAGTTGCTGCTGGGAAAATACTTTTTGGTTTCCTCCTCGAGCTGCAGATCCACACCCACACCCCAGTAGGGATCCTCCAGCCTTGGTGGGGCGGAGAGCCGGCAGGGGGGGGGTCGGTCCAGGGGTGCGGGTCAGAGCAGCGCAGGATGAGGACAGCAGGACACGAACATGGGTCGGGGCAAGGAGGAGAGGACAAGGCAAGCGGTTGTTGCCATCGTCTGTAGCACTCTACAACGGAAAGAAAAAGCCCTTCATTCTCCCCACCAAGCCCCTCCCCGCCAGTCCCCGCACCTCCCCCACCCCCCTGCTCTCACCAGGCCCTGCACGCCTCCAGGTTCCAAGAGGCGAACACCGCCCTCACGGCGGAGGGAGCGCTGTCGCTGTGGTAGTCAGCGGACAGGTCCACCTCCAGGGGCAACACGTTGCTGGGACGTGGGAGGGAGGGGATTACAACAGGGACTATGGGTTAGCAGGGAAGGGCCAAGTAGAAGAAGTCCCAGTCGTTGCTAAGGAGATGTTGTTGGTGGCGAGTGCGGGTGAGTGCGGGTGTGGGTGATTAGATAGACCGAGCCGCGGAAACACTGGTGCGGGTGCGGGTGATTAGATAAACTGAGCCGCGGAAACACTGGTGCGGGTGTGGGTGCGAAGAGAGGAGAGAAGGAGAGGATAGGGGCAAGGCATGGGACCGAAGGGGAGGAGCTGCTTACAAGCGCCGTGGAAGGCGCTGGAGGTGCGGTTGGGTCATGGTGTACGCGGATGGCCGTTACGTCATCCGCTATACTGTATGCTGTTCTTCTGGCATTGATACTTAATTACGTACCATCGGGACCCGCCAGACATGAGGATTTTCTTGCCGGCCTCCCGGGTGCGTTCCAGGACCGTCACCTGCGTTTTTGAATGGGTGGGCAGAAGCAGGAGGGCAGTAGCAGCAACACGCTAAAGCTGTAGCTAGGGGTACGAGGTTCCAGCTGTAGCTGCGGGGTAGCGAGGGACCAATGGACGTTTGGGCGCTGCTAAAGACATCACGCTTTGCTTTGCGGGCTCCCGCGCGCTGATGTTGTTTTGAAACGCTCCGGAACCAGCAACACGAGAAGTGCCCTAGCTGCCTAGTACCAGTGCAAGGGGAGGCGCTGCGGTCCGTTGCCGACTGCCAAACCTCCTGATGAGCTGCGAGGGCGGCCCGGCGTACCTTCGCCCCATGCTCCGCTGCAAAGAAGGCCGCTGTTAGCCCAGCAGCCCCACCGCCGACGATGGTTACGTGGACTGCATCGCTAGATGAATTAGCATGACCTGTATTCCCTGTGTCCGTCGATAAAGCGGCAACCCGGTTCCCAATTTGGACGACCCGGCGGCAGCAGATGGCTCTCCGACCAAACAAAGCCGCTTTGCTGGCGGAGTAATGGTGCAACATAATTGAAAATTACAACCTGCTATCGTGAAAGGGCCCAGGGCCACACAATCTAAACAAGAGGCTGTACATGCGTAAGCTTCTGGGCTTGCGAGGCAACTCTATGTCCCCCAACCATATTTGAGTGACAATTAATTGACTTTAAAATGGAGCGCATATGGCTTCCGTCATCTATCGCTACGTAGTCAAATGTCACCATTTACGGGGCACCTGAGCAGTGCGAATCTTACCAAGTGTTCATTATATTTATATTAGTCATCTCGCATATCTGGGGACCACATAGTATAGCAGGAATGCCCTTTGTCAGCCTGTAGGTGACCCAGGGGCCAGGTTGGGGAAACACCGGCGAAGTGGTGCAAGGAAGTTGCACATACTTCCAGGCGCGTGCAGACATCCCCGTGATCTGCATCTTCTAGGGTAAGCATACGCGCGGAACCGGGCAACATTCCTGCGGGGTCTTGTCCTGGTTCGAGGATGTGCGCCGTCCTCGCGGGAGGCTGCATGTGCATTGCCGATTAGCGCTTGGCTACATGCCTTTGAGTTGTACTATGCGCTGCGCTGCTGTTGTAAAGCGTGCCATTCCTACGATGCAGGTGGAGGTCGTCTGATGTGAACCTGAGGCCTGGGAGGCCCCAGGCAGCCCCGAGCATGTGACGTACGATGCTCAACCCGGTTGGCCCGTGCTCAGGCCTCACAGATCCAGCGCGACGAGTCTCATATGCGCGTATGCAAAGGCGTCATCTAGGCGGGGTGGTGTTGGTCGCAGAGCAAAAGACCGCGAGCGCGTTCCGCATCGGTGCTGCTGTTGCGGTGCTTTGTTGCTTGTCTGGGACCGACCGACCGACAGCTGTCACCGCTGACATGTTCTACTAATTGACAAGCTCTACACAAGCTTACAATGATAGCAAAACGCTGCAATCCATAGAACAGAAGGCGACATACTGGCCTGCCAACCAACTGGCCTGCTACCACCAAGGGCCGCTCACGAGCACGACTACTTTCCTGCCGGCAATCAATATCTGACACTTAAAGTAGGGATTACGCTACTTGTTTCTGGCCTATACGTTATAAGATCGGTTACCGCGTTACGCGCCGTGCGTAGCAGTGTGTGGCCGCAATAAATTGCATGACTTCTAAACTATAAAATAGAAGGATTTACTTCTACTTTATTTACTTAAGCATTGTTGAAGCTGTATTCACCTTTGGTGCTTGCACGGACGATTAGTCAGCAGAGCATGTTGTCCTCAGAACAAGCCCGAAATATAAGCCTGGTAGAGGTACGTCTCATAACTATGCTATCCGCGCCTTAGGGGCGCCCACACGAAGCGGGTTTCTTTGCTAGAGGGAACCTACATTCTTCCACCCATCCATCCATCCAGTCAATGCGGAACCCTTGCACGCGAGCAGTTCAGCAATATTTTATAGGTTGTGTTGCTCCTTACAGATGTCTTATAGAAATGGTTGCGTTCGCGGTTGTGAAATGGTTATCGCAAACGCATGCCTCGGACATCCAGGGTGCATCTGCTGCCGCAAGGTGCAAACCGGACACCGGCTAATGTGAATCTGGTTTCCGGGCATACGCAGGCGCTATTGGAGGAGGCAGAATCGAAGTTTCCCAGCGCTTGTCTCAGGGCGCCGTCCGAGCAGGAAACGCTACAATGGTACGGCCACGCGCATGCTGCTGCTGTCGGCTCTGGGGTCAACGAAGGGAAAGCATAGCTGAAGTACGGCAGCCAAGTTTCACCTCACGTATGTCTCTGGTGCCAGCTGGTGCCGTGTTGTTGAAACTACTGCTTGCAAGACTACCAGCCGAGCTCTGGTGGCAACAGACTCCCGTCCTCCCAATTCGCTGAGAGCCTTATTTGCCGCTGCAACTCCTCGCGCCAAACCTGCAGGTCTGAGCAGCAGATCCGGCAGTTCTTTGCCAACCAAGTGGACAAGCTAGCTTCGGCGGGTTCCGCTCCTTCCGCCGTCAACAGCAGTAACAACAACGGCAGCAGCAATGCTGCCACGCCCCATACCGGCGGCGAGGCTGCTGCTAACGGCAACCCAAGTCCCAAGCCCGCATTCAAATCCCTGCCGCCCTGCCGTCCTGAAGTCTTCGCTAAGTGGTTTCCCGGCATAAAGCTCAGCGGCACTGCCACCCCACACCCCAGGTGCGATGCGCTCCATCACATGGGCCTGCGTTCCCCCTTCCCGCCAGCCACCCTCAGTCAGTCAGTTAGTAGTTTAGTTTCACCATTACCATCAGCCCTCAACCTCCGGCCCACCAACACTCATCCAATGCGCGATCATAAGCTGGTAGTTACCGTAACTACCGTAACTAATGCTTCTGCTGCCTGTGCTGCATGCACCCTGCTGCTGCCCCCGCAGGCTGCGTGTGCTTGCCTTCCACAGCGCGGGTAATGCGGAGGACATGTGGACCTCCGAGGGCACCGGGGCACGCAGGAATCCCAGTCCACTGCTGGTGGGTGGGTCTGGTTACATGGGTTGGCCTTATGGAGGAGAACGTGTGGGGCCTTGTGGAGGGAATGCAGGAGGCCTGCTGCTGGGGAATGGGGTCCGCCTGCTTGGGTGTTGGTTAGCGGGGCAGGTCCGGTGTGGAAAGACGACCCGCCGGGGAAGCGAGCAGGCGGCCTCCTGAGCCGCCTGACGTCGGTGCTTCCCGCCCTCTTCCCCCTCCTCCTCCTCCTCCACCGCCGCCTCATTCCGCCTTTGCCCTCTTTCCTTCCCGCCTCCTCCGCGCCCCACATGATGGACCCTCCTCCGCCTCCTCCGCGCACCACGTCAACCCACACTATGGCGACCCGCATCATGACGTGTACGACACCATGGGTAACGACGACCTACCGTACACCATGTACGACGCTGCTCAGGAGTGGTGTCGGGGCAGCGGTGTGGAGATGCTGGCGGTGCAGCTGCCGGGGAGGGCGGGGCGGCTGCGGGAGCCGTGCCTCACACGGGCGCAGGTGGGCCTTGGGTGGGGGGGCGGCAGGGGGACTTCGGGTGGAGGTAAAGAGGAAACAACTAACTGACTGAGGGATAAGGCGTCAACATGGGTGGAGGGGCGGCGGATGGCAGGGAAAGGAGAAGAAGAAAACACCCATGCTGTGAAGCAGGCGGTGCAGTGATGGCATGTTGCGGGCGCCTACCGGACAAGGACGAATCGTCGATTGGGTTTTCGAAGGAGGACATCTGTACGGCAGCCGTACTGCAGCAATCTGTGAGGTATTTGCATGGGCGGATTCGCTGCAGCTTCACGGGATCACGGCTCCCATTGAAGGCTCAGATTGGGGCATCAGCGTCGCACGCATGCAGCCTAATAACCGACACCCCCTCCGCCAATCGCTGGCGTCTGTGTTGCCTTTTCCGGTGTATGTCCCCAGGACATTGCCCGGGAGCTGCTGCCCGTGGTTGGCCCCTCCCTGGCTTCCGGCGTGCCGTACGTCGTACTCTCGCACTCGCTTGGCTGCTGGGTATGCTTTGAGTTCCTGCGGGAGGCACGCCGGGCTGGGCTGCCCATGCCGCGCGCTTGGTGCCTTTCGGCCATGCCGTACCCTGATCTGCCGTACTCGCAACGTCCGTGGCGCCCGAACCGGGGGCTGGGGAATGAGGATTTCATGGTCAGCCCATGGGTTTCTGCTTTGCGGGTTCTTGGTTTTTTGCATGTGTCATGGCTGGCTGCGGGTTGTACGGCATACCGCATGCACGGCGGTGTGTCGCACGACAGCAGTTGCTTCCAGGCTATCCACCGTGCTCCTTGCGTTCGGTGGATCCAATCCTGATCCATTTGTCGTGCCAACGATGGGGCACGACACACTGCGCACACCCAACAAGTGGCGTTATGTCATCTTACCCACCCGCCCACCCGCCCGCTGCAGGAGGAGGTTTGCGGCTGGGATGTGAACACGGTCGTCTTGACCCGGGACATGTGGCAGGTGGGGGCGTAGATTGGGATGGGGCTGATGAACTGAGTCGCGACAGGGTCCATAGCGGAGATGCCGGAGGATGATGCCTCTGGCTGGAGCCTGGGGATGTGGATGCGGATGCTTACCGGTAACCACATTGCCGGCATCCATGTGTCTATGAATGGCAATGCTTGCAACCGACCCAACACCGCAGTTGTACGAGCCCTTACTGCGAGCCGACTTCACCGTATTCGACGAGTATGAGTTGCAGCCGGATGTAGCGACGGAGGGTACGGCAGCAGCAACAGCCGCCGGCAGCAACAGCAGCAGCAGTTACAGCAACAGCAGCAACGCCGCCGGAGCGTCCTCGTCCTCCTCGGCCTTGTCCTTCACCACAGCACATGCGGGTGTCCCGGCGGGTAAACCTCCCGTACAGCCCTTCGACTTCCCGATCACGGCGTTCTGGGGAACACATGACCGGTGAGGTCCCGTACGAAGGGTACTGCTTTGACTTAATTGTGTTCAGCGCCGAAAAATACTGTTGCTGTTGGTTAGGTATATGGTAAACAGGAATACGCATACCGCATGCTCGCCGGTGCTGTGCTAGGAGCAGGCGGTTGGAACTTCCCGTAGGATCCTCACCGCAATTGAATTGCCGTACAACGTCGTACATCTGTTACCCCGATGTACGGCAGCCGGGTACGGCAGCATCACGTGACTCCCTGGGCTCGCTACACCCGAGGGGCCTTCAAGTTGGGCGAGATTGACGGCAACCACTCGTGGCCGGTCAACAACAAAGACGCCAAGGCGATGTGGCTGCGGCAGGTGGTCGAGGCATTCCAACAAGCAACACAATGATTTAATGCGGATACGTAGCTATGACGACATATGTGGTGAGCGACTGTTGAGTAGTACTGATACTCTGCTGGAAGCACGGGGAATAAGCGGCAAGTGAGTCATGGTTAATTGTATGTAAAGAGTGGCTGCGGTTGAAGGGCTGGGGACGATGTCCTGGAAGGCGGAGTAAAGGCTGGATGTTTGGAATGTTGTTCCATTTTAAAGCTCTACGGTAGGGCTACGGTGCTTCTTTAGGTTGTACGGAAGGCGTGTAGTGATCTGTGGTGGAGACAACTCAACCACCGGTTCGATCGCCCAGCGCGTAGTACTAGCATATTTAGAGGGCTATATGGTTCGTGCGCAAGTATTGGAGGTCATACTCTACGCAATAATGCAAACAACGTGCGTGGTTAACGGCGGTAGGTGCAATGAAAGAACATTCATAAGCGCCGATGACATAAGGAAAACCCGGTAAGGGCCATAACTGTCGGCGCTATGCCACATGGCTCAGAATAACCGTGCACACCCGACACCGCTCGACACCGCATATAAAGTGGTGAACTCCTCCTTGCGGCGACGATCTATGCGGTACGGGATAAGGCGGGGCAAACGGCAAATGTCCAAGCACATATGTGCCGGTATTTGCCGAGGCCTCCCAGCCACGGTTGGTGCCGTGTTGGGATAACAAGTGCCGCTGCAAACGCATATTGCAACGAAGTACATGGCTCAAGCCATTGTAGTTTAGGTGCCTGCTGCCGTTGGTCTCCAAGGTTTGCTTTAAAGTAGCATTGCTGCTACGGCGTCGCATAGTATTGAAATACAAATGCAAAGGGCGCGGATGCTGGAAATATGCGTTGTGCTGCACGTGGATGCCCGGACTGACTACTGGCTCGTCCGCCTGGATTCTGTCGCATATACCTTTCACCTTTCAGCCGACAAATTAACACTTCACGGCTTGCTCTCTCTGACCTGATGCTTTCCCCGACCTATCTCAATACATTATATTCATATTTGCATTGGGGATATGTTGAGGAGCCGAAGGGCCAGCTCCATTAAATAGGTTTGCGTTGGAACTGGGTGGCAGTCGCAATGCCCCGCGATACAACTATGCAAGGCGACGTGGAAGCGCCAGCCTCGGCTAGCTGCTCCTATGGAGTTGGGTTTCAGGAACTGACCAGCGCGAATGAGGTACGCTTCTTCAGTTCGAGGAATCTTTAGCACCCGTCGCTCCACGAGTATGTTGCATTGCAGGTCGAGGACATGGAATTTTACGAAAGGGTTGGAAAGGCTGAGGGACTCGCCCGATTATTATCAAGCTCAGTCGAGTCAGGCCTGAACCCTGACCCCGGTTCCACCGGCCCTGATTCAGTAGCAGAGCATAGAAGAGTGTTTGGTGCAAACACTTACAGGGAGGCACCTCCAAAGAACGTAAGGATGTTCCCATAGCTGCCATGTACCCCTGAAACTTATGGGAACTTCATCCTTGCGGCAGCCGCTAATCTTTTAATTGCATATGCGCAGTTCTTTGCGCTGGTATGGGAGGTGGTGCAAGATCCCATTCTTATACTGCTTATCCTGGCAGCATTGGTAAGCCGGCTTTTACGTGGCATGCCATATTTTAGCGTATAGATACATATGTGCTGCAAGTTACCAATGCTTATAAGCTTTCAATTTGAGGCTCCGCTAGGCCCAGTTGGACATGCCCACACGCCATCACTTTAAGCCCACAAGCTATGCGCTTACGTGCTCATGCGGGATTTAATTGCGTGCTATTCCCTGTCTTTTATTCCCTACGCTTACTATGGCCGTTAATAGGTTCCGTTTACCTCTCAACCACCCATCGCTATGCTAAACAGGTGTCCACAGTCCTGGGCTCTGCTATTCCGGAGGAAAGAAAGAATAAACACTGGATAGAGGTGCGCCGTTGGCTTCTCTCGGCCTCTTTGCCGGCCTGGATGCCTCTTGGTCCATAGCTACCCCAACTAGCGGGACTGCATTTCTGCGGGAAAATGGGCGGTAAAGATGCTTTAGGCAAGCATCTCTGCTGTATGAAGCAATGCCTCTAGTTGCCTGTTGCACGGGCACAAAACACAAATCGGGGTCGGGTTTTTTCCCGTCAACAGTGCCGGCAACTGAGGCCTTGCTGTTTCACTCCTCCCTGTCCCGGAGCACAGGGGGTGGCCATCTGGGTGGCTGTTATCGTCGTCACGCTAGTGGGTAAGAGTCGGTGTGTGTATATGTGTCTGGGAGTAAGAGTCCGTGTGTGTGTATTTTAGTAGAACAAGAGCAAGCAGTTGGGATAGGTTCGCATGTGAACCGCAAGTACAGGCAAAACAGAGGGAAAACAGAGGTAAACAAACCTGAACGTAACTGAATAACTGCTTAAATCGCTGGTGCTGGATGTAAGAAGAGTGGCGGGTTGACGACGCATGTCGGTGATGCTGATCGTGTCGGGAAAAACTAATTGCTGATGAGTACTAGTTGCTGCTGGCGATGGCGGTAGAGGAAATTAGCTGGCCTCACGTACCGGTATTGCTTCTCTCCATGGCAGCCATTGAGGAAGTCGTATTACAAACATGTGCCGCACACGTTTAGGTATGTGCCCGTGAGCACGACTTTGGTCCCGCTTGTTGGCTTGCGAGTGGCTGTGAGGCCTTTTTCCTGTTAGGAGGCACGAAATACGTTGCTGGTACCAGTTGCTTTATCACTCCTTACCAACACTCCTCCTGCACTTAAGCCACCACCTGTAGTAACCGCACCGTCCCACGGGTCACACCACTACAAACCCTATCCGATGCGGCCTCATTGCTACAACCCATACTACCACTCCCATCATCCACACCAACCTTTTTCTTCCTTAACCACCGGACAGGCGCCGGAAATGACTACTCCAAAGACCTGCAATTCCGTAAACTCAACGCGCTCAAAGACAAGATCAAGATCAAGGTCATTCGCGGTGGGGACCTGACGCTTGTGGACAACACCGATATCGTGGTGGGCGATGTGGTGTTCCTAGACACGGGTGACAAGGTGGTGGCGGACGGCCTAGTCATACGCTCCGAGGACCTCACCTTGGACGAGGCGTCGCTCACGGGCGAGTCGGAGCCGGTGAAGAAGGACACTCGCAGCGCTCCATGGGTCAAGTCGGGAACCAAGGTGGGGGGGTAATGGGTGGGGTGCGGCGGGGCGGGCTGGTGATTGGGAGTGCGTCGATGCGGGTGGGCAATGTGGGTCGGGGGTAAGTAATAACTGGTGTGTGCAGCAACGAGTCCCATTCCCATATCCCGACTCATGCAGTGAGCGCATTCGGAGACACTTGGATAACGTTTCGCACTGAAACCCCATTCCTCGACTCCTACCCTCCTTCTTAACCCTTCCCTACCCCTCCCCTTCCCCGTCTCCATGTTAATCCCCGTCCCCACCTTCCTCAGGTCACGCAGGGCAGTGGTCACGTCCTGGTCACTGCGGTTGGCGAGCACAGCGAGTGGGGCCGCACACTGGCGCTCGTCGCCGAGGCGGGTGACGAGGAAACGCCGCTGCAGGCGAAGCTGGAAGTGCTGGCGGTAGCAATTGGCAAGATCGGCTTCGCGGTGGCAGTGTGCTGCTTCATCGCTCAGCTCATAAAGTGAGGGAGTTGGGAGGAAAGGGCACTGGGGGGAGGGGGACGGGGAAGTGGAGGGATACGGGTAGTAGTAGGCACCCAAGCCGGTAGGGTAAGGGGGCCATCCATCGGGAAACACGGTGAGCTGTGTGAAGGGGGCCCAAGTGCAGCAGCGGACGCATGTAAGGGATTGGATGGGGGTACGAGAAGCCATAGGGTGTTTGGCAGGTCTCCGCTTGCTCGCTCGATCAAGTAAATGCCGGTGGCCGGTGGTTGTAATCCACACCTCCTGCACCCCACTCTCCTAACCCACTCCCCTGCACCGCACCATGATGTCCAACCCATGGTGGAGCCTACATGTCACACGGCTAGTGTATTCCCCCTCCTCTTTACACCTCCCTCACCGGCCCCCCCCACCGCACCCAGGTGGTGTGTCGTGAACCGCGGCTTCCCCATCAAGAAGATCAACGACAACGGCCCCATCCAGTTCTTCCTGTACGCCATCACCATCATCGTGGTGGCGGTGCCAGAGGGGCTGCCGCTGGCGGTCACCATAAGCCTGGCCTACTCCATGAAGAAGATGCTCAAGGGTGGGTGGGAGGGGCAGGAGTTGGGGGCTGAGGAGTAGCGATGGGAGCACGCATGTACGCTTTTGCCACCGTCTTGTGTCCCCGCTCCACCAAACAGTGTCGCCCGGGGTACATACCCAACCAGGGATAGTAGCAACAGCAGATAAAAGTAGTGGCCTTGTCCTCATACGCATTGCTTATATCCCGACTCCCTCCGCAGACAACAACTTTGTCCGTGTGCTGTCGGCCTGCGAGACCATGGGCGGCGCCACCGCCATCTGCTCCGACAAGACCGGCACCCTCACGGAGAACCGCATGACGGTGGTGGAGGGCTGGTTCGGGGGGCGCAAGTACGACACCGCTCCCAGCAGCACCGACCTGCACCCCGTGCTGCTGCAGGAGCTGGTCATGAACTGCGCACTCAATTCCAAGGTACGACAGGATGAGGATGTGGCTGCAGTGCGGCGTTGATGTTGTGTTGGTGGCCCCACCCCCACTCTACGCTCCCTTCGCCCATTCCCTCTCCCCACTCACTTTCCGCTTCCTTTGGCCCTCCCATCCCCCCACTCTACGCTCCCTTTGCCACAACCCCACTCTGTAATCCAGCCAAGTGCGGAATATGTATCCCTGTTAAATCCCACTCTCCCCGCTCTCCCTGTGCCCAGGCTACCTTTGAGATCAAGCCCGATGGCAAGATGGAGTTCACGGGCAACGGCACGGAATGTGCGCTGCTGCTACTGCTGCACCGCAACTTTGATGTGGACTACAAGGCGGTGCGACACCAGCACGAGAAGAACATGGTCAAGGTGAGGGGGTGGGGGGGGGGAGCTAGAAGGGAAGAGAGGTGAAGCACTGAATAGTAATAATATCCGCTATTCCATCGCACCATGGGTGTATGCCGGTAGGGGGAGCGGGGTGCGCATGGGTTCACATGACACGCAAACCCCCCACCTGCTGTGCGCTGCCCCCTAACCCCCTGCCCTCCGACCACCCCCCTCCAACCCCCCAGATGTACGGCTTCTCCTCCGCCAAGAAGATGGCCTCCGTGCTCATTCGCCTGTCGGACCGCCTGCGCCTGTACAACAAGGGAGCAGCGGAGTGGGTGCTGGCGCGCTGCACCAAGCTGCAAACCGAGGTGGGTTTGGAGTTTGGAGTCGGTGATTGCCCCATGGGAAACTATCCCTAGAACACAACGCAATTGCGAGTATGGGTATGAAGCCGGCTATGCACCTATAAGTGAAACGGCAATCAGGGGCGCTTGTCCGTTATATGCTTCCCCCACGCCACTCTCCCCCCCCGTTTAATGGTTCCCTCACGCCGCCGTTAAGTACCCCCTCTCGTGTCCTGGCCTCCTCCTCCTCCGCTCCCCCGCCAGTCTGGCGCTGTTGAGATGACGCCGCTGGTTCGCGAGTCGCTGCTGGGAGTCGTGACAGCCATGGCCAAGCGCGGCCTGCGGTGCATCTGCCTGGCGCATGCGGACTTCCCGCTGGAGGATCCGAACAGGGCCGCAGGTGGGGCGGGGCTGGGGAGGGAAGGGGGAAGGAAGAAGGGGGGGTTGAGAGGGGGCACATGGTCCTTGGTGGCACCCCTCCCTCCGGCGTAGCTCATGCTGTCACGGTTGTCTAGGTCATACACCTCCCTGTTCCCCAAACCCCTCTCCCCACCCTGTATGTAACCCGTCGCCCCCACCTGGCTCCTCCTGGTGGGTCTTCATCAAGTAGTTTAGCAAGCTGTTTAGCAAGTAGTTTTGCTGTTTACCTCCTGCGCTGCTGCTGCTGCTGCTGCTGCTACCGCTGCCTCACAGACTTCTTCGAGTCCTCGGACAACGTGGACGCCAACCTGACGTGTGTGGGGCTGGTGGGCATCAAGGACCCGGTGCGACCCGAGGTGCCGGCGGCGGTGGCGACTTGCAAGCGAGCGGGCATCACCGTGCGCATGGTCACAGGTGCGGGGGGCAGCAGCAGCAGGCATGGGGTTGAGGGGTTCATCGGTGGGCGACATTTACCGGTATGGGGTTTTACTCGGAACGGTGTGGAGTGTGGAGGTAAACACTAGGTGCCTGGGAAGCCCTCTCCTGCCTCTCATCCACACTCATGTACCGTTCTTCTCGCATGGGGGCTTTGTCCTATCCAATCTAACATCCCCGCTGTTTACCTCCCCCCACCCCACAGGTGACAACATCCACACGGCTCAGCACATTGCACGGGAGTGCGGCATTCTGTACGAACTCATCCCAACAGCATCTGGAGCTGGCGGGGTCACGGAGCTGAGGGCCATGGAGGGACCGGCCTTCCGGGAGATGATCAAGGTAGGGGTGTGAAGAAAACTGGCCGCGAGTCGGAATGTACTGTGATTGCCGGAAGATGAAGTCCCCCACAGAAACGCCACAAGTGAGTGGCAGCTAACGAGAAGTATCGAAGTGAATGAAAAACAGTAATGTCGTGAAGCGACCGGACCTAAGGACCGGAGTTGTATGGATGTAGGTAGTAATGGGTTAGGGTGGATCGGGGAACGATTGTGATGGGGTGCGTTAGGGGGGAACGGGCATGTGGGGTCCTTCATGTGGTGGTGGTGAGGGAGTACAGTGGTAGTATGGTTGCATCCCACCGTTCTCTCCCCTGCCGTACATGTGCCGTACAGGACCCCGCCTTTGTGGAGCTGCGGCGGCTCATGAACGAGGGTGACAAGGCGGCCCTGCAGCAGCTGAGGGACAAGATCAACCACGTGCGGGTGAGGAGGGTGGGGGAGGGGAGCGGAGGGAAGAGAAAAGAAGGAATACCCGATGTGTTGAGGGCGGCGAGGATGGGAGGCGATGTGTTGAGGGCGGCGAGGATGGGAGAGAGGAGGGTTAAAGAAAAAGAAACTAACTGACCGTATCACAAGCATGGGGGCGCAGGGTGGGTAGGGAGGAGATTCGGTACGAAATAGTAGACGTATCTACAACGCACTGAATGAGGGAAGGAGCCTTCAGGGTTTGATCACCACTCCCTTAACTCACACCGTTTCATTGACAGAGATCCTGACCTCATTCTCCTTCCTCATTCTCCTTCTCCGCCTCCCTCCCTCCGCAGGTGCTGGCCCGCTCCTCACCCGAGGACAAGCTGCAGCTCGTGCGGCTGCTCAAGGCAAGAACCATGTCGTCCATGTGGAAGGGCTGGGAGAGAACCTGGTGTCAACAAGCTTGATCCAAACACTAGTAGCTAGAGGGGGTTGTGTGTGCAGGGGATGAGGATCCCAAAACCCGGCTAATGTAACTGAATCCTTCTATAGCGCTAACAATACCGATATTGCCCGTCCCAAAAACTAAAAACCGTGTTCCCCCTCCTGCTGCGCCCGAACCGCAGGAGATGGGCGATGTGGTTGCAGTGACGGGCGACGGCACCAACGACGCGCCCGCCCTCAAGGAGAGCGATGTGGGACTGGCCATGGGCATGACGGGTGAGTCCTCCGGGGGTTGGGGAGCATGAAACACGGGGGAGAGGGCGGGGGGCTGGCTGAGGGGTAGCAACGGAGCTGCAACCGGCCTCGGGCGGCCACTGTGGCCTTTCCTGGCGTCCCTGCACCTGTGCATCTTCCCCCTCCCTCACTACACCCTGACCCTCCTGGTCTGGTCACTTGGTCTTGCATTCGCTCATGCTCGTCTAATATGCTACGGTCACGGTCAGTGTTTATCGGGCTTCAATTTTCCTAACCCCCTTTAGGTCGCAGGCTCCGTTCTGCCTCTTAGTTGACCCCTCCTCACCCCCGCCCTTCCCCCCTGCAGGCACGGAGGTGGCCAAGGAGGCTGCCGACATCATCATCCTGGACGACAACTTCTCCTCCATCGTCAAGTCTGTGCTGTGGGGCCGCGCGGTGTTTGCAAACATCCGCAAGTTCCTGCAGTTCCAGGTGGGGGGGTGGGGGGACTGGCGGGGTGTACATGACCAAGCAGTGCGAGGGAGGGGTGAAGGCAAATTAGAGCCGAGTACTTTTTTTACATGGGCCTGTTTTGTTGTGTTTCCTGTGCCGCGCCGCTTTACCGCCTTACTCCATCCACGCGTTCCCCGTTCGTTGCATAACCTTTGTTGCCTACCTTGTTTACCCCCTCTTATCCTCTTTACCCCCCCCCCCTCCCTCTTCTCCCCCAGCTGACGGTGAACCTGGTGGCCCTTGTGACCGCCTTCGTGGGTGCGGTGGCGGGCGGGCACGAGCCGCTCAACATCCTGCAGCTGCTGTGGGTGAACCTAATCATGGTGAGGGTGGGCGGGGGGGGAGGGAGGGAATGGGAGGTTTGTGAGGTACAGCAGGACAGGAGCCTTGGTGCATGTGCATGTGAGCAGGAGCCCGACCTGCACCTGAGCTCCCAACCACCCCTCTCATCCCCAGAGTTGCGTGTTTCTATAGCAGTGTTTCCGAATGCGCTCACTGCATGAGACGGGATTTGGGATGGGGACTCCGTTGCTGCACTTATCATGTATTCCACCCGCCCCACCCTTACCCACTCCCCCCCCCACCCACTCCCCCCACCCCACCCCACTCCCTGCCCCAGGACACCATGGGCGCCCTCGCCCTCGCCACGGAGGACCCGCACCCCGCCCTGCTGCTGCAGCGCCCCAACGGCCGCACCGAGTACCTCATCAACTGGCGCATGTGCAAGCACATTGCCGTACAGGGCTCCTACCAGATCCTCTTCATGTTCCTCTGCCTCTACCTGCTGCCCACCGGGCCCAAGGTAACCAACCGTGCAGCATGGGCGGAAATGCCCATGCCTTTGCCTTGAGGAAATTGGCCGTGCGTGGGACGAACATGTTTGCAGGGGGTTGGTTAAGTAAGCTGGCCGCGAGAGGGAACGTACTGAATAGTTGGAAAATGATGTCCCCACCAAAAAACGCCAAGGGAGCCGAGGATTAGGGCGTGTGCGGGTGCGGGTGGCACAAGGGGAGTGGGGGTAGGGGTGTGATGAGGAAGGCAACTGTGTAGGAGCCAGGAAGGGTTATGGACTTGGGAAGGGGTGGGGTGGGGGGCAGCAGCAGTTGCGGCGGTGGGGGCACGTGAGGGCGCGCAAGGGAGCGAGGTGACACGTATTCAGGATTATGCTGCCTGTCGCCTGCGGTAGGGTGATGCTAGGGCCACCAGCTGATGCTGCTGATGTTGTCCGCCTGCTCCCCCTCTGTGGTTTCCTGTGGTTTGGCATTGTCTTTTACACCCCCTCTCCCTCTCAACTGCTCCATCCTGCACCGCTGCCAGGGTTTGGAGCAGTACAAGGTGCACACTCGGCCCTACTACTACAACCTCAACTGTGCTGAGAAGGCCAGGTAGGGGAGTTTAGGGGGGTTCTTATTGTGGTTGTGTCATGGTGGTGCTGCTGGTGCTGGTGGTACGAGACGAGCCTAGTTGTGCGATTCTCGAGTGTGGACTCCAGCCGTATCCGCTAGGAGGGCTTGCGTGAGGCTCCATACCCTGACACCTCTTGCCTTTCGTGTTTCCGTTTTACGTTGTTCCATTCGTTGGGCATTCGACCTCCCAATGAACGTTTGAATTGCAACGCAGCGCATTCAGAATCATCCCGGCATGTGACCTTATCCATTCCTCCATTCGTATTTCCCCGCAGGGACGCCCTGCCCGGCCGAGTCAACATCACAACCGCCAACCTCGACTCCGCAGCAGACTTTTCCTGCAACGTGTTGACGTCATGCGGGCTGCCGTACACTACGAACATCACCACCTCCCCCTGCGTGCTGGCCGACCCATGGGTCGCTGCGGGGATGAGAATGCCTTCGGATCGCGGCGAGGCGGTTTGCATGGGGCCATTCGGCTTCAATACGACAAACTGTGACCTCAACGACTGGGTGCAGGTGGGAGGAGGAGAGGAAGAAGGGAAGAAAGGGGTGTCCCTTCCTTGAAGGAATGCCAGTGGTTTTGTGGGTTTAGGGGGGTACCGCGTACCGGTCATGGCGTGCCGCATCCCAACCTGGTATGGCCAGTGTGACACTTGCCATGCTAGGTCGTAAAATGCTGGGTTGTACTGCGTCTACACCCCTTATTACCCAGCACGTGCCTTCCTTTAGCGTCTCCCTCCCTCCTCTTCACCTTCTAAGTCTTCATCTTTTTCATCTTTTTCATCTTTTCTTCATCACCCCCAGGCGGTTGAGTCGCGGCTGGATGACGACTTCAAGACCTACGAGGAGGACGAGTACAAGCGGCCGCTGTCGGTGCTGTTCAACATCTTCATCTGCACTCAGGTGGGTAGGGGACAGCGGAGGTGTGCGGGTGGTGGTTGGGTGCTTCCGGTTGAGGGCACGACATTTATAGTCCACGCGGCTGCCATTCCGCTTTTGATTCACGTTCGCTCCAAGACGCATGCATGTGGCTTTTGCGATACCTCAACGACACGCATGTGCTTCCTCTTGGAAGCGTACTGTTTACGCTCAGCAACCATGAAAGCGACTGGCGGCGTATCGGTGGGCACGTACAACCTCGTACTACTCTTAACCCGTAACGCTAAATCCCGCTCAGGTTGCCAACGAAATCAACTCCCGCCGCATCAACGACGAGTACGGCATCTTTAGCGGTTTCTTCAACAACTGGATCTTCCTGGCGGTCATTGCGATAACGATGGGGTTGCAAGCCATCATTATCAACTTCCTAGGCATCTTCTTCAGGGTAAGGAAGATAGTATGCGAGGTTACGTGCGCGTCAAGGAGACGTCTTTCTCGCTCGGTTTCGTAACATTATGCGGTTCTCAGCTCTCTCGGTCCCACTCCCTTCCTTCCGCACCTCTTTCCTGCGTCAGTTTACGTCCACCTCGCTCCATGTTCAGCTTCCCCATGCAGGTTTCCCACCCCTTACCCTTCCTCCTCACTCCACCTCTCCTCCCCCACCCCCCCCCTCCCCCCTCACTCCCCAGGTGGTGTCGCTCAACTGGCAGGAGTGGCTGGTGTCTCTGGCCATCGGGGCGGGCGCCTGGCCGCTCAGCCTCCTCACGCGCTTCATTTCCAGGTGGGAGAAAAGGGAGAAGAGGAAGAGGGAGGGGGCCTTACGTATGGACCGTGGAGAGACCGTGTTCGCCTCGCAGTAGAGGCCTCTGGAGACCTTAACGGGTGCTTCTTGTTTGGGTTGTGTGGGCTAGAGAGGTGCCGGAATGGGGCGGTCCACCCGGCTCAGACGGGCTTTTCAAGTATGGGGGCTGTAGCTGCTTGGCTTGTTGGGAATGCAAAAGGACACACCCACGGGGGATACCATGCCAGTTATTTTAACCCACGGGGGATACCATGCAATAAATTGCTTCCCCGCCGAAACACATGTTTTTGTGGCCCCTCTTTTGCCCCTTCGCTAGGTCCTGGTTGCGGCTTTCTTTTTCTCCTCTTTTCTTAACTTCCCTCCTGTCTTTAACATGTTTGAACGCCCGCAGGAACCTCCCTTGCTGTGCGGCCTTCGAGGCGCAGCTGCCTCCGGAAATCGACGACCCAGCGCTGCTCTCCGCCTCCCACGCATCGCCCTCAGCAGCAGGCGACCTCAGTGAGAAGGCGATAAACTCCGGTGTTGCGCCTGCCGTAAGTCCGCAGGCCGCCGCCAATGGTCTCAGTAAGGGCCAGCAGGTTGCTGGTGGCGCAGGTGGGGTTGGCAATGGTCATGCCAACGGAGGCCTAGCGTACTTGAAACCCATGGACCTAGAATCAGGGAACATCAAAAAGCTGTGAGAGTGGTTGGGGGCACAAGCGGATGGTGGTAAGGAGGCAAAGCTTGGCTATAAGGCGAAAAACGGTGCGCATCATGGAGGGTGACCGTGTGTGACCGTGCGCCACTTGCGGTGACGCTGATGGCTGTTTGCGTCAGTTCGTGACAGTGTCTACCGTTCGCCGAAGAGCCGGCTACAGGGGTGCCGTGTGGGTTAGAGCTCTTATTGAGCCTGCTACTTGCTGGCTGCCGGCCGGCATACACAGCCCAGAGGCCTGCTCGAGTGTTCGTTGTGCATGAGTGCTCGAGTGCGCCTTGGGGGGGTGGTCGTGGTGGTGGTGGTGGAGGTACCGTAGTTGAAGTGAGGGAAGCGCAAACACGAAGGTGGGATGTCATGGAGCTTCTCGGCGTTCGTGCTTGAGTGTATATACTTGGCATTCGGGGTTTTGCGGTCGTTCCTGCCAAGCATGCGCGTTTGGGTGAATGGTGACAATTGCGGGTGTGCCGCCGTGTCTGTTAGGGGCCAACCTTTGGGGTCGGTCGTGTGTCTCGGCTCGGCGGACGCTTCGCATGAATCTGGTCGGTCACTGGCGTGAATTCAAACCGTGGGTTCCTTGCATAGTTCCGGACCTAATGTTACAAACCAGCTCGCTTGGATCTGGTAAATAACTTATTGGGAGGTTTGCTCGCCGACTTGCCTGCCTTTGTCTTAAATTGTTGTGTCTTTTGGTTGGCTGCGTACCGGTGTCAGGGGGGATATTAACCTTTTCCCTGCATCATCATAGGAGCTGGCCGCAGAGTGCGAAGCATCGTGGCATACACGTGAGTAGCCAGTAGGACGTCGTCTTACTTTGATAAACATAGGAGTTAGCGACGTGTGGCTGCGTGCTCCTGTGACCTTACATGTGTTAACGAGTCTCGTGCCCTCGCAAATGAGGTTGGCGGACGAGAGTAATGGCTCGTCCGCTCTATGGTCACGTAAGGTAAAGTTCCTGTGCTGGGGTCTCGTGGCTGGGGTGTTTCCGAATGTCCAATCCAGTGTTTGAGCGATGCTCGAGGTGTTTTCTTGTGCAGCATGCCCCACCGTGCAGCAAGGCTTACAGGCCATGCACTTTTGCTTGAGTGTGGCCTCGCTCAGCGTTCTGCGTGGGAGGGGGAAAAAGAGAACTACTTAATATCACGGTTTGTTGACCAGCAAGCAAGTCTGTTGCTTACTTGCTGCTGCTGACGTGCAAGGGATTTGGCGGAGATGAGGGGGGACCGCTGGGACTCTCGTGCGTTTGGTGCGCTGAACTTGATATTTCGTTTGTGCGCTCCCTTCCCAGCGGACTGCTGCAGGAGGATGTTTCGGAATATCGCGGGAGTCCGAGAGCACATTGTCACATGGTATTCGGTACATCTCGCCGATAAAATGACAAAGCTGGAAAAGCTACAATTTGGTATCAAGCCTCGTTAGGGTTACCGCTTAAGTGTTGGTGCTTCGGCCTGAGCGTGTTCGCAGCTAGAAGTGTCCGTTCTGTGGGGGAAGTGTAGGGGCTACACGTTGTTATGAATGTTTCGGAAATGCTGTGCAGAAGGGGCCGCACGACGTTCACGACAACGTCCCTTCCCGAAGTGTGGTGTACGAATTTATGAACATCATCTTCCGTACAACTCGTACATCCAATCTCCATGTTCCGAGGCCGTTACAGTGATGGCATATGCAGATGCACCCACGCTAGTAGTGAGACGAACGAGGATTCGAGAGATACATGTCCGACTCAATCCTGACCCAAACCCCCCTCCCTGAACAGCGCAAATCCTATTTGTTGCCATTGTAACGCATGCACGTACGCCGATGACTTCACCACAACGGCACTCCAAAAGATGCGCAGGACCTGTTACTGGTAAGCGAACAACGGGATACCAACCCCTAGCTCCCCAACACCGCCCTGCTTGCAACGTTGTCCAGAAGCGCTGCCCGTGCAAGGGAGCAGTGCAGGCGCCCCCAGGGCAGGCGCATAGCTTATGTCAATTTCAATACATGGCTGGCAAGAGGCAACTTCCAGCAGCCGAAGCAACTGAACCGTTCATAGTCCTTTGGAAGTACGGTACACAATGACTAAGGGAGGTTACGCGCCCAAACCGCGATAAAAAATAGTGCAAAGGAGACGAACCGAAGACAACAAGAACGAAGGACCTATAAATACACAACGCAGGTTAGGTAGTCAAACCGTCAAATGAGATTGCATTGCACTGACTGCAACAGCCTCATGCGTTGCGACGAAGCACACCACTGCTGCTGCACCCTAAACTGCACGTATTGCTGCTGCTGGAGCGCTGCCAGCACCGCAGGACCTACAGCACCTACTATCACCACCACTACTCAGAAGGCAAATCGCCAAACTGTCCCTCCAACCACCTCGCCGCCTCAATCCCGGCAAACGGTGTAAGAGACAGCTCGGTGACCAAGTTCCCTAAACCGCCTCCGAGACCTTCAGCGTCCATGGGAAGTGGCGGAACCGGCACCGCCGATAATGGTGCTGCAGCCGCAGCAGCCGCAGCAGCCGCCGGGGTACCTGAGGCGCTCCTGGTGGGGTTCACAGCAGCAGCGGGAAGCGCCGTTGAGGGCTCTTCCACGGAGAGGTCGCCGGCTGCAGGATTGCCACTAGCAGAAGCAGGCAGAGGCTGCTGCTGCTGCAGCGAGGTCAGCATCCGAGGCTGTTGTTCTTGCTGCTGCTGCGGCTGCGGCTGCTGCTGCTGCAACATTTGCGGTTGTGAGTTGTCGGGTGCCCCAATTGCCGAGCCCTGCGGGGCGGTTACAGTCGCCTGGACCGCAGCAACCGAGTTCGCCGGCCTAAATCCAACCCCACTGCCGCCTCTGCTGCTGCCGCTCCCAGCGTCCCCACCCTCTGCCGTAGCCCACCAGTCACCCAGCCAGGGTTGCTGCCCCGCCGCTGCCCCAGTGTCAGCAGCCGGGCCCCCAATTAGCATCCCCGGCAGCCGTGACGACGGCGCAGGGCTGGGCAGCGGCGTCGCGTGCGGTGGCGGGCTGGCGAAGACAGGTAGGCTGCCGACCAGCGATAGCAGGTGCGGCAGATCGTTGATGACGAGGGGTGGGGTTGCGCTGCCTCCAGCCGCTGCTGCTGCAAACGGGGCCGGAGGTGTGGTAGGGGTGGCCGCAGCTCCCTGCGCCGCTGCTTGGGCAGCCGTCAGCGGCGATGGCGGCGGCAGAGCCGCTGGTGACCCTATCAGGGTACCACAGGACAATCCGGCGGGCTGCTGACGGCCGGTGTTATGAGGCGGCGGCGAACCCGAGTACGCTTGCATGTAGCCCGTGAACGGTCCCCTCGTACCGCCTACAGGCGCTCCCACACCTCCCTCAACCGCACCTCCACCACTGCTTGCTGACATGTTACTGGTGCCTGCTGCTGCATGCCGTACAAACGCTCCAGAGCCCGCCATGCCGCCGCCTCCACCGCTGCCGTCAGCAATCATCCCGCCTCCGCTGCCGCCGCCTCCGCCTCCGCCGCCGGCTAGCGCCGCTCGCCGCTCCTGCAGGTCCCTGTGTTGCCGCAACTCCGCCATGAGCCCCGCCAGCAGCCCCCTGCCCCGACCGGATCCCTGCTGCTGCTGCTGCTGCTGCTGCTGCTGCTGCTGCTGATGATGATGATGATGAGCCGAATGGTGGTGCTGACCGCTGTGACCTCGCGCGCTGCTAGCACCGCCGCTGGTACGCCTCGGCACCGCTGCGCTTCTGCTGCCGCCGCCACCACTGCCGCCACCGCCACTGCTACCGTACATTCCGTACGCACCTCGGCCGCCACCGGAGGCTCCGCTTTGTGCAGCAATGGCGGGCCGGATGATTGGCTGGGCGCTGCCTCCGAAAGGTGCATGAGGCTGATAGGCTTGCAGGTAGGGCTGTTGCACGTGTGCTGGGTAAGGAGGGTGCAGCAGCTGCGACATCTGCTGTGATGTGTTCAGCTGGGGTGTCGGTGAGGGATATCCGTGAGGGTAGTGCTCAAGCTGCTGCTGCTGGTGCGACGGCGTGGGTAGCAGCTGCTGCGGCGGCGGTTGCGTGTATTGCTGTGATAGGGACTGGGGATACGGCGGGTGAAGCGGCTGGGGCTGCGGCTGAGGCACAAATGGATACTGGGAGGTATCAAACTGCTGCTGCTGCTGTGTATAGCCATGGGATTGCAGGTTAGCGTAGGGTGCCTGCTGCTGTCGGTTCTCTTGAGGCGGCATCGGCAACACAGCAGAAAGGCCGTGGGGTACAGCAGCCGGCGTCTCTCCGGTATTGTCAGCCCTGCTGCTTCCTGCTGTGCCAACAGCAGCAGCAGCGGATCCCTCAACGGCGGCGGCGGCAGATGGCGGCTGTGGCGCTACAGTGCTGCCGTACTGTTGTTGTTGCTGTTGCTGCTGCATGAGTTGCTGTTGCTGCTGCTGCTGCTCCTGTTGCTGACATTGCATCAGTTGCAGTGTGTCATCTGGCTGTTGCAGCACGTGACCTTGCTGGACCCATGGGGTGGCTGCCCTAGCGTCTTGGCAGAGGCTCACAGCGCCGTAGACCTCGAGGGGCGTCCCATCCGCTGTCACCGGCAGCGGTTGGGCGTTCACGGCTTCCAGGCCCCCACCCGCGTCTAGCTGCTGCTGCTGCTGCTGTTGCCTTTGCAGGTCCGCTGTGACTGGCGGCGGCATGCTGCTACAGCTAGATGTAGATGTTATAGCCCGCCGTACAAAAGTCGTCGTCGTTGCTCCAGCCGCCGCCGCCGCCGCCGCCGCCGGCGGCGGCGACGCCGCCGCTACGTTTGCAGCCACGTCACCGGCAGTTCCGTCCGTACAGCCACCAAGCATAACGGCAGTCGCAGCTTCCGCCGTCGCCGTGACGGTAGCAGCGGCGATGACCTCACTGTGTCCTGCAGATCCTGCCGTACCCTTGCCGCCGCCGTCGACGCTGCTGCCGCCGCCGCCACTTCCAGCAGCCGCGGCGGCCGCTGACGAACCCACCATGGTAATTGGATCCGATGGCATGTCTGCAGGCGTGCATGCGAACACCTCGGAAGCAGCTGCATGCTGCGCCGTCCCCCCTGGAGTCGCTCCCGCCGGAGGTGGCGGCGGCGGTGTGCTTGAGTTCTGCTGGGCCGGAGAGCTGCTGTGTCCAACTGGTTCCGCGGTCGCCATACCAGCAGCAGCGGCCGCTACGGCGGCTGCTGCGCCTGCTGCGGCCCCGGGGAGTGCAGGTAATGAGGACGGTGTCATTTCCACGGCCTGCTGCTGTTCAGGCACCAGCAGCTGCAGCTGTTGTTGTTGCTGCTGTTGCAGCTGCTGCGGCGGAGGCTGCGGCTGCAGCTCCTGCCCTGAGTTGCTGCCAGTTGTTACTACGGCGTCAGTAAGGGCACCGGTAGGCCCTGCTGCGTTGGCGACGCCCGGGGCGTAGCTTTGCGGGCCCATGTTACCAGGACTGGCAGCAGCGGAAGGCACCGTCGGCAGTTGTACTGCAGGTGCAGGGACGTCCAGCAGGGTTGTAGGAGCTGTTGCTCCATCCTCGCCCACCACACCGGCAGCAGTCCCGGCATCCTTCATGCCGCCATCGCTAGCCCCAGCTGCGGCACAACCGCTCGGAACCGCCGCAGGAGGAGCAGCAGCACCAGCAGCAGCGTAAGCGGCGGTTGCAGGGTTGTTGTTGTTGTGGACGTCACCGGCAGCAGCAGCACCGGCAGGAGGAGGGGAAGGAAACGCAGCCGTGCAGGCGTCGGCAAAGGGCGTGGTCAGGGGGTACACCTGACCACAGGGGGGTGTTTGGTGCCGCAGCAGTGGATCAGGAGCCCGCTGATGTTCCTGCTCCTGCTGCTGGTGCTGCCCTTGCTGCATGTTGGTCCCAGTTGGTGCTCTCGCCGTGCCTCCAAATCCAACGTGTTGATGGGACGTGGCGGAAGAAGAGAGCTCCACCGAGCGTTCCTCCTCCACCTCCTCTTCAACACCAGCACCACCATCGCCCTCTGGAGCTCCCACACCAGCAACAGCAGGGGCACCCAGGGCTGCAGCCGAATACTGCTGCAGGAAATCCTCTTCCTCTTCTTCTCCGCAGCCGCCGCCGCCAACACCACCACCAGCAGCAGCAGCAGCGCCGCTGCCGGCAGCAGCAGCTGCACCCCCACCTTCCGCAACCCCTGCAGCCGTAGCAACTCCACCGCCGGTCCCCGCTGCGCCACCGGTCACCTCCATCGCAGCCACCGCGGCTTGCTGCGAGGGCGAGCCCCCACCTGGTCCCATGTAACTCATGTAACTCATGTAAGCAGCTGCCGCCTCGGAAGCAGCACCGACAACAGCAGTAACAGCACCAGCACCAGCAGCACCAGCACCAGCACCAGCAGCACCGGTGCCGCCGCCACCGACGCTGCTGACGCTGGCACTCTGCCCTCGACGACTGCCGTACTCATCTGCCCACTGGGGAGCGGAAACGGAACCAAGGCGGCGGTGAAAAAATTGATACCGATATAAGGATAGCGTCGGCAAATTGTTTTTCGGGGGATGCTGCATTGGGGCCCAGGCCATGATGATTTTTGCGCGTTTGGCAAAATAGGGTAGCCTTGACGGTGTGTTAAATAAGTTGACCGGGACGACGTTTTTCTTCGGCAGGTAGTACCGCTAGCTAGCAAGCCATGGGGATCGTCCTTGCACAGCAGCTGCTTACCTTCATGGACGCCAACCTGAACATATCCCGATTAGGCAACCCCGGCTGCTCCGCCCTCAGCCTCTTGAGCTCCTCCCGCATGAACAGATTGTGTGGCGTCAACTCGCGAGAGCGCTTCAACGAAACGTGGCCAGCAGCAGCGGAGGGCGCCTGCTGCTGCTGCTGCTGCTGTTGGAACTGCTGATGCTGCTGCTGCTGCTGCGGGAACTGCGGATGCTGCTGATGCATGGGATGCGGTTGTGGGAATGGTGATGGCGTGTAGCCTGTACGGCAGGGTGATGCAGGGTGCGGAAGAGACATGTATGGGACAAAGTTACACCAAGAGACGACGGTTGACATGTATGGTCTACCGGAATGGGGAAGACGTGCTTGGGTGTCCTTCACATTAGGAATTAAGCTACCGTATTTGTCGTTCACTACCCTTCTTACCTGTATTGAGGCCAAACACTCCAAGCAATCGACATAGCACATCGACCATGTGAACGTCTTGGCTGAGGAAGAACCTGCACAATGCGTAGATGCGTTCCCCCTCGTACCTTCAACGACCCTGGAGCCAGCTCCCCCCTGCAGATAGGGCTCCATTGATTGTCGCTGCTGCTGGGGCTGCTGCTGCATCTGCCCCTGCAACGGACCCTGTTGGCGCTGCAGTGACCATGTGTCTCCCCGCTGTGACGGCGGTTGTTGCGGCACCGCTGAAAACCAGTCTGCTGAGCCGCCCTCCCGATATCCAACCATGGCCGGGTGCTCCCCACACAGTGGATTGACGGGAAGGATATCCTGCAGCGGAAAACCGGGGGCTGCAGCTGCTGCTGCTGGTAGCCGCCCCATGCCTCCATGCATGCCGGGTCGCTGCGACTGCAGCTGTGGAGGCACGTGCTGGTGCCCGAGCACAGGCGGCTGGGTCGCCCCCTGCGGCGGCAGCGACGGATGACCTGCCAGGGATCGCTGTTGCTGCTGCTGCTGTTGCTGCTGATATCCGTAGGTAGTAGCCATCACACCATGCGCCACTGTTGTTGGCGTCAGCGTGCCACCTCCACTGCCACGATCTCCAAGACCACCGCCACCACTGCCGCCGCCACCACTTCCTACCACCGCAGTCGGGGGCTCTCCCGCACTGCCGCTGCGCTGGACTGCCGTACTGTTGGTGCCGCCGGCGCCAGCAGGAACTGTCGTACGCTGGTTGTCGTACAGCCCCTCAGCGGTGATATTCGTACTGAGGAGGTAGCCGTACGTTGGCGCACTCCTAGTTTCTTGGAGCATGGGGATGGACGGGGCGGACGCTGATGTAGGCATGCCGCCCAAGGCACCCGAGGCTCGTACTTGGCCGGGCAGGCCTTCGTATGCTTCACCGCCTGCGCTACCGCCGCCAGACCCGCCACCGCCTGCATGTGACTGCTGCTGCCGCTGTTGGGGCTGCGGCTGTGGCAGCAAGGGCCAGCTGGCAACGGATGGAAGTGCTTGCTGGCGTCGGTCAACCGGCTGCCTTGCATGGGCGTCAGGAAGCGGAATAGCGCCAGCGGAAGTGTTTGTGGGGAGTGCAGCGGCGACGACATTGTTATCTGCCTCATGTGAGGGCTGTTGTTGTTGTTGTTGTTGTTTCTGCTGCTGCTGCTGCTGATGATGATGATGGTGCAGTTGATGCATGGGTCCAGCAGAGGTGCTGCTGCTGAGCAAACTAGACCCGCCGAGTGACCCACGGGTCACTGGAGGATCCTGTGGGGTTGTTAGTCCCGGCTGCTGTGCGGCCGCTTGTGCAGACGAAAAGCCTTGGGAGCCCCCGCATGGATGCTGCTGTTGCTGTAGGTGCTGCTGTTGCTGTTGCTGCTGCTGTGGGGGTGGCTGCTGCGGCTGAAGGTGCTGAGGATGCGGGTATTGCTGCATGTGCGGGTACGGCGGCTGGCCTGTTCGTTGCTGCGGAGACGCCGGCCGCTGCATGTGGGGCGGTGGCACAGGCGGCAATGGCATGCGAGCGGTGCCACCGCCGCTGCTGCCGCCGGCAGCTCCTGAGCCTCCATGCGGAGTGCAGAACTGCTGCGGGGCAGACGACCGACTTGGCCCCTGCGGCTGCTGGTGCTGCTGCAGCTGTTGATGATGTTGAGGGACTTGCGTCGGCTGGTACTGGGTGAATCCTGCCGCCACCCTGCCTGCTGCCAGCGATGAGGATGAAGCAGTTTGTTGCCTGGGCCCCAAGAGCGACGGCGCGGGCGGTGCAGCAGCACTCCAAGAGACGTGTCCTCCACCTCCGCCATCACCGGTCTCGGCTCCTCGGAATCCAGCTGCACCTGCATCTGCTGGCGGGTTGTAGCCCTGCAGTGCTACTACCCGGGTGAGACGCACCTCCAGCAGCCTGCTCCGTTAGCAGCAGGAGCATGCAGGGGCACGGGAGCATGTAGTGGCTCATCAGATTTGCATGGCTCATGTCCTGTCGCGTGTGTCAATGGTGGAGTCATGGGTGGCAACACGCGGTATGGTAGGCTCTAGTAGCCCCGAATGATAACCGAATGATAACCAAGATTGAGAAGCGTCATGGGAAGGCGTCATGTGCCTCTCATGTCCTGCCATGTTAGGTACTACTCCCTCTCTAGATGTCATCACGATGCAAACCCCGCACCTGCGCCAGCTAGCCCTGCGTGGCATATCGATACGCTCTAGCCTTTTTTACTCAGCAGCCGCACCCATTGCCGCTTACAAACGCTGTAGCCAGGTCACATCTAGTTGGGGCCCAAAGCACCTAAGCGCCCATCGTAAGCCCAAGGGGCTCCCAACTATTGTCACCCAAGCCGTTTCTCACCTCCTGCAGTTCCCGCAGCGCACCAAGAAGGGAGCCTCGGGCGGCGTGTTGGGCGGCACATTCGCCTGCGGATAAGAACCGTGGAAGGCGCAGTGCCAGCTCGTTAGCAAAGGTACAACAAGAGGTAGCAAGGCCAGGGGCGCTAGCTTGCTGTCAGGCCCGACGGCGGTGATGGTAGGAGCAACAGGTGACGGGAGGGTTAAGGTCCGCCTTCTTGGTTAGTGACGGCTGCACTATGAAACCCTACCGCCGCAATAGCCCGAAAGCGCGAGCACGCATGCATGCATGCATGCATGTCGCGGGTACGCTCACTACCAGCCGCAGGTCTCACCTCCAGCAGCACACCGCAATCCGCTGCGTCACAGCTCACTTGCACCGTCGTGACGCCGCTCAGCCCATGCGACCGTAGTTGCTGCGGCTGTGGCTGCGGCTGCTGTGACACAGTTGTCGACCCATATGACTGTTGCGTCACTTGTTGCTGCTGCTGCTGGTATTGTTGCTGCTGCGGCTGGTGATGATGATGGGAAGGGTGCCGCAGGTATGCAGGGCCTGGTTGTGACTCCGCGGGTTGTCGACCTTGCGTGCTGCTGCACCCGACGGGATGATGCGGTGCTCCCGACCGCGCCAAGCTGCCTTGCTGGGCGGCAGGTGGCTGCTGCTGGTGCTGCTGCTGCTGGGGGGGTTGCCTGGGCTGGGGTGCGTGCGGCTGCTGCGGTTGCTGCTGCCGGGAGGAAGGGCGCTGTTGCTGTTGCGGCGGTGGAGGCACTTGTTGCTGCTGCTGGTACCGTTGCATGTACTGCTGCTGCTGCTGCTGCTGCTGGGGCTGCATGGGCTGCTGGAGCTGCATGGGCTGCTGACCTTGTGGCATGCCGCGGTAGCCGCCTGTTAGTTGCTGCTGCGGTGACTGCTGCTGCTGCTGTGGTGGCTGAAGCTGCTGCTGCTGCTGCTGCTGTTGCTGGGTGTATGGCTGCTGGTAGGTAGGCAGTGGTGATGGAGGAAAGTGAGGCGAGGATGAAGGTCCGTGAGGGGGCAACGGCGGCAGAGGCAGCGGAAATTGCGGCATCGCAGCGGACGGCTGTCGTTGGGGTTGCTGCTGCTGCTGTTGCGCTTCCTGTTGCTGCTGCTGCTGCTGCCAGTGCTGTGGTGGCTGCTGCAGTTGTTGTTGCTGCAGTTGTTGTTGCTGCTGTTGCAGTTGCTGCTGGCCCACACTGTAGCTTTGCGGAATGGTGGTGAGTGAACTCGCCGACGCATGATGGCTGCCCCTCCAGTCATGCTGCTGCTGGGGCTGCTGCTGCTGCTGTTGTTGGGCCAGCTGCTGCTGCTGTTGTTGGGCCAGCTGCTGAGGGGATTGCGGGTGCGCATGAAGAGAGGTCATGGGCTGCTGCTGCTGCTGGTATGCAGGTTGTTGTTGTTGCTGCTGCTCCTGCTCCTGCAAAGGTAATGCGGCAGGTAATCTCCCAGCTGACATCGTAGCATGCTGCTGCTGCTGTTGTTGTGGGTTGTTGTACGAATGCTGCTGCAGTTGCTGTGCAGCCGAATCCGATGATGGAGTTAGCTGCTGCTGCTGCTGGGTAAAGGCCTGCTGCTGTTGGTGCGGAAATGGCGCTTCACCAGTCGCCCCGTCGGACGATGCAATCCTTCCAATTGGCGGTTGGGTGCTGCCGCCAGTGGAGGGGACTGGGTTGAAGCTATGTTCTCCGAATGCCTGTTGGAATAGCTGATACTGCTGTTGCTGTTGCGGCCACTGATGTCGCAGCGACTGCTGCTGCAGGAGCTGTTGTTGTTGCTGTTGTTGTGTTGTTGGTTGGCTGAAACTTGGTGGAACGGAAGCAAATGGTGCTTCCGAGGGCCCCGATTGTTCGGCTCCATAGTTGGCCGTTATCGGTTCCCGCCCAGAGCTCATATCCCCGACCCAGCTGCTGTCCTGCCCATACGATTACGTTTTCTACGCTTGGAGTGCCGTTCGATTCCCACGGGATTCTATTGCTATATGACGCGACCTAGGGCTGGTGCTAGCCTGGGCTCGCGGGGTAGGGGCTTCCCTGGTGTTCCAGTCTGGGTCGGATAGCTGGCCTGTCCCAGCAAGGATGGCGGCACACAGTGGATGACGTGTGAATACGCTTGGGGGCTAGCCTGTTGACGCGTTGTAAGCCTATGCTGAATCGCAAGTTGTAGATTGGCGCATCCATGCGTTTTAGGGGCAGCTTTGGTCATTATCTGACAGCTTCTTGGACGGGTGGATGCAAAGAATTCAATGAATGCCATGCCGATTCCCTTGGTTTAATCTAGTATTGCATATCAAAAGCTGCTGCAACGCGGTGCTCCTGTCGTTAGGAGCCGAGGAAGGCAGACTGGGCGCAGTTCCAACTGCTGCCGATGTCCAAACCGAATTTGCGACAGCTGTTTGCTTATTCGTCGCTCGCGCTAAAGGCTGTTTCTGGTAACAAGTATAAATATAATTGCTTTACTTCAACAAGGCTTGTCGGTGTGAATTCGGCCTGGGACGGCATGAGTGGTCCTTTCGCCAATAGGTTTGGTAGGCGCTACCAACGCCACATGCTGGGAGCACAGATAGCTATAGAGAGGCAGAGCAAGAAACGCCATATGTACTAACGTTGGGTCTAGCAACAAGCTGCAGTTTGTTCTTTCGGAGCAGGATGCAGGAGGAAGCGGGATTTGACTACAGGAAGCCTAAGCTGCTGCACCAGCATGTGCAATAAGATCGCTATAGCTTATCACCTGTGTCTGTTAGCACGAATGGTCCTGGTAGCAACGCAGGAGCACGAGCTCACGACGAGCCCTATAACCTATCCCAGCAACAGTTAGGTAGCCTGGGCCATGAGCAGCCCAAACCTAGTTATTGGTGTATAATACAGTGCACACTGTCGTACGAGCACCTAAGAGAAATTGGGAGGAAAGGTAGTTGTCGTACAAGCAAGACCTGATGAGCGCTGACGAGAACCCCAACACGCGTGTCGTCTGCGTACAAAGCATGTCTAGGAATCCCGCCAGCTCTTATTCCTTGATGACCCAAAGGAGCAGAGGAGTGTTGCTTTGGGACCCAGCGCGTGGCAACCTGTCCAAGGCTCCTGGAAGCCTGCAGGCCGCCCGCCGGAAGTGACGGCTCCTTGGACCACGCACCCAGCCAGCAGGAAGCACGCTCACCGGCATACGGCCAGGACTAGCAGCTGACGTGCTCCACAATTCCCTACAGTCTAAGCAGGGCTAAGGATGAGGAATCCTTAATGCCATCAGAGCGCCTCAAAGAGCGCTGAGGACCGTCACCAGGTCCCCTTCCCCTGGCAGTCGCCCCCTGCCGGTACCGAAGTCCTACCTTTGGCCGTACATGGGCTCTTCACCAGCTCCCACTTGCAATGTGCAAGCGGCGCAGGGCGGTCTGAGTCCGGATGTAAGTCTTAGTGCTAAAGCAGTACCGGGTTGCACCCACCATCGGTACCATACTTCAGTATATGTAAGCAGCTTGAGATACCTGTCGTACGCATCCCATGGCCGTGCCATGCCCTGAGATTACCTACGTGTAGGACTTCAGGTGTGCAGCCGGCATCACCTGTTAACCCTAAATTAAGGTCTGCTTTGCGCTCTAGCGCGGCAACCCAAAACAAGGGGATTTGCTTGCCACTTACCCCGTGACGGTCGCTCTTGCGCCTCCAAAGTACAAGTGGCTATGGTGAGCACAGGACATGGCACACCCAACGCTGATCAAGGTTTCTCCTGGTGTGGTCGCTAGCAGGCGGCAACGCACTTGTAGTGCAGCCGCCAGAATGTCTTGCACATGTGTGCAGTGACCCGAAGCCGGAGTGCCTTTGGCCGTGAGGATGCTGCATTTTGCAAAAACAAAGCCTGATCCCATCTGATCCCACTACCGGCAGTTGTACGACAACGTATGTTCGGATGTGGGGGCAGAGACCTGCAATCCTACATTGCGTTGTTGATTGTAGTTGGCTGGGGCGGTAGCGAGCTAGGGACAGGTGCAAAGCAAACAATACCGGTACGTTGCGTGAACCGCGCAGAGAGGTCGACCAAGGGACATGCGAGCGTGCGGGTATGTGCGTATCATGATCGTCTTGAACGGTGACGATGGCATCAGGCAAGGCACATAAGCCACGCGAGGAATAGCCTCATCAACAGCAAGCCTGGCGGCCAGATAGCAGCGTGGGCGTTAGCATGCTATGATAGGATCGGGATTGTGTATTGTGACTGTGGATTATCGAGGATGGGCGCCGAATACCCATGGTGCTAACGCGGATCTGACGTGGCTCCCGTCTTGCATTCGGGGCCTTCCCATCTGCAAGTAGTAAAGCGGCATCAACTAGTTAGTTCTTACCAACTAAAACCGCTCCGATGTCATAGTAAATTGTTGGCGTCAAAATCAACTGCAGCAACAGTCCTGCAGGGCTAACGGAAGATTCGGCCTATCGCCAAGTACATTCAATCGTTACATATCGGCCAAATCTTGCTGTATACGGATTAGGAGTGCGGAGCGCATATGGAAGTTGCCATGGCAGGTCTCGCGGGCATCGCTCGCAGCGCCCCGCTACTCAGGGCTGCGGCCTCAATAGGTCTCCCAAGGTTCTGCACGACAACAACTCCTTCGTATGGTCGCACTTCCGTATACGTAAAGGAGGTCAGCTTCTTAGCGGTTGGCCTTGGGGATGGCTTGACCGCAGAGTCCTGGCAAGCGGCGAGCAGCGGCCATACATCACATACCCAATATCGACATATAGTTGTGGGTTTTCCTACACCAAGCCTAGCCGCTGGACAGCCTAAGACCTCTTGTCGGTCATTACAAAGGACATGGGAACGCATGTAGTGCTCCCAAAGCGCCCAAAGCGTTATGCTCCCAATGTCCGTAACATATACAAACGTGGTTCCTCGCTTGGCCCCATTTCTTACAGGCGCTGGGCATCCTCGATTTCGACCCGCAGGTTGAGAAAGCCATTCTGAATCCCGACCGTGAAGTCAAGGTGCGGGTTGCATCCTTCCCTATGCCTCCATTACCCTGCATGCATACCGATCTCCGTATCGCTTCGTATCCTCTCTCCATACGTTTGCTTCTTCCCTTCCCTTCTTCTTTTCATCCAGGTCAATCTCGTGGTGCCGATGGACAATGGCGAGGTCAACATGTACGACGCCTACCGCGTGCAGCACAACAACGCGCTGGGGCCTTTCAAGGGCGGCATCATATTCCACCCTGCAGTCAACTTGGAGAACATGCGCAGGTGGGGCGGAACACACCACAGCACGACACACCACCCGACCTTCCCCATTTCCTTTCTCCTCATCATCACCTCCTCTCTTTCACGCCCCAGTCACACCTCTCCCTGTCCCCACCACCTCCCCAAACCCTTCTGACAACCCCCCCCCGCCCTTTTCTGTTTAAACAACTCCCGTACCCACAACTCCCGTACCCACAACTCCCGTACCCACAACTCCCGCACCCGTAACCGACAGCCTGGCCTCCCTGAACACTTGGAAGTTCGCGCTGCTCAACGTGCACTTCGGCGGCGCCAAGGGCGGTGTGGCGGTGGATCCGCGGGGGCTCAGCGAGCGGGAGGTGGAGAAGCTGACACGGAAGTATGTGCAGGTGCGTGTGTGGGGGGGCCGGGCGGGGGGGGTGCAGGTGGGGTCAAAGACCATACCAAACCATAGGAGACCACAAGTGCAGGTGGGGGGGGGGGTTGCAGATAAGAAAACTGGCAAACTGACTGTGTTGGTGGGGTTTGGGCAGGTGGGGGGCGGTCAGGGTGGGGTTGAGGCGGGCGGCGGGCGGTGGGGGCAACGAGGAAGGAACTAACCTTGTAACAGTGCTGTACCAAGGTGAGGGGGAGGGGGAGGGGGAGGGGGGCAAACAGAGGAAACTGGCGGTGGCCGGGAGGGGCGGGGTGGGGAGGGGCGGGGTGGGGAGCGCAACAACAACGACGACGACGACGAGGGATGATGATGCTGGCATGCAACGGCCTCTCGTCGTCCCCGCCCCCCGCCCGCATACTCCCGTTCCAACGCCTGTACCCTCTTATCTCCCCCCCCCTCCTCCCGCCCCCCCCCCTCCTCCTCCTCCTCCCCCCCTCCTCCTCCCCCCCCCTCCTCTCAGGCCCTGCAGGAGGTGATCGGCCCCCGCACCGACATCCCCGCCCCCGACATCAACACCGACGAGCGCCACATGTCATGGATCTTCGACCAGTACTCCCGGCTGCGGGGATTCACGCCGGCTGCAGTGACGGGTGCGGGTGGAGGGGCCGGTGGGGGGTAAAGATTGGGGGAAACGGACGAACCAGGATGGGGGTAAAAAGAAGGAGGCTGACGAACTGTACGACGAGGCTTCATCATAGTGAGGGAGGGTTAGGGCAGGAGGGGGCAGGAGAGGAAGAAGCGGTGAGGAAAGAGGAGTGGTATGCGCTGTGGTCATCAGGGCTCTTCACCACCTCGGCACGCTGGGCTGCAAGACATAGGGTGCAGCTCTCAGGCCCGCTTCCACTTCTCGTTTACTCTCTACTCCCATGCCCTCCCCCTCCTCCTTATTTTTACCCTCCTCCCCCCTCCTACCTTGGAATTTCTTTTTCCTCCCCCACTCCCACTCCCCCACTCGCCCCCCACTCCCCCACTCCCCCCCCCAGGCAAGCCCGTCTGGCTGCACGGCATCGTGGGTCGCGAGTGCGCGGGCGGGCGGGGCGCCGCCTACGCCATCCGCGAGTTCCTAACCCGCACTCTGCGTCGCAAGGTGGCGGGGTGCAGCTTCCTGGTACAGGGGTTCGGCAAGCTGGGCAGCTGGACGGCGCAGGTGCTGCAGCAGGAGATGGGGGCAAAGGTGGGGAGCGGGTGGGGGGTGGGGTGGGGGGGATAAGGAGACTGACGAAGGCGGTATGACGAGGCTTCACCATGGGTTGCTGATTGAACTCGGCAAATGAGGAAAGGACGAACTGACTGTGTGGTAGGAGAGGCGTCATCATGGTTTGCAACATGAGGGGGGAGGCGGGGTGGGGAGGGGGGGTGCAGGTGGGGTGTACGGCATGTGCGGGCGAAGGAAGGGGGAAGGTCGTACCGCTGGCTGTAAACGATAGTGGCGCTGAAGTTGGGATGAGATGGCGAGTGGTGGGGCGGGGTGGGAGCGCAGCCAGCCCCATCGCTAGCAAAGCTCTAATCCACATCCCCTCCCCCGCCGTACCACACACACACACACACCCCTATCCAGTTCGCCAGTTTTCCTTATTTTTACCCCCTCTCCCCAGATCGTGGGTGTTTCGTGCTCCGAAACCGCGGTGTACAACGAGAACGGACTGGACGTGGCGGCGCTGCGGGAGCACGTGGTGGGGGGCGGGCTGCTCAAGGACTTCCCGGGGGGAACAGGTAAGGTGGGGGGAGGCTGCCGTACGGGGGTGTTGTCGTACCGGGGTGCTGCCCCGTACAGAGGTGTTGTCGTACTGGTGTAGCTGCCGTACGATTACATCGCTATGCAGGCCTAGCAGCTAGGGCGGAGGAGTGACACTGGGGGTGCCACCCGGGGGGTATCCCTCCTTGAATGCCGGTAGGAGGTACCTTCCGCTCATGACAGCGCTGGTGAGCATGACAGCGCTCATGTGTGCTGCACGTCCTGTCATGCCCACCTGCCTGCTGCACACCTTCCGCTGCACCTTGAGACCCGCAAACATCCCCTCCCTTACCTATTGATTGTGCCACCCACCCTACCATATATAGCACGGTTTTCTTCTTTTTGTTTCCTTTCCCCACCTTGAGCCTACAGCCCCCTTCCCACCTCGTACCTACAGTCCCCTCCCCCTATCAGACGGTTAGTTGTTTCCTCTTCACCCTCCGCCTCCGGTTTCCTCTTTACCCTCCTCCCCCCGTTTCGCTCTGAGTCCGCCCCCCCTCCCCCCTGTCCCCCCCTGTCCCTCCCAGGCGTCCCCAACGACGACTCCTTCCTGGACCTCCCCGCGGACGTGTTGGTGCCCTGCGCAGTGGACGGAACCATCCATGCGGGCAACGCAAGCAGGTGCCTGCACTTCAAGGTGCGGGGTGCAGGGTTTGGGGGGAGGTGTGGGCAGGTTTGGGAAAGTTTGGGAGGGGTGTGGGTAAAGAGGAAACAACTAACTGACTGCCTGATAAGGCGTGGGGGAAAAGGAGAAAGGGAAACTATGGTTGGGTTTTGTAAGACGGAAAGGCGACCCGGATTGTTGGTGAAGTCCGTAGGCCGTATTGAAGTAGCAGCGAGGGGCCAATATTAAGCCCGCAAGCTTACAGGTTTTGGGGGTGAGGCAGGGGAGGGATGACACCTTTGCCCCTCTATTGCGCGGTGCTTCTCGGTGCCATTCCGCTGTGTTGCCCGTGTTGATGGTGCGTGTACTGCTCTCCCACCGCTGCTCTCCCCTCCCCTCGCCCCCTTCCTCTCTTCCTTTCCTCCTCTCATCCCCTTCGTCTTCCCTCGCCGCTGCTACGTTCCCGCACGTGTACGGTGCAGGCGGTAGCGGAGGCCGCCAACTCCGCGCTCACGCCCGAGGCTGACTCGCTGCTGCGGGCGGCGGGTGTTCCGGTGCTGCCCGACCTGCTGGTGAACGGGGGCGCAGTGGTGGTGTCGTTCTTTGAGTGGGTGCAGAACAACCAGAACTTGCAGGTGAGTTGGGGACAAGAGCAGGGAAGGAGGGGCTGAGTTATATAACTTGCTTGGTTACAGTCGGCGACTTATTCCAATCTAAAATTGGGGGTTCGTGAGTGGTCCCCGGTGGACCGGACAATGGGACTTGTTGGGGGGTTCCGCTGTAACGCTGGGAGGTAGCGAGCAATAAGGATGGTTACAGACCGGGGCTAAGAGCCAGAGCCCGGAGGAGCGTCCTGTGTTCAATGTGTTAGACGGGTCGGGTAAAGGGTGCGGCTCACATGTCCGAGTGCCTGAACAGGCAGCAGACTGCTGACTGCCGTTGTTGTCGGCTGGTTCACTGACGGCTGTGTGCTTCCTCTGTTGTACGGCGTCCGTGTACGGCAGTGGGAGGAGGACGCCGTACGACGAGAGCTTGACAGGTATGTTTCCGCAGCGTTCCCGGGTTCCCCCGGGGGGTGTACAGTGCACAGTGTACGGCACCTTGTACTGCACCTGGCAGTTGGCAAACTGTCCTGGGATGTGTCACATGGGATGATGGGAAGTTAGGGTGGGTGGCCCTGTTCCGTCTACTTAGTACGGCCTATCGTACGGCGTAGGCTTTACGTGCTGCTATAGCCATGTCGTATCGGCGTCAGTATAGTACTAATCAAATCCACCGAACTAATAAGCCAAAACCGCTGGCATTTCATAGTGTGGCGGTACGCATGCAAGGGCGTGACACAGTCGTGACACCTTGTTCAAGTGCAAATGACCGCTTGGCTAATGACGGGATGTACGGCACTCTCCCAATCTGACAACCGACCAACCGACTCGATTCAGGTACATAACCGACGCGTACGACGCACTGCTCCGGGAGCAGCAGCAGTACGGCAGCGGAATCTCCCTGCGTACGGCGGGCTATCTGGTGGCCCTCAAACGTCTTCAGCGGGCAGAGCAGGTCCGAGGGCACTCGTAAGCTACAAGATGTGGTGGTGTGCCGTACAAGGTGTGCTGTACAAGGAGATGTGCCGTAGAGGGAGGTGTGCCGTACATCCGTTATGCTGCTAGCTTGCCTGCATGGCACTCTGGTAACGACCAATGTTATCATTTTTTCCCGAGGCTTGTGTTCGTATAGCACATATATCTTTTATGATATGGGCTATACGAACGCTAAATTGGCGAGGATTTCGGTTGAGTGGTTGACGAGGGGTATAGTCTTGGCGGTGGTCGCGTTGTTAGGTGGTAAGAACCTGGAGGGTCCAGCGGAGTCCGCCGGATTTGGTGCGAGGTTGCACACCGCTATGGAAGTGTATCTTTTTCAGGACCCACAGTGAACATAATGTCCTCGTTTAGGGCAGGAGCAATTTAAGGAAGATAACGTGTTTGGGGGTTGCGGCGGTTGAAGTTTGTACGGTGTTGGGGTGCAGCGTTGACTTCGGAGGTGCCAGCAGTTGTGGTACCGGTGGGTGTGGCGGGATCCGGTACCCGCATAGTGGTCTAGGCTGTAGCGAGTGGCAGATTGTTGAGGACGGGTGTTGAGCATGAAGGGCTGGCTTGTTATCTTCCAGGGGGCAAAGGGGTACGGGGGGTGGCGGGTTGGCAAGCATGGCTGGCGGCGCGGTGCTGCTGCTGGTGCTGCTGACGAGGCCTTCTTTGCTTGGGCACTGCTTGCGGGTTTTTGTAAGCAATAGTGTCCTGAACGTACTCATCGTGCCTGCATTAATCTTGTTGCATGTACGATGTACGCTGCTAAGTGTAGATAGCCGATACCATGTACAAATACGACTGCTGTGTTGGCTCATGCGTAAGCCAATCCTCTTGGCTGATAGCTGCGTGGTGCTGCCAACCAGCCCGGCAAGTAAGGCGACGCAGGCACGCAGGTACTAATTGATTCGATGGTTCAGGTACACAGGCATGCAGCCGGTTTAGAGGCGGAAACCCACCGGAAAGAAGGTCGAAATGCAAAGCTGTGTGGCAAGCCTGTGGTGTTGTAGGTATGGTGTTGGCTGCGCGTGGAAGATATCTTGCGCTTGCCTTTCTTCATCTCTACGTGGCGATACCGCTGTTTACAAACGCCAGACACAAAACTGGTTACCGTTATCCCGGGAGGCCTTTTCTGGGTGGAACGTGCGCGAACACCGGAACGTGCGGGGCCTAAAACCTCGAAGACCACCCCCCTCCAATAACCAACGACCGCGGACAATCCTGGGCACAGCATTGGTCTACAGTGCTAAAAGAGGGCAGCGAACATGGCACAGCAGTGATTTACTATGCAGCCAGGCCCATGGGGCAGCGGCCCATGTTGCACATAGGAAGCCAAAGACAAAGCAGTTTCTTCATACTTCGTAACGCAATTACCAGAGGTCAGCGAACACCCTGCGACGGCATGACGAGATGCACGTACCGATAGCTTACATAACGCGACAGGAATAGGGATGGACGGCAACTATTCACCAGCTCACTCCGATTATGATAACTATTGCTAAATAGTATAATTGATAAACGTAAGGGAGAGCACAACTGCTTACCGGCTATTATGGACCGTCCAGCTGACGAACTTGGTCAAGTGTTAGGTTTGGGAGACCACTGTTCAGTTGATCACTGTCGTCAGATTGACTTCCTACCGTTTAGGTGTGACTGTTGTAGCCAGACTTTTTGCCTTGAGCATCGTTCCTACAGTGCACATGCGTGCCCTAACGCTGGAGCGAAGGAAACGACTGTCATCGTCTGCCCTGTTTGTGCAAAGAGCGTCCGACTTGCGCCTGGGCAGGAGCCTAACGCGGCTTTTGATGCCCATCAACTAACGGATTGCGACCCTGCGAACTACGACCGAGTCCATAAGAAGCCCCGCTGCCCAGTCGCTGGCTGTAAGGAAAAGCTGACAACTATCAACACCTATCGCTGCAAAAGCTGCGGCCAGCGGATCTGCCTTCGACATCGTGACCCCGGGGACCACCGCTGTGCTGAGCTCCAAGGCAAGGCTGTAATCTGGGTTTAGACAGGCGCTGGAGGTACTGGGCTTGCAAGGTGCCCGTTGTTCTACATGGCTGTCTAACCTCGGCCGAAGCCACTCCTGTTCCTGACCCAGATCGTGGGCCCTAATGGCCATTGCCTCTCTCCGCTCCTCTTTTGATCTTACACCGTTATACGGTATCATAATCACACCCTCCCTGCCTTCTCGACCCCCAGCTGCCGGCCGGCAGACCAGGGTCACAGCATCGGCCGCCCGAACCTCCGCCCCCACCTCCAAGCCCCCACCCAGCACCGCCTCAACCGCCCCCAGCGCCCGCCTCAACCCCCAACAGTTGCATGCGGCCGCACAGCGACAGTACGACGACCCAGAAAACTCCGTTCGCGGTACGGCAGCCCGTCGCATAGCTCAGGCGCAGGCGGCGCAGCAACAAGCTCAAGCGCCACAAAGCCGTTGGTCCTGGCCCTGGCAACAGCCCCAGCAGCCCCCTCAGCCTCAGTCTGGGCCCCCGCAAGCGCCCTCTGCGCCCGCACAGCCCGTACAGACAGCAGCAGCTCCTCCTCCGCCGCCGCCGCCGCCAGCAGCGCCGTACGGCAACAGCGGTAACAGCGGCAAGTCCAGCACTGCCGCGGGCAACAGCGGCAGTAACGCCAACCCGCTTGTTCCTCCCCACCGGCCCGAGCAGTGCCCCCAATGTGGAGCTCGCTTCGAAACCGTGGCTAGACTGATCCAACATGTGGAGGATTTCCATCCTTCAGGCCCATCTTTGGTCGCCTCCACCGCTGCTGGCGCTTCGCCCTCCGCTGCTGCTACAGCCACCCCACCGCCTGGTGACGGCGGCAACAGGGATAGTAACAACGCTGCTGCTGTTGGTGGTTTCTTTGGGAACCCGCTGCGTGGTTTGATGGCTTCAACTATTGCAGGTGGAGAGGCGCCGCCAGCGGCGCCGGCCGCCTTGTCGTACAATGCCGCATTCGGCGGTCTTACGACAACCGCACCCTTGGCGGCGGCGGCGGCGGCCGGCATTGTTGGTGGTTCCGCAGGTGTGGAGGAGTTCCGGTGTTCGTACTGTGCGCGCACCTTCCATGACCCGGTGGTGCTGGTGCAGCATGCCGAGAGGTGTGGAGCGGCGGCAGGGGGAGCGGGAGCGGCAGGGGGTGCGGGGGAGTCTCGAGATGGCTGCATCGTGTGCTGAGGAGGGGAGCGGCGGGAGTGGCGGGCGCTGAGCCGGATCAGTCGATATGGTGTGGTGTGTGGCTCGCTGATGAGCTGGTTCGTCCAGGGGGCTATTAGTTTATATCATGCCATCTCATATTGGCCATATTGGTACCGTAGATAAGGGACTGGTGAGGCTGGTGGCAATCAAGATGAGCGCCGAGTTGAAAGTGAGCTGCGGAGGGCAGGACGGGTTATCGTGCTAGATGTGGTCTTGGGGAAGGGATTTGGTGTAGATCAATGGGTTGAGAGGCTTAGGAGGGTAGCCGACTGACTGACTTGCAGAGGTGTGACCTGCGATCAAGCAGTTGTGGCATGCGTATTGCTTCGGCAAAGAGCCTCTCAGGTAAAGGTGGCTTTCATCGTGCTGCTGATTTTGTATGCCAAGTACGGGTTATGGGTGGAAGACTTGCCGTGCCTATGTGATCCTTCAAGCTACAAGTACCGGTACTCAGTTACTGTGTGAACTGTGCATGCTGCATACTCGCATGTATGTGACGGCAGTCCTGGCCGCTATGTTCTCCGCTAGGCCAGGACGCTACACCTTGGGGCTGTGTGTAAGGGCGCGACGGATGTGCGGCTGCCTGACTGGTGTTAAAGCCGTTTCAGTTGGGGCCGCAAAGCCCGGGGGCGCATGTACGGCTCCCGACGTGCGGCTCCCGCAAGCGACACACTGCCTCAAGGCGGGAGAGAAAGCAAAACACAATAGCCCACCTGGCTGTTTACAGTGGACGACCAAGATGCTCAAGGAGAGGCACAGAGCATCTGTTCTTTAAAACGCCTTTTAGCCGAGGAGCCCCAGGATCGTGCTCGTATACTCGAGGCCGCAAGACGTTTGCTTCAACCGTTTCCAGAGCAGGAGAGACGTCAATCCACCTTCCTTTCAAACCATAACTGAACCCGCCGTTACCGGTATCCGTCGAAACACCCAGACCTTGTTTCCGTGCCTGCATGTGACCGTAACCAGCAAAACACCGCCCGATGCCCGGAGGTGGAAGTATAACTCCAAAATTAATCCCTCGTCAATCCCGACGACCAGCAGCACCTCTTTCGCGCCTGTAAGCGGCCAATGGCCCGACGCCCAATGGCCCTTTCACCTCAGCCTCCCTCTTCAGGCACAAACCACGTCACGCACACAAGCCCTAATCCTGGGCAACTCCTCCGGCTTGCCGCGAGGGTGCGGTTGGCGCCATACTTTGGTTACCCGAGATACCACCGCAGCGTGTCAAACCAGAACCGGGCCCAAGCCGCTAGCCCGTTCCACGAATCCTTACACAACCAGCTTCAGGAGAGCACCACACAACGCCGCCGCAAGCGTTCCATTTCCAACGACGCGAGGGTTTCGGAGGGAATCCTGATACAGCACCACACAAGCCCAATAGTGGGCTATGGGTCGGTTCCGTCCCCATATTGTTCCGTAACTCACATGTCGCCGTATTTATCATCAGAGGCCCTAGAAGGGTGCCCATTCTCCAAGTCTAGTCCACACCAGGCAAAACGCCGCCAGGAAAGGGCATACTATTTCCGATCGGAAAAAACTTATTTTTACTGAAGAGATGGATTACCGTACACCACATGAGTATCTGCCGCTAGCGACAACCCAGCCGCTGCTGTGTAGGGCCAGCATACACCGACACAAATTAGAACCGTACAGACCGTGCATGTGGTGCAAGCCCTGAGAACCGAAAAGCGGCAATAGAGCCACGGGAAATAACCACACCAGAGCTTGAGCCGGTGAGTCATCTAAAGCCCACAACCTAGTGAATAAGATAACCCCTCTGGCCTTCACGCCGCAGGGCGGGAAGGGCGCGGTCGGGGCCGAAAGGCTAGGCTTCGGTTGATGGCATGGCGGGGGTTGCTAATTTGGAACTAGCCATGCGACCGTCGCTCCCGTCATCATTGAAACTTATTCTTGCCTGCGGCTTACGATGCTGGAAGACGCGCCGCCGCATTCCACCATAGACTCAAACCGCCGCCGCCTTTCTTTTAGGGTCCCTGCCCTGCCCGCCCCCGCCGCCGCGCAAAGATATACGGCTCAAACACCCTCCCAGCTAGATATCCCATCACCTGGCATTCTCCGCCCCCGTCCGACGTCCATTCGTCCGGGCATCGAAAGGCTCCGACCTAGCCATCTATAGCCGTGAAGAAGCAACCCATCGGGAGAGCCTTGATTCCGCACCAGCAAGCGTAACCGAATGTCCTTATACGCTTTCCGGAATCACACCCACGCTTTCCCCGCAGACAATTTATACACCTTGACGCTTTACACACCGCAACGGAGCAGCAACCGCCGCAACAATCGCAACGACAAACACAACAAACCCAAGGCCCTGCCGCTATCACTCCGACATCGAACGAGCTCCGCGCACCTCCAGCCATCCCCAACCACACCCCCGTCCACAATCGACCTCATACTAGGCGCAGGACCTTCAACAAAGCCCAGCCATCCGGACCAGCCGGTCAAGCGGGCATTAAACCAACAGGGCGAGCAAAAGACATATAATCAAAAGGGCCAAAAGCAGCACCGGCTCAAACTCAAACAGCGCAAGCATAAGCCAAAGCCGACATACTGTAACAGCCGGCAGGTTGAAGCTCCATCAAGACACCTCAAATAACCCGAGGTACCTCGTAGGCCTAGCACAATTTATGCCAGACCTTTCATCATCAAGCCGACCCGGCGGGGTAACCCAGTTCCGCAAGAATGGCATTCCGCAGGGCCACGTTGGGCGTGAGCATCTTGTTTGCCAGCGGCTGGCGAGTGACGGGCGAAGCGTCGTGCTGTCGAAGCCAATCCGCAATTGCAGGTCGGTTGTAGGTAATGCCTGGTAGACAAACGTCGGCAAGAGGGAATAAGACACATGAGTTTCCAGAGTGAGGAACATGATTCTTTTCTTATGAAGCTTCTAGCAGCTGTTTCAGCGAAGCAGAGCCAGGTCGGGCAACAGGTCAAGCAACGCGGTCCGGGAGACGCGCGTTGTCCCTAAGATCAACCTGCAATCCCAGACTTCCATTCAAGAACAACATGCAAACCCACGCATGCCCCTCCTTCTCCCTCGCCCTCACCCACCATCCGCAGCCACCACGGGATCCGACATCAGGGTCCGTGTCAGCGGACACATGAAGCTAGGTGGCAGCTGCTTGAACGGACCACCCAGGCCAGGCGGCCGGGACGCCGCTGTTGCCGCCCCTGAGGCAGCTGCCGGCATCATGCCTGCAGCGGCAGCAGCGGCAGATGCACCGCCCGCGCCCCCGCCCATGCCCTGCAACCCTCCCATCAGCGCCGCCGTGGCAGGGTCCATGAGACCTGCTGCTGCGGCGGCGGCGAGGCTAGGATTGAGACTGGGTTGCTGGCCAACGCCGACCATACGGCCCCCTGGCGCTGTCGGCGGCAACATCTTAGCGGCGGCGTCGCCGCCAAAGGCGTTGGCGACGGCGGCTGCAAGCGCGGCGTTGCTAACGCCCCCGCCGGCACCGGACATCCTCTGTTGCTGTTGCTGAGCTGCAGCCGGCTGGGAAAGCTGATGTTGCTGCTGCTGCTGCTGAAGCAGGGCTGCAAGTGCCGCGTTCTGCTGCTGCTGGCCTTGGACCGCGGCGGCGGCTGCAGCCGCGGCGGCGGCGCTTGGTCCCGCACCGCCCAGGCCCAGGTTGGCCAGCGCAGCCTGCATGGAAGCCCAGTCCAGCCCCGAGCCAGCGACGCCGGGGGCGGCAGCGGCGCCGCTGGCGCCCGCAGCGGCTGCAGCGCGCATGGCGGCTCCTTGCGCCGCCGCCGCCGCTGCTGAAGCAGGCGCGGAGTTGCCCCCGGTGAGGCTGAGGTTGGCCAGGGCCTGTGATACCGCTAGGTTGTTGAGCAGCGTTTGACCCGCTCCGCTTCCCGCAGCAGCGAAACTCTGCAGCTGCTGCTGCAGGGCCGCTTGCTGCTGCAACTGCTGCTGCAACGCGGCCTGCTGCTGCGCAGCCTGCAGCTGCTGCTGCAGCGCTTGCGCCGCCGCGGCTCCTTCCATGCCAGCGGCTGCCGCTGCGGCTGCAGAGCCGTGCTGAGTCAGCAGCCCCTGCAGCCCTCCCGCTGCCGCGGCCGAAGCCGCTGAGCCCATGTGGGGTAGCATCATGGCCGCGTTGGCCGCCTGCTGCATGCCCAGTAGGCTCTGCGTGGTGGCAACCCTGAACAACCCCCCACCACCTCCGTGCCCACCTCCGCCTCCACCCATCCCGGCGGCGCCGCTGTTGCTGGTGGCAGCGGAGCCCACGCCACCGCCCGCCGCCAAGTAATCCAGCGCCCCCGTCGACATGACTCGGGGCATCAGGAACTCGTTTCCGGGACCACCTCCGAGACCGGCTGCGAGGTTTCCGAGGCCAGCTTGAGCCAGGAGCCTGGCTGCGGCGGCGTTGGTGGGATCCAGGAGGCCAGCGAGTCCGGCGGCGCCGGCGTTGACGGCGGCCGCGGCGGCATTGGCGCCCAGAGCTTGCATGGCGCGGTCTTGAGCCCAGAGGGCTTCCTTCTCTGCCTTGCTCATTCGCTTGTAGCTGCAGGTGCAAGACATAGAAGGGGCCCTTACAAATGAATGACAACATGGCAGGAAGGTAGGAAAGAAACGAAACACGCCACATACAACATCTGTCAATGTGAAGTCCCTAGAAATACGTTTTCTATAGAAGAGCTATCAGGTGAAGAGGTCGGAAAAAAGGCGGCCTTCTTTAGAGCTCCATTCAACTCTCTCACCGAGCCGCGAGCTCCCGGTCGTAGTGGATGTTGTTGGGGTTGAGCTTGTTCGACAGGTTGACTGCGGGCTCGGGCGGCATATCCTCATCAAGCAACCGAACCAGCGACGCCGCGGCGGTTAGGCCGGTCAGGTTCTGAGCGGAGCTCGACCTGCCGGGGGCGGTTAGAAAACGGTTGGAAAACGGTTGCTGAACAATCAGTAGGACGCCAAACGTCCTTAGCAAAGCGACGAGCATCTGGCCGTCTTCATTCATACCGGTGCCGTGTTATCCTTTTTTTGCAGCGCTCCGGAAAACCACAAAGCCCTCCCCAACAGCGCGCGCCTCAAACCACACCACACCGCCTGGTATTACCGGCTTTCTCCTCCACACCCCCCACCCAGTGCCCCACCCCACCCCACCGCAACCCTCATCACACCCACCCTCGGCCATTTAGCTGCTTCCTCACCACCACCCGCCCACCTGCTCATGGATTTGCTGGCCGACATGCCCAGGTTGGCTGGCACCGTGGAGGTGTCCTTCTGATAGCGAATGACCATGGGCTTGCTGCCGGTAACGGAGGGGGCGGGCTGGCCGTCTAGTGCCATCTTGGCCGCAACGGCGTGCTGTGCGCGGGGGTGGGGGGATTGCGGGAGGAGGATATTAAGGGGATTGAGGATGGGTGCCGGGCCATGTAAGGGCGGGAACAGTGGGATTGAGAGCGCTTAGGACATAGGACATGAGGCGAAACAGAGAGACACACCATGCGGGAGGCACTCGGGCATGGAAGAAATAAGCAAGTTATGGGAAGGAAGAAGCGGTCACATGCCACGCCCCCCCCCCCCTACGTGCTCACCTGTGGTGCCAGGAAGTTGACGAAGGCAAACGTCTTGCCCGGGAACACGCGCACCGACTCCAGCGGACCGAAGCGGCTGCGCAAACACACACAAGGAAAGGGGTTGTTAATAAAAAAAGAAAAGAGAACTTCACCTTCTGGCAATCACAACACATTTCGGCTCGCGACCAGTCTTCTCAACACACAAGGAAAGGGGTTGTCTGGGGTGTGGAGAGCGAGTGCAAAGTGGTCAAGCAGGCATACTTCATACAGCGAAGGTAGGGCTCGCAGAGGCAAACAAGGCAATCCTTGATTATCAAGTCCCAAGCCTTCCCATGCCCCTCTTACGACCCTCCATTCTAAAGACTCGCTAGCCGTTGGTCCCTTGTGTCCCGACGAATAAGCCCCATTCCGTGGTCAAGACGGAGTTGCGTTGGGTCACAACGGACCCGTGGGTCCCTGCTCCCACACCCTCCGCACACACTCACGCAAACAGGAGCTCCATGGCCAGCTTGTTCGGCTTCAACGGAATGTTGCCCAGCCACAGGTGCCTGCTGGGCTTGCCCTCCGGCACATCCACCGCGTTGTCGCCCTCACCCACGCCGCTTCCGCCGCCCGCGCCGCCATCCGCTTCGCCACTCGTGCTACCCCCGCCGGCGCCGCCGCTGCTGCCGTCGCCGCCATGCTCCGCATCGTGACCGACGCTGCTGCCGTACGGTCCGGCGCCGCCGCCGCTGCCGTTGTGCTGCTGGTGCTGGTGCTGCTGCTGCTCGCCAGGGTTCTGTCCCGGATGCCCCGAGGTGTGCTGCAGAGCGGCAAAGTCCCCCACACTCGAGCTGGCAAGCCTGGAGGGCTGCCCCACGGCCCCGTGGTGCCCGTGCGGGTGATGCAGGTGGTGCAGGTGCGGGTGGGACAGGGAGGACACAGCGCCCAGGCTGCGGTGAGGCAGCGGAGGCGGCGGCGCCGAGCGTGACGTCGGCGCCGTCTCGCCGACGCCCATCATGCCCGGCGGCACCGGCAAGGGCTGCGGGGCCCCGGTGGTGTCGCTGCTGCTGCCCGCCGCTGCGGCCTGCATGAGGACTGCATGCAGCGCTTGCTGCTGCTCCGGAGGCAGCAGCCCCCGCATGGCGGCCTCGAGGGCACCCGGGCCCAAGCCAGCCATGGAGAGTGCCGACTCCAGACCCGGCGGCAACCCCAGACCGCTACCACCGCCACCAGCGCCAGCAGAAGCAGCGCCGCCAGCAGTCATCGACCCGGGGTCGCCATGATGCTGATGATGATGGCCGCCGTTGTCGGGACTCCCAACGCTGCAAAACTTGATCACCAGGGACTTGCTTTCGTACGACAGGTTCGGGACGCTGCGGCCGTGCAGTGCATGCGCTGCGCGGGAGGCGTCCTCAGCACGGGCAAAGAGTACGACAGCCGACAGGGTGCCTGGAGCCACCATGGCGTCCAGCACGGGGCCAAACTGGCTGCACAGCGCCTGGAGGTGTCCGGCAGGCAGGCCCGCATGCACATTGCCCAACCAGAGCTGGCGAGACGACCCACGGGTCGGCTCCTCCGCCAGATTCCACATTTCTCCACCAGACGCCGCCAGGGCATCATGGAGCCTAATTCCGCCAACGCCGCGATCGTTGGACGCCGCTGCTAGACCCGCCCGCATCCTCTGCTGCTGCGATGCCGCCTGCTCAGCTGCAGCCATGCCCTGCAGGTCCAAGTGGCTGCCGGGGCCGCGCGCTCCACCCAGGACCGCCCCCGCAACAGGCTGCCCGCCCAACCAAGGGTCCCCACCACTCATGGCCGCGAGGTGCTGCTGCGAGTGGCTGGCGGAAAGCGCCGGCGACGCCCCACCCGCCATACCCTGTCCTGCCAGGAAGTTGCTGCTTGCGCCGTTGCGACGCAATCCTGGCGGCAGGCCCCCGCCCCCGCCGCCGCCCACACCGCCGCCGCCACTTCCCAGGGAGCTGCTACCCAGGTAGGCGGTCGCCCCGCCTGCACCGTACATGGGCCCACCCACAGGCCAGCCTCCAGCGTGGTTCAGCGGCATGCCACTGCCGTCAAGTCCCCCCGCACCCATACCTCCATCCGCACCCGGGCCGCCGCCGGCGTTAGGATGACTCATCATCCCGCCCGCTCCCGCCATAAGCCCCGCAGAAGCATCCAGAGCCCCCAAGTTCCCAGGCCCTCCCATGGGGCCTCCCATGCCGCCGCCTCCCGCCGCCAGCAGGTTGCCAAACGACCCCGAGTAGCCACTCTGGCCGCTGTTGTAGGCCGACAGACCTCCGAAGCTGCCCAGGCCTGCAGCACCGCCGTCACTACCATGACGGCCCGGCATGCCTCCGCCGCCGCCGCCGGTAGCGGCGGAGCCGCCCTCCGGGCTGCCTAGCTCGTCCTGCAGGAACCTGACCCTCGAGACGACGCGCCGCATGCCCAGCGCCGCGCCCGGCCCCGCACTGCCATGCAGCATGGTCACCTGTTCGTCCATGGACGACAGGGACACCCGAGGGGGCAGCATGCCGCTGCTTCCGCTGCTGTGATGCAGCAGTAGCGGGTTATGTTGTTGCTGCTGCTGGTGCTGGTGCTGCTGGTGCTGCTCCATCCGCTGGCCCATGTGCTGCACATGCTGCTGGTGCTGCTGTGGGTTTTGCTCCGGCGATGTTGACGACGCGAGCTGGGCCAGCAGCTGAGCCATGTCCGGCGGGAAAGGTGCGCCTGACGCGAGGGCAGCGGCGGCCGCATGCAGGGAGGCCTCCACTGAGGGCCCCACCCCACCACCACCACCACCACCACCACCACCACCACCTGCTGCAGCTGAGGGGCCCATGTCGGCCAGGCCCATGCCGGCAGAGCCCGGGAACAGCGAGGACTGCAGCATCTGTTGTTGCTGCTGCTGTTGTTGCAGGTGCAGCGCTTGCTGGAAGGCAGCATCGTTCATCCGCTGCTGCAACTGCTGCTCCAGCTGTTGCTGTTGGTGTTGCTGTTGATGTTGCTGATACATCAACTGCTGCTGCTGTTGTTGCTGCTGCAGAGCTGCTGCGTTGCTGTCCGCCTCCTGCGCAGCCGCCTTGGCCACCTCTGCAGCAGCAGCATCCGCCGCCTGGGGTGCCTCCGTCACAGGCAGCGGCGGTGTAGCCATGCGCAGGCTCTCCGCCTGGGCCAGCTCGATGAGACGCGCCTCCTCAGCCGCCTGCTGCCGAGCCTCGTCCTCGAGCTGCCGGCGCCGCTGCTCCAGGGCGGCCTCGTAAGCCTCCTCAGCAGCCCTGGCGCATGAGGCGTGGAGCAACGTAAGGGTCACGAACCCAGGATAAGGTGGCTGGGTTAACGTAACAGTCAGGACAAGGGGCAGCCACAATCACCGCAGGTCCTATGGCTAGCAAGCGGTAAGTGCAGGTTAGGATAACACCACCTAGCACCAGCTAGCAGATTCCTGAACTCCGCAGTTCCACTCACCTGCAACATCGCCCGCCCCGCCCCGCCCCAACCCACCTGCGCTTCCGCTCCATCTCCTCCCTCGCCCTTCGCGCCTCCTCGCCCTCAGCAGAAGGCGAACCGCCACCACCGCCACCACCACCTCCACCAGCAGCCCCCCCAGGCGACGGGGAGCCCTGCTGCGAGCTCGAAGAGTCCTGGCTGCCGCCCGCAGAGGAGCTCTTGGGTTGCCGGCTGCTGCCGCTGCTGCCGCTTCCGGCGCCGCCACCAGCCGCTGCGGAAGCGGACCCGGACCGCCGGGCGGATGAAACGCCCTGAGCGCCCTCCTCCGCCTTTTGGGAGGTGTCGAGGGGATTGTACGATTGTACGGTAAATGTGGCGAGCAAGTCGTGCTACCGTTACTATGCACACACGGAACCACATGCGCTATGATGCCGCTCGCCTTCAAGAGCAAGGGCCGAACGGGAGCTGCTTAATGCCGCGCCCCCACTTGCGATCCCCCCCTTCCCGCCCTGGGTCCGCCTCCTTACCTCCAGCTCTCTTAGCAGCGCGTCTTGAGCAGCTCGGGCAGCAGACTCCGTTGCGGCCTCCAGAACCTGTGCACATGGACAGGGACCAGGAAAGCGCGAGGAACGAAGGACGTCGGCTCACAAGTTATTCCACGCAAGCCAAAGAGATCGTCTGCGCCGATAGTCACGGGTATACTGGGACGAGGTATACACACCAGCGACTACGAAGAGAGATTTCCAGACCAACTACGCTTTATTAATTTGAAACGCTTGCCACCAGCGCCCTCCCCTACACCCACCGACCCATGGGTCACCAGCCCCACCTGCACGGCCGCCAAGTGCTTCCGTCCTCGCGCCAACTGCAACGCGTTCGTTCCTGCACGCGTGCGACGCAAAAAGTCCAGACCCGGCCCCGCCGCTTCAATAAACGCAGACAACAGCTTCGCAAGGCCGCCCGCTGCCAGGAAGTGTAGCGCGCCGTAGCCCTCGCGATCCGTCGCATTAACGCCCTCTGCTCCCCCGCACCACAGCAGCAGCCCAGCAGCAGCGCGAGCCGCAGCCAGCACGTCCGCACCACGGACTTGGTCGTGAATGAAGCAGCAATGGCAGGCGTAACGGCAGCAGCCAATGGTAAGGTGCGTCGCATTGTTGCTGCTGTTGCTGCTGCTGTTGACAACGCCGCCGCCGACGCCGCCAGATCGCGGCTCGTCATCATCATCAAACGACAAGGAGCTGCCGCCACCGCCGCTGCCGCCCTCAGCCAGGTGTCGTACAACACCCGCGAGGCAAGCGATCACGTGACCCTGATACGCGGACACTGGCACGCCATTGGCCGCTGCTACTGCCGGCGCCGCAGACGCATCCGTTACGGCCCCCAACACCGTCAAGGAGAACAGATTGACCAGGAAGAGGTCCTTCGAGGCATACACGTGTTGTTGAAGCACATGCGCCGCCGCCTGCTGCTGCTGGGGGTGCCCATGCGGGGGTTGCTGCTGCTGCTGCTGTGCCGTCTGCTGCTGCTCCAGGGTCTGTCTCGCCGTCACGCCCAGCCGCACCACCTGCCCCACCACCTCCGCCAGCTTTGTTGAGGCCCCCAGCTGCAGCGCCACGCAACCGGGGAAGCGGTAAAGCAGCACATGCAGGGTACGGAGCACGACGGCCTGCAGGCGTATGTCGCATGCGGCTCGTGCGGTTGCAAGCACCGCCTCCGCGGCCAGGCGAAGCAAGGGGAGCAGTGCAGCGCCCTCGGGTCCTTCCGGCCCTGCGAGGTTAGCTGCGAGGGAGTCGCCGGTAGCAGCAGCTGCTGCCGCCGCAGGGGGGTCCGACTGCAGTTGAGCGGCTGCTGCGGCGACCACGGCGATGTAGTCCAGGCAGTGCTTCACCAGCGGGTCATCCTGCATGCAGAGCAGCGGCGGAGCAGCAGTAGCAGCCGGGAGCCAACCATATGTTAATTGGGAACACAGTCTTCGAGCCTGTGAGCTTGGGAAATACGGAAATACATAAAAGCTTTTTGAAAGACAAGAGCGTGAAGCGGAGCGCTACTCTCCCCCCTCCCTGATTACTTCTCCCTCCCGCGCACACCCACATCTAGAATGCGGCATCATCCTCCGGTAAGCTACGGTCAGGGTCAGTGTTTCCGCGGCTCAGTTTACCAAACCCCCACCCCACCCCCACCGCTTACCTGCATGTGGCAGCTCTGCAGCATGGACACCACCACCCGCAGCACCAGGTCGCACAGCAGCGGCCAGGTGCGACCTGCAAGCGCCCCGCAAACACCCGCAGCAGCACCAACACCACCTTCCACACCAGGTCCCTCAGCGGATCCGGACTTTGCGGCGGCAGTGGCAGCAGCGGCGGGGCCCAGGGAGTAACTCGCCAGCCGTCCCAGGCCCCACACGGCCGCCCGAGCTACCTCGATGTACCTGAAAGGGGACGGGGGCGGGCCGGCAGCAGCGCGGCACACACATGAGGAGTGTTGTGGCAATATTCACAGGTAGCGGCGTACCAGTCCGTGTGGCCACACGCTAAATGATGGCAGTCTATCCTTCCTTGCATTTATTTGCATTTCGGCGAGGAGGTCAAGCCAACAGCTGTTGGTTCCCTCCTAGTGACCCCCCGCCTGCAATGCCTGCATGCGGAGGCCCCACACGTACCCCCCCACCCCCCCACGCGCGCCGTTCCACTCCTCACTTGTCCTGGAGCTGCAACCTCGCAATATTGGCGACTGTGACGATAGCATCCTCCACGTCCTGCACCGCCGCCCCTGCCGAACCGCTGCTGCCGCCTCCTCCTTCTGCAGCTGCTGCGGCGGCTGCTGCACCCCGTGCCCCGTCCGCTGCTCCTGCTGCAGTTGTCGTTCCCGCTACTGTTCCTGCAGCCGCAGCAGCAGCAGCCGCCCTACTGCAGCCCATCTCCGCGAGCAGCATGGCTCCGTGCTCCAAGACGTTCAGGTCTCGACCCAGGGTGGCGAGGCCTGGGGTGGGGGGGTGGGAGTGGCGGGGAGCGGGTTGGCGCGAAAACACGCATGGGGGGTGGAGTGGTGTCGAGTTGACATGGGTGGTACGAGCACGGCGGCAACCCATGTAGACCCTCCCATGATCAGAGGAGAAAGGAAACCTTTGCTTCAGTGCTGGCTGCTTTCCCCAGTCTGCCCGTCTGTTCCACGCCTGCATGCACACCTAGCCAAGCCACACCCACCGCCCACACCTACCCTGCGTCACCAGCTGAAATCCGCCCTCCTCCAACAGTCGAGCCGTGTTGGCCGGGTTCAGCAAGCAAGTGAAGTGCAGCGCTCGAAAGATATCCGCCACGACTGCCTGTCCGCTGCTGCTGCTGCCACTGCCACTGCTGGCGTCCCCTGCATCCTCTCCCCCTTCAGCGCCCTCACTAGCGCCCTGAGCTGCGGCCTTTCCAGCGGCCGCTGCTCGCTGCCCGTCCATATCTGGATATGTCGTGCTGGCAGCCGTTGCTTCAGCCAGGAAACGAGGGAGTACGGCAACCAACGCTTGTACGGCACCCTGCTCTCCAAGTACTTCCTGTGTGGCCCTGGAAGTGGGAGGGGACAGGGAGCGAGCAAGGAACAGTTGCGGGTACGGCGGGATAGAACAAGGCAGGCAAGCAATCCGCCACTAGCCACAAGCGCATTAGCGCCCACAAAGCAACCCAGCGTGATTGCCGCACACCCCAACACATGCGTCTCGCGTCCCTCCGCAGACCGCTGCTCAGCCCCCGCAGACTGCATGTGTCCTTCTCCCTCCCGCTCACTTGTCATAGTAGCAGCGGCAGTTGAGGCAGCCGCTGAGGCTCAGCAGCGCCTTCACAGCAGCCGCCTGCACCTGCCGGCTGGAGGCGCCACGCAGCGTCGACACCACGCAGGCCACGGCATCGGCCACCGCGGCGGGCTGCACGCATGCCGAGAAAGGGAATGAGGACGCGTGGAGGAGGAGGGGAGGAGGGCGTGAGTTGTGTTGGCGGCGGGGAAACGAGGCTAGAAGGCGAATGATGGGGTGCCGCGCTGAGATGTGAGCAGGTCAAGGTGGAACGATACGTGCTGGGACGTCGTAAGCGTCACAAGGTTTGCACGGCCAGTCAGAGAGGCTGAAGCGCAGCCCCATGATGGAGTCTACCCACCTCACGCTCCAGGTCTGTGCAAGAGGAGCAGCTCTGCCCGAGAGCCTCCACAGCAGCGCATGCAGCGACCTGGACCTGTATAACGGAACGCAGCAGACATGGCGGGGATGGGCATGGCTCGGTAGACATGGCGTGCCAACCATGGGATAAACCAATCACGAATAGGCTGATGTGTAAGCCCAATCACATGCGAGCGTTTCGCACAGGGTCCGAACACGGTCGTTGCTCACGTGGCCAGCGAGGCCAGTGCATGATCGCTTGGCAGGTGCGCAAAACGCCTGAAACGAGCTAATCACATGGCAAGGCACATGATGGTTTTTGACGCTGGCCACAGAAGCGGGCACAAGTCAACCAGCGAAATCAACCACAGCCCGTAACGCCGCGCCTTATCCAAGCGCCGCACCTCCGGTGCTTGGGCCACCCGCAGCGCGCCTATGATACTCTGCCATAGCCGCTTTACGGTCTCCGCTGGCCAGTTCTTAGGAGCTTGCTCTGAGAACTGCTGCCGAAGTACACATAGCAGGCTGAACACCCTCTGAGCGTCATATGCCGGCCCTCCGAAAGCAGCTTGCAGCTCTGCTGCGACATGTTCAACCCGTTCCCCACTGCTAAGCTGGGACGGGTCGTCCCGTTGACCCCAATTGCTCATGTCCTGAAGTGCATCCTACTTTATGAAAGGGGGCGTATAACCGCTGGAGTGCACATGTCCTACAATAGCTTACTGCAGAATGATGTTACTGAGCACGATTGAGGAGCCCCTTACTGGGCTCCCTGGAGGCAGCCTTGCACTACACGGCGAAACAGAAACCTGACCAGCCAAGGTTCGGCGAAGACCTAGTTTCCGCGACTGACAACATATATGCACTGCCTTGCCATAATGCGTTTAGCGTTATTCTCGGCAAAGGAATGGGCTTCACAGTTAGGATGTTATCCACCCAGCCTTTGTCGTCGTATGCGGGTATCCATGTTAACTTTGCAATGCTAAAGGGGTTATGTAAGAAACGCCTGAAGGTTTCGCACTCTTGTGCCGCGCACTTTATTAGGTAAGGAACGCTCCTTGCTTTTGTCCTTTAGAGCCAAGCGTCACTACTACTGCTTTATATTCACTGATGTCTAAAGACCCACGCAAGCAGCAAGTCGAGGTACTCAGTTTGACCCGTGGGGCGTCAAAGGGCGCTCGTAACTGTTTCAGCACCTAAGAGACGGCGGGACAGGGCTCACTCCTCCACTATACATAAGCCCTCTCCACTAAAAGCAAAATTGAACGGTATAAGGTCTGAGGCGTAGTACCGGTAGCGTCAATCGAACCACGCCAACGTCGGCCTTTCGAACGTAAGTATCGCAACGGGCCTTATTAAGTATTCTTCACCACTCAGCCGCTGCAAGAAAGCCACTCCTTGCATTAACATCTCCCAACATTCGTACACAGCTCGCTGGGAAGCAGGTCGGGCTGAGCGGACGTCTTGAACAGCCCTTGTTGTTGGCACGATAAACACGCGTAGCAGCAGCCACGGTAGTGATTAAACGCTAGGAGCTAGCAGCCACGCACCGCGTACCCCAGTAGTCACACAGCCTAGGGCCATTCCAGGCTGAAAGAGCAACAGGAGCCTGGAAACAGGGTTCGGACATAGCACATAGGGCCCGCATTGCGCACGTGGCTCGTCCACCACCATCTATAAGGAGAGCACCGTGAGCTACTTGATTCGATACAGCCTCCCTGACCTGACCTGACCTGACTGACCGCTGCTTGTCGACACGGTAGCTTCTCCTCTCGTTCCCAACCTGCCAAGCAAAGGTAAGAGAATTCATACCACCTTGCCCGACCTTACCATTACGGTAACAACGAGCCATTCATGAGCCCCCCTACATCCGCGCTCGCACGCTGCATGTATCATCCCCCCTGCTCGACGCATGTGCGCCCAACGGAGCACCCCCGGGGGGCCTCATCCGCATGCGAACGTACCAGTATACTGTGCAGCGCCCTCATCGTGAAAAGAGGTTGTGGTACATGGTACATGACGGGGGGGAGGGTGTTCAGTTTTCATAAAACACACGTTTTCCTACTTGCGGCCAGTCTAACAAGCACACTTAGTAAATCTAATCAGACACGTTATGAAAGGACACATACCGCGCGGCCAGTTTTCTTACCAAACACACAAAGCCCCGGCGTTTTGGTGGGGACAGCATCCCCTTTAGGCAATCCTACACGCGGCCAGTTTTCTGCACACACACACACACACACACACCAGTTATTTTAACACACCATCACAGTACGTTTCGCCTCGCGGCCAGTTATTTTAACACACACCATCGCGCCTCTTCAGCAGTGGCCCTACCCCTCACCCGACCCAGCACCACCCCGGCCCCTCACTCCCAAGCATTGCTCCCATGCTCTCCGGACTTCATCTTCCGACATCCCAGTACGTTCCTACTCGCGGCCAGTTTTCTTAACACAGCAGGACCTGCCCGTCCCAACAGCGGAGGAGCCCCTTCCAACGCCCGCCTCCCTCCCTCCCACCTTCCACCCCCCCCTCGCTCCCTCCTTTCGCCCTCCTCCTCACCCTCACCCTCTCCCGCTTGCCCTTCCTTCCCACCACCCCTGTCCCAATCGCGTATGTCGTACCTTCCTGGCGCACCCCTTCACTGCGCCAACATCACCTCCTCATCATCACCATCAAGCCACCACCATACTCCAAGCATGTCATGTCAACATCAAGACATGATCATCCCCCCCCTCCCCCCCTGCGTGCTTCCAGGATAGTGTCTCCGAATGCGCTCACTGCATGAGTCGGGATATGGGATTGGGACTCGTTGTTTCACTTCTTTAATTTTCCCCCTCGCCCTCACTTGTGAGGCTTAGCACCTCTCCGCCCCCCCTCCTCTTTGCCATTCTCATTCAACACATTGGTTATTCTTCTCCCCCTCCTCACATCGCGGGTGTGAGCGCCGCGGGGTGCATCTGCGTGCTAACGGGGGTCAACACATCCCCCACTCGCAGCACCCCCGTGCCGCGTGACACCACGTTCCACCCAAAGAACGCGCAGTGCGTCCAGGCCTTGTTGCCGCCCGTGTTCCAACCCAGCTGCTTGCCGGACCTGCAGGGGAGGGGGACAGTCAGGGGAATTAATTTGGAAACGGAATCCGCATTACGCTGGATAGTTGGGTTAGCAAATAAGGGGACAGTCAGGGGGACGGGAGGGGGTGTCAAAGACCCTAAAGACTTAGGACCCTAAAAAGCCACAGGTCAGGGCAAAGCAAAGGGGACACGGGAACAGGGGGTACAAGTAAGATGACCCGGTCGAGTGTGTGTTAAGACTCCACATAACTGCCCCGGCACTGCACTGAAGAGGCTGGAATTCCTCGACTCGCTCTTTCCTTGGCCCCACCCTCATTTCTTTGCCGCATCATCCCCCCATGGTTTGGTCTGTTTTACCCCCCGCCCCCTACCCTCCCCCCCCCACCTGATGACTCCCAGTGTGTCCATGGGCTCGTCCCCCACCTCCCCGGTGGCCTGATTGATGGTGGGCATCTTGCACCTGCATGCAAGGGGGGGGGGGCCGGGGCGGAAGAATGATGGGGATGGGGTGAACTGAGCCGCGAGGACAAGGAAGGGGAGGAAGGAGCAGTAAGGAGGAAACAGAAAGGGGAGGGGGGGAGGTGCTGGGCTGGGATTGAGCTGCCCCACACCAGGCTAGCGCTCTCGATATAGTAACACCCCCCCTCCCCTCCCCCCAACACATCTTCCGGCAATCACAGTATGTTCCGACTCGCGGCCAGTTTCCTTATCCCCCCCCCACACACACACCAGCTTTTAAAGCAGTTTTGCATTATGGTTCAGGTTTGGTTACTTCTGTTTTTCTGTTTTGCTTGTACTTGCGGTTCACATGCAAACCTATCCCAACTGCTTGCTCTTGTTTCCACTCAACTACACACACACACCTCTGTTTTGTCTGTTTTGCTTGTACTTGCGGTTCACATGCGAACCTCTCCCAATTGCTTGCTCTTGTCCTACTCAAGTACACACACACACCAGTTGTTTTAACACACACACCTGGCCAGTTATTCGCCTTGCGGCCAGTTATTTTAACACACCTGGCGCAGGGTTTGACGGAGGTGAGCCGCAGCGTGCGTCCGTCCTCGGAGCAGCGCACCTCGATGTCCCGCCAGCCGTCCTCCGCCCAGGGGTCGGAGCCAGCAACCTGGGGGGTGGGGGGCGGTTGGTTGTCGACGGGAGGGGGCGAGTGCCAACCAGCTAGCCTCGCACCTGCGCTTCCTCGCCACCCTACCCGGCCCCACACAACCAGAACGAGAATGGGGTTGCTTCCCTCCTTGCCCTCCTTCCGCACCTCAACCGCTCAGATTGCCTCATACCCCTCCCCTCTTCCCTCCGCTCCGCTCCCCTCTGCCCCCTCCCCCCCCGCACACCTCAATGTTAGGTCTGAAGCGGTTCATGGGCAGCGGCTCGGTCAGCCGGCTGTTCAGGTCGGCCAGCGCAGCCTGCGGGTGGGGGAGGAGGAGAGGTGGAGGGTGGGAGGGGAGGGGGCCATCGCGGGGAGGGGGCAGTGAAGGAGGGAGTGAAGGTGATCGTATCATATACCCTCATTCCGACCGAAAGGCATCGGGATGGCGGCCCAAGAGGTGTGTCCGGTATGTAAGGCCGCTCCAACCCTGTCCACCCCCCCCAGGCAACACCCCTCCCACATCCCCGCCATCACTACACAAACTACCCGCATCCGACAAAACATGATTCTTCTGTTCCCCCCCGTTTCACTTCTATAGTTTTTTCCCCCCGCCAGCATTAGGCACATCGGGACCCACCTCCACTCCCCGATACACAGCTCCTCCCAACCCGCTCCCTCAGCCCACAGTCCTCCTAACCCGGTCTCAACTCAGGACCCCACCCCACCCCACCCCAGGACCCCACCCCACCCCACCCCAGGACCCCACCTGCGTGGCCAGCAGCATGGGGTAGCCATCGCTGAAGCGCGTCTCGTAGTCCACCGCATAGGCCGCCTCGGTGGTGCGAACCAGCGGCAACACACCGCCCTCACCACCACCGCCGCCACTGCCCTTGCTGCCCTCCACCGCATCCTGCCCCCGCGACCCCGCCGCCCCCCTGCCGCTGCTGCCGCTGCTGCCGCTGTCCCCGCTGCTGTTGCCGGCCCCGCTGCCCCCCCTGCTGCCCCCGCTCCCCAGGTAGCGCACCAGCCGCGCCGGCAGCCCCAGGTAGGTGCTGAACCAGTCGGCCGCCTGCTCGCCCTCGTCCGCACCCGCACCCGTCCACTCCCACACGGTCACCTGCCTGCATGCGGCGGGGGGGAAAGAGGAATACCCAATGTGTTGAATGGGAGCGGCAAACAAGACAGAATGGGAGCGACAAACAGACACAAGCTCCTTTTGGGAATGCATGGGGGGGGTGCAGGGGCCGCAGAGCACGGAGGGGTCTCATGGGGAGGCAAGGGCGTATGCGTGCGGCATGCAAATGTCGCCTTGTGGTAATGCAGGGGTGGGGTCAAAAAGGCCAAACCAATAAGGGGCGGGGAGGTGGTGAGGAGATGACAAAACGCCCCGTTTCCACTTGACGCCCCCTTCCCCTACGTCACTACAAGGGGGTACCGGAGGGCGGCTTGTTGACGTCAAGCGGGACGCGGCGGAGCTGCCAACGGGCCTGGCTGTGTGCGTCCCCTGTGTTCCCGAGCCAGCTGTGTGCGTCCCCTGTGCCCGCGCCCCGTGCATCACCGCCCCCAGCGAGACGATTACCTGATTTGGCAATCGGCTCGGCGCTGCAGGGGCACCTGGAGCGGCGGCATGCCGGGAGCTGTGACCGTCATGACAGCGCCTGCGGGGGGCTGCGGAGGGAGGAGGGGAGCTGCTGCGGCGGCGGCTGCCTCGGTGTTGCCGGGGGGCTGCGGCAGGGTCAGAGCCTCCGGTGGGAGGGAGATCTCCACCTGAGGGGAGGGAGAAGGGAGAAGGACGGGAAGAGGGGTTGACACGGCGGTGAGGAGAGATTGTGAAGAGGGGAGGTAGCGTGGTGACAGCTGGCTAAAGGTGGTTACGGGTGAAGAAGAGCACAGATGGCGGCGCTGGGGGTGATCGTGATGGGTTGGACGGCCAGAGGGGGTTAGGTGGTGTGAAACATCTGGGAAAAGGAGTGACAGAGGGACGGGGCCGATATGGCTGGCGGCTTTCTCCAACCGTATGGTGTCAGTTCGCGACACCAGCGCAGCCTGTGGCCCAGCGAGCCGTTCGACTTACAAGTGCTAGCGCCTCCTTTTCACGCTGTGAAATGAACTTGCCGGTGTCTTCGCGAACGACCTATGCAACGCCGGCAGGCGGTAGCGGTAAGAGACGAGAAAGGTCGAACGAGCCTGCACCTAAGCGCACCATCCATTCTCGGTCATACAAAAGGCCGGCATTTGTGAGGATGGCCGACTGCAGAGCAACACCCCGGCAGCTTTTAATCGGGTACACGTTCAAAGCTCCAATAGTGAGCGTCATGGCTATTGAGGAGCGTCAAAGTTACTGGGTTACGCAGAGCACGTTGGCTTGAGAACCATGAATGCGTCTGAAGGTCTGGTTCCAACTATAAGAAGCCGTACACGTCGCGGCATAGTGCAACAGGCCAACAGCTACTGAGTGCAATATGTTAACGGCCAGGGAAGTTGTACATTATAATTCGTGACGCCAGAACCACCAGCCTTTGGAAGAGTGCTGAACTTGTTTCCAAGCTTTCCCCTAAACTTCCATGTGGACAGCTTCCCCGTTTAGCTGTATTCGTTAAAAGCAATGTTGTCTTCAGGATGGCTAAACGATCAGCGCAGTGAGTACATGGTTGTGCCCAAGGGGGCCTTGAGCAGGAGTGGAAGCGCTGAGGCTTAACAAGTTTCATATCGGCTCTGCAGAGATCGGGCTTGGCCTGACTGCGTTTGGCATCCTATTCACTGTCCTGGGAATGCTGCTGTTCTTCGATCGAGGACTCATTGCCATGGGAAATGTGAGCTGGACTTGCTGGACGTCAAAGCTTCGTCTAATACGACTTTTTGAATTGCTATAAATCAATATTTTAATCATACGCAGCTGCTATTCCTGGCGGGTCTGGCCACCACCATCGGGTTCAACTCCACGGTCAGCTTCTTCATGAAAAAGAAGAACCGTAAGGTGCGTGGCAGTTTCCCCTGCACGTGCTTGAGGCGCACATAACGCACGCCAATGTGGACACGCAGGGTTCAGCCTTCTACCTTGGAGGCTGTGCAGTAGTCGTGTACGGCTGGACCGTAATAGGGCTGGTGCTAGAGGCTTACGGCTTCTGGTGCCTCTTTTGCGAGTTTTTCCCGACGGTGTTGCAGTTCTTGCGGAGAGTACCCGTCCTAAGTAAAGTACTTGACCTGCCCATCCTCAAGCTGGTAAGCAGGGACGCCGGTAAACACGGAAAGGCACACACATGCAGTATAATCGGGTGGCCGGGTGACGGGGAAACCAGCTTTGGCGGGGCGGCGGGGGCCGGTGAAGGGGTTGTTGATGTTTTCTCTCCACGGACGAAAGTGCTGGGAACAGCTGGAAGCAATCGGGTCATAGCAAGATCGCAACGGGCCACGGGATTACGGCCACATCTGTGCGCCATGGCACGTCTCCTTTAAGTTCAAAGCAACCTGAATCCCTTGGGGCTGCTGCCGCCGCAGGTCTTTAACCGGTTACAACAACTCGGGGGCCTTCCGACCACGCAATACCAGGCGGGCGTAGCAGCGTACAGGAAATAGCGATCATGCACGGCAGGAGTCGCCCAGGGGCAGTCAAAGTAAACCAGGGTAAGATGCCCCGGCGCCGCTGCAGGAGTTGGTTGCACGGTATGTTTGCTTGGGTGTATCGCCCGGATAGAGCTCGAAGTAACTTAGGGGACGGTGTGCCCGCGGCGCCGGGCATGTATCTGGCCCATAGTGTTAGTTGCAACTAAAAGTTGCCTTAGCTGGGACCTTAGGATTTAGGAATTAGTAGGTAGAGCACGGCGGCTGGAGGAGTCTGGCGGTTGCGCCTGTGCGAGTGGCACGGGGCTGGATGCGCTCGGCTGGGTTCCTTTCAATTTGAACTTCGGCAGTTGACTTGACAGCTTGGACTGGACTTGGCTGGGGTCACTTCGATCGCTGCAGGCATGGCTGAGGGTTGTGTCGGGGTTCATAGCTGAAGGGTCTGAGCGATGACTGCTGACTGCTTTAATGCAAGTAATTTGGGGTGGACAACTGTTGACTATAGGCCCCGTCTTCGAGAGGCTTTGAAGCCCCAGTCGTTGTGGAGGCAAATGGGATGGGAAACGCCTGCGGAGCATGCGTGGTAGAACCCGCCTGATATGGGCCGGAACTGTTGGAGCAAAGTTCCTTTAGCGTTGACAACATTGCCGACTTAGGCAAGCCGAGCACTTGGTTGCAAGGCGTAGGAGGGCGCCATAACTCGCACGGCCCTTGCCAGTAATTTTTCCATTATTACATAAATGACAAAAGCGGAACAAGTGTCCTACATACTTCTAGCCGCCGATGACGGCTGGGCGTCTAAGCCTGTGTAACATGCGTCAGGATAGGTAACATGGGAGTGTTTCTTCGCGTCAATCCTAGCCCCTCAAAACCGCCATTTGCACCTTGCTGCCGTCACGACGAGATCTATGCAAGTACACGTCCTACCCAATGGCATCCGGTAACCGCAGACGAGCCCTTCAACGCTGGTATCATCCGGCACGTTTTACGGGACCGCCCTCCCGCCTTCACAATCGCATGCAGCCTTCAAGCCCTCGTAGCGCAGCACACGTGACTGTAATAAACGCAGCCCGGGGGCCTCAACAGGGCTCCAGCCAGCGTCGCCAGCCGACCAGGAGTGGCCCCCGCACGGACAGCTTCCATCCGGTGCGCAACTACATGCACCCATGGCCATCGTGGAGAAGCCACCTCCCCGGCAGCGGCGCAACCTAACCCGGTTCGACTGCCCCGCACAGGTTGTTATTGCGTTACAGTCCAGTCCACACTCCCCCACACATCAGGACAGCCGCGCACATGGAAACTAAGCGCGGCAATGAGCACCCAACAGCGTCAATGAGCAACGTTAGCAAAGGGTCAACCAAGCAAGTAACACGCAAGTCAAGGACGTATGATTAGCAAGTCTACGCATATACGGCATGATGCCTTTGGAGCTGGTCGCGTCCATTCCCGTATCAGCCAGCCTTGCGCCGTGTGCCACCTAGACAAAACCCCAAGGCATAAAAGAATTCAGCTCACACAGGTCTGAACACGACGCATAAGTGACAAACTGCAGCGCACCGTCCATGTTATATTGTCAGCTTAAGCTCCTGGAACGGCGGCGACTTCATTGCGCATGATGATAAAACCGTAACGTCAAGGGAAGCCCTTGCAGCAATGAATGACTAAAGCACCCTGCAGCACAGGAGGGTACGGCCTTCCAGATAAAGACGCACGTTCAACTCCGTGTCCCATCCAAGCTTTCGAAGTACCGCCACACTTAAGGAAAGACCTCGGTTATCCGCACCAAGCACCCATGCAAGGCAACAGAAAGCACAGGCACAAGACTCTCCACTCCTCCAAGCAACATGCTCCTGCAGGCAGCCTTTCGCAACAGGCCCCGCTTGGCCCTTCGGAGCAACCATCCGTAAGCAAAGTCCAGCATGCTTTTACTTGCAGGCAGAAGCTTTATGTCCTTCAGATCCTTCTTGTCTTTCAGGTCAACGCCCACCCAGCCAAGGGTGTACAGCAGGGGAGGAAGTCGCACATGCTAACTAGTAGGCACAAACCCTGCATCATCACGGGTCCCCTGGTCACTGTGGGGCATGTTAGGTACCTGGACACACGATACACACCCGTACAGCGGGGCTGCATGTCCTCATCCTTGTGTGTGGGAACAGTAAAAGACACTCGCACACGTTGTAGATACCGCCCACAGCGCACCCGATGACCTCTCCAAAGCTTCCCCTGGTGCAGAGGCAAGGCAACCTAAGAAGTACGGATCCCGAGAGCAATACCTGCAAACATTGTCCAACGTCGTGGCCTCTCATCCTGTGTCGATCGGTTAAAATGCACATGCGTAATAACAGCCTGCTCGCTTGAATGCAAGCCGATCGCCAGCGGCAACACGCGCTGGCGACGTAAACGCCGCTCGGCATAACGGGGAAACGCCACCAAGCCCAAGCCGCAAACCCAAACGCGCAAAGACATCTTCTGCAGAACTCTGGTCGAAGCCATGAGCAATAGGCGCCTTTTCAAAGGCAGCCTCCCTCTCATCGTTCAACAACAAGTCACTAGTGCTATGCGGGTCCATGCCCACGTACGTATCATGCTCCAGTTGTTGTCCAAAGCAGCCATTTACGCCGCACTTAACGCCGCATGGCCATGACCGGCCACAGTTTACTTGCCAGCGCTCATGGGTTGGATCTCGGTCACCACATCAGCCATGAAGGGGGAGATCGCGTCATCTGGGTTGGATGATTCCGGAGCCTTCTGCGACGTCTCCGACTCCCCTGCCAAGTCAAGGCCCTTGCCGGCACTCTTCGCCGCCGAAGGGGCGGGTGAAGCGCGCTCAGGCTCGCCCGCGCCATTGTCACTGCCCGGCAACGCTGCCTCCTCCTCCTGCCCCACAAACCAGTCTTGCACCTGCTCCACGCTGTCTGGCTCAGGCTGCTGCGACGCAGCCTCCTGCTCCTCCTGCTCCTGCGCGGCCTTCTCACGAGCCGCCTCAAACTCCGGGTCCGTCACGTAGATCGGCCCCTCGTCATCCTCCTGGTCCTCAGCCGCAGGAGCCTCGGATGCTGCAGCCTCGGACGCTGCCGGCTCCTCGGATTCCGGCTTGCTCGCCTCATCACGCGCCTCATCTGCCTCATCCGCAAACTCGGAGAAATCCAGCACTTCCTCGCCCGCATCTGCCGGCTCCGCCTCCGCATCAGGTTCCGGACTCCAAGCACGGTCGGACTTGTTGGCTACCTCCTCCTGCTCCTCCTGCTCGGGCTCTGCAGCTGCGAACGAGCTCGGAGCCTTGCTTGCCTCCGCCTCCTCCTGCTCCCCTGACTGCTGCTCGGGAGCATGGCCAGCGTGCTCAGCAGCAGCGGAAAGCAATTCATCAAGCTCATCAGACTTGGCCTCAGGCTCGGACCCCGGCTCCTGCGCCTCCTCAGCCTCCTTGGCCTGCCCCACATCCGGCTCGTGTACCGACTGGGGCCGGGACGAGCGCTCAGCCTGCTGCTCCCCCTCCTCATCAGCGCTCGGTACGGCATGCGGCCCAGACGCAGCCTCCGCTGACTCGACATCCTCCAGAGACAGCGATTTCTCAGCCGCGGGCTCAGGGTAAGCAGCCGGCTCGGCCTCCGCACCCTCACCATGTCGCTGCTCTGCCGGGTCAGTCTCCGCCGCAGCATGTTTCGGCGGCTCAGCTTCCGCCCCAAATTCAGCCGAAATCCCGGACTTCGGCTCAGCTGGCTCGGGCTCAGCTGCCGCATGCGCCGGCTCAGGCTCATCCGCTGCCTCTGACCCCGCCGCAGCCCCGTGCTGGGATGCTGCCGGGCTTGCTTTCGGGCTGTCCCCCGCTTGCTGCACGGGAGCATCCTCTGCATGCTGGCCGCTGACCGACTGCTCGCGAGGGCTGGGCGCTTGCATGGGCGTTGCGAGAGGCGAGTAACCGGTAACCGACTGCTCGCGAGGGCTGGGCGCTTGCATGGGCGTTGCGAGAGGCGAGTAACCGGTAGCCGACTGCTCGCGAGGGCTGGGCGCCTGCATGGGCGTTGCGAGGGGCGAGTAACCGGTAGCCGACTGCTCGCGAGGGCTGGGCGCCTGCATGGGCGTTGCGAGGGGCGAGTAACCGGTAGCCGACTGCTCGCGAGGGCTGGGCGCTTGCATGGGCGTTGCGAGGGGTGAGTAACCGGTAGCCGACTGCTCGCGAGGGCTGGGCGCCTGCATGGGCGTTGCGAGGGGCGAGTAACCGGTAGCCGACTGCTCGCGAGGGCTGGGCGCCTGCATGGGCGTTGCGAGGGGTGAGTAACCGGTAGCCGACTGCTCGCGAGGGCTGGGCGCTTGCATGGGCGTTGCCAGGGGCGAGTAACCGGTAACCGACTGCTCGCGAGGGCTGGGCGCTTGCATGGGCGTTGCGAGGGCTGATCCAGGTGCCATCTGCGACTCCGTGCGTCCCTCGCTCGCAGGCGGGTGCACCGACTCCGCGTCGCCAGCTGACGCTGCGGACGGACGCTCGAACCAGTCCTCGGGCGCATGCGGCGAGGCAGGGCTCTCAGCGGCCGGGGCACCGGCGGGGGTCAGGCCTGATTCGCTGAAGGGTTCCTTCGTCACATCAGACGGGGAGGAGGTAGCAGCCACCTGCAGCCGAGCCGGGAACGAGCGCTCGGAAGCTGCGGGCTCTGGCGACGCGGGTGTGGAGGCTGCCCTGTCCTGCTCTCGGCCATCCACCTCCGGAGTCACTGGCGACTCGCTTCCATAATCCACGGCAACGGGCAGCGGGGGCTCAGGGGTCCACACCGACTCCGACTTATGCTCAGACTGAGCCTCCTCGTCCGCAACTGCTGGTGCTGCAGGCTTGGGGGTAACCGCAACCGATGCAGGCTCCTCAGTAACGACGGCCTCCGATTCCGCCTGGTCTGACCCAACCGCAGATGCGACGTCGGCATTGCCTTCACTGGTCTCATGCTCGGCATGCTCCACAGCAGCGGCAGCGGCGGGTGCGGGTGTCTTGGCCTCCGGCTCAGCCGCCTCAGCCCCAGCGCTGGTGGAGGAGTGTGAGGATGGCTGGACGTCCCATGGGGCCGCTCCCCCTGCGTCCGACGCAGGTGTGGATGCTGCAACCGACGAGGCGTCGCCGTCTTCAGGCTTGAGGCTGCCCACAGGTGACGCGGCAGGAGGCTCCTCCGCCTCGACCGGCTCCTCTTCCTGGGGTGCAGCGGAGCGGCCATCATCCTCGGAAGCAGCCGGCGCATCGCCCTTGACTGAGGCCGGGGCGCTACCGCTGGCCTGGTCGTCCTGTAGAAGAAGGGGGAGCAGGTCCAAAGGCAAAAGGCGTGTCCAGTTCAGCGCATGTGTTGAAGCGACACTAGGGATAGGAGTACGTGGGTTCTTCTTGGATGCGACATAAACGTACGGCATGTCGCACAATCTAGAGCTCGTTGCACAATAGTTTGGCTGCATGCAAAGTACGACGGCGCATTGTCAAGATCACCTATCATGCGACGAGTCGCAGGATACCCAGCACCCACACCTCCACACCCCACCGTCGCCGCTCGGACCACTCACCGACGGAGCTGCCATCTCAACTTCCACCGGTGCCGCGTCCCCAGTAACCGACTCCGGCTTTGAATGCGGCTTCTCATCGACCGACTCCAACTCCTCCTCCGCTGCCGGGGCCACCCCAGCTGCAGTCGTTGCGGGCTCCTCCTCCTCAGCCGACACGCCTGCGACCTCCTTAGCAGCATGCGTGGGCGCCTCATCAGGCTCCTCAACCGAGCCCTTTTCATCCGCCGCCGCCTCCGGCCCCGCCGGTTCGGCAGCACCAGTAGCGGCCTCTTCCTCCTCCAACTGCTCCTCTGCAGCTGACTCGCTCTTGCTCTCATCTGCAACAGGGTGCTTCGACTCAGACGCCCGACCATCTTCCACTTCGCCATCAACAGAAGCCGCCTTCTCGCTTAGCTGCTTCTCCTCCGCCTCCTCCTCTATCTCCGCACCCTTCAGCTCCTCCTCCTTGACATCTTCTACCTCCTCCGGCTTCTGGCCCTCGTCGTCCTCCTCCTCCTTCATGTCAAGGACAGCCTTGCTTGCCAGGGTCAGCTCATCATCCTCTCCCAGCTCGCTTGCCGCACCCGCCGCTTCCTCCTCCGGCTGCTGCTCCTGCGTTCGGTCCATAGGCTCGGAGTAAGTTGGGTTGCTCACAGCAGCAATTTCATGGGTCCAGGATGGGAACTAGTGTCGAGATTCTTGCATGCCACACAACCCACAACGGAGCGACAACGCAGATTGCAGATGCAAGGGGTTAGGGCCGGGTAGCAAGGTGGGCCAACCCATATGACCCCAGCCTAACATAGCCTGGTGGCATGCGCGCTTGCTCAAGTGTCGCTTGCTGTTCCCCACCCTGCCGAAGTGCAACCCGCAACGAATGAGTGGCAGTTGCCAGGGCGGGTCCTAGTAGCCCCTCTTTCAGCGTCACTTACCGATTTGGTTGATGCCGCGTCCTGGCCGTCAGCCGAGGGCTTCCCATCGCCACCCGCATGCGCGGTCGCAGTCTGCGGCTCCTCCTCGTCACTCGCGGTGCCCAGGGGTACAGTCGCGTACTGGAGCAGTCCCTCCTCATCCACATCATCATCATCCACAACAGCCTCCTTCTCCTCCTCCTCCTCCTGCTCCTCTTCCGCCGCTGGCAGCGGCTTCCTGGTAGACTCCGGCTCGGATGCCTCCCTGGTTACAGCCGAATACGCCTCCTGGTTATCATCCTCCTCGGCAACGCCCTCCTCCTCCTCCTCCACCACTTTCTGCTCCTCCTTGTGCTGCGGAGAGACAGCTTTGCTCGCATGGCCGCTAGCGGGTGCGGCGTCAGCAGATGCCTCCTCAGCAGCGGGACCAGCAGCGGTGATAACCGCAGGCACAGCCGCCGACGTAGCCACCGAGCCCGTCACAACCGAGTCAGCGAACACAGAGGCGGTCCCATCCTCGTCATCGTCTTTAGCAGCCTTGTCCACGTGCTCATTGGCATCAGGCGGCGCCGGAACCGGTTCCGTGCGGTAGATCAACGGCGGCAGGTCGTAGTCGTGGCTGAGCTCACCAAGGCCGTTAAAGTTATGGATGTCGTACGCGCTGTTGGTGTACGAAGGCTCGGTGGTGGGGACGACCTGGGGGTTGGAAGCCTGCAAGGCAAGGAAGGCGGTGCGCGGAATGCACCCACGCATGGCACATGTTGGTCCGGGGGTCTTGCATGTCCAAATGGCGCCCGTGTGGGCACCACCCAGAGCCGCATGATGCAGCTCCTCCACACAGACTCCTTCGCAGTATTGCCGCCGCACGCCCCCATACCACCCTCGCGTCCCCGCCCCAGCTACTGTCGCCTGACGTTGACCCCCCCTCCATCCTGAGCTTTCCACCCAGCTCCCGCCTCACCTCCTCAGTAACGCTCGTGGGCGCCTCCTCCTTCGGGTCCTCCTCCCTGTGACTCCCCAGCGCCAGCACGGCAGCAGCTGCGTCCACGACAGACGTCGGGCTGGGCACGGCCGACTTGGCCGTCGCATCGGCGCCCGCACTGCTGGCGGTAGCGGTGTTGTTGTCGGACGGCTCCCCCTGCGGGGCGCATCATCATTGTCAGGCATGCAGGGAAGGATGAGGTGCCGCAGTCTGCTAGGTGCCATGTGCCGCTTGCAGGATAATGCAACACCGTTTGCAGCGCAGAGGGTGAGTTGCCATGACATGCATGAGCCACCTCCCACCCACCCTGTCGTGTACCGCAATACAACCCCGGTGCAACCCCACAGCGCCCCAGCCCCACCAAGTCCCGCCCGCTCTTTGGAGACTCCCTTCAGGACACGCAGCCGCAAAACCTCCGAACATCCAAACCACTCACCGTCTTGAACCTCGGCCACGCGCCTCCCACCAAGCTGGTCCGCCGTGTGGTGGGGGTGCTGCTCGCGTCCGGCTGCACCGGCGTGTCGGGCGCGCTGTTGGTGCTGCTGGCCCGGCTGCGCCTGGAACTCGACTCGTCCAGCGGCGCAGGCGGGCTCTTGAGGCTGTCCAAAAGGTCCTTCTCCTCCTCATCATCATCATGCTGCTGCTTCTGCTCCCCACCCTCCTGCTCCTCCTCTGCCTTCTGGCCCGCAGGCAGCGCCGCATGCGGCTCCTCCAGCGGCTCGGCCTCGGTCACGGGCAGAGTCTCCTCCTCCGCGACCTCCGGCTCCACAACAGGCGCAAGCTCCGAGGGAGGCTTGGGGCGCTCCTCATTCGGCCCCAGGTGGGGCTCGTAGGGAGCCGGCTCGACCGAACCAGCCACCGTAGCGGGCTCATCGTCGCTGTTGAGGCGGATGGTGGAATGCGGCCCGAATGAGTCATTTTGAAGGCAGGGTTTAAATCGGTTGCGGATGATCAGCACAAGGACAGGGCTCATACGGTAAAAAGCGCATACAGGCACATGTAAACAACACTCCCAACAGGACGCTCGACCCGCCCCTCAACACTCACTCGTCTGAGGGCTCAAAGTCATCCTCAGCATAGTCATTTTCCTCCTCCTGCACCGCTTGGCTCGCCTCCGGCTGCGGCTCCTCCTCAGCCTCCTTAACCACAGGCGGCGGCGTCTCCTTTGCAATCGCCGCGCGCGTCGCCTCCGCCGCATCTGCCGCTGCCTTTGCAACCGCCTCCTTCACCGCCTCCGCCGCCGCCGCAGCCACATTCTCCACCGCCGCCTTCACCGCCGCCGCCATGGCCTCAGTCGGGGCGGGCTCCTCCTCCTGCTCCTCCTCACCGTCGGGCACCAACTCAAGATCATCCACCCTGGGCTGGTGTTGGTACAGCGGGTTCTCCCGCACGTCCTCGATGTTGCTGCCCGCCGACTGCAGCGCGGTGCCCGTCAGGCGCTTGTGCTCCGCGATCAGCAGCGCCGCCACACTGGACAGCTGCTCCACGTCAGCCTCCAGCTCCGGACGAGCCATGAAGCTGTGCAGGAAACGGGTGGGGGGAGGTGGTGCATGAGAGAAGTGCGGCTAACCGTGATATTTGCGGTAATCGGAGAGGCCAAAGATGTCGCGAACACAGGGTGTCCCCGTAGGCATGCTGGGCGCACCAGGTCCCATCCCAACTCCCACTTCCCTTACCTGTCCGCGTCCATGGCGCGGAGCTCCCGCACCAGGTCCGCAATGCCCAGCAGCAAGACCCGTGGGTCGCTCGTGGGCTCCTCCACCTTGGGGCCGCTGCTCTCAGCCGGCGAGGCAGCGTTGTTCGCGGCAGCGGGGGCGGGAGCTGCGGATGGTGCGACGCCACTGGAGGACGGTTGGCGCGAGGCGGAGCGCGGGGTAGTGCGAGCGGGCTTTGCGGTCTTGGGGGAGGTGGGGCTGGCGGCGGCGGCAAGGCCAGCCAGCGAGGACTCCTCCCTGAGACCGCGGTCCCCGGGCAGGCCGAGCATCTCGAAATCCATCCTGAGGGGAGGAAAGGGCAGCGGTAATAAGGCGATTATGGACGCTGGGTATCGGTATGCCAGCATGTAGAACACGGTTTCGAGTGCCCACCCAAGGCCCTTTCCACGCTATCCCAACACGCACCCTTTCTCTTTCTTCGGCCCCTCCCTTCCGCAAAGCACAGCCCTACAGCCCACAGCACCAGCCCCCGTCCCCACTGCACCAACATCCCCATTGTTCTGCCCCAACCTGTGGTTTCCTATGCTCCGGTATGGTCTTTAGCCCCCCACTGCGCCGCCCCCAACTCACTGCTTCACATGGTGTCGCAGGTAGCGCAGCACCTCCGGGCCGCCCGCCTGAACCGGCTTCTGCGCCGCCCTCGCCGCGAACTCCTCCATCCTCAACCCCGGCGGGAACACCGCCTTCAGCAGCGCAGCCTGACTCAGCAGCACCCGGTGCGCCTGCTGCAGCGCAATCATGGTCTTCTGCACGCGGCCGGCAGCCAGGGTGTTGCCAGGCGCCAGGCGCAGCGGCGGCGGCGGCAGACTGGAGCCCTGCTCCGTGAACTCTCGGGCCAGGGCTTCAGCCGCCTTCGCCTTGCGCTCCGCTGCTGCTGCATGGGCTTCCGCAACCTCCATCCGGCTTTTCATGATGGCGGTCATCTCCTGCTGGCGGGCGAGCTCCTGGAAACAGGCGTAGGCCTCCGCCTGCACCTCCGCCACACGAGTAGCCCTGGGGAGGGAGAAAGGAGCAGGGGCAGGGCGGGAAGGGCAAGGCAGGGCTGAAGGGAGTACGAGGGGCGTGATGTGGAGGGTCTGAGGAGTTGGCGGGTCCCATCAACCTTAGCTGGCGGGTCTTTTGAGCGAGTACCGTAGCCTGGAAAGCGCCACATCCAAAGCGGCACTTCCCGCATCTGGAAACCCTGCCCAGCACACAAACCATCACCATTTTCGCCACCACCACACGACACACCATCCTACAGTCCCTTTCCGCACCCATCACACACGTTTGATGCCGCACTCACTTGGTGCTTTTGAGCAGCTGCTCCAGGTCCCCCTTGAAGCGCTCCTTCTCGGCGCGCAGCGTCTTCACCTGCTCCTTCAGCTTGGCCACTAGCGCAGTGGTCTCGGGGGTGCGATACATCTGGGTCAGACCCCTGTGAGATAGCGAGACCATGGTGGCAGGAAAAAGAAGCAAGGAGGATCATCCAGAGGATTCGGCACCGTTCTGTGACGGCTAAAAGACACAGGGCGTCTCCAAAAGCGTCGCAACAGCATCCCAGCTGTTTCTCCCTCCGCCCAGAGAGGATGGACGTCATGCTCCCGGCCAGGCAACACCCTCCTTTTTCCTTCGGCATGGCTACCCCCTTGCATGCCTACACTACCTTGCACGCGCCCCCTCAGCGCCAGGCTCCCTGCACCCCCACCCCCCGACGCCCTCACATGGTGGGGCTCAGCGCCTTTTCACGCGCATTCAGCAGCTCCTCCGCCTTCACCAGCGTGTTGCGAGCGCGGCCCAGGTCCTCCTCAAGCCGCTGCCGCTCAGTACGCAGCACTTTCTAAAGGGGGGAAAGGGAGGACAGGGAAGGAAGGAAGGGGGTAAGGAGTGGAGCGAAGTAGGGGGCGGACGGGACTGCGAGGAACGTAGATGCGTTGGAACGAAGGGATTTAGCCGAAGTGTGACATTAGAACCAGGAACCAAGTCATGAGGAGCCGATGATAGCGGCCAGTGCTGATGACGCGTGCCGCGCCCTCGGCGGCCCATCGCAAATATATTGATAGGCGGCCGTGCCCTTCTATGCGGTCCCTGTGAGCTAGCCCAGAGCATGGCCAATCCCCTGCATCAGCGCCATGACACGGCCATGGCCCCTCTTCCTCATCCTTCACCCAACATTACCCCGTCCGCAACCCAAAAAAAGTGTCATGCGCGCAGTTGCACCACGCGGCCATGACTCACATTTTGCTCCCTCAGCCCCGTGACAGTCCCACGCAGCTTCCGGATTTCGTCTTCCATGGATTCGCGCTCTTTTGAAGGTAGGGTGCGAAAGTCGGGCCGTTGAATGGGTGGCGGCAGCTCCACGCCAGGGAAGAGCCCTGGTGCACCTGCCGCTAACCCTTGCCCACCCAAGCCGTACATGGCTCGGGGAGAGGCTGACTGCTCGGCCCAAGCAGCCGTGGGTGGAGGCAGAGTTGTGCCAGCAGCTTGCCGGTTGCGGAACTGCGAAGCGGACTGGATGCGCCGAGTATTGCTGCAGGGTATTATATGCGAGCGAACATAGGGTCAATTACCGTCAGAATCAATTCTGACGCCCCCTTGCGCACCCAACAGGTGGTCCGGATGGCCTTCAACAACTATGCGGACAAAGTTTTCGCCATGCCAATTATAACGCCGCGTAACATAGAGAGCACTTTATAGTTCAAGGCTGCATACACACTGGACTGCGGGTAGAAACACCGTGGGACTTCAAAACGTTACGTCCGTAAAGGCCGTCCGCACAAACTTGAAGAGCCAGCCGTCGACCAAAAGCCTGAATCAAGGGTCCATGTAAAGTACTCACTTTGGTGCGCCATTGGCAAATGCTTGTGCTTTCACAAGTGGAACCGCGGCACGGTTGCTGGCGAGGGCGGAGAGCGGGCGCTGCACAGGCCTTCCAACCCGATTGCCAGGAACATATTCCTGTAGGTGTTATTTATTCGAAGGCGTGTAGTCCGGTGAGAGAAGGCACGCTCGAAGCAGTTTGATGCCCCTGGTCGGAGACAACCAGAAGCAAACAACAGCTGTGTACATGCTGACAAGGCCAGGGACGCACCTGCCGGCCGTCGTCGTAGTCGGCCATGCCTGGCTCGAAGGAACGGAACTAGGAGAGGCCTGCGACTCTCGGCGCCGGCCCCTCTTACTCCTGAGTCGCCAAGTTCCTAATAAAAAGTAGCTATATTATGATACCAAGCTTGCGCCAGGAAGCGCTGTGGCGCGGCTGCACCTGCGGCCCCTACAGGGCTTGCTCGATGCAAGGAGATGAGGCAAAAATGATGCTATAAGATATAATGCGATGATGTCTTTGTGGTGAAGCAGGCCTCCTTGCTACTTTGTAATAAGCAAATATAGGTTTGGACACCTAAGCGTTAAAGTCTTAGACAACGTCAGGAACGTCTATGAAACCCTTTGCCATAATGACACTGGCAAGGGTTTTCCCTATATTGTTGCACAGCAATGTTCGTTGCATCGAAGCAGCAGCGGTAACAGCGACGGAAGGGAAGAGCGCGTACGGCGAGTACGGCCTGGTTGCAGGCATTAGTCGGATGAAGATTCAGCAAAGTATACTTACATTATACGGTATAAGCGGTCTTCGTTGGAATGGATTACACTGTTGCCCGAGCGGCTGCTCAAGCAGCAAGGAGGTTCATAGGCGGTCCTTGTGCCGTGCTTCCTATAGGGTTATGCAGCGTAGGTGTACTTGCAATATACGGGAGGCACGTTTCATCCTTGACTAGTGTTCAGCAAGCACCGTCAGGTGCAACTGCTCCGGCATCATCAACGCCGGCGCCACTGCCGTACCCTAGCCAGGAATACAAGGAGCTTGTCATCCAAGCATTTGACAGCGTCAGCCGGTCGCCCGATGCAAACGCGGATCCACTGTCAGACCAGCTGGCGCGTCGCACCATCGTGCATGCACAGCTTGGTCGCGGCAGCCGCGTCATCGACATCGCTTCTGGTGCGTTCACGTTTCCTGGGAAGGGTCAGCGGCTCTGCGCACATCCTTGCAAACATCTCAACCCGCCTGCCTCACACCAACTGGCCCACGGGTCTGGATGCGCCCCACGTGCAACCCAGTCCCCACACAACACCCCTTCCCGCTCCTGCCAACACCAATCCCGCCCCTCCATCCTGCACGCTTGCCATCCAGGCGTGGGACTGCTCCTTATCCCCGCGGCCCGAGCGGTCGGTAACACCGGCTCTGTGCTAGGCCTTGACCTCTCGCCAGGAATGGTAGAACAGGTCAGTCCTACTGGTACGGCGCACCTGCCTCCGGACTCCCATGGTACGGCAGTTCAGCATCCTTTACCGATGCGGCACAGCACTTGCGAAGAAAAGGAAGAAACATCCTGGGGGCCTAGCCTTACGCATGCGTTACCGGTACACCCATTATGCTCAGGCGAAATACAGTCGGCGAAAATACCGTCGGCCATACCGTTGGCGAGAAAGCCCTCCAGCACATCTCCAACGACCTGGCTCCCCTCCTTCCAACCAACCAGCGCACCAACCCACTCGCCTACCCTCCACACTCACCCCACTCCTCTGTTCCAACCCTCTCTCCCCTCCATCTCAGGCTCGTCGCAACATCCAAGCCTCCCGCCTGCGCAACGCCGAGGTACGGCAGGCGGATGTGGAGACGCTGGAGCTGCCACGTGCCTCGTACGACGTGGCGCTCTGCTCGGCCTCCCTGCCGTACATGTCGGATCCGGGGCGGGCTCTGGAGCGGTGGCGCGGCTGGCTGCGGCCCAGCGGCCGCCTGGTGCTCAACTGCTTCCAAGTGGGTGGGAACTGCATGGAAGGGGGGAAGGAAAGGGGGCGGGAGTGGGGCTGGGAGGATGGAGGGACGGGGGGCGGGATGAATGCAGGGTTGGTGCGAAAGCTGGAAAGGCAAGCAAAACGCCACTGTATCATACGAGGCATGCGTTTGTACAATTAAGAGAGTCAGCCAAGCAGACAAATAAGGTCCCACTCTTAGTTTCCCTTCCACGCCCCTCACCCCGTTGTCGCTGTGTAATCCGCCGTACACACGTGCAGAGCCCCTTTGACCCGGAGGCGGCGCTGTTCTACCAGCTGGCCGCCCGTCACGGCCTGGGGGACATGCTGAGGGACCCGCTGGCGTGTGTGGGGTCGCGAGGCAGGCTGCAGGAGCTGCTGGAGGGGGCGGGCTACCGGCGCGTGCAGGTGCGGTGCGGTGTGGACGAAACTGGCGGCGAGTCGGAACGTGCGATGCGGTGTGTTGATTGTGGGTTAGGGGGTGGAACGGGCAGTCGTACTGGAACGGGCGTGGATGTGTCGTTTCACGAGGTGGAGTTATGCCTGCTGGGAACCCTGGGTGATTGCGAGAGGGTGTGGGTGCGTGCGGCCGTGTTCAACCGGGCCCGTGGAGCGTGGACCTGACAGGTAGGTGGATAGATGGATGGGGGTGTGGGCGTCCGCCAGTCCGCTTACCCTGTGCTGCACACGCACCGTACGGCACCACCACCATGACGTTTGGGTTGCATCCGAGTGCCACTCCCCAGCTGCTGCTGTTCCACGCCCTGCCTGGCTGCCCCTCCTCACCTCACCTCGGTCACGCCCCCCCTGCAGGTGACGGAGGAGCGGGTGGACATGTTGGCCCCCGCCGCCAGCGCGCGGGCCTACGCGGAGGCCATGTGGGAGAGCTCCTGCTCCTCCCCTCACCATGACATCGCACGCCTGACCCGCTGCACAGCCAGCAGTACCGGCAATGCCGGCAGCAGCAGCAGCAGCAGCATTGCCGGGAGTGGTGGTGTAAATCCCGCCGGTGCCGCCGCCGGCGGGGTAACAGCTCCCGTGTCGTCCACGTCAGCTGCGCCGGCGCAACGGAGCCAGCAACGCGGGTCAAGTGCAGCAGTAGCAGCCGCAGCGGCAGCACGAGCGGGTCGGCAGCAGGCGGCAGGTGGAAGAGGCGAGCCGCCACCGCTTGGGCTCCGTCCGAGGACCAGTCCAAACCTGAGCTCCTCCGTACAATCGCCTGCAGCACGACAGGGGCAAGCAGCAGGAGCGGGGGCAGCAGCAGGTGGGACCGCTGGTCCCCCGGTGGAGTCAGCAGGGGGCATCAGCAGCAGCAGCAAGAGAGCGGTGGACCCGGAGGCTCTGGCGGCGTTCCGCGAGGCTTTCCTGGCGGCGGCTGAGCGGAGTGTGCAAGGTCGTCTGCGCAGTGGCGCAGTACGGACGAGCGTTACCGTACTGTACGGAGTTGCCCATGCCATTTAGGGCATGTTGTGCTAGGGAGTACATGTGCAAAGAGGAAGATGTGAGGGGCAGGAAGCATCAGTCCTGAGCCGTTGGCTTGAGAAGCATGTAACGAAGGTGGTCGCGTGATGCAAGGTACGCAAAGGGTCATGCACGGCCTCCTACATGCGGATCAGCCAAATTGCATGACAGCTCGCGCTGAGAGCGCTTAAGGAAATCGATTCGCGAGTTAAAACCGGTGACTGGGAATTCCGCACAGGCTCCGCATCCGCTATGGTTTACAAGCCTGCGTAGCAGCGGCATTCCGTTGGCATCGCCAACTTCGGAGACCAAGACCGATGTGTGGAAACCAAGACCAAGAACAACGTTGCCTCAAGCACCCTTAGGCCACATGACGCAAACCCTCCAAAAGCCATCTTGACCAACCAAGCACTAACCGAAGCCTGACTGTACCAAACTTCCAAGCAGCAAACCAGCAACACTGTACGACAGAAGCACACCCCATGCGCATCCTTGCTAAGATCAGCAAAAGCAAACATGTCAACCTGCGGAGGCCCGCTTCTTCCTCCCATACACCGTATCACTCCAAACCCGTCATTGCCACCCCATTACCCAAACGTCATTACGCCCAAAAAGACCAACTGCAAACAACCGAAAAAGCCACATCACACACCAGACGTTCTTCAACGTATCAGGACGAGTACGACACATCACGCAGCCGCCCGCTTGGCCTTCTTTAAGGGTCCGCCCTCCACTCCTTTCCCCTCCTGCCGCCGCTTCTGCTTCCCTTGCCCCTTGTCCTCGTCCGCAGCCGCCTTGTTCTCCTTCTCCGCTTTCCGCTTCTCGGGCTTGCCTGTGAGAAGGGAGAAGTTGGCACCGTGGGGGTTTCAACGGAAACGAGTTGACTGGTCGAAGGCTCAAGGGAAAGGCACATGAGGTGGAATGTCACAGAGCAGAAAGCGCAAGCATGGCGCGCAAGGATACGGGAATGATGCAGCGGCAGGGATGCGATCGACAACGCGGTAAAGGCCACACATCTTACGACAGGGGAGGGGTGAGCAGCAACAAAGGGTGTGCAACAAGTGGAAATGACAAGAGAGCATAAGTCAGTAGGAGGACAGTCCATGGCCCGCCGGCGGCATCAGGCTCCCCGGTGCCAGACAACAGCCCACAGGCCAGTGGTGGGTACCGCACCATGACCCATATCCCACTCCCTTTCCTCCCCAATAACAACACCGCCCCTGCCCTCCTCACCCTTTGCTTTCCCGGTTTTCCCCCCGTCGCCTCCGCCATTCGCCGCCGCCTGCCCTGCAGCTGTCTTCGCCTTCAGCGGCGGCTTTCGCCCCTCCTCCTCAGCCTTAACACCCTCCTTCTGCCCCTTCTGCTTTGCCTTCTTCTCTGCACTGCGTCCTGCCAATTGGCTGCTGCCGCTGCTCCGACGCTTCGTCTTATCGGCTCCTCGCCCCCCCTTAACCGCCGCTTTTACGCTCTTCTCCTCCTCACTCTCCTCCTCCTCCTCGTCGCCCTCGTCACTCGAGCCGTCGCTGTTCAGGTCGTCGTCCGTCTCCACTACGTCCACCTCCTCCTCCTCCTCATCCGACACGTCCTCCTCCTCAAAGTCCTCATCGTCGCCGTCGTCCTCACTGCTGTCCTTGCGACCGCCGCGGCCTTGCTTGGCAGCTGCCGGCGACTTGCTCTTGCCCTTCACCTCCGGCGCCTTCTTCTTCCCCTTGCCTCCTTCTTTGCTGCTGCCGTCGAGCTTGAGGCCCCGCTCCTGCAGCCTCCGGCGAGCCGCTTCAAACTCCTCGTCGGTGGGCTCCGAGATCGGCTGCATGTACATATACAGGGTGAGGGTTGGAAGGGTTGTCAAGAGGTGCGATTTGGACTTTGATACAGGGGTGGGTGACCATACCAAACCCTGCATGATTAATGCACCCAACACGCCACGATGACTCCACCCTAAATCCTAACGAAGACCCGCACCTGCGCCTCCTCCGCTGCCTTGCCGCCTTTACCCTTCCCCTTGCCCTTGTCCTTGCCGCCGCCGCCGCCGTACTTGGCCATCAGGGAGTCAAAGAAGCTGTCAGCGGCCGCGGCGCGCTGTTTGGATGAGGGGGGGTTTGAAAGAGGAACGAAGGACAGACGCCAACGTGAACACAAAACCAAAGGTGTTTGGGGCAGCGCAATTTATGGAGAACCCAACCATGGACTGCCCAGGCATGCCATGCGAAAACCATGCCAAATTTACCCGGGAAACCTGGAAAGCAGGCAGGCCATAATAGCAACAAACATTTACGTTATAAGTACCACCCATGGACGCAACACCTTTTCACCTGGCGATCCCTCTCCCTAGTCCTCACCTTGCTGTGGATGGCGGCCACGAGGGCTCCGCTGGGCCCTCGTGCGGTTGCTGCTGCGGCGGCCTGGGCGCGTGAGGGCCGCGGGCGGGCCGCCACTTGCTTGGCCCAGGAGGTGAAGTGCTTGAAGCGGGGGACCTCGCCTGGGGGGGGAGAGGCGAGGAGGAGGAGGAGGAGCGGGGGACGAGATGAGCAGGGCGGGGTGTGCACTTGCCGTGAGTTGCACAAGTGGGTGCCAGCTTGTTATTTGCATGCGGCGGATGTTACATGGGTAACAAAAGTAAGGCGCCTGACTGCTATGATTCCAACGTTTACTTCTAGGACTTGTTGGGGCGAGGAGTTGGGGCGAGGAGTCAAAAAGTCCAGCCAGGAACAGGGTGCCAGCAGCGCAGCACCTACCCACCCAACAAGTCAGCCAGTAAACCCACCTGCCGCAATAGCCTCCTCCACCACCTCCATGAGGCGGTGCGAGTCCAGGTCGGGGTCGGAGCACATCAGGTGGTCAAACACCGTCTCCATGCGGCCCTTGAACTCCCGGTAGTAGCGCAGCAGGTCTGACCGCTCGTCGGCGCTGCCCTGGTAGCGAGCCTGCGAGGGGAACAGCGGTGGCCAGGGTTGTGAAATTGTGATGGAGGTCGGCAGCAAGAGCAGCCAGGCGGTAAGGTGTTGTTCATTGTAGAGGCGATAACTCTGATAAGAGGTTGGCAGCAAGAGCAGTGGGGCAGTGGCGGAAGCGAGTCGGGGAACAGTGGGGACATGGGGATGGGACATGTGCGTTGTGTTTCAGATGTAAGTAATGCGGGAAGAATGGGAACTCGGGACATATGTTTCGCGTACCGGTAACTTTGACCGGTACTGGTGCCGCTATCAGCTACATCGTTGGCAAAGATGTGTGTACGGCACCTCGCAGTACTCATGCGCAAGGACCCAGCCCCAGGGCGCACCGTGAACTCGTCAATGTCCTCCGTCTTGATGCCAAACATGGCTCGGAAGTAGTCCTTGAGGTCCTCGAAGCTCTTGCCAGCCAGGTCGTCGTCATCCGTGCTGCCAGTGTCGTCGTACACCTTGCGCCTGCAAGAGAGGTTGGAAGGGACAGTGTTCAGGTAGGATGGAGTTAAGGAAGGCAAGGTTGGTGAGGCAAGGCGGAGGAAAGCCAACTGAAGGAAAGGCGTTTCCAGGATAGCCGAGTCAGGGGTATTAATTGCGGGGCTGGGTACCGGTATGCCGAAGGAGGCCGGAGGCGACCGTGCCATACACCGAATAGGGGTCCGATACTACCACAATGGCACTCACTTTTCTTCATTGCCAAGCACCGCGTAGACCTTTTGTAACAATTGGAACTTTGCCTTTGCGTCCTGAAGTGGAAGTCCAAGTGAAAGTTGCTTGGCGGTTGATAAAACCTTTGTTGGAAGCGATGGCCCAGCAGTATCCTACCTCGTTGTTGGGATTTTTATCAGGGTGTAGCTGCAGCGCCCGCTGGCGGTAGGCCTTCTTTATCTCATCTTGGGATGCAGTCTTATCGACACCCAGAACCTACACACGTATAATGTATACAAAGTCAATTGAGCCTAGCACAAAGCTGGTTTCCATAATATTTTAGGAAGCTCACAGTCTAAACATTCGCACCTCGTAAAGGGATCCTGTCATCGTTCCCTGAGGCGCTAGAATCTCAAAACTAGCCAAGGTACTCAAAGCAAACTATTTGCCGTGTCCGAGCCTAAGCAATTGTGGAAAAAGGGGTTCCCGCGATCCCGCCATTTGAAAGTGCCGTACCTTATGCTGTTATGGATGTTACAAGGGAGTTTACCCTTCTATCGTGTTTCGTATGACTTGGAAAGCTGGAAACATTTCAATCGCTAAAATGCGTATATACTATAAAGGATGCCCATAGCATTTCCCTCGAGCATCCAGCGCAAGTGCCCATTCCAGCGTCCACGCCGTTCCCATGACTTCCCCTTACATCCCCCAACGCCGGTGGCATTCTCCTTTAGTTTACAGTCACTCTTTTCCTATCGCATTTAAGAGTGTGCTTCTGTAGGATGTTAATGAAGCTGGTTGGTGCCCATGACATGTTAGCCAATACTGGTCGTTGGCTGTATGGTCCAGCAGTGTTGTCGCGGAGGTCACCCGGGTGATAGGGGAAGATGCTTCAACCTTACAATTGCCAATCCTTCAAATCATTCAAGGATTCAGGCCCGAGCCCAAAGGCTTTGCTTCTGTTCTTCTCCGGTCGTAGGAACTTAGCTTCTAGCCTGTTCAGGTGCGGAACGCCAGGTTAACAGCTAGAGCAAAGGCATCAGAATCCTGTCCGCGTCAAGTCGTACGCCACACCCAAGCCGCAGTTCGTACAGCTGAGCGAAAGTAGGACCTTTACCTTGTTAACCTAAGCCCAACCGATTCTTCTGTCGACGCGCTTTCGCAGCAGCCACACTGCACGCGAAACAAACCACAATTCCCCTCTCGCATCCTCTTCCCCACTCAGAGCAATTTGTATAAAGGCACCAGGATACCAACATCCGCCATCCTTTGCGTCGTATCAATTGCAAGTAACGGACCGCTTGGGGGGCCTCCCGTCGGCCAGCGTGCGACACAACCTCACCACGAGAAGCCGCTTCCTGTTCACTCAGCGAGCCGCTGTACATTGTAGTCTCGAGCCCGGTTCACCTCCCACGCATGGGCCGCGAAACATTAATGAAGCCGTACTAGCAGCTTCAAAAAGAACTTTACTGGAATAACGTGCAGCGACGCTACCAACGTGAAGCGCTGACAAACACTGGCAAAGGCATTCAAGGAATTGGGGCACGTTCAATAGCTGTCCACCCACAATCCGTACGGTATGTCCACCCACAAGCCTCGTCCCTACGGGAAATAGACGGACATAGTTAAGCCAAAAGAATCAAGTAAATAGCCGGGGGTTGAATAAACACTATCACGACACATGTATCCCGCAATCCACTGGAACAGGACGGAGGTGCCTCACGTTGTTTCCTCCGGACCACGTTGGGTTCGTTGGCCTGTTGGGCAAACCGCCTCTACTTCAACTTATCCATGTCACCCAACCGATCGACCAAACTTTAAGTCGATTCTTGAATTAAAATATCCTTATGAAGACAGGACCCCACCAAACCATCAGCACCCCACCTTCCACCCCCCTTAGCGCCCAAGGGAACTACGGACACTCATAACTACCAATACCAATCAGGGCCGGCTTTCTAGCTGGACATATGGAACGCAACGCAACCAGTGCTTATAGCGTTTGGCTACCTTGAGCACCAATAATTTTCCAAACACTCTTGCTCACAGCTACCAGTCCCTTTCCTGCTGCAGCTCCTGCAGATGCCTGGTCTGCAAGTAATCAAAGATAGCCTGGCGCTCTGCCAAGACATCGGAGTGAGTAGACATGAACAACGACGAGGACGCGCGCCCGGACGTCGTCCTGCCCAAATGCAAGTCCTGCAGCCGACCCGCTGCTGCCGTACCTTCGGGGCTCGTACCGACAGCAGGAGTAGCAACAAACTCTTCCGTCTGCACGCCTGGCATAGTACCACGGCTGCCTGTGTCAAGCAGAAGATCTCCAGGCGTCGATTGCTGGTGGCTTCCCTGCTGTTGACGCTGTTGCTGCTGCGGTTGCTGCTGCTGCTGCTGCTGTCGCTGCCCTTCCTGAGGAAGATACCTGGCTGCTCCAGCCTCTGCCCCTGCAGCAGCACCACCCCCTGGGCCCCTCCCCGCACCAACAGTGTGCGTCCCGAACAGTGCCGCCACTCCCGGCATGTACATCCCAGCAGGCTCGGTTTCATAGTCCTCAAAGCCGCGGGTCACAAGCAGCGCCCGCCGGCCACCTGGAGCCCCTGCTGCCGCAGCGCCGGCCCCGCGCGACATAACCAGCAGCGATGCCGAATCCAAGCCCTCAATGCCACTTTCTGGGAGCTCCTGTAGCACCATGTGCCGCACCTGCAGCATGTCCGTTGAGTCCATACCTGGACCCCCCGCTTGCACATGCAAGCCCGCCAAGCCCGGCCCAAGCTCGTTCACCTGGAGCACCGTCATCGGGGCTCCCCCCTGACCGAAGGCAGCCCGCCGGTGCAGCTCCTCCTCGTCGTACAGTCCTTGCATGCCGTCCGGGAATGGACGCGACCCACGGGTCAGTGGCTGCGCCTGTGGTGTCATGGACGAGGTTACACCCCGAGCGACGTTGCGGCAAGCACCGGCAAGCCGCCCCGCCGGGCCGTTGCCTGCAGCACATGCAGCTGCCGTCTCTCCCATATTGATACAGAGCCCCTCCGAGGTACCCAAACTTCCACTGCGTTCGTCTTGTTGAGAAGCCATGGCGCTGCTCCCCGGGCCATGCCGCATGCCACCGGCGTAATCCGAAGCAGCCTGCCGTCGGCGACTGCCGCTCGGTCCGTAAGGCCCGCCCGCGCCGCCGACCGACCTCGCCGACCGACCCGATTGAAGCGAGTGAGCCGTACGCACTGAGCGCACAGACGTGGCGGGTGAGTGGTTGGCATCATGACGCGCACCCACATCCAGGCCACCGCTGGGTGTGCTGCTGGAATCGAGTAGCAGCGCGGTCCCAAGCAGTCTGGACGGCAGGCCGCTGCCAACGCCGTTGCGACTGCTGGCTCCCGAGTTTCGGGAGGAGCCGTGCCATGAGGTGTGCTCGTGCGGACCTCCGCAGCGCTGAGTGCTGCTGGCTTGGCTGCCGTTGCTGCCGCGACGAGCACGGGGCGCACGAATGGCCAGCGTGAGGGACAGCGACGCTCGTTGTTGCTGCTGCTGCAGCTGCTGTTGTTGCAGTGAGTATTGGTGTTGTTGCTGCAGCAGCAGCGACGACGGCGAGGCAGAAACAGGAAGCCGTTGTTCGGAGGCGCCAGCAGCGGTGCTGTCGGCCCTGCGGTGACCTGCTGAGGCAGCAACAGCAGTACCAGCAGCAGCAGCAGCACCCATGGCTGTTGGGCTGTTATTTGCCGCCGCCGCGGTGGTGGTACTGGTGCTTCCTTGGCCAGAAGCACATGCGTTGGCGCCGCTCAGGGCAGCAGCCAACGAGTCAAAACTCATGACGGCCATTAGCTGCTGCTGTTGTTGCTGCTCCACGGATGCCACCGACGTGGCCGAGGCCCCTGCAGACCTTCCAGCAGCAGTCGCGTCCGCTTCCTGCAGCTCACCACGCTCGCCTGCTCCAACCTCGGCTCCACCTCCCGCCTCCTCACCCACATCCCCAGCCGCTAGCGATAAACCCATAACACCCAGGGCGCGCCGCGCGTCGTCCACCAAGCCCTGCATGGTCGTTTCCTTAGCCCCCAGCTTGTCCTGCGAGCCCTCCGCCGTTCCGGGCTCCCGTCCAAGGCCCGATGACGAACCATCCTTGCACCCCTCACACGCATCCGAGCTCACAATGCTCGGCAGCAGCATCATGCCGGTGGGCAGCGCTGCCGCCAGCGCAGGGGCGGCGCTGGGGCCGGCACCATCGGCGGAGCAGGTGGCAGACGAGGAGCGCGCATGGATGCCTGCCAGCGCGAAGCTACTGCTGGGCGGCTCGGCGATGCTACGAGAGTTCGGCCCCGAAACCTTGAGCATGCTGCGGAGACTGAGGTCGTCGCCCATGTACGGCATGGGGACGGCTGAGGCGGTGGCGAAGGGGCTGAGGGTGCCCCGCATGTCGGCGTGCAGAGGAGAGGGAGGAGGCGCCTGTTGAGAGCTAGTGGATGCACCGAGGGAGGGGGTGCTTGAGCCGTAGGCGCCTTGTGGGTTCCAGTATGGAAGCGCCGTGTAAGCCTGCAGGTGGGGCAGGTTGGTGACAAGGTCAAACCACAGGACGCCAGATTCAAAACATGACTCAAAGCCGCAACAGAAAGTCCAAACCTCAGCCCAAGCCACACACGACACCATGAACGTAAAGAGGACACGCAAATACCGAGGACCGCGTAGTAACGGCGCCATGTTACACATGCAAAAAAGGAAGGACCATGTATCGCCCTGGAAAGGCAATGCGTCCGCCGTGTCCTCAGCTCCCCACTCACCCTGGCAGCTCCGGGAGGTAGAGACAGCGGTGGCGGCGGCCCGGGGTGGCCCATGAGCTCCCCAATCCTCACATACGGCGACGCCAAACGCCGGTTTGCACCGCCTCCCACCGCGGTCGCCGCCTCGGCCGCTGCCGGTGCAGCAGCCCCGGCGGCAGCAGCAGCGGCGTCCAAGCTCCTTCCCCCATCCACCGGCACCTGCTGCGGCGAGGTGGTGCCCTGGTGCGCTGCTGCTCCGGAGCGGTTCCGATGCGCACCTCCGGCGGCACCGCCAGCTGGCAGCGACTCCACCCATGCAGAGCTCCGGGTGTTGGTGGCGGCGGTGGTGTTGCTCCGGGTGACAGGGGTGGCGGTTCCGTCCTCCGGCACGGAGGCAAGAGGCAGCAGTCCGCTGCTAAAGTCACCCCGCTCGGAGGCGGATGCGCCGCCGACGTGGCGGCGACTGCCACTACCGTCTCCCTGGCTGCCGCTGATGCCGCCCATGCTCTGGTTGCTGTGACTGGGCTGAGCAGTGCTGGGGATGCTGTTGCCTTGCATGGATTCGTAAAAGATGGAGGCGCCTAGGATGGTGCTGGGCGTGCGGCCAGAGGAAAGGGAACTGGGGGCCGGTTGCCCTGGTGCTTGTCGGAGCGCGAATGACGGCCCGAAAGGTGCAATGGCGGCTGCGAATGCGCTTGCCATGACACCGTTCATTGAACTTCCTTCCTGCTAGGAGGGATAATAGCACATGGCGATACGGGAGATTCTCATTCATAACACTCACATCGTGCTTTTAAGGCTCCTAAGTAGGGTACTCGGTACTCCCAGATGCAGGAAGCAGTGAGAAGCAGGTAACCAAGGCGCTCCACTTCGCCATTCCCGACTGTGAACCCGCAGTATGGCTACGCCCTCCAACCGGTTGCCAAAACAACCCACCTGCGTGGCTCCGCTGGACATCCGCCCCAGCCTGTGTCCAGCATCCATGCGCACCTCCAGGAACCCACCCATGCCACTGGCCTGCGTGCCTGCACTGCTGCGGGCCCCGGCGCTGCTGCGGCCGCAGGGGCTGGTGCGCATGTTGCTGCTGCTGATGTTTTGATGCGTGGAGGACCGGCTCCAGGTGTTCATCATCCCATGCATCGCCGCGCCGCCGCCACCCTCGCCACCCGCAGCGGCAGCAGCAGCAGCAGCGGCGGCAGAAGTGAAAGCAGTGCCCTGCAAGCCAAATGTTGCACCCTGGCGTGCATGGCTGCTGCCACCCGCAAACGCTGGCGCCGCAAAGCCACCAGCTTCGCTGGCGATGCCGGCAGCTGCAGCGCCACCGGGCCCGTCTGCCGCCGCCGCCTGCCACCGTCCGCCCGCAGCACCCGGGTAACCGCCGGCAGCCGCTGCTGCTGCGGCGGCGGCGGCGGCAGCAGCTGCCGCTGTTCCAGAGACACCGTGGGACCCGTCCATGAGGGAGGGCTGCTCACACGGGGCGGTGCCGGACTGCATCGCAACACTGGACCCGCTGGTGTATGCGGGCGTGATGGCGGGCTCGGCAATGTCGAAGGACATGTGCGTGCTGAGCGTGGGTCCGGGGACGTGATTACCTGGCGGACTGCTGCCGCTAGGGCCGATGTTCATACGCTGGTTGGGCAGAGGTGACAACCCAACTGGCGAGTATCCCACGGCACCGGTGTGTCCGCGAGCGTGGTGGGCGTTGGCGTTAATGGCGACGGAGGCGGACACCTGAGTGGACGTTGGCCCTGCCGTACGCCACGAGCGGCCGCCGGCGGCAGCAGCAGCAGCGGCGGCAGCAGCCGCTTGCTGCTGCAGCAGCACCGCAGTCGTATCGCCGCTATCGTTAATACGAAGGTAGGTGTCCCGAGCGGCGAGTTGTGGTTGCTGTACAACAGCGGGAGCTGCAGTGCCGCTGGTGGCAGTTGGAGGGGAGGTAGGTCCCGTCGCTGGGGCTGCGGCAGCGGCCTTGCTGCTTACATAGGCTTCACGCCAGCTGCGGAGTGTGGCTGCAATGTCGGAGAAGCGCGGACGGACCCGTGGTTCGGTGGACCAGCACTGCTGCACCAGCTCCCAGAGCTCTAGGGGGCAGCCGCGGGGGCGGTCTAGACGGTAGCCGGATCGCAGCGCGGGCAAGATCTGCGGTCGGTATGACGGGGATTGCATCTAATACCAGTAACAACAGCCATCACTGGCGAAGGACCTGAAGGAACTGCGGTATTCCGCCGCCACTAGACGGCACTAGGATGCAGCATCAGCCAGCCAAGAACCGACGCGACAGGCTCTGCCGGAGCAACGGCTCCAAGGCCCTTAGCATGTTCGCAGCTGTCAGTTGGTGTCAGGACGGCAACCACTATATGGGCCCCTACAAGCGACCCGGGACGTCGCTACCCGACCCCAGGCTCCCCCATGCGCCCCTCCCAGCTGCACCCACCTGGCGGTTGCTGAGGGATGCGTAGGGCTCAGCTCCGTTGGCGAAGATCTGCACATGGCGGACACCATCCATTCAAACACGATACGCGCGGCTTACGATAATAGCGAGACGGAAGCTCCGAAAATGCTGTGGCTGACACAGCGTCAAAATGCCGCCGTCAGCGGGGCACACGCCAGCATGGCAAGCTGCTGCAACGTACCTCCCAGCACGTCACTCCGAAGCTCCACACGTCACCCGCCTCGCTGGGTGGCGCGCCGGCTAGGACCTCCGGAGCTGCCCAGCGCGCCTGGCGAACGTTGGCAGGGTGCCGGGGTGGTTTGGGGTAAAGGGGGTAACGGTTGCGGGGGCAGGACATGCGGAGACACTGACCGGAGCAGCATAGTGATAAAAACGTGGCTATGGGGTCTTTGCAGGCCTTCCTGCTCAGTTCTCACCGGAACAACGCTAACAAAAGGGCCCGCGGAGCTCTGCTGTTGCGCGCCACCTGTTGCCACCACCCCAGCTGCTGAGGTGGACGCCACGGGGGCTCCATCCGGCGGTGGCGGCGGTGCTGCACCTCCGCTCGGCGCCAAAGCCGCCACCGCAGCCTCAGCCTCAGCGGGCAGCACTGGCCGTGCAAGCCCAAAATCTGCCGCGAGGAAGACACAACGCATCAAGTGACTGACCAGCTCAACACAAGGGACGGATACTTGAACACCGTGGGCGCTTCCACGACCGTATGCAGCGCAGGAACCCTAGTTAGCAAACCCCGTCATGACCGTACTACAGCCTTCCTGCCGTCACCGGTGGCACACGCACCTGCCAGCTTGACGTGCGGCGGCTCCAGGCTCTTGACCAGCAGGTTCCTGGCCGCCAAGTCGCCGTGCACCAGCCCCTCGTGGGATAGCTCCAGACATGCAGACACAACCTAACGGGGGTTATGGCGCGTTCGAAAGGCGACTTAGGACAGGTGTAAGTACGCTTCTGTAACCACAACTGCGGGTAACGGGTAACTTATACGGTATATGATGGACGTGATGAACATGGTAGGCATGGGCACGAGGGCTGGACAGCGGCAACCACCATAAACCGAGGCAGCCTTGCCTGCTCCACAATGGTCATCTTGGTTTGCGTCAGCAGCTGCCGGCCGATGGATCTCAGTACGGCATCCAACGAGCCCAGCTGCAGCAACTCCATAACCAGGTACTCGTTGCCTGCACTGTCGGCACTCCATCTGGGTCGGCAGTCGAGTCGAGGAGGGCGCAGATGGAGCGCAGGAGAAAGACACAGGCGAACAGGAGAACGGTTAAGGGGCGTGCGGGAGTATGGAAGAAGGGCCGTGCATGTGCGGCCTTGGTGCACGGAGGCACAGCAGCAAGCACCAGGCGTGCGACAGGGGAGGTGCAGTTAGACACAAAGTTTGAAAGGAGGACAGCAGGAACGCACACGCACCTGTACAGCTGCACCAGGTTGGGATGTGTGGAGAGGCGCTGCAGCAGGCGAGCCTCCGCCACCAGCCCGCCGCGCCGCATGGCCACCACCGCCACATGGGTGTTGTTCCATGAGCCCCGGTACACCGTTTTGAAGCTGCCCTTGCCGATAACCTGCATGGGGTAGGCGCAGGGGCCCGTGTGGGATACGGACGACGGCAACTGCTGAGGTAGGCCGCCTGAAGGTACCGGTAGGCTCCTGGGCGCGCTGCTTCTTCCATAGCATCAACGCGTACAGCTCTCCCACCTGTGCCGCTGGTGGGAGAGCTGTACGCACTAATGTACGGCTGCGGAACAAGCCAGAATGTGGGGTTGTAGGGCATATGTCCTGGCTTGTTTCTCAACCGTATTATAAGTTCCAGCGGTACAGGTGGGAACGGAGCACAGCTCAACCTGACTGCACAAGCCAGGGATGCGCTGTCGGCCCCGATTACCTTATGCAAAGTGATTTCCTTAAAGGGAATCCTGATCTTCGGGTCCAGTTCTTCCCCGCCGCGCCATGCTGCAGACTGCGGAGAGGTCGTGACCTGCTGCTGCTCATGGCGAAGTCCTGTGGCAGCTAGGAGCGCCAGTTCTGGTGCAGTGTCATCTCGTCTGGTGCGACCGTCAGATTCTAACGCGTGCTGTGGACGTGTCGGGGTAGCTAGCGCCTCGGACCCCGTCGTGTGAAAGCATGACACATCGCCCGGAGCAGCTGACGAAGCGGCACGGCCGCCCCCGAGTAAGCTGGGTGCGCCTGTTGAGCCAAACGCATCTGCCGGTGCGTCAGACGGCAAGACTGGCTCCAGGAGCGCGTTTGCGCCCTGGCCAGGCCCTGCAGACCCAAATCACAATAGGGATGCAGGGAATGGCGGCAATCTTATGTCCCAAACAAGCATAAACGCCTAGACTAACATATTGCTTATAGCTGGGCCTTATTTTCAGGGAAATGGTAGACTTGACCAATCACCATCACTATACCAATTTAAGGACACACAGTAAGCGCGTACCTCCTAGCGTGTTTGGGCCATTCTGCAACGACTGACGTTCAACTTCTCTCCATAGGCAGGTATGGAGCCCAAAGCAGCTGCATCGGCGTTAAACGTTAGCTTACGCATACAAGTCCGTGCAAGGAACGCGCGAAAGAAATGTTCTACCTGAAGAAGCAGGCGTTACAACCACGCCTACGCATATTATATATCCTTTATATTGCACATTAGAATAATAATCTCTCGACCAGTACCATCGGGTAGCCATCACTAGCTTCAGGTATCACATTGTGTGTTTGACGCTTCCGCCACATTCTTGCGCCAGAATAAAGCACAGTGCTTGCTCCTTGCCATCTCTGATTCTCTGTGCCGCCTCAGTTTTGGTTTCGAAGCGGCAGCTTGTGCCCTAGTACATGGCAGGTTGGCAGCACACGTGGGCAAAAGACAAATGTTTTTCTTCAGGTAAAAATGCCACTTCTACTTCTCACCGACACGGTGTTCTGCAGGACTCTCGCGCGAAGTTCCCATTTTCGCTTGTGGTCTTAGTAGTAACTGTAGGAGCTGCTAAGCATGAATTGAAAAGCAGCAGGGAAAAGGTCGGGGAGTGATTGTCAGGACGCAGAGATGAGGAGGCACCGGGTGCGAAAGGAGGCGACGCAAAATGCGAAGTGCGACCGTCTAGGAATGGAGGGGCAGACCCTCGTATTAACCTCCCACTCTCGGCCCCCCCATACTCTCGCATCCTTCCCCCCGCACACCCACCCCTCCCACACCTGCCCTACCCATCCCTCCCGTCCCCCACCCACCACCTACCTTTCCCACCCCTCCACACCTACCCTTTCACTTTTATATAATTTTTGCCCCCACCTACCCCTCCCTCCTACACCCGCCCCCACCTACCCCTTCCCTCCCACACCCGCCCCCACCTACCCCTTCCCTCCTACACCCGCCCCCACCTACCCCCTTCCCTCCCACACCCACACCCACCTACCCCCTTCCCTCCCACACCCGTCCCCACCTACCCCTTCCCCCCACACCCGCCCCCACCTACCCCTTCCCTCCCACACCTACCCTCCCACCCACACCCGCCCCCACCTATCCCTCCCTCCCACACCCGTCCCCACCTACCCCCTCCTTCCCACACCTACCCTCCCACCCACACCCGCCCCCACCTACCCCTTCCCTCCCACACCTACCCCTTCCCCCCACACCCGCCCCCACCTACCCCTTCCCTCCCACACCCGTCCCCACCTACCCCTTTCCTCCCACACCTACCCCTTCCCCCCACACCCGCCCCCACCTACCCCTTCCCTCCCACACCTACCCCTTCCCCCCACACCCGCCCCCACCTACCCCTTCCCTCCCACACCCGCCCCACCTACCCCTCCCTCCCACACCCGCCCCCACCTACCCCTTCCCTCCCACACCTACCCTTCCCCCCACACCCGCCCCCACCTACCCCTTCCCTCCCACACCCGTCCCCACCTACCCCCTCCTTCCCACACCTACCCTCCCACCCACACCCGCCCCCACCTACCCCTTCCCACCCACACCCGTCCCCACCTACCCCTTTCCTCCCACACCTACCCCTTCCCCCCACACCCGCCCCCACCTACCCCTTCCCTCCCACACCTACCCCTTCCCCCCACACCCGCCCCCACCTACCCCTTCCCTCCCACACCTACCCCTTCCCCCCACACCCGCCCCCACCTACCCCTTCCCTCCCACACCTACCCCTTCCCCCCACACCCGCCCCCACCTACCCCTTCCCTCCCACACCCGCCCCCACCTACCCCTTCCCTCCCACACCTACCCTTCCCCCCACACCCGCCCCACCTACCCCTCCCTCCCACACCCGTCCCCACCTACCCCCTCCCTCCCACACCCGCCCCCACCTACCCCTTCCCTCCCACACCTACCCTTCCCCCCACACCCGCCCCCACCTACCCCTTCCCTCCCACACCCGCCCCCACCTACCCCTTTCCTCCCACACCTATCCCTCCCTCCCACACCCGCCCCCACCTACCCCTTCCTTCCCACACCTACCCCTTCCCTCCCACACCTACCCCTTCCCTCCCACACCCGCCCCCACCTATCCCTCCCACCCACACCCGCCCCCACCTACCCCTTCCCTCCCCCACCTACCCCTTCCCTCCCACACCTACCCCTTCCCTCCCACACCCGTCCCACACCTATCCCTCCCACCCACACCCACTGCCACCTAACCCTCCCTTCTACACCCGCCCCCACCTACCCCTTCCCTCCCACACCCGCCCCCACCTACCCCTTCCCTCCCACACCTATCCCTCCCTCCCACACCCGTCCCCACCTACCCCTTCCCTCCCACACCTATCCCTCCCTCCCACACCCGTCCCCACCTACCCCTTCCTTCCCACACCCGTCCCCACCTACCCCTTTCCTCCCACACCTACCCCTTCCCCCCACACCCGCCCCCACCTACCCCTTCCCTCCCACACCCGCCCCCACCTACCCCTTCCCTCCCACACCTACCCTTCCCCCCACACCCGCCCCACCTACCCCCTCCCTCCCACACCCGCCCCCACCTACCCCTTCCCTCCCACACCCGTCCCCACCTACCCCCTCCCTCCCACACCCGCCCCCACCTACCCCTCCCTCCCACACCCGCCCCCACCTACCCCTTCCCTCCCACACCTATCCCTCCCACCCACACCCGCCCCCACCTACCCCTTCCCTCCCACACCTACCCTTCCCCCCACACCCGCCCCCACCTACCCCTTCCCTCCCACACCCGCCCCCACCTACCCCTTTCCTCCCACACCTATCCCTCCCTCCCACACCCGTCCCACACCTATCCCTCCCACCCACACCCACACCCACCTAACCCTCCCTTCTACACCCGCCCCCACCTACCCCTTCCCTCCCACACCCGCCCCACCTACCCCTCCCTCCTACACCCGCCCCCACCTACCCCTCCCTCCCATACCCGCCCCCACCTACCCCTTCCCTCCCACACCCGTCCCCACCACCCTTCCGCCCCCACTTACCTTTCCGACCCTCCGCCCCCTACCTTTCCCACCCCTCCACACCTACCCTTTCACTTTTATATAATTTTTGCCCCCACCTACCCCTTCCCTCCTACACCCGCCCCCACTTACCCCCTTCCCTCCCACACCCACACCCACCTACCCCCTTCCCTCCCACACCCGCCCCCACCTACCCCTTCCCCCCACACCCGCCCCCACCTACCCCTTCCCTCCCACACCTACCCTCCCACCCACACCCGCCCCCACCTACCCCTTCCCTCCCACACCCGCCCCCACCTACCCCTTCCCTCCCACACCTATCCCTCCCTCCCACACCCGTCCCCACCTACCCCTTCCTTCCCACACCTACCCTCCCACCCACACCCGCCCCCACCTACCCCTTTCCTCCCACACCTACCCCTTCCCCCCACACCCGCCCCCACCTACCCCTTCCCTCCCACACCCGCCCCCACCTACCCCTTCCCTCCCACACCTACCCTTCCCCCCACACCCGCCCCACCTACCCCCTCCCTCCCACACCCGTCCCCACCTACCCCCTCCCTCCCACACCCGCCCCCACCTACCCCTTCCCTCCCACACCTACCCTTCCCCCCACACCCGCCCCCACCTACCCCTTCCCTCCCACACCCGCCCCCACCTACCCCTTCCCTCCCACACCTACCCTTCCCCCCACACCCGCCCCACCTACCCCCTCCCTCCCACACCCGTCCCCACCTACCCCCTCCCTCCCACACCCGCCCCCACCTACCCCTTCCCTCCCACACCTACCCTTCCCCCCACACCCGCCCCCACCTACCCCTTCCCTCCCACACCCGCCCCCACCTACCCCTTTCCTCCCACACCTATCCCTCCCTCCCACACCCGCCCCCACCTATCCCTCCCTCCCACACCCACACCCACCTACCCCTTCCCTCCCACACCCGCCCCCACCTACCCCTCCCTCCCACACCCGCCCCCACCTACCCCTTCCCTCCCACACCTATCCCTCCCACCCACACCCGCCCCCACCTACCCCTTCCCTCCCCCACCTACCCCTTCCCTCCCACACCTACCCCTTCCCTCCCACACCCGTCCCACACCTATCCCTCCCACCCACACCCACACCCACCTAACCCTCCCTTCTACACCCGCCCCCACCTACCCCTTCCCTCCCACACCCGCCCCCACCTACCCCTTCCCTCCCACACCCACCTACCCCTCCCTCCTACACCCGCCCCCACCTACCCCTCCCTCCCATACCCGCCCCCACCTACCCCTTCCCTCCCACACCCGTCCCCACCACCCTTCCGCCCCCACTTACCTTTCCGACCCTCCGCCCCCTACCTTTCCCATCCTTCCTATCCCCTTCACATGTCTGCCTACGGCTATCCAACCCCTTCTTCCTTTTCTTGCTATATGTATTGGCCCCTTTACAGTATTGGCACAGGCTGCATTGAAGGGGCTAAAGCTGTTTGCATAAACTATTATAGGCTGCTGGTAAGACTGTCACCGTACAAACTGGCTGCCGCCAACACTGTCTCCGTACACTGTCTCGCTGGCTGCTGATGAGTCGGACCTTGCTGTAGCTGTAGCGGTAACTGTCGCTGTGTTTGCTGTAGCGGTGTGTGTAGAAAACTGTACTGTGCTGTGCTGTGTAGGCCCTACGAGGAGGAGGGAGACATCTGGCCTGACTGGGGCGGGTCGCTGAGGCGCATGTGGCCGACCCACCCCGTCCGCCCCCAAGCCGTGTTGTACATAAGGTGCTGGGCTGCGAGGTAGCTATCTGTGAGCTGCTGGGCGCTGCAGAGGGGGCTGCCTGCCCCTGCAGTTGGATACGCAATCAACCAATAACCATGCTCACAATACACAAGCCCACCGCAATTCTATGAAACCCCATGAGCCACCGCCAAAACACCATCCCCTCCGCAGCATTACCAGTGGCAGCACAACAGCATACAAGTCAGCAACGACATGCATGATATCGCCGTACTGAAGCTGCGCATCCACCGGCGACCCCCAAGCCGCCTCCAATGTCCCGTCTTCTCAGCAGTCTCTCCTGCAGCCCTACAGCTCCCCCACACATTGCTAGCTACCGCATGCTTCTGACACAAAACCCCCCCAACAGCTTCTCTTTCCTCTAAACTCAAGTCGTTGTAGCTGCGACTACCGGTAGTACCACAACAGTCAAGACCAAGGCAACCGACGTTATAATAACCCCAGCGTCTGTCAGCGCCATCATGTTGCCTAATGACAGCAGCAAACCTCACCGCAAATCCGTTGCAAAACCCTTCGCCAACATGAAGTAGCAACAATGTCCGCAACAGAGACGCCTTCAGCCAAACGCAAATGCCGTACACCCAACATCCGCGGCTCAGTTGAAACAGCATGCAGCACAGCAGCGACACACTACTAACCCGCTGAGCCACCTACCCCAAATCCATCGCCCACCAGACAACGCAGCTAGGCACAACACTGGCGCGCCCACTACCCAACGACCGCAAATCGCATGGAAGCGCTTACAACAGACCCCGAGCTTGCCCACGCATGTAGAGTGGCAACTGCACCATCAAGCCAATTCACTTGTGACCCGTGAAGGAGAACCGCTATGGCGGTTAGGCGGCGTCGGTGGGCTGGTGACGTAGGCGACGTCGGTCTTGAGGGGCCGTCGGCAGGGTGATGAAGGGTGGAGGTAGCGGAGGCGGGCTCGGCGTGGCGTTCAGTGAAGGTGGGTATGCCGTCCTGTCATCTGTCGTCACGCCAGGTCAACGAAAGCTGTGGTGGCGGCGGAGGGGCCTCGACCCATGGCATGCGAGGGGGAAGGGAGAAAGGGGAGAGAGGGGTGATGGTGAGAAGGAGGGGTAGAATGCGGTGGACATCAACAGAACACGGACAGCTGCAGGCGGTACGAGGCGCCAAAGACAATGAGTGCCAAAGCAACACAGGATAACCCAACCGCAGCCGCGCTCAACACTGGTACTGCCGTACTACGGCCGTACAATAAATGCAGCGGACGGGGAGTTGCGGACGGGGAGTTGCGGCGGCAACGGCATAACAGATGCCGTACACCCACGACGGCACACCGCGTGAGGCAAGCCCCCCAACTTACATGGAACAGCAATGAACCGAGACGGAGGGGGCGCAAGGAGAGGCCGTCAATGTCAAAGGGGGCGGAGAGGACGTTGTCGTTCCAATCCGTTCCGTAGACAGGGCGCCCGCCTAGCTGGCCATGCATCTGCAGGGGGCAGGATAAGGTCGTATGTCAGTCACAAAGCAGCGGCATCACACCCACATCATGTACTTGCAGCCCCAGAACTGGCATCACCCCTCAAGATAATCATTCCGCCAATGGGTGCCGACACCTATCGATTGTACACGACCTTTGCCGTGCGTGCATGTCCTATCTAGTCCTAGGTACGCAGCGCATGCTCCCATTCTCCCATCCAACCCCGAACCCTAGGTACCGCAAAGCCGCAACAATTCGAGCAGTGCGAAATCCCCACCATCCTGATAGCTCGAAAGGCGCGAACAGCCCACATGCGGATACAAGGGCAGCGACCAATGCGACTTACCTCCACAGGGCCCTTGGAACGCGGCAAACTCTATCATGCGGTTTGGGATTCATCTCCAGCTGTTAACTAATCCGCATATTTTGGTCTCCTTGGCTGGAGCCTGAAGCTGCGGTCTCCTTGGCTGGAACCGGAAGCTACGCACGACGCCATCGTACGTGCGTGCCAGGTGTCGCAAGCATGCGGGCGGGGAACATCATGATGTCATAAGCCTGTGGCACAGGGGGAAGGGCAATCCACGCACAGTCAGAGCGGTGTCCCTATTAAAAGGTTAAGGAAGGCTGTGCAGCTCATTTTGGGACAGCGCGCATGCGCCAGAGCCATTAGGAAGTCAATTGGCAGGTGCCCGACGCGCCGCTACAGTATTCGAGCTTCATATAAAATTTCTTATTATATCACGCAATAAGTGTAAGTTAAGAAAGCGTCATGATGGAGGCTTAAAACTGCGGGCGATGATTGTCGCCCAACCCGCCCTAACTATCTCTTGTACTCACTTACCAGTACTCCGTTTAGGAATGGCAATGGTTGCAAGCAGTCCTGTGGATTGTAAGGAAGTCGGTAAGTATGCTTCGTAGCGGCCAAAGCTCAGCGTCCCCAAACTTTGCAAAACGGCGGCAATTACCGCAGAAATAACCTTGCAAGAGCTTATAGGTAACTTACCTTCAAACGTAGCACTCGCTATACGTCGGAGTGTTGGAGACTATCACTTGTGACCTCCATATATAAGGATTGCCATGAACCGCAAGACGTTATAACCGCAAGAAGTATAACAAAACTTATTTAATGTACTAGGGATAATGCGTTAGAGCATGGCGGCGCGAGTTTTTATGGCCGGACTATTGTTGCCGTATCCCCGCCGGTAGCGCCGTGCGCCTAAAACCGGGAGGCCTAATGGAAGGTTACGGCAGCGGAATGACGACCAAAGCAAAATGTGTGTGTTGACGTTAGAGACAGTGAAGGGCACATAGTTTAGTTGAATACCCTGGCTAGCTAGGTAAATACTGCACCGATGGCGTCAATTGCCACATAACGAGGATGCGCACATGTCGGAAACAATACCCCAACTGTTCTGCTTATATGTGGACGGAGGCACGTTGTTGGTGAGCTGGGTAGTGTCACTGCCGGTGCGGACTTGTTGACCCCAAACGGCGCCATCTTAGCTGTAGATGACCTTACCACCAGTTACGCATAGGCTTTAGGAACGTTATATTCTTGTCGCCACCCAACACAATGCATGACAACACCAAGACTAGACTGGCAATTCCTTTGTGAGGCTTAAGTCGTCAGGACAGCAGCTAGCGCCCATGTCCATGGCAACATTCGCAGCAGGAACACAATGCAACTTAGGGAGGGACGAATACGCATTGCAACAGCGTTCACGCGCCGCCAACCCCACCAGTCCGCACAGCTACTGATCACCCCCACGCCCCCCTACACCGCCGCCAAGCGCCCTCCACGCGTCCTGTCATGCATGCCGCGCTGCCCTCATTCCCACGCCCACCACGCCTCCTTGCTGCTCCACGGACCGTGTTGTCCTTCCTCATCTGCTTCTGCAATGTGGAACCACCGCTGGTTGCTGCTGGTGCCGACCTACCGGCACAACCCGGTTGAATCCCCGTGTGTCCCCGAGGGGGTTGAACCCTCAAGCCGCCAAGCCTTCACAGGCAGCAGCCGCAGCTTGCAAGGGACAATCACCGACAGCCGCATCCGCCCACATGCGCACCACGTGCCCCCACCTGCACCTGGTCTCCGTGCCCAGGTCTCCAACCCAACACTGGCATCCCCCCCGCCCCGCTGCCCGGGCCACCCTCCAGCCGTGCTCCCTCCCTTACCCGGCAGCAGCCAACTTCAGTCGTGCACCGTTCCTGACACATGCTAGGGCGTGACGCTGGGTGGGTTAGACTAGGAGGAGGGGGAAGGAGCTGGGCTTGGAGGCGCGGGACATGGGGGCCGCATCGGGCCTTGCGGGCTGGGCGGCAAGGGGCTTGGAGGGACTGCATGCATGACGCCAGGAGACCGCGGGGAGGCAGCGTTCTGGACCTCGCAGGGTCCCTAGGAAACGCTGCCGATGACACTCAGCCTTGCAACGCGCCCACATCGGTGTAGGGTGTACGGCAGGTGGTGGAGGATCAGGGACGAGATAGCAGGTCAGGCACCCCTGTGAGCACACAGCAGCAGCAACAACAACAACAACAACATGACCTCCTTGTTTACAATCGGACGGTACGTGCGGGTAGGTGCGCAAAGCAACCGCAGCAGTGCCTCACGTGCGCGCCTTAGGGTACATGCCTCTCCTGAATTTAACGGTACGCCCCGAGGTGCATCAAGGATGGCGACGTATCCCGGTATTGTGCGCACCGGACAGGCCGGGTACCTCTCCTAAGGCTGCTGACGGCATGTCGCCGTCAGTTCAACAGGACAGGCTGCATTGCATGAGAAAGGACCAGAAGCCATGCTATTAGCTTTCAGTCGTCCAGGCTAGGTGCCGGAGAGTGTCATAAGGGCGTGATTAGGGACCTACATAAGAAGGAACGTGAAGGGTAACATTTTAGGATCGTTACTCGTGGGCTTTCAAAGTGCTCGCCACAGCCTATTCCAATATGATAACACGGATGAACCGTTAGGTTGCAAGGCATAAAAGCCTACACAGCCTGTGCAGATGCCGACGCAGGCCTCGTCGATACGAATAGCGGGCTGCGTCAGCAGAAGAGGAGCCGTCGTATCGGATAAATAGATGCCCGCCAATCCAGTCTTACACTTACTTGCAAAGTATGCTTTATAAGACAAGCGTACGTCTATAAGGTATTCATTAAAAGGCGACAACTCTACTGACCGGGACTCAATACACCGTTCGCCGGTATGGCGTATCCACTGCTCTTATGTGGTAGAAAGGCTGGTGCCGCGTTAGGCGGCATCTTGGCGTCGAATGTTGGCGCGGTTTGCGAGGCCTCGGCACGGCTACAGCAACTCCGCCACGCAAGCTCGCATTCCGAGAACACAAACAAGTTCCTTCGAGAGGTAGTTCCTTGCCTATGCAGTTCCACTGAGCGGCTTGACCAGCTAACTGAAACGCGTCAAGAATGCGGACTGCGTAACATCCTTGTAACCTTGTGGTGGTTGACTTGTCAAACGCCGCTTCCTTGCGCCGAACTTGCAGGCGTTGGATCGGCTGGATTATCCGGAAAAGCTTCAAAACTTGCTGTTGACACCCCGGAGAGAAATGAGCGTTGAGCTGGTGGTACAGGTGGGTGCGCGCCATGTGGGACCATGCCGAGCCACAATGTTACTGTACAGTCTAGGCAAGACGTACATGACAGCATATTGCATATTGCCTGAATTCCTAAAAGCACGCTATCCGTTCCTCTCCCGTCCAACAAGTCTTACCTTCTGCTCCCCCTCCTCGCCCTCCTCCGCCTTATCATCGTCGGTTAGTTGTTTCCTCTTCCTCCCCCTCCCCCCCTTTCCCCAGATGGACGACGGGCAGATCGAGGTGTTCAACGCCTACCGCGTGCAGCACAATAACGCGCGCGGCCCCTACAAGGGCGGCCTGCGCTACCATCCTCAGGTGGACCTGGACGACGTGCGCAGCCTGGCCAGCCTCATGACGTGGTAGAGGGGAGAGGGGGGCGGAGGAGAATATCCAATGTGGAGGGGGGGGGGAGGGGGACAAAGATAAGGAAACCGACGAGGCAACTATCGAGGGAGTGGGGCGAAGACGAGCCCAGAACGGGAAACCACAGGTTAGGGCACACCTGCCCTATCGCACGGTAGGTAAGTTGTTTCCTCTCGACCCTCCCACCCACCCCTGCCCCCCCCTGCCCCCCTCAGGAAGACCGCTGTGATGGACATTCCCTACGGCGGCGCCAAGGGCGGAGTGACGGTGGATCCGCGCAAGCTGAGTGAGCGCGAGCTGGAGAAGATGACACGCAAGCTGGTGGTGGTGGGTGCAGGGGGGTGATATAGCAGGGGGAGGGGGGAAAGAAGAATACCAATGGAGGGGCGGGGACTGGGACGGAAGCAAATGAAGTGAGTGAAGCACTGGGTTCCCAACCCAATAGCGTGATGAGGGCAACAAGAGCCACCCGGTGAGCCCACTCCAGGTATGCCCACTCCAGGAGCCCACTCCAGGAGCTTACCCAGGCACACAACTCGTGCTGGTGGGCTGGGGCGGGTCCCATGGTGGTGAAGCCCCCTCTTCCTACAGCTCGTCCGTTTCCTCTCCCCCCCGCTCCCCCCCTGTCAGGCCATCAAGGAGATCATCGGCACCTACGAGGACATCCCCGCGCCCGACATGAACACCGACGCCAAGGTGATGGCCTGGTTCTTCGACGAGTACTCCAAGTACAAGGGCTTCTCACCCGGGGTGGTGACGGGCAAGGTAGGAAGGGGGGCGAGGAGGCGGGAGGGGAGGGAAGTGATGGGGGAGGCGGGTGCAGGGGAGGGTTAGGGGAGTCGCGGTGTGTAGCGTAGCAGCACAGCCCCCCTTCCGCCATCCTGTCTTCCATGGTCATGACCAGTTGCAGCAGCAGTAGTGCAACCTTCCTAACCCCTTCCCCCCTGCCCCCTCCTCTGCTCCGCCCCCCTGCTCCCAGCCCGTGTACCTGCACGGCTCGCTGGGTCGCGAGGCGGCCACGGGGCGCGGAACCACCTTCGCCATCCGGGAGTTGCTCAAGGTGGGGGTGGGTGGGGGGGTGGAGGGTGCCGTGTGTTGCTCGCTGCACCTGGGGTGTCTCTGGTGTTGGTCCTGACGTCCTTTGTCTTCCTCTCATGGCCCTCTCCCCCCCCCTTCTCTCCCCTTCCTCCCCTCTCCAGGCGCTGCACATGGGCAAGCTGGCTGAGCAAAAGTACGTCATTCAGGTACGACATGGGGGGGGGGCGGGTGGCATGGGAGGGTGGTTGGGTCTTGGCTGGTTGTTGGTGGTTGCTGGAGGGGCCGTTTGCGTGCATCACCCTGCCAGCATGTTTGGTTGTCATCCCCCGTCCAGCGTCGACACATGGTATGCGCTCCATCTATAAACCCTTCTGCCCTTCTTCGTTCTCCCCTTCACGCACTCCTCTCACCCTCACCCCTGCCCCTCCCATTCCATTAACGTTTACCCAAACTCACGTAATGTTCCCCCCGTCATGTCTCTTCCCTGAACCCCCCCCCCCCCTCCCCTCCTCCTCCCCCTCCTCGCCTCCCCCCAAATTCGGCTCCATTCACTAGGGGCTTGTCGTCTTGTTTGACATCCTCATACGCCACATTGAGTATTCTTTATCCCCCCTTCCCCTCCACCTCCTCCCTTGCAGGGTTTCGGCAACGTGGGCGCCTGGGCCGCTCAGCTGCTGTGGGAGGCGGGCGGCAAGGTGGTGGCGGTCAGCGATGTGGCGGGGGCGGTGCAGAACGAGAACGTGAGGCGGGGGGGGGGGCAGGGGAGGAGGGAGGGGGGCCCAGGTGGTGGGATGATATGTTTCGGCTTACAGGCTTGTTGGCTACCAAGTCACTAGGACCAAACCCTGCTACCCGGTACTCGTTCCAGTCGTTTGCGTGTGTTTCATGGCACCCTGTCGCTTCCTATTCCCATTGTTCTGCCCCAACCTGTGTTTTTCTATGGTTCGGAATGGTGTTTGCCTCCTGGTGTCAGCCAACGCATGGTTCTTCTCCTCCCCCTCCCCGCTCCCTCCCCGCCCCCGCCCCCTCTCAGGGTCTTGACATCGGCGAGCTGCGGCGCCACGTGGCGGGCGGCCGGCCGCTGAGCGAGTTCCCCGGGGGCGGGGCGATTCGCAAGGAGGACATCCTGACGCACCCCTGCGACGTGCTCATACCGGCAGCCATCGGGGGGGTCATCGGGGCGGAGCAGGCGGCGCAGCTGCAGTGCAAGGTGGGAGGAAGTTAGGAGGGAGCGGAGGGAATGTACGGCGTACGGTAGTACGGTAGTAGTATGTCTTCATGTGTGGCGAGTTAGGGTGATGCGGAGGTGCGGGAGCGCAGTAATAGTAGTGGTGGTGGTGAACTGGTGATTAGTATTACCTCTTAAACCTACAATTGCCTGCCCTGCCCCAATGCTCCCCCCTGCCCCAACCCCCCCCCCCCCGCACCTGCAGGTGGTGGTTGAGGCGGCCAACGGTCCAACCACCCCCGAGGGAGATGCCGTACTGCGGGAGCGCGGCATCACCGTGCTGCCAGGTGGGTGTGTGACCCTTGACATGGAGTAGTAAGGAGGAGGAGGGCAACGAGGAAACAACTAACTGGGGTGGGGGTGATGGTGGGGGTGGGCTTGTGCTGCGCCTCGCCCTACCCTCTTCATAGCATGAGGCAGGGAGGGATAGAGGGACCGAGAGAGGGACGACATGAGGGATGCGTGGGGAATGAACAGGAGGAGAGGCTGGGAGTGCCGAGGGTGGCTTGCATGCGTGCATGCGAGCCAGCATGCTCGGGGAACTGTCTTCCTGCGTGCCCCCTCCACCTCGCAGTAGTAACCTTCCCTAACGCCTGCCCTCCGCTGCTGCCTCCTGCCCCTGAATCAGACATCTACACCAACGGCGGCGGTGTGACGGTGTCGTTTTTCGAGTGGGTGCAGAACCTGCAGAACTTCAAGTGGGAGGAGGAGGACGTGAACAGGTGGGGGGAGAGGAGGGGGGGCAGCGGCGTCGCAGGGGGTACCGGTATATACCAACTGAGCCGACGTGAGGTGGAGGAACACACACCCACCACGATCTAAGAAAGAAAGCCGGGGAGGGAGGAGAGGACAGGGAGCGGAAGAGCGAGTGATGTGTCGTATGTACAGGCGGGTAGACTGCGGGAGTTTGGGCCCAGATTTCCGCGGTCTAGCCGCCCGTATGTACGACGCATCACTCATTCAACCGCTCCCTCCCCCTCCGATACATAGGTAGAGTCACTTCCTCGGTACTCCCTCCAACCCTTGTGGCTTGGTATTCCGTTGCCCCTCCCCCTTGCACATGCCCCCCCTATCCCAATTCCTTTGCCCAAACTTGTGGCTTCCTGTGGTACGCTACGGTCTCTCCCCCACCCCTTCACGCCCCCCCCATCCCCGTCCCCCCCCCCCCCAAACAGGAAGCTGGACCGCAAGATGACGGACGCCTTCGCCGCGCTGTGGGCGGTGCACCGGGAGATGGCGGTGCCGCTGCGCACCGCCGCGTTCGTGGTGGCGTTGCAGCGGGTGACGCGCGCGGAGGTGCACCGGGGCTTCGATTGAGGGAGGGAGGGAGGCGGAAACAACAGAGGTCACAACTGACCGATTGAGGGAGGGGGCTCACAGGGGGCGGAGGTGCACCGCTTTGAGGGCTTCGGTTGAGGGAGGGGGTGGAGGTTCCAGATAGGGCCTTGAGGAGAGGAACAGGCGTTTGATGGCATGTGCTGGTGGCGGTGGGGTGCGGAAGATTCCCTGTGCATGGAGGAATGTCGTTGTATTGCGCAGACCGGATGGAGGGAGCTGGGAAGGACAGCGGAGGTAGGGTGGGTGGAAGGAAGATGAAGAGGTCTGTGGCGTTCTGCTCTCTTGGGCATGGCGGATGCTTGCACATTGTACATGTCATTGTACACTGTTGAGCATAACATCACCTTGCCGTACGAATGAAACTCGGTTCTAACGTTTTCAGGCGTGTACGTTGGTGTTGGCGGTGCGTTTACGGTACTTTGTGGGCCGAGACTGTCGTCAAAAGCAGCCTGTTGGCCGGAAGGTGGGCACCGGAGACAACCTTGCTGCTAGGGTTCTGGCTGGTTCTGATATTTCTGAACAGTGTTACTGAATGCAACAAAACACCAAATCGTCGATCGCTACTTCTGTCGAGAATTCAAATAGCAACCGCAATTAAGCCCCTGTCGCTTCTGATCTTCAGAGATACTGTTTCGACTCTGGTTGTGGTTTAGTGGGAGGGGGTTTTGCGGGGAGTGGTAGGCAAAGGTGTACATCTGCCGGGGGTAGACAACCTATCTACCCAGCGAGAAGGGTACAAGAATCCTCACAGTGGCCCCGGTGGCCGGGCCCACACTGCGGACAAGGCTTGAGTCACCAACCGTTACCGCTCAGCCAGCCGTGACGCACCCGCCAGCTGCGACCGCTCGACCAGTCGTGGCGCCACGGCTAGATGATCAGGCATGTGTAAACGAAAACGCATGGGCTTGTAACATAGAAACTTGATGATGGGCGGTCTCGGCCTCTAACGTGGTCTAATTTTTCATTTTGCCAACCGCTGTGCCTTGCCTTCACACGACCACGACAGCTGGTCGCCTTTGCTAGGAAGGAAGCTGGGCTCCTCAACAGACTCTGCCATGCCGAGGCGGGTTGCAGGACCGGGCACCTAGAGCGAGAAAGGCTATTACCACTATGTGTAGACTAAACTTCGAGGGAACCTAAGTTTCCTGGCGACATGGCAAGAAGGGCACATAACAAAGAAAAACATCTGAGCTGCGTAGTACGTTTCGTGCCATAAGTTTTACTTTTCTTCTTTTGTTTGTTAACGTCTTTTGTGCTCGCGATCCATGAGCCTTCTGGCTCGGACGGATCTTACGAGCTCGGTACGAAGCTTGTAACATACATACATACATGGCGCCCGACCTCGGAAGCTAAGCTAAGCTTGCTGCTTAGTCTCGCAAGGATATACCAGTTTACATTCAGCATAACGGTGCTAGGCGTTCAGGTCCGTTAGAGGTGACTCCAGGGCGGGCATTCGGCGGGACAAGCTGTTGGAACTTGGAAGTCAGGAAGTGCCTTAGCGAACAGCTTTAATGCCACTTTCACATTTTCATCTCCTTTGGCCAACTTGATCAAACGTTCGTTGGTATTCCTTTCGTTGTTGACGCGTTAAGCCCGAACCCGCCGGTCTTGGATGCCCACGCGTGTCGTCGCTTGCATCGCCATATCATAGCGACATCAGACCTCCGTTTGCCATAGGGCTGCTTAACTCTTGGCAGATTCCTATGTAGCTTGCTAAGATAGCGTCGTGGACCACTGATGCCCATCGTTCTGGCGCCGCTGACTCGGGCATAAGCAGGCCCGAAACGTTTTCCAACTGCGTGTACTGCTGTTCCTCACACTTCCGTCAGCACTTAACCAGGGGTCGCTGTCGGTCACGGCGCTCAGACTCAGCACGCAGAATGGCACCTGGGAACAAACACTTCCTCGACGCCGTCGCTAACTTGTTTGGCAGCGAGAAGGGCTCCGACTGCGTGATTCGCTTCTATCAGGAGGCAGACGTCTTGGCACGGCCGAAGAAGAAGCATAAGGCTAATAAGGCTGGTGCTGCTGACGCATTGGAGGGTGAAGTTTTCCTTGGAACCCCGCTTCCCGCACACCGGTTCGTCCTATGCTACAGCTCGGAGCGTTTCTCTGCACAGGTAAGTGGATACTCAGCTATTGTGCCATCCTGCTTTCTAGCCCACATCCTGTAAGCACGCCTTATCCTTTCTTTGTAGCTTATCCAGGCAGCCAGGCTGGCACAGCAACAGGCGTACGCTGCAGGCTGCCTACATAATATCTGACGCCCGCTGCTAACCGGCCCTTCCATGCAGTTAGAACGCTGGGATAACGGCGAGCAGGCCCCACCGGCGCCCTCCGCACGTCCCTCCACCTCCTCCACCACCCCCAGCAGCAGCCGCCCCGAGCTGCGCATCCCCCTGGCCAGCGAGGCGGAGGTGGACAGCGCGCGTGCGGCCATCCGCTTCGCCTACACGGGGGAGGTGCAGGCGGGCAGCGTGCGGGAGGTGCTGGAGGTGCGGCGCCAAGCGGCATACCTGCAAATCGAGGGCTGTGCGAAGGCATGCGATGAGGTCCTTTGCGCTATGATGGCCGCCGCTGCCACAGCGCAGCAGCCGAGTGACCGAAGGGGCAGTGGTGCGGCGGTGCAGGGTGATCCAGGCCAGCAGCAGGCGGCTGTTCTGGATGTTTACGCCTCTTCTTCGCTGTGGCCTGACGCCGGCTTTGAAACCGTCATCACGGCCGCCAAGCAGCAGCTTGTGTCCTATTTTGGCAGCACACTGCGGGTCCTCAACACGCCCCCCCTCCGTCAGCAGCTGCTGGCTCTGCCGGCGGTGGCGGTGGAGGCGCTGCTCGAGTCGGACAGCTTCGGCACCGACAGCGAGTCCAGCGTGCTGCTGATGCTGGCGGTGTGGATGCAGGCCAACCACGGCAAAACGGACGCAGCAGTGCGCGAGCGGCTGTGCCGGCGGGTGCGGCTGGTGCAGCTCAGCAAGCCCTACCTCAGCTTCGTGCTGCCGGCGCTAGCTGCGGATTACGAGGTATCGCCGGATACGCCCGCTGGCTGGTTTCCCATAACCATGCCTGAAGCCGCCTTCATAGCCCACTTTGCTGGCGCCTCTGACATCGACAGGAAGCGGCTGCTTGAGGAAGCAGAAAAGGTGTCCTCGACATACAACATCAGATCGGCGACCTACAGCACAGCACCCCGCGTGCAGTGCGTGCCCCGGGAAGGCCTCACGATGACTGGGTACCTTCCCCAGCGGGAGTTAGAGGAGAAGCTGGCAAGCCTGCAGCCGGGCGAGGCTGCGGGGTTCTTCTGGACTATGAAGCAGCCGGTCGTCAGTGCACAGGGCTTCGAGTGGCGTATATACACAAACTATTTGCACGGTGAATCGTCCGCTGGGCTTTACCTGCACTGCTACAAGCCCGAAGCTTACAGAACCCTGAACCCCCGCCGCTTCACTGCCAATGTGCCTATGCTGGTCAGCATATGCGGCCGACTTGCTGTGAACCGTTGGCGTAATGGCGCGAGGGCCGGATCATTTTCGCACATTTATAGCATGGGCGGCTTATTGGGCACGGGGCAAGCTTGGGGAAATACATCGGCAATGCCCCTCAAGCAGCTGGAGCGGGGTGCGGAAGCAGGTGACGGCGGCGGCGATGCCGCTGCAGGCGGTGATCGGGAGGCGGCGGGCGGTAACCAGCAGGTGCTGGCAGCCTGGGGGGAGTACCTGCACGAGGGCAAGATTACAGGCAGCCTGACGCTGCTGTCAACGGCTGGGGTGCGGTGATCGAAGGGGTCTTGTTTGGAGGTCTCATGCAGGGGATGTCCCGGACAACTTCCGTGGCATGCTGCTACTGGAATTGGAGCCGGGTGCTCGCTTGCAACCTGCTTCAGGTATAGGAGTACCGGTATAGGAGGACTTGCTCGTGTATGTGGCTCTGGCACGACCATGCTTATGGCTATGTTGTTATGAGATTGCACTTCACCCTGGTGTGTACGGAACATCTAGTAGAACCGTATGTGGAACTTAGGACTCACAGTAACAAGCCCAGATGCGAAGTATGGTACACTGTGCTCTACATGTTGCGGGGTAGGGGTCGGAAACGCTGTCAAGTAGGGCAGTAGGGAGTAGAGAGGCGATAGGAGGAGCCCCCGCCCCATCCTTTGCGAACGTACGAATCAAGGCTGGACTCTTTGCGGCTGCATTGTCAGGGTGGTGCTTGCTCACTTTGACATTCCGTGCCTGTAACCAGCCCCGCAGGTAGGGGCGGACAGCAGCCGGACAGCACTACCTGTGCAGCTGTGCGTGCGTAGGAGCCAATCGTTGGTGTGTGTGATATCATCATACTAAGGGTACGAGAGCGTAATGGCGGCACCGGTATTAGGGGACGGATAATGTCTTTAGCGGCTATCTCCTGCTGCATCTCTCGGCCACCTTACTTGCGGCAGGGGCCATCATCTCGATCCAATCGGCCTATGTTTACCGGCTCCATCGAAACAGCATCTCCCCCGGAAAGCGGATAATATCCGGGCTGCCATTCAGACACCATTTATCCACATAACAGTTGTGGTGCTCACGCCCGCACGCTGCCTTCGCTAGCGCTAGTGCTCCGGGAATCGCTGGGCACGGGTGATGACGACAAGTCGCTCCGCCAAAACGTCATATGGAGACGTATTGTTCATCAGCCAAAGCCAAGTGCTGTACGGCACAAGTACGACACGTAACGCAGTACATGGTATGTACGGCCGGCATCTTTCGACTCGCCCACGCATGACACCCTCCACTGCATCCCTCCCACCCCCCTCTCGGCCCCCGTGACACATCCACTGCTGAGAAACCTAGCACCATTACCTCCCCCTCAAAACGTCCCTCACTACCTCCTCCTCCTCCCCTCCTCCTGCGACCTCCCTACCAGCCACGCAGCTCCAACTGCACCTTCAGCAGCCCCCATCAAACCACCAATACACCTTGCAGAACCCCTTTCATCCTGCACGCATGCCGTAGCATCCTGCCGTAGCAAGCGGAAACAACAAAGCAGACACAGGCCGCTACATACCTAGCTAGCACTCTTGCTCGACCCATGGGACTGATGAACCCACTGCAACCCGAGTGGGATTGGACCCTCCCGCCACAAGTCCTGAGGCGCCGACTTCTACTCGTCGTCAGCCTGTGGGGAGGGGGAGTGTTGCGGATGTGGGGTCAGACAATGTGCGTGGGTTTGGGAGCTCAAACACGCGGCCATGGGCCCATGACACATGCGGTACGCGACTGGGTGCAACCAAGGCGACTGGTCGCACTTAACCGCCGGTACCCTACCTCGCGGAGCACGAACCAGACAAACCAGACAACACAAGCGTCAGTTTACCGGTAGTCACAACGAAGACCAACCCACTCGACCAAGTCCCATCCCTCACCGCACCTCGCTGATGTCAAGCCCGCAGACCCCACCCCCACCTTGTCCTCTCCCCCCAAGTATGCCAGTTAGTCAGCCTCTCCCCCTCCCTCCCTCCCCCCCACCTGTGCCTTCTGCGCGGGGTACTTAGCCGCCACCTCGGCCCAGGTGGTGCGGTCGTCCACCAGCGCCCGGATGACTCCCGCCACCTCGGACTGCGGCACGCGGATCTGGGTGGGCGAGGGGAGGGGAGAGGGTGAGGGGGTGACGAAGGGTTGGGGTGGAGGAGGTGAGGGGCGAGGAACGAGGAAAACGGGTGCGAAACACACAAGAGTCCGCCGGTTGGTGTGCATCACACCGGGCAGGGGAGCGGAGGATATGAGGCGTGGGAGAAGCCAACCCCACACACCGCTACCCAGGCCCCATGCATTCCCAGGCTGTTCCCACCTTCCCATGTGCCACCCATCCGCTGCCAACCCCTCTTAGATATGCAGCCCCACCCTGTTACCTCACCACCCTAACCAAACCCCAGCCCAACCTCCCCCGCCGTACCTGCGCCATGGAGTCGCGCTCCCGCAGGGTGACGGAGCCGTCTCCCTCAATGCTGCTGAAGTCCACGGTGATGGCGAAGGGGACGCCGATCTCGTCCGTGCGAGCGTAGCGCTTGCCAATGGTGTTGCCTGGGAGAGGTTGGGAGGTGAGGCAAAGTGGGGGAGTGAGGAGGAGGCGGTCGCATAACGCTCGTGACGGGAAGTACGGTAAGTGGCGGTTTTGATGTTTATATATGGTGGAAGAACGCACGCACGAGTGAAGGGAAGCACAGGGGGCGCATTGGCGGGTCGGTGCCGGTGCCCGTCCGGTTGGTGATACCGGTAATCCCGGCCACATAAACACGGTACCTGCCGTACACACTCGCGCCTCTCACTCCATCCTCCCCGCCCACGGTTTCGGCATACCGGCAAACCCCTTCCTTAATGACCACACATTTTCCTCCTCTCCTCCTCCTCCTCCTCCTCCGTTTCCTTGTTTTTATCCCCCCCTCCCCCCTCGCCCTCACCCGTCGTGTCAATCAGATTGGACAGCCCGGCCGCGGTGAGGTCGCGGCTGATGCGGGTGGCCAGCTCGTTGAGCGCGGGCTTCTGCACCAGCGGGAACACGGTGGCCTTGGTGGGGGCGACCACGGGGCGGAAACCCATCACGGCGCGGGTCTCGTCGCCCTGGGGGGGGAGAGGAAGGGGAAGAGGGAGGGAGGGGGGAATAGGTAAACTTGAGCCGCAGTGAGAGAGAGAGAGTGGAGGTAGGAGGGCAGTGAAAGAAAGAGTGGGTGGAGTTGGAAGGGCAGTGAGAACTGGCAACAAGAGGGGGTAGGAGAGTAGGTAGGTAGAGGTGTGGGTGGGAGGAAGCTGGGGATGGGTGGCCTCAGTCAGAATAGGCAGAGCTGGGGTAGGACATGGACGATGGTGGGAGGGAGGTACCGCCGTACCGCCTTCCCCTGTCCTCCATTTCCCACTACCTTAAACCCCCTCCATCGCCTACAAAAGCCCCCAGCAGCTCCCCCTCCCTCCCCCCAAATGGTTCTGTACGGTCTTTGTCCCTCCCCTCCCCTCCTCCTCCTCACCTCGCGGGTGTAGTACGAGTGCTCAAACATGCAGTACATGATGCGGCCGATGCCGAAGGAGGGCTCGATGACGCTGGGAGTGTAGGTCTTGCCGGTCACCTTCTCGGTAACCTGGCGGGCAGGGGGGAGGTAGGGGGGGAGGCGAGGACGGGGGGGCGAGGTGGGGTAATGCAGGCTGTAGCGGTGGTGGAGAGCAGGACACCCAGGACGTGGCCAGAGCGAGCTAAAGGAGCTACATAGCCGGACATGTCACATGAGACCAATGGGAGCTAGCCGGTTGCCCCAGCCAGCTTCACCTGCCCCACATGAGGTCCAGCCAGCCGGCCAGCTAGCTGTCAAAACAGCAGACGGATCCCGGCCAGCCAGCCAGCTCGCAACGCACCCCCCAAGCTGCAAAGATATGGGGCCAACCACCCGCCCGCCCACCGCCTTTTGTGTTTGGGCAACGTGCACTTCTCCTCCCTCCTCTTCAACCCCCCTCCCCCCCACCTTCTTGATCTCCACCATGCCCGGCTTGATCTCGAAGCTCTGTCCCTCGCAGGTGGTGAGCGTGTAGGCCTCGCCGGCATCCAGCTTGGCCTGGGGGTGAGGTGAGGTGAGGTGGGGTGAGGGGAAGCGTGAGGTGAGGGGTTAGGGGAAAGAGGTGCGGGTTGGGCGAACACAGCAGTATACACAGCCGCACGTTCCCACTCGCGGCCAGTTTTCTTAACACAGCCGCACACCACCCCACACAACTCACCCCCTCCCCCTCCAACCCACCTTGAGCTCCATCGCCGCCGTGTCGCTCAGCCCCTCGAGCGCCTCCTTGACCGCCTTCTGGTCCTTCTTGAACACCGCGCCCAGCTGCTTGTTGTTGGGCGCCACACGCACCACCTCCTCCATGCGCGGCTCGGGGAACTTCTCAAAGGCGGTCAGGTCGATCTTGGACATGCCGGAGTGGGCCTGGAGGGGAGGAGGGGGCGGGGTGAGGGGGTAAACAAACCAGGAAACTAACAAGCTGTACGACGAGGCTTCATTGCGGGGTGGGAAGGGGGTGAGGGGGGGGGTTAGGGTGGGTGGGAGCCTGCATGTGGGAGGAATATCGTGCACTCTGGCGGGGAGCGAGCGCATGATCGAAATGAGTGCGAAAAGTGCGAAAGGCCCACTGTGGGGACAATGGACGTGCCAGCCTACTCCCACTCCCCCCACCAAGGGGTAGGGCATGGTTTGCTTCTTCCTGTCCCCCGGGCAGGGCGGGATGGGTCGGCTACCCTGTTTTCACCCCATGGTGCAAGCCTACATGCCATGACAGCTCCTCATCAGTTTCCTCCTCCCCCTCCCCTCTCCCCCCCTCCACCCTCACACCACACTTTGGAATTTCTTTTTTCCCCCGCTCACCTTGAGGTCGTACGCCGACCGGTCCGCCAGCCCCACGCACTCGACCCAGCCGTACGTGGTCTCCACCTCGCCGTCCCAGCAGTCGGTGGCGTAGTGCGCCATCTCGTGCTGCAGGTGCTGCCGGAAGCGCATGCGGGCGGGGTTGACGCCAACCTGGGGAAGGGGGGGAAGGGGGGGGGAGGGGAGAGGGGGAGGGTCAAGAGGTATACCAAAACCACAGGTTAGAGCAAAGCAACGAGGATAGAGGAAAGCCGTTGGTCATGGAACAAATGGGGTGAAAAGAAGGATGCCCAATGCGTTCTGCGACAGTGGTAAACCAGGTGACAAGCCCTGGGGGAAACTTCGAGTCGAGCCAAACTAGTGACTGGTGAGGGGGGGGAGGGAGCTTAGGTGCCCCACTCCCCTACAGCCCAAACCCACCTTGCAGAAGAACAGCCAGGTGCGGCCGATGAAGTAGGCGAGCGTCTCGTTGGCAATGATGCCCCGCGACACCGCCTCCCTCAGCGACATGGGCGCCGCCTTCTTCTCCTCGCCCATCTGCAGCGCGCGCGAGTACAGCAGCGGCTGCAGGTCCGCGACGGACTCGAACTTGGGGTGCGACTTGTCGTCGCCGTTCACAAAGTGCTCGATCTCGGCCTGGGGGGGGGGGGAGGGGCAGGAGGCAAATTTAATGGTAAGTGCAGCAGGGGGCAGGGGGCGGGGGAGGAGGGGCGGGGCGGGAGGAAACCGTGAGTACGATGATGGACAGCAGTTTTGTCCCATGCGAGCGTTTGGGACTGGCTAACGTCACAACTTCGGCGTTGTTTGTCAACCCACATTCGCACCCCGCCACTTTAAACCCCTATCCAATCTGCACCTATCCCATCTATACCTATCCTGTCTACCCAATCCCCCCCCCCCGACACGCACCTGCGTGAACTCGCGCACGCGCAGCAGTCCTGCGCGCGGTGAGATCTCGTTGCGGTACGAGTTGCCGATCTGGGCGGCGGCGAAGGGCAGCTTGCCGCCGTTGTAGTACAGCAGGTCCCTGGGGGGCGGGAGGGGGAGGGAGGCGTGGGGCAGGAGTTTGCATGCGTGTCAAAACAGTTGCAGCATCTGGCTCCTCTCACTCTTCGGTCACAAAAGCTCATCTCCACGCCAATACCCATATCCCAACATTGACACTCCAGCACTGACCGCCCGCTACCAGCTGCTACCGTACCCATCTGAAGGTCCCCAGTTGCCAACCCCTCACCCCCCTCTATATACGTTCACTGCGTGTACCCCCACCCCATCTGTTGCTCCAAACTGTGATTTCCTACTGTTCGGTATGGTCTTTCGCTTCCCCCCCACCTGAAGTTGACAAAGATGCCCTGCGCCGTCTCGGGCCGCAGGTAGCCCACCATGTCGCCCTTGGGTCCGATGGAGGTCTTGAACATGAGGTTGAAGGGGAAGGGGGGAGACAGCTCGTTGCCGGTGCCGGGGGCGCGCACGTTGTACTCCTGGGGGGGGGGTGAGGGAGGGAGGGGGGAGGGGGGGAGGTTGGAGGGAGGTTGAAGAGAGGAGAGAGGCGTGAGGTGCGCGGGGAGTGGTTGGGTGGGTGGGTGGTGGCAGGAGTGGTTGGGTGGGTGGGTGGTGGCAGGAGTGGTTGGGTGGGTGGGTGGTGGCAGGAGTGGTTGGGTGGGTGGGTGGTGGCAGGAGTGGTTGGGTGGGTGGGTGGTGGCAGGAGTGGTTGGGTGGGTGGGTGGTGGCAGGAGTGGTTGGGTGGGTGGGTGGTGGCAGGAGTGGTTGGGTGGGTGGGTGGTGGCAGGAGTGGTTGGGTGGGTGGGTGGTGGCAGGAGTGGTTGGGTGGGTGGGTGGTGGCAGGAGTGGTTGGGTGGGTGGGTGGTGGCAGGAGTGGTTGGGTGGGTGGGTGGTGGCAGGAGTGGTTGGGTGGGTGGGTGGTGGCAGGAGTGGTTGGGTGGGTGGGTGGTGGCAGGAGTGGTTGGGTGGGTGGGTGGTGGCAGGAGTGGTTGGGTGGGTGGGTGGTGGCAGGAGTGGTTGGGTGGGTGGGTGGTGGCAGGAGTGGTTGGGTGGGTGGGTGGTGGCAGGAGTGGTTGGGTGGGTGGGTGGTGGCAGGAGTGGTTGGGTGGGTGGGTGGTGGCAGGAGTGGTTGGGTGGGTGGGTGGTGGCAGGAGTGGTTGGGTGGGTGGGTGGTGGCAGGAGTGGTTGGGTGGGTGGGTGGTGGCAGGAGTGGTTGGGTGGGTGGGTGGTGGCAGGAGTGGTTGGGTGGGTGGGTGGTGGCAGGAGTGGTTGGGTGGGTGGGTGGTGGCAGGAGTGGTTGGGTGGGTGGGTGGTGGCAGGAGTGGTTGGGTGGGTGGGTGGTGGCAGGAGTGGTTGGGTGGGTGGGTGGTGGCAGGAGTGGTTGGGTGGGTGGGTGGTGGCAGGAGTGGTTGGGTGGGTGGGTGGTGGCAGGAGTGGTTGGGTGGGTGGGTGGTGGCAGGAGTGGTTGGGTGGGTGGGTGGTGGCAGGAGTGGTTGGGTGGGTGGGTGGTGGCAGGAGTGGTTGGGTGGGTGGGTGGTGGCAGGAGTGGTTGGGTGGGTGGGTGGTGGCAGGAGTGGTTGGGTGGGTGGGTGGTGGCAGGAGTGGTTGGGTGGGTGGGTGGTGGCAGGAGGGGTTGGGTGGGTGGGTGGTGGCAGGAGGGGTTGGGTGGGTGGGTGGTGGCAGGAGGGGTTGGGTGGGTGGGTGGTGGCAGGAGTGGTTGGGTGGGTGGGTGGTGGCAGGAGGGGTTGGGTGGGTGGGTGGTGGCAGGAGGGGTTGGGTGGGTGGGTGGTGGCAGGAGTGGTTGGGTGGGTGGGTGGTGGCAGGAGTGGTTGGGTGGGTGGGTGGTGGCAGGAGTGGTTGGGTGGGTGGGTGGTGGCAGGAGTGGTTGGGTGGGTGGGTGGTGGCAGGAGTGGTTGGGTGGGTGGGTGGTGGCAGGAGGGGTTGGGTGGGTGGGTGGTGGCAGGAGGGGTTGGGTGGGTGGGTGGTGGCAGGAGGGGTTGGGTGGGTGGGTGGTGGCAGGAGTGGTTGGGTGGGTGGGTGGTGGCAGGAGGGGTTGGGTGGGTGGGTGGTGGCAGGAGGGGTTGGGTGGGTGGGTGGTGGCAGGAGTGGTTGGGTGGGTGGGTGGTGGCAGGAGTGGTTGGGTGGGTGGGTGGTGGCAGGAGGGGTTGGGTGGGTGGGTGGTGGCAGGAGTGGTTGGGTGGGTGGGTGGTGGCAGGAGTGGTTGGGTGGGTGGGTGGTGGCAGGAGGGGTTGGGTGGGTGGGTGGTGGCAGGAGGGGTTGGGTGGGTGGGTGGTGGCAGGAGGGGTTGGGTGGGTGGGTGGTGGCAGGAGTGGTTGGGTGGGTGGGTGGTGGCAGGAGGGGTTGGGTGGGTGGGTGGTGGCAGGAGGGGTTGGGTGGGTGGGTGGTGGCAGGAGGGGTTGGGTGGGTGGGTGGTGGCAGGAGTGGTTGGGTGGGTGGGTGGTGGCAGGAGGGGTTGGGTGGGTGGGTGGTGGCAGGAGTGGTTGGGTGGGTGGGTGGTGGCAGGAGGGGTTGGGTGGGTGGGTGGTGGCAGGAGGGGTGCGCGCTGTTGACTGTGTGGCGCCGTGTCCCTGATGCGCTTATAATCCTTCACCGTTCACCATTCTTCAAGTTGGGCTGCTGAAACTATTCATGGATGAGAACGAAGAAAAGCTACTATTATAGGTGCAGGCCTCATTCGCCGACCCACGGGTCACCCCCTCCCTCTCCGGAGGACCCTCGATTCATCGTCCACACCTTCCCGGCCTCCTTCTATGTACCACCGACCCATGGTAAGTATCACAATTTGGTAAGTGCTTTTTGTGTTTTCGGTTAAACTACTTCGGGTAGGGTGGGATGGACCGGCTACCATGTTTGCACCCCAAGGTGAAGCCTACATGTCATACAGCTCGTTAGCTGCCTCGTCAGTGTCTCAAAATATATTTTTTTACTCCCTCTCCTCCCTCCCTCCCTCCCCCCTCCTACCTTGAGCGCTGCCGCCATGGAGTCCTGCTTCAGCTCGCCCACTCCCGCCAGCAGCTCCCGGATCTCCTGTAGGTGGGTGCGGGGCGGAAGATGAACAGCCAATGTGTTGAGTGAATGGCAGAGGGGAGAGCAGGGGGAAGCAGAGGGGGAGGGCAGGCAGGAAGGCCCATTGGCTTGTGTCAGAACACGTGCAGGACTCAGGCTTGGGTGGTGGTGTCACTTGGGCGCATATCGTGGGTGCTCGCAGCCGACAAAGCCAGACATGGCTCCAGTAGCTTCTCCTCCCCTCGCCCCTCCCCCGTCCCCCCACCTTGGTCTTCTCGGGGCTGAGCGGGTTCTTCTTGTCCTCCAGGAGCGCCTCCAGGTGGCCCTGAGGGGGGGGGAGGCAGGGGGGAGCGGCAGGAGGGCTCAAACATAGGGGAGGCGAGCGAGTCAGGGGGAGCAGCAGGAGTGGTCGGAAGGTAGACCAAACCTCAGGAGGCCACAGGTTAGGGCCAAGCAATGAGGATAGGATGCGGCAGGATGGGGGGGCGAGTGAGGGCCGGGTAGCAGGAGAGGGAGGCGTGTGTGGTTTCTGCGGGCCAAAGCCGCGACACCAGGCAATGTTTTTCCCTCCTCCCCTCCCTCCCAGCCCCCCTCCCTCCCCCCGCTCCCCCGCCCCCTCACCTCCAGCAGGTGGTCAGCTCGGAAGCACTCGCCCGTCACCGCGTCCGTCACCATGAAGTCCGTGAAGCGGTCCACGTGGCCGGAAGCCTGAGCGGAAGGGGGGGGGTAAAGGGGGGTGGGGGGCACGGAGGTGTTGCAGCGGGGGGTTCAGCGAGAGGAAAAAGGGTGCCATGTGTTGGGTGGGCGCAGCAGCGGAAGTGTCGCGCAGCCGCCCCACCGCTCTCGGCCTCCCTCACACCCTTACTACGCGCCCCCGTCACGCCCCTCCCCCCGTCACGGCCCCCCACCCGCTCCCCACCTTGAGCACCACCTCGGGGGTGACTGCGGGGCACTCCACCTCCAGCATGTTCTCCTCCAGCACGAAGTGGTTGCGCCACACCTGGGGGGTGGGGGGGTAGGTTGGGTTGGGGTGAAGGAAGAGGGAACAACTAACTGCTCGTGTGTTACGGCGTCATCATGGCTTGCAACATGTGAGCCAGCCCGAACCGCCCAGCCCGAACCACCCAGCCCGAACTAGCCAAGCCAGTACGTGTAGGGAGGGTGGGAGGAGACAGCGGAGGAGGGGTGGTGAACGGCGGAGGCAGGGGACTAAGGCGGCGATATGGGTCGGACGGGAGAGGCAGCAATGGGTGAGGAGGCAAAGTCTTTAGTGAATGCAGAGCGGGTGTCCTTCGTCGACCACGCATTTCCCTTCTTCCCACCTTGGCTGGCTTTGCTTCCAAGATGAAACCCTTCCTACAAACCTTCCTATCCCCCCCCCACCCCCCCCCCACCCCCCCACCTGCGTCATGTTCTGCTTGATGGCGCAGCCCGGCGGGCCGTAGTCGTAGAAGCCCGCCACGGAGCCGTAGATCTTGAAGGAGGGGATGTAGAACATGCGCCGCTCCAACACACCCGCCTGGAGGGGGGCGGGATAATAATGATACATATGGATGGGAGGGAAGGAGGGTAGTTTGCATATGGTTAGTCGGAGGGAATGGGAGGGAAGGAAGGAGGGTATAGAGAGGTTAATCTCGAGTTGTTAGGGCTAGCAGTAGCCGTTGGAAAAGACTGGAGGACTGGGAATAAGGATGGATCGAAACGGGGTCGTGTTGATGCGAATTTAGATGGCGGTCCATGTCCGTGTCCATGCCAACACCTGCATCACACCTGGATTGCCACCCTTCATCTGCGGCACCCTCTTGCTAACCCGACCGCATGTCATGCGGGGGCCACTGCCCTGCACAGCGTGTATACGGTCCAAGCCCTCCAAGCCAGTTACGCGAGGCAACCCCCAGAGCTCTTCCTTCCTAGACCCAACAGCCCCTCATACGTCAGACTACGGGATACCACATCCGGGTCATCGGGGCCAACCCCCATCGCCCGGGCGGCGGACAGAGCCTGACACCGTCCCGGCGGGCAGTGCGACTGCTCACGAGTACTGACAGGGACACAGGAATACCGCCCTTCGCTTCTCTGCCCCATCCCCAAACCCTTTCACAAACCTTCCAAATGCCTTGGCCTTTCCCGGACCGCAAAACGAGATCTTCATTCCTTTCCACCTACCCCCACCTAACTGCCCAAGCACCCAACACCTATAGCCCATATCAGGTATCACACTCCCACCCCCCAACCACCCACCCACATCACCCACCAGGGCAGCACGCAGAGCCTCCTTGCTCTGGGTGGACACCTTGCCCGTCGCCTTCTCAAACTCCTGTAGGGGTAAAGGTGCGAGGTTGATTATGCTTTAGAAGGCATCAGGCTTAAGAAGGCGAACGTGACGCAATGTAGGGGCGCTGCCCGGCTGCTAAGGTAGGGGCCTGCTCCAGGCACGGCAATGCCCAACCGCTCTTGCCGGCGCTCGCGCTGATAAATAGTATGCTTTTCTGCCCCCCGTCCTACTGTGTCGGCTCATGCAAAGTTACACGAAGGAAGGAAACGGTCAAACACGGGCACACACTCCGATCTGCGCCCAGCATCCGGACATGGACACTGCCAGACTCGGTATGGCCCCTCACAGAAAGAACCCAAATGCATCGCCATATCCCTGTCTATAAAGATTGACCCAAGTACTGCTTAGTATACTTCGCTCCGCCCACCTTCTGCTTTGCCTCCAGGGTTATCTTAAGCTCGGCAAGCTTTTGGATAGCAGCATCGACCTCAGCCTGTAGTAGCACATATGCAAAAGGATGACTGCAGCAAAAGGGTTTCATCTTAGGACAGAAGTAACCTGCCTTCTCAGCCTTGCCATCCTTCAGGCTAGCCTTCAAGGAGCGGACGGTGTCGCCCTGCTTCGTAACGGCTTCCTGAGCCTCCTGGATTTCCTTCTCAATTTGCTCAGACATCTTCGCTCCGGTGCGTTGCACGCCGCCGCAAACTAGGCCCCGTCGCAGGCGGCCAGCTACAGGAGCTGCGAAGCGCAGACCTAAAAGAGTTCCGGCCTGGCGCAACAGTTTTGCGAAAGCTTGCAAAGCAGAATGCCGGCAAACCTAAAGCCTAAATATTGTACGGAAAAGGCGCGGATGGGCTTGCATGGCCCTTTTCCTTTCCCTTCGCTACCAGAGTGCATGTGCAAATTTGTAAAGAACACCTTTAAGATCCGCGCTAGGACTCGTTGCCGCCCGTTGGACTGTTGCTACTACCAACGACACGAAAAGCAACTGCCGCGCCTGGTTTTCGACCGAGTCTTAACGCGTTTTGTAAGCATGGAATAGGAGTTCGAAGAGCCTGTAAAGCAATTTAACTAGGTAGGAGTTCGGTCGACGTGTTGCTCACGAATCTTAAACGGCGGGAGCATGCGTAACGAAGAGTGGTGGTGGCAACCACCGCTGGAACTGCACGATGGCTCTAGAGGAGCACATCTCTTCGTTTGTCAGGTACGTTCTCAATATGGGTAGAGAGGACACCGCCGATGTCCGGAGGTGCTGAGTCAAATGAAGCGTCAGCTTGTATGCGTCGTGTCAGAAGCCAGCCTTTACGCGCGGGGCTGTGGCGCCTCTGCTGAGCGCGCCTCGACGGAAATGGAGCTTCGGCCTTCCAAAGTCCCGAGCTCCATTTTCGTCGGAACGCCCTTAGCGTAGGCACCGCAGCTCCGCGCGTAAAGGCTGGCTTATGACACAATGCGCTTGGAAAGGTACAGGGTGATGAAGAGGGCTCTGGGAACCGTAGCCTTTATGCTATGGTGTCCAGGTTCCTGGTCATGGCTATTATTGCACTTTTACCCACTTTTCCTGGCAAACTGCCTTCCACCCAAACTGCCTTGTCCCAATCTCCCCTATCGGTCCGCCGCCTCCCAAATTAACTCCCCTGGCCCACTCCAGCCCCTCTTCACTCCCGCCTCCCATCACCCACATCCCTCCCCGCCACTCCCCCTTTCCTGTCCCCCTCTGCCCCCCTTACTTGGGACTCCGTTGCTTTTCACTCTTCAGTTATTTGCCCCCCTTCCTAACTCCCCTTACCCCGCCAGCACGGGCTGTGGGGCAGTCCCTCCGACGTGGCCTGTCTGGAGCTCTATCTGCAACACAACGGCTGGCTTACCCTCAACGCGCGCAGCAACAGCGCGCGCTGCACGTTCGACGGAGCGGATGTAGGTGGTGTGAAGGGGAGGAGAGGGCGAGGCGGGGCGGGGTGCGATGAAGGGAGGCTAGGGGTTAAGCGAGCGAGAAGGGGGGATGAAGTTGAACGCAGCTGCAACAGGGCTGGCCGGCTGGTCGACACCACATGGTCTTCTTCATCTCCCCTCCCTCCCTCCGTCTTGTAGAACCCTGCCGCCTCATCCTCCAAAAACTTTGCCCATTGTGGTTTCATATGGTTTGGTCTAATTTGACCCCTTTCCCTCCCCCCCTCGCCAGGTGTGCGGCGACCGGCTGGCTGCCGAGGTGGTGGGTCACGTGCAGCGGCTGGCGGCTGGCGGGGTGCGGGTCACCCACATCAGCTTCGCAGCGTACTCGTGAGTGGGGGGGTTTGGGGTTAAAAAGGAAACTTACGAGATGTGTGACGAGGCTTCACCATGGGTTGCTACATTGGGGGGTTGGGGGCAATGTCGGGTAGCAGGAAATGGGTTGGGGTTGCAACCTGTTGGGGTTGCAACCTGTGGTGGCGAGCGGAGTTCCGTTTTGAGGGTTTTATTGCAGTCATGCGACGGGATGGAGGGAAGGAGGGAGGAGGCCTAGCGGGCCCAGAGTGGACCCGTTGGAGCTCCCCACACTCTCACTTTACGGCGGGCAGGTGCTGGCAGGGTGGCTTGGCCCCTCCTTCCTCTTCTGCGCTCCCCCTTACCCGTCATGTTTTATGTGACCTTACCTATGTTGATTGTGGCCTCATTGCAACAACCGCTGCCACCACCCTGCTTCTGTTGACTTGATTCTGCCTGGCATCGGAACTCCAGCCAACTCCTCTCCAACCAAGCCCCCGGCTCCACTCTTCTTCCCCGCCCCCTTACAGCGTATTAATTCTTCCTCCCTTTCCCCCGCCCTCCTCCCCCGCCCTCCCCCCTCTCCTCCTCCTCCTCCTCCTCCCCCCCCCCAGGTTCGGCGGGCTGATCGCACGCTACGCGGCCGGCAAGCTGCTGTCCTGCGGCTTCTTCCGGCGTGTGGCGCCCGTCAACTTCCTGACCATCGCCTCTCCGCACCTGGGCTGCTGGGAGCACCCCAGCAGCATGACACACCTGGTAGGGGGGGGCAGCGGGAGGGAGGGGGGGTGAAAGCAAGGAAATTGACGAGCTGTAGGACAAGGCACCATGGGTTGCTACATTGGACCCGGCTCGTCCCGACCAGACATTGCCGCTATGATGTTGTTGTTATGGTCCTTATGGAGTTTGGTGTAGTGTGGGGAAGGAGGGAGGGAGGGAGGGAGAAATGGCAGGGGCTATGAGTCGGAGGTAGGGCTGGTATGGGTGAATCGGAGACTATGGTTGAAAACGGAGGGGAATGGGAGGTGATGGTTTCCGCATCTGGGTCGGGGGTAAGACGTTAGGAAAGTAGGGTCGTAGGGCATTAGCGGGATCATAGCGGGGAAGCGCATCTTGTGGATGATGCGTCCCCCCTGCGCAGTACCCTACCTGGGCTGCCTGCCTCTTGGGTAGCAGGTAGCCGGGGGAAGGCAAGGAGTGCGCCAAGTAATCCCTGTGCTACTTTACTGCAAAGCAATGGGAGTTTGAGGCAACCCACTGGCTCCCAACCACCCGTGATGTTCCTCCTCCCTTCCTCCTTTTCCCTTCTCCCGTTCAGGCCTACAACAGCATCCTACCCTGGACGCTCAGGTATGGGCGTAGGGCGGTGCGTAGGGCGATCCTGAGGGCTTATTAGACCCCATACCCCTATACCCCGATGGCGTAGCGACTCTGCCAGGGCGTGTTGGTCACCTACTTCTCCTGCACACGTCTCTGCCACGCCACACCATTCGATCGTGGCCTGCGGTTGTTGCCATCTGTGTCTTACCCTCCCCTTCCAACAACTTTGTTTCTTGACAAACTGCTTCGCTCTATCCCAATTGTTTTGCCCTAATATGTGGTTCTGGTGTATCTTTGACTCCCCCACCTCCCCCACCCCCCTCCCCTCCGCCCCCCATGCACCAGCCGCACGGGCCGCCAGCTGCTGCTAGCCGACCGCTGGCTGCACCCCGAGGGGCTGCCGCTGCTGGCAGTCATGGCGCGACCCGACTGCGCCTTCCATGCAGCCCTCGCCGCTTTCGCCAAGCGGGTTCTGCTGGCAGACATACGCAACGACCGAACGGTGCCGTACACCACTGCCGCCATCACGGCAGTGAATCCGTACTTGCCGCATGTGCTGCCGTACAAGAGGTCGGCCGCGCCGGGTGCGGCGGCTGCGGCGGCTTTGAGGCGGTTTGGGAAACGTACGACAGCGTTGCCGTACGGTGAGAAGGAAGTGACGACAGCGGCGGCGACGGCGGCGGCAGCGTCATTGCCGTACAGCGGCGGTAGCGGTTGTACGGCAGGGACGCTAGCGGAGGTAGCGGAGGATGGTGGCGATGCCGTCTGCGGCCCTGAAGCCGTCACTGACGGTACTGGCGATGACGGCTTGGGTGACGCTTTTATTGGGGGCACAGACGCGGGGAGCGGCGGCGGCGGCGGCGCTGACGTCGTCGGCAGCGGCAGTGGCGGCGGCAGCTGGGGTTTGAGCAACGGCTTTGGCTTGGTGCCGCTGTTCAGTGCGGGCATGGGGCTGGTTTCGGGGGCGCTGGGGGCTGTTGGGCTGCTGGGACCCGGCATGGGGCTACTGGGGCTGAGGCCGCGGGGGGGCGGGGGTGTGCTGGCGGGTGCTGGTGCTGAGGATGAGGATGAGGAGGGGGGCGAGGGTGGGGGAGGCTGCTGTCGTGACTGCGGCTACCAGCGCTGCTACGAGTGCGGCTGCTGCGAGTGCTGTGGGGATGCTGGTGAGGCGGTGGTGCAACCCGCCGCCATGATTGCCCTCCCCATCAGCTCCGCCTACCCCTGCATCGTGGCGCCACACCCCGCTCCACCCCCACCCGCGCCCTCGGCGCTGTCGACGCTATCGTCATCGCTGTCCCTGTCGCGACCTTTGGCATTCTCCGCCGCCTCCTCGTCTTCTGCCGCCGTCGCCGCTGCTGCACCGCCCATGCGGTCTTCATCCATGCGGCTCACGTCATCCAGCCTATCCTCACGCTGCTGTGCGCCCTCCTCCTCATCCCAGCTAGTGTCGACGTCAACGACAGCGGCAACGACAGCAACCCGGAAGCCACCGCGGCCGCAGCCGCTGCCGCCGTCCTCCTCCTCAGCCTCATCATCCTCACGGCAGCAGCATGACAGCACGGGTAAGCATGCTGCTGCTGCTGCTGACGGCGGCAGTAGCAATAGTGGCGGCGGCGGCAATGGCGGTAAAGCCGGTGGCGGCATGCAGCGATCTAGCAGCTCTCCCATGCTGCTGAGATCCTCAGCAGGAGTAAGAGACGACGCCCTATCCGGGGTAGCCGGCGGTGTTGGAGGCGGTAAGGAAGCAGGCAGCTGCGGTGAAGGTGGCAGCTTGGCTACTGGCCGCCACCACCGCCACCGCCGTCACCGCCACTCCTCGCAACTTGAGGCGCACCTCTGCCGCCACCACTGCCGCAACTGCAAGCACCGTCACAACCACCATCAAGAGCGGCAGTTGCAACGACAGCAACAACCGCTGTACAGCAGCGTGCCGTACAACCAGACTAGACACGGGCCCCGGCATCATCATCCCACATCTGCGGCGTCGGCTTCTGTTTTGGGCAACGGCAACAGCGGCAGCGGTCACCACATTGGAGGTATCCCCGGATGCGGCCATGCCCCCCACACCCTTCATAGCTCCGCCTCTTTCTCGGCCTCCTCTTCGTTCATGCGAGGCAGCGGCGGCGGCGGCATTGGTGGCAGCAGCAGTAGCGGCAGCGGCTTCCTGTTTAGCAACGCCGGCAGGCATGGCAGCGGGGGAAAATCAGGCAACCCGAGCAGCAGCAACAGCCGCAGCGGCGGCGATTACGCACTGTCAAGCCGCGTCCGACTGGGTTTATTCATCATGCTGCTTCCTGTGCTGCTCTCCCTCTGGCTGTGCATGGTGGCCTGGCTGGCTGGAATCTGGATCCACCACTATGCCGTACTGCTGACCGTACGGCCGGATCGCAGCTGGGATGTACGACTGAGATCCAGGAGCGATGCGGGATCTTCCGTCGTGGCCCCGACAGAGGCGGCGGAGCCTGGTCCAGTAGCATCTGAGGAGGCCTCTGAGGCAGGTTTGGAAGGAGGGGGGGATGCGAACGAGGAGGGGAGATCCGGACGGAGGGAGGTGGAGGAGGAGTGGCTCGGCTCACGCGACTGGGACTGCAGTGAGACGCGAGGAGGTGCAGCCGGCTTCAGCGGTCGCGGTTTGGGTGGCTACGGCGGCGGTGGCGCACATGCTGACGATGACATGGGAGAGCTGCTGGTGAGGATAACGGAGGCGCCGCCGCCACATAGGGTTGCCATGACGGCGGCAGCGGCGGCGGTGGCAGAGGGGTCGCTGTGGCAACGGCGCAATGTGAGGGCGGAGGCGGAGGTGGAGGCGAGGGCGAGGGCAGGGCCGCCAACGGAGCCACGCGGTGCGGTCCCCGCTGCTGCTGCGGCGGCACTGGGTCACACCGGTGCCGTCACACTGGACCGCAGCCGCCCTGGGGTGGTGGCAACAGCGGCGGCGTGGGAGGGCGACACTGGGGGTGGGGCAGCAGCAGTGGCAGAGGCGGAGGCGGTGGGAGCGGCTCCGGCCGCCCATGCTGTCGCTGACGTCATCGACGGCTGCGAGCACAGCGGCAGTACGCCAGCGGGTGCCGGGGTGGCGGATACGGCCGTACGAGCGGTCGTACGGTCCATCTTCCATCGCGTAATAAACCTCACCGGGTCGTCGTCACCATGCGAGGCGTGCTGCGACTCAACGGCCGCTGCTGCGGTGCAGGCGACAGCAGCAGCAGTAGAGGGGCAACAGGCCGCATCACGGTTGCCGCATGAGGAGGAGGGCGAGGCGGCTGTGCGGGCGCTGGTGAGTTCCGTCTTCCGCTCAGTGGTATCGGCCCGGCAGCAGGAAGAGGAGGAGGAGGAGGAGGGGGCAGCAGCAGCGGCAGGTACCGAGGAGGCAGAGACGGAAGCGGCCCTGGTACGGGCGATGGTACGGCGGATCTTTAGGTCTGTCGTACCATCCACTGTACGGCATTCCACTGTACGACAGGGGGATGCAGGAGGACCAGCGGAGTGGGAGATGGACGTCCCGGCGACTCTACCGGTGGCGGTGGCGGAGGCGGTGGGGGAGGAGGATGTCGTACGGGTGGTGGTACAAGCGGTCTTCCGGAGGGTTTTCCTTGGCTGCCAGCAGCAGGGCACCTGGTGCGCTGGTGAAGAGGGAAGCAACAGCAGCTGTGGCGACGGCTGCAGGAGTAGCGGCCGACACGGCGGCGGCAGCAGCAGGAGCGCCGCAAGCAGGAATGGCGATGAGAATTGCTCCAAACCTACTGGTGCTGCTGGTGGTGGTGGTGATAATGGTTATGACCTAACTGTCGCCGGGGCCACGGCAGCGAGTACGGAGGCAGCAACGGCACCGCTGCCGTACACCATAACGGTTCCGGTCCACATTGCTGCTGATGTGCCAGCATCGCCGCTGCCGCCGGCGCCGTCGCCGTCTCAGCTGGCAAGGCCGCTATCTCCGGCACCTTCACTGTCTCCTTCGTCCTGTTCTTCTTCGTCGTGCCGCTCCGCCTCCCCGCTGTCTCTCGACCCGGCTGCGCTGCTGGCGGACATGATTGCCAATCTGAACCTGCTGGAGTGGCAGAAGGTGGGGAATAATAGGGATGAAGAAGGTGGGGAAGGGAGAAGAGGGAAGCCCATGGGGAGGGAAGGAGGAAGAAGAGGTTGTGGATGGGCGGCGTGGGAGGGAGGGAGATTGGTAGGGGTGGGATGGGGAAACGGAGGAAGTGTCGCGATGCTTCCTTTTGTTCAGTAAACGCTCATTCTCTACTCGCCTGCCTCTCCTCTTCCCTCCCCATTCATCCCTTCTCTCCACACCTCCTCTTCCCCCACTCCTCACACCCTCCCACCCGACCACAACCCCCCCTCCCGCCCCCCCTCCCACCCGGGTGCAGGTGGATGTGGACACGCGCCACTACCACGCGCACGCCGCCATCGTGGTGCGCAGCCCCCACCGCTTCCAGTCGCACATGCACATCCTGGAGTACGCGGTACGGCAACTCAAGCAGTAGCAGCAGCAGTGGTACGGCAACTGGCAGTCCTACGGTAGTACAACACAGCGTTATGGTAACTGAAATTGTTACTGTAATGGCATTTTGGGACAGGGCGAAGGAACTGATGATGCATCAGGGCAGGGACAAGGACACAAGGACGCGGGCCAGTTTTGCTAACACATGTGGTTGGATGGGTTTGTCGAGTTCATCTTACGGTGCTTTACTCTCAATCGCGTGTGTTCGTGGTTTGGGCCAGGCCTCAACCACCGACCCACCGACCCGGCAACCGCACTAGCCGCCGCTGGCACGAACCCACGCATCCACACGACATGTGTGTTTCGGTCGGTCGCGTTCTGCAGGAAAGGGCGGGCCTAAGTAGGTAGGCGGCGGCATGGGCGGAAATTACACGGGCGAGATGGCTTTAGGAGTCGGGTTTGCTGGCAGGGTTTGCCGCGTTAACAGAATGATGATGGTTTATTTTTCGTTCCTAATGCCCCAATTTTGCCCCTTTGTAATGGAAGTACGACGTGTACGACTACGCCGGTGTACGACAGTGTTTTTGTTTTTGTACAGCATGGCTGAGGCACATGGTACGCCTCATGGTAACTCCGCGGCCCCTGTGAGGCCGTGGGCCCGCATGGTCGCGTTAACCAAGTTAGTTTGGAGTGTAGGCAGTGTCAGCAGGGTGCGGTGTCAGGACTCCAGGACCATCCAGGGTGACGGGAGGAAGCTGTAGTTCCTAGCCGCTGCTGTGTGCCTGACGCGGGCGCTGGAAACGGAAAACACGGGAAACAAGAGTGACGAGCCCTGGGAGCAAGAGGATGGGAGGCCAACAACAACAGAACGCAGTGCTCGATGCTGACTATGTAGACTGGTGACGTGGTGAGAAGTCTGGATGGTGGGTCCGTGCCGTGGAGGCGGGCGGGTCCATACGATAGGCCTATCCCAGGGCCCATGCGTCACCCGTGTTCCCTTGCTGGGAAGCACTGTAACGGCCATTCATGCTTTCCTAATCAGGTGGCTTTCGAGGTGGGTCCGAACGGCTTGCATATGCACTGGCCGTTTCCAGGAGCATCCCATGTAGGACACGAGCATTGCGCTGGAGGACCAAGCAAGCGAAGGGGAATGGTGCTGACAGGCAACATAGAGACGCGGGCATGCGGGACAGGAGAAGCCAGCAGGGGGGCGTGTGGAAGCCATCTCCCTTTGCCTGCTTCCTTATACCGGTAACCTGAAAGTGCGGGCAACACACTCTGCCCTTCTCCTGACCTCCTCCCTCACGAAGCCCCCATCCACCGACCCTCCCTGCCTCCGCTGCCCTCCACTTCCTCATCTCAAGAGAATGGCTGGCCCCGTCCTGTGCATCCTGAAGCCACAGCTTCTCTTGTCGCACGCGTGGCCATTCAGCTGTGACTGGTAGGCAAGGCAGCACCCCTCGGCACTCTTGCTGGAGGCTACCTGACCCGGCATGACGAGGACAGCTATGATGGCAAGATATACTGGGCATAAAGCATTGGTTTAGAATTGATAAGCCGAGGTTCAATTTGTGCGAGGGATAGGTGAAAGGTTTGCAAATCGTCCGATTCCTTGCTTGAGCTTCAGAACGCATCGGCAATATGACCGCGTGGTATACTAGTCACCAGGGGAGGTACTGTCTACTTTGTCACTTTTGCTTGAGGGGAATCTGCAAGTAAAACCGGCATGTGCCGTACGCTGCTTACCCGCCAAGTTCGACGCGTCGCTTTTTGGTTTGTACCTTGACGACCATCCATCATGAATGGCAAAGGTGCAGCCTTTGCCGCACGAATCTAGCCGAAGCGCCCACTCGCGCGGCTCCTCGCATAAGATTATGCCCTTTCCTTCGACCAAAAGCAAAGCAAGCGTTTTAGTAGACACGTGGATTACGAATTTTAAAGAGCGCGGTCCAGCATCTTCCGCGGCAAGTAACAGCGTTGGGCCTCAAGGCGATCATTGCCTGGAAAGCGGGGGCATGCCTGACAGCATTCCAGCAGTCCAGCCAAGAATGCAAGGAGCATCGCTTGCACCGAGCTCCGAAGAGTCTCCTAGCGGGAGCAACGACGCTGGCGACTACACAACTTTGTTACACAAGTACGCCGTGCACCCAACAACCTCACGGCGCTTGCGAGGCCTGGTGGACCTGGCGCTGATGGTTGTGGCGCTCATACCAACCGTCGTTCTCCGCATGGTTCGCGCGGCTATGGGCTTCTTGGGCGTGACTGAGCACCGATGGCGCGGAATTTCCATGGTCGTGCCGCTTACGCCCGAGGACCGCAAGCAGCTGGAGCTAACGGTGGTCAACCTCGGTGCTGGCCGCCTTGGACGCCGTCCTGAGGCTCCGGAACGCGGCCCCGTGGCTCCTTCTCAGCAGCTGCTGCTTGACCTGCACGCGGTCCTCGCTGCCGCCGCGTCCACAGCCACCGCCTTTAGCCTGCCGTACGAGGGCATGCCTGAAGCCGCCCTTCACGCCAAGCTCGCCTCCTACCTCCGCTCCGTCGCCGCAGCCGACTCCGTTTGCACCCAAGACGTCTTCAAGGCCATGCGAAAAATCGGCCGCAAGACGCTGATCTCCCTCTGCCAAGCCGCGCCCCGACAACCCACCCCCACCCCTCACCCCACCTCCTCCTCCTCCACCTCCCACCACACCTCTGCCGCGGTCCGCATGGTCCTCTCCGCCCTGCACACCTCCCCCTCCACCACCAGCTTCATCTCCCGCCCCAAGCCCTCATCCGTGGCCAAGGCCTTCATGACCGCCTGCCTCATGCAGCAGAGCCGCTCCCACCCCACCACCCTGATCCAACTGGTGACCCACCTCCCAGACGGTTCCGGAGACCTGGTGGAGGCCATGTCCCTCATTTCCCTGGCACCGGGTGCGGAGTACCTCCGGCTGCTGGCTGCCATGGGACCCGCTGGCGGGGGCGGGGGAGCGGGAGGAGGAGGAGGAGATTTGGGGGAGAGGTTTGCGGAGCAGTTGGAGGCGATGAGCGAGTTTGGGAGGTTGCGGCCCTCCGATGCGAAGAAGGAGGCGGGGGTGCAGGGCATGGCGATCAATGCGAGGGTGCATGAGGTGGGCATTGTACGGGGGGATTGGCTGCTGCAGCAGCAGGGGGCGGAGAAGGAGGCGGATGGCGTGGCAGGAGCGGTGGGGGAGGGATTGCTGCCGCCCATTGTTACGGACCGTAAGGGCAGCGGAGTGAACGGCAACAGCAGCAACGGCGGTTGCAACGGTAACGCTAGCAATGTCGTACATGCCAATGGGAATGGGTCATTCTCATCGTTCAACGGCTACAGCGGAGCAGCAGCAGCAGCAGCGGCAGCGGGGGGCGAGCAGTACATGAACGGCGAGGGGGCGATGTACGGCGCTGTGGGGTCGAGTAGCGATGCGGATGATGACAAGGAAGGGCTGCTGCAGGTAGGGTGGGTGGAGGCGAGGGAGGGGAAGAAGGACCATTCGAGGGAGGGGGCCCTAGGTGTGGTTGGGACGTAGACATGTGAACATGTTCTGCCTTTGTGGGACGGAAGGGCGGGACGGAGGGGCGAGTGGTGGTTGGGAGGTTGGCACCGTTGCTACTGGTAGTGCAACCCTCGGTGCAATCCTTCCGCGGCGTGTTCCAGGGGGGGGGCCGCCGGGGCACTTGACATAGCGGGGGAGCTCAGCAGCTGGCCTGGCCGCCCATCGCTGCCCTTGCACTTGCCCGCCCCATGACATGACGTGGACAGGGCATGCCGATCGCAGTACGAGTACCGCCGCTGTGTCTAGCCCGCCAAACACCATTCACCTTGCCACACAATGTGAACCTGACCTGTGTCCTTTCCCCACCGCCACCCCTCCCCCTCCACCTCCCCTCCTCCAGGGTGCAAACAGCACCGGCCCAGAGACCCTCCCTTCAGCCCTCACAACCACCACCACGCCGCCAACCGAAATCCACGCCAACCCCGCCACCCCTCCCCACCCCACCACCACGTCCTCCCCCTCCACCCTCGCCCCCTCCCCCTCCTCCGCCTCCCTCTACCCCACCTCCGCCCTCGACGCCTTCGAGCCCCTGTACGGCTGCCCCCGATCCGGAGCCTTTGCCGTACACGGTCGGGAGCCCCGCGGCGTGGGGCTGAGTCGTCTGGTTGCTTCGTACGCCGCGTGTCACTCGCTGCCGCTGTCCGCCCAGCGGTCGCTGCTGCGGGGGCTGGGGTACAGCCACTTGGAGCAGCTGAGGGAGGAGGTGGAGCTGAGGAAGGCGCTGTGCGTGGCGCAGGTGGGGAGCGGGCGGGGGGGTAAAAATAAAGAAACACTGACAAACTGAATGACGAGGCTCCACCATGGGTTGCTAATTGGCCCATCCCAGCCCACCCGTATTAGTCAAGCCAAAACAACAAATGGTCTTACCGTAACGATGAGACTTACTGCAGCCATGGCCATTCGCGATAGGAAGACGCCGAGTAGCGGAGATAGTGCATCGAGGGGAGTCCGCCGCGCCGACGGTCCGTAGGTCCCGCAACTCACACAGCGACAACCCAATGACTTATGCAAACCCATACAAGAACAAAGAACAACGATTTACGAAGAACCGGCTGACTTACCTGTAAGCAGATGAGTAACCGCCGACCGAAATACGTAGGTCAAGGCCGGCGCGTTGGATGAAGACCAGCGACGAAGAATGGGAGGATAGTACATGCGAGCATATTGAAAGGAAGGGTGAGGAGCAGTCCAGGCATTTATCGTGTTCATGGTAGCGGAGTGCAGAATACAATGCCACACTCCCTGTGACCTAAACCTAAAGTGGGAAACTACGGACCGAACGGCGCGGAATGTGGGGGCGGGGGTGAGCATGCAATATGAAGAGTGGCAGACGTGTACGACAAGGCGGGACAGGAATTGCGAAGTCGGTGGGAGGGATCGATATATTGGCGGAGGAAGAGCAAGTGGCTTGGTGAATGCGGTATAGTTGGTATAGTTACCGAGGGGTAAATGTTAAGGGCATGAATGCGGGCAAGTGGAACAAGTGTGCAGTGGATAGGCAGGGTGCGGTCTGTGTGAACAGATCCCCACAACACTAAGTGCCTTCCGGGTAGTTCACTGCAGTGTGAACTGGCCGGTCCTATATTGATAGGTGGGTATGCGAACGAGGGAGTCCCCACGAACATGGGGCATACAAGTTATGTAACCGGGGGGTTAAGTGAACCTAGAAGTATGGACGAACGGAATGGCAAAAAGGTTTAAGATGGGGGGGGGGGCGGAACGGGCGGGGGGGGGGGCGGAACGTGGGAGAGCTCATTACCAGAGGGCTTGTAAAGTGGGTTGGGGCCTGCAGGTGCTGACCAACACAACACCTTAACCAACCGGCAAACTACCACTTCTGACACTCCTCTCCTCCCTCCCCCTCTCCCAGGCCCTCCCCGTCATCGTGGCCTCGCTGCGGCTGCAGTGCCGCTCGCCCGCCTGCCTGTCCGCCGCCTCCCGCACCGGCAGCTTTGCGCACGTGCAGCAGTCGCTGCTGTCGGACCTGCACCGGCACGAGCGGGCGTACCTGGAGGACACGCGGGGGGCGCTGGAGGTGCTGGGGGAGCGGCTGGTGGTGCGGTTCGTGAGGGGGAGCGAAAAGGTGCGGGGTAAAAGAAAGAACAGGATGAACAGGATGAAAAGTATGTTTAAGGGATGCAGTGGAATCCGGTGGATGGGGAGGGGAGGGGAAGAGGGAGGGAGGGGGTACTTAACTGCTAACTTGGTTCGGGGCCGGTGGGTTTGGTTTGCCTGGGCATCACGGTACGTTTTCTCTTGCCTCCCCCCTGCCCCCTCCCTCCCTCTCGGTCTGTTAGTTGTTTCCTCTTTACCCTGTCCCTCACCCTCCTGCCGCCTGCCCCCTGGCCCCCCCCCCTCCCTCCCCTCCCTTCCCCCCAACCTCCCCCCCTCCAGGTCCTGCCGCTGCACCTGAGCGGCTCCTGCATCACCGTCTCCCTGCCCGCCGACTGCGTGTGCCCCGCCGCCCTAGCCGCTGCGGGGCTGTCCCGGGAGGGCTTCTGCGGCGGCACGTACGGCCTGACCCCGCTGCTGTTCAACATGGGGCTCAACAGCCTGCAGTCGCTGGGCTTCCTGACGTGGCGGGGCAGGGGGGAGCCGCTGCAGGAGAGCATAAACAGGTGCGGGGGGGGGAGGAGCGAGGGGGGAGAAGAAATACCAGTTGCAGGTTAGGGCACGACAACGCTCGGAGAGGGGATTTGATAAGATGCGTATTCCGTTTATCCCGCATTAGGCTGGATAGTTGGGACTAATGCATACACATTTAGCCATACATGACATGCTCTGAAACCCCCGTCTTTCCCGCGCTTCCGTCTCCCTCCACAACCCCTTGTTCTCCTCCTCCTCCTACATTCCTCCTCCCCCTACACCCCTCCTCCTCCACCTGCCCCCCTCCTGCCCCTGCAGGCACAGCCTGGAGCGGCTGAACGAGTGGGCCCAGCGCGCGGGTCGGGGCGGCGCTCCCGCCCTGGCCGCCCTCAACCGCCACTGCGGCCCCGAGGGGAGGAGGCAGCCCAAGGACACGCAGCTCATTGCACTGGTAGGGGTTTAGGGGGGGAAAAAGTAATATAATCGCTCAGGGTCCTGCGCGGAATTTAATCCCTAAATTTCTTGTTGCGCCCCATCAGACATAGCTACGGCAATGTAGAAGAACTAACATAAGCGTATGGCAAGGCTTCACCAATGGGTTGCATGAATGGGGAGGAGGGCTTTGGGGGGGTTCGTGAACGCACGGCGCGGGGCATGGTTACTCCGCCCCACTTGCAACGATCACATCCGCTCCATGAACCCCCCCACCCGACCACGACATCCAGTTCGTCAGTATTCCTCATTTTTACCCCCCACCTTTTCCCCTGCTTTTCCCCCCCCCTCCCCAGGTTCGCCGCGCGTGCAGCGAGGTGGGTGCGGGTCGCGCCGTCAACTGCAAGTCCGGCAAGGACCGCACCGCGCTGGAGCTGGCCAAGGCGTTCGCGGAGGAGGTGGTCATGGCGGGAGAAACCAGGACGAGGACAGCCACTGCAAATATGAACGGCACCGGTACGTCTACCGGCAAAGCTACTAGCCAGGGTGCGGGCGGCAGCAGCAGTGGCGCCAGCAGCAGCGGTGGTGCTGCGGGCGGCGGTCTGCTGCCCCGGTCGGCGCTGGGGTGGTTGGAGGCTCAGTTCCTGCGGGGGCTGTCGTACGTGACGACCAGTCAGAACCACGGTCAGCCGCCCGCGTACGCGTTCAACGAGATGGAGATCCTGACGCTGCCGCCGGGGTGGCGGCCGGACTGGCGGCTGTGCGGCAAGGTGGCCAGCTGAGAGGTAGAAAGAAGGAGGCAACCAGCTTAGGGGGGGTTGAGGGATGGAGGAGAAGGAGGAGGAGGAGGGGAGCCGTGTGGAGAGGTGGAGGATGGGGGGTTGAGAGATAAAGGGGTGAGGGGGGCGGGTGCCGGGGTGAGCTGGAAGAGGTTATATGGTGGTGAGGTGCATGCGGGGATGTGGCGGGGTGCTTTGGAGTGTTGCAGGGGGAGGAGGAAGGGCGCAATGAGAGCGTGCCTACGTCCATGCCAATGTCAGGATGGGCGCAGGAAGAAGGAGCGCTAGGAGGGAGGGTTGGGATAAGGTGAGGAAATGCGAGCCATGTGGCTTGTGGGATGGAGGAAGTGGAGCTAGGGGGCGGGCTCCGGCTCCTACCCGGCGATGTGTGCAGGGTCCAAGAGGGCTTTCGATAGGGTGGCAGCGGTGGTGGTGGTGGTGCTGGTGCAGGGTCCGCTTGGGAAGGCGGGGGATGGGGTCAAGGAGTAAGACTCGTGAAGTAGAGTGAAGGACCCTGATATCAATCGGGGGATGGGGAAGGGGCGCGTCCAACTAGCATGCCGCGCGGGGTGTGATACCGGTGCTTGGGTGGGCTGGGGAAGTACGTGCGAGGGCAGAGAGGTACGTGCGGGGAGAGAGAGGTGGGAGATTGCGTTCGCCTTTTGTGAGATTGCGATCGCTGCTGAGCCGTCGTGGTAGATATTTCGATGTCGGCTGTAGTACTGAACCGAAGATAACTATTTGCGCTCGTTTACCGTCGAACGGCAGGGTTCTCTATTCCGGTGGTGTTGGCAAGCCGCTGATGAGGTGGTGAGAAGTGGCGAACGCTCGCATCATCATCCGAGGTTTACCCAAAACCGCCCGCATGCTTGGGGCTTGGGTTCTATCCCGTCGTACATGACCGCGCCGGTTGAGAGGTTTGACACGGCCTCTTAGCCTCCGAGTGAGCAGGTGGGGGGAGGGGTTCTTATGGCTTATTATTCGGCTTAGTGCCCCCTTCTATGTACCGTATGAAGGGTTGACCGAAGCATGGAAGCTTTCCGTGCGTCTGACCTTATCCTGGACTTCTGTGGGCCCTATCGCTATTACAAAGAGAACGGTAATACGATGACGCACTGGTATACAGGACGTGGGTCGATCACAAAGTACAATGCCTTATGGCGCGTGGTACAATCATACTTGCTGCGTCGTACGTCAGTAGTACAGTAGTACGAGCAGCGTCTTCGCAGGACCGCGGCGGACCGAAGTGGCGCGCGTCCAGGAAGGCGCGCGACGTGAAACAAGGGCATGAGATGGCAAGTTGGGGCGGCAGGTAGCCTCAGAAGCACATGGTCCGTCACTCTCTCCTGTGAAGCGGTTTGCGGCAGTCTTAACGTGTCAGCAGCTGCGGTTGTGATCGCTGTGATGTGTTGGGACTTTGCCCCTGTAAGTGGGAGTCACGTACGGTACTTCCAGTGGTACCAAAGGTCCCCGTAGCTCGATTCGAAGAAAACGTATACGTATACGAAGTATGCGGTTTCGGAGGAGCGAAGCGAAGGGATGCATACCCCGTTCCCGTCACGCTCAACGGGATCCTTTCAGCGCTCTTGTTCACGGCTCGGCCTTCACTTTGAACCGTCCAGCGTGGCGCGCTTTTGCTGTCACGCTCTTTGATACGGAATCTTACCAGATTTTCAACGGCCGGCCAACTCTTCGTGCGTCGCTCGTGTCGTTGCTTGTGAAGTTTGTTCGAGTTTGTGAAGTCTACTACGGCTATATTGCGTAGCCAGCGTGGCTTCACCGCGCTTCGATTTCGCGAGGAAAACCACGCCGCTTCACAACCCACCTACGAAGATGTTTTAGATAGACGTCTAAATAAGCGTATAAGAAAGCGCGTAAAACCAATTTATAACGGTGCACAAGCCACGCCACGTGCGGCGAGGCTAACGAAAGTACTTCCTTGCCTGGAAAGTAGTCATAGCAGAGCCTTTGGCTTGCTGCTGCTGTTTTTTGTTTCGTTGTTTGGTATAGAGCTACCGCTTTCCGAGCTGGGCACCATGGGAAAGGATGATCAAGGTGTGTGTGGCGAGCGCATGACGTTCGGTTATATTCTGGCGCTGTACCAGCCTTTCCCTTGGGCGTGTCGCAGGCGCGGGTGACCCGCTCGACAACGTGCTCTACTGCAGCGGCTTACGTCGGCTCAGCGTGTGGCCGTGGTTCAAAGCAGTTGCCAGCTTGTTGCTGACCGAGCGTCAAGGTTCCGTTTATGCGGTTCTATGCTTCCCTGGGCTTTTGTCGGAATTCGTTCAGCGGGTCGTCGATCGTTTGCGTGGGTTCGGGCATACAGTGCCTGAGGTAGCTACTTACATGCTGGAGCTTGGGACGTACATACTTGAGCACGGCTTACTGGATCGAGTACGCCAGAGGAGTGACAGCGAGTATATCGTTGCTACGCTGTGCGCTCGGTATGCTGTTGCTGCTGGTCACCTTCCTCCTAACCCACTCGCTTCGGTGCGATGGCAGCTCCAGCTGGGGGATCCAGACGTGGTGCGGCAACAGGACCTCATGCGGGCAGATGCTGTTGCTGTTGCGTTGTACCAGACTATCGCTCGTCTGCAACAGGAGCAAGCACAACAGCGAGGGCATCTGCCGAGCGCTGGTGTGCAGCGTACAGTCGCAGGAGGAGGTAGCTCGGGGCAGGCGGGTTTGTGCGGTACGGCTGCGGGGGTCGGCGGAGGCTCCAGGCTAGGGGCCTCGGCTGCGGCTGGCTTGGGCCTCGGTCTTTGGGCGCCGCTGCCTGGTTGGGGCTTGGGCCTAGCGGCTCTGGCGGGGACGGTGGGACTCCCGGTGGGCTTCGGCCTAGCGGCTCTGGTGGGGACGGTGGGACTCCCGGTGGACTTCAGCTTGGCGGCTCCGGCGGGGACGGTGGGACTCCCCGCCGCGGCGCAGCCTGGTTGGGGCTTGGGCCTAGCGGCTCCGGCGGGGACGGTGGGACTCCCCGCCGCGGCGCAGCCTGGTTGGGGCTTGGGCCTAGCGGCTCCGGCGGGGACGGTGGGACTCCCGGCGGGCTTCGGCCTGGCGGCTCCGGCCGGCGCGGTGGGAATCCCGCAGTGGCGCCAGCAGCGGCAGCAGCAGCGCCGGCGGCAGCAGTGGGAGGGCTGGGATTGGGGCATGGGCGTTCCACTGCGCTGCATGTACAGCAGAACGACCTTTTGGGTGCACCAGCAGCGGCATCGGCTGCAGCCAGGCAGGCGCGCAGACGTGACAATGCAGCGTGTAGGCTTCAGCGGAGGCAACTGATGGCAGCAGCTAGGCAAGCTTGCCAGCGTAAGCGTTCTCGACTTGTGGGTGGGTTGTCTCACGATGATTACCTCGAGTCCCTTTCAGGCTGCCTCTGCTTGCCGCTTTTCCGTCACGACAATCCAGCTGTACCTGAGCTGCCGACGTTCTTAGAGACACAAACGTCTGCTTGGCCAGCTCGGGTGCAGGACTTGCCAGCAGGTGAACAGCCTCCCCAGATACCGTTTTCGGAGCAGATAACTTTGGCTTGTGGCCTCGCCGAGTTCGTTCGCGACAACATGCCATCACGGGTGTGTGCAGTCTGCAGTGAGTGCAAGTCCGCTTCAGAGGTCCGGGCGCTGCAGTTCAGCGAGATAGCTGGCGTTGAGCTGCTACGTGCTGACATGCGGCGGACTGCGGCTGTGCCTCGTTGCGCGCACGTTCTGTATTGGCGGCGTGTCGATCGGCGTGATTGCAAAAACCCGCCGGATCCCGTACTGCCACGCGGCTACAAGGCCGCTGGTGGTCAGTCGGGCAACGTCGGCGTAGTTGACACATCCGCTGGCGAGGGCAGCGGCGAGACCAGCAGCGGCCTTGACGACTCTACCGATGATCGGCCGTCACGCCGACGACGCTGCGACATAGACCGTCCTCCAACGTATGCGCCACGGGTAGGGGTACGGCTGTGTGACGATAATCCCGTGGCGGTGGAGGTGCCGTACTGCATGCGCGCGGAGACGGTTCTGCCCAACCGAACGATGAACGTTTCAGCGGACGGCGTGGAGCGCTTTACGGTCTGCTCGGAATGCATACAGGCCTTACAGGGTGCGTTGGGTAGTGAACGCTGTTATGGTAACATGGGGGCCGTCTGTTTGCGAAGGTTGTGATCACTATTAGCACCGGCATGGTGCTATTTGTTTTCATTATAGATGATGGGCTGCCTCGACCGGGCCCTGGCACTGTACCTCCGTCTATTCCCATGCCTCTACTGACATTGAACGCCCCTGTCACTGCCCTTCACCAGGTGGGCGGATCCCAGATGGGGCGCTGGCTGGATGGTTGGATCCCGGCGACGTACCCCCTGTAAATCAGCATGGTCATTCGCTCGTACCGCTGACGCATCTGGAGAGCTTGGTGGTGGGCCTCGCTCGCCCTCACATGCGGCTGCTCGTTGTGCGGCAGCCGGGTACACCCAGCTGGCGCGCGGTGGATACCTTGCCAGCGGCGTTGCGTGGGCATACGCTCGCCTTTCCAAACAACGTGCCCAGCGAGCTCCAGCGTGTTGTGCCATACGCTCCAGCGGATCTGCCGTCCTTCATTCAGGTCGTGCTAATTGATGCTGTCAAAGATCGTGCCGACCTCGAGGCCAAAGTGCGGCAGGCCCAGCCATGCGGGGCCTGGCTATCGCTGCATGGGCGGAGTGGGCCGTTCGCGTGAATCCAATGGCTCAGGTGGACCACGCTGCACTTCAGCAGTATCGCGCTCTGGGTGCGGAGCCGACGGTGCCAGAGCCGTTAGTGGCGCACGCGGTGGCTACAGATGACCCAGACACGGCAGCGGTCATGCGCGCTGCATTTGAAGGGGATCGTGCCGGCAACGCTCGGGTGCGGCAGCAGCAGGATGATGTGGAAGCGGCGACGGAGGGCGCGAATGCAGCAGGTGAGGGGCCTACCTTTTCCATTTGCAACGCAATGGTCCGAACGTGCGCGTGAGCAGGAAAGTTTGTTTTGACTCATCCTTATTACCAGTTGTACGTCCGACCGCGCCTGGGACCGTACATTTGTAGGTGGTCGATCGCCTGGTCCGGGTGCTGGTCAGGAGCCAGCGCCGTCTGGTCGTACGCCAAATATCCCGGTGACAGGTAAGGACCTGATGTGCATTGCTGCGCGTGGAGGGGGGTGGGAGACAGCGTCTTTACCCATACCGTGCTGTGCCGCCATGCAATCACACACCCAAGGTAACCCTTCCGACGTCGCCGGGCAACATCCAGCAGGTGGCTGTTGCGCCTCCCTAACTCCAGCTCCAGTTTAATTGGAACTTTGCAGCTTTAATCCTAAATTGTTGCCAACCGCGCGCGTGCAGGCGTCTTCGCTCGGCCGTCGCCCATGGCGGCCGCACTAGCCGTGCCGGGCGGTACAGCTGGTGTCGTTGTGTCGCCTGCAGCCGCACTGCAGCCAGACGGATACATCGGACCTGGAGTACACATGCTGGGGCTGGATGACGTCGAGGTGCACCATGGGGGCGCATACTCTACTTCCGACCCTTTAGATGATAGTACGGACCCGTCAGCTATCTTGCAGCGCCTTCAGCAAGGTGGCGTGGTGGTTAGTGCAGCCGGTGGGCGTGGGGCGAGCAACAGCGCCTCATCGCCAACTCTACGCATATCGCAACTGCCTTCGCCGCTCTCCGTCACTACGTTCTCCGCGCACCTGCAAACACACCCGCACCCCAACAATTCGCCAACAACCGCAACGTGGTCAACCCCCGCGACGTGAAAGGTAAACCTGGAAAGACAGGAGGTAGGATGCAGCCACCTCGGAGTGGGTTTTTAGGGGCGTCGGCGTGTTTTGGTGGTCGGTCGTTTGGGGGTGGGAGTGGATTTTGTGGTCACCTTCACTCGCTCGTCGTCACCTTCACGTCCGGCTATAATTCTTCAAGGTTGGGCCAACCTCTCATTTTCCCGTCGCAACCCTTACCACCTCCGCAGGCCGCCTCGGCTGCCTGACCAATGGCCTCATCCCCACGCTGCTGCGAGCGTTCCCTGCCACCCTCGCGCTTGCAGGAAGCGCCGCGCTCTACGCAGTCCTCCAGGTACAGTTATAGCCGAAGACATGGGGGCCGCACCACCTTAAAATTCCTCATTACTCCCACTTGGTCCTTGCCTCTTCACCTCCCTTTCCACCTGCACCTTGCTCTATTCGCTCTGTCCCATCTGCCCCATCAAACCGCTTATTCACCCCCTCCTCTAATTCCTTCCACCAACCCCTCAGATCCCCCTGGAAGCCATCACCCCCAACCTCGTACACGACTAGGACATCTACGTCATTGCTCCCACCGCAGCCGCTGGCTTCACGATCCTTCGCAACGCCATCCACCTCCTCACCATGCTGCAAGACGTCCATATCCTGCGCATCATCGACACCGAGCGCGCCACGACCGTCGTGTGCGACGTCACCATTGGCAACCGCACCACCCACCAACGCGTTCAATTCAACAAGCGCGTCGCCCAACACAAGCGTAAGTCCGGTGGAAGAGGCACAACACGCGACAGGGCACGTCACCAATTCTATTGACCCCAAAGCTTGTTTGGGTGTGGGGTTGGGGGGGTGGCACGGTGTGTCGGTGGTGTTCGGGCGGATGCTTCAGGTGGGCTTTTTGGCGTCGGCGGGATTCTTTGATGGATGGTATGTTTGGGGTTGTGTTTCTGGTCGGGGTGTGGTAGGTATTCGTGGTTTCCGGTTCTGTTGCTGAGCGGGTGCTGACTTGGGCGCCGAATGCTGGTTTTTAACCCCCCCCCCCTGAGTTAGTGCCTTATTTGTACGTCAACGCAGCCAAACTAATACCCTTATACCTCCACACTCCCGCTCGCACCCTCCCTCTACCTTTACCCCATCCGCAGATGCCATCGTCACAGCCTATGACCTCTCCGTAGTCATGCTTGCCGTCCTCCTCGACGACCCGGCAGACCCGGACCTCAACACGTACTGCCACGCCCTCTGGTTCTACTCGCTAATTGTCGGCGCCGCCATTTCCATCCCCAGCCAATTCTCCCTCCGCCGGGCGTCTAAGTACCACGCCCGCGGCTTTCCCCTATGGATCACCCGCTACCACCCGGTGGTATACCTCTCCAACGGCCGCATCCAGTGCCCGCCTACCGAGCTCGCATCGGCGGGCGGCAACCTCTTCGTCATCGCCTACGACGACTTCGCCGCCTTCATGCGGTGCACGGGCGCGCAGCTCCGCTCCCTGGTCAGCCGCGCCACCAGCATGGCGTCCACTGAATGGCGTGACCCCGGCAGCACACTCTCCGCCACCGAATGGAGCCGCCTGCGCCCGCACCTGCACCGCGCCCAGCTGGACGACGATGCCCACGTGAGTCCACAACTGAACGATTTAGGACTCTCTTGCGGAAAACGCATCCTCGTGTTCTTATCTTGTCTCCTTGCTATCTCTCCCAGACAACTCCGACCCGACCACTCCTCCACTATCCATCCCACCCACAGGTGCTCCACACCAAGTGGAACCCCGCCGCCATCCCGTGGATGGGCGAGCGCCGCAACGCCCACTGAGGGGCCGACGTTTTGCTTTGCGGCGTAACGGTACACTTGCGCAGCACTGGGTTTGGTTGGTGTCCGTTTTGCTAAGGGTTACACGGCTGGTTATATGGCACTAACTAGACTGTTTGACACCATGCCGAGCTGTTCAGTTGTTGTTGAAAGGGGCCGACGTCTTGCTTTGCGGCGTAACGGTAACGTCCACTAGATAACGACCTGCTGTACTTTTAGCATGATAGATCCGACGGCTGGTTGCGCAGCACTGGGTTTGGTTGGTGTCCGTTTTGCTAGGGGTTACACGGCTGGTCACATGGCACTAACTAAACTGTTTGGCACCATGCCGAACTGTTCAGTTGTTGTTGAAAGGGGCCGACGTTTTGCTTTGCGGCGTAACGGTAACGTCCACTAGATAACGACCTGCTGTACTTTTAGCATGATAGATCCGACGGCTGGTTGCACGGCACTGGGTTTGGTTGGTGTCCGTTTTGCTAGGGGTTACACTGCTGGTCACATGCCACTAACTAGACTGTTTGGCACCATACCAAGCTGTTCAGTTGTTGTTGACTTGTTGCCAGTTGCCAAAAGACTGGCGACAATTGAACCAGGTTGTACGCTTGGCAGAGAATACCTGCCGGCCGATTGTACGGAGATTGACTCCTTGTAGCAGCAACATACCGCCCATACATTTGTCGCCTCCTCCCGTTCCACACCACATACCCAACCTAACTTTCAGCTTACATAACTCGCTTCCCTTGCCGAGCTACGGGTCGCTCCCGCCGAAGGCGGGCCTTACTTGTCTTTGTGCATGGTATGCCGCCCTGTATACCGCTAGTCATGCGGTTGACGGTTGGAATATAAGGATGAGGCTTCGGACAGCTGTGAAGCCTTAGTAGAAACGGTTCATGTTGCACAGCTACGATCATGCCATGGGCAGGGCGTCGCTTAGTTTGCTCACTCGTTTCCTGGGGCGGCTCAAAGGTGCGACATGCATGTGTGGACTTGCATCGCCAGAAAGCTGTTCTTCCAGCTCACGTGCCCAGCCTACATGTCTCAGACCAGACAGATTCGGCTACGTTTTGCTACGCGGTGAGCCTACTGCTGTATGGCAATAGGCGGAAAAGGGGGTTCAGCGGGGTTAACAACTTGGCACGTGCTGTCCGTGTGGTGGGTGCTACACGCTTATACAAAGGACCGTGAAACGTAGCTATACAAGCTGTGCACCCGTGCTGCATTTCCTTGGTAAGGAAAGGGCTGGAAAGCGAATGCTGTCGTACATTGTTGCGCCGCCTCAAATACTGAGCTTACACCTAATATTTGGTTGATTCAAAACGCAACAGAGTTTCTTCCTGCGAACATTTCCCTTCTGTTTCCTGAAGTGGCATATCGCCACTCGCTTAAAGGCTTGACGCCTCGTTCTTTCAACTAGAAAAATCGAGCATCACGGAATGAAGCGTCCTCGGCCTAACGAGGACAGCCTGGAGCAGCCGGGCATGGCCGCGGGCGGGGCCGGGGCCGGGGCTCAGATTTCGGACGGTTTCCCTTGTGTCAGGCTACGGGGGCTGCCGTTTGATGTCATGGAAGGGGACATCAAAATGTTTCTGGTAGGGGAACCGCCGGCTGCGGATTAGCGCGCTTACTATTGCCTTTTGGGTCTGCTTAGCGTCCGCGCTTCTGGCAAGCGCGCACAGGGCGTTCACGGGAATGACGCCCGCCCGCTCGCACCCGGCCATATTTTGGGGGTTGGGGTTTTTGTTCACGCTGCACATAGGAGCTGGAACCGGTGGATATCCTCATGGTGAAGCGGGATGGGCGGTTCTCGGGGGAGGCTTTCGTGGTCCTGGGCTCCCTGCAGCTGGTCGAGGCCGCGTTGCAGAAGCACCGCCAGTTCATCGGGCAACGATTCATCGAGATTTTCCCTGCACAAAAGCGGGTAAGCAGTTGTGCGCTTGCGAACACGAACAATGAGATCGTTGCTTGACCTTGGTCTCACGTCTGCACGGTTCTTATTCCTCTTATTCCTTTTAACAGGACTACTACAGGGCAGTATGTCAATACTGTGGTGCTGACCGATATGGAGGAATGGGCATGATGGATCCTTCCATGGCCGGCTACAACCCGATGATGGGGGGATACGACCCGTCCATGATGGGCATGGGAATGGACATGAACATGATGGGCTACGGGCAGGGCTACGGGCAGCAAGGCATGGGGATGGGCATGGGTGGCCGCGGTGGGATGGGCGGCATGGGCGGTGGTACCACCTGGCTGAAGCTGCGCGGCCTTCCTTTCGCGGCTGTCCCTGACGACATCATCGCCTTCTTCGACGATGGCACCCTCGGCATTCCCCGGATAGACCCCTCCAAGTAAGAACTATGCGTAGCTGCCTTCCTCAGAGGATGCCTGCTCATGACAGGGCTCCACGTTATCTGAGACTCTCCTGGTGTACTGGTATCTCGCTGTTTCTTCATACTTAGCAATTGTACCTTGGCATCCCATCCGGCTCTTACGCTGATCCCCTTTGCTGGTGCCTTTTACGTACAGGGTCCACATGTGGACGGACGGCGGGCGGCCCACCGGCATGGCGCTGGTTCAGTTCAGCACGCCGCAGGAGGCCAGCATGGCTCGCAACAAGGACAAGGGGCTCATGGGCACGCGCTACGTGGAGATCTTCCCTGCAACGCGGGGAGACCTCGAAAAGTTCATGGCGCGGACCGGTGAGAACATCCCCATGTAAGCTCCAGGATATAAAGGCGACGTTTCACGACAAGATCGGGTAGATGAGTCCACGGTTGGGTGGCGCTACTTGCTGTGCATAACCTGTTTCTCCTGCCATGGGGGGGTGTTGTTCATTCTGTTACCCTCTCGAGAGGTTTGTGCCCGGTTGCCTACGAGCCATGAAGGTGCATGCAAGGGCTTTGTTCCTTACCGAGGTCTCCGGGTGGTATGGGTGTTTAGCTGAGCTGCATTTTACACAAGGCAAGCTGTGAGCATGGGAGAGAGATGGGCAACATCATACGTACTTTGCGCGCGGACGCCAAACCCCGTGGGTTTGTGGCTCGTTTTACCTAGACGATATGCTGACCCACAGCTGTTGTAGAGAGGGGCAGTTGCTGCCGCATGCTCGACAGGAGCATGGTGGTTATGCAGGACAATGTTAACCGCATGGACTCTTTTGCATGTACGCATTGCACTTGGATAGCAAGCACTTCTTGTGTTTGCGATATTGCTTTTAAGACTTCTGTACCTGGCGTTTGGATACCAAGAGAACGGGTACTGGTAACCTGCTTCAGCGCCAGGCAACGGCTGATGCGCTTCACTCATGACCACCTCCCCTGCAGAGTGCCGTATCATACACGTACTATCACTTGTAGTCATGCAGCATGTGTTGCCTCCGCTTGCATGCTGGGACGCCAGTCACACAGCACAGTTAAATGTTAGTGCACCGAAAACCAGCGCAACGGTAAGCGTGAAGCACCGTGCTTGCGCTCAGTAAGTGTCGCCGCCGTCATCAATCCATGACAGCCCCATAGCGATATGGTAACCAATCAAGTGAAACAGCGACGTTGTACACCCCAAGTACGACATCGCGGACCTCCCCTATCTTGCCATGACAGGCACAGAGCCTGCTTCTTGACCAACCAGTCGACTCGTGCTCCAATGAATCAGCAGCGCCAGCGTCATTCGCAAGCAGCGCACAAGCCCGGAAACCTCACCACCTCCAGATGAACCTCCCTGAACATTACACCAAGCCAAAACCAAACTGAAAAGATCACGCAACCGGTGTTTCCCGCTGTGTGACGCCCCTGCCATGTTGTTCGCCTGGTCCTGCCCGATATCCTGTACGGCATCTGCAACCCAGAGCTGCTGAAACCATGAAACACACACGTTTCACGCAACCCAGCCATGTGGGTCCATGTGACGGTGCCCTGCCCTGCCGCCCAGCTCCCCCCCGCTCCGTCCGCCCCTCACACCTCCTCCGGCTCGCTGAGCGGCATCTTGATGGTGGCCTGCAGCAGGGGCGCGCTGCTGGGGGTGCCGCCCGGTGCCAGCAGCAGCACCGTCACGTTGCTGGCGCCAGCCTGCGGGTCCAGGGCCGTCACGGGGACCTGGGGGGGCGGGTGGGGGTAACCATTAAGTGACCGTGTAAGAAGGTGTCATCATGGTTTGCAACATGTGAGCCAGCCAGGGTTGGGCGAGGCGACGTAGAGGTAATTCTTCGGGGGCAGAGGACAAGGTGGTCAGGCCGCTTGTGGCATGCGAGAGGTCCAGAGCCGAGGTAGAGCAGCCCGGGCACGGCCCCCCATCCCACCCTGCTAGGGACGACCCTTCTTACCAAGCCTGTGCCCTTCCACTCTCCACTTTCCGCACCCTCCCACCCGCGCGCTCCCACGCCTCCACCCCTCCCCTCCCCCCACCCACCTCGAACGTGTACTGCAGCCCCGGCACCAGCAGCGGCACCACGAACTGGCTGCGCCCCAGCGCGTACAGCCCCGGGTCCGCCCGCAGTACCACCGGCACGTCCAGCATCTGCCGCCCGCCGTCGTTGCGCAGCAGCAGAGACAGCCGGAAGCGGGGGCCCAGCCCCGCAACGCTGAGGGAGAGGGAGAGGTTGGTGCTGGTGGTGAAGGCGGCGGCGCCCTGGCCGTCCGTGAGCACCTTGACGTAGGCGCGGGCGGTGGTGAGGCGCAGCTTGGCTAGGTCGCGTTGGAAGGTGCGGTGCATGTCGGCAGCCTGGGGGAAGGGGGAGGGGAGGGAGGGAGGGGCAAGAGAAAAGCCATACCACAAGTGAGGGTAAGACAGGAGGGGTAGGAGGGGACAAAGGGGAGCGGAGAGATTGACAGGAGCTGAGCTGAATTGTAGGCGATTTCGAGGCAGTAGACATGCAGCCACACGGGCTCTCTGAGCGGTACCCATACCGGGGCACCTGCCCTCCATCCCTCGCCCCCCCCCCACCACCCACCTGCGCACCCCGGGCTCACACCTCCCCAGCCCCCACCATCTACGCACCTCGGGCTCCCCTTCCGCCCCACCCCACCTGCTCCCGCTCGCGCTGCGTTTGCTCCACGTACAGGCGGGTCTTCTTGGGCACTGCCAGCGGGATCTCCTGAGGGGGGCGGGTGAAGGGCGGGAGGGGGGTAATGTGTATGAGGGATGAAGTAGGGGGGTAAAAGGAGGTAATGAGTATGAGGGGAGAAGGCGGGAGGGGGGAGTAGGCGGGGCTTGGTGCTGGGGAGGCAAGTTCAGAAGGGGAGGGGCGCTGGAGCGGGGGTTGTGCCCCCAGCTTACGGCACGTGGGGACGCGCCCGTGTGCCGTACCTCCGCAGCACATCCGAGGCGGACTCGTTCAATGCATGCGGGAGACGGGAGAAAGCGAGAGAGAGGGCTCCAGCTCGCAATTGCCGCCACCCCACACAAGGGCACAACCCAACGCGCGCTAACCGTGACGCGAGGGGCCAGCTGGGGTGAGGCAGGCGCCCCGCCGAACCCTTTCACAAAACCCCCCATGCCGGTATTGGGCACATCTCTACCGACACACACACACCGCGACGTCTTGGCATCACCCCTGCTTTTACCCCTGTTCAGCGACAGCTACAGCTTCTCTACATCCAGTTTACACACGACAGTGACGGTTACTTATACCTACCTACTTACTACTCCGGTCCTTAGGTCCGGTCGCGTTACGACATTGCTATTACTGCTTTACACTGATTCCGATACTACTCGATAGCTCTATTACAACATAGCCAACGGACTTCACTTCACCTGTGGCGTTTTCGGTGGGAGGACTCCATCTTTCGGCAATCACAGTACGTTTCGCCTCGCGGCCAGTTATTTTAACACACACCGCGCCCCGCTCCCACCCAACCCGCCCCCGCTCCCCCCCGTCCTCTGCGCCACTCCCCCCTACCTGCTCACTATCACACCATACATTGGATATTCTTCCATCCCCCCCTACCTGCTCGGGTGGCGGTCCGCCGCCCACCGCCCCCACCTCCAGGTTGGCGGTGCGGGGCAGGATCTGCTCGGGGGGGGAGGGGAGCATGCGGGGAGGTGGGGCAGGGGTATAGAGGGAGAAGGGGGACAGGGTGGGTGAAGAGAAGGCAAACTGCCGAACACCCTCCGAGCAGGTGAACCATGCTAGCAGGGCCAGGCAGGCAGGGCAGGGCATGGGGAATACAGCAGAAGTGGAAAAGACTCACCCCACCCCCACCCGCACCCCACCTGCTCGTGACCCAGTCTACCGGTATCTAACCCCCACCTTAATGTCCAGCGCGCCGCTCTTTGTGATGGCCAGCAGCGTGTTGTCCTCCCGCCCGTAGCGCCCGAACCACAGCGCGGTGACGGGGTTGGGCACGGAATGCACACTCACCAGCAGCTTCTCGTTGTACACACGCACCTCGCCTGGGGGGGGGGGGGAGGGGCAGGGGGACAGAGGGGGAGAGAGGGGGGGTATTAAATGAGGAGAGTGACGAGGAAACGGACGTGGCTTCACCATGGGTTTAAGGGGTGCGGGGAGGGGGTTAGGGTTTCAAGGAGAAGAAGAAGATGGAGAAGATAACTAGCCGCGTATGGCATGGCTGCAACATGGGAAGGAAGGCGCTGTGACGAATCGATGGCAACCCGTGGAACCGAAGGAGAAGTAGGATGTAAGGCAGGGGCGATGTGTGGGGGAGGGGGCAGAGAAGGAGGTGAAGGAGGGAACACACCCCGTGGAGACCTGCAGACTTCAGGCAACAACAACCCCCCAGCCCCCACCCCTGCCACCTCCTTCCCCAATTGCTTTGCCCTAACCTGTGGCTTGGTATGGTCTTTGACTCCCAGCCTCCACCCCACACCCCTGCTAACCAACACTTGATCCCAGCCCCCCCTCCCCCCCCACCATTCGCCAGCGCCACCAGCAGCGCCTTTGTCCCCCGCTGCCCCGCCACCTCCATTCGCTGCATGGCCAGGATGTGAGCTGGCAGGTAGATGGACCAGGACTTGTGTCCGGTGGGCTGGTAGGCGTGGATGACGTCGTTCATGCAGCCCACCGCCACGTGCTTCAGCAGCCGGACCTGGGGGGGAGCAGGGATGCAAAATAAGAATTTGCAATTTGTTTAATGACAATGCAAACCAGACGACAAGCTCTGGGGAAATGGTGTTGATAGGGGAGGGAAACGTAAATGAGAAGTGAAGCAACTGAAGTCCCAATTCCATATCCCGGCAGGGGAGGGAGGGAGAAATAAATGAGAAGTGCAGCAACGGAGTCCTCCCACCCTCCACCCCGCCCCGCCCCCTCCCCACCCACCAGCCCCACGGGTTGCGCCTCCAGCTGGATGATGGTCTGCGTCAGCTCCCCGTTGCGGATGTGGTACAGCTTGCCGTCGCGACCCGCCACCGTGATGCGGTAACCCACGTCCAACTCGCCCTGTGCGGGGACGGGAGGGAAGAGAAGGAGATGACCCATGGGTCGGCATGACGGGTTCTAGTTGGGGCACTAGGGGTAATAACGGGCTGTGTAGCTGTGTGTAGAGGTGTGATTGCACCTCCCTCACACACCCCACACCCCCAGCCTCGTCATACAGTTCGTCAGTTTTCCTTATCGTTACCCCACCCCCACCACCGGCCCCCATAGAGCGCACCTGTACGGCAATCATGGCGGGTGTGATCCCCACCCAGATGTTCTTCACGATTGCGTTGCCTGCCGCGTTGAGGATGAGGATGCGGCCGCTCTCGGTGCCCACCACCAGGCAGCTCACGGCGTCGGGCTGCAGGGGGGGAGGGACACATTAGACCAAACCACATGAAACCACGAATGGGCAAGTTAACTGGGGAATGAGGCGGGGGGAAGACAGGAGGAGGGTTGGTGGCCTCTACAGGAATCGAGTCCGCCTGCAGGGGGAAGGAGGCGGGGGGTGGGGTCAAAGATATACCAGAACCACAATGGGGATAGAGTGAAGCAGGGGGGAGGGAGGCGTGAGTGCGGCGGCGGGGAGAAAAAATTAAATATGTGAAACAACGAGTCCCGATCCCTCGATCGTCTCCGATCTCTCGGGGAGAGGGGGTCGCCAGGGGGAGTGCCGGCATAGCACCTCCCTCCCCTCCTGCCCGCCTTATTTTGTGGCACCCTGCCGCTTCCTATCCCCATTGTTCTGTCCCAACCTGTGGTTTCCCCTATGGTTCGGTGTGCTCTTTGACCCCCTCCCTCTCATCCCCCCTGCCCCCCCCACCTTATGCCTTATGACACGGTCAGTTAGTTCTTTCCTCTTTACCCCCCACCTCGTCAACCATGTTTGCACCCCATGGTAAAGCCTCGTCATACAGCTCGTTAGTTGCCTGGTCAGTTTCTCCTTCTTTTCACCCACCTCGTCAATTGCCTGCTTGACCACGTCCCCCTCCCCCTCCCCCTGCCCCTCCCTCCCCCTCGCCCCCTCACCTCGTCAATTGCCTGCTTCACCACGTCCATGCATGTAATGACGGTGGTGCTCACCAGCGGCTGCCCCTGCCAGTGCTCCACGAACGCCATCTTGGCGTCCGGGTCGCCGATGTTCATCAGCTGCAGCGAGCGAGTCTGGAGCACCACGCCGGCGTCCTGGGGGGAAGGTGAGGGGGGGGGTGCGGGTGGGGGGGTGGGGGGGTGAGGAGAGTAGGAAGAGACAACTGACCAGTTGTATGATGGGGCTGGGTGGTGGGAGGTAAAGATAAGGGAACTGACGCGGTGTGGGGGGGTCAAAGACCATGCCGAACCATAGGAACCGAACCATAGGGTAGGGGAGGGAGATGAGACATGACGGGGGTTACTCAGCTCAGCTCGCGGGGATGTAAGGGTTGTGAGAGCGGGGCGGGTTGTGCGCGAAGGGGGTGTGCAGGGGGTGCGAAACGGATTCCCCCCAAGAGAGCGGGTTGCGGGGTTTACGGGGTTTGCCCGTTACAGAAGGAAGGGGCGGGGCGCCACGTCGGGGCCTCCCTTATTGAAGCATGGAACTACTAAGCATAGTGAGCGGGCGTGTGACACCTTCTTTATTACCGGTACCCTCCCCTTTCGCCTTGCGCCTTTCCTCCATCATTGTACCCGCTGGGGCCCTCCCATCCTTTCCCACCCCCCACCCCAGAGTCTTCTTTCCCTCCCCGTCCCCCCAGCTTTTCCCTCCCCCCCCACCGCACCTGCAGCCGGGTCAGCTGCGCCACCGCCTCCCCAATCACGATCTCACCATCCATCACCTTCTGCCTGCAGGAGGGCGGGCGGGAGGGCAGCCGAGGGGGGTAAGGAGGGAGGTTGGGAGGGAACGGATGCAATCCGAACCGGGCTAGCTGGCGGGCAGGAGGGCAGTCGAGGAAGGATAACACGTTTGTTGGGGTAAGAGTGAGTGTGAGCACAAAGAGCATACTGTACACCAGAGAAGAACCGCAAACAGAATGGCAACCGCATGCTGTATGTTCCTCCTCTGTTCCTCCCTCCTTCCCTCCCCTCCCAGCACACGGCCCTTTATAGAGAGAGACACACCCCTCAGCTCCCACGCACGCCTCGTCAGCCCTTTCCTCTCCCCCCCCAGCCCAGCCCAGCCACGCACCACACGTCCTGCTCCTCCGTGTTGACATTCTCCGGGGGCAGCGGGAACTTGTAGTAGGGGCGCAGGTTGCGGTAGATGTAGATGTTGGAGCCTGGCGGGGGAGGTGGAGGGTGGTGGGGGGGTTTAAATGTACTGAGCCGCGAGGAATGCCGAACCGGGGGGCCGGGGGGAGGTGGGGGCACAGCAGGGAGCGGTAGAGGGAGGGGTCATGCGACCCGGTCCAGGGAGGGACGGGGGGGGGGCCTGGGAGCCGGGGGGTGGCGGGGCGCCCTCCCAAACACACACACACACACACGTCCGGGCTGCAGCCTGTCTGTTGCACTGCGGCAGCTGCAACCCAGCAGCGCTTGGAGCAACCCCTTTCGGGAGCCCCTGCGCCTCCCATGTCACGCCGTTCATGTGGTGCGCCCTCAGACCGCCCATGTGTACGCGCGCTCAGACTGCCAGTGGTACGTGACTTCGCTGCTGCCCTGCCGTACACTGGAAGCCCCTGGAAGCGCCAACACAGGTACCAGCAGGGACGCCTGCTTGCAGTCCCCGGCACCCACGAACCACCCGTTGGCCAACCCACCCCACCCAACACTGACAGCCCTACCGGTATACGCATGCCTCCCAAACCGCCCCAAGCCCACGAACCCCACTGCACCACCGCCTCTCGCGGTCCATCCCCCGCGGTCAGGGCCAGTGTTTCCGCGGCTCAGCTTATCTCATCCCCCGCGGCCCCAAGGAAGCGGGACTCCCCTTACCAGCAGCCACGGCAAGAGCTGGCAGTCGTGGTGCCGTGTTTTCTGAAATGTAGCTGCAAATCGCGACCGGAGTGTCCAGCAGCTGGTGCTCCGAAGCCTTCTGAGTGCCTTTCCATACCTGGGGTCGGGCAGTTTGAGCAGCGGGAGGCCAGGTGAGGCATGGAGGGTACACCAACTGCTCAGCGCCGTTCCCTAGCCGTACCTTTAGCTTCCGATCCTCGTCAGCGATAACTAACCGATTGTCCCCGTCGCCAAACAGGTTACAAGTATGCACGCAAGGCGTGTAGGCTGTAATGCCGGCCACAGGGTCGTTGAATGCTTCGAGCCAAATGGACCGAAGAGGTGTGGCCTGCTGCCCATTATGGCCAGAGCTTTTGGCTAATCCTCCCTGGCCGTGTTCAGCAGCAGTATAATCGCTAGGGTCTACCATAGCGAATAGGTGTCCGTTCCTATGTCATAACTAAAGCTTGAAATCCATGTCCAGAGTGTCTACATCACGATGTATGGATGTTTCAATATTCACAAGAGCGAGGTTAGTTTGCAAGAAAAAGGCTATGACTTTTCCTAACTACATGTGTGTCTAGCTTTTGAAGTTTCCGTCCGAAAGGGATTCAACCGCTCAATGTCTACTATGTCTGTGCGAATGCAGGCACGGTGCGAACCGGAAGCAGAAGCTTCACCGACTATTATGTACGTCAGGATACGGAACGAGCACTGCGACGTCTGCGAGGTTAACTCAGTTCCATAAGGGTCTATAAGCACCCCTGCCCTTCTTGAACTCCTTCACTGCGTTCTAGAAAATGTGGCACGGCGTCTTGCACTCAGGTTTCTAACGGCTTGCGGTGTAGATGGCAGTTCAGGAGGCAAGCGGTATGCTGGCCATGCGATGCCCCTCCTGTGGTTTGAAGCTGAAATGTAAGCATAGATTACTTCCGGTGCTATTTCGAGGGGCAAAGTAGTGCAGGGGGTACAAACAGGCTTCCTCTGGGATGGCAGGAATCCCTTCACTGGGCCCGCTTTACCTTCTACTCCAAGCCATATCGCCAAACCTAACACAAGTCCCAGTGTACCTGCCTTCAAGTCTGGCCATCGCTAGCTCCCTACCCTTGCACAAGTAGGTGCTACGTCTAAACCTATTCACTACGGCCAGTTAGGGGCATGGAGCTTGCAAAATATCGTCACGGCATAGTACACCCCAGCACAAGATTATGTCGTGTGTACGTGTGTACGATAAACATGAGCCGCCCCTGCTATGGGGGTCTAGAGGCTGCTGGAAAGACGCGCCGCTCACTGCCAAGGGCGCCATGCAATCCGGGGAAAGGCGAGCCGCCCCCTGCTGGAGGAGGGGCATGCCTTGCTGGACAGACGAGCCACCTGCTGCTAGGGGGCTGAGTGCTGTGGAAATGGCGGGCCGCACGCTGCAGCACTGCTAGAGAGTCATGCGCTGCAAGGAAAACGATTTGTCCGCTGCTAGGGGCCCTGTGCTGCGGCAATGCCGAGCCGCCCACTGCAAGTCATGCGGTGCGGTAAAGACGCGCCGCCCGCTTACTCCGGCTGCTGTGTCCGCTATCGCCGGCCTTAGTCCAAAATTGAACAGCTTAGTAATGCTGTGCGGGCGCTCCTCGCCAGACGGTCCAAATCAGCCGGCGCAGCCCGTGGACTGCTGAGGCTGCTGGGGCCCCGCGTGACAAAGCTTGATTTCCGCATGCTAGATGGCTGTCAATATGTCTGGTTGGGGGAACTGCAAGAGCTGGGAAGGCATGCGGAGGCTGCAACTCTGCAGGCCGCGGCAGCAGCGGAATCACATGCGGTGGCTGCAGCGATCCGCTGCATGCCCCATCTGAAGGAGCTGCGGACGCCGGAATTGCTCCACGCAGCGGACCTGCCGGCGTTGACAACGCTAACTTGCCTGCGCGCGGTAACCGCCCTCCGTGCGTTTCGATTTCGTGAGCTGAAGGACGTCTGCCAGGACGATTTCCGGGAGCGTGGCCTGCGTGTGCGGGGGCAAGGGATACCGTCCGCACTGCCGCCGGCAGCTGCTGACGGCGCGATGGCAGCCACTGCGCGGCATGGCTTGGGGAGCTGGCGTCGTTGCGACTGAAGTCCTTGGCGCTGCAGAGACTAGACCTTTCGCCGCGGGATATGCTGGGGCTGTCGCGGTGCATGGCGGGAATCACGGTAAGCTGGATGGAGCGAAGTTATGTGCGCATGTCCCAGCACGATCCCACGCCTGACGGTGACTGGCTACCGTCCCTCCCAGTGATCATCGCGCAAAATAAATAGTTATTTGGCAACATGTGCATTAACGCGCAAAATATATTATTTGGTTCGGTGCCTGCGTGTTAAGGAAAATAATTACGTGGCCTCCTTTGCCACCCCCAAAACAATGGGTTTCGCACGTTTTCCATAACCCCCCGGGTTTCCCCTCGTCCAAGTGCACCCGTAGCTTTTAGCTTTTGCTTCCACGTTATCGGAAGGTACTTCGGATAATATTCCCTAGTCCCATGGTGATGGGATGGATGTGGGAGTTGGTGTTGCGCTCACAACATCACAAGCTTCCAAGCGGCAACACTCAGCGGGATGAACCGTTGCCCACGTGTGGAGTGAGCCTACATCCTCCCTTCGACAAGGCATGCACAGTTACCCGCAGGTTGTAGGCTTGTCCGCAACGGACATGCATCGATCACAGCTGTTGCTACAGCCGACATGGGATTTTCAGTCGTATGATGCAATTGTTTGCCAAATGTAAGCACGCTTGCTTTTGACTGGCCTCCCAGGGTTGAGCCTTCCGTTTCAAGACTTACCGTACTAGGCTGGCAACTGGTGTTGTACAACACTTTGGCAAAGCATACGCGGGCCAGGGCGCAAGAGTACCGGCGGTAATGGGCAGTTCCGCCAGATTCCCCGCCTTGGATTCACCCCTAACGGACCTGCCCGCCTAGCACCGTTGTGCTAGTTGTATTTGATATTTCCTTTATACAAAGGCCAAGCAACACGTAAATTACCTTAAGTCCAACACCAGGAGGCTGACCGTTATCTTGCGGGTGCGGAGAAGCCAAGCGCGCTGGGCTGAGGCGGGTTGCGCAGGGCTTTGCGGGTTATGCAGCGCTCCGCGGGGAACGCAAGTACGCAACCCTAATGTCGGCCGAGCCAGATACGCTGCGCTGCTATGGGTTTCCCGAGCAAGCTCGTCACTCCAAAGACCACTTTGTTTTGTTTACTTCCGTTTGCACATCGCCGCTGACAGTTGTGAATTGCGTTGTCAAGGGCTGCTTCCGGCCATAGCAGGAAACACGCCTGCAAGGCGCTCACAGCTTACTATGTACACATCCTCCCTAAACGCACAACGAGTTACGTTGGTTAGCTTTTGGTCGGCAGTTATTCGTCGTCGCTTACGTGGTTATCCGTCGACTACGTGCTCGTCCAACCCGGACAGGCCGTCGAAGCCCTAGGTGATTGAAAATGCTGGCGCAAATTCGCACACGGTAGATCCCGCATGTCAAGCACATACTGCACAAGTTCAACGGCATAGTGAGCGCCACAAGTGCCGATACCGGTAACTTTCCACGGGCAGTCCAGGGAACGGATCTTGCCAGATCCTAGCGCACGCAGGGAGCGCTATAAGAGCATCGCCGGTTGCAGGAAACTGAATTCTGTCCGGAATTGAAAAGCCTGACGGCTCGCTTCCCCCGTGTCTTGCTCAGTTGCTCTCCTTCAAGGCCGGGAGCATGATGTTGCCCAGCGACGGCGAGTCGCCGGGAGGAACGCCAAGGACTGATGGTTCACGCATTGTCGCCATTACATTATCACCAGAGAGTAAGTCTTCTTCGGCCAGGATTCGTGTCGACAGTATGACAAGGAAAGCTGGTACCGGTAGGTCCCGGCTGTTGTCTAGTGTATCGGGGAACTTCGCTTAACAAGGAACGGCCTTAACCGTTGATTGTGTCACAGCTAATTTTGCACTGCTGCTCCCCAGAAAACCTAACTTTGCACTGCTGCTCCCTTGCATTGCTGCTCCCCTGAAAAATCGCATGTTCTGCATGACGGCTTTAGGTCAACTCCCGTCGATGAAGAGAAGTGAGCAGGACTGCTGGATTGGCTTACTTGTTAAAAGTGGTGGCGGCAGGGAGAATTCCTGCATCGGATGTTGGGCATAGGGAGCGGCCGTTAAGGTGCGGCACTGATAGGCCCCATCTTGCTGGTAACCATTGTTATTGCGGCTGATGCAGGTACATCTAAGGCACGGGCAGAGCTCGAGAAGTTTTTCGTCGAGTTTGACAAGAACAACGATGGCACCATCGACTTGGACGAGGTGAGCCTAGGAAGTGAGAGCGGGTTATAAGGAAACCCGTTTATTTAATTGCACAGCAACGTGCTGGTTAATCGCAAGCAGTTTGGCAAACCAGTTACAATACCGTATTTGGATTTACCTGCATTTCAGTTCACGTGAACATGCCTATCCTCGCTTCCTAACTTCCGAGTACCGCCGGGCATTAGGAATACTGTTACTACTACATTACGCCATGCTTAGCCAGGGCATGTAGCGAGGGGGCAATTTTGTGAGGGATGTCTTGTTTTCTCTGTTGCACACTACTACCGCTGAAGGTTGATGTGTTTAGGAATCATGACAGGGCGCCTTACACAATACTACCGCTTGGCGGGGTGTTTGTCCGGCGCTCGGAACTTCCGATCGGCGTGGTGGTCCGGCCTCACTACAAAGAGCCATTCCAATCGGGTCCCAACTGGAGAGGGGCCAGTGTCGCTGCCTCTGCACCTCTCCCGTCATGCCTTGCACTAGGCGGTTGATGTCCTGAGACCCCTCGTATCCTGTACGGCAGGCCTGGACATGCGTGCATCTTGTCGTTCCCTCCTCCCCTCGCTGCCGTTTTCCACCCACCTCTTCAGTAGCAGCACAACCTCTTAACAAGCTCGCGAGCATGCGTTGCCTCAGCGCAATAGCCTTCCACTCCGCCTCTTATCTACGTTTTTGAACCCCGTCACCCCCCCACCCCACGTGTTCCTAGAATATTGTCCCCGAATGCGCTCACTGCATGAGCCGGGATTCGGGATTGGGACTCCATTGACGCACTTGTCTATCCCCCCGCCGAGGACTACCTGTCGAGGATCCCCCCTGTCGCCTGCCTTTGCACCCTGTTTTGACCGCCCACGCACGGCCCTTCAGCTCGCCAACGTTATGGAGAAGCTTACAACAGAGCGGTCCAAGAGCAGGACACTGAAATGGATCATCATTGCCATGAGCATCTTCTTTGCGATGCTGGTCGGTGCGCTGAGTGGCATGAGCTGGGGCGTGGTCGCCGCCCTGAAGGACACCAAGGTGTGTGAGCCACAGTATGTCAAGCCGAGGAAATTGATTTTGGTGGCCGTCTTCCTTTGTACCTCTGCGTGGGAAGTGGGTTAGGCCGGAGCGCGGGTGAGGTAGTACGATGCCGATGTCATACACCGCCCTGCCTACCCTGACTGCGCTTGTATGTGTCACGGCCGCATTCTTGCCTAGTAGCATGAAGGCCCCATAGCATGGGGGCTGGGTGTGCATGACTTGAGGCGTTTCACCCTCAGACTTGGCCTTGCCCTGCTGTGCCTCGCCCACTGGTCTTGACGCTCCCCAACCCCAACGGATCCAGGTTCATAACATGAATTGGGCTATTGCAAGTGTCTTGCAGGCATGCCACAGGGGCATGCGGGCCTCTGTGTGCCTCCATCTTGGCCTCCCACCAGCCTTTGTCCTGTGCCGGGTACAAGCAAGCGTGCACCATGAAACGTTCCTCTAGTGGGCTGCGTATACCTAGGCCCCCCATGCCATCCCACCCGTGCAGGTGGGGAACAGCGGCGTCATGTACCTCAAGGACTCGGACTCGGTCATCGTGCAAACCGCAAACAGTGACATGCTGGTTGCCAACGGTATCCTGGTCAACCGCCACGCGTTCGACCAAGGGCAGGCGACCGTCAACGGCGCCATTGGCGCGAGCGCTGGCAGTAGTGCAGTCGCCTCGTCTGTGCTGCGCACTGCCTCCTACCTTGGCGATCCCCACCGCTTCACGAGCGAGGTTTCAGTGAGGGCGCTCATGGAGCTGCGTTACCTGTATGTGAGTAGTGTGCGTCAAAGGGCGGGGCAGGGCAGGTGCGGGAGAGCCGTTGGTGGTTGTGCTTGAGCAGGTGCATTACCGGCAGTGTCGCTACACGTGCCCTGAGCCAAGACCTTGTAGGCGAGAGCCTACCTTCTCTATTTCACAGTATTTTTGCAAGTGGCAGAAAACGTTCATGTACAAAGTTCATAACTAGGCAGTCGTGTCTGGGGTGCAATACCGGTAATACTTATAAGGCTTGGCCGCGTGTCAGGCACTCCTGTTCGTTCCCTCCATCCGGGCTCAGGCCAGGCCCTCTACCTGCCCCTTAACCCCTGCACTACTGCGTCACTGTGTTACGCCGAAACACCACAAGATGTTACGGCACTTACTCTGTGTACTTTTGTGTACACCTGCTAAGCCCTCAAGCCCCACGACTTGTGCCGCATGCCCGCACCTGTACTTCCGCTTTTCGCCCTGCACGCCTGCCTGTTTGCAACACCGCTTCTGCTTTTCCATTCACGCATTCCGTCCTCAACCCTCCATTCGGTGCTTTGGAGCCCGTCCCCATTGCTCCCCCTTCTTGCTTCAATGCTCCTTATTCGCTAGCACTCATATCGCTCGCGGAACTCGTTGGCAGCTTCCAGGGCTCACTACGCGTAAGCCTCAAAGTGATGTGTCGACTGTATTCGGTGGTGCCGACCATCTTGTATGTGCCGACCCGTTGCAAGCGCCCAGAATGCCCGGAAATGTCATCGCATGACATACCTTGCACCCCTATCCCTTCTTGGGCCTTTGCCAATCCGCTGACACCATCTTGCCTGGCAATCCCCTTCCCTCCATCCCCCCAGATCCAAGGCCCCGACTCCGTTGAGGTGGCCCTGGCGGTGCAGGGCGTGGCGCGTGTGCCAATGGCCAATAGCACCTACGGCACCGTGGTGCAAATTGTCACTGTGGCAGGTGGGGTGTATGTGCAAGGCTGTGTGCAGCTGTCAGGCTCGCTTACCGGGCTGCTACACTCGATTGGAGAGGGGTTGATGAGCCCGACCAGCACGATTAAAGAGATTGTTTAGCCCTGGGCTCCTGGCACGCTTGAGGTGCGGATTACTGGTGTTCTGGCAGAAGTGAAAGGTTAATGCACACGTGTGAGGTGTGTGATCAGAAGCCACATGCCGCTTCAGCGCCGGAACCCCACGCCAAGCCCAAGGCCAACACCACACCTGCACTCCGACAAGGCCTTCCCTTCGCGGTTCCCTTTTTATGCCCTCACCCCAGGCACTATCACCCTTGACGGTGAAGTCATCGCGTTTTCAGAGGCTATGGCCAACATATTCTCAGAGGCCGGCTTCGTTGTCAGCGCCAGCCGCCGCAGCCTGCTAGGTGGGTGCTCACCGATTAAGGCCGCCATTCCGCACTTACTTGCCAGCCTGCGACATACAAGCCTAGAATGCCGTGCCAGATAGGTTACGGTCACTGTTTTCGTGGGGAACGTCCTACTGGAAACAACCTTTCCCTGGGTGCTCACTTCCCTGCCTCTTTTCCCCACTCCTCCGTGCCCTAGTTGCCACCTCTTCTCACTCTCCATCGCTCTTTGCTCCCAACCCCGCCCCTTTCAGGCTTTTATGACATCCTCGGTTTCTTCAACTTCATCGCCGATATGACCGTGTTTGACCTGCCGGTCAAGGAGCCCAAGCCTCAACTGCCGGCCGGGAACTTCCTCATGAGCATCAAGGTAGGAGCCGGCACAGAAGTATTTACTCATTTGCTGGCGGCTCCTGGCGCCTTGGAACTCCTGGCCCAGGTGGCCCCTTCACTTTCGTACGCAGGACTTAAAGGTCGTACATGCTGCATGGCGTCCTTCATGTTATCATGCCTCCTCTGCAATTGTGGCTGGATGGTCGCCTGGGTTCTATGCTGCCATACATCATCAACAAAGCATGTTCATTCCCCCATCCTACCTCACAACACCTCACCAACATTTCCTTCTGTCACTTCAACGCCCCCTTACAGGTCTACGAGCCCTGCGTCCTCCTGCTGAATACTTCGCGGGATCGTTGCGTGTACTTCCTGCCAGAGCAGTATCGGCCCGGCGCTGTCCCACCACCCATGCCGTCCGACCCGCCTATGCCACCACCTAGCCCAATGCTGCCCAACCTGCCACCCAATCCATCACCGCCCCCCATGAGCCCACTGTCAAGCCCGCCCTCCGGTAACGAAACGGCGGCGCCGCCCCCGCCCAGCGGCGCCACCCGCCGCACTAGTCGCCGTCTGCAGCAAGAGTTTCTGCACCTCACTCCCCACCGCAGCTTGCTAACTGATGAAGGTGCGTCCGTGACTGACAATGCTTTGTTCGTTTCTGCATTGTAGCTTTTGACGGCTTGGTGCGTGACCTGCACAATCCCCCCCTCCATCTATCTGCCTTGCCCCGTAAGGATTGCCACTCCACTCACAGTACTAGGGGAACGCGGGCGTGTAGACGCATGGTGGCGTTGCTGCGTACCTTGCAATTGCTCGTCAATCACTTTTTCCCTGCACACTATTCCCGCGCTTTGCCCTCGCCCCATGCAGCAGCCGATGGCTACTACGACCTGGCAGGAACGGAGGTGATTAACGGTGCTCGCTACATGGTCCAGTAAGTGCCCTTGGGTGCAGCCTCCACCTCCCGTGGGTACAGCAGCTTCTTATAGCTTTTGTTAAGAGAACTGGCCGCGAGTCGGAACGTGCTGTGATCGTCAGAAGATGAAGTCCTCACAGAACCGCCGCAGGAGCTTGTACGCGCCTGGGTATGTAGGCCGTTTGTGTGCATAGCATGCAGATGATGAAAGGCCTTGCAGCTTGTCATGCCCAAGCTCGTCATGCACCAGTATCCGTACAAGCGGTATGGTGCCGGTAGCATTGTACGACGCACCCTTCCCTCGCCGCTTTCCCGTAGCTACGAGACGTCCATAATGTGGAATGGCCTGGTGCGTACAATGTACGAGTTTGCGGCATTCCCCGACTTCCGCAAGATTGATGTGATGGACAATACTACCAAGACGGTCAATGTCTGGCAGGAGCAGGTTGGCCGTGGGGGGCTTATTGGTGTATCGCTACATGCCCATGCATTGTTGATGGTTGAACTGAGGAGCAGTGCCCATGCATGCATCCCGCACGTCTTGCATAACTGCGGTCTGCTTTGCCTGGGCATCCTGGTTCAGAGATTAAGCTAGTCCTGTTAGCTGGCCAAGGCTTGCGACTATCAGTCGGTCAGTCGGTATCATGGCTCGTGGCTCCGCCCCATCTTTCTTCAAGCTAATACCCTACTTGTCGAAGTAGTTTGCCTTCATAGGACCTTTCTCTTCCAAGGTCGTAGGCTCGCCGTCACAATATATCGCCTGCCCCAAACTTCCACACTTCCTCTCGCCCGCCCCTCAGGTCGATGCGAACGGCACAGTCATTGCCAATTACTACTGCAACCAAAACCCATTGCCGCCCACCGCCTTCGACTCGCTCAGCCGCTCCAACAAATCCCTGGCCAATTTCACCTTTATCGGTTACGAGGATGTGAACGACGCGTAAGTCGCAAACCCCATGCATGTGTAGCGCGCGTGTACTAAAGCAAGCGGACCAAGATTCAGAAACATGCCTCATCCTGCCAAGGTTAGATGCATGCATGAACCACTGTGTCATCGTGGTTTGGGTCAGGCAGGCCTTGTGAGCGGATACGTGCAACAGGAGCATTGTCCCCCAGCAGTCTGCCAAGGTCTACCTATGGACATTGATGCTGCTCCGCCGCCTTTCCCCGTGAACCCCTTCAGGGCCGCCCGCCACTTTCGCCTGGACATCAACCAAGGCAACTCAACACTGTCCGTCGACTACTGGGACTCTCGCCGCGACTACACGCCTCTCGGCTTTGAGTTTGTGCATTCCGACATCGGTGAGCCTGACTTGACTCACACTCGTTCCGTCGTACCGGGTGTCTACCGGTGTAGCAGCCATTCGTCAACGCAGGCGCCCCAAACACCGTTTCACTGAAACCACAGGCACTGGTTGTTATCAAACACGTCGAAAGCTCGAAACTGCAATGACAAAAAACACAACTGCACATGTTGTGCTGCATTTATGACTGCCAAGTCACTGACACTGTTAAGCCCACAACTCCCCATGTTGCAGGCCATGTGATGATCTACGTGACTAAGTTCCAGCACCTCACCGATGCTGACATCGAGCAAGAGCAGTTCATATGGCCGGCGTCTGTTGCTAACGCCACTTGCACCAACGACACCAGCGTCCCAAGGGTCACCTCCGCTTTCACTGTGCCGCTCTACGGCTCTAGGACCGAGGCGCGTCGTCGGCGCAGGCTGCTCACAAGTGGTTATACTGCTGATGCTTGGTTCGACGACGCTGAGGGTGTTGCTGGTGTCCATAACAGACAGGTGCGCACAAGCAAGGAACAGCTTGACACTGCCTTGCCTGGGTTGTTAGGGCTGTGTTGTCAGTAACATGTGACCTGCTGTGGGTAGGTCTTGGGAAAGGGTATACTATCATCAGAGGTTTCTGCGTGTTGCACCACACCGGTTGCGGTTTGTTGGAGGCGCCGCCAAGCTGCGTCAGTGTGTGTCAATGGTGATGGACCCAGGCACTGCTGACCCATGGGTCCTGGGCAGGGGAACACTCCCCGGCTGCGTGTAGTACGAACAGAGTGGGCGCTGGCCTACGGATGCAACTTACAATGCTGCAAGGCCCCACAGACTTTCTTAGGAAGCCATCCAGCCGGTGTTCTCTTAAATAGCAACCCGCTACGCTCCTCTGCCATGTCGCCTGACAGGTTGCTGCTGCAAGCACCGCCGTCGCACCCAGGCATGTTGGCCTTGGCGCTGAGCTGGAGGTTAGCAATGGAACCAGCAGCAGGCGTGCTGCCGTGGAGGTTGCCATATCCGAGATGTGTGGCGGCACCACTTATGAAGCAATAACCTGGCTTGCGCAGCTTGAGAAAGAAATAAAATGCGGAGTTGCGGCTGCGAAGTATGGCCCATCACACCAGTATTTGTACATGGCATTGGGATGCGACGACGTTCCCAGTGAGTGTGTGTGGGTGCCATCCAGTCACATACTGCAATCCATTGGTGCATGAAGGCCCACGCGATAAATGCCTTCTTGCCTTGCGCTTCTTTTGGCGACTAACCGTACTACTTGTGGTGAAATGTGTATGCGCGGCCGCGCATATCAATCCCTGACTGTTACAGTGCCAGCCACTGACCATCTTATCCGAATATCGGTTGGCAAGTGCGGTAGCCCATAATAGATCACAGACGGAGTCACAGTCTGTCGCACACATCACAGTCTGCTGGAGATATGACCGCATGCCAGGAATCCTTAACTCTACTTGCCCCGTGTGCATGTCTTGCAGTCCCGTACTTCCCCTTCCTGAAACTTGGTGGTTTCATCGCCATTGAGACTTGCCCGACTAACATCGTGGTAAGCAACGGGTGGCGTACGGGTTTGTCGCAGACATATGTCACTTTGTCGTTTGTCTTGAATCGCAAGCACAGTCAAGTACAGTTGCCAACAGACGTCCACTATGTCCCCGTACGTGTGCAGCTGGCAGGGATGTATGGCGGCAAGCAGTCCCGCTATTAGTCCTTGCACGAACCAATTTTACTTTGCAGGTCGCATGTAGTTGTCTACATACGCATATAGAGTGACGCGTGAAGGTGATCAACACGTTGTTGGCTACTCACACGTAACCACCTTACTTGTGCCCAACCTGCAGGCCAAAGGCTGTCTCAAATTGACACTTTCCCTGAGCCCTCTAAATCTTGGCTGGCTGGGCAAGGTAAGGCAGTACCGTGCTTGGGTCATTGATAACCTTTAAGCCCTGTTGTATCCTGTATGTTAGGCCGTCCGTCTGTGCAGGTTGATTTCGAAATATGCAGCAGAGTTTGTGATGAGCGGCGGCAATTGCTGGCCCTTAAACTTCCCTTGCCTGCTACTGCAATGTTTGACACAGGCGTTGGAGCAAGGCCTTAATATCGCTAGTATAAGCATTTGCGCAGGTAAGTCCCTCCTTGGACGACGAGGCTTAGTAAGCTTCACGGTAGGTAAGCTCCAACCAGCAATATCCCGCTGTACGCCTTCATTCACCGCCTTCTGGGTGTCTCTGCCTGATCAATATTTCTAGTTTCTCATCATATTTGTATACCGGTATAGCAGCTGACAACCGTCGTTTGGCCGAGGCATGCGTATACTGATCTATGGTTGGCCGCTGGCCAACTGACAGTGCTAGTGGTGTTGATAAGTTGAGCCCCAAAATCACAAGTGCCTTCTTCTTTACCCATGCCCCAATTTGCATGTGCTTCTAAGTCCATGTGTGGGTTACACGCGCCCCTCCAGGTTACAACTTCAACGAGAAGATTGGCTTCGTGTTTGGCAGTTTGGAGGTCCACTTGATTCTATTTAAACTGGAGGTCTACGGACAGGTTGAGTTCAGCAAGTGTTGTACCAAGTTTGCCTCAGCGGGTGTCGAAGCCTGGTTTGGCATTGACCTATTCTTTTGGAGTTGGTACGCACAAATTGGCGATTTCAAGATCCCCGGCCTTCCACACTACTTTACTGGTTCCGAATCCGAAGATCAGCAGGAGACCGATGCGCTAAAATGTAAGTTGCTACGGGGCAGCGTTACAAAACCCTAGTTGCCTGATAGTCCACATTACATAAACCGCAACTGGTGTGAAGGTGTGTGCATTGTAGGTGGTATCTCCCCTGCAGAGTCGCCTGGCGCCTAGGTTTTCGTTCGTTCCTACCAAAGACATTTCATCGCCGGTGTGATTGCTGCTTGGTGCCATCTTCACGTGCTGGCCCCTCGCAGATTTCCCTGGCCACATGGGATGCCTGCACGACTGGGTAAACAGCCAACGGGCACTGACTGACATGATGTCCTTTGATAACCCCAGCATGACCCTGGAAAGGTGCAGCATGATGGCAGCCATGAAAGGCGAGTTTCGGGCGCTTTCTCCGCCTTTCCTACTAGTGTAGCTGGGCTAGCTGCCGCCTATTGAGTCATTGCCTTAATAGTCATTACACTGTCAAGGGAACCTTCCTGCCTGGCATGGCTGTTACGACTTGCCTGGACCATCTCTCTTGCACGTGCAGCCATGTAGCAGCGCAATAATTCGATTGGGCACTTGGCATTCACGCAGTAGACCGTACGTACGACACTTTGACCAGTTGCCGTACACAGTGTCCAAAGTGTTATGTCAGCAGGAGGCCGCACTAACTGATGCGCACCTTGGACAGGCTATTCCTACTATGCCGTCGAGGACGGGGATGAGTGTTATGGAGGCAACGACCTAAAGTACGCGCTGCGGTTTGGCTTGTATGATGAAAGCAAGTGCCAGAGGCGCTGTGGCGGAAATGGATACCAAGTTTGCGGCGGTGTATCAGCTATGACTATGTACTACAACTTTGATACGGGCAACTACGTCGGTTGCTTCAAGGACTGGTATGACAGAACACTTCCGGTCAACCTGGCAAGTTGGGATGGTAGCATGACCAACCAGAAATGCAAGGGCCTCGCCATGGCTAAAGGTAGGTCTTTTGGAGTACTTGTCTGTACCAGCAAAGGTATAGACAAGTACATAACGTTGTACACGTGCGTGCAGTTGGTGTTGGCATGATTAAAGCAAAGCCGGGTAGTCCTCTCATACGTACTGTTCGTTGCTTTGTTCGTTGCTTCGCATCCTTGCATTACTGTTAAACGACCACACGCGCAATGCTTAACCGGCGGGATGCATGGGGTGCAGCATTGAGGCTGCAACGCATACCGTGCTGTGTTGCTGTTTGTCTGTAAAGGCTGCTGCTGAGTTCTCGTTATCCCGCGCGTTGCCATTAATCTTCATCAATGCTACGATGCAGTATCTCGTCCTGCAGTAGCAGAAGTACTCCCCCCGTGCATGTACACCGTATAACATCTTTGCAGGCTATCCACTGTACGCTACTCAAACTGGCAATGATTGCTGGGGAGCAACCGACATCTACACGGCGCTCATGAGGTATGGTCCCGGCGACGGATGCACTGACGCCTGCAAGGGTAATGGCGCTGAGACGTGTGGCGGCTCATGGCGCAACTCTGTCTGGTTGAACCTCGACTCCAGCGGCCGCATCGGCTGTTTTGGTGATGGGCCAGATCGTGCGATGGAAGTATCCCTTGGCGAGGATTGGGGGGCAATGACGCCCCAATTGTGCGAGCAATGGGCGAAGCATTCCGGTGAGTAAGCAAGGGTTGCGAAGCATGCAAGTTGCAGATGGTCCATCACACGGAAGCCGGTCAGGTTTATGTTGTCGGCGGATGTATGTTCTCCATGTAGCTAGTGCGTGGTACGGAAAGGAGTCTGCTTGGTTACCACTTGCCCAAGCTCAGTCTACGTAAACAGCTACCGTATACATGCTCTTGCTAAGCAGGCTTGTTTGTGCACCGCAGCACCGACGTGCGTTCACGCTCAAACGCCTTTCCTCTTCCCACACGCAATTCAGGCATGAAATACTATGCTGTAGAAGCCGGCGGCCAGTGCTTTGGCAGCACCAAGAACCTGGCCAGCATCCTCAAGTACGGCAAATATGGCAAGCCAAATGGTTACGGTAGCTACAGCTGGTCATGTGACAATCTCTGCACGGGCGACAAATCACAGTACTGTGGCGGGGGATGGGCTCTGCAAACGTACGTTGTCAACCACAATGACGGCTTCCTAGGCTGCTTTATCGACAACCCAAACCGGGCACTGCCTTATTTGCTGGAGAGTTCAGGTTCCATGACGGTCGAGCGCTGCAAGCTTCTTGCCGCATCCAAGGGTAAGAGGCGACAGAAGTAGTCACCTGCGGGTATGGCTTCAGCTCCCACTTTGGTAGTGCACCGTGGTGGCCTTTGCCATATAGCGTCCACAACGCCGAAGTGGGTGTGTTTAACAGACTGGGCCAACTTGTAGAGGCCTAATATGAATTTGCAGCTGCAAGACCTTACCGGTTTGCTAGTTGATATGCACTATGCATGCAGAACTTGTAGCCGTGACTGCGCTCAGGGCACACCAGTACAACTAACCACCCGTTGGGTTCATCATAACCCGTAACGGTCATTCATTCATTCAACTAACCACCGCCATTGTAACGGCCATTCACTCATTCAACTAACCACCGTCCTCCACATGGCAAACCCTCAACCCTGTAGGCTTCAGGTACTACGGCCTTCAGTGCCATAAAGAATGCTTTGCCGGCAATGATCTGGTGGCGGCCACTGCTTACGGCCAGGCGGCTGGTACTGACTGCCGTGACCGCTGTGATGGAAACAAGAACCAGATCTGTGGTGGCGGGTGGAGAAACAGCCTTTATATAGTGCTTGAGAATGCCTGATTGACGAGTTTGACAGCTCTGGCTAGGCGAAGGGGCCTTCTGCTGGCCAACGGAAACGCCGAATGCCTGAGGACGCCCGTGAGTTGATGAAGAAGCGCCTGCTCTGCGTCTGCGCGTTTAGGAAACTAGCTATGCGTACGCGTTTCATGCCTAGCCGTATAGGCCTGTACCTGCTGCGTCTTGTTGTGATCTTGTGTGCAGCCGCACCGTAGTTGCCACACTTCCTTGGTTGTGAGAAATGGTGAGCCGAGGCAGTGCAATTCTGAGCAACTGTAGCTTAGGCGATGTGTGCCTTGGTGTCCTTGGATCCAGTCCAGTCTGCGATAGGCCCGGCTCGACAGCTGGCAGCTGTCCGGTCGTTTTGTTGTATAGTACCAATAGGATCTGTGCGTGAGATATAGATAGCAGGATTTGGCTGCGCAGAGATGCAGAGATGCAGGCGTGCGAAAGTAGCAGGATTTGGCGTGCCATGTGTAGATGTGCACCAGAGAGCAGACAAGGAGGCTGCACCGGCAGTTGCGTGCGGACGCTCCAGGAAAGGATGGTTTTCCCCGGGTGGGCACAATCCATGTGGGTGTGTTTTCCTGTATTTAAGGTGTCTGCGCAGTTAATATGTGCAAGCACGGAGTCGAGCCTTGCGGTGCAAGCATGTTTAGGCGTTTTTATCAATTAGGTCCGGCTTGGGCTTAAGCATGTAGCTTTGTAGCTTATCACCATTTAACTAATAGCGATAGGGCGTGTGTGACCAGTGTAACATCTGGGTGCTACTTCCTCTTTTGCGGCTGGGTAAGGCTGCTATGCCACTGTCTTACGCATTTAAGTGGCGCCCGTCTGCATGCAGTACGTAGTACAAAGCCAGCACGGGTAGCTCATTTACTTCAGTGGCTGCAGGCACACACATATACCTTGGTTGCCTGAAAGTAGGGTGACTACCGATATCCTTGCGCATTGGGCTGCTGACCAACTATAACGTTATCAGCGCCAGCTTTGTTGACTCGTACTCCAGTAGCACTCACGTCTGCTGGTCGGGTCTTGCTTGGCAAGAGAGGCACGAAGCAAATGGCTGCGTAGAACGACATGGACGCATGACAGCAGACCAAAGTCCCTGCGGCCCGCCCAGCCGCCCTCCCACCCCGCGGCGGAGGGAACAGGGATAGGGGAAGGGTAATGTGTGGGGTGAGCACGCATGGGGTGCGCTGGCGGCTGCAGTGTGGGGTAAAAATAAAGAAACACTGACAAACTGAATGACGAGGCTCCACCATGGGTTGCTAATTGGCCCATCCCAGCCCACCCGTATTAGTCAAGCCAAAACAACAAATGGTCTTACCGTAATGATGAGACTTACTGCAGCCATGGCCATTCGCGATAGGAAGACGCCGAGTAGCGGAGATAGTGCATCGAGGGGAGTCCGCCGCGCCGACGGTCCGTAGGTCCCGCAACTCACACAGCGACAACCCAATGACTGATGCAAACCCATACAAGAACACAGAACAACGATTTACGAAGAACCGGCTGACTTACCTGTAAGCAGATGAGTAACCGCCGACCGAAATACGTAGGTCAAGGCCGGCGCGTTGGATGAAGACCAGCGACGAAGAATGGGAGGATAGTACATGCGAGCATATTGAAAGGAAGGGTGAGGAGCAGTCCAGGCATTTATCGAATTCATGGTAGCGGAGTGCAGAATACAATGCCACACTCCCTGTGACCTAAACCTAAAGTGGGAAACTACGGACCGAACGACGCGGAATGTGGGGGCGGGGGTGAGCATGCAATATGAAGAGTGGCAGACGTGTACGACAAGGCGGGACAGGAATTGCGAAGTCGGTGGGAGGGATCGATATATTGGCGGAGGAAGAGCAGGTGGCTTGGTGAATGCGGTATAGTTGGTATAGTTACCCAGGGGTAAATGTTAAGGGCATGAATGCGGGCAAGTGGAACAAGTGTGCAGTGGATAGGCAGGGTGCGGTCTGTGTGAACAGATCCCCACAACACTAAGTACCTTCCGGGTAGTTCACTGCAGTGTGAACTGGCCGGTCCTATATTGATAGGTGGGTATGCGAACGAGGGAGTCCCCACGAACATGGGGCATACAAGTTATGTAACCGGGGGGTTAAGTGAACCTAGAAGTATGGACGAACGGAATGGCAAAAAGGTTTAAGATGTATTAAACAGGGGAGGCCTAAATACGCCAAACGCCAACAGGTGTGGCGGCGTTTGCCGTAGGACGGCAGCCCGCTGGCTGAAGTCCGCTGACAGAGCTCCGCTGACCAGTGCCCGCGACCCCCATCCCGCTGACCCGGTCCCGCTGTATGCTCCGTGGCTGCGGTGGCTCCAGTGAGGCCGTGTGGGGTGGGGGTGTGGTCATCGCACACAGCAACTGCGTGGGCACATGCACCACTGCTGGATGGCCCTGTCCGCCCCCCTCAGGCGGTGCTGGACGCATTGGACGGAATGGTGGAGGCCACTCTGCCGCTGCTGCTGTTCCCGGGAGTCGGGGGAGTGCGGGAGGGCGGAGGCAGCGGGGCTGCATTAGGAGTAAGATGAGAGAAGGCGGGGCGCCCCGACTGGTACGGCTGCTGGACGCCGGTTCCATCCACGGGTTTAGTGGTTGTGTGCGCCATCCCATCCTGCCCGTTTGTTAAGGCGAGGTTGTGGGCAATTTGCTTATCAACAAGGCTCGACGATAGCTTTTGCGGTACCGGGTATCCCTTTCTATAAGCAACCATTGTGGCCACCATGCATGCATGGCCTTGCACCTAGAAGTTCTGATGCCTAAAGCTGGCTCCTTCACTTTCCGAATCTCCACGCCACTTACCGATATTGCGCCCTGTCCGCCGACGATTCACGGGACCATGCTGTTTCGGATTAAATCAATGCCCAGGACCGGTACTGCTGGATGGGGCCCAGGGGCTATACCCCAGGGGGACCCGCCATCGGCATAAGCCCACCGCATCCCCTACTGTACCTGCCCTCCTTGTCATGCCGCTGGCCCCCACGTACCCTGCTCCATGCCCTGCGTCCCTTGCCCCTTACACCTCAACAGCTCTACGACAGTCTTTAGCCATTCCTCCGCCTCCTCCCCGTCCAATAGCCCGCCTGTCTCAAGGCTGTGCAGTGCGTTATACTGCTAAAACCGTAATCGCATGCACTCTCAGCTGTCAGGGCTCCACCCCACCCTCGTTCTCTATCCCATCCAGTTGCCCCTTCTGTCCTCACTCCCACGTCCCTGCCGTTGTGACCCGGCTCTTACGCTATGTTTCACAGCCCCGTCAGCCAATCCTTCCAGAACAACTCCACCTCGCGCCCGGTTCCCTCTCAGTCGCTTCCATCACCCTTCCACTGCCTGCATGGCGTTACCTTCAACGTACTCCCGGTTCCACCCTTACCCGTCCAGCTCACAGTCCCGCCCTTAGACTGCCCAGCCTCTTGGGTCCTGGCCACACCATGCAGAACGACCCCCCTACTTCTCTCGTGCGCTCTTCCTGCGTACTGGTCATTATAGAACACGTTGTGCACCGTCATCTCCCGAAGACAGCAGGGGGCTGTCGTTCTCATGATTCGTCAGCGCAAGCTTACTCCTGTGCAGGTAAATTTCCCCTTGGTATCTGGTTGACACCGGTGATGGGATGGATGTGAATGTGAGTCGGTGTTGCGCTCACAAGTTTTCAAGCGGCAAAGTACTCAGCAGGACGAACCGTGGCGGATGTGGGGAGTGAGCTGATGTCCTCTTAGCGACAAAGCATTTACAGTTACCCGCAGGTTGTAGGCTTGTCCGCAACGGGCATCACAGCTGTTGCTACAGCCGACATGACTCTCAGTCGCATAACGCCAAGCTTTGCCACATGTATGCACGCACGCTTTTGACTGACCTACCAGGGTTGAGCTTTCCATCCGATGGACAAAACTTACCAGGCCGGCAACTGTTGCTGTACAACACTTTGCCAAAGCATACACCGGCCAGGGCGTCCGCTTCTACCAATCTTTATGGCTACCTTCTTCCAGTCTATTACTGCTTTCTTGTAAACCATGCATCCTTGTGAGCTAGACAACTTTCGACCTTTCCGATGCAGCACCGACGCCGCTTCGGTAATAGGTGCCAGTTATAGGCAGCTATAGGTAGGGAACATCTGAGTCTCGGTAGCCGTCCCTTTTCAAGCTTATGAGCACAACGTCGCTACCTGGCGCTACCTTTTCGGCCAGAACTTCCCTTTTCTTTTGCTCGGTGCCAGTTTGATTTGGAGACACCTATCTAAGACATCCATTATTTGAAGCTGCAAAGCTCAGAGGGTCTGACATTTTGTTCGGTAACTGGCAGGTAAGGCAGGGTCGCTCCTCCATTTTGCCACTGCAAACGTGCAACGGTCACATACATACTATAACGTTTCACAGGCAACGCCTAGGAATGGCTGATGAAGTGCCGGAGGGCTCTTTCGCGCCCTGGCCCAAGAACGCAGCGGGACAAGGTGCAGCTGAAGGCAACGCTAAAACGCACCTTTCATCGCAAAGCATCGATGGTGGAGACATGGACGATTTTATAGAGGGAGATATCGGCAACGACCCAAATGTCGACATGGCCTTTTCTGATATTGGCGACCTAATCGGGGAGCTTCAGGTACGGTGTCTGCGGCTTTCTGGACTGCTATCTTGGGCTAGGTTGCTTGAGCCTGTTCCGAAGTTTAGTATGACAAGCCCGCCCTCGGCTTTCCCTCCATCTTGCTGCTTTTAGTCGATGCTCTCGGGTTCCGCACAACGGGCTCCCCCAAGGCCTATAGAGGTAGTTCCAGTTGGAGGTGCACGATGGCGAGAGGTACAATCCCGTCGTTCGCTTGAGATGACGTCCGCGCAAGAGGTGGGTATGCGCGCTTTTTCCTCGCGTAGCTTTGTGCGCTGCTGTAGCGTGGTTTAGGCACGGGTTCTGTGTGTCACAAATGGGGATCTCTTTAGATGGAGAGGGGATGTTGGGTTGCCTGTCTCCTCAGGGCGTCGGAGGCAAAGGTGCTGTGTCTGCACAAGTGCGTGGCACCTTGCCATGACTTCTTCCCGGGCAAGGATCTTTTCTGCAGGCTCCAACTTGCTACGTCCAACTTAGATATTCCCTAATCTTCCGCCTCTAGGTCGCCGAGCTGCAATCTGCGCTGGCCGTTTCGAGCGGTGCTCTGCGTGCCTCCCAGCAGCAGCTGCAGGCGCTGAGCGGGCGCGTGGAGGAGCTGCAGGGGCAGCTGGAGGTGGAGTGCGGCCGCATGCACGAACTGCACGAGCAGGCGGTCAAGGTGTTGCAGGTGAGCAGGCGGGGCGGGGGCAGGGTGGGGTAAAGAGGAAGAAACGGGGATGGTAGGGTGGTTGCTTGGAGGAAGGCGGGGTGGTTGTGGTCTGCGGGGAGGTAGGTTGCGGCTACTGGCAAAGGGTTCAGGTGGCTGCCATAATGATCAGGGAGGTCGGATGCGTGCTGACATGGGGCGTGAGAGGGGTGCAAGTCTATGTGTGACTCGTTTAGCAATGGATTGGTGTCCATGTTGGGAAAAAGGGAGAGCACAGTGGGGTCTAAGGCGGCAAGCGGCACCCTGCTAATGCACGACATGGTCGGAATCTATTTTCTTGACACGCTTTAGTCCGGTAGAGGTGTTGGTAGTACTTTTGAAGCTACAGCTACAGCAACAACACTTCGCCCCCTCTCCCTCCTCGCCCCTTCTCCGCCTCAGGATCGCATCCGCTCCCAGCAAGCGGCTGCAGACGCTGCGGCGGCAGCAGCCGCAGCTCGCGAGGCGGCGCTAGGGGAGCAGCTGAGATCCGCCACTGCCTCCGCCGAGGAGTGGCGCATGCTGGCGGAGCGGGCTGCTGCCGCCAGCGCCGCTGCCGCTGTCGCCACCCCGCCTTTCTCCTCCGCAGCCGCCGTGGCGGCGTCTGCAGAGGCCGCTGAGCTCCGTCGCTCCGTGCGCGCTGCGCAGGCGGAGGCGCAGGCGCAGTCCGCGGCCAACGCGTGCCTGCGTGCCGCCCTGGCGGAGGCGCAGGTGCAGACGACGGCCATGGCTGCGACCAACAGGGCGAATACGGCTTTGATAGGTCAGCTGCAGGCGCAGCTGGCAGCGCAGGAGGTGTTACTTGCGTCGGCTGTCGCGACCAGTGAAAAGCTGGCGGTGGGTGCGAGCTGCTCTCGCGTGTTCCGGGCTGTGCTCGAGGCTGCAGCTGAGGAGGATGTGCGCAAGGCCGTGGCGGCTGTTGCAGCTGCTGAGAGGCGCGAAGAGGAGCTAGCGGTGAAGGCCCTGTGCGCGAGGGTGTTTCGTGCCGTCGAGAGGGCGGCAGCTGCGACGACAGACGCCGCTACTGCCGCCGCCAACGGGCGGTTGCTGCTGGAGGCTGAGGCGAGGGCTGCGGCCAGCCAGTCCCTCTTGCGTGCTGCGGAGGAGCGGTGGGAGCTGGAGCGGGCGGGGCTGGCATCGCAGCTGGCGGACCTCCAGACGGCTGCAGAGGCGCAGCAAGCCACTCACGCCGTCGCGCTGGTCTCCCTGGAGCAGGAGCAGGCGGCGTTGCGGCAGCAGATGGCGGCGGCTCTTGAGCAGGTGGACCGCGCGCTGGCGGATGCGGCAGCGGCGGAGCAGCGGAGCCGCGTCTGCAGCTCCGAGGCTGCGGTGGCCCTGACGGAGGCGGCTGCGCAGGTGCACGCTGCGGTGGCGACCGCGGAGGCGGCGGAGCAGCACCGCAGCAGCTGTGCTGCCGCTGCGACGGCGGCGCTGGCGGATGCCGCTGCCGGCTGGCAGGCGTCTCTTCGCGCCGAGGCGGTGCTTCGGCAGCAGGTGTTTGACTTGGCGGAGCGGCTGGGGCAGACCCGGTCGCGAATGCGGGCGGAGGCGGAACGTGCGCTGCAGACGTTGCGGGCTGAGCGGGCAATGGAGCAGTCCCGGAGGAGCGCGTTGGAGGCAGCGCTGGCGGAGGAGGCTGCGAAGGCGCTGTGTTGCCGGATCTTCCGGACAGTGGAGCGCTCTGTTGCCGAGGAGGCGCTGGCTGCGGCTTATGAGCGAGAGGCGGAACTGGCAGCCAAGGCGGTGTCTGCACGAGTGCTGCGGGCCGTGGAGCGTTCAGCGTTGCAGGCAGAGGCCTCGAGGAGTTACGAGGACCTGACGGCGCGGGTATCTGCAGGGGAGGAGGCGGTACGGCAGCTAGAGAAGATGCTCGAGGCGTCCCAGGCTGCTTGCATGGTGGTCGAATCCCAGCGCGCTGCAGCTGAGGTCAGGATAGCAGAGCTCGGCCGGGAGGTAGAGGACTTGGGTGCTCAGCTGGCGGCGTCCGAAGCCGCGGCCTCGCAGCTGCGCAGCCAGCTGGCGGTCGTGATGGAGAGCGGTTTGCAGCAGGCGGAGCTGCAGTCGGCAAAGGCAACTGCGGACTGCGCTGACATGCAGGAGCAGCTGTCACTGTCACGCTCTGTGCATGAGCAGCTGCACGCTCGTCTGGTCGGACTTGAGGTGGAGATGCAGAGCATGGCGGAGAAGGTGGCGGCGGCGGACGCGGTGGTCGCTGCTGCTGCTGAGGCGGCTGCTGCTGACGTGGCAGCGTTGCGGGAGGATCTGGAGTCTCAGCGTGTGTCGTACGCGGCTCAGGGCATCACGCTGCGGGCGCTTCGGGGCGCTGAGCGCAGCGCCCTGCTGCGGGAGCTCCAGGCCGAGCGGTGCGCGCACGCTGAGACCCGCATGCGGCTGTCTGCAATGCTGGCGGCCCACGGGCGCATGAGTGGTGAGGTAGAGGCGTTGCGTGTGGCGCATGCGGAGTTGGCGGCGGAGGTGGAGCACTCGCGCCGCACCGCTGAGCGGCTGTGGCACCAGAACGCCCAGCTGCGAGGCGAGCAGGCGGCGGTGACGGCGGAGCTGCATGCCGAGTCGGATGCGCGGCTTGATGCGGAGGCACGTCTGGCTGCTTCTGTAATGGAGTTGCAGGCAGCCAGGGAGGCCCGAGATGCTGAACGCGCGGCTTCTAAGGCAGGCTGCGCTGCTGCAGCAGCTGGCTTGGAGGCTGCAGTGCAGGCGGTGGAGGGAGCGGAGCGGCGTGCAGCTGAGGTGCGTCTGGCAGCTGCCGTTGCGGAGGAGCAGGCCGCAGGCGCGGTGGCGCGTGCGGCACTTGAGGCCCAAATCACCGACTTGCAGCGCGCTCGGGAGGCGGATGAGCAGCGGGGGCGCGAGCGTGCGGCGCTGCGGGCGACCCTGACCTCCCAGCTGATGGAGCTCAGGGCGGCTGGAGAGGTGCAGCGAGCGGAACACGCTGCCGCTCTGGCCGCCCTGGAGCGGCTGCGTGGGGAGGTGGACGGCGCGCAGCAGGAGCGGCAGCGCCTGCAGCAGCAGCTGGCGGCGGTGCAAGCGCAGGCGGCGGCCGTACAGCGGGCCGCGCAGGGGCTGAACGGCGCCTTGCGGTCCTCCCAGGCGGAGCTGCAGGAGCAGCGGCAACAGGCGGTGCTGGCGCAGGCGGAGGCGGCGGCGGCTAGGCAGCAGTTGGCGGAGATGGTGGAGGCGCAGCAGGTGGTGGTGCGGCCGGAGGCGGTGACTGCAGCGGCAGCACGGGCGCATGAGGCCGTACGGCGGCGGGGGGAGCAAGGCGGCGGTGCAGGTGCTTTTGCTACAGCCGCCGCTGCGTTTGCGGCTGCGGCAGCTGTGGAGAACCAGGTCGCCGACGCGAGGGAGCTCAGGTCCCTTGCGGCCTGTTCTGGATTGGGTCGGAGCTTCAGCACGGTTGAGCTGCCCTCACCTGCCGTACTTGCCGTACCCGCCATGGACGTACATCAGTTGGCGCTGCTGCAGAGCCGCGGCTCTTGGAGGGCGTGGGCGGTGGCGCAGATGCAGCTCGCATTCATGCGCTCGGGCGGGGCCAGCGAGGTTGTTACTCAGCATCAGCCGCAGCCTGCGCCGCAAGTGCAGCCTCTGGTGGTGGCTCGCAGCCCAATGCCAGCGCCGTCAATTTCGGTGGTGGACTCGGCCTCCACATCTGCTTCAGCTGCTGCTGAAGGGGAGCACACCGAGACGGAGGCGGAAGTGCACGCCTTGGTCGGCCGTGTGTTTGCGCGCGTCTTGGCCTCTCAGCATGGCACCACCGACACTGCAGCTTTGGATGCGATGGCCCTCGGCACTGCTGCTGCTGTGGAGACGGAGCCTTGCGCGGCATCTGCAAGCCCCATTATCGCGGTTGCAGATGCCCTTTGCGAGCTGCAAGCCGGTTTGGAGAAGCTCCGACATGCAATGGCAACGGCGCAGCTTACGGCCGCAGCGCCGACAGTAGAAGAGGAGGAGGACGAAGCCGGGGAAGAAGCGGGCCGGGTCTTGGAGCCGCAGTCTGTACCGCACTCCGCTGCCGTACGACAAGCACCCCATGACAGCTTCTCGGCTGGGGTGTTGCGTCATCTGGAGGCCCTTGGACGCGACTTTCTGGCGTTGACGGGCGGGCTGGAGGGGCCCGATGCAGCAGGTGGGCCCGATGCCAGCGGAGCGGGGGATGCCGCTGGCGCGCATGGCAGTAAGGGGGCGCTGACGGCGGCTCTTGACAGCGACGGCCTCCTCATCAGCAGCACCTCTGCTGAGGTGGTGGCGGACGCAGCACTGTTGCTGCCCGGGCGCCTGGAGGCTGCTGCTGCCACCATCACACCTCGTAGGCAGGCGCAAGGCTCCCAAGCGGGGTCGCCGCTGCCCTTCATCGGCACTCCAGAGCTGCAAGACGCAGCAACAGCCGGTCGCCGCCGGCAGCAGCAACAACAGCCTTCCCCGGCGGCTGTTGCCGCCGCCTCGGTCCGTGTCCGCAGTGAGGGCGGGGCTGGCAGCCCGGGCAGCAGCAGCAGCAACGGCCTGGCGTCACGCCACCGCGGCGGCTCCGCTGGCGGTGGTTACGCCAGCAGGGGCGTATGCACCGCAGCTAGGACCCTGACAGCGAGTCACATGGCGGCGCAGGCGGAAGCCGACCGCCGGCGGCATCTGGGCTTGCGTGCGGCGAGTGATGCTGGCGGCCGTATGGTGCAGCCGCGTACGACGATGCCTGCCACACCTGAGGCGGAGGAGGTGGTTGGAGCAGGTTGCGGTACGGGCATGACAAACTGCGCGACGACTGACATGGGGGAGGAGACAGCGTCGGCAATGGAGGCCGTGTGGGGACAGCAGTCGGCGGCTATGCCTGACATGGTTGCGGATGGTAATGAGGTGACCCATGGGTCAGCATCCCAGCAAGGGCAGGACCCCCAGCAGCAGCAGTACTACCCTGAGGGATATCACCCCCAGCAGCAGCTGCTGCAGCGCGGGTCGAGCGGTGCTGCTTCCGCAGCTGAGATGCGGATGTTTGACAATCCCATGTTCATCACTCACGAGGAGGAGGGGCACGAGAAGGAGCATGCGCGGCCCTTGCTTGAGGCCCGCAGCAGCGGCTGCGAAGGCATTCCGGACGCTGTGAGTGATGTCATGAGCGAGGCATCCGTGAGCTCCGTTGCGGCGGGAGGAGGAGGAGGGCGGCGGGCCACGACCTCCAGCTTGCCCGAGGCTCCGTCGGGGGGGCTTCAAGCGGCGGCGGGGCAAAGAGAGTCGCTGGGGACCCCTTCTCGTTCGCGTGGGTCGAACATACCCCGGCTGTACGACGACAGAGGGCAGCGTCAGCAGAGCATCCGAGCAGTGGGAGGTACGGCGGCGTTTGCAGGGCCGGCACGGTGGGGCGGTAGCAGCGGCAGCCCCAGCAGCAATGGGGGGACGCCTATCCGGAGTAGCGGCGGCGGCGCTTGGGTAGTCGGTCGCGGCGGCGGCGGCGGGAGCGCCAGCAGCAGCGGAGGAAGCGGCGTGGGCCAGCTGGAGCAGCAGGCCACGGGTTCTCCGGGGCAGAAGGGAAACAGCGCTGTGGCGAAGCAGTACAAGAATACGGGCAGGAAGCTGAATAACAAGGAATAACTGTGTAAAGTGGGCGGATTGGAAGGATGCACTGTGCAGGATTAGAGCGCGACTGGGGTGATGGCTAGGAGTGGTGCGTTTGGACTATTTTGGCTGCTTGCTTAGTGCACATTTTGGGTGGGTTTAAGCACTCGGACAGGGATCTCCGGACTGCTTGCAGGAGGACATAAATACCGGTAGCATGCATGTTTTGTACATGCGCGCATGCACAGCTTATTCTTCTTCAAGTGGAGTGACACATGGCTTGGGAAGGATGTTATGCCTCATAGTTTAACGCCTGCACAGGTTTCCTGCCAAGCGTGGTGCTTGGGGGGCTCTTGATTCTGTGCCGAGTCGCAGAGGAAGCGGCTGGCCAGGAAAGCGAACAGTTTATAGTTATAGCAGGTTTGGCGACGGCAGGTTTGCCGCGATTCATAGATGCTGCAGGGAGGGCTGATGTTTAGGTTTCCTTTTTAGATGGCCTGGTTACCGGTAGTATCATGGTTAGGGCACGGCAGCATGCAGCAATTGGGGAGCCCCGTTGGTGTTTTGTCCCCGTGCTGTGACGTATGGGCCGTGCAGTGCTTTTTGCATGTGTGTGGCTTATGGCATGATAGCTTGGCGTGAGTGAGGTTTCTTTCTTCTTGGACATCTTGCTGTTTCGTGTTGCTCCAAGCTTATGAAGGCCCGTATGGTTTCCCCTTCTGCCAAAACTCCTGTGGCATGTCTTGTGATGTTTGCGCTCAACACCTCTTGTGCGGAGTGCTAGGTGGCTCTTTCTCAATCAGGGTATGGATGCTTGGGTTAAGTTTAGGTTCCGGTATATGGAAAAGGCATAGTGTAAGGTCTGGGACCTAGTGCGGGCTGTAGGCTACTTAGGAACATAGGTGGCCCAGCTTACAACGGGCAAAAACATAGTGATGAAGCTCGTGTGCTCGGAGCATTGCAGTGCTGTGCTGTGTCTATGAATGCGTATAGCGTACGGAACTATGGACATGAGGTGTTTACCTTGCCAGCCTTGACAGGTTTTAACCCCCTGTGGAGCAAGGGTTAAACCTTAAAGGATATGCTCACATGTAATTTGGGATGCGCGAGGAAGCCTTTCAATAATTTAGTTAAATTAAATCTGGGTATGGCTCTACACTGCACCGCATGTCCGCTTGATAGCCATCAGCGTAGGACAAAGATTCCAAAGCGGTTGGCTCGCAAGAATAAACAGTGAAGGTCTGCGGCGTACGTATCTAGGCAACATCGTGGGAGGTCGACTGCATACCGGTAGCATGAGTGCATGACGTTGTACCCAACGCTTTTCACATGAACGGAGGTGTGAAACATGCGGGGTGCGATATGCGGGGTCTTGCACGGCGGTCACGGATCGAATGTAGAGCGTACACCGTACCTTTTTTGCATGGGGGTCAGTGATGAACAGGTCCAACTAACCAATGGGTCAGCTCGTAGGCCCAACCAACCCATGGGTCAGTAGGTAGGACAGCTCCCCTCTGGATAAGGCCTGGCATCACCCTCAGAGTGACCCGGAGTGTGCTGTTGTACGGCAGCCGTACGTCATGGGTTATGAGGCTTATGACACTGTCTCCCACCCCCCTTGGGGCCCCCTCATCGCTCACGCTCCCCTGATCACTCCCGCATCAGCTCCGCATCACCACCTCACCATGCTGGGACTGGTAGGGGCCAGCCTTGTGCTCCACCTTCCACGGACCCGAATGACCCCTTTCCTCTGCCTAATGCTTCCAGTTAGCACCTTCTCGCGTTACATGCATTGTGCGCATGGCGCCTTACACACCACACTAGAGTGCCTCCGATTTACCGGTATTAAGGTTATGTCGACGTTCCAGCGACCGCCCTGACAAGACCTGGCAAGAGCCCTAGCAGAAACCATAACAACCAGCGCTAGAATGCTCGTGCTATGACGAGCTTCGTCGCGAGTACGAGGGTTCCCTGAGCTTTAGCAGTAGGTCCATGAGGGAGATCATGGCCTCTGCCTCTCCCGAGGCTCTGGCTAGCTACCTGAGCCGCGTATGGGAGACCCGCATGTCTGTCAGAAACCACCTACGCAGAGCCCCTAAACGGGGGCATGTAGGGGACCCTGACTCTGATTAACATCGTTTCCCATAGTGGCCTTGGCCCCCCTGGCTCGTACGGACACATTGTGCACGCATGCAAACTGTAACTGTAATCAGCACAGGGGTGCGGTTGGGGTTGTAGGCTTGTAGCCACACCGTCCAGCCGTGACACACCGCCTCGCTGGAGGAACCCATGTCATGCCCTGTTACCGGCTTTGTGGCTATCACGGACGCGACTGTCCACATCACGCGCTACTGCCACAGCCCCGCGGGTCTGTTGGCAGTAGCAAGGCCCGCTGCCGTTGGGATGGCTATGCCGGTAGACGAGAATGGCACTCATGCAGCGCCACTACCGGTAACAGCAGCGGGTGAGCAACCGAAAGGGATCCACTACTCAGGACAGAGACGGCTTTGCTGTCTGAGGAAAAGTACGGGGGGGGGGGCAGGGGATAATCAGGTAACCCTGACAGAAGGGCGCCCGGATCACGGGCAAGGACGACCCAACAGGACGTATCGAGACTCACCGAAATAAGGGATACTCGAGAAGGAAACCTTGCAACCATGAGATCAGCAGATGTTCATGCCTTTAACCCGTACTCAAAACCCCAACACCATGCCCAGGTGGCAGAAACAGCTATAGATGGTGTGGTGGTCAGGAGGAAGCGGCTGTTTGGTATCCCCACCTATGGGCGGCTATACAGCATTGAGGTTGCAGGAGCCACCCTGATGGAGACCATGGGTGGGTGTGCCTTGCGGCGTTTAGCATATTACCAAAGGACTCCGTGAGAGTACCTGCCATGGGAAGGTGGAGGTAGATGAACGACCGGGACCCACTGGCACACGGCGTGCTTACTGATGGTTGGCGTGCTGCATGTCTGGGTATATTGATCTTCACTACTGTGACCCGTGATCCTTCCCTCCACGTTGCTAGTTTGGTGTGTGTCGCTGCCAGGTTATGGCTTGCCGGCTATGCAACAGGGCTGTCCACATGCGCTATGCTTTGGACGGGGCAGTGAACAGACATCCTTGCGCATTTGACGCTGTTCTGGCCTTCCTATAGAAACGAGCGGCTTGCAGTGCAGTGTTTGTTGGCACAGGGTCGGTGTGAGATTTTACCGAGTTCTGCTATACAGCACGAACCTCGTTTTCTGTTCGGCTGTTTCACTTCTAACGTAATAAGCGGCTGTGGATGTTGTAGTGCTTCGATACGCTACCTCGGGGCATCACTGTGCCCTTGAGGGCAAGCTTGCGCTGCTCGAGAGAAGGCGTTGGACATGTTGCGACAACAGCGCGTCTACGGCACTCTCCTGAGCAACGGTAAAGGAATGCAAATATCAACATACCAGTTGGCCATATGAGAATTGTTAAACGTTGCTGCATAAAGCAGGCTGCGCTTGGTGGTCACTTGGTAGTTAATGGTGCGCATCGCATGTCGCCAGCTAGGGACATGTAACACTTGGGTTGCGGAAGGATAACCCACAAACCCGTTTTACAAGCCAAACAAGCGACTGCTAGCACTAGCCGCTGCAGGTATGGCACCGTTGTGGCAGTGAAGGAAGGCACAACGACATGGTTAGTACTGTAACGCTTACTGGCCAGGAAGGCCTATCGTGTTCCCTGACAACAGTACCCTTGAGAAAGAGTATCTAATTAAAGCTTTTTGTTGCGCCCACGACTTGACATGGTGGCGAGGTCCCTTACTTTTTCGAAAATTGGATCACGCGTTGGATTTCATCGTGACGCCTTTGTCTGCTAAGCTTGCAAACTAATACAACTTATTTGTCCCACCTCTTTGCGAGAAGCTGCTATAGCTTGTAGGTCGTGTCCCTGCTTACATTTTCCCATTGGTACCCACTTGGGTTTAAGTGCGACTCAAGGACCGAACAACTTCACCACTACATTTGCCAACATCCACAGCTATTTAACCACAGCGGCATTTTTGTTTAGGCAAAACGGCTGCCCCCAGCGTCTTCTACCATTTGGCGCTCGAACACCTTGCATCGGGGAGCCCTGGCGCAGCCCACGCGCTTGGAGCTACGTGCTCCTGCGCAAGATGTGGGCGACAGCGCAGCTTGACAGTTCATCCGTCGAAAGTAAGAAAGTTTAGGTTAACGGGGGGGCCATTCACATCAAAAGCACGTTACTTACGCCTTCCGAAAACCTTCCACAGCACACTCACCACTTACACGCTATCAAGTGGTAAACAACACAGTCGTTTCACCGGGGTAAGTTATTAGCTGAACTTAAGTTCATGCCCGAGTAGTTTTGCAGCTACCGAAGGAGCTCAGCCAACGCACTTTGCTGGCTTTAAGCTAATAGATATGAAACTACTATGCAGGCATACGCGTGGCGGTGGCGTTCTTCAGCCAAGGAAAGCTCCCATAATGTGGCGCTCGCGAGGCGCGAAAGTCATAAGAACTGTACCAGCCTGGAAGGGCTTGGCCCTGGTAAGTTCTCTTACATTTAGCACCCTCCGTTTTAGCGTTTTCTGCCAACATGTCTGGGGCCGACGCTCCCCCAACCCGACTTCCCCCATCGACACGTGAGTTCAACCTTCTCAATTACAGGCAAGCAGGAGTGCAGTTATTGCACCATCGCACCCTCGGTCGCCAGGTAAGAAATCTCCCCAGTATGCCGGTGTGCGTTTTGCAAAGCGTTTCCTTGCTGATGGCAAGCATGACGGACTTTCCGCCAACCGCTCACCCTAAAACCCATCTACCTGTTGCAGGGCCCACGGATGGCGGGGAAACGTTTTCGCGTTACCTACAAGAAATGCTCCAGAAGGAGTATACGCTTGGGTATATCGTGATGATGATGCTCAGCAAAGGGGCCTCAGCGCTGTGGGTGCTGCTAGAGTTGCTTTCACACATGCAGTCCAGCAACACAACGGTGAGTGAACCCCCAGCCTGCAAACGGCTTCAAGACACGCCATAATACCTAAAACTCGTGGCGTCTTAGGTCATCACCAAAATTGAAAAGGTCATGTAAACAGCGGGGTTTAGCGTCCCCCTCAAACCGCACACCGTTCAATCACTCCCCGTCGCATTGTTCGCTGCCAGGGGCTTCCCCAACCTCCGCTGCAACTCCCTAACCCCCGCAACTACTGCCTCCTCTGTTTGCAGGATCGCCGACGCCCTCGAAGGCCCTCGTCCCAGCCTCGGAGCCCCTCCTCCGGCCCAGTCCTCTCCCGGGCCTTTAGGGAGCTCTCCGCGCCTCGCGTCTTCTACATCACCATTGAGACCAGCATCACGGTGCCGAGCAACGAGGAGCTCTCTGACGTGCTGCAGCTGCCTCGGCCGGTGCCAGCAACCTCACAGCCTCGGCCCCGGCAGTCCCCTGCATCCACCCGACCGGAAGGCATAGGTATAGGCTCCTTACCGCGCCCGCCCGACAAGCCTACTCCCAACAACCGGCCTAGAATCAGTGACGGAGGCTGTGGCAGCGGTGTGGGTAGCAGTGGCGGCAGCAACTATAGCGGTGCTGGTAGCGTCGCCAGCCGCAGTCCCATCAGCAGTGAAGACGGCGGCATCGCCGCTAGCTCCGGCGGCAGTGCCGGCGGTGGTGGCGGCAGCGGTCGCAAGAGCGGTGGCGGCGGCAGCGGAAACGGCGGCGGCGGCGGCGGCAACAATGAAGACCAAGGCCGTACTCCCGGCGGCGACGACGACCGCAACCCCAACCGCGACGCGCAGCACCCAAGCCTCTGGCAGGCGGTGGCGCTGTGCCTCGCCTTGGTCCTCACGCCCAACGCCCTCCTGGAGCTCATGATGAGCCTCTCGCAGCCCCTCCTGGAGCCGCCCTCGGCCACATCGGAGCGCACGCGTCAACAGCGGCAACGCCTCACCGTCCGCATCTCCCCCCCGCTCCGCCGTCGCTTCGTGCTGCCACACCACGCCGCCTCCGCCGCCCTAGACGGCGAGGGAGTGCTGGTTCTGAGCCCGGCCAGCGCCGCAGCACGGCTGCTGTTCCCCTCGGGAGGGAAGCAGGCGGCAGGGATGAGCGCGGAGGGATCCATGTGGCTCGCCTCGCGTATGGCGGCGGAGGAGATTCGACCGCGACTGAATGCCGCGGCGCGAGTTGCGGGCCTCGGTGGTGACTTGTGCAGTCTGCCGCTGACGGCGCAGGTTGCGAGTCTGGCGGATGCGCTGATGGCTGCGTACGAGAGGGAGGCGAGGCTGGCGGCGCGGCTGATGACCCGGCGGGCCATGAGCTTTGTGATGAATGAGGAGAAGGTGGGGGTCATGGCGGGGCTTTGCATTCGTAACACGCAGTCTTACTCGGGGTCTTTTCTTGAGTACTTTGTTTCTGGCAAGCCATCCGTTTTTACGCTTTTTGGGCTCGGCGCTACACACCTTAACCCCCGTCCTCACGCTCATGTCTTTCTCTACACACCCCAACCTCAACCTCCTCCTCCACGTGTTTCCGCCCCTGCAGGTGAACGAGCTGGCCGCCATGCTGGACGAGTCCACTCGCGCCCTGGCCGCCTCGCAGCGCCGCATGGGCCAGATCTCGGAGGGCATCGAGGCGGTCCGCATCGAGATGGAGGGCGACCTGCTGGCCATGCAGGCGCACGTGCAGGAGCTGTCGGAGCAACGAGATGCGCTGGTGGTGGGTTGGGGGTTGGGCGGGGGAGTGATGAGTGGGTGGGGGAGGGCTGGGGGGTCAGAGATGTACCAAACCCACAGGTGCTGGGAGTGCTGGGGGGAAATGAACGGTGGTTGGACGTGTATGAACCTACCGTTTGTTGCGCATTCTTAACCCACACACACTGCATCATCATCGTCGCTATGTTGCTCTTTGCTATGGTGTTACGGGCGCGTTTCCGAACCGTCGTTGCAACAGCGCTAAACTCCTATCCTCCTGTCCCATCCCGTTCTTGCCAAGCCCCTTCACTCAACCTGCCCCCGACCAATTCTCCTCCCCCCCTCGTTACCCCTCCCCCTTCCCCTGCAGGCCCAAGCCTCCGCCAGCCACGAGGAGGTCCTCTCCCTGACCGAACAGCTCTCTGCGGCCGAGGCTGCCACCCGTGACCTCGCCTCGCAGCTAGAGACCGCGGAGGCCGCGCGGCAGGAGGTGGGCGCGCAGATTGCGGACTTTGCCGCTCGTCTCACCCGGCTTGACGGCTCCATGCGGCTGGTGGCTCAGGAGAGGGACCAGGAGCGGATGAGGGGCGAGGGACTGCTGGAGCAGCTGAAGCAGGCATCCCTGCTTGCTGCTTCCCTGGAGGTGAGACAGGGGTGGGCGGGAGTGGGAGGGAAGGTGGGCGGCGGCAGCCTGGGTGGGGATTGAAAATCTCACGCAAACGTACAACGGTATGATGACCACCATAGGTGCGGTCATTGTTAACCTTTTTTGTTGAGGCCATCCTGACTTTTGCACTCCCCGACCATTTCTACCATCCCTTCTTGTCCCACCAGGCGGCCCTTGCCTCCCCCAACAACTCGGCCTCGCCCACAAGAACCGACGACACCCTCGCCCAACAAGACTCCTCTCCCTCCTCCTCCCCAACCTCCTCCCCTTCCTTCTCCACCCCCTCCTCCTCTCCCTCCTCCTCCATCCCCGCCTACGTCAGCGCCCTGCCCGACCAGCTCCGAGCCCTCCTCTCCACCGCCCAGCAACGCACCGCCCGCCTCTCCCAGCTCCAACAGGAGCGCGCGGCCCTGCAGCAGCAACTGGAGCTGCAAGCCACCGCCCGCACCAACGACGCCGAGCTCCTCGAGCGTTCCCAACAGGAGGCTCAGGTGCTGCGCGGAGAGGTCATGCAGCTCGGGGCGCTGCTAACTCGAGCCACGGAGACCCGTGAGGCACTGGAGATGGAACTAAGGGCCGCTCAAGACCGTCTGGATGACCTGCAGGACCGCCTGAGGTTGTCCGTGGAGAAGCTCTCGGATGCGTACCAGGCGAACAGTAACACCGAGGCGGAGCTGAGGGTGGTGCAGGTGCAGTTGGAGAGCGCCCTCGCCTCGGCGGATGCCAGTGAGGGCGAGCGGCGGGCTCTCGCGGAGCAGCTCGCGACCACCGTGCTGCAGCTGCAGGCTGCGGAGACGGAACGAGATTCGCTGTTTCAGCAGCTGGATCGCAGTCAGCGGGAGCTTGGGACAGCTAGAGGGCACTTGCAGGAAGCGCAACGCCGGGTGGCGGAGGCTCTGTCTGAGAAGGGCACGCTGCGGGCTCAGCTGGGTGAGGTACGGCAGCAGCTGCAGGCGGCGGAGGCGGAGGCTGCGACCAAGGCCAGTCGATGTCGCGTCGCGGAGGAGGCTGCGTCGGCCATGTCGCTTCAGTTGTCGGGTGTGCGGGAGGAGGTGGCGGCGGTGGCAGCGAAGCTTCAGAAGGCGCATGCGGAGGCGCGCTCAGCCATTGCTGCGAGGGAGGCGCTGGCGGCAAGTGCTGCGGATCAGCTTCGAGCCGAGGTGGCAAGTCTGCAAGTCCGGCTAGCGGAGACGCAGAAAGTACGGCAACGGGCGGAGCGGGAGGCGGCGGATCTGCGTGTTGAAAAGGCGATGTTGGAGACGCAGCTGGCGCAGGCGCAAAAGGCCCTCAAGATTGAGACGGTGGTGGGCAAGCAGCTGGTGGCCAAGCTCCGTAACGAGCTCGCCGCCACCGTCAAGGCCCTGCAGGAGGCGCAGACTGCTGCGGAAACCGCCCGGGCTGCCGAAACCGCGCAGGCGGCGGCCCTCGAGACTGCCACCTCCAACGCCGCCACCCTGCAAGTCTCCATTCAGCAGCTGCAGCAGTCCCTGGCGGCGGCGGAGCAGCAACTCGACCGCGACCATGCAGCCAGCACGGCTGCCATTGCTGTCGGGGAGGCGCTTCTCGAGGCCCTCCAGGACCGCGAGAGGGAGCTACGGGACCGCGAGGCCACCAACCAGGGCCTCCAGGCGGAGCTGGCGGAGGTGACGGCGCAGCGGGATCATGAGCGAGAGGTGGCGCGGGCCACCGCGGAAGCCAAGTCGTTGCTGCAGGCGCAGATGGCGGAACGGGTGCTGGAGCTACAGTGCCAGTTGGGGCTTGTGGAGGCGGCGTCGACAGAGGCCAGCAACTGGCATGCCGCGAGAGCGGAGGAGCTCCAGCGCCGGTGTGAGGTCAGCCTTCGGTGCATCCGTGACTTGCAGGCGCAGCTTGAGAGGAGCGAGGCGGCCAGGAAGGGGCTGTTGCTGGAGAATGCGGCAGCGGAGCGGCGGCAACAGGAGCTGCAGCAGGTTATTGCTGCTGGGGAGGCGGAGCAACGGCGACTGCTGTCTCGTGCCACTGCCGCTGAGGCTCAGCGGAGGGAGCTCATGAACCAGAACAACGCTGCCAAGGTTGTCCGCAAGCAACTCATGAAGCAGGCCGCGGCTTCGGAGGCTGATCGGCGCCGGTTTGAGGTGCAGGCGAGGGAGGCGGAGGACAGGCACAAGGCACTTCTCGAGCAGGTTGCGGCTGCGGAGGCGCACCATCGTGAGCTGTTGGTGAAGGCGGAGGCGGATAAGGAGCAGCTTCTTGCTCAGACGGCTGCGGTGGAGGCTGAGCGGGATGAGCTGTTGGCGCTGAAGGAGGCTTCGGATGGTGAGCGTCTGCAGCTGCTGACACGGGCCGAGGAGGCGGAGAAGCACTGGAAGCAGTTGCTCTTGCAGAAGGCGGCGGCTGAGGCGGAGCGCGACCTGTGGCTGTCACGAGCTGAGGCAGCAGAGGCGGCGAGGGAGGAGCTGCTACAACGAAACGAAGCTGCCGAGGCGGACCGACAGGCTCTGCTGTTGCGGGTTGCCGATGTTGAGTCGGAGCGTGATCGGCTGCTAGCCCAGGCGGAGGCAGCGGAGGCGGGGTGGCGGGAGCTGCTAGGGCAGAATGAAGCCGCGGAAGCAGCACGACAGCAGCTGCTGCAGGAGGTAGAGGCTGCGGAGGCTGCTCGGAACAACCTCCTGCAGCTGATGCAGCAGGCGGAGGCTGAGCGGGAACAGCTTGTTGCCCGGGCTGAAGCTGCTGAGGCGGAGCGCGAGCGACTGCTTGCACTGAACACCGAGGCTGTGACGCAGCGGCAACAGCTTGTCGAGCGCGCGACAGCTGCGGAGGCCGACCGGGCTGCTCTGCTTGAGCAGGCGGCTATTGCGGACGCTGAGCGGGAACGCCTGCAGGAGCAGCTCACCAGGGCTGAGGCGGAGCGGCAGAGGCTAGTGGCGGAGGCCGCACGGGCGAATGCCGCGCGGGCCGGCCTCATGGCGGAGGTTGCAGCGGCTGAAGCGGCACGTGCGGAGCTCACGCGGCAGGCTGCGGTTGCGGACGCTGAGCTGGAGCGGTTGCTGGCTAGGAACATGGCGGTAGAGGAGCAGCGGGAGGAGCTCATTGCGCAAGCTGAGGCGGCGGAGATGGAGCGGGAACACCTCTTGCAGCGCGCCGCGTTCGCCGAGGCAGAGCGTGAGCGCTTGCTGGACGAGAATCGAACCGCGGAGGAGGAGAAGCAACAGCTCTTGGAGCAGGCGGCGGCGGCGGAGGTGCAGCGAATGAACCTCTTGGCCCGGGTTGCGGACTACGAGGTGGAGCGTGAGGTGCTTATGGCGCATGCAAACGCTGCGGAGGCGGAACGGCAGCTCCTGCTGTCACAAAACGCTGAGGTCCGGGCGCAGCGGGAGCAGATGGTTGAGCAGGCGGCGGCTGCCCAGGCGGAGCATGATCAGCTTCTGCAGCGCGCTATCGATGCTGAGGCGGAGCGGCAGCGACTGCTTGCTCAGCACGCTGAGATGGAGGCAGAGCGGCAGAGGCTAGTCGAGCATGCGGCAGCGACCGAGGCCCAGCGGAGAGATCTGGTGGAGCAGGTTGCGGCGGCTGAGGCTTCACGGCAAGTGCTGCTAGACCAGGCTGATGTGGCGGCAGAAGAGCGTCGGCGCCTGCTGCAGCAAAACGAGGAGGTGGAGCTGGAACGGCAGCAGCTGTTGCAGCTGGCAGAGGCGAGGGAAGCGGAAAGGGGGCACCTAGCGCAACAGGTCGAGGCAGCGGAGACGGAGCGGCTAAGGCTCCTCTCGCAAGCCGAGGCTGCGGAGGCTGAGCAGCGGCGCTTGATGGAGCTTAACGCGACCGTGGAATCCGAGCTGCAACGACTGGTGGCTCATGCAGCCATGACGGATGCAGAGCGGAGGCAATTGCATGAGCAAGCAGTCATCGCTGCGGCCGAGCAGCGGCGGCTACTGGCTCAGCTTGCGGAGGCGGAGGAGGCGCGTCGGCAGCTGCAGGAGCAGGTGGAGGAGGCGGATGCTCAGCGGGAGGACTTGCTGGCTAGGGTTGCGGAGGCGGCGACGGAGCGGGAACAGCTCCTCCTGCGTGCAACCGCCGCCGAGGCCGAGCTAGAGCGTCTCCTGGCTGACAGAGAAGCAGCGGATGCAGAGCGGCAGCGGCTGCTGGAGCAGTTGGGAGCGGCGGAGGCGGAGCGGGAGGCCCTCATGACGCGTGTGTCGGAGGCCGAGGCGGAGCGCATGGAGCTTCTGCAGCAAGCAGCTGAAGCCGAGCTCGAGCGGCAGGCCTTGGTCGCCCAAAACACAGCCGCTGAGGAGGCCCGTCAGCAGCTCTTGGAGCAGGCAGCGGTGGCGCAGGCAGAGCGGGAGCACCTCTTGGCGCGGGCGGCAGCAGCGGAGTCTCAGCGTAACGAGCTCCTGGTGCGTGCTACCGCTGCCGAGGCGGAGCGGCAGCGGCTCCTGGACGAGCATGCGGAGGCCGAGGAGGAACGGCAGCGCCTGATGGAGCAGGTGGCGGAGGTGCAGGCCGAACGCGAGGAGCTCCGGGCAGCCAACGCGGCCTTGGAGGTTGCGCGGCTGCAGCTGGTTGAGCAGGCTACAGCGGTCACCCGGGAACGTGACGAGCTGCTGTCGCAGCGGGATGTTGCGGACACGGAGCGGCGGGAGCTGCTAGAGCTCGCGATGGCTGCAGAGGCTGCCAGGCGGGCGCTGCTGACTGAGGTTGCTGCCTCGGTGGCTCAACGGCAACAGCTTTTGGAGCGAGCGGAGGCTGCGGAGGAGGCGTTGCAGCAGCTGCAAGGACGCAACGCAGCTCTTGAGGAGGAGCGGGAGCGGCTCTTGAGGGAGGCTGATGCCGCCGCGGATGAACGCGTGGGGCTGTTGGCTCAGGTGGCTGCGGCGGAGGCTGAGAGGCTGCAGCTTATCGAGGCGGCGGAGGCGGCGGCGGTGGAGCGGATGGGGCTGCTACAGCAGGCCGCGGTTGCTGAGGCTGAACGCAGCGAGCTGCTTCGGCAAAAAGCCGAGTTGGAGGCTGAGCGAGGACAGCTGTTGGTGCAGGCGGCCGTGGCGGATGCAGCGCGTACCGAGCTTCTTGAGCAGAACGAGGCTGCCGAGGCTGAGTGCAGGAGGCTGCTGACTCAGGCTGTAGCAGCGGAGGCCGAGCTTCAGGAGTTGCGAGAGCAGCTCTTGGCGCAGGGTGCTGCCTCGGAGGCGGAACGAGAGGCTCTGTTGCAGCGCGCGACCACTGCCGAGGCACAGAGGGCTCAGTTCTATGAGCAGTACAACGCTGCTGAGGCTGGCCGGCAAGCGCTGCTGACCCGTACGGAGGCGTTGGAGGCTGAGCGGGGTGAGCTCCTTGCGAGGCTGGGTGCTGCAGAGGCGGAGCAAGCGCGGCTGCTGCGGCAAGCTGAAATCGCCAATGCCGAGAAGGATGACCTGCTAGCCCTCGCGACGTCAGCAGAGTCAGCGCGCAGGGAGCTGATAGCGCAGAATGCAGCAGCTGAGGCCGACCGGGAGCGGTTGATCAACCAGGCTGTTCGGCTGGAAACCCAGCGCGGCGGGCTGCTGGCTAGGCTGGAGGCATCGGAGGCGGAACGTGACCAGCTTATAGTCAACCTGCAAGGAGCCGCCGCCTCCCGCCAATCGCTTGAAGCCAGGATCGCAAGCGAGGAAGCCGCCAAGGGCGAGCTGCAGGTCCTCCTCCATACCACGGAGGCCGCCCGCGCAGACGCCCTGGCACAGCTCTCGGACGCCAACTCCTCCCTCTCATCACTCCAGCAGCAACTCCAGCGGGCCAACGCTGAGCGGCAGCACCTGGAGCAGCAGCTCTCCTCTGCGGTAGAGGAGCGGGCCGGGCTGCAGGAGCGGCTGGCGGAGGCGGAGGCGGCGCACCGGCACCTGCAGACCTGCTTTGGGGTTGCGGAGGATGCCCGGCAGCAGCTGGAGGCGCAGGTGACGGCTGCGGATGCGGCTTTGCTGGAGCTCCGGGATACCGTCAGCAGCGCGCAGGCGGCTCGTGCGGAGGTGGTCTCACTGCGGGAGAGCGCTGCTGCGGCCCGGGAGGCGTCGCATGCTCAGCTGGAGGCTGCTCAGAGGACGAGTGCGCAGCTGCAGGAGCAGCTAAGTGCTTCCGAGGCGGCATGCGAGGAGCTGAAGGCGCAGCTGGAGGAGTCGGATGCAACCCTGGGTCAGATGCTGGACCAGTTGGTGGCAGGCGAGGCGGCGCATCAGGCCCTGCAGAGGGAATTCGAAGCGTCGCAGGCTGCATGTGCGCAGATGCAGGCGCAGCTGGCACGTGTGGAGGCCGCGGCTCATGATTTACAGGCGCGGGTTGGGGTGTATGAGGAGCACCGGCAGCAGCTCACGGAGCGGTTGAATGTGTCGGAGGCGGCGATCCCGCAGCTCCTGGCGCAGCTGGACGCTGCCGGGGAGGCACGTGCGGACCTGTCGTCGCGGCTGAGCGAGTCGGAGGCTGGTCGGCAGTTTCTTCAGGAGCAAATGGACAAGATGGTGCGGCGGCTGGCGGCGGCGCAGGACGCGGCGGTCATTAAGCGCATGACGCAGCGGACTGCCGTACAGGAGCAGCTGGAGGAGCTCACGGCGGCGGTGGCGCAGGAGAGGGAGCAGTCCCGCGCTCGGGAGGAGGGGCTGGTGGAGGAGGTGGCGGCGCTGCAGGTATGTGCGTTTTGCGGTGCGGTGTTATACGGGGTGGGTTCCTCGCGGGGGTGAATGGTCCCGCCTGTGTGCTGTTTGGCATGTTGGGTGGTGGTGATGATGATTGAAAGCTTTCTGGTCCTGGCCGCTTCCGGCACTTAAATCTTGTCAAAGCGCTTACCAAGGACCCGCGTTTCTACCTCCATCTGCTTCAACCACTCCCTCAGGCGACGGTAACTCAGCAGGCGATAAGCGGTGCTGTCCGCGTCGCCATGGCGCGCGCCTGCTGGCAAGCCGCTGAGGAGGAACGCCAGGCCCTGCTAGAGGAGCAGCAGCAAGAGCAGCAGCAGTTTGCGAGCGAGCGGGATGCGCTAACAGAAGCAGCGGCATCCTTGCAGGTAGGGCGCGAGAGTGGGGTTGGGAGCTGGGCTTGTACTACAGCACATCTTTTGCTGTAGTACCGTACCAGAGCGCCATACGTCTCGCCTTGCTGCCTTGCTGTCATGCCATGGGTCGGTTCCAACCTTCAGTGTTTCCTCCTCCCTCCTCCGCTGTCTCCTGCTTTCCTGCTACTGCAGGCGGAGGCGGATGCGCAGATTGTCCGCAGCACCGTCCGGGTCGCCATGGCGCGCGCCTGCTGGCGGGCTGCGGAGGACGACCTGCGGGCGCTGCTGGGAGACCCGGAGGTCCTGCGCCGATCCGTGACCCTAAGCTACGAACAGGTGTGTACTGTTTTCGAGGGGCCAAGCCCTGTTGTATGGCATGCATAAAATCCGGGTCAAACCACGGGTCGCTTTGTCTTTGGAACGTTGGCCGTGTCCTTACCAGTTCGATGCGACCGTTTCTTGCAGGGGACCATTGATGAGCAGCTTCTTCGATCAGCACTGGTGCGGGCTAGTTGGCCTGCGTCGGAGGACACGGTCCTCTCTTTGCAGGAGGAGCACCTCTTGGCTCTGCAGCAGCAGCAAGAGCGCGAGCAGCAGGAGGTGGCAAGGCTACAAGCGCAGTTCCAAGCGGCCGCCGACCGGCAAATCGTCCGTACCATTGTCCGCGTCGCTCTTGCTCGCGCCTGCTGGCGTGCCGCCGAGGAGGAGCGTAGGGCCCTTCAGGACGAGCTGTACGAGCTGACCACCGGATTTGGATCCGAGTACGACTCGCAGGGCGTTACAGGGGAGTCCCTGGCGGGTGCTGGCCTCCCCGGCACCCCCCACGGCGCCCAGCCGCAGAGCGGTCTGGGCAGCCGTTCTGAGGGCCGCTCACTCGGGGGTGCGACTCCGTTTGGCCGCTCACAGCACGGTTCTGAGGAGGACTCGACGGGTTCACGGCTGCAAGACATCGAGTCACAGGTAGGCTGGCTGTGTGGCCTGGTGAAGGGGCTTACCGTAGCCCCTATATGCGCACCGCTTACTCGCTCGCTTGTAGGAAGCCTCTCTCTGATTTCATATTGCACGAATCCATGTTGGCTAGCACCAGCACCATGCGCTTCAACTTCCACCGCTGCTTTTACCCTCTTTACACACCCACCACCACCACCCTCCCGTCGCTTCCCTCGACCAGCTCGACGTCGTGCGGAGGCGGCTGGTGGAGTTGCGGCCCCAGACGGCCAGCCGCATGGCCGCAGTGGACGCGGCACTGCAGGTGCCCAGCTCCTTTGCGGAGATGTTCCGGCGGTCGGAGCACGGGGCCGGGATGGAGCCGCTGGACCAGCTGTCAGACTCCACCATAGGAACGCCGGTGCGGCAGGTGAGCCACATGGGTGAAAATGATCAGCCATGTGTGATTAGGGAAGCCGCACACCTAACGCATGGCGTATTTTGCCCCTGTGTCTTAAGGCTGTGCGGTCTGTACCTGGGCAGGACCTGCAGGACCAACCACCCGTTTTCAAACCACCTCTTCAAACAGGTTTCGGAGGACAGCACCGAGGCGGCGCAGCGCCCTCGCGTCCGCCGGGACTCGTTCAGTATGGTGCCCGACCTGTGCAGCCTGGGAACCATGCTGGACGCCAACGCGGGAGCCCAGCCCACCACCTCGGTGGCAGCTGACCCACGGGTCGTCGCCACGCGGGACATTGAGGACACCGCACAGGTATACACATATTCACTGAGCACAGACTGTGTTTGCTGTGGAAGCCAAACCAGAGCGAATCACTAGTTTTGTAGTGCTGTGCTATGGGGATTCTTGCGTCTGGCGTCTTACCCTACCTTGAGTCTTACACCTTGTTTGCTCCCATGTGCTCCGCCATGCGTGCTCTCCAGGCCCCCTACGCGCCCGCTGCGCCGTTCAGCACCCCCGCCACCACCTACCGGATCGCGGGTCAGGCCCGCGCGTCGCGGCTTGTGGCCACCTCTGCTGCCGTACAAGCGGAGGGCGACATGTTCAGCCCCACACCTGCGGTCTCGCCCTCCATTGAGGAGCAGATTGCCTTCTTCCGGGTGCGGCTGCACGGTTTACATGCTTTAGTGATCTAGCCTTGCACACGGCTTGATGTTTCACTGTTCGCATAAGCAGCAGGTGCATGACGCCTCCCCGCACCCCAACTCCCGAACATCCCCACAGGCGCAGCTCAGTGAGGCTGAGGAGACGAGTCGGCGGCTGGGAACGCGGTTGGATGCAGCTCGTCAGCTGCCCGCCTCGGGCATCCTGGAGACCGTTGCGGCCCAAATGCAAGCCAAGGGGCAGGTGAGGTTTGCTACATGCTGAATGCGGTAGTGCTGGAACCGGTCTCATTCCTTGTACATGAGGGTGTGCTACCCCTGCAATCGCATATCAAGCGAAGTATAATGCGCTCCTCCCTTTACCAGACCGCCCCTTTCTCTACATCACGCGCATGCAGAGCACACCGGTGGCGACCCCAAGCTGCGACACCCGCAATTCGGACATGCTCCACGACGGCGACACCGAGTACAACTCCTGCTGCCAAGACCGCCTGCTTCACGAGTTCAGTGCGGGTGTCTCGGTCGCCAGTCCATCCCCGCTGGACTTCCCTGCCGTCGCCTACGCGCTGATTGCCCTTCGGAACGGCATTCAAGGCATGCTGACACAGCAACACCCCGGCCTTCACCAGCAGCAGCAACAACAACAGCAACAAGACAAGCCGCAGCAGCCGCAACAGCCGCCAGAGCATCGACCAGGTAGTGCCGGCGGCGGCTCCGAAACCCTCGCCGCTTTGCTGAGCCACGTGCAAGTGCTGGAGGACCAGCTCCTGGGGGGCACCGTTGCCTCGTTGCAGCTACCCTCGGCGCTACCTCAGTTGCACTACCAGCCTCCGCCACCCCTCGCCCCCATGCTGCTCTCCGCCCCACGCTCCACCGGCCCATCCCGCTACGCAGCCATTGCAGAGGCTGACGGGGAGGGTGAGGGCGACGCGGACACTGCTGAAGTGGTAGATACGGGCGTGCACGGAGAAGGAGACCACAGAGACGAAGGCGGTCAGGCAGCGTTGTTCTCACCCCTGCCCAGCCGAGCGACATCCACCCTCAGCGAGTCCCCCTTGCTCATGGCGACTGACGCCATGGCGCCACACTGCGTGCTCACCATAACGGACGATCCAAACCACCAACCGCAGCAACAGCACCTCCACCTCCACCAGATCCAGCAGCTGGCCCAGGCAAGGCTGCCTCGCCGCAGCAGCGGAGGCGGTGCCCTGGTGAAGCCCGCTCCCCTGCCCGTGGTCGCCGGCTCCACCAAGGACAGTCCCGGCAGCTCCCCGGCGCCCCCCCACCGTGTCGTCGCCTCCATCCAAGCCCTCGCCTACGAGGACTCCATGACGCAGGTGGCGCCCATGGTGCCAGACGCAGCCGCGGAGTCGACTTCCGAGTCGGGCTCTGAGGATGGTATGTGGGATGAGGAGGCCGCAGCGCCTCGGGGGCAGACGGATCAGTCCTCGGCGGCTGGCATGGCAGGCGCTGCGGTGGCTGCTGCTGTTGCCCCTGCCCGGGAGCATCTTGCGACGATGCCAGCCTTGCAAAGTGGACGGTACGACAGCGGTGAGCCATACGGTTGGCGCAGCGGCAGAGGGTTGCCTCTTGCAGGAGGGCAGCCACAGCAGCAGCTCACAACAGCTGCTGGTGAGGAGAGCGAGGAGGTGGGCTTTGTCACAGCCAGGGCCATGGAGCCCCCGCCGTCCTCGTCCTCGTTTCTGCATGCTGCCGCTGGGTCGCATCATCATCACCATCATCATCACCACCACCATCAGCCGCCACCACCTGTAGTTCCGCCGCCGGTGTCTCGGCCGCCGTCGCAGTCGGAAATTGAGGTGGCGGAAGAGGACTCGGAGACCCAGCATGTTGCGCAGCGGTGCATGGTGTTGGAGCTGTCGGACGTGACGGGCAGCGGTGCGCCTGCAGGCACCGCCTCTGACAACTCCCTGACCCCCGGCGCTGCCGCTGCACCCGCGGTGTACTCAAATGCTGCCATGTGGGCATCCCTTCCGTCCTCTGGCGCCTTTTACGACCCTGCCCCTACCGACACCTCGGTTCTCTCCCGTCCGGACCAGGAATCCTTGGACACAGCCGCCACCGCCGCCGCCCTCACACCCAGCGCCTTCACGCCGGAGCCCTTGGATCCGGACGCCGCAGAGCACATGCTGCGGTTCAACAACCCCTACTTTGCTTCCACACCCACAGCTAGTGATGCCGCCGCTATCTCGCACGGGCTAGGCATGGGCGCCAACATCCTCAACCGACAGGGCAACGGTTGGTCGCCATACAAGGGGCCCGTGCATGGGATCATTGGGCGGCGGGTTCCGGAGGGGCTCCCCGGTCTGCTTGTGTCTGAGAGCGTGAACCTGGCTGCGGCATCTCGAGCGGCACGGAGGGGGGCGGTCGTCAGCGACAGCGGTGGAGATGCTGAAGCGCAGCCCTCGGGCGTGCATGTACGTCCGATGCGTGGGATGCGTGTATAGCCAAAGCACGTGGCGTACATGACTCGTGCACGACCTGTTTAGGATCAGGAGTAGGATTAGTCGCTGCTACGTTGGAATACGTTGTCCTGCATGCTCTGGGGCTTCATGTCACTACATGAGTTGTGTACGGATTGCAGTAGTGCGGTTTGCTACCACCCTCTGGCAAACATCCTCCTCTTTCCTTGCCCTCCTGCAGGACGGCCGCACCTCCTCTCCGGGAGAGGGCCGCACCGCCTCCATGTCCGGCTCCACCGGCGGCGCCACCACTCGCAGCTCAGCGGCCTCCAACGCCGGCGCCATGCTAGCTCCCTCGCAACCCGCCCCGCTGCGTGCGGCCCACCCCGGGGAGGCCGCCTCGCTGCATGGCAGTGTGACGGACAGCACCGGGCTGGGTCCGTTCGGGGTGGGTGCGCGCGCGGACAGGGGCGCCACTGGCCTGCCGCCAGGCGGCCAACAAAGCCGTGCAGCCCCGCGCTTCTTCCTTCGGTTGCCTTCTCGCCAGCAATCCAGGTATGAAGGGTCTGGGAGTGCGGAGGTGATGCAGGATGGGTGCAGTGGACTGCACATGGCAGCCGATATGCGCTGCCTAGAGGGAGCGTCCTGCATGCCTTGCCTCTAGATTCAGTGTGTGCTTGGTAGTTTGGGGTTCCTCACGTGCTCCTCCCACCAGCTCCTACGATGCACTCCCCGTCCTTCTTACAAACGCCTGTTTCCTCCTTGGTTGTGCTGCATGCCCCGGAACGCCCCCTTCCTCCCCAGGACGTCCCCTGTCTACCCAGACCACACGCCTACCCACGAGGGCGGCCCTGTAGAGGACAACGCCAGCCGATCCAGCGCGCACGAGCAACAGGCACCTACAACTGACGACTCCAGCATTGGCGTTTTGCCCTTGCCGCCTCTCTCTGCCACTGCTGCCGCGGCCGGCGGCGGCTTGTCTGCGCTGCCCCCGATGTCTGGCGTAAAGCACAAGTCGAAGAAGACCAGTCTGCTGGGCAAGATCAAGCGCGCTATAGGTGTGGGACGGAGCAACGGTGGCAGCACAGTTGCTGATGCCTTTTCACGGCTGGCGAGGCGGGCCGACCAGTGAGTTGGTTTGGCGGTAGGCTACCTTGCCTATCTACGGTGGTGTTGCTTGGAAAGGACGGATGCAAAGCTTACGTACGTTGACGCCCAGAGGCATGTTGCTACCGTTGAAGCAAGGAAACCCGCCAGCAGGGAGCACAGCTGTTGATCGTTTTGCTGTTCCCGTTGTAGTTGTGCTTAACGTCTCGATCACACACTTGCTAGGCCACACCAGCTAATACGTGGCTCATGCAGGATGCATGTGGGCCAGTGTTGTGTGGTAGGACTTGTGTTGCCTGATGCAGTAGTAGTGACGATGCCCCCTGATCTTGTGTTGTTGTTGACCTTTATTTGCGCATCCCCCACTCGAATGTACAAGCGCGATCCGGTGTGTGTCCTGTAGTGTATAGCATTCCCAAATTAGAACAACTCAGGATGAGGTAGGCACATGTGCGATCTTGCTGTACTCGACTGCTGCGGAGGTGTTGCTTGTTTAGGACAGCTGGTTGCGTTGGGGTCGTTGGCGCCTGCAGAACTGACCGTAGTATTGAAAGCCAGCATTCTGGCAGATAAGCGCGTGTGATTTTGGATGGCAGCATAGTGAACGCAAGAGCGACCAAGTGAGATCGCAGTATGACAGGACACAGCTGCAGTGGGGTAGGTTGGCATTGTGCGATGGGCACGCAGGGCTAGCCGCAGGTGGTTTAGACGGACGTGTTTATGGCGACGATGGGCTCTTCAATGTTGTGGATAGCGCCACAGCATTGAATGCACCAGAGGCTATGAGAAGACGGTCATGACGTCCCAACCCACGCTCGTTTATCGTATATAAGAGGTGGCGTGGAGCGTGCAGGGGCTAGTTGAGCAGGTGACTGTGCAGTGGTCTTGTATGGGTGTGGGAGTGCAGTGCTGGCGTGACCTCGACTGAGACTTATTTGCGCGGTTTTGCCCGTGGACAGCAGGGTTTTTATTTTTGCGTGGGGAGATTGGCTGGTGTTCAGAAGGCATTATCGCTGTGCCACCTTCTGAGGGACAGTAGGCGTGCATGTTAACTGCGATCTTTGTAGTTGTACGGGGCATATTATGTGACCCTCTTTCTTTGTTACACAGTAATATATGATTGGTACGGGGTAATCCACGGATTTTCTTCTACAGGAGTTGAGCATGCTTGCCGCTCCTTTGCCGCAGTTGTGGTGCCTTGCATTGTTCTGATAGCTTGGGGTGCTTTGCAGTATTATATAATGGTGCTGTGTGTGCTGTTGGAAGGCATTTCATGTTGACTATTGTTCGTGGGGAAGGCTGTAGTGCTTGACAGGGGCGGCCATACCTCGCATGTTTGGTGTAACCCTCAGCCCCAGCCTCCTTAACCCCCCAAGGATATCCCAAGCACCCCAGCATTCCAGACTAGCCCCCCAGCATTCTAGCCGTACAGGTCCGTAACCTCTCTACATAACAAGTCTTTGCCAACCGACATTGCCACTACGTCGCCTGACCCATGGGTCATCATCATCCATTGATAGCTTTTACTACACCTCCTACGTGCAGGACGTTGTACGTGGCCAGCCCCTTACCTCACCTCAGACAGACAGACAGGCAAGCAGGCAGGCAGCCGCCTCGACAGCACGCAGCATCAGCAGTTGCGCAGCCGGTTTGAAGCTGTGGAAGGGTTGATTTTGGCAATCCGCATTGACTAGAGCAGCCCCTTCACGCACCTCCATTAACCCTCCCGAATAAACGCTCTTAACCTTCAACCCCAACTGTCTCCCAAACGGTTTGACCACGTAGTGGTTGCTGCCCCTCCACAGTGTGCTCCTTTTTGGACTTGGCGCTGATCACCAATGATGACGGGGATGCAGGACAGCGGGTACATCTCACGCAGCTTGCGACACACCTGAGGTGGATAGGGGCAGGGGCGACGGGGGAGGGCACTGGGGTGCCGCTCCCACCAGCCAACCCATTCAGAACCCCTTTCACAGTTATCGACCACCCCCGGCCCCTCTACACCGTCGCTGTAGGCTTCTGTGGTCGTGGTTTTGGTCGCCACCCTCCTCCCCTGCGGAAGCTAGGTTGGGGAGGGCAAACGCCAGTCCTTTTGTACCCGGCGCACATCACATGCGAATTCTGGAGCCGAGTAGCAGACGGGAGCAACAAGGAGCGTTACAGGGTTTACAGGAGCGCCCATGCTTGTCGGTTCGTCGGTCCCCGTTCCGCCGTAGATGTAGGCTACAAGAAGCGCTTCGGTGTTGTGTAACACGGCCTTGTGTTCTCGTCCTACCCACCTCAGTCACACCAAAACACCCTCTCTATGCCGCCTACTACTTGAGAAGGCCGCGATGCACAATGGGTTTGAGGCTCAGCAGTGCAGGAGCCGTCGACGGATTCATGAACTGCCGTGCGTATCTGCCATACTTACAGAGGGGAGCGGTACGAAGGTCGGCGTGTAGGTTTGAGGATGTGTGCTGTATGGAAGCAAACACGCTACACCCGCGAACGTACTGAACATCACACAGTTGCAGAGGTCTGCTGTCACACACACCCAATCTGACACGTGTTTCTAACCGCAGGGAAGCCCAGCGGGTAACTAAGCAATGTGCTTGGAAACGCACATCCAATCAGGTAGAGCTCGATACGTACGTTGCAGTCAAAATGCACGTCAACAATCTCAACTGCAAAGCGACTTAGGCTGTACACTAAACCCATGCAACATGCCTGCCTGCCTCCAGTCGAATGCACAAGTCTGGACTACTTTAGGGACTACTGGAATAAAGAATGAATCACGGCAGTTTCCCGGGGCACTGAACTATGTTGGCACATTGCCCCCCATGCACCATCCTGGCAACAACAAAGCCAACAATGGCGCGTACGTAAACAACAGCAACATACGGTTGCCTGCATGAAGGCCGTAAGATCACGCTTAGTATGGAGGGCGGCGTGCCTTCACCACCAACCGCCCCTCCTGGCCGCCAAGGCGCTAGCCCACAAGCTCAGGCGTCGTACTTGGTCCACTTGGCCAGCTTGATCGTGTACTTCCACGCCTCGCCTGACTTGAGCACGTCCACAGCGACCACTCCGGAAGCACCGGTCCAGGCACCCGTGCCGCCGGTGATGGCCAGGTCGAACGTGCGGCCCTGGGGGCGGGGGGAGGCGGGGTGAGAGGGAAGGCCGGGTGAGTGGTCATTTAACCAGCAGGACACCTAATATCACAGCGTGCAGAGCAGCAGGCGAACATAGCATGCCAGTTGCATGCATGCCTCGTGCGTTTGGTTGCTTACTTCCTACATGGATTGCACTTGAAGTGGAGGGCGGTGCCATGACTGGTCGGCCCTTACTTAAGCCCCTGCCCCTGCCGCTGATTCCAGCCTTCTTCCTGACCTACCGTGAAGTCCGAGAAGAGGCCCTGCAGGGTGATGCTGCTGCCGTACTTGTCGACCACAATGCTGTACACGCAGTAAGAAGTGCTGCCGTTCTTTGACTTGGAGAAGATGGTGCAGATGCCGGTGCTGACGCCGACCTAATAATGAGCAGGGGGCGGAAAAGCACCAAAGCACAGAGGGAGAGGGTATTGTACGTTATACTACCATGCATGCATACAGTCACTGCTGGAGTGCAAGAGCGCACAGAAGAAGCCGCAAGCATTGAAGGACGTCACCGAAGCAGCCGATGCATGGTGGAACAAAGGGGCTAGCAGTCATGCGGGGCCGCGTTGGTTCTCAGGCTAACGGCAGCAGTGGAGCTACTCCGCCCCGTACCTTCTTGCCCTTGGGTGAGCCGCCCAGCGCAATGGGGTCCGAGAAGGCGTACGTGCATCCCACATCACTGCAGCCCCTGCGATATGCGGGTGGCAGCAGACCACGGCAGGGGGTAAGGAATCACGCATGTATAAATTGCAGCTAGATGGGAGCGCTAGACACAGCACACAGGCGTCACGGAGGTCGCGGGTGCGTTGCCCAGGCAGCCAAGTTAGCTGCGGCAAATCAATGGCTGGGTACAGGCAGGGTTGGAGGCAGTGAGGACGCAACTCCTTACGAGGTGATGGTAGTGCTGTCCGTGAACTCCGTCACCACCAGCTCCTTCTTGCCGTAGTAATCCTTGTCGTCGTACTTCTTGCCGTGCTCCTTGTCGTCGTACTTCTTGCCATAGTCCTTCTCAATCTGCTTGTCCTCATACTTCTTGCTGTCAATTTCCTTGTCATGCTTCTTGTCATACTTCTCGCCGTCATTCTTGTGCTGCAACTTGTCCCGGCTAGCCAGGGCATGGCCGGTCAGGGCCAGCATTACCACGAAGGCCAACACCACAGACCGAGACATGGTGGAAATGTTCAGTAGTGAATTTCTTTGGTTATGAGTGATTTGCCACAAGAGGTTGGGACTGATGTTTCCAGGCTCCCACGCTCGCTTAAATAGGCTTGGTCGTCGTATTTCGGTTGGTACCACAACCTCAGTTGCCTCGATTCGCACACTCCAAGTTTGTGTCATCCAACGACATGCATGGGTGCTTCCCACACCCAGCCAGACGATGTGGAACAACTGCCGTACATTGGTTGGTACCAGAGCCTCGTTTGCCTCGATGTGCTACAATTGGTGTATTTGCAAGGTCGTGCCATCCAAGGGCATGCCACCGCAAGACAGGCAGGCCACCCGCTTCCCGCCGCAGTTGACCTGAATGCGGGTAGCTGTGCGTTAGGAAGGCTAGGATGGAAGGCTAGGACGGAAGGCTAGGAAGGTCACGAGCTAAGCATGAAAACAGGGGTCAGGCTCGGCGTTAGGACAGGGCACGATGATGGTCGTTTTGTTGCTCAGCAATGTGCGACCCTAGCACCTGCGTCTAACAAGAGCGGCAAAATGCAAAAAACTATTGTGCCTCCCTCTTTGTCTGTGGCCGTTGCAAGGAACGCTGGTAAACAGGTATTTGCAAGTGCATGCAGCGGGGCTGTTTCTACGCTGTGTGGCACACTTGCTAGGCCACACCAGCTAATACGTGGCTCATGCAGGATGCATGTGGGCCGGTGTTGTGTGTTAGGAGGTGTGTTGCCTGATGCAGTGTTAGTGACGTTTCCCCCTGACCTTGTTGTTGTCTTTTCTTTGCGCATCCCCCTCTCGAATGTACAAGCGCGATCCGGTGTGTGTCCTGTAGTGTATAGCATTCCCCAATTGATGTGAGAAACTCAGGATGAGGTAGGCACATGTGCGATCTTGCTGTACTCGACTGCTGCGAAGGTGTTGCTTGTTTAGGACAGCTGGTTGCGTTGGGGTCGTTGGTGCCTGCAGAACTGACCGTAGTATTGAAAGCCAGCATTCTGGCAGATAAGCGCGTGTGATTTTGTAGGCTAAGGGATAGTAGCCGTGCATGTTAACTGCGATCTTTGTAGTTGTACGGGGCATATTATGTGACCCTCTTCCTTCGTTCACTGGTACGGGGTAATCCACGGATTTTCTTCTACAGGAGTTGGGCATCCTTGCCGCTCCTTTGCCGCAGTTGTGGTCCCTTGCATTGTTCTGGTAGCTTGGGGTGCTTTGCAGTATCATACATTGGTGCTGTGTGTGCTGTTGGAAGGCATTTCATGCTTGTGACTATTGCTTGTGGGAAAGGCTGTAGTGCTTGACAGGGGCGACCATACCTCGCATGTTTGGTGTAACCCTCAGCCCCAGCCTCCTAAACTCCCCAAGGAAGTCCCAAGCACCCCAGCCCCCCAGCATTCCATACTAGGCCCCCCGCATTCTAGCCGTACAGGTCCCGAACCTCTCTACGTAACAAAAGTTTGCCAACCGACATTGCCACTACGTCGCCTGACCCATGGGTCATTTACATACAATCATCCATTGATAGCTTTTATTACACCTCCCACGCGCAGGACATTGTACGTGGCCAGCCCCAGACCTCACCTCAGCCAGACAGACAAGCAGGTAGGCAGTCGCCTCGACAGCACGCAGCATCAGCAGTTGCGCAGCCGGTTCGAAGCTGTGGAAGGGTTGATTTTGGCAATCCGCATTGACTAGAGCAGCCCCTTCACGCACCTCCATTAACCCTCCCGAATAAACGCTCTTAACCTTCAACCCCAACTGTCTCCCAAACGGTTTGACCACGTAGTGGTTGCTGCCCCTCCACAGTGTGCTCCTTTTTGGACTTGGCGCTGATCACCAATGATGACGGGGATGCAGGACAGCGGGTACATCTCACGCAGCTTGCGACACACCTGAGGTGGATAGGGGAAGGGGCGACGGGGGAGGGCAGTGGGGTGCCGCTCCCACCAGCCAACCCATTCAGAACCCCTTTCACAGTTATCGACCACCCCCGGCCCCTCTACACCGTCGCTGTTGGCTTCTGTGGTCGTGGTTTTGTTCGCCTCCTCCCCTGCGGAAGCTAGGTTGGGGAGGGCAAACGCATTCTTTTGTACCCGGCGCACATCACATGCGAATTCTGGAGCCGAGTAGCAGAAGGGAGCAACAAGGAGAGTTACAGGGTTTACAGGAGCGCCCATGCTTGTCGGTTCGTCGGTCGCCGTCCAAGGATTCATGAACTGCCGTGCGTATCTGCCATACTTACAGAGGGGAGCGGTACGAAGGTCGGCGTGTAGGTTTGAGGATGTGTGCTGTATGGAAGCAAACACGCTACACCCGCGAACGTACTGAACATCACACAGTTGCAGAGGTCTGCTGTCACACACACCCAATCTGACACGTGTTTCTAACCGCGGGGAAGCCCAGCGGGTAACTAAACAATGTGCTTGGAACCGCTCATCCAATCAGGTAGAGCTCGATACGTACGTTGAAGTCAAAATGCACGTCAACAATCTCAACTGCAAAGCGACTTAGGCTGTACACCAAACCCATGCAACATGCCAGCCTGCCTCCAGTCGTATGCACAGGTCTAGGCTACTTCTGGCACAGGAAGAATATATGGATCACGGCAGTTTCCCGGGGCACTTAACTATGTTGGCACATTGCCCCCCATGCACCATCCTGGCAACAACAAAGCCAACAATGGCGCGTACGTAAACAACAGCAACATACGGTTGCCTGCATGAAGGCCGTAAGATCGCGCTTAGTTTGGAGGGCGGCGTGCCTTCACCACCAACCGCCCCTCCTGGCCGCCAAGGCGCTAGCTTACAAGCTCAGGCGTCGTACTTGGTCCACTTTGCCAGCTTGATGGTGTACTTCCACGCCTCGCCTGACTTGAGCACGTCCACAGCGACCACTCCGGAAGCACCGGTCCAGGCTCCTGTGCCGCCGGTGATGGCCAGGTCAAACTTGCGGCCCTGGGGGCGGGGAGAGGCGGGGCGAGGGGCAAGGTGCGGGTGAGTGCTCATTTAACCAGCAGGACACCTAGTATCACCAGCGTGCAGAGCAGCAGGCGAACATAGCATGCCAGTTGCATGCATGCCTCGTGCGTTTGGTTGCTTACTTCCTACATGAATTGCACTTGAAGTGGAGGGCGGTGCCATGACTGGTCGGCCCTTAAGCCCCTGCCCCTGCCGCTGATTCCAGCCTTCTTCCTGACCTACCGTGAAGTCCGAGAAGAGGCCCTGCAGGGTGATGCTGCTGCCGTACTTGTCGACCACAATGCTGTACACGCAGTAAGAAGTGCTGCCGTTCTTTGACTTGGAGAAGATGGTGCAGATGCCGGTGCTGACGCCGACCTAATAATGAGCAGGGGGCGGAAAGGCACCAAAGCACAGAGGGAGAGGGTATTGTACGTTATACTACCATGCATGCATGCAGTCACTGCTGAAGTGCAAGAGCGCACAGAAGAAGCCGCAAGCATTGAAGGACGTCACCGAAGCAGCCGATGCATGGTGGAACAAAGGGGCTAGCAGTCATGCGGGGCCGCGGTGGTTCTCAGGCTAACGGCAGCAGTGGAGCTACTCCGCCCCGTACCTTCTTGCCCTTGGGTAAGTCGCCCAGTGCAATGGGGTCCGAGAAGGCGTACGTGCATCCCACATCACTGCAGCCCCTGCGATATGCGGGTGGCAGCAGACCACGGCAGGGGGTAAGGAATCACGCATGTATAAATTGCAGCTAGATGGGAGCGCTAGACACAGCACACAGGTGTCACAGAGGTCGCGGGTGCGTTGCCTAGGCAGCCAAGTTAGCTGCGGCAAATCAATGGCTGGAGACAGGCAGGGTTGGTGGCAGTGAGGACGCAACTCCTTACGAGGTGATGGTAGTGCTGTCCGTGAACTCCGTCACCACCAGCTCCTTCTTGCCGTAGTAATCCTTGTCGTCGTACTTCTTGCCGTGCTCCTTGTCGTCGTACTTTTTGCCGTGCTCCTTGTCGTCGTACGTTTTGCCGTGCTCCTTGTCGTCATACTTCTTGCCATAGTCCTTCTCAATCTCCTTGTCGTCATATTTCTTGCTGATAAGTTCCTTGTCATGCTTCTTGTCATACTTCTCGCCGTCATCCTTGTGCTGCAACTTGTCCCGGCTAGCCAGGGCATGGCCGGTCAGGGCCAGCATTACCATGAAGGCCAACACCAAAGACCGAGACATGGTGGAAATGTTCAGTAGTGAATTGCTTTGGTTATGAGTGAGTTACCACAAAAGGTTGGGACTGATGTTTCCAGGCTCCCACGCTCGCTTAAATAGGCTTGGTCGTCGTATTTCGGTTGGTACCACAACCTCAGTTGCCTCGATTCGCACACTCCAAGTTTGTGTCATCCAACGACATGCATGGGTGCTTCCCACACCCAGCCAGACGATGTGGAACTGCCGTACAATTGGTTGGTACCAGAGCCTCGTTTGCCTCGATGTGCTACAATTGAAGCATTTGCAAGGTCGTGCCATCCAAGGGCATGCCGATGCAAGGCAGGCAGGCCACCCGCTTCCCGCCGCAGTTGACCTGAATGCGGGTAGCTGTATGCCCGAGCGTTAGGTTAGGCGTTCGGCAGCCCAGGAAGGGCTAATGCTACGCGATGCTTAGCATGAAATCATCGTCAGGCTCGGTGTTAGGCGAACCGTGCAAAGGGATGTGCCACCCTAGCAGCTGAGTCTAGATAGGCAAAAAAACATAGAACTGCCTGCCTCTTCGTCTGTGGCCGTTGCAAGGAAGGCTGGTAAGCAGGTATTTGCAAGTGCAAGCAGCGGGGCAATTTCTACGGGTGTGGCAGTAGGCCGCATAGGGGTGGGAACCTTGCGGGACACGGTTAGCGGTTAGCGCCATTTGTTCAAAGCCGATACAGTAGCGTTGTATCATTTCCGAGCTGGCTCAGGCTGGAAGGTTAACGCAGCTGCTGATGTCTGAGGCACATTCCGGTACTTTGTTCGTTGCTAGCAAGTGACTTCGCATGTTGCTTAGCGGGCTTACTGACAAGCACGTGTCCGGGACGTGCCTTTACCTGGCAGTGTAGGGCTGGGGATACATCGCGCCTTGCCCTCCGGTTTGGCATCACTGTAACGTCATTCAATCTTGTCTGCCCTCTGCATTCAGCGCAAAGCATGCATGGGTAGGAAGACGGGTAGGTGCTCCGTCCCCAAGGTACTTGCTGCATGGCCCAGCATGCTCTACGCGAGCACGTCCCATGTCGTATAAGCAGTTAAGCACCTCTGGTGACCCATGGGACAACCGAGTGCAGCACGGACGCAGACCATTGCTCCAATGGCACACGGTTGCTGGGCATGAGCCCTAGTACGCATTTTACACTGGATTACAGTAAATAACAAAGCGTGGTGGCACAAGCGCCGTACATACACGTACCGTACATACAAATGGGGGAACAGTATTAAGGTGGGCGTGTAGGCTTGAGGCAAGTGTTGTATGGAAGCAAACACGCTGCAGCCGTGACCGAACAACCCATCTGCGCCTAGAAACGACCGCAGCTAGCCTCCGAGGACAATAAGGAAGGTGGCATATACAGTATTCTTAGGTCTCCACCCAAGAATTAAGGGTGAGCAAATAATAGGTGGCACACACAGAATTATATATAGAGGCTTACTCACCCACGAACCAGGGGTGGACCAATGCGTAAGGGCTGGTTTCTTTGCAAAGTTTACTTCGAACTCTACCCTGACACAACCCAGCCAAAGAAGGTTGGAGTGCTCGTCAGATAGTACGGAACATGTGCAAAACGTCAGATGAATAACGAGGGAAACATTGTGAAATAATGACCTAAGCAGTGAATGTCTGGAAGCCTAATATGCAAGACGTGCTAGATGAATAACGTATAACAGCTGGCAACCGAAATGTAAGAAGTAAGAAATAAGTAGCGCTAGAGTAAGCACCCATACACGCACGTCTATGTCTACGTCATCTTCTCGCGGCACACAAACCGCACGTCCTGCTCACATCCCTGCTTCTGCAGGACCCCGTTTGCGTCAATCAGCGGGCACAGCGTGTCCTCCTGCTCGCGCCTGCACCAGCAGGTGTAGTGGTTGGCGGCGCAGAGCTGCGTCAGGGCGCCGAAGCTGGCATCCTCGCTGTACGGCGCCAGCTCCCAGCCCTCGCCCAGCCCGCCGCAGAACGCCTCCGCCCCGCCGTACGACATGCGCTTCGAGGCGTCCGCGGTGTACATGCGGTACCGGTAGCCGCCCGCGGACAGCGACAGCACGTTGGCGCCTGCATGGGCAGCGGGGGCGGGGGTTTGCGGGCAGCGGGGGGGAGGGAGTGAGCGAGCAGGTCACACATGCTGCCTTGCTCAGCTGCCGTAGCCAGTGCATGTAAGGGGGGCACGGTGCAAACAACGGGCGAGCAGGGCACTTACTCGACTGCGGACCAGGCGGTGGGAAGAGGTGGCGACGAGACGCCCGTGGGGAGCGAGAGGCGGGGCTGGGCGGGGGTGCAGACGCGGACCAGGGCGATGGGGGATGACGGATGGGGGGATGAAGAGGAGGCCGAGGCGAGGGAGGCAGGAGCGATGCCGGCCGGGGGGCGTGTCGGTTTGACGGCGGCGGGCGAGGGGAACGGGGGAATCGATGCGAGGGTGACGGCGGGCGAGCTGAAGGGGGAGAGGGTGAAGGGGGCTTGGAAGAGGGAGGAGAGGGTGAGGGGGGCTTGGAAGAAGGAGGTTTGGGCTTGGGCGAGGGTAGCTTAGGTGAGCGAGGGTGAGTGGGCGGCTTGGGTGACGGTGGCTTGGGTGATGGTGGCTTGGGTGATGGTGGCTTGGGTGATGGTGGCTTGGGTGATGGGGGCTTGGGTGACGGTGGCTCAGGAGAGGGCGGGGAAGGCGACGGCGGCAGGGGCGACGGCGGCAGGGGTGACGGTGGCAGAGGTGACGGCGGCTCAGGAGAGGGCGGGGAAGGCGACGGGGGCAGGGGCGACGGCGGCAGAGGTGACGGCGGCTTAGGAGAGGGCGGGGATGGCGACGGCGGCGGGTTTGACGGCGGCGAAGGGGAAGGCGGTGATGGCGAGGAGGGCGAGGACGGACGAGGGTGGTGCGGGCGATGAGGATGATGAGGGGGCTTGGGTGACGGTGGCAGAGGTGATGGCGGCTCAGGAGAGGGCGGGGAAGGCGACGGGGGCAGGGGTGACGGCGGCAGGGGTGACGGCGGCTCAGGAGAGGGCGGGGATGGCGATGGCGGCGGGTTTGACGGCGGCGAAGGGGAAGGCGGTGATGGCGAGGAGGGCGAGGACGGACGAGGGTGGTGCGGGCGATGAGGATGATGAGGGGGCTTGGGCGACGGCGGCTGGGGAGAAGGCGGCTCAGGAGAGGGCGGGGAAGGCGACGGGGGCAGGGGTGACGGCGGCTCAGGAGAGGGCGGGGATGGCGACGGCGGCGGGTTTGACGGCGGCGAAGGGGAAGGCGGTGATGGCGAGGAGGGCGAGGACGGACGAGGGTGGTGCGGGCGATGAGGATGATGAGGGGGCTTGGGCGACGGCGGCTGGGGAGAAGGCGACTCAGGGGAGGGCGGGGAAGGCGACGGGGGCAGGGGCGACGGCGGCAGGGGTGACGGTGGCAGGGGTGACGGCGGCTCAGGAGAGGGCGGGGAAGGCGATGGCGGCAGAGGTGACGGCGGCTCAGGAAAGGGCGGGGAAGGCGACGGCGGCAGAGGTGACGGCGGCTCAGGAGAGGGCGGGGAAGGCGACGGCGGCAGAGGTGACGGCGGCTCAGGAGAGGGCGGGGAAGGCGACGGCGGCAGAGGTGACGGCGGCTTAGGAGAGGGTGGGGAAGGCGAGGGTGGACGGGGCGACGGCGGCTTAGGAGAGGGTGGGGAAGGCGACGGCGGCAGGGGCGACGGCGGCAGGGGCGACGGCGGTTTAGGAGAGGGTGGGGAGGGCGAGGGTGGACGGGGTCGGGGAGAGGGAGGTTTGGGTGATGAAGTCCGCGGCGACGGCGGACTGGGTGAGGGCGTGCACTCTCCGTCTGCACGGCAAGAAGAACCGGTTTGCGCTTGCTAGCAACTTAGCTTTAGCTGCAGTCCGACTGCAGGTCATAACTTGCTGCCTCCCACGGTTTGGTTTACCCTTGGTTCTGCACACGAATCTGACGGGCTGGTCGCAGCCCTGGAAGTGCATGTCCCCCTCCTGGCTCATGACGGGGCACAAGTCCTCCGGCGCCCTGCCGCCAGCCCAGCAGGTGAACCGGCTGCCCTTGCACAGCGATGCAAGCACACCTGCGGACACGGGAGGGGCGGGGGAGGAGGGGCGGGAAGGTGTATGGTAAGCCAAGGTGTACGGCAGGCGAGGGAGGGGAGGGCATGAACGCGGGACAGGAAAGTTTGGAGCACTAGCCGGCTTAGGTGACACGTCTGTCCCAGCGCTCTCAGCACGGCGACACCCACCGAAGGACGCGTCCTTGTCCCAGGGCGCCAGCTCAAAGCCCTGGCGGCTGCAGTACTCCTTCGCAGCCCTCCAGTTGGGCATGCAGATCGCGTCCACGTCGTACAGCGTGTAGGTACGGCAGTCCCGGGGGTTGTACCGGGAGACGTTCTTGTAGCGGGAGGTGTAGGGGTTGCAGGATGGGACGGCAGGTGCAACAGGTGATGGGGGCGGTCCAGGTGGAGATGGGCACTTCTCGTAGACGGTGACGTCAGGAGATTGGCACTTCATGTAGCAGGAGTTGAACCACGTATGCCCCTTGGAGCATACGGGATTGTATTTCGTGTTAGAGCAGTCATCCATGCAAGCATACGCCGGTGAAACCAGCAGCCATGCCAAGGCCACGGCCACTAATGTGGCCAATCCGCCTCCCTTGGTCATTAGACCGCTCCGGCCAGTCGTTAAGAAACACAAGGACTTAGGCTAACTGGATGGAGACACAACAGGTGCCACCGCTGAGACAGCCTAAGACAGGTAGGGCTCCACCGACGATTGTGTAGTCGGTTCAGACCACTAGCTGTGAGTAGGGACAACTCGGGGCTCTCCTCAAGAGCGCTAGGCCGGTATGAATGAAAGCGAGGGCGCACCATCATTTTATATGAGTCCCAACAGAGCTTTTGTGGTTATAAGGAAAGACAGGACTTCCAGACAAGACAGGAGGGCATTCACTGGGTTGCAAAGTGGACAAGCGATGGCAGCAGTTGCTGCCGTGAAACAAATCGTGCACGACGGTTGCGCAGGAAAGTGGGGTGCAATTATCCTCATAACGACTGATGGAGCCTGCCTTTCATTTAGAGTTTACCTTCAAACGAATGTCAGATTTAACCTGTGGTCAATCCTGAGACCAGCGCACGACGCGGAGTAGGACGGGACGTGACGAACCATACAGGTGGAGGAGGGTATTAAGAACCACCAGGTATTAAGAACCACCCCACTTTTCTGCGCCCAGAAGAAGGATTTCGACAAGCGGATTCTAGTACTTTAAGTTCATAGTATATATATGAAGTCCATAGTTGTGGCTGGGACGGCGGTTACGATTTGGGCACCAGAGCCAAACAGCTTTGCATGAACCGCGGTGTGGAGTGGCTAGAGCGCCTGAGGCATCTGAGCACCTTCGCGACCACCTGGCATGCATACTATACACATCTTTTATGGAATTGACTGCTAAATAGCTTCCCAGCAGCCACTTCTTTTCCCATCCTTGCGACCAAACCCCAATTATGCCCTAAGCGTCCTTCCAGTCATAAACGCGCTGCATAGACGCGTTATAGGACACATATATAAGACTTGGATGTTGTTTAGTAGCATAGGTGCGATGATGACGGATCAGGATCTGATGCTTGCCCATGATGGCAATATACCTCGGCGGTCACAACTGGTGAACCCCAGACGCCAGCTAGCATGTCCACAGCCTCTGATAGCTGTATTAGCTGCTTGCTGAAGTTTTCCCGGTGCGGGAATGTGTCTAAGCTGGCTTTTTCGCAACTTTCAGGGTGGTTCTTAATACCCCTCCTTTTCTGGAAGTTGGGGATTTTGCGTAGGTGTTGAATAACGGTCAGTGTCGCTGCTTATATTGAGAGTCGTAAGCAGGGCTCTTGGCCCCGTACAGAAGGGTCATACGGCTATCTGCTGCTCCATTTAGAACGTTAATCCGTGAAGTATGCAATGAATGCGACGCATGCAAAGTCGAAGTGGTTCTTGATACCCTCCTTAACCTGTACTTATGAGCCCTCAAGCATAAAGGCAATCTATTGCTTTGCACGCTTGGATGGGTGCTTGGCGAGGTAATTAGAGATCGGCTGCAAGACGACGACCGGCCAAGCAAGGCGCCATGCACCTTGCGTTCTCCTCGTATTGCGCATTGCGCGTCGCGTTGCGCTACATCGGGGGTGCCTGGGAGACCAGTTATTACATGCAGCGGTATATGCGGGCACAACCCACCTGGCAGTGACTTCCGTTGGCAGAGTGATGGATTTTACAATGCAACCCCTCGCTCCACAGTTATTTACGTGGCTTTTGCTCATATGGTGCATGCAGCCACGAAGCTTTATGCTCCATGCTTTGGGGGTCTAGCCCAGCGACCTGGCATGGTGTGGCAGCCACGAACATAGCCTTAACCGACGCACGATACAGCAACCAGTAGATTGGTCCCACAGATTTCCCAGCGGCAGCTCCCAACTTCGGGCAAGTACATCATGTTCATTTGCCGCAATCTTGTGTTGACCACATCAAAACCGGCTTCAGTACCAAGATGCACGGCCGCCTGCCTTGCTTGGTCTCCTATGGTTCGCAGTGCACTGGGCCTTGCTACAAACCTCTACCCCGCAACACGCTCTCGCAAAATATCGGTAACACCCACTACCTGTCTTATGTTGAAACCCACTCCACACAAGCCATGCAGACAGTATGCATTGTATCGAAAAGGAAGTCACCAATAGGGAACTACACAAGTAAGACTGGTATAAACGTTGGCACGGTATCATATACAGGCAACTGGCACTTCCATAGAACGCCCGCGGCAGCCAGGCCCAAACCGTCAACTCATCATTGCCCGCACGTATCTCCATGCCGTACAAGGGGTCATCAGCACTGCATGAGGCTAAAAGCGATGTTGTCGCAGCGCTGCCAGGAGACCCTTTGCCAGCAAAAAGCCCGCGTAAATCACCACCATCAAAGTGCACAAGTTCACACGCCTTCGGCCCCCTGCCGCACCGGCAGCGGCTGCAGCCGGGACGGCGGCCGTTGCTGCGTCGCAGTAAATCAGCACGTACAGCAAACGCAACGCATCGGCGCGTTGTACGAGCAGGTAGGTATCTGGAAGGTCCTTGTCCGAATGGCGGTGGTGGGTTAGGGATGCGGCGTCTGAGGCAGCGGAAGAGGCGGTCGCGGCAGTGGCGGTGGCAGAGGGGAGCGATTGGGAGGGTGTGTGATCCACCCTGTCCAGGTCTACCTCACACACCAACAGCGCTCGGAGCTTTGAGCCGAAGCGCGACAGCGGCCATGAGATGCACGGCTGGCAGAAGCTGCGGGAGGGGGGAGAGGTCGGGTCGGGTGCAGGCAGGATGCGGGGGCGGGGTGACGCTTAAGCAAGGAAGAATGTACGGTACGCTAGGAGGCAATGGACCAGCAGCCGGCAGCCTATGTTACGTTACCCCTGTTACCCCTGGCCGCACAAGCCGTGCAGCATGCAAGCCCAAGGTGGCCCAGCCTCTAACCCACATGCCCTTAATCCAGCACGTTACGAGTCCGGAGCCACCATTATCTGGAGCCCTCACGTCAACAGTCAGCGCAACACACGCAGCCCTTCATTCCTGCCCCATCCTACCCTGTCACACGACTGGCAAGTCCCGTCCTTCGCCGCATGCCCTCCTACCCCCCCTTGGCTCCCTCCCAGCCGCGCCCGCATTGGGAATCCTTCTTGCTTCCCACCCGCCCCCACCTGAACGCCGTGTCGTAATTGGTGCTGAGGTAGATGCCGGCGCCAAAGTTCGCCCCCGTGCGCTGTAGGCGGGTGCCGCTGAGGTTCTGCAGGCCGGTGTGCAGGATGGAGTGCAGGTTCTCCAGGTGCGTGCCGTGGTAGGCCACGGTGCCGCGCGGGAAGGGAGCCTGCAGCAGCAGCAGCGCGGTGGGGGGGGGGCACGCAGAGGGAACATATGGGTGGGTTGGAAGGTGGGAGGGTAGGGTGGTTTAGGAACGTGGCCGGGTGGTACTGGGGCTTATGGCCCTGTGGGAGAGCTCACAAAGAGGCAGCTACGGTGGGTGCCCCAGGTAAGGGGCACGTGCGTGGTTGGGGTAGATTGCGGTGGGTGATGATAGGGGTGCGTTTGAGGGTAGCAGTGCATAAGATGACGTGCGGTAATGGTGTTAGGATGATCATCCTTCCACCTTCAGCGGGGTTCTCCGTGCACTTATTTTCCCGTTCCCTGCCTCGTACCGTCGTACTGTCATTGTCCCTTTCGCCCTTCCATCCCCTCACCTGCGCATAGCCCTCATGCGCACGCAGCACAACCGCGGGTGTGTTGTGTCCAGCAAAGCCAGGCAGCCGCCATCCCCTCATGCTGCTGTCACGCTGCGGAAGCTCCCGCAGCATCTCCCCGATGGTTGCCTGCGAGAAGTGCCGCCGTCGTGTCGGGTGCAGCAGTAGCCATTGCAGCAGCGCGAGGGTTGTTGGAGGCAGGTTCCGGAGCACATCTTCGCCGCCAAGCAGGGATTGTACAGCGGGAAGCGCTGCGAGCGCTCGTTGAAGCGATGCAAAGTCCTTGTCCTTGGTGCCAGGTAAGGGCGCGAGAACCTCGGATGGGAAGGGTGTGCAAACTGCGGGTTTGGGAGGATTGCAACGCAACGAGGGGATCAACGGCTATTGACATGACACTGGAAACCTACGAAAAACTCGTAAAGGTTGCTAAAGAATCACGGGCAACTAGCTTGAGGTATGCCGAAATCGTTCCAAAAAAAGGTAAAAATGCAAACACACAGCCTTGCAGAAGCTGGACAGCCGAAGGTCGGGCTTGTCGACAAGTTATCGCTTAACTTTGTACGCCGTCGCCTAACATTAACAATTGAAGCGTACAGGCATTGCCGCGCTTACATGGCAAGCGTGCATCAAGCAACAGTTGCTAAGACTCACTTGTGCTCCGCCTATAATGGTGTGCAGATGTATAAAATGCGGTTATAAGGAGATCTGTGCCATCTGGGTAGGCGTTTACTTCAGCCAGTAATTCCTGGAGAGAGTCCAGCGACATCAACGCCTACGAAGCCAAAAAAATCGCACGGATAGTAAGCAATACCACTAGTTATAACTTAGTGAGCAAGACACTGTAACAGCTGTGTACTGGAAGCGCATGGAATGCTTGTGCGGATCCAGAACTAGATTTTCGGCAGGCAGCTGCTTTACCCAGGGTGTCGATCGCTTGCAAGCCCTACGTTAGTATGTTAGATTTTTAGATCGTCCTCCTTAATATGGTATACACGTTGTGAAACCTTACACGAAGACACAATATCGCGCTACTTGGGTAATTAGCCATGCGGGCCTCTTCAGCAGCTGCTGGCAAGCAGGAAATACCTACTTTAGAAGAGCAGAAGTTATACCTCAACTTATGCATTCTTGGGATTGCTGGAACTAACCTCCGTTCGGAGGGCATTGAGCTTGGGCGGACTACATTTCGGCGCAGCAACAACAAAGCGCTTGAATATGTCCTATATCGGCTCTACAGCATTATCGAGGGCAAGAACCGCGCCCAGAAGGTAGGGTATAACGTCTGGGGTGAGCGCATTGCAGATAAAAGCAATGAATGCCCACAATTGGGATACCTACAGGACCTCAAAGGCATGCTACCGGTCCTCGACAAGGTGCAGCAGGCGCCCTTCTACCAGGTACGTGCATGGTTTCGTAAGCACCGTGCGCCCATGGAGCACGTATGTAATCTCCTCGGTGAGCCATCACGCGTATGCGGTTACAGAGGATTGGGGACTGGATGATGGAGCTCAAGAAATCCGGACGTCTCGAGCCCTCCGTAATCCTACCCGTCTCAGCACTCAAGACGAACACATCTAACAGGTACGGCAGTGAAGCCCAACCCTGACATCCCAGGGTCCAACCATACGCTGCATCGGCCCCTTACTCCTAACAACTAACCCGGCCTAATGCGCTGCTGAAAGGTTGGTGCTTCTCTTGTTGGAGCTCTCCACAATCGCCCTTCAGCATGACCTGGAGGCGTCGGCCCCAGGGACAGTCCAATCTTTGTACCTGCCAACCACGGTACGCTGGGTCGTGGCTGCTGATGCTGAAACCCACATTTTGTTCTGATTGTTACAACCGACAGGGGACAACGACTTTGCCCCGCCCTTCGCCATTCTCCTTGCCCCTTGACCACTCCTTCCATCACACATCCATACATACAAGCACAATGCCAACATCCTGTCTCGCATATCACGTTCATCCGAAAGCTCTGCATGAGTTCCTGTTTTACATATTCCTCTTTTCACACGCAGAACGGAGGCAGCAATGGCTCTGGCCTTTTGGAGGATACCTTCCTTCCCGGGGACGTTCGCCTGGCGGTGGGTGTTACCCGCGCCAAGCATGCGTGCAGCGACTTCCTCAGCTTGTCAGCCTCAGAGTCGCACGCGTTCGACTCCATGGCGCAGCTGGTGCAGACGTTGAAGCGGAAGTACTATGAGCTGCATGCGGAGAAGCGGCGCCAAGACGCTGTGCTGGTAGGCATGGCTCGGTGCAGGGGCGTAACTGTGGTGCTGGAAGGTCTTGGGTGGAATACCTGAAGCACATGCTTCCCGCATTTGCCAGTGTGCTAGCAAGCTCTTGTTCTAGAGCGGCAGCGTCCCTTAAAATAGTCGTAAAGATGTTGCGATGCGCGGGCGCATGCAATCCGGGGACACACTCACGCAAACAGCTCCAAAATTCTCTAACCTCCTCATCGCAACCCGCATGCAGGCTGAGGCTTCAGAAGATGTTGTCATGTCGACCGGGGCGGAGTCGCCGCTGTCAGGACCCAGCAGCCCGGTCTCCTCCAGCGCCAGTGTCCGTGCCTCCAGCGCAGCACAGTTTGGGGGGTCGTCCGCGGCCAAATCGCTAACATCGCCGCCGTCCGCAGGCGCTGCGTCAGAGCACTCGGGTCAGCTGCAGCAGCAGCACTCCCAGCAATCGCGTCGTACCACGCGTAGCCGGGCCCAGGACGGCCAAGCCGCGGTGGCAAACCTCTTACAATACCTGAGCAGCTTGGACGACTACCTACGCATTCATGTTGAGCTTAGCAAGGCGCTCATGACGGACGGCGCGGAGGGCGGTAGCAGCAGCAGTAACAGCAGTGACATGGGCGGCGGCAGCTCGGCCGGCAGCAATGCAACCGGAGAGGATGCCATGTTCGGCTTCTCCCGGCCCCTTCAGCCGCAGCAGCAGGTGTTGCACCCGCACCAAATTGACGGGGCAAAGCTGGCAGAAGCTAGCGCTGCTGCTGCTGCCTCGGCAGCGGCGAAGCAGTCGGGGCGTGGTGGGGTTGTTGGCGACAACGCGCAGCGGCGGCCTCCCAAGCACATGCTGACGCCCTTTGCTCCGGAGAACCTAGTAGGCGCCGTATTGTCCTTCTCCTCACTGCTGAGCTCGCTGGCGCCGCATGTCGTACAGCTTGCCATGGCCGGGGAGAATGCAGGTAGGGGCAGCGTACGCCATGTAACAGGTGTTCACGGTGGTGTGCTTTGGAGGGTGTGCCCCGGTATCGATAGTTACGAACCGTAAACGAAACCAGGTTGGCGTGCAAGAGGCGTGGGCCTGCGTTCTGCTCCAGGCTTCAGTGTCGCTAAGCGGTTGTTGCATGCGTGCCCCGTTCGCATTGCATGCAGGACCGCCTCCTCTGCTGCAGCCCCCTAGCCAGCCCAGCAGCCATGCGGCCCACATGGTGCACCAGCTGCAGGTGCATGACACCGCTTGCAAGCAGATTGCACAGCTGAGTCGGAAGTTCCAAGAACGGGCTGTCGCTTGCGGTAAGCCATAGGAATCTGGTGTATCCGTACGGTATCTTGAGTTTGGCACCTACTGCAATTACCACCGGTAGCACTATGAGGTATGCCACACGATTTGGTACAATTTCTCCATGCATCCGACGGGTTTGTAGGGGCCCTTTGGGTGGTCCTGCAAGCAACGATTCTTGGTTGATTTCCAAGGGTCCCGACTCATTCCTTACAATCTTCCTTATGTTGACTCGCTTCCGCAGAGCCGGTACTGGAAGCCCTGCGGGTAGCAAACCTCAGGGCGCAAGCAGCTAGATGCGACGCCACTGGCTTCGGAGCCCAGAGCCACGACGAGTACCCTGGCTTAGAGGCCTCGCACAGTCTGCCCCTTCCGGACCCACTGGGCGCTCCGGCCCGAGCAGCTGACCCCTCCTCCTGCCTGGACAGCGCCGGACCACACGCTTCCGCTACCTATGCCGGCATGGCAGCCTCAGGCGCCTGGAGGGGCGCCTTCCACAGCACCGACGGATCGTTGCTATCCCCACTGCTGGCACGCGTGCCATCAGCTGTTGCTGCTGGTGCTGGTGCAGGTATCCCTAACAGCGGCGGCGCGATAGGGACCACTTCCATGGGTGCAGCGGCGGCGGCGGCAGCCATGACGACAGCTGCGCCGGCGGACAGTGGCAGCCAGACCGAGCTGGACCTGGCTAGGCTGCAAGAACGCATGCGCAACATCCGCATGACCGATGCTGCTGCTACTGCCGTGCAACCGCCCCAAGCGGCTGCCGCTCCCTCACTCGCGGTGCCCATGTCTCCTACGCCAGCGCAGACCCAGTCGCATGGCACTGGTAACGCAGGTAGTAACGCAGCAGCAGCTCCAGGTGAGCAGATGTCGCATGAAGCGCTGATGGCTAGGTTGCGGAACGCAATCGCTACCAGCCCTGTGCCGCCTGGCCGCGGCGACAGGAGGCTGTCCCGTGAGGGCGAGAACCCCGCCGCAGCTGCTCCCACGCCCGCCTGGCCGCCTGCCGTATTGCAGCCTGTGCCGGCCCATACGGCTGCCGCAACGACGGCAACAACGTCGGCTTCTTCCCAGCAGCTGCAGTCCTGGCCTGCACTGCAGCAAAAGCCGCTGCCAGACACTTCTGCCCACTCTGCGTCTTCCCAGGGCTGGCTGCTGCAGCACATGCTAGAGCCGCAACCCTCCTCTCCTTCCGCGCGCCGTGCGCTCGACGTGCAGCTCTCTCGGCAATCCGCCTCTACAGGCGATAGTGCAGCGGCGCAGTGGCCGGGCACCCAGCCTGCTCTTTCCTCGCCCGCAGATCTTGGTGGCGGGGCCACTTTCGGTGCGACTGCTGCCTCCGCTTACATGACGGCGGCGGCGCACCCACATTCCTCGCTGACGTCAGTGGACGCTGCAGCAGCTGGCACGGATACGCGGTGCATGTTTGGCGCTAGCGCCGACGCGACGACAGGAGGCGACGACGGCCATTCTCGCTTCCACAGCTTTGCAGGCGTTACCGGTGATCCGGTCATGGACGGCGCGGGCAGGAGCACGGGCTTTCATGCACCTTCGGGCCTCGCTGCTGGGGTGCCGCAGCTTTCCCAGAGCACCTTTTCCGGCACGGGCAACGCATTGGCGCAAGCCGCATTCGGCATTGCGCATGGTGGCGGCCACCACGGCGATCCAGAGGATGCAGATGGGGACGCTGATTTTGGACTCCTCGCCGCGGAAGGTGCGCTTGTCAGTCAGGCCCTCATGTACGGCAGCGGTACGACACCTACCTCGTCTTCACCGACAGGGGCTGACGTCGAGCCTTTTGCGACGGCAGCAGCAGGGGGTAACTGCGTGGAGTCGTTTGCAGCAGGGGGTGCAGGCAGTGCATGGGGTAGCTTCTGCGGGAGCACTGTGGAAGCCACACAGCCTGTTGTGTCGGCAACAGCAGCCGTTGCGGAGCCGGCGTTTGGGGCTGCACGGAGTGACAGCGGGCAGGGTTTCGGGCAAGGACATGGTTATGGCCACAACAACAGTGATGATGGCATGGATGTGGACGATCCGAGCGAGTGGGGTGTCAAGGGCACGGGGGCAAGGTCATCTTTGGGGATGGGCACGGCAGGCCACATCAATGCCGCCTTGGTTGCGGACTTTGGAGCTGTCGTGGTGCCGCAGGCGCAGCCACAGGGCAGCAGGACCCCTCGCGAATCCCTAGGGGCCTCGGTGGCAGTCTCCTCCGGCAGCTTCGGCGCTGACTTGTTGGCCCTGAAGGCCCGAATGCAAGCCATAACGGGCCAGTCGCACGGCAGCTGAGAGGAAGGGGGTAATTAAACGCTATAACGCTGAACGTGACCATAGGGTGATGATGGAGGGGGTTGGTGGGTGTGGTATGTCAGTCACCAGGCAGTTGTTGTGCTCTTCTTATGACGGGTTGGGGAGGCGGGGGCGGGTGCAGGTTTCGCTTGCATGGCTGTACAGTTTGGACGCCTTACCCAGCCATGTGCTGGGGTGTTAGCGCTCCATATTTAAGGCTTTGTTTCAGTCGGGCGCATGGTGATTAACTACTGCATGTGCAAACACATTCTGCCTCGTACAAGGATTGGAGGATTTGATTGAAGGGTGCAGACAATCTTGGTGCCCATGAAGCCAGGGTGCCATGAAGCTGTGGGTTCCGTAACCCCATACGGTACCTGGAAGACATGTTGGAAGGCATGTTGGACTCTACTGCGTGCCAACTTAAACACGTCGTTTTAAGCGAAACAACTATTGCGTTCACAGCATAAGCTGGTAGGGGAATGAGCTTAGCCGTGGCCTAAGATAGCGCTCCGATTGTTCCCCTAGGGTAAGCAAGCCCTGCAACACCGAAGTTAACGAGCTCCGAGCAACACATAATCTCAGACGACTAGTATACCACACGCCCTGCAGTCAACTGTTTGCAGGGTGTCCACCAGCCAAGCATCGTTCTTGGGCTGACGTACACCGGCTCGCAACCGCTACATGGGCAATCGCCTGGCAAGGAACTGTTGCCCCCTAACGGCAGAGCGTTCAACCGGTTGCCATACCGGCTGCCATGGCAAGCTTTTGACTGGCCCTTCACTGGTATATGTGTACTTGCTGCAGCCCTGTTGTTGTGCATGCGCATAGAGAGTGGGACCGAGGTCAATCGCCGGACGGTAATCTATATGCAACTTGTGCATAAGACAATAGAGAAGTTTGCCAAGCGTCCGCTCCAACCGCCGTGCAGTACGTTTCCGCTCGCTTACCTTATCCTCCTGTCACATCATACCAATCTGCAACCTCGAGATACTCGCCAGCCTCGACCTCGGAAACTCCGCTGCAAGGCGTATAAAAGGATGGCGCTTCCACGAATTCGCTCAACCTTTCCCAGCGCTCTTCAGCGCGGGCATAAGGTTGTAGTTACCACGACCAGGTTATCCACCCGACATGAAAATCGTCGGTGGGCCTTAATGGCGTCATTCCCTCAACGGCGGTGGCTTTGGCCATCATTCCAACGGTTCAGGTCGCGACTGCTAAATTGCAACAGGCTTTCACATGAACTTTGATCATGGGCTCCATAAGATCAACGCTTCTTTCGACAGCCGTGGCATGGCTGCTGGCGGTGGTTTCGCCGGCGTATGCTTGCATGGATAGATGCTCCAACACGCAGTATAATCCCGTATGCTCGAAGGGGCATATGTGGTTCAACTCCTGCTACATGAAGTGCCAATCTCCTGACGTCACCGTCTACGAGAAGTGCCCATCTACACCTGCACCGCCCCCATCCCCTCTTGCACCTGCCGTCCCATCCTGCAACCCCTACACCTCCCGCTACAAGAACGTCTCCCGGTACAACCCCCGGGACTGCCGTACCTACACGCTGTACGACGTGGACGCGATCTGCATGCCCAACTGGGGGGCTGCGAAGGAGTACTGCAGCCGCCAGGGATTGGAGCTGGCGCCCTGGGACAAGGACGCGTCCTTCGGTGGGTGTTGCTGCGCTGAGAGCGCTGGGACAGACGCGTCACCTAGGCCGGCTAGTGCTCCAATCTTTCCTGTCCTGCGTTCATGCCCTCCCCTCCCTCGCCTGCCGTACACCTTGGCTTACCGTACCCCTTCCCGCCCCTCCTCCCCCGCCCCTCCCGTGCCCGCAGGTGTGCTGCAGTCGCTGTGCAAGGACAGCCGGTTCACCTGCTGGGCTGGCGGCAGGGCGCCGGAGGACTTGTGCCCCGTCATGAGCCAGGAGGGAGACATGCACTTCCAGGGCTGCGACCAGCCCGTCAGATTCGTGTGCAGAACCAAGGGTAAGACCAGACCGTTGGAGGCAGTAAGTTATGACCTGCAGTCGGACTGCAGCTAAAGCTAAGTTGTTAACAAACGCAAACCGGTTCTCCTTGCCGTGCAGACGGAGAGTGCACGCCCTCACCCAGTCCACCGTCGCCGCGGACTTCATCATCCAAACCTCCCTCCCCCCGACCCCGTCCACCCTCGCCCTCCCCACCCTCTCCTAAAACGCCGTCACCCCTGCCGCCATCGCCTTCCCCACCCTCCCCTAAGCCGCCGTCACCCCTGCCTCCGTCACCCTCCCCGCCTTTCATAAGCCGCCGTCACCCCTGCCTCCATCGCCTTCCCCGCCCTCTCCTAAGCCGCCGTCACCCAAGCCTCCTTCACCCAAGCCCCCGTCACCTTAGCCGCCGTCTCCCTCCCAACCCTGTCATAAACCCCCTTCGTCCCAGCCGCCGTCGCCCTCCCCACCCTCTCCTAAACCGCCGTCACCCCTGCCGCCATCGCCTTCCCCACCCTCTCCTAAGCCGCCGTCGCCCCAGCCACCGTCGCCTCCCCACCCTCTCCTAAACCGCCGTCACCCCTGCCGCCGTCACCCAAGCCCCCGTCTCCCTCCCAACCCTGTCATAAACCCCCTTCGCCCCAGCCACCGTCGCCTTCCCCGCCCTCTCCTAAGCCGCCGTCGCCCCTGCTGCCATCGCCCTCCCCACCTTCACCAAGCCCCCGTCACCCAAGCCCCCGTCACGCAAGCCGCCCACTCACCCTCGCTCACCTAAGCTTCCCTCACCCTCCTCCTTCCAAGCCGCCATCACCCAAGCCCGGCTCACCCTCGCCGCCCTCACCTATGCCGGCATCGCTCCTGCCTCCCTCGCCTCGGCCTTCTCTTCATCCCCCCATCCGTCATCCCCCATCGCCCCGGACCGCGTCTGCACCCCCGCCCAGCCCCGCCTCTCGCACCCCTCGGGCGCCTCGCCACCACCGCTTACCACCGCCTGGCTCGCACTCGAGTAAGTGCCCTGCTCGCGCGTCCTCCTAGCATGCACTGGCTACGCTATCTGAGCATTGCAGCATATGACACCAGCTCGCTCACCGCCCACCCCTGCTGCCCCCCCCCTGCTGCCCCCAACCCCCCGCCCCCGCTGCCCATGCAGGCGCCAACGTGCTGTCGCTGTCCGCGGGAGGCTACCGGTACCGCATGTACGACGTGGACGCCTCGAAGCGCATGCCGTACGGCGGGGCGGAGGCGTTCTGCAGCGGGCTGGGCGAGGGCTGGGAGCTGGCGCCTTACATCGAGGGTGCCAGCTTCGGCGCCCTGACGGAGCTCTGCGCCGCCAACCACTACACCTGCTGGTGCAGGCGCGAGCAGGAGGACACGCTGTGCCCGCTGATTGACGCAAACGGGGTCCTGCAGAAGCAGGGGTGTGAGCAGGACGTGCGGTTTGTGTGCCGCGAGAAGATGACGTAGACATAGACGTGTGTGTATGGGCGCTTGCTTTAGCGCTATTTATTCACTGTAACGTTTCCGTTGCAGCTGACACTCGTTTGTTTTCAATGAGCACGTATTGTACATGCCTGCGCTTAGCATACCGGGCCTCGACTATTGAAGTCCTTTGCATCTTTCCCGCGATCTTCATCTTACCAGACGGTTTCTCACGTTATCATGATGTGTTGATCAAGACACGCTAATCTTATCTTTCTCTCTTCTAGTATGCGTGAAGCCCTGGTGTATGATGGTGTATGAAATGGAATGCAAAAGAACGCATCTTATGGATTTGCTCACCCTTAATTCTCGGGTGGAGACCTAAGAATACTGTATATGCCACCTTCCTTATTGTCCTCGGAGGCTAGCTGCGTTCGTGTCTAGGCGCAGATGGGTTGTTCGGTCACGGCTGTAGCGTGTTTGCTTCCACACAACACTTGCCTCAAGCCTACACGCCCACCTTAATACCGGTACTGTTCCCTGTTTGTGTTTACGTGTATGTACGGTGGCTCCTGCCACCACGTTGCTTTGTTTTAACCCATTGTTGAAAAGCGTACTAAGGCTCACACCAGCAACCTTGCCATTAGAGCAATGGTCTGCGTCCGTGCTGCACTCGGTTGTCCCATGGGTCACCAGAGGTGCTTAACTGCTTACACGACATGGGACGTGCTCGCGTAGAGCATGCTGGGCCATGCAACAAGCACCAAGACGGGGACCAGTACTGCTACCCATGCAAGCTCTGCGCTGCATGGAGAGGATAGACACGATTAAGTGACGTTACAGGGTTGCCAAACCTGAGTGCGCAGTTACCCGAAGGCGCAACAGAATATTCCCAGCCCTACACCGCAACGACTGCAATGACTTCCCATCACTCTCAGCCCCGACCCACGTGCTCATTTGTAACCCAAGCCTGTAAACGAAGTTGTGAGGTCACTTCCTAGCAACGAACAAAGTACCGGAATGTGCTTCAGACCCTCAGACAGACGGCAGCTGCGCCAACCTGCCAGCCTGAGCCAGTCAGCTTGGCATTAACGAAATAACGCAACGGAATCGGGTGTGGCAGCCTTGAGCGAGTACCGTGTCCCGCAAGGTTCCCACCGCCTCCCTACCCTGCCATGGGCCCCCCTGCCACACAGCGTAGAGATAGCCTGCACTTGCAAATACCTGCTTACAAGCCTTCCTTGCAACGGCCACAGACGAAGAGACAGGCACAATACCGGTAGTCATATGCTTTGGTTGCCTGTCTTGATGGACGCAGCTGCTAGGGTGGCACATTCCTGTCTTTCCTGAGCAACAAGGCGACCCTTGTCCTAACGCCGAGCCGGACCTCCTGATTTCATGCCCTTCCTAGTCTTCCTATCTGCCCTTCCTAACGCACGGACAGACAGCTGTCTGAAGGTTGGCCTGCGTGCCTTGCACCGGCATGCATGCCCTTGGATGGCACGACCTTGCAAATGCTCCAATTGTAGCACATCGAGGCAAACGAGGCTCTGGTGCCAACCAATGTACGGCTGTTGTTCCACATCGTCTGGCTGGGTGTGGGAAGGCCCCATGCATGTTGTTGGATGACACAAACTTGGAGTGTGCGAATCGAGGCAACTGAGGTTGTGGTACCAACCGAAATACGACGACCAAGCCTATTTAAGCGAGCGTGTGTGCCTGGCAAAATCAGTCCCAACCTTTTGTGGCAAATCACTCATAACCAAAGCAATTCACTACTGAACATTTCCACCATGTCTCGGTCTGTGGTGTTGGCCTTCGTGGTAATGCTGGCCCTGACCGGCCATGCCCTGGCTAGCCGGGAGAAATGGCAGCAGAAGGACGACGGCGGTAAGTATGACAAGAAGGACGACAAGGAACTTATCAGCAAGAGGTATGAGGGCAAGGAGATCGAGAAGGAGGACGGCAAGAAGTACGACGACAAGGAGTACGGCAAGAAGTATGACGACAAGGAGGACGGCAAGAAGTACGACGACAAGGAGTACGGCAAGAAGTATGACGACAAGGAGGACGGCAAGAAGTATGACGACAAGGAGGACGGCAAGAAGTACGACGACAAGGAGGACGGCAAGAAGTACGACGACAAGGAGGACGGCAAGAAGTACGACGACAAGGAGGACGGCAAGAAGTACGACGACAAGGAGGACGGCAAGAAGTACGACGACAAGGAGGACGGCAAGAAGTATGACGACAAGGAGGACGGCAAGAAGTATGACGACAAGGAGGACGGCAAGAAATACGACGACAAGGAGTACGGCAAGAAGTACGACGACAAGGAGTACGGCAAGAAGTATGACGACAAGGAGTACTATGGCAAGATGGAGCTGGTGGTGACGGAATTCGAGGACAGCACTTCCATCACCTCGTAAGGAGTTGCGGCACCTGCCACGAACCCTGCCTGTCTCCAGCCATTGATTTACCAGCCACCTCGGCTGCCTAGGCAACGCATCCGTTACCTCCCCGACACCTGCGCGCCGTGTCTAGCGCTACCATCTGGCTGTTGTTTGCACATGCGTGATTCCGTACCTCCTGCTGTGATCTGCTGCCACCCGCATATCGCAGGGGCTGCAATGATGTGGGATGCACGTACGCCTTCTCGGACCCCATTGCGCTGGGCGACTCACCCAAGGGCAAGAAGGTACGGGGCAGATTAACTCCGCCGCTACCGTTAGGCTGAGGACAACCGTGGCCACTCATGACGGCTATAGCCTCTTTGCACTACAATTGGCTGCTTCGATGATGTCCTAAACATGCTTGCGGCTTTATCTGTGTGCCCTTGCGCTCCAGCCGTGTTTGCATGCATGCATGGGGGTATGCCTTACGACACCCTCTCCGTCTGTGCTTTGGTGCTGTCCCGCCCTCTGCTCTTCAGGTCGGCGTCAACACCGGCATCTGCACCGTCTTCTCCAAGTCGAAGGATGGCAACACCGCTTACTGCGTGTACAGCATTGTGGTCGACAAGTACGGCAGCAGCATCACCCTGCAGGGCCTCTTCCCGGACTACACGGTGGGTTAGGGAGAAGGCAGGATTGCGGATTGCTGAAGAGCGGCAGCGGCATGCAGGGGCTTAATAAGGGCTGACCAGACATGGCACCGCCTTTTTTATTAGTTGCAAGCCTTTGTTTCTCACCCGCACCTTCCCCCTCTTACCCCGCCTCTCCCCGCCCCCAGGGCCGCAAGTTCGACCTGGCCATCACCGGCGGCACGGGTGCCTGGACCGGTGCTTCCGGAGTGGTCACGGTGGACGTGCTCAAGTCAGGCGAGGCATGGAAGCACACCATTAAGCTGGACAAGTGGACCAAGTACGACGCCTGACCTTGTTAGCCTTGGCGGCTAAAAGGGACGATTGGTGCGTGGTGCACGCAAGCCGTCCCCACAACTAAGCGTGATCTTATGGCCTGAGGTTAGGCAACCGTATCTTCCTGTTGTTTAGGAGCCAGGAATGGTTTTGTTGTTGCTTTGATGGGCAATGTTCCAACATGAATCAGTGCCCCGGGCAACTGCCGTGATCCATTCTTTATTCCAGTAGTCCCTAAAGTAGTCTAGACCCGTGCATTGGATTGGAGGCAGGCTGGGATGTTGCATGTATGGATTTGGTTGAGAGCCTAAGTCGCTTGGCAGTTGAGATTGTTGACGTACTTAATCACAATCACAACGTATCCAGCTCTGCCTGAGCGGATGTGCGTTGCCAAGCACAATGCCTACCGGTAGTTCCCCGCTGGGCCTCCCCGCGGCTATAAACACTTGTAAAAGCAGGCGTATATGCAATTGTAGGCCTCTGCAAGCTACACAGCACATGGATCCTGATCCAATCGTACCTCGCTACCTTGATGCTGAAAGAATGCAACACCGGCAACACATCCTTGACCCACGGGTCACCCTTGCCGGAAACCAGTGTGTATAGGGTATCGCAGCAGGCCATGTCTCAGACGTCGTTCCAGCCCTCTGTTCCCACCTTGTGCTTCAGACCCGTGTTCCCGCCCCGTGTACAAAGTGCCAGCATGTTACATGCAGAGCCGTCGGATGCTGCTGCATATGTTGGAAGGTGTAGCAATGTACACCGATCTTATAACACTGGTCCCGGTGATCCGCGTGTAAGCAAAGTTGCATGGAACTGCCACAAGCAGCCAAGCATAATTTATCCGTCCGCAAAAGGGCTAAACTTAACACAATGCATGCATGAAGCCAGGGGGGGGGTAGGAAGCGCAAAAATAGACCCCAACCCTCAAATTGAAGGCGCTTTGCGTCGGGACTCCAAATCTGCTTTCAGATTTCTGTTTGGAGTTGTACGAAAAAAGTTATGGGCTTGCAAAGTTGGTTGTACGGCAGGGGTGGGTGGGTGGGTTCAGGGCCCCAACGACTTTTTTACATGAACCTCCAGGAAAAATTTTCCAGGCCTCATGTTAGGGTTTTGAAAGCTGTATTGCCATCCTTTCTTCGTTTCTTATACGTAGAATTGGTTATATGAACAAAATGGTCACTTTTCGGCTTCCGATGTTCCAATGACACTTCCCCTCTGAACCATGGTAGCCGAACGGAACTGCCCAATCCCCAAACGTACAAGAAACAACTTATGTAGAAAGCATACATTGCGAACGCGGCTAATCAGCCCTTTGTAAAGGCTTAGCATAGCAGCATGTCGCATGTCCCCCATGGTTGTGGAACACGACTGAGGAGGCGGGATGGGAGTAGACAGACTAAGCTGCGAGGAAGCACTCACAGTGACCACGAATGGGGTGGGGATGCAGAGCACAGAAACAAGAAGGCGTGGCAATTGGTGCCAGGGGCTATGGTCGAGGGCCCAGGGGGAAGAAGAGGCAGGAGCAGGGACCTGGAACGTGGTGGCGGCGTTGTCTCGGTTGGTGAAAACAGAACTGGCGGTGGTATGGCGCAAATGGAAGGGCCGTGGTGCTTCCTAGGCGCCAAGTACATAGCATCTGTCAAGCTGGGGCCAAGAACATGGTTACCTTAGCCGTCCATAGTGCAACGCTGTGACAGTAACTTCCCAGGGGTTTGGGGTTTTCTGACTGCATTTAATAGAGCTTGCGCAGAGGAACCTAGACGCTTTTTTCCCGGGCGTTTTGGCATAGTTTACAGGTTGTACGACACGCTTGGCGGTGGGTGGGTGGCTCCGAGGCCTTCTCTTTGGAAATTTCGGGTTGGGGTTTGTAAGAAAAATTTTTACCCCCCCCCCTGATGAAGCTACCGGACTTCGATCACGGTTTAGATCACGGCTTAGGAGAAGCCCAAGCTGCGAGTGAGCAGCACAGTAGTACCCATGCCCTAACTCAGGACCGTCACAGGGACATGGCGCGCGCGGCAGTACACCAACCTAAGTCACTTTTCACAGTGAAGGGGATAGCTCACGGTTCGCTTACGAGTCGCTCTAGACGCAGCATGCACACCTTCCTTATCACTTCCTTACTTCCAGGAAACCTCACGGCTATGCTGCATCATGCTGGCGAGGTCACCGGTTATCGGTTCAACGAGCGTCATAACATGCCATTAGTAAGCATCAAAGCCGTCGCGAGCAAACGCAACGAACAGGGAAACATCAGTGTGCATGCAGACCAAGCGCCGTCCCATGGGTCATATGACGAGTCGCAGCAGCGGGTCCCACCTCCCCACCTTCCCCATTTCCACCCCATACTGGCCCACATCACCTCCATCACAACGCAAGCACATTCACTGCCCCATCTGTTAATTCACGCCTGCGGAAGTGCCCGAGAGCACAAGCGCAAGCCTTGACCGACCACCTGATGCTGCTGACCTGCCTACCAGGCGGTTGCCGTACGGTTGCGACGCAACGCCAGCAGGTACCCGGCCGACACCGCCGCCGCCGCTGCAGCGGCTGACACCGCAAGCAGTAGCCGCGTGCGGGGGTGCGTTTGGGACGAGCAAGAAGGTGACGTGGTGAAGCACAGCCCTTGCAGGCCGCGGAAGACGCTGCTGAAGCGGGACGCAAGACTAGAGCAGCAGCAGGGCAACGAAGAGGAGGAAGAGGTGGTGGGAGGAGGAGTTGCTGCGCAGTTGGCAGTGGGTGGTGCCGTGGGTGCGTCTGGTGACCCCGGGAGGGGACTGCTGCCGCTGGAGTTGGGAGCCGGTGGGAAGGAGGAGGAGGGGGAGGAGGTTGGCGAGGAGGAGTGCGGAGCGGCCTGGGCTGGAGCGCCTGAGGGGCCTGAGGGAAGGAGGTGCGGGGAGAGATGGTTTTGCAAGGTAGTGGGAAGAGGTCAAGGGGACGGAATTGGGAAAACGGTACGGAGGGGCGATACGGGCCTGCATGTGCTGCGTTTCAGGGTCGCTGCACCCCCCTCCAAGCACCTACAAGCACTACCATGCATCCCGCCGTGCAGAGTCATGCAGGCACACAGTAGGATCGCGCCATGCACAGCCCGAGCAGCCCTCTCCCCCCCCCTCGCTCCTCCTTACCCGCCGCCTCCTCTCCCGCCTCCATCCACAAGGCAGCCGCCGCTTCCGTCCATAGCAGCCCGGACGCCGACGCCGGATCTGCCGGATCGGCTTCCCCCTCCTGTGTCGGCGCTGCCGCCGCCCCCTCCCGGGTGGCGGTTCCGCCTTCTTTCCCTTCACCACCGACCTCTGCTGCTTCGCCAGGGCTGCCGTCCAGCTGTTGTTGCTGCTCGCTGTTGCTACCAGGGCTCGCATGCGCAGCACTTAAGGCGCTGGAAGTGGTCGTACTAGCAGCAGCAGCATCAGCACCCTGCTGACTCTCACCCTGACTTCCAGCAGCAGCGGTTGCACAACTCGTAGCTGCTGCTGCTGCCGCCACCTCCGCCACCTGCACATAGCGGATGGTGGCTAGGAAGGTGTCCAGGTCGGCAGAGCGGCGGAACACCTGGGAGGGAGTGGAGGGAGTGGAGGCAGAGGGGGTCAGAGGGGGACAGAGGGGGCAGTGAACATGGAGAGAGCACAACGGATATCCGGAAGGATGCACTAGGCGTAGCAGGAGTGGAGTGGGAAGGCTGCCGACAGATTCCCGCAACCCCGAGGAGCAGGACATCCTCGGATTCTATGTTTACGGAACGCATGTTATCCTAAGTGTATTGGACCCGCGCTATCACGCCCTATTGAGCCAAACCCGTGCTTCCCTCCAAAGCTCCCTCTCATCACCAACCAACCGCCTCTACTTGAATCGTTTTGGCTGCGCATCACGCCAATCCCTTCGTCCTCACCACATGCACGGGCCCCCACTCCACCGCATTCGCCGTTCGCTGGCACCTCAGCGTTTTGGGCAGGCCGCGGAGGGAGTAAAGGAACTGGGAGCCGTGAAGCAGCTGTAGCCTGGAAAGAGGCAGGAAGGAGAAATGGGCAAGGATTGAAGCCAGTTGACAGCTACGCCTGTCAACGTCTCCTTTCTTGCTGGACTAGGCCCAAGTACCCGCTGTGGTGAACGTGGCGACCAGCCATGTCGCACCTGTAAGAGACGCATTTCGGCAGCTTGCGGCAGAATTTGGGAGACGGTGGCTCATACTTGAAACTTAGTTGTTGATCAGAGCCGAGGGCCTTTAAGGCATAGCCTGGAAGCCACAGAAGGGTGAGTGGCATGTCCCGCGCGGCTGTTGGCTTAGAGATTGGGACGGACCACTTTTACCTGTGGAGGTTTTGGAAACTTCCGCGAGATGCCCCTCGCATGTGACCGAAGGCCGAAATCCTATAGTTGCTTTGCTTAGCCCCTTAACAACGAAAACTTGCAGTGGGACACTAAAAACGGCCTCTCCAGCTTGGAATGAACTAGGAAGCACCTCCTCATCAGACTCATCATGGTCGACATCAAAACCAAGAGTTCCATGTGTATCTTCGCTATAGTCCATTGGGCTGCGGTTGGATGGCCGACCCCAAAGTGCACTCTAAGCTTTTGTTAAGGATTGCAGCTGTAGCCGCATTCCATACTTATGTTTCTTTGCTTGCACTACCGGCCATGGTACTACGTAACGGGATGCCGGTCTTGCAGCTGGCAGATGCAAAGTGCCACGACCGTTGATTGCCCCAGCATACACATTATATTATTGTGTTCTTTAGTATCTTCCCAGGTTGACTTTAATGGCTGCCTACTAGCGTGCCAATCATAACGGTCTTTCAGCGATGCCAAAGCTAAGGTTACGCGTGGCTTCATCCGGTGCTACGTTCAGGCTTGAATTGCCGCCAGGATGCACATGGGAAGGTTTGCAGCAGGAAGCGCGCCGCGCAACAGGGCTTCCTCCGGAATCTGACATCGCCCTGTCGCTTAACAAGAAGGTACGTTCCCAATTACTGACTCAAACACGCGAAGTTAGTTGGGCCTCCAGGCTGGTCGCGGCTTCGGCAGGAGTCATGACTTGTGCTATGCAACATCCCATCTTGTTCGCAGACACCGCTGGCTGGCGCAGCAACCGACCCGCTAGACTCTCTGGGCATATGCAACGGCGACGTCGTATGGTTGCTCCATCCTGATCCGCTGGCGACCTTTGCAGGCGCTATTGCAGCGCCATCCGCAGCCATAGCCGCGCCCACAACAACCACAAACAATAACCCGCAAGTGCCGCTACGACAGCCGCAACAACAACAAACTCCACAAACAGCAATCGATTCGGTTCCAACTGCCGTACAAGCCCCGGAAGCCTTGCAGCCGCAGGGCTCGGCCGCTGCAGGCAGTGGGGGCGGCACCACCGCAAGCGGTGGCGTGTCGGGTGACCGGATGAACATCGACAGCAGCGGGGGCGTCCGCATCAGCAGCGGGGGCGTCCGCAATGCGGATGCGCCTCGGGATTCATCACCCCAGGTGCAGGAGGCGAAGACGGAGACGGAGGCTGCGGGCGGGACCGCAGACCCTTTGGTGAGGCACTGGGACCACCTTGTCAGGCGGAACGGTGCCCTGGGGAGTAAGAAGAGAACGAGCAGGGAGTTGGGACGCTACACCGCCCCTTGTTATCAGCATTGCAGCCATCACAACTAGATATCAGCAAGCTCACTCTGCTAGGGTCTTAGGTCCGGAGTCCGGGCCCATTTCCAGGGTTGGAGGAGACGGGCGTGGATCTGACACCTTATCATTCACCCTGTGAATCCCGCCCGCCTCACCCTGTCTCAGCCGGCCTACCTCCCCAAGCCTCCCTGGCTCCACTGCGCCCTACTCAACACCCGCTTACTGGCACGCCTCCTCCTCCCCGCCGCCCCCTCTTGCCTCCTCCCCGCCGCCCCCTATTCGCCTCCTCCTCCTCCACGCAGGGCCTTCCCTCCGGCATATCCCTCACCCTGCGGCGTCTGCTGGCGCGATCCCTCTCCGCCCCCACTTCTGGCGCCGCTGCCGCTCCCTCCTCCACCCCCTCCTCCTCCTGCCGCCAGTCCGCTGCACCTCCTCCTCCCTGGTCCCAGCTGCCCGCCCGGGTCCGCTGCCTGCTGCTGCTGGACTGCGCACTGGGGGAGGCGGGGCTGGTGGGGGTGCAGGTGAGGACTGAGGAGGCGGGGTAAAGATGACAAAACTAGTTGGGAGAGGGGGGACAGAGGAACGTACTATGTCGTTAAGGACAGTGGAAGCTTGCCAAGGAATGCAGGTGGAGGGTGGGAGGCTGCAGGGGCGACACGTCGCAGCTAGCCACACAGGGCTGTGTCCTGAGCTCACCACGCCGCTCTCCTTCTTGCCTCCCTGCTTCTCACCTCTCCTACCTCCACCCGCCCCAGGACCTGCCCGCCCTAGCCAGCTGCCAGCCCCTCTCCCTGCCCCGCCTGCTGCTCTACCGCTGCCCCCACACGGAAGCTGCGGCGGCGGAGGCAGCGGAGGCGCTCCACGCCACCACCACCTCTACAGCAGCAGGAGCAGCGGGAGCAGCCGCCGCTACAGCAGCCGTCCCAGTTGTGGCTATGAGGGATGCCGTCGGCTCGCACGGAAGCGGCGGGGATGCCGCTTGTGCAGGCGGCGACGGCGGCGGCAGTGGAGGATCAGCGGCGGCGCCAGCGGCGGCGGCCAAGCTGTACTGGTACTGCATGGGGCCACGTTACCTGGTCGTACACGGGGTGCCGTACAATAACAACAATAACAACACAGCAGCAGCAGGTTCAGGTGGCGGCGGCAGCGGTGGCGGTGGCGGAGGCGGTTCGTCCACAACCCCGACCACCGTAACGCTCCACATTGACCTGTCGGAGTACGACAACAGTGCAGCTGCCGCCACTGTCACCGCCGCCACTGTCACCGCCGCCACTGTCACCACAACCGCCAACGCCGTCGCTACCTCCTCGATCTCCGCCAACGAAGCTGCCGCTGCCACTGCGGCGGCGGCGTCAGTGGCAGCAGGCTCCGCACCCGCGCCAGCGGCGGCGCCTCCCTCCTCCTCCAAACCAGCTGCCGTACAACCCAGCCCTTCTTCCTCTCCTCCGCAGCAGCCGCCGTCGTCTCCCCTCCCGCTGCTGTCCCTCCTGCCGTCGGACCTCAAGACCCACTGGCGGCGGCTGAAGGAGGGGCTGGCGCTGCCGCTGCTGGCGGCGGTGTGTCGTACGGCGGGTGTGGCGGCGCCGCTGTGGGGGCTGACGTCACTGCCGCTGGAGCTGCAGCTGGGGGTGCTGCGCTGGCTGGGGGTGAGTGCGGGCGGGGGGAGGTGGGGGGAGGGGGTAAAGAAGAATATGCAATGTGTGGTGTGATAGTGGGGGGTGGGTGAGAGACCATAGGACCAAACCATAGGAAACCACAGGTTAGGGCAAGACAATGGGGTATGAGGTGGGTTAACATAGGTGTTTGATTGCGCCTGTAAGAGCTCTGAAAGGATTGCGGCATCGTCTGTTTGTTTATGGCACTGTAACGGGTGGTGGGGGTTATCGCTGTTATGATACTGGGCTGCGGAGCAGCTACCTCTGTATTTCCCTTCCTCTTCCCTACACCCTTCCCTCCTTCCCTTTGCCCCCGCCCCGCCCTTTTCCACCGCCCACTCCCTCAAACCACACCCCACCACCCCCACCCCACCCCAGGCCCCCGACCTGGCTGCCCTCAGCGCCACCTGTGCTGCACTGCACGGCCTGGCCTCCGAGGACTGCCTGTGGAGGCCGCTGTACGACAGGGAGTTCCTGATGACACCCTGCGCCTCTTCGACTTCTTCTGCATCTTCCGCTTCCGCGTCTTCTTCGTCGGCAGCAGCACCAGCAGCGGGTGGCCGGCCTGCTGCCGGTCCAGGACCAACTGCTGCTCCTGCCGCTGCCCCTGCCGCTGCTGCCGGATCAGCTGCTGCTGCTCGCCTGCCGCCCGCGCCGCCCGCTGCTGACGTGGCGCTTGCCAACACACGCGGCTGGAAGCACGTGTTTGGGGTGCGGTGGAAGGAGCGGGCGGAGAGGAGGAAGAGGAGGTGCGTGACGCGGCCCGGGTGCGGTGTGCGGTGTGCTGGGGAACAGTAAGGGCTGGGGAACCGTGTAGAGTCCGGAGTGTTGTCCGGGGTGTGCTGCAGTGTCCGGAGTGTGCAGGAGGACCTACAGCAGCTGCATCTCAAACATGCCTCACCCGTCGCCTCCCCCTCCTGTCACCTCCCTCTCCTGTTCCTGCCCTCCTTTGCTGCCCCCCTCCTGCCCCGCCACATACACAGGCACGTGCTGCTACATGCTCCGCCACTCCCGATGTGGGGTCCGCCACCCCTGGCGCCCTTCATCCGCCCGCCCTTCATGCCGCCCGGCTCCATCGGGGGAGGTAGGGATAGGGGGATGGAGGGGGATGGATATTGCGCCCAGGGCCGGAATTAATCGATTGCGTATGGTTGTACGTCAAATAGCAGTACGGTAGTACGTCAACATAAAGCCGTTTGGGGGAAGGAGAGATGCGAGCAGGCGATGTATGGGCGGTGTTATGGCGTTAGGGCGTGTTAGGGCGCGTTATGCTCCGAAGGTTGCGCAGTGAGGGGCGTGTGGCTTGAGGGGATGGAGGGGAGCTGATGAAGGAGGAGCCGATGAAGGAGCTCCTCCTGGCGCCTGTCTTACCACTCTTCCTCCATGGCACCACTCCCATCTGGGGTCCTACGAGCTGAGGACCCGGCAAAAGCTGCTTCCCCCTACGTTCGTACGTCCCCCCTCACGATGCCCTTCGCCCGCCCGCCCCGGCCTCGCAGATTACGACCGGCTGCCCCCGCCGCTGCTGCTGGGAGGGGCTGGGGGCGGCGGCTTGTTTGGAGGTGGTGGTGGCGGCTTCGGGGCCGGAGGAGGAGGAGGGATGTTTGGGGGCGGGCTGAGGGGCGGTGGGGGGCTGGGAGGGGTTCCCCCGCCGGGGCTGCCAGGGCTGCGGGGAGGCAGGGGAGGCAGGCCGGGTTGGGGTCCGTTCGGAGGGGGCTTGATGTGAGGATTGGGTGGGTGGGGAGAGAGGGGTGGGTGGGACGTTGGAGAGGGATGGCCGCGGAGAGGTGACGAAGAGAGAGTGCTAGGAGAGGTGGGTGGGTTGTGTGTTAGAATAACTGGCCGCGAGGCGGAACGTACTGTGGCTGCCGAAAGATGAAGTCCCCTCCCACCGAAACGCCAAAGGCTTGTGTTTGTGGAGCCCGTTGGGAGCGCAGGTTTCGGAGCGTGTCGTGGGTGGTGGGTGGTGGGTGGTGGTGGGGGGCGGCTCCTTGTTGAGGAAAGGGGGTTAGAAAAGTAAGGAAACTGACGAACTGAGCAATGAGGGGAGGATTTCAGGAGGACCGGACTGCGCTGCTGTACTTGCAGCAGCAGCAGGGCAGTGCCGTAAGCAAGCAAAGCGCACAAAGAAGAAGGGGATACAGAGTCATCGTCCATCAGAGGTTCTGAATAGTTTTTTTCTTTTGTCGTACATACATGTTGAGGCTGATGTTGTTATTCGGACCATGTGTAGTCGTGTAGCATGTGTACCATTGTTGTTGCGATAGACACGGCAGTCATCACGGCAACACAGGGATAAAACAAGGGGCTGTTGCAGTTGGTTGGCAGTTGGTTTATGTTGTTCGCGGCCCCTTAAGTTGTGCCCCTTTACGGCTGCCAGTTGTGCATGTGGCCCCTTGCACCTCCGTCCATCGCTCCTTCACTCCTTCTTCCGGTAACCCCTGCTGCTTGCTCTTGTACCCCCTTCTCCTCCTCCTCCTTCTCCTCCGCGTCCTCCTTCTCCTCCGCCTCCTCCTCGTCTGAGCGCATGCTGTGTTGCGGAACCAGGGTGAGCCACCACACCAGAGACCCCAACACTGGTCGGCCCACCGCCTGCCTCCTGCTGCCCTCCTGCCCTGCATGCACCATGTACCGCAGGTCCCTCTCCGGAGCCCTAGCTGGGCAGGCGGGCACCTCCCACCCACCTGCTGCTGCCGAAGCTGGGCGCAACCGCAAGCGGATCCCGCCCAAACACACCTCGGCTCAGTTGAATGTAACACCACTCTCCCCTACTCTCCTGAAGAGCGGAGAAAGCCTGTCTCCCGTCTCCCTACCCCCACGGCAAGCCAGTGCCGCGCTCACGTCCTCGTCGTCCATCATCGTGCAGGCTACCGCCACGGCCAGGGAGAGTGCGTGGGCGCGCCCCAGCGCTACCACCGGGTAGCCCACAACAGCGGAAAACGGACGAATCTCCTGCGGTCCATCAGGCCCCCAGGCTGCGTCATCACTAACACGATATGCGAACAGACCTGCCATGGTCGGGCCCCAGCGAGGCGTAAACGCGCGCTCCAGCAGCATTAGGCTGTGCAGGGACAGGTGGGGGGTGGGGTTCAGAATCCCTGTCTCGGCGGGCTGTAGCGGTGGCAGCAGTGCAAAATCTCGATAAATAGCCCCGTTTACAGCTTGAGTAGACATACATTAGCAGAGGTAGTGTGGTCGAGTGTAGTGTATCGGAAAAAAGGCCCTTAAGGTGCGGTCACTTTACACGCCATGGTATCAAGATACGGCTGCTCACCCTACCTCCGCCAATACCGGTGTCACCGGGAGCCATCAGCAGTTTCATTAGCTAGGTCTAGTAGCAGGTATGCATACGCAGCATACCCCTGCCTTAGTTGCTGGCAGCAGCTGCAACGAGTGAACGAGGCACGGGACGCGACCACAGCATCACACCACACATCAATGAACCCCATAACAGTCCACAACGCCACAAACTTGTGCCGTACGCGTCCGTACATCCGCCCTAACCACCGCAACCACCCCAGCAGCCAAGCACGAGTAGCACCACCAACACCAGCCTTCTCTACAGCGGAGGCCCGCAAGCCGGGCCCCCCTGGCTCTCGTCCGTCACACAAAGGAGTCTGCCAACAACCCGCATGCATGGTCTTTCATTTCCGCGATACCGGTACGTCCCAAGGAATTATGAGAAGCAAGACATGTACATACCTCCATGAGCCCTCCAGAATATCTGAAAACACATCAGACACATCAGACACCGAAGCTCTCTAGCCTCGCACCTCCGTAGCAGTAACACCAGCACAGCTCATGTCACACCTCACCATGTAGCGGGTGACCGCACACCGCTCCCACCAAGCCTCGTACACCCAACCCTGCGGGAAGCACACCCGCAGACCGTTCATACCTCTGGTGTGCTTCTCGATTGCCCGTTCCTCAGTTGCCGCGTCAAGCCACTCAAAGTGCCGCAGCTAACCAACTCAAGTAAATTACCTAGCCCAAGCAACAAGAACCGCATCACCACTCGAGCCAACTCAGCAGCACAAGCCTACCTTGCCAGTCGCTGTTGCGTTCCTACTCGCACACACCGTGTGTGGCGTCGTCATTGGTAGGTTAACCGTTAGGGCGACAACCCGGCCACCGTTGACACCCCCCGGTAGCTGAAGGTAACCGGAACTATCCCAACCATGGCCAACTAATTACCGGTATCCCCCAAAGTCACCGTCCTCCTAATGTCAAGAGGTATTGGTGTTGGCAAGTACACTGTTTGTGGTGTTGTTACCATATACCTGCTAACCGGCTCCAAACTCACAACCGTCAACCGTTAATGCATCAACAGTCACAACATACAGTAGGAGACAACACATTTCCTCTCGACGCCAACACGCAAAACCACACGCGCGTTTTGGTGGGGACATCCCCTTCCGACAATCCAGTACGTTCCTACTCGCGGCCAGGCTTCTTAACACGCACACACACACACGAGGACGAGCTGGGTCAACACACACACACGAGCGTTAGGTTCCGTGGCATCCGAAGGTCAAACTACATGGCGTGCGCACCATGCGGAGGTCACACCTAGGAGCCACCGCCCCCAAGGGCAGGGAGGCACCACCCCGCCTCTGCAACGCTGCGTGCCATGGCGGCCGTCTGCTGTTGAGACTGCACAACAACAATCCGTAGCCCCTTCCTTGTCAGAATCGCACAAAGAAAGAGCGAACCACGCATATGCTCCATGCTAACTGTCATGTAGTCTGCTGTGGAGACTGCACAACAACAATCCGTAGCCCCTTCCTTGTCAGAATCGCACAAAGAAAGAGCGAACCACGCATATGCTCCATGCTAACTGTCATGTACTGAGTACTGGTCATGTCGAGCATATAAACAACAGACAACCGCCATTCCTGAAGCATCGTTACCGGCATGCTAACGGTGTCCTGTCTGTCAGTCAGTCGTCTGCCTTCCTAACCCTTCCCGATGCAGCCCCGACACAGCCCCCCCCTCACCACAGCCTATTGTCTGAAGGGCACCCACTCAATGAACGAGTCGAACGACAAGTTGAATATCTCGGACAGCTCACAACAAAGCGGGCAGAAGCTGCAATGTACGGCGGAGTTTGTCGTACGGCACTCGGGGGAGCAGTACACGGCAGCCTGGCAGCGCTCGCAGCGGGGGGCGCCGCCGCCCAGGGAGGCCACGTCAGCGCCGCAGCAGGCGCAGTGACCCTTGGGTCGGTTGGTTGGGGGCGAAGAGGTGTGTTTATGGTGTGTTAAGAAAAAAGGTTTGTTGGATTCAGGATTCACAGGATGGGTGCGACAGTACGAAAGGCGGGCAGGCGGTGTAGCCAGGCAGTGCCACTTGCTGCGCTGCACACCACAGCGGCAGCAGTACCAGGTGTGCTGGTGGGCAGGGTGGGTCCCGCCCCTCCCTCTGTCTCCCCTCCCTCTGTCTCCCCTCCCTCTGTCTCCCCTTCCTCCCAGCCCCCCCTCCAGCCCCCACCTGTCTGTCAAAGTAGAGTGCGGCTGTGTAGAGCAGGGTGTCCAGGTTCATGGGAATCACCTTGACGAAGTTTAGCTCCTCCACCTGCATGTGCGCGTGGATGGGGGGGAGGGGGAAGGGGGGTTGGGGAATAAGGAAACTGACGAATGCTGCTGCGAGGGTGGCACAGGGGAGATATACAACAACGCTGTGCCGGCAGCACCCTGCCGCCATGCTGGGGGTTGGGCAAGCAGGTCTGTCCGCCCTCCCTCCGAGCTGCCAGGGCCACGCCCCGGTGCTTCTTTTCAAAGTTCTCCAGCTCCAGGATCCACAGTCCTCTCCAGGGCGGCCCCCCCCCCTGCTCCCTTCAGCGAGCACTGTGACGGGGCACCCCGCCGCCTCCTTCTGCCCCTCCTGCCTCGCCCTAGCTTGCGGTCTCCTCAACAATGGCGGGTGGCATTTCCCTCTCTGACCCTCCACCTCCACCTCACCCTCCAGCCTAATGCGGAACATGTATCCCTATTAATCCCATCCCTCTCCCATCCCTCCGGCCCCCTCCCCTCCGGCCCCCCTCCGCCCCACCTTGATTGCCTCCGTGGCCAGGTCGGAGAAGAAGCACCTCATGGCGTACCGCACGAACACCGTGTGCCCCACCCGCAGCTCCGACATATCCAGGGTGCCGGAGCTGGGGAAGAACAGGATGCTGGGGGGGGGAGGGGAGGAGGGGGGGAGATAGAGATAGGCCAAAACCACCGGTTAGGGCAAACCAATTGGGATAAGAGGAAAGCCGGAGGAGGGGAGGGAGGGGAGAAGCGTAAATGGAGAGTGAAGCAGGGAGGGAAAGGGCAGGGAGGAAGGGAGGGGGAGGTATTGTGCGTGAGCCGTGTTACAGGGTGCAAGGTAGGGACGGTGGGTAGGTGGGGTGGACCGGAGGTACCGGTGGGTAGCCCGGAGGATGCACAAGCGCCGCCCTCTCCCCCCTCCTCCTTCCCCGGGTGGTTTGGTCTATTTTGGCTCCCCCTTCCCGCACCCCCCCCCCCCAGCCCCCCCCAGCCCACCTGTGCACGCCCCCCGTCACGTCCCGCACCTCCACTCGGTGCCCTAACACGCTCAGCTGCGACAGCGAGTCGCTCACGATCTCACCCAGGAAGGTCCAGGTGCGGTTGGGGAGCAGCATGCCTGCAGGGGAAGGGGAAAGGGGTGGGAGGGATGGGAGGGGGGAGGGGATGGTGGGTTAATGCGGAGGGAGCTGGGGTGACGGCGCTGATGGGGTTTGCGACGTGCGGTGTGGTGGAGCCTGCGGGGCCAGCAGCCGAACCCGGCAGCAGCAGCTGCAGCGGACCAGCTGTATCTCTTGGCGGAAGAAGAAGCGGGCAGCAGCTGTCACACACTGCCGCTGTCCCACACCGCGGGGGATCCCAGTGGAACCGCAGCGACAGGATAGACACATGCAGCAGACACGCTGCAGCGACTGTAGCTGCTGCAGCTGCCCAGACGGCTCCGGGCTCCCTCCGTCACCTTTGGAAGCCGCACAGGCGTCCGGCCGCACAGCTGTGCAGCCGCTCACTCGCACGCCTCCTGTGTAGCCTGTAGCCTGCTGTTGCTGTCCCCTCCCCCTCCAACTCCATCTAAGCCACCCCCACCAAATAGGTGCTGCTGGGCAGCTGTGTTGCAGGAGGAGGAAGAAGAGGAGGGCGGCAAAACAGCTTCCAAGGGTCCTCAGAAACGCGCATCGCGGTTGCCAGCTAGCTAGCTAGGCAGGCAGCTAGTCACGCACCGTTAGGTTGTTCGGTAAAGTAGTTGTTGTCAAGCTCATCTGCCCGGGGGAGCTCCGCGAACGAGGGGAAGTAGACACGGTTTTGCAAGGACGTGTGTGTGGGGAGCGCCTGGATGGAGGGTTGGGAGGGGGTTGCAGCAAGGGAGCAGGGAATGGGGCAGAGCAGGGAGTGGCGAGTAGGAGGGCAGCATGGAGGGCAGGCGTAGATTGAAGCTGGCCGAGGCCACGGAAAATATCCCATGTGTTGCGGATCTCCCATCCGGTAAGCAATAAGCTTGATCACCATGGCAGGTGTGCTTGCTCAGTGCCATGGGAACGCCATGACATGCTTGTTTATGTAAACGGCAGCCAGCCTGAACCCAGACGAACCATGGGAAGAAGTCAGCAGCTCCTGTGATGTCACAATTGCACAGTCCGCGGGGATGCCGCAGTGAGTAGGCTATCGGCCGTCCCTTGCAGCGCAATTGCCACGAGCTGTCGCCAGAGCAAAAGCTAGGCACCTTGGGAAGATACCAGTCTTTGCGAAGTACGCAAAAGTAAAGTTTTATGCTTCGATAATAACGGAGTGTTGGGTCAAGCCTGTACTAAAGCCGAGTCCAATGGAGAGTCCCCAGCGGCGACAGGGCGGCGTAGAGCTTAAGTAACGCAGAATGGCAAGTTACAATAGTACAACACAAGCATGCTTAGGTTTAACAGTCAATTACAGTGAAACGGCAAGCAAAAGCCTTTGGTGACCAATTGTACGGCAGATTGCCGAGAGGAGTTGATTGCCAAGCTGACATGTTCTAAAGCTACAGCAACGCTCAAATGCTGATGAAGTTATGAAACTGGTGGAAATAGGAGTGTCAGCCGCTAAGAACTTTACCCTCTGGTAGCCTAGTTTGCGCTTGCTCGTTCGCGCACATCAGCAAAGCTTAAGCTCCCTAGCTCTTCTTTAGGCCGCATATCCTTACAGCTGTTATACAAACGCAATCTGCATGCCGCCCTTTAATCCGTTCCGATCGCGCCTGAACACGCACAGCATGCATTAGTCGCTTTCCTTGACACTTAGAGCGGGAGCCCCCTGGCAGCGGCACAATTTTTGCTTACGTTTTTTGCTTCGCGCTTGTGTACTAGTCCAGATGCAGCTTGGAGTTCGGCTTCCGGCCGCTTGGTCAGCCAGGCGCATGGGCATGCTGCCGCTTAACATCGGTCCTCGCTGCCCCGCACATCCTCGCTGCGCCCCAGTCCACCCACGCCTAACCCCCTGCAAAGCATCAGGCGGCGGGAAGGACCCAAAGGTGAGTCCCGGCAAGGCACGGGGTCCTGCTCCTCCATGGCGATTGCTCTGTGCCAGCCTATGCCAGTCTGTGATCAAACGTATACCCAGCCGTGTGTTATAGCCCTTGCCCGGCTTCCCTACCCTTCCCCGCCCTTCTCCGCCTCCTGTCTCCCCGTCATCTCCACCCCTGCTGCCCGACGCTCAGGCGGGAGGGGGTGCTGCTGCGCAGCTGCGGCGGCTAGCACAGCAGGCGGAGCAGCACCTGCACCGCCTGGTGGATTGCATGACACCCAAACAGCAGGTGGGGTAAACAAGTGAAGAGACACTCACAATGCAACTAACAGGTGGGGTGGGGTGCATGTAAGGAAGCTGACGAAGGGGGGCCAAAGGCCATACCAGACCAGGTTGGTAGGGCCGGGTGCGGGGGCTCAGAGGAGTAGAGGGGCGGGTAGAGGGGGGGGGGGCAGCAACACGCATCTAGCCGTTGCCGGGGTGAGGGAGAGCTGGAACTGATGAGTGATGGTCTACACTCCACCCGTCTACCCTCCCCTGCCTCCGTTGCTGCACTTATCTTTGATCCTCCCCTCTTACCTGTGGTTTCCTATGGTTCGGTATGGTCTTTGACCCCCTCCCCCCTACCCCACCCCCCAGGGCGACCTTGCCGACGTGGGTCTTGTCCTGCTGTCCACCCTGGTGCTCACCTGGCTGGCGGCGGCGCTGTACTCGCTGTACGCCTTTGCGTTCTTCAGCTCGGGTCAGCAGACCATGGGGGCGTTCTTTGGCGCCGGGCACTGAGGAGGGATGGGGGCACCCTTCGGTTGGGGGCACCGAGTAGGGGCGGGGCACTAAAGAGGGAGGGGGCACCCTTCGGTTGGGGGCACCGAGGAGGGGCGGGGCACTAAAGAGGGAGGGGGCACCCTTCGGTTGGGGGCACCGAGGAGGGGCGGGGCACTAAAGAGGGAGGGGGCACCCTTCGGTTGGGGGCACCGAGGAGGGATCGGGGCACTGAGGAGGGGGGGAGAATGAGGGGAGTTAGGGGAGAGAGAAGAGGGAGTCGAGGAGACTGGAGGAGGAGAGTTGGGAAGAAGGTGGAGGAGTCAAAGATAGTTGGTGGACGGAGGGAAGACGAAGAGGGGCATCAGTTACAGCAGGGGTCGTGGTATAGTGTTGGGATATAGTCTTTAGGAAGCTACGTCACCTGCTTTGTGTGATATGGTAACGAGTGCGTTGTAGGTGAAGGTTTTCTGTGTTTGAGGAGAGGACGATGACGATTGCGCTTATTTGATTTTCATCTACACGGTTATAGCACGAGAGAAGCGCTTGGTCAGAAGCAAGGAAAGGTCATGTCCTTCCTTTATTCGGATATCCGGACATGCATGACAGTTGTTGGTTGGGTCGTTCTGTGCAACTGCCTAACCAGCAGCGGCCAATGGCCTTGCTTGTTAGTGTCGTCCGTCATGGTGCATTTCTTGGACGGACGGTTGCGACCCGTGGGTCCCTGGAATTGGTGCTGCTTTTGAAATTGTACGTTCAATGAGTTGTGACTCGCCTGGAGGCCCCTCGGACCCGGATGTCGGAGTAGGTGGCGTTGCGAGGGGGTGGTCTGAGAGAGTACCGTACACCCTGTGCGTGATTTCCATGCTCCCGATAGTCCCGGTAGGAGGAGGCCAACCTGCTGTGGACCGCTTTTTTTCAGCTGCCTCAGGCGTATGTAGGTTTTGCTGTCCACCACGAATCCATGCAAGCTTGCAGTGTATTTGTTTTTTGTCGTACTCGCGGTTCCGTCGTAGTACGACATGATTCAGGATTCAGCTATGATGGTGTACAGCATTAACCCGCTCTACATGTTCTGTCTTCGTCCCTTTTATTCATGTGCATGATTGGGAAATCCTGAAATCAAGGCTTCAGACAGCATGCAAAGGGGCTTTAAGCACGTAATAACATGTCGTAACTCAATTGCAAGAAATGCACATTGCATGCCCAATCGCCAGCAACCTTCCCATCCCCATTGCTCTTGTGGTTTCCTATGGTCGGCCTCTATTCGATCCAACTCCAGGGATTGCATAGGGAAAGTCGCACAACAGATCTTTTGGCACAATAACCAACAACATCAACACCACTGCTTGAAAGAAAGTGCAAGCCATTCAGGGCCAATGCACTTCAGTACTTAAGACTGCGCAGAATCAAACACAACCGACAGCACCTAACAGTCTTCCGGTGTGACTCAAATACGCTTTCATACCCTGCCTGCCTTCCAGCCAACAACTCACATCTGATACTACAATGCTAGCAACGAAACGGAGCAGCTCTCAAATCCCTGGCAGCAACCAACTCCGCAACATAGCGTTTGCATCACTCACGCCCTACCTGCCACGGAAATACACTGGCACGCCCTGCCTACGCCACAACAACCTTCCTAGAGTTAATTGGTGTAAGGATCCTGTAACTATATAATAGTATTCATGTCTTTTGCATCGCTGCTTCCAAGGGGCAGATCGGACTATGCCTGACACTTCGCGCACAAGCCATGACTAGACAACCGCAATCATTGCGGCAAACAGGCACTCACAAATCCACGTCGTCATCCACACATGCCAACGCTGACAACATCAGCAACGGAAACAAACTGACAACAATACAGGCGCAGCGCCGCAAGCCAGCATCAGCAGGCTTCCAGAGCCTACCAAGATAAGACGCCAGTCGGCAACGCTACACAACATGATGTGACACGGTCCACGCCACGCTGCAAAACACGCAGATACAACCCGCATCCGACGAGGTGTCAGGTCAGCCAGCAGGAACACAGCAGCGGAGGCACACGTAGATAAACACTTCCTGACTGCTGGACTTGCGCTGCTACTGCCGTGTGACGGCTGCCTCGCGCCTCACCGCATGCAGCTCCCAACGCACCCCTCGCGCACTGCACCCGACAAGACATGCAGACCTTAAGACGGCGTCGTGCACACCCAAAAGGACACGTTTGTGAACAGGCACAGACAACATGCGGGGGGTAGGCAGCACGCTACCGATGGCGCCAGTGCTGCCTTGCGAGCACTACAGGCAGCCGGACACATCATCTTCCGGCAGTCCAGTACCTTCCTCCTCCCGGTCAGTATTCTTAACACACACACAGATGCTACCTGCCACGCTGCACGAAGGAAAGGGCGACACTACCGCGCATGAAGACATGAACAAACACAGCGGGGGCCTCCACAACAATGCTACTCAGCCACAACAAATGCTACCCAGCTTGCAGACGTCATGAGTTCGATGAAGGGCTCAAAGGGCTGCGGTATAAAAGAGGCTGCCGCACTTGTCACAAATTTCCCTGTGCTTTGCGTCTCGTAACGTTAATATGATTACCGTCGTCAACATCAGAAAGTACCAAACTTCGCTGCAATTGGTTTGCTTCCCAGTGCTCGTACAGGCGTCTAACCATGCTACATGAACATCAGCTATCCTCAACACCAGCCGGCGTAGACCGCAAACCCTTAAACACGGCACTGTCTTCATGCGTGGATACTCGCCAACAGTTTGTAACAAAAAGCGCAAAAGAGGACACAAAGCGTTACGGATACATGGCCAAGTCCGTGACCATGGTGAATTGTACGGACGAGCGACTGGCGATGTCGTACGAGTGACGGGCGGAACGCAGTGACACACGTGGTGACGTGTAACGCACGCGTGTTGTGCCGTACAGCACATACTCCTTCGCAACCTCAGTTGTGAAATGTAAACTGGAGCCACCACCGCCCACTTCGTACGTGCAACTTCAAGGCGGCAGTGAAAACTCGGGGGCTCACATCGCACATCATGTGTCAACAGGTCCACTCAAGCCGGGTGCGAACGGAAGGAGAGAGGGAGCCGCGTGCAATCGGAACACCCCCACGTCAACAACGCGATGTGCTGTTCAACCATCCCAACACGGGTGGCCAGAGCGGTCAAGAGTGCTGCCATGCCCCAGTATATCGTCATCATCCCTCCCAAGCTACCGCTTGCAACTCCTACAAGCTGCAGAGAAGCGCCAGTCGGCAAACGCTACCTCACAAAGCATATCTTGTGGCAATGCTTTGTGACGTATATGCGGGACACAGCCGCATGTACACACATGGGAGGTAACCTCCCGCCAACAGCAGGCAGGGCGCTTCCTGCCATCGGCCCTCCCAACCCAGACACCATGCATGAACCTCGACACACGCACCATTTTGCCGTTGCCAGACGACCCCGCACTTCCGATGGCGTGCCAAGTGCCAGCCATTAGAGCGCCAATTGTTAACAGTGCACAGCGCCACCACCTCCAGTGCCGCAGCTTACCCTCCAAGTGAACAGTCGGGAAGTGGCTGCACTTCCGATTGCATGTGTGCTTTTTCATGCGTTCAGGTTTGGCAAGCAGTCATATGAGGAGCTACGTCAGTGTACGGCGACGCACGCCTCCCCTGTGTACGGCAAGACAACAAAGTCAGACTCGCGGCCAGTTTTCCTATTACAGTAGCGGCAAACTGTTTTTAATACACTCGCGGCCAATTTTCAGAAACACACACGAACCAAAGCCGCTGCGATAGGACTGTGCCCCCATCCCCGCCTCGTACGGGCATCTAACCCACGCAGGAATCCTGCCGTCCCTGGTCCATTCAGGTCGTGCTCCTGCGGCCGCTCCTCCTGCTGCCCCCGCTGCCCTCACTGCCGCTCCTCCTGCTGCCCCTGCTAAACAACGGACGCTTCCCCCACTCTCTCGCCCTGCGTTACCGCTGCCGCCATAGCCGCTGCTGCTGCCACTGCTAGGTCCTCCATAGACGCCGTGGCCGCTACTGCCCCCTCCGACTGATGACCAGCTTCTTCCCTCTGCGCCGCAAGTTCCATCGCTGCCGCCTGTCGTACCGCCGCTGCAGCCGCCTGCATCACCGCCTCCATCTGCGCCGCCGCCGCGGCCGCCTCCAATGCCCCTGCATGGGCGACCACCTCCATCGCCGCCGCCTGCGCCGCCACCTCCACCCATGCAGCCACCTCTGGCGAACCCCCCGCACCCGCCTCGGGTTGTGATGGTGCTGCTGCCGGTGTCATCACTGCTGCCGCCTGTGCTCCTTCTGGCGCTGGCGACGCCTCATACGCTGCTTCCAAATGTTGCTGCTGCCACTGCTGCTGTAGCTGCTGCAGCAACGACCCCTCCGCCACGTCACCTCCTCCACAGGGCGGCGGCGCTGCCTCCAGGGGCTCCACTGTTGCCACTGCCCCTGCCACTGCCGCTGCCTCCACACCCCCAGGCGGCTGCTGCTCGTGGTCATAATACTGCTGCGGGTGCTGCTGTTCCTGCGGCAGCCCCTCATGCGACACCAACACAGCTCCGCCCACCGCCTCCGCCACCGCCGCAAAGTAGCCCGCCGCCCCCTGCTGCTGCTGCAGCTGCTGCTCCTCATCATCTGTTGTTGCCATGGACGAATCGACAAAGGCAGCGCCAGACTCCGCTGCCGCAGCCGCGCCTTCACCTCCGTATGGACCTGTCGCCAACTCCTGCGATGACGGTGCTGCTGCCGGCGGCGGCGGCGGCAGCTCCACGGGGTATGTCTCCCAGATGCACACGTCCCCCTCCGCGTCCCCCGACACCAGCAGCCCGCGGCGGCCCGTGGCCAGCACGCGCACCGAGGCGGCGTGTCCCTCCAGGGGGGGACCCACCGGGGTGAGGCTCATGTCCCAGGCGCGAATGAGCTGTGTAGGGGGGAAGGGAGGGTTGCATAAACATTTGGCTTCAGCGACACACGCAGCGCCCGGCGGCTCTCTGCGAGCACCGCTGCTCAGGTGCCGGTGCATACCTCCCACCCACTACGTAGCCAACGGACTCTGCTTCACTTGTGGCGTTTCTGTGCGTTTCTCCCTGCACCTCCCAACCCGTTCCGAGGCTCTCTGTCTACTCCTCCCTGCCCATATCCCACGATAACTTCTTCTATTCGACGCACCTTGTCATCTCCCCCGGTGAACAGCACTCCGTTAGCTCCCACCGCGGCGCAGATCACCTTCTCCCCGCGGTGCGCCCCCCGCACCTCCGCAAGCAGGGTGAGCGTGCTGGCCTGCCAGGCCTGAGTGGGGGGAGAGGGAGAGAGAGGGAGAGGGGAGGGAGAGGAAGGAGGATAGAAGTCGTACACAAGGTGGTGGCAACGCGGAGGATTCCCAGGGCCAGGGGAGGGGACACCAAGGGAAGCGTAGCTAGGGAAAAGGAGGGCGCATAGAAGCGGAGTATGATCAACCAGGCGGTGTCATGGCGCCGCAGAAGCAATAGCAGCGCCTGCCAAGGATCGCGAGCAAGAATGGCTCCACCCCGCACTCCCCGACCACCACCACACCGCCCGCCCCTATACACGCACCCCCTCCTCCTTCCCTTCGGAACGCCCCTCCCTCTAACCCCCTCTCACCTCCCACCCTCCCACCACCCACCTTGATGCTCCCGTCGTACGACACCGTGAACACCCGGTCCCCGTGCGCCACACACGCCGCCACCCGCCCCTCGTGTGCCCGCTCCACACACGGGCCCTCCACCAGCAGATGACCGCCGCCACCACTGCCACTGCTGCTGCTTCCACCACCGCCACCTCCTCCCCCATTCCCAGAGCTGCTGCTACTGCCGCTGCTGCTGCCATGGGCCCCATTAGCTGCACCACCACCGCTGCCCCCATGACCAGCAGTCGCATGGCTTGCGTGACTCCCGCTGCCGTTGCCGCTGCTGCTGCCATGGCTTCCGGCACTGCTCGCCCCGTTACCACCATGACTCCCGCTGCTGCTGCCATGGCTTCCCCCTGCTCCTCCTCCTCCATTGCTATGGCTGCTGTGGCTATGGCTGCTGCTAGCCCCAGCCGAGGAGCGGTCGGGTCGGTCGTTGATGGTCCACGCGTGCAGCGAGCCGTCCGCGCCCGCCGCAAACACCTGGCCCCTGGTGGCGGCCAGGGACAGGATGTCGCCCGTGAACAGCCGCACCGCGCGCTGCGCCTCCTTGGGGGTGCGGAAGGTGGTGTCCCATAGCCGCAACTCGTTGCAGCCGCAGCTGGGGAGGGAGGGGAGCGGGGGCGGAGTGGGGAGGGGAGCGGGGGGAGGATGGAGTGGGGTAGGGAGGAGCGGATGAGGAAGATGGGAGGTAGAGTAAGGAGGTGGCGGGGACGGGTTCAGGATGGAAGGAAGCCATGAAGGGGTATGATAGCGATCAGGCAGTAGCATAAACGGGCACAAACGGACGCAGGGGAGGGCGAGCTTCCTATGCTCGCACCGTGCTCTGTGTCCCCACCCTGATCACTCTCCATACCCCTGGCCAGCCCGCCTGGTTCCCCACGACGCCCGGCCCTGAGGGCACACCTGAATAGCCACTTTCCGGTGAGCGCCAGCGACCTCACCCAGCCCGTGTGGTCACCCAGAACCACCTGCAGGAGGAGAAAAGCGTGCGTGAAAGCGGAAGTGTGGGTTGGGAAGGCTGGGAGTATGGCAAACAGGCGGGCGGAAGGTAAGGAGGGAGTAAGTTTTGAATGCCCCGACACCCTGGTAAGGAGGTTGCGCACCTTGTCTGTTACGTCTTTGCTGCCAAGCATCCAAGTGATGACCTCCTTGGCCGCCGTGCCCAGATAGATGCCCGGTGGCTTTCGCCGCTTGCGGACGATGGTGCCATCAGGCAAGACCTCCGGGATCTTTGCTAGCGAAAACACCGGTGCGCCGGGGACCTTCAAGCGTGTAACCTCTATGCTTTCATCGCATGATTCGTCTGGGCTTTCGGAGTCCTACAGGGCAGAAGGTACGCGTCAATATACGTTCAATTTGGACGAGTACGCAGCGTCGACCGCTGACTCTCAGTGCTTACTTACCTTGTGCGGGTTGTAAAACCTCCATATAGCCATACCCTTATCGAGAGATGCCGTTGCAACAAGCTTCTCGTCTGGGCAGAGGGAATTCTCGTCTCAATTAGGACGAGCACGAAGTGGACAAGGGGCGGGTATGACAAGAACTTACCAAGTGTATCCTGCACAACTAAAGCTGCAGTTGCAGCACTTGAATGAGCCTTTGAAAGCCTTGTTTGGAGAACAGCGGGGCAGGCTGTCTCAAGACTGCAGGCCGTCTCAGGGGTAAATCTGCACGCGAATTCCTCGGGCGCCTCCACACAAGCAGGGACAGTTGTTGCCCTAGTAGCACTGTCCATAGCCACCGCGGAGCTCGCTGATGCGCACCGACGGCCAACCCGCCTGCAGGACTCGATGCGCCGCTGCACGGTGTGGCTTGGTAACGCAGGGGAGCAGGTGCGTGTGCATACTGGAACAGGTGTAGTTCGTCGCCATGTGTTTACGGTAGTAGGGCGGACGTCCATATTGAGGTGTCTAGGTTGGCTAGGCCTATGCAAGGTTCGAGAAGAATAACTTGAACGAAATACACCTGGCCTAGTTATACGTAGGTGCTACATCGGGGCCCGATGACCATTCGGTGTAGCGACAAGACTGCAAGCGTTCATGTCAGGCGTCTTATCAGGCGTTGGGTCTAGAGCTTCAAGGCGCCGAAACCTAGTAGTTGCTATACAACTGGCTGGGAACCTGGGTGTGAGGTATCATTCCTTCAATACAGTTTGAGATGAGCATAGTCGCTGCCATCAAGAACATCGATTCGTCAAATAAAAATCAGCCAGTACGGCTTTCGCGCTCCAAAGTCCTACTATGCCGCTGGCCGTTGCTTCACAGCCCTATAGTAAGCCCCTGTCTGCATCAAAGCAATGGAAAATGCGGCTTCCTTCGCTGCCAATGGTCGCTGCGTCATTGGTCCTCCTCGCGCCAGACGCTACACCCTCACTAGCAACAGTCGGCCTTCCCCAGGTAAGCCCCTATGTAGGAGATTCCGTTGAAAAAAGCCCACCGACGCTTTCGGCAGCATCCATGAGCTCGTCCTCTTCCCTACCTGATACTGAGCGGCGTTGCCCTTCAACACCGGCGCCGTCAGTCTGCGAGCAAGTGATTATTGAATGTGTTGTCCTTTTTCAAGGGAAAAGTCATATAGTTTGTCGATTTGTCGGTGCCTTGAACCCGCCTGTGCAACACCCAATCAATGGCGCCGCGCTATGACTACTGACTAGGCCGTCGGGCTTGTCGACCTATAATGGCATACTGCATTCCTGGTATGAGCCAAAAAGTGATGATGTCGTCAGCATTGCCGCCTACACAGCTTTTACCAACCCCGAAGCCGCTCGTCCTGTAGAACAGTTTGGCAGGCCCGCATCGTTCTCTGCACTCTGCCTTCAGCTGCCCCAAAACGCAGCATGGCCAGTTACCAGACGCCGCGTCGAAACGAACCACATTGGCGTGAATTTACTTACATTAGTATCTTGTACGCCTCTGTAAGGCTACGCGTATGTGAGTGGTATAGGTCCCATTTAGGCTCCTTGCGTGGCCGCCTACACGAATGCCAATGACCGCTACAATGAACCTACATGTTTCACATTCTACACATTACCCATCCACCAGAGCTGCATTAGTGTTCCATCTTACCTTGCCAAGCCCTGCCGGCCCTTCTGGCGTCGCACTGGCATGTGTTCCACAAGTGCCATCCTCGGCGACCCAAATTAGTAGTTACGGATTTGCGTTTTCGATATTTCCCGCCCCACTTACGGTACCGACCTTTCCCGCCCGTGACTGGGATCCATTCCTCTAGGAGAAGGGCCTGGCCGCCCAGATCGTACTGCATTTGGATCCAGCAAGCGGCAACCGCCTGCTGCCATGTACTGCAGGATCCAGGTCAGCAGGATCCAGGCCTCCACACCCGCGATCCCTGTTAGTCACCCAATTAGCTGCCACATAGCCTTCTTCGCAATGTGCGAGGTGAAAACCGTTTCCTTGTTTTCGCTTGCACCTCGCAAAGCTATATACTGGTAGCATGCTCTAACGGAGCTTGATATCATGACTGTACGGGATGTATTGACATGTAGATACTGAAAGCGCCCGTCTGATTCCCTTTGTCCTCACGTGTGGTTTGCTATTTCTTTCATCGCCTCATTTCATGCGTGTTGCCGTACATGCTTTTGCTGTTGCCGTACAGTTGCGTGTCAACCGCCAACTTCCTGTCGCCTTCCCAGTACCTGCCCCCCTGGAGCTTTGATCCGCTCACCTCGCAGCAGGCCAAGAGGTGCGCGCGGAAAGGGGACTTTGATGGGGCAATAAGAAGGGCATTTGACGACCTCCAACTGCCTTCCCTGTGTTTCCCTAACTCTTCCCATGTCGAGGAATGGTATATCGAGGCGTGCGCACGGGCCAACGGAAACTACTAACTGACAGGCAATGAGAAGGCGGTGCAGTCGTATGCGAGTGCCGCGACGGTGAATGTGTATAAGGCTTCTGGGTTACTACCCTTGCTAGGCAAAGACATACCACTGGGTCGGTCCACAAGCCCGGCACTTGCAGCGTTTCCTTCACACCCTTCCCCATAGCCCTGAACCTCGGGCGAAGGAAGGTGACGTGGCCCCTTCCCCCTGTGTGTGTCCTCGCCTTGCCTTGCTCTTCATCTCGTCCTGTACGACGGCAATCGTGGTACGGCAATGACGGTACGGCAATCACGGTACGGCAAATACGCGGTACCTTAGGCAGCTGCTAGACGAGCTGGTGGTTGAGCGAGGAGGAATTGTCGTACGGGAGGACGAGCCCAGGGGCTACATTGCGGCAGTTGTGCCGTACAAGCTGGGCCCAGGTGTGCGGGGATCAGGAGTGCGATTCGGGTAGAGCCACTACTTGCTCTACTCGCGGCCAGTTTTTAAAACACACCCAATGTATGACATACACTTGCTAGGGTGGTAAGTGTCGGTAGGCGAGAAGGCTTGGTGGAATGGATACGTCGGTGTCGTGCTGTCGTCTGGTGTACTTTTACTACCACTTGTCACAGCCACCAGGATATTAACTGAACATGCTACCTGGCTTGGCTGTCAGCTTCTAACGGGCTGCCTTCCATACCAGGTCACCCCCCCTCCATGTTGACGCCTTATCCCCCAGTCAGTTAGTTGTTTCCTCTTTACCCCCTCCATCTCTCTCAAATGCGCTCACTGCATGAGTCGGGATTGGGATTGGGACTCCATTGGTGCACTTACCTATAATCTTTCCCTCCCCCCTCTCTCTCTGTCAACCCACATACTCCCCGATTCCCTCCTCACGCTCGCGTACTGCCGCGCTGCTGTCCACTATTGCCCCATGCACACTCAGGCCGACAGCAGCAGCCCTGGGACTTGCTGGAGTTCGTATTCGCATCGGAGGGTCGTACCGTCACCTTCAGGTGATACCGGTATGCGCATGCGCCGGGTGGCGGAGCCCGGGCGTAGGGGTGGGCAGGGTGGAGGGGGATCGCAAACCCGCAATCCAAGTGGTCCGTAGTGGAGCGCGGAGGGGTGGGAGGTCCCGCGGCCTGGGAGGGCCATGTTGGGGGCGGGTGCAGGAGTTTTACGCCCCCCCGGGTAGTTGCTGTGGTACCGGTACCGGGACCCTCTACCCCCTGCCCCCCTTAGGTCTCTCCCCCAGGGGTGCATGTTGCAAGGGAGCAGCAGCAGGACAGCGCCCGGGAGCGTCCTGGAGTCCTGGTGTGCTATGTGTGGCATGGTAACCCGCAGCACTTGCACCGCACACTCTTCCGTACGTCCCGCTGCCTTTCGCCGTACACCGCCACCTTCCCTGTACAACTCCCAGGTCCGAGGCGCTACCCGGCGGCTTGCCTGGCTCTCAGCCGCTGCCGGGGCTACAGCTGCCGGCAGTCCCTCCGCGACCCTTCTGCTGGACCCTGGGTTGCGTGACGGGTCCGGGCAACAGGGGTCGGCTGGAGGCCCTGCGGGATAGCCTGGGGTGGAGCAGCCTGGAGACGGACGAGGACAAGAGCTGGGTTCCCTTCCTGTTGCATGACTGATGAAGGGTGTGGATACCGTTGCGGGTTGGGGTGCCGACTGGCTGCATGGGTGCATGGGTGCAACCTGCATGAGGGCCCTACCTGCATGCACCTGTTGTCACGCCCTACCGCTGTGTTTCTGCACAGATCCTGCCAAAGCCGCGTGGTGATGGGGCCTGAACTTGTATGACCTGTACATCGCATACGGTGTGGGTCGTGGTCGGGAGTGAGAGGAGGGCTCTTGGAAATTTGCAGGAGCAAAAGGCACAAAGAGCGATACAGGTGCAGGCGCGGGTAAATGCTGTGGTGGGCCTTACTTGTCGTAATGGCTCGGTACGGCGGTATGTGTCTGCTGGCCATCTTGGTGTGCTATTTGGTGGGGGACCTGGAACCGCCGAATGGCTACTGACCCTGAAGAGGTGTGCAACTGTAGGAGCGGCGGGGAGCGAGGACACACGGCTCCCCAGCTGTAGAGAGCCATTGACAACATACGCCCGACAACTGATCACTTCCCGCAACAGGAAAAGCGGCAAGTCACTTAGTGACTTGTGGTGCGGGGCAGTAGTGTTGTTAGTATGTTTCCATGCATGCGGCGGTTTTCCTGTTGGGTATGAAAACGGATGGGTTGAAGGAGATCCTAACAAGATCTAGTTATAACTGCTGGCCAGCTGCTGACCCATGGGTCAGGGTGGCCAGTAAGGATCGCTCAGCAGCGTTTCGGCAGTTCGCTGGTACGCTTTACTGTAGCGTGTAATGGTACTCAGCAGCAGCTTATAGAGAAAACATGGCGCAAGGCAGTGGAGAAGTAGAAGTAGTAAGAGACAGGCCTACCTTAGAGGTGTCTGTGAAGGCATGTTGACAGCGGTGCATTCGGCATACGCCTCGTCGATTTAGGTGTAGGAAACACCGGGGACGTCGCCGCCGGTAAGGCCACCGCTGGCGATCAGGCCGACGCCGACAGCGGGGCCAGGCTACGAGCGATGGTGGCGGCGGGGAAACCGCTGAGGAGCGAGCAAGCGGCCCCAGCTGCCCTCGCAGCCACGGCCGGGGGCGACGGAGGCAGGGACGCCGGCAAAATCACGGCAAGACAGCGAGACACCTTCCTAGACCCACTCTTCCTGTCTTGCCGTACTTCTCTGCTGCCCTCACCAATGCAAGTAGACGTTGCGCTCTCCCTCCTCGCCTCGCCTTGTGGCTCTGTCGCCGTTGCGGCGCCAGTACTGGGTCCTGGGCGTGTGGCTCCCTGCCGCCGCCGTTAGCCGGCTGCGCGCTCACTCCAGCTGGCAGTTGAGCTCCAGGTCGGTGTGGGCGGCCCACGCACGCCACCAGGGGGCCCAGCATGGGGGCGATGGGGCTGCGGAGGATCGTGACGCCCATGGTTTGTTCCCTAAACCACATTGCTTTCCCTTGGCTCTCGGCGTACCGGTATAGGGGATGGCCCATGAGGGCACCGAGCCCCTCTAGCTCCACCCGGGTACCGCGGGGCCAGGGACGCGTCCCGAAGACGAGGTGCGCCAGGGCGGCCCAGGGCGCCGGTGAAGAAGGTTGCCGTAACTTGCTGCATGAGGCCCTCATGTCCGCAAGGCTCCCCGCTCACATGGACCTGCGGCCGCAGCACCAGCACCAGCACCAGCGGCATGCTAGTCCTCAAGGCGGGCCGAACCCTTATGCCCCGGCGCGCCTGGGGGCTGTTGCTGCCGGCGTCCCGTCTCTCCAGCCTTCACCAGCGCCATCGTTCCTCCAGCGGTCCAGCAGAAGAACGAAATGGTCCTTCACGATCCGCCATCAGCTTCCTCCTGCACCTTCGTTGCTATTCAGAAGGCATCCGTCCCAGGAAAAGCTTGAGCATAAGTCCATACAGCAAAGGAGCAAAGGAACAAAGGATAGAGCAGCAATCTTCAGCCTTTCAGCCTTGCACTTTGTGGTACACCAGCGCTCGCTCGGCTAGGTCTGAAAGGTGTCCCAGCCTGGCGTCCTCCACCTTGCGTACCTCGAGAGTCGCTGTCGCCCCGGCCACTTCGCCAGTAGCTCGATTGTCCCCTTCTGCCTCCACCCGAGCCGCCACGGCACTGGAATGCTCGCCAGGGCTCCCCACTCGCCTCGCCGGCTCGGTGGGGCTTCGGCCGTCGGGTGGTCTCCGGGCAGCTGGGCGAGCATGTTGGGACGGGCTTGGGCGGCTGCTGCATGCGGCCCCTGATCTGGGTTCAGGCCCGCTGCCGCCTGCCCCACCACGCCAGGGATAGCCCTGTGGTTGGGGGCCGACCCGGCCGCTGCTGACGGCTCCTCGTGGTCCCTCATACAGAAGCACCAGCACCGTAGCCTCCTCCTGGCCCTCCGCGGGGTCTTCCCCGGCATTGATGCGGGGCTCAGTTTCTGCGTTGCCTAGCAGATGCCCCAAGCGGCTCAGCCCGTCGACATTGCTACTCCTTAGACCGGCCTTGCGCATTACCTCGAAATCGTGCACTTGTAGACGGAGCGCGTACCAAGCCAGCTTCCCATGCAGGTCCCGCACGCTGGCGGCGGTGCGTAGGTAGCGGACCGCCATCGAGTCCGTAACCAGGGTGAAGGGTGTCCCCCAGTCGACACAGGGGTGGAGGTGCTTGATGGCCCACATAGCGGCCAGCGCCTCCCCTCTGCGCTGCTGTAGTTAGGCGGTTAGGCAGAACTTCCGGCCAGGAAACACGTTGTATGAGTGGATTGTTGTGAGGACGTGAATCGATAAGCATGTGCTAAGGGCTGGGGGTGGCTAATGGGTGGCCGGGTTTCATATCCCTAAGCCCCATACGCCACCGGTATGCTATGGCGGACGCTAGGTGGGGTTTTGAGGAGCCGGGCTAAGGCGCCGGGCCAGACGAAAGAGCGAGACCAGACTCCGCGTGCCAGGAAGGCAGCCTGAAGCGAGGATGACTTCCGTACCATCAGTACGTGTGGGAATAGCAACACAAGCAACATCGGGCCCAGGGCGACGCCCCATCGCGGGTAGGCACGTGTATGGCAGCAGTTGTCTTGCAGTACATCTGTAAAAAAGAGGGGGTCACACGTGCAAGCCGCTCTCCGATGGCTTCATCCGGCACCGCAGAGTTGTGCGTAACTGGTGCACCTACTCCTGCCCACGACCCAGATTGGTTACGGCACGATCCAAACTACAGAAAGCACACTTCACTCGGTTTACCGACTACAGGTACCTTTGCGCAATTCACGAGCGCTGTCTTCCTTGCCATCCTCGCCTGCCGCGCACCCTGCCACCCTACCGCACCCATGCAGAGCACCCACTGGAAGAGCTGGCGACACTGCTACTCCGACTGCAAAATGCCACAAAAGGCCGATCTTGTCTACATTCAAACAAAAACACAAACACACTCACCTGCATCCACACTCCTCTCCTACTCTCTCCATCCCTAATAGCTCCATACCGCTCAACTCAGCAGTCACCACAAGCAAGATTGTTCGCGTTCCTTCCATCAAGTTATCCAATTTCCGCCAGCGAGTTAAGTGTGGGTCGCAAACCCTTCCTTTACAGGATCGCAGTGAGAGTCAAGAGTCCAAGCCCCTGAAAACCCCTGACGGCCCCCACCTAGCGCCCCATGAAGGCAAAGCCCTCCCCACGCTCCCCCCTGCTATCTCTCGTTCTTGTCCTACCCCCACACGAGCACATCGCCCTAGCTCCCCCCCCCCGCCGCCCGCCCCGCCCCTACCGGTACTTGCAGCCATCACCACCACCGCCAGTAAGCCGGAGCACTGCCCACTTCTGTCCTCGACTTCTTCACCACCTCCTAACCGCCAGACACATTCCTTGAGAGTGGCGGTTCCAAGCAATACTAACCCACACCGGCCCCCAACCGCAAGGAATTTGTTAAGCTGCAGGTACCGATAGTGAACGCTGCGACACCATCCAAGCCTTCCTGCCTGACCCATCCTGCGCCTACCGGCCTACCGCCCTCCCCCCGCCTCCTCAGCACGCCTCATGACAGCCCTCTGCCGTTACGTACTCCCCATTTACACATGCCTGCTTCCATGCAAGTGCCCATCCAAGAAGAGCAGCACTGCAGCGCCAGCACATGCTGCCTGTCTGCAGTGGCCAATGCATCATCGACTCTGTCCATGTTTGTAACGCAGCAATGCCACCGCCCATCACACGTCATGCAGGTATCAGCCGCACAAAACACACATCATAGTCATCAGTCACACGTCCATGTGACCGCAGCCGCCAATACCTCATCCCCCCAAGGCGCCGGGTGGGTTGGTCTGCCTAGACAACCCCAGTTGGTTTCTTTCCGCCCACCCCCCCTGAAGGCGCCAGTAGGCCCCTCGGTGGCGTTCCTACCACCTGCAGGGCTGCTAGCTGCTCCCCCGCACCCGCTCAGCAGCCCCATGTGGAGTGCCAGTGTGCGCCAGTGGTCACCTCGGGTAGCAGGGCTCATCTGGTGGTGGTGGTTGACATGCATGCATGCACCCGTGAGACTTGTGTCTACCTGCAGCTCAGCAGCAGCGAGGCGCCCATCCAGCCAGCCAGCAGCAACACCAGCAACTGAGGCGGGAAGGGAGGGGGAGGGGGCGGGGAGATGGGCGCCGGAATGGAGGTTTGTGGGGGGTCTGCAGATTTCACACCGCAAATGCTAAACCAGCAATCGGGTGGTGTGGGAAGCCGCCCGTCACAGCAACCCTCCCCTACCCGTAACCCTACGTCCCTCAAAACAGGGCGGTCCCAATCCACATCCCTGTGCCTGTGCATGGCGTCACCACACCCCAGCAGCTCTACCCAATCCCCCCGCCAACCCTCAGCCTCACCAACACCCCATACACACCACACCCACCCCACCTGCTGCCCTCCCACCGCCCCCGCCAACGCCCCCACCACCGCCGCCCCCGCCCGCCAGCTGCCCGCCAGCACCCCCGCCAACACCACCATGGAGAACAGCGTGATGGCCGCCTGCTGCAGCCGCATGCGGGCGGGGTAGTCGTACTCGGTGGGGGGGTGCGACAGGGTGTGGCGGGGGGTGCCTGAGGGGAGAGTGCGGAGGAAGGGTGGCAATTGGTGGTGTCGGATCAAGGAAGGGAAGAACAGGAACGCATGTGCTCCCTCTCCCTCCTAGTGGCTAGATTCCGGTAGCCAAGGTCGCCCCCCCCCTTCCCTCCTCCCGTCCCCATGCCATGGTCGCCCTTCCTGCCTCCCCTCAGTGAGCTCTCAGCCCACTGCTGCTGCCAGGCACACCCACTTGTCGTACTGGCGCCGTACGCGCCCCTCCAGCACTCGTCCCAGGTGGACTGTACGGCAGAGAAGAAGGCGTCGAAGGAGGCGAACTGCCCCGGCTCGATGACCTGAGGGTTAGGGCACGCGTAAAAAAAGAAATTCCAATGTGTGGTGTGATAGTGGTACATTTAGCTGGCGCGGGTAAGGGGGGTGCGGTTGAGGATGAAGGGGGTGCGGAGGGCGGGGGTGCAGGGAGGTGTGTTTCGCCAGGAGGATGAGGCTAGGTGGGCGCACAGGGGCAGGGGAGGAGAGCCCCCGGGGTGTCCGTGCTGCAGTGAGCGCAGGGCCTGCTACGCTGCGCTGCTGAGTGTGCACGCATGGCCCTCCCCTCCTGCAACCAGTTGGGTTGCTCCCCTCCCGCTCCCCCACCCCCACCTTTGAGAACTGCGTGACCAGTGTCCTGCCGAAGCGGACCGCCATGCGCTTCTCACTCAGCACCTCCTCCTTGCCCCGGGTGATGATGATCTGGGGGGGGTGGGGTGGGGAGAGGGAGAGAAAGAGGGAGGAGAGGGAGCGGAAAGGAGGGTAAAGGAGCGAACAAACCAAAGGGAAGGAGGGCGGATCAAGAAGGAGGAACGGAAGTTTACAGGGGCAACAGGTATGGGGCGAGGAGGGCGGGAGGGGCGAAAGAAAGGCGGAGGGGGTAGAGGCTTGGTGCGAGGGCGAGGGGAGGCAAGAGGAGCAGCAGGGGAGGGGTGCCAGCGACAGAGCGCGCGCGACGGCGACTGCTGCTCACTCGGGTGTTGTCGTGAGCTGTCAACCCTCCACTGGTGCGCCTAGGCCCCCTGGTGTGCCTAGGTAGGCAGGGCGGCCTGCCTCCACCTCAACGCCTTGACGCTGACCTCTGGTCCCTTCATTCCGGACTATCAAGTGTGCCATTGCACCGGTATATCTTCGCTCCTTCCTATCGGCCAGTCGCGGTACGGAGTTGAAGGTAAGCCCCTCTTCCCTCCCTCCCTACTCCTCTCAGTTACTGTGTTTCCCCTCGCAGCTCCGTGTATCTACTTGCGTCTCAGGTCACCTACACATCAGCCCCTCCTCCCTCCCTCCCTCCTGCCCCCACCTGCACGGGTATCTTGCGGCTGAACGCGTAGTGCAGCATGCCGCGCTTGAGCGGCAGGCTGGCGGGCTTCAGGCTGCGGTGGCCTGGGGGGGGGAGGGGGTGGGAGACAGGGAGAGAGGGATAGGGGAGTGGGGGACAGGGAGGGGGTGGGACAAGGGTGTGCGGGCGTGCGAGGGGGAAGGCATGGAGGGGGATTACCGGTATGCACGCTGTGGCCCGTCCTGCCTGCAGGGTGGGTTGGGCCCACGTGCAGCTGCCGGGCAGCCCCCTTGAACTCGGCCACACGTGCGAGCGAGCGGTACCAGGCGGTTGGGCGCCAATACCGCAACCAGCCCGCCACCACGCCTAGCCAGCCACGCCCCAATCCCAACCCGCACTCCTCAAGCCAGGGCCAACCATGCGCTCCTGATCCTGACTGCTCTTCGCAAGTCCCCTCCTTTCTCTCTGCCGCCCCACCCTCTCCTTCTCCCCTCCCTCCGCCCCACCCTCCGGGTACACCAGCAGTCCGGGCACGTGGCTGCGACCCAGGGTGGCGTCCAGCCAGGAGTTGAAGGCCTGCGAGGGGGAGGAAGCAAGGGTAGAAGGGGTGAGAGGGGAGAAACATAGAAGAAGAGCCAGGAGTTTCCTGAATGTCTGAAACCCAAACCATAGGAAGGGAGGGGGTGAGGGAGTCGGGCGGAGGAAAGGGTGCAATCCAAGGGGTCACCCTGTTTGCCACCTTCAAGGTGCTCGACGACTGCTGCGGCCCCTCCATCCTCCTTCCTGCCTCCTGACCGATCCTTCCTCCCCTCACCGACAGTGTTTCCTCCCTTCCCTTCCTCCCTCCCTCTCCCTCCCCATCCCTCACCTCCTTGTCCGCAATGGTCCCCCGCTTGAACAGCACGATGCCCCGCAGGATGAGGCACGAGGTGCAAAACACCGGGAACACAAAATACACCAGCCACCTGGGGGGCCGGAAGGGGCAGGCGGGGGAGGTGATGTGTATCCCCTTGGCCCTAGGTAGTCCAATCATGGACCCTTGCCACACTAGCTGGGTCACTCTTCCAATGCCCTCCACCCCTCATGCCCCTGTATACCAGCTCCCTCCTCCCTCCATGCAAGCCCGCCTTCACACTTCTTCATCCCCACCTTCCTCCTCCTTACATTCCTCCTCCCCGTCCACGAAAAGCACCTTCTACAGCCCCGGCCCCGCCATCTCGAGCCGACACACATCTCCAATTGTGGCATTCCGTTCCACACATGGCTCCAGCCTCCCTCCCTCACCGCGAAGGACCCTCCGCTAACCCCCTGTACCACCCACACCCCAGCCGAAGCCCTGTACCCCCTCCCTGTTCCACAGCGGCTCGGTTGAACTGCACCCCACCACATACTAGCCATATACGGGCTACCCAAAGCCCCTCTGCACCCCCATGAGCCCACACTCCCCCCATTCTCCCTCCCCACCCACACAACACACCTGCTCATCAGTGCTGCTCGCCCCTCCGTTAGGTAGGCGTCGATGAAGAAGTCCGCCCAGCTGCGGTGGTTGCACTGGGGGGAGGCAGCGCGCGGGGTAAAAATAAAGAAACACGGGGGGGGGATGACAGAGGTTCAACAGGCAGGCAGGTAGACAAGGGGGAGAGGGGGGCGCACGGAGGAATGGGGCAGGGAGGAATGGGTTGATGGCCAGGGTGCATGTGCCCAGTCGAGGAAAGGATATGGGGGGAGAGAGGAGGAAGGGGAAAGCAATGCAGTAGGTAGCAAGTAGGCCAGGTCAATGCGAGGCCGGGGTGATGGTAACCCCACGAAGCGGTTGTGCTGGCATGTGGCGCACGTGGCCATTTTTTGAGGAGGAGGGGGATGGAGGCGAGGTGGCACGCAGCGTCAACTTCGGGTGCAAGCGTCACCTCCACAAGGAGCACCATTTCCTAGAACCCCGACCACCACCACAGGGCATGCAGGCATGGTCAAAGCTCAGGGAATGACTCAGTCCCGAAAGCCTCAAGACAGCTAGCCTCAAGCGTTTAGCATGCCAAGATCGTACCAGGTAGAGACATTTCCCGCCGCGGTACAATGATGACTCCCCTTCCTTAAGCACCGTCACACCAAAGAAGCGGACTAGGGATTTAGCCCTGCAGGGATTTCCACGCGATATGTTAGCTGGGGAATAGGAAACGAGGATGGGTTATTCGTCGCGGTTACAAACAACAGGTAGACGAGAGGTAGGAGACAGATAGTAAGGCAAGTGATGGGCCCAGTGCACCCGCGGCTGTCCTGCATAGTTGTTTTCATAGCCATCACACAATAGTTTGGAGGGGCTGACTTAGCAGAACAGCTGGCTAGCAGACAGCTCGGTGGTTGGCTCAAAACGCACGAAGCACGAGCGAGTGAACTTACCATTCAAGCATATCATTTCTCTTGCCCAAGTTTGCAAAGCGAATCCGGTAGATGATCGCAAATATGGGAAGGCTCCAATAGAATACAAAGACTGAGCAAAGGAATGCAGGAAAGGTAAGCACCTTACTCGATGCTTCCATGCTGTCAGTAAGTAAGCAACAATTGCAACGTAGGCCGAAGAGGTTTCTACTGGATAGCGACAGCTGTCCCCATAACACACAAGCTCCTAACGCCCCAAGGAAATGGCATATAAACGCTAAGACAGATGAGGATAGGATAAAGATAACAGCAGAACGGTACAAGCATAGCATGCAAGCTCATCACACGCTGGGCCTGCTACCCTGCTTGCACAAGGACAATGTCGTGCAACCGTACAGCAGCGCCGACTTCCCAGGTTTAAGTCGCTTGCTGTTTCTGGCCTTTTCCTCCTTCAATACTTGGTCGTTTCACACCTGTTAGGGCCCACTTCGGCTTAAACATCTTTCAGGATGGCGACCTCCGAGCTTGCCTGCACCTACGCCGCCCTCATTCTCCACGACGATGGTCTGGAGATCACGGCCGAGAACATCCTGACCATTACCAAGGCCGCTGGCGTTGAGGTTGAGGCCTACTGGCCCAGCCTGTTCGCCAAGCTGTTCGCCAAGAAGAGCATGGACGACCTCATCACCAACGTCGGCTCTGGTGAGCTTGAGTTAATTGCATATTGTCCGTTGCTATTGTTCCCTTTCATTTAATTTTGCTGACCATCTTATTTCTTGTCGCTTTTGCTCAGGCGGTGGCGCCCCCGCTGCCGCGGCCGCCGCCCCGGCTGCCGGCGGTGCTCCGGCTGCTGCCGCTGCTCCCAAGAAGGAGGAGAAGAAGGAGCCTTCGGAGGAGGAGGACATGGGCTTCTCCCTGTTCGACTAAGCGACAGCGCTAATGGTCGCCTTGTAAGGTTGAGGGCTCGGATTTCTTTCTTTCGGACTTTCATAACACGGAGCACTCTATACTGTCTTGGAAAGCAGCAGCATAAGATTTATGGACGTCAGCGGTATGGGCAGTAACAGTTCATTCTTCGGTGGTGGCGCCCAGCATGGCAGGAATGGAGCGGAGCAAGTGCGTTGTTACAGGGCGACAGCAGCACCTTTTCGCGCCGCAACTCTTGCGTCACCATTGCGTTTTCCATAACGGCGCTGCCTGGACGCATAGTACAGCATGGCAGCATCCCAGTCCCCCCGGTCGAACTCCGGCCAGCAACGCTCCGTGAAGTACAGCTCCGCATACGCACATTCCCAAAGCAGGAAATTCGACAGCCTTTGCTCCCCGCTGGTGCGTATTAACAAGTCCGGTTCCCCAACCGCCGCAGTGGAGACGTGTGTGGACAGCCGTTCTGCTAACAGCTTCTCCGTGACCTACCACGGGTCAGGGGCAGCGAGAAACTCAGCCAGCAGTTATAATGAATGGCCGTAAGGTATAGTGAAAGTCCCATGGTTCAAAGGACCCCACAACAGTGTACGATAGCGTACGAAACATGCTTAGGTTGCACGGCACCCGTGCTACACAATACCGTAAGTACCTGTTCTGGTTTCAGTTTGCCGTCCTGCACAAGCCTGCATAGCTCTTGGGCGGCTCTCGTGATGTCCTGTCGACCTCCGTAAGAAAGGCAGATGCAGAGGACCAGCCCTTCGTTCTTAGCAGTAAGTGCCTCCGCACTGCAGCAGGGCGGCAGCAGCAAAAGATGTTGTAGGCATGACGGGAAAACAAGCAAGAGGGGTGGCACATGATGCCGTTCCAATCCGTTGCTCCCTCATGACTCAGCATGCCTCAGTCGCGTCGGCATCTCATCCCTCCCATAGCTACCCACTCGCAAACTATGCGTCCCCGCATGTGCCACTGTGCCTCTCACAAAAGCGCCCCGCAACCTCCCTCATGCCCTCCCATGCATCCCTTGCATGCGCCCTCTCGCTGCTTCCTTCCTCTGCGCCCTGCTCAGCCCCCACCCAGCAACAGCATTCCCAGCAATAGACAACTAGAACAGCCAGCTGTCTTCGGCCCGCTCGCTGGAGTGTCAACCTTTCATCAGCAACGCGGACCCGGTATCGGTAGGGACTACTAACCAACCCTTTGTCTTGTGGCACCCAGCCAACTCCTACCCCCATTGTTTTGCCCTAACTTGTGGTCTCCTATGGTTTGATATGGTCTTTGGTCCACGCACCCTCCCTCCCTCCTACTCTCCCACTCGCCCCCTCCCACAACCGCCCCACCTCTGCATGGCCCGCCGTAGCGACTCCGGTAGCCTGCTCCGCTCCCCTGCGAACCCCAGCCGCACCCCCCCGGCCGCCAGCTGCGGCAGCTCCCCTCGCAACGCCCCCTCCAGCAGCCCCAGCAGGAACCGCACCTCCTCGGGCCCGCGACCCCAGTTCTCCCAGCTGAAGCCGTACACCTGGGGAGCGGGTCGTTGTAGGGGTTGGGGGGTTCAGGAGGTGAGAAGACACGGGTTAAGGGTGACGTGAGGAGTGGGGGGGAGCACCGGAGTGGGGCGGGTCGCCACAAGAGGGTGTTGCAGAGAGGCGTACGAAGTGGGAGACAGAGGCAATGAGGCACGTGGATACCGAGAGGCAATGGAGTCAGGATGGGAAGGGAGGCAACAGAGGGTGCACTAAAGGTTGGCGGGGAGAACGGGTGTGGACAACATCTTGGTGCTGGGTAGTAGTAGAGGTGGAGGACGGTGTGTGCTGTGGCTGTCTACCCCAGTGTTGTCGGGTACGCCCATTATGGACCACGCGGCTTCCCCAATCTGGGGCTATCGTTCAGGGCTTTATGATGCTCACCGTAAGAGCCTTCACGCCGTCCTCCTGACAGTACTTAATCACCCGGCGCAGGGCGTTGATTCCCTCCATGTGACCCTGCCGCCAATCCCCTATCCCGCGGATTCGTGTAGCCCACCGGAAGTTGCCGTCCATAATGCACTGCGTGTATACGAACAGTTGGAATGCAGCAGATTGGAGGGGGCCACGAGAAGGTACACATGCGTGCTGGCCGCGCTATCGTGCGAGGATGGAGCCGTGCAGTTGACTTACCGCAACGTGCTTAGGGACAGCTCCGGCTTCCGTAGGCTTTGAGCTGCTAGCCTGTGAACTTGATTCCAGTCGAGACTTCATTTGTTGCTCCGTCACGCTGCGAGCTGCATGGTTCGACTGCAGCACCGCGCATGGCGAGCACCGTGAACCAGAACAAATGGGTCTTTGCGCCGAAAACGCCCTGATAGTGGGAATGCCTTGCATGGTAGTCTGGTTATAGCAAATTAGCATACCGGGTTTTGAGGTCCACATATGCCTAAAGACAAAACCGTTGCCGGGCCTTTTGTGTCCGGAACCAATCAATAGCTTGGGCCCGTGCCCCTGAAGTCCTAACTAGTACGCAAAAATGCTCGAAAATACTAGCACGCACCGCTCTTTGCGCCCAAACGCGTCTTCCCACACTTCATGTACACCGCGACTTTGGCGGAATGCCCAGGTGCAACGCTATGGCCAAATTCATGCTCCAATTGCCTTGTCACATCAAGCCCAAAACGCTAGGGATGTTGTTGTTTACAATACTCAACCCTATGGGCGAGGCCAGCCGCCAAGCCAGCCGCAGCAGCCGATGGCGTTGGTTCGTAGGCCTGCCTTCGAGCCTCCCCAGGCGCAGCAGGCTATAGTTGTAAATCTTTCTGACGTCGCGGACAAGCAGCTCATCACACGCAACCGGGGTCAGAACCTTGGCACAATCGGCGAGGCTTGGGTCGACCCTATCAACCTTGAAGTGGTCTCCTTCGACATCGAGCCAAAGCGTGGCGCAACCACCAGCACTGTCAGCAACGTGCCTCTGACTGCGCTTTGGCAAATCGGGGACGTGGTCCTCATCCAGGATGAGAACCTAAACGTGCAGCAGCGATTGGACAGTCGCTTCGGCTTGGTGAAGCTACTGGGCATGGAAGTGCGGACCCGCAGCAACAAGCTACTCGGCAAGGTAGGCTCCTGGCAATCGCTGAGCAGTAGTGGCGCGTGGCAAGTGACCTGCACCTTCTCAAGTGCAACAGTTCCCTGGTACTCAGCGTGTCTAAACGCTCTGCCGCTTTATGGGGTCCATTCCCCTTAGAACTTCGCAACCCTTCCTTGTCGGCTGGTTCTTCTCGTTACCATTACTTTTGCCATGATCCCTACCACGTCGAGAAGCGACCCCGCCCTGCTCTCAACCTCCCAACCTGCCCCTCCCGTCCGTACCCACCTCCAACAGGTCCGAGACATCGCTTTCAGTCCGGACACCGGCGCCATCAGCAAAATCGAGTTTGACGACTTTGGCCTGCGCTTCCTGCCAGTCAACTTTTTCGACACCTACTCCATCCCCGCCGAATGCATTGACCGCTGCGATGTGGGCGCAGTAATCGTCTTCACCGACGAATGGCTGCAACCGGAGAAGCAGGGCTTCCTTAGCAGCATCCTCAGAGGCGTCAGCAGTCGCCAACAGGTGGCCGGGTTGCTGTCGGACGGCTCGCGCTTCTCCAGCGACTCCAGCCTGGGCGGGCAGCTCCCCAAGGGTTACACGTACGAGCAGTGGCAAAACGATGTACGGCGCTGGGAGGAGGAGACGGGATACACGTATGAGGACTACCAAAGGCAGCTGCTGCAGCAACAGCAGCTGCCGCAGCAGCTACAGCAGCAGCAGCAGATGTACGGAGGAGCGGCACGGAGGGGAGCTCCGCAACCTGCGCAACCGCGTAACGCGCTGCCGCCACCCCGGCAGCAAATGCAGATACAGCAGCAGCCGCAGCAGCAGCTGCAGCCGCTTCCTGCTCGGCAGCAGCAGCAGCAGGGGCAGCAGCCGGGGAGGTATGCGCTGCCTCCCGCCGCTGCCCCAGGCAGCAGTAGCAGGATGCCGCCGCAACGTAACGCACCACCCTCGGGACCACAGGGCGGGCAGCAGTCCGGGTTGTACGGCAGCCAACAGCAGCAACAGCCGCCGTTGTACGGCAGCGGTGGGTACGGCGGCAGCGCCCCTGCGGATCCGCGGTACCGTGGTACGGCGCCTGTGGCTGGTGGCAGCGGCCCCGTACGACAACGGTACGGCAGCCCTGCTGCTGGGGTGCAGCAACCGCAGCAGCAGCAGTGGCCAGGGCAACAGCAGCCGCCTGCATCGCCACAGCAGCAACCACAGCAGCAGCAGTGGGCAGGCCAGCAACCGGGGATGACCCAAGGGTCGGTGCAACCGCTCCCGCAGCAGCAGCAGCAGCAACCGGTGGTAGGCGGGCCTCCCCGCGCGCCTATGCAACAGCCACAGCAGCAACAATCACCACCTCAGCAACAACCACCCCAACCAGCGCAGCAGCAGCAGCCAGGCCGCGTCCAGCCTCCGCAGCCAGGAGGGGCTCCTTACGGGTGGCCCGCTGCCTCCTCGCCCTCCACGTCCTCCCCTTCCTTCCCGGCAGGAGGGCCCGGGGCGCCGGCCATGGGCTCCATGGGCCCCATGCAAGGAGCGGGGGCAGCTGACCCGGGTGCGCCGCAGGGCGCAACAGCACCCCCAGCAGCAGCAGCTGGTAGCGGCGGTGGGGCGCTGCGTGTGGACGAATGGCTGGCTCGGGAGCAGGGGCAGGGGGCGCAGCAGCAGCAGCAGTTGGGGTCGGAGATGAACGGATGGGGGATGTCGTGAGGGGGCAGGGAGGGCCAGGGAGGGACAGAGGGTGCTGTTGGTGGTTGGGAAACGAAGACGACGCGTGGTAAGGGTCCGTGCATGTCCATTGACAAAGGTGCTGGTGGCTTATTAGGTCTCGAGGCATATGACATACGGCAAATGCGGGGCGGAACATTAAGACTACATATTACAAATGATGGCGCAAACAGCGATGTTGCATGACGGGGGGTTACTGAGCGGAGGCAGTTGTGCATAGGCACTTGGCATCTCGGTTGTTTCGAGGTTTCGAACCTTTCGGAAAAAAGAATGCCTTCAGGCCGATTGAGCATATGCGGGGGTTTTGGTTCCAGCTCGCCCCGCCTAGTTCGCTCCGTACACTACTGGGGTGCGGCTCCCCCACCCCCCTTCCCTTTGTTCACGGGACCTCGTGTGGCGCTAGGGCCCTCCTGGATGGGAGCATTCATTCCATGTGGCGAGTGTGTGCGCAGGATGCGCTTCATGTGCATGCAGATGCTGTTGCATGGCCTTTCCTTCCTACCCTCTCTTTCGAGGTTGCCGTGCTAAATGGGGCTCTGGAATAGTAGCCGATAGACGCCAGGGTTTCAGCAGGCCCTTTTGGGCCATCGCATTATGGATTATGGATTGTGCAGAAGTGTTACCGTAACACGACTTTGAAGTTTATGGGGGTTAACTGTTACCGGTTTGCATGTTGTCCTTGATATTCCTTGTTTTAGGCCTAAACACTCATATTGAGTTGAGACCGGGACAAGTAGCAGGCAGCAGGCAGAGAAGTAGGATACGTGATGTCCCGATTCGCACTGACACACTTCCTCCGCTGTAAATTGCACACGAGTAGCGTGCACGTGCGTACGAGTGCAGTGCTGTTGGACAATGCCCGTTTGCCGTTGCACACGTACTAGCGCACGTTTGCGAATTAATTTCGTCCAGTGATTAAGATACCCCATCTCCGTTCTGATAACGGTCAGCAACTTCACACACCTAAGGTCCTAACCTGGCCTCCGCAATTACAACGCTGACACTGGCCTAGCCCCTACATACATGCACGGAAGGGAGAGAGGCAGTTGAGCTGCACAGGGCGTCAACTCTCAAGCAGTGTACGACGCTCCCACACAGCCCAGCGGCAAACTGAATGAATGGGTGCCGCCGTTACAACTGGTGCAAGCGTTACTCAGCCTTCCTGTTACTTGGCCTCCTCAAAAGGAAAAGCGACACACACGCACACACGCAGCTCGCGGCCAGTTATTTTAACACACCCAGCTTACGACTCGCGGCCAGTTTTCTTAACACGCAGCTCTCACTGTACCGTACTGCAGGATTCGTGCAATGTGCACATTGCTGTGCAAGTCTCCTAAATACCGGCAAAAGACCCAAAAGACGCACCGTGCGCTTACGCTAGGCACCCCACAAGGCACCGACTCCAGCGCGCCATGGGGCCAACCAGCGCATGTGCTTCGTAACGCCCTAGGAAACCCTACCGGAGGGTTGCAGCAACCGTAAAATGGGCTACATTATCACCTACTAGGAACGTGCCCATCTTCCGAATTCTACCAACTTCCACTAAATAGCCTTCCTCAATTCCTAAAGACCACTCGCAAAGCTGCAGAAGCAGCAGCAGCACCACACGCCGCCATCTTGTATTGCCGCACCGGACACAAGGGAGCTGGCTATGGGTCTATGCCGCTTCCAAAGCGACACAACAGCAGCCATCGGCAACGCGCCAGCCTCCAGAGCAACCCATTCAACACACCCGCCCACAACGCGCAACGCAGTAGGGGTCCGGAGGTATCCTGGTTGCAGGGGTCAAACCACTCGCACCTTAACCCACCACGCCATAGAACCCCGACTGCTGCTTTTAGAAGGACCGAGACGCATAGCCTGCTCTATTCCGAGCAGTCCACAGCAGCAGCTAGCCAAACGGCACCAATGCTCCCTGCACGCTTGCCAGTTAACAGCAACCCTCAGCGACGCAACATTGCAACAGGCATTGGACAGGACCCACCAGGACAACCGCCTCCACCACCAATCACGCGATCCGGCGAGTAAGGAGAAAAAGACACCCCGACGGAAATACATCACTCAAGAGGTCAACTGGAAACCTTCAATACTGAAACGTCTTTTCACCTAGCCACCCAACCCCAGTAACAGCTCCGAAAGCGCCACCCGCTGCTCCTGGGCATCCCCCTCCTGCCACACCTGACAGCTCCGAAACTTGTCGTACTCCTCCTTGTACTGCTCATCGGCCGCCAGGTGATTCAACCAGCTCCGAAACTGCCGTACCGAGCAGGGCCCTTGCTGCTGACCCATGGGGTCACAGTAAAACCAAACCTCCGCCGTTTCGGCGTCCGAACTGCTAGGGGATGCGGCGGCGGCGGCGGCGTCTCCATCACCCCCGCCAGCGCCGTCAGCGTCGGCGTCGCCGCCACTGCCGCCAGTGCCGCGGCAAGCTTCCTCACCTTCTCCCGGCGCTGTCGTACCGTCGTGGCGACCCATGGGACTTCCATGCTGCTGCTCGCGGGCCCCTCCGTCGCCTTCCGCTGCCTCCCACTCCTCGCCCTCACCGTCAGTGCTTCCGCGCCTCTCCTCGTCCTCCTCGCCAGCAGCATGAACATAATCGTCATGCTCGTCCTGATCATGGGATGGGTATTCCATGTCGGGCGCAGCACCGCCGCCTTCGCCTTCCATGTCCTCCACCGCCGCCGCCGCAGCAGCTCCCTCACCCACCCCTGCCTCGGCAGCTGGTGAGGAACCCTGCTCTTGAGGCCGCTGCGCCGTTCCCCCCTCACCACCACCACATCCCGCTGCTGCCGTCGCCTCCTGCCCCCCCGCCGCATCCGTAGCTGCTGCTGACCGAGATCGGTACGCATGCTGCTTCGCGTCAACCCCACCGCGGTCCCGCGCCATTGCCGCGCCGTCGCGACTGTCACGCGGCCGCTGGGAATAGGAAAGTCGATTAATGTACGACGACGGCTCGCCCCTGCGACCCACAGCAGCACCTACGCCGCCACGGCCGTCGGGAAACGCACGACGCTTGGCTGGCGGCACGTCAGCAGGCGACAGCGGACGACGTCCGTACGGCGGCGGCCTGACGTCAGCACCGCCGTACGGCGGTCGACGGTTATAGCCTGCGACGTCTGACGGCGGACCGATCCGCGCATTCGGGTGATAAGGAGGAGGGGGACGATGCGGCAGTGGATGCGGCGGCGGGCCCCGTGGCGGAGGCGGCGAACGACTGTACGGCGGCCTGGAACGCAAGCCTGGCGGCGGCGGCGAGGCGCTGCGACCGCGGCGGTGGCCGCCACTGCCCCATTCATGCGGGCGCGGATGCCTGTCGTACGGCCCAGCTAGTCCCGACGGCGGCGGCAGAAGACGGCGATCGTCGTACCCGCTGCTGCCACCGATCCGCCTGTCGTACTCGTGAGGAGGAAGACGTCCCGGTGGGCTTGCTCGCCTTCCCCTGTCCGGAGCTCCGTGGTACAAGCTTGGCTGACGTGGCGCAGGGCCGTGAGGGGGGCTGCGGTACGGCACGCCAGCATCTCGACCACCGTACCTGTCGTACATCCCAGACGGTGGCGGTGGCGGCGGCCCCCGCCCTCGAAGGTGCGGAGGTCCTCCATACTCATTCAGCGGCGGCCCCCCACGACCGTACGGCAGCGACGGCGGCGGCGGAGACAACGGCCGACCGCCGTACCGCGCCGGCTCCGGCGGCCCCCGGCTACCGCCGCCGGCCCCCCCATCGGAAGCCCGCCGACGCACGTGCTGCTGCGGCGGCGGCGGCCCGGACATGTGGTGCATGTCGGCATCCGGGGGGCCCCGGGAGCGCATGTGAGGCGGCCCATCCGCCGCCACTGCGTCACCGGGGGGCCGGCGGAGGTGGTACGGCAGGGAGGAGGGCGGCGCTGTCGTACGGGGTCCGCCTCCGTACCCAGGCGGCCGAACGGGTCCGGGTTCGGACAGCATGCGGGCGGCGGGGGCGGGGTTGGCGGCACCGGGGAAACCTGCGGGAGGAGGAGGAGGAGGAAGAGGAGGAGGGTGTCATGGGGTCAGCGTGTGTGCAGCGGGCGTTAGGGTAGGAGCACAGCCCCCAGGTAGGAGAAATGGGCTGCAGTGTGCTGCACACACCACCCCCTAAACATTCCACACCAGCCCTCCGTTGCGCACCTCGTCGATCATCTCCAAGGCCACCAGCCCTCCAGGACCCGCGCTCCGCTCCCGCTCCCGCTGCCGCGAAACTGCCATTTCCACCACCGCCGCCGCCGGCGGTATAGGAATGAGTTGGGGTATGCCGCTTATGCGAAAGGGGTGGGTTGTGGTACTGAACGTGAGGCGCCGCGTTTGCTGCAGCAGCAGCAGCACCACCACCACCACCAGCAGCTGCGGGACGTTCGTAGGCTGAACGGCCGTAGTCCCCGTGTCGCAGTCGCTGCTCCTCCCCTACGCTGCCACCGCCCCAACCGCCGCCGCCGCCGCCTGGCCGCTCCGTACCGCGAGGAGGGGGATGGGGCCCTCTGTCGTCCCATGCGGCAGCGGGCTCCCGCTGCGGCTCCCTCAGGTACGGCGGTTCCCGGGGGTATGGGGGCTGCTGGCCTCGGTGGTGGATGTGGTCGTTGTGGTATGAAGGGTACTGCTGGGATGCAGGGGTGGGAGGCGGGGGCTCGTAGGGCCGGTGTTGATGATGCGCTGGAGCGAAGGAGGCCGTGCGGTCTCGATCGTGGGGGGCGGGGGCAAGGGGGCCCGCCCGGTGGTCAGCTGCTCCCCCTCGGTAGGGCGTAGGGTGCTGCGGGGAGTGGTTAGGTCGATCGTACGAGGCATGGTGGGACTGAGGAGGTGTGAGGAAGTCCCGATGGCCGTTGCTGCTGCCTGGGGGCATAGTGTCACCACCATGACTAGCAGTCCAATTGTAGGGCGCCCGATGCGAGGAGGAAGAGGGAGGAGGCGGGGATGGAGCTGCCGGCGCTGTTCGAGGCCTGTGAGGTGCATCCCTGAAATCGCGGTGGTCAGGGTGGTGAGACCTGCCGGAATCGAACGTCGTGCGGTTCATGACAACGTTCGCGGTCCGGTCGCTGCAAGTACAGGACAATAGTGACTGCTATTGTAACAGATGCAGCCGTAAATGTTAAGAGCGTTGGCGCGCCTGTCGGCGAACGGGCTGCGGAGCACACGACCCTTGCCGATTGACGATTGCTGCTGGACGAGAATTAACAAGTATGTCGGTAGCTTAAAGCACTTCGTTGCATTTGTGATACCGGTATACTGTGATAGCTGGCTCGTGACAGGCACGATACAGAGCAGCTCCAATAAAGACGCCAACCACTAGCTTACGCTCAATGGCTCTACGGGAACTTCCCAAATGTTCATGTGAAGATACACTTCTTAACGGTAATGCCAGTTATGTCAGATCACCTCAGGCACATGGAGTGCACATCGACTGTAAGGTATAGTGTGGAGAAGACGCTACAAACAGCGTTAATCGAACAGATGGAATTCATAAGGGAAAACGTGTGTAACGATGCGGGCTATCTGTCTTACTTCTCCTGGCTGCCGCAGCACATTGTACAGCCGGTTGTGCAACAAATCCGATGATCAGACCAAATTTCGCAGCCTATAGTCATACAGCATTATCAGCTGCAACGCATCAATGTGTAGAAGCTACGAGGATTATCAGCATCTATGCGCAGTGTTTTTGGGGACCGTCAAGCTTGCACTCCAATACCCATCCTAACAGGCACACCAGGTGTTGGGCTGCATCCGCGCCCGCTGGTTCATAGGGTCCGCATGAGACTTGGAGATGAGATCAGCACCGAGCGGATGGGGTGGCGCCGGAAACCCCTTTTGAGCCCTGGATGACAGGATGACAGTGATGCAGAACGCACTTGGCAAGGGACTACTCTCCGGGCTCCGGGAGTGCTGTAGGGGAGGTAGTTGGCACACCACGTTACCCATTCCCTAGGCAGCGTCACCTGGGGCAAGCTATCTACACTGTAATGCCCACCAGGTTTGTGTACGGCAGGTGCAGTACATGCAGCGATGCAGGGAATTGCCTTGCGCGCAAAGCCTGGCGTATTGCTTCAGGCTGGGCCTCCAAAAGATGCAAAATTACACAGTACCCAGCAATACCTTACATAGCTGCGTAATACTGTGGTAGGGGCGTGCGCGAGGGTGCGACTACATGAGCTAACGATTGGTAACGAACCTTTGTGATACCTCCCGCTTACTTCCATTACAGCATGCTAACTTGGGCAAGGAGAAATCCAGTTTGCTCCGGAAACAATGGATGTTCCCTAAGTCCCATGGGTCACTGGCTTGGGCTATAGGCGCAAAATCCGCAAAGAGCGGACACAGCCGCCCGCCCCATAACGATGAACGTCCACCCCTCACCCATCCACACAGTGCTTCATTCCTTTTTCCTTTCCTACCTACCGGTATATCCCGCCGCACACACCCACAAGCGGCGGATGGTGTACTACAGATCCGGCGGATCGTCCCCGTCCTCATCATCCCCAGACACCGCCGTCACCGCCGCCTTCCGAACCTCCTTTATCACAAAATCCCCCTCCTCTGACCCATGGGTCTTCACTATGTTGTAAATCGACGCACCTCCACCCCCTCCTGCCCCTCTCCCACCCGCCGACCCTCCTCCGACCGCTGACGCTGTCGTGCAGCCGTTCCCTTGCTGCCGTACATTGTTATTGTTGCCGTACAACATTGCAGGCGCTGCCGTACCTGTCGTACCGGGTACCTTGGGCCGCAGCTTGGCCACGTCAATGATGGGCTGGTCGGGGTCCTCCTTGGGCAGGGTGAGCAGCAGGTGGCCTGGGGGGCGCATGGGGGTGGGGTGTGGGGATTAGGGGGGAAGGAGGGGGGAGGGGTGAGGCATCCTCACATTCCTCGGAGACCGCAATCAGCTCCTGTGGTGTGTCGTGTGCCTTTGCTGCCTGTCCGGCTGCATGCATGCGTGCGTGGCTGCATGGCAGGCTGGCAGCCCTCCACCTCCCCGCCCTCTCCTCTTGCGTACGGCCGTATCCGTAACATCCGTTGTCGCGCACAACACACCAGCCCGCGCCACCCCTAGCAGCACCATCCATCCTCTCTCCCCCTCTCCTTCCGCAACCCTTTCCTCCTCATCCTCCTCCCGCCTCCCCCTCACCACACCCATCCCAACCCCCTCCCCCCCAAATCCCTTCCTCACCATTGCTCATGTTCCTCTGCGCCGTCGCCGCGTCCGGCCGCACCTCGCACGGCAGCAGCAGCTGCAGCAGCTTGCCCTTCACCAGCAGTCGCACCAGGGTGGGCTGCAGGTCGGTGGCGATGAGCGAGGTGTCCAGGTAGCGCCCCAGGCCCACCTCCAGCTGCAGGCAGCGGCCGTCGGGGGACTCCTCCAGCGAGAAATCCCACCTGGAGGGGGAGGCGGAGGGAGGGGTTGGAGGGAGGCGGAGGGGGGGGGGAGATAGATGAGGAGTGCAGCAACTGAAGTCCCGATCCCATATCCCGACACATGCAGTGAGGGAGGGGGGGATATACACATATACCGCATGCATGCGGGGAAAGAGGCCGGAGGGCGCTCAGGACCTTCTTACAGCTGCATGCAATTGCACCTGCAGCTCGTCTACCTTCCGCTCTCTGTGCACCTCACCCCTCCTCCTCTTGTGCTGCTACTTCCACACCTGCACCCACCCACCCACCCACCCACGCCACTGCTAAACCTCGTTTTCCCGCCGTTCTCCCTCCTCCGTGTCCTCCCCATCGCACCGCAGCACCCACCTGCCCTCGTTCTTTTGGTATACCCGCTCGCCGTCCTTCAGCTCCGGAAAGCCCTCTCGCCGCCCGGGCCTCTCCCCGGAGGTGGAGGTGGAGGAGGAGGAGGGCGGTGCTGCTGCTGCTGCGGAGGAGGCAGGGGGCTGCTGCTGCTGGGGGTCCTGGGGGTCTACCGTGGCGGGGGTGGTGGAGGTGGCGGATGCTGCTCGCTTCTTTTCCTCTGCTGCTCGGTTGGCGGCCTCCTGCGGGGGGTCAAAGACCATACCAAACCATTGGAAACCACAGGTTAGGGCAAAGCAATGGGGTTAGGAGGGGAAAAATTAAATAAGTGAAACAACGAGTCCCAATCCCATATCCCGACTCATGCAGTGAGCGCAGGAGGGGGGGGCACACGCGCCATGCAGGCAACACCGGGTCCATCCGGGGAGGGGGTTTGCGGGGCTGCATGAGACCAGGGCTACTAGAAGGGCACGCATGGGGCCATCCCGTTCAACCCCCATCCCCTGCCCGTTCTATTCCCCTCCCCCTCCCCCTCCCTCCCCACCGTCTCCCGGTGCTCCAGGATGCGGGTGGCGGGGCACCAGGGCCGCACCAGCTCCCCCGCCTCGTCCACCCAGCCCGTCTCCGGCACCTCCGCCACCACCCCGCCGGCCTCGTCGTACAGCAGGCTGTCGTCCTCCACCTCGCCCGCCGCGCCCACGTCCACCCCCTCCGCCGCCAGCTCTGCCAGCAGGGCGGCGTGCAGGGAGGGCAGCGCCTGCTGGGCGGAGATGCGTTCGGAGGGCTTGATGGCCTGACCGTCCTGGGAGGGGAGGGGGGGCATGGGGAGGGGAGGGGTGGGGGGCGTGGGAAGGGTGAGGTGGGGGAGGGGAGCGGAGAGGTGGGGCTTCTGTGTGTGTGTTTGGGTGAAACATGTGAGGAGGGACGCTCATGGGTTTGGTGTTACTCCCGTGTGTTTCTGTACGGTTGGCTTGTGCTTATCTTCTGTGTATCTTCTCCTCAACCCCGCTGCCCTCTCAGCCTCTCTGTCCCTAACCTCCCTCCCCTACAACCCCACTCCCCATCCCCCCACCCCCCCTACCAGCTTTTTCAGCTGCGGCAGCTGCGCCACCACGTACTGCCGGTAGCCGGGCCAGTCGCTGCAGGGGTTGCCCAGCAGGTACAGCTCCTGGGGGGGGGAGAGGTGGGGAGGAGAGGAGGGAAGGTTGCAGCAGAGGGGAAGGAGGTGGACAGAGGAGGGTGAGGGGCAAACAGGCGGGACAGGCGGGGCAAACAAGCGGGGGGCGGGTCCACCCTGGACATGAGCACGGCACGGCACGGCACCCGCCCCTAGTGTCTGTGCGTTGTGCCCAGCTCGCTGCGTCCAAGTCGGGCCATGGGGTCAGGACTCCGGTGTTTGATCTCCGCTTGTCCACCCTCCCCCTTCTCCCCGCCTGTATGGTGGGTTAGTTTGTTTGTTTCGCTTCCCACCCTTCCACCCCACCCGCCCCTCACCTCCAGGTGTATGTTCGCTGCCAGGCTGGCCACACTGAGCAGCCCCGCCTTGCCCACGAAGTTGATGGTGAGGTCCAGCTTGCGGAGCGACTCGCAGCGCTGCAGGTTCTGGATCTTGGTCACATTGTTGACCGCCAGGTTCAGGTACTCCAGGTCCTGGTGTGTGTGTGTTTGGGGGGTGCGGCAGGGGGGAGGAGAGGGAGGTGGGGAGAGGAGGAGAGGGAGGATTCAAGTTAAGGGTGGCCACGTGAGCTGTTGCGCGGATGGTAGGCATCAGCGGTAGACGTGGAAAGGATGAAGAGTTGTGTTCAATAGGGGGCCCATGGTTGGTTGGGTTCAATAACGTAGGGTGCGGAGGTGGGCCGCGGGTGGGCCGCGGACAGCTGGACTTGCCTTGAGCTTGTGCAGGTTCTGGATCTTGCCAATTAAATTGTTTTGCAGGTATAGGATCTTCAGCTTGGGGCATAAGTGCCCGATCACTTCAATCTTTTCGATGTTCTGTTGGTGCAGTGCCACCTCCTCCAGGGTCGACACCATGCCTTCATTGTGCTCCGCCCTCTGCGGCCACGCCAGCAAACTTCAAAAACTTTTTCACGGAGCATTACTATGAGCAACACCTTTTAAGCATTATCCCTGCCTGGCGAATAAGTCGTTCTGTTATTCGTCCCATACTTCCAGCAGAAGCTTCGAAGGCCAAAGGCCGTCAGCTATCAAGGTGAGGTGAAAGTGAACCAAAGGGCAAAGAAATCCTCAAAGGTATATACCAAACAACGTGAAGAAGCAAAGGGTCAGGGATATAGTTGGTTATTGTTGTATTCCGATTTCCGAAGGAAGCTTGCTGCCAATAAAGGTAGGCCACATATCTACAAGGGGAAACGCTTGTTCACATTCACGCCTTCCTCTGCTTCAGCGTAATGCGAAAGTTGGAACTGGGGATGGCTCCGATACCCTAATTAGTCAGCTCAGTGTTACCAGTTGATTCAGTTCCATATTGGAAGAGCACATTACCGTAGTGCATCGAAACGCACTACGAATTCAGGTATGGTTTAAGCCGTGCTTGTTTGAGCATGTCACCAAGTTGTCACATCGCTGCTATCAAACAGACGTACAGCTTACAATACGAAAGAATCCGATGTGATCAATTAATACATATCTATGCATTAACCCGTCAAATTGGGGATTAATGGCATAGCTCCACCAATACGGTAATACCCAAGCGTCGCGATTAAGTGATTGGCGCCCCCCGCTTTGCGATGCCCACTTTACCGATCACTGGTCTAAGCAGCAACTTATGTGGGGGTAGTTTGGCTTATGGCCGTGTCTTATCTGCCTGGCCCGTGGTGACCCGTGTGCCGTGAAGTACAGCACACGGGTCAGCGCAGCCTGATTTAAGCGCTAAGCGTAAAGCTGTGAAAGTTAATGGCCATTACCATCCATATAGTTCAGGATTTATAGAGCTGCGCGTACGGTAACTTCAATTTACCTTCAACCCTTACTACGTTAACGGCGGCCACCAACGGCGACCGTCGGCTGCAGCAGCCCCGAGGCAGCGCCAATCCTGGGTGGTGTCGTCCATTACTGGGAGTACAACCTATGTCACGATTTCCCAGTAAGCTCTTGCAATGCCTTTGTCGTCGCGTTGTCCAACCCTGGCCATCCATCGCAAGCCTACACATTGTAACGCACGTTGCAACGAGTCCATCCTGTCAGTGCCAAGTTAATTGACATCATTTTTTTCTTTTACACGCGCTTGTAGAGGGAGCGCTTAATTAGTCCAAGCCTACTTGGCTAGGCCTCAGGCCAGTTTCAGTTAGGCCACTAGCCAGATGGGGCAGCGCACTTCCTGCCTCGTGGGGACGACAGCGGCTGGAGAACCTGAATCACAGCAACACCGCCCAACCACAGCGCAGCAACTGTCGTCAACCCGACCTCAACCGCGCGACACCTATAGCGACGAAGCAATAGCGACAAAGCGACCGCAGCAATCGCAGCAGCAGCCCCTGCCGCTGCAACCACAACACCCACAGCAACCGCAGCAGCCATCCGTCGCTCCCTCCCTAAACCTGCACCATGTTCCCAGCCTCGCCTCCTGCGCTAGCTCAGCATCCCTCGCCCCCACCTCCTCCTCCTCAGCCTCCACCAACTCCCTCAGCTCTGCAGCCTTCTCCACCTCCGCCTCCACCTGCACCCTAACCCCCGCCACCTCCCTCCTCAAGCTCCCTTCAATCGTCTCCCAGCTCTCTCCCGATAAAGACAGCAGCCTCATCCCCACAACTCCAGCTCCAGCGGCCAACACCGTTAGCAGCACCAGCAGGGGGCTCAACGACTTCCAACCGTCGGCTGACAGCCAGCCGCACGCTTCCAGCCACTCCTCGGGCCCGACAGCAGTCACAGCAGCACAGCAGCCGGCAACAGCAGCAGCCGCCGGGTCAAGCCAGTCAACGACAGCGGGAGCTATTGACGAAACCAAGGCCGCGGTTGTGACATCGTTGGCCCGGACGGGCTTTGCGGCTGCTAGGTCCCCTACATCTGTTGCTGGTACGCCTGCTGCAGATGTCGCCGCTGCCGCTGCTGCTGTCAAGCCCCCAAAGCAGCCTACAATAAGTCCAGGTCCTCAGCTGCTAGCGGCAGCTTCGTCGAAAGCAAAGACAGCCGCGGCAGGAGCTTCTATCGCACAACCGCCAACAACGTCGGCTACATCAGGAGCATCAAAACCTACAGCAGCAGCAACAGCAGGAGCAGCAGCAGCAGCAAAACCTACAGCAGCAAAAGTAGCAGCAGCACCACCAAAACCTACAGGAGCAGCAAAAGCAGTAGCAGTCGACCTTATCGTACCGCTACAGCCGGCTGTGTTAGGCTTGTCGCAGCTGGAGGTGAGCTGCGTGCAGCTTTCAGACGTCACTGAAGCGCACGTGGAATGGCTCCGAGCGGGTTGGGACTTGCACCCGCCGTCATGTTCTTCTTCTTCGCCATCAGCAGCAGCTGGCTTCAGCAGTGGCAGTGCTGCCGCTCCTTCCAACCGTCCCCAAGCACCCATGCAACCCCAGCAGACCCAGCAGCAGCAAGGAGTGAAGGCAAGAAAGAATGCAGCAAAGGGCCCGCCCCCGTCTTCCGGTCCCTCACCTGCGCGATTGCGGGTTGTGGGATATGATACGGAGTTCCTGGGCGATCAGCTCGCCCTGCTGCAGCTGTGTTGTGGGGGCCGGGCGCTACTCGTGCGTGTGCCCAGCTTGAGACCACACCTGCTGACAAAACAGCAGCGGGGAGGAGGCAAGGCGGGCGGCGGCAGCGGCAGCAGCAGCAGCAGTAGCAGCTGGGTGGGTGGCAGCACCAGCGGCGAGCAGCCGCAGTTCCCGTTCAGCTGCCCTCTGAGTATCCGCAAGCTGCTGTGCGACCCGACGGTGCCCAAGGCGGCTGCGGAGGCGTGGCAGGACGCGCTCATGGTGTTTGCTGCATTCGGTGAGTGCCGTTTAGCACGTTACAGAGACCTTACCCGCCTAGTGAACAGCCGTACGTAAAATCTGCGCGTGGGTGGTGTTTTTCTATTATTTAGATTGTTTATATATTCCCTCCATGTTATGTACGGCTTGTCGTACAACGCATGCAGGCATCAAGCTCCGTAACGGTCTTGACCTCACCGTCGCTGTTCCCCCGACTGCGGAGGAGGAAAAGCGGGGGCGCAAGAAGCTCTCGCTGTTTGCTATCTTTGAGAAGTTCTTTCCGGAGTCTACACTGGAGAAGGACCGGGGCGTGGACCACTCCCAGTGGTTCACCTCCCGGCTTGACAGCAAGCAGGTGCGTGGAGAAAACTCCCAGCGTCGTGCAGCTGCTGTTCATGCACACGTGGCAGCTGTGTCGAGGTGCCAAGTGATGTACGATAATCTCGATTGCTGCAGGGTGCTGTCCTCCTTCCCCCCCTGCAATGCATGCATGGCCTCATCAGGCTGTGCACAGCAACCTTCTACCAGTATTGTTGTCATGCCCTTCCACGCATCCTTTAACATGCGAATGTGTCCCAAGTATATGTCCACATGTGCCGAATATTTGCTGTTGCCGTACACAGCTCAAGTACGCAGCTCTGGATGCCTTCGTGTCGTACGCTGCTGGGGTAGCAGTGCTCCGAGACCCCTCCTGCGCCTCCCGCGCATCCTCGTCCCGTGTGGACCTGACGGTTCCCAGCCCCTGGGAGGTGACCCTGTCAGCCCAGTGGCTGGCGGTGAGTCAGTTCCTGGAGTCGGGCAACCCGGAGCGCACCAAGAGCGATTTCTACAGCGCTAGCTTTGAGGAGCACAAGGTAGGTAATGGCATAGGTTGTCGTTGCATGCTTGCAATTGTACGTGTATGTGTGATTGGAACGGAGCGTAAGCAGTAGCGGACAGTAGCAGTAATGGCGTTGGTTTACTCACCCACACGCGCTATGGATGTGGAGGAGGAATTCGAATATGACCCTGAACCACCTTGAGTAGTACGGTCCCCAACGGGCCAACCGTCCTGCCAGCCGTCCTGCCAACCAACTGTGAATCAACCGCCAACCGTCCTCCCAACCCACTTAACAACCACCACCTCCCAACCGCAATACACAGAAGCAGAAGGAGCTGGTGTTGGTGGTGCGCATGAGCCGCTTCAAGACACGACTGCGCCGCAACTGCTGGGCGGAACTGCAGCTGCCGGACGGTCGCCGCATCAACGGCAGGTAGGTCCCTTTGCCCCGCAATGTGTTTAGTGCACAGCTGCACACGATGAGATACTATACGACACATACAGCCTTGACAGGGCACGGCGGTGGCGGCGGCCACCACCGTGCAGCGCCACCCTAGCTCCAACGGCCACCCCTTGACTCTTGCAAAGTCAGCAGCACAGTGCATTCGGTCGCTGGCCGGGCATGGCTGGGTTGGCCGCTTGGGACTCGCGTCAGTGGTCGGTTGGGTTGGGGTTTAGTAAGGGGGTTCAGAGGGCCACCCCCTCCTGCATGCCACTTCACCTAAAACCATGCATGCGGTACACCTAGCCACACATCTAACAATTATGCTTGTCCTACGTACTCCGTGTCATCACCTGTGCCTTCTGTTTTCCTTTGTTCGTTTTCCTTTTTGCTTGTTTTTCAGCGGTCCATGAGCCCCCTGGCTCGTCTGGGCCTTACGAGACTCTCGCTTGTAACCATCGCCTGTGTCGTACTCGCAGGTGTGTCCATGCCAACGGCAAGACGGCGCACATTGGCAAGCTCAAATGGAGCCGTGCCCCGGGGGCTACAGGGGCAGCTCCGGGGGCAGCAGGCAGCGGTGAGGGTGTCGGGAAGTGGGGCTGTAGCAGTCATACCAGCCCTGTAGTGCGGTAGCAGCGTACCTTGCCATGCACCTGCCAGCATAGATGCAGCGGCATCGCCCCCTCCTTACATGCATGCCGCCGCTGCCAGCTGCCCGCACCTCTTTACCCCATCCATGCAGCCATGCAAGCCCTGCACCCAAGTGAAACACCTGTTTGTGAGCCTGCGCACGGCTTATTTAGTTAATCCGTTATACCGCGATAGGTATATGGCCTTCCCGTGTTCCTTCCTGACAACCACTGTGACGATCATCCAACCAGCGTGGCTTTTCTGCTGCCGCCCTACATGCCGCCTCCCCCCCCCCTTCCCCGGCTGCTGCCCCTCCGCTGACCCCCAGCAGGTTCCCGCGACGTGCACCCCTGCGAGGTGGCCTCGCTGGGCCCCATTCGGGGCATTGAGATGGTGGAGATGGGGGAGACGCTGGAGGAGGAGGCGGCCAAGGACCTGGTGGCACGGGTGCGTGCATGTGCCCGTACATGCGTAGTTGGTTAGCACATAGAGGGGGTGCTTGCATGCAGGGGTGTGGGGTGCGTTCACAGTCCGAGCTTGCAGGGCAGCAGGGCTGCGTGC